CTCAATTTTATCATCTATTTATTCATTAGCTAACAGCAGCATCTTTATATGAGTACATTTATTAAGCTTCGGCTGACTATGCTTAGCTGTTTTTGGGTATGCTTTTCAGGAAAGATTTTATCCGAACTTTTTGTACTCCGTGCAAGGTAAGGATATCAGCTTGTTTTTCAGGTTTGAATTTTCAACAAAAATTAAGCCAGATGAAGTTTCTGAGGCTGTGAAGAATAAATATTCAGTGATAGACTCCAGCAGTCGATTTGATTCAGCTAATAAGGATTTGAGTTTTATAAGTTAGTTATAGCAAGTCAACATATTTATAACAATAGGTAAATAAATAAATTTGTGAAAATTAGAGCTTAACGATTATTTAAGATTATTTGAAGCTCTGCTATTTCAAATAAGTATTTTTAATCTAATCTTAGTTCGTTCAGCTGCCTCCTACTGTGTATCCCAGTCTCTCATTAGATCAGAGGATATTGGAATGTTCATCATGTTATGTGCCAAACAAGATTGAACTTACTGAAAATCCTAAAAACTAACTTTATTCAGCATTATCCATGAGTCTTAGCTCGTTATTCCTTCAGGTAATTATTTCAGTTTTTCTTTACTCCCCCCCGCTCCGTGAGTGAACAAAAAAATTTTGTTCACTCACGGAGGGGGGTTAATTTTTTTTTTAAAAACAAATTATATATAAAATTTTATAAAAAATATTTTTTTTTCGAAATTTAAAAAAATCCTAATTCGCAAAAATTGGAAAGCAAATATTAATTCAATTTGCAAAATTTATGTTTTAAAAAGCAATTCGTTTAAAATTAAATAGAATTAGCTCTATATTTCATTATACTAATTATCATTTATATATTAAAACTTTTTTCCATAAAAAATTTTTCTATTAAAAAAATTTTTGTTTCACTCACGGAGGGTGGGTTTTTGGGCAAAAAATGGCGATTTTTCTAATGGTTTTGTTCACTCACGGAGGGGGGGAGTTAGTATCAATGGTAAAATTAATATTAAAAAAATCAATTTATTATAAAAGCTTTTTTTCAAGCAATTATCAAGAGCTTGCAGCTACTCACTGGTTAATTTTGATAATTCTGTTAAAGGAAATTTTTTCTGAGATTAGTTGTATTTTGCTCACTCCCTTATTTAATTGGAGCAAGATATCGATAAAATTTCCATTTTGGGTAATATTTTTTAATGAATATTTTATAGGTAAAAATCCTAATTTATAGGCATATTTTAGCCAAATTCATTTAAAGAAATGCAATTAGAATATTATTTAAACAATTTTTATGCTGAATCGATTAAATATATATTATTTTTTCAATAAAACTAAAATTAAAATTCATAAATATTAAGTGAAATATTTTTAAAGGAAAGATTAATATATAATTTATTAAAATTAACTATCCTTTTTATTGCTACAGGATATTTTGTTTCAATTTGAAGGTGGAATTCAGACAATTTCATGCTATTGAATAACTGCCATATTTATTTTGTATTTTAAGTTATCTAAGGTTGATTGTGAGATATTGAGACACGCCAGAATCTCGCCTTGCTTTTACTTCCAATTATTGGAAATATTTTATTTGTCTCTATAATTTCAGTACTTTTAAGTGCTTTTCAATGTGATAAATTTTTAAAATAAATTAAAGGATTAAGCTGGCCATAAGCTTGCAAGCCCACTATCTTTGCCTCATCTTGGCTCCAAAATAGCGTCCCCTTTTGTTTCTTGGGACGCCGGAGGAATTCAGAGGCTGCTATTTCGATTTCCGGCCCGAATTACCTGCCTTAGGGATCAACTCCCTCGAGCAGAGCCGCCACATATAGAGTGTCACGATGATCCCGATAAGTGAAGACTTTTTGGTCAGCAAAACCTGTTTAGCCCATCTGGCAGGGAAATGGAAGTCTTCGGGAGTCACGGCAAGGCATGCCAAACTTGTAGGCTACTTCAAAAAAGGCAGAGGCTCTGCTTTTAAGCTTAATAATCATGATGGGTCCGAACTGTTCCATAGGGAGTGTGCCTCTGAGTCCAATTTTCATCGACGTCACCATTTTATTTCTCAATGTGATCAAGGACTTGGCTCAAATATTACTGATTCTTTTATAAGGCAAGACTGCAGTACGTATTGCTGGAATAATAAATATTTTATATGAGGAAGTTTCTCAATAGTTTCTTTAGTTGCCTATAAAAAACGCAGCAAATTTTTATTCTAGAAAAAGTTATTTTTCAGATAATAATTGCTTCTATGAATAAAACATTAAAAATTTATGATGAGTCTTTGCACGGCCTTAGCTATATTATCCTCATCTCTATAATGATTTTGTTAAGCTTTAAACAAAGACCTTATAACTATAGCAGAATGAATATTTGGTTGATAATTTCATATTTTTGAATTTTATGGAGTAATATTTTATCATCACTTTATTGGTATAAAAAATTCGAATCATTAATGATGTGGACTTTACTTCAATATTCGGTATGATTTTGCCTGATAATCAAATGCGGCGTCTCGGCCAGGGCATGGCCTCCTGGCCATGCAGCTTCAAACACATATTTAATTATATCAACAAGATTTTGCTAACCCAAAATGGACAGAAATGCAAGTAAAGCAATTCCAGTAGAGTTCGGATCCTACTAGCACAAGTCCTTTTTTAGGAATGGATTTTGCTTTGTGGGAGGAAAGGTTAGAAGTTGGAAAGAGGAAGTCCAGAAATGCCTAGTAGGCTGTTCGAGCAATTCCCCAGAGTAAAACTGGGAGCTATGCCTTAGACTTAAATTTTGACCTCTTTGCCAATAGTGGGCCAGAAATTCAATTTTTGGCAGGTAGACTATGCTAAAATCCCAGAGCCGAAAGGACAGCTATCAAAAATCGAACGCCAGAAGCTGAAGAATCATTTAAGGACAAGCCAGGTGGTATACGAATCTATGGTGGACAAGAAAATTCAGAAGTAAGGACGGAAGCCCGTGTGGGTCAATTAGTAATGGGCGTTATTGAGACCCTTAATAAATCTAATTTGTGCATGATTTTGCTAAATATCAGCTGGAATTCTAGTTCAATGAAAATTTTCCCAAGTTTATTGATTACTGAAAAAAGAATTGATATAGCAATTTTTTTCAGATTTTCTTTAGGCAGTCAAATTTCAGCTATAAAAATTAATAAAATGAGAAAAGAAGTCATAGGAGATACTTTTATCAACGGAAGTTTTCTAAATATTTATTCTAGATCTAGTCGTTCGAATTCTTAAGAAAACATAATATCAGAATAATTTTTATGAAAATTAATTTAGCTTCTATTAATTTCTTAATAGATTAAAAATTGAGAGTGATTTTTAGAAAACAATCACCAGACAAAGTTAAATGACAATTATTATTTCTTCTTCATTTATTTAAGGTAAATAGCTGAAGACCTTAGTAATATGGCAGAATTATATTATCACAATTAATAGGATCCACGGAATTGAAAATTACCTAGCAGGATAGTTATAAATTTCGAATTTGAGCAATATATATAAATCAATCATGAACGTTCCTCTTCTCATTTTTATGTATCAAAGTAATTATATTTTAACCCTTTTGTTAAATCAACAAATTTATTTTTTTAGCAACTTTTACAAGTTGGCGTTCGGGAGAATCAGAATCAGAAATGTTTATCATTATTTTCTTCCGTTTTAATCATTGCTAATTCCAATAATTCTTGACTAAAATGGGAATAACTTTATTCATTTTAAAAAATTATTATGTCTTATCGCACTTTAAACATAAATAGCGATATTTGATTGGTTGAAGTAAAGAAACTACTAGTGTCAACACTAAATCATGATAAGATTATTAATGAAGAAGTATTTCTTATTTCTATGGCTATTTTTTGCAAAATATATTATATTTTTAACGCTATTATGAGTAAAATTATAAAGATTTCATAAAACTTTGCATGAGCTTTGCTGCATTACCTTATTTATCATACTAATTGCTTTATGTTTTAAAAATAAACCTTGCAACTATAACAGAATGAATTTAAAATTATTATAATATTTTTATAAAAGGTTATATAATATAAAACTAATTCAATTTTAAACCTATTTTCCTGGTTATAATTGTTTCTTTAAGTAAAATATTTATAATTTGTGAGAGTTTTGCATAATATCTAAAATGACATTATTGAGTTTCAAGTAAAACCCTTATAGCTATTGCTGAAATGAATTTTTCATTATTATTTCGTTTTAGAATTTATTATCATATCATCTATTATTGACCTTAAGAAAGTGGAATGCTCAACCTACTTATGCAATCTTACAGGAGAGAAGGGAAGAATTTGTTTAAAAGAGTGAAGGTTAGCTGTGAAATTTATAAATTCGAAGCAATTAGCAATGAAATGAATGAAGCCTGGATAGTTGGCGCAGTATTTGACGCTAAGCGAACGAGCTATTGGCTAATTAGTACTAATTAAATACAATTATGGCTCGATTTTAATATTTGATAATATTTTAATATAGATGACTTACAAGCTTGCTGATTATTGAAAAATTGGTTGCCATTTCAAATTTTTCATATTTTAATAATAAAATTTTTAAATTTGATTTTATTATAGATCGAACAATTTCCGTATATTATAAATTTTTATGCCCAAGCCCCCTTTGTCTCAGGCTAGGGACGATGTCTCCTGACGTCTGAAGGGATTGGTTTACCAAATTTTTTGGTGATACCAGCTCTCCAGATGACAAATCTCCGATACATAGTCGACTTCCATCTGGGAGTTGGTTTTACAAACAAATGTTGCTAAGCTAGCTCCCCTTCAGACGTTGGAGATATCGGCATAGCCTGAGACAAAAGAGACTCGGGCTATATAATTAAAATCTATAGAATAATATTTTTTGAAAATTTTTTAGCCCTCAGCTTGATCGAACTAAACTAGGCTGGCAGCTCAACATAGGGCCTAAGTAGAATTAAACATTTCTAATTATTAATATTTATCTCTTATCTTTTAATGTCCTAATAAATGTCAATTATTCTGTACATAATTTGAAATTCTTTCACAAATCTCAGCCTGATTTCAGACATAAAAGCTCTAATTGATCAAAATTTTCAAGATCAAGCTGATTTTAGCCTTGTTTTCTCTCAAAATCTTTCAGGTTCCCATCTTACTGCAGGTAGCCAAAATATCATTTTAGATCTCGGTTTCGACTGATCACTATCAAAATCAATAAAAGAGTTTGCTGAAGAAAACCAAGCCATAATAATTAACATTCATAGGTCTATTGGATCTTTTTCAGAATGAGAATTTTTTACGCATTGCTCATGGAAAGACCAAAGTGAAGCGCTTTTTATTGTTACTACTTATTTAAATTGGCAAAAATTTATAGTGATTTCTGATGAAATTTACAATCAAGATGATGAATTTTTTAATTTATTTTATGATAAAGATTATCAGTGGTATTTTTTTTCGAATTGCAATGATGAGAACTCGGCAGATTTGTTTATTGGAAAAATTATTCAGTCTATTGGTATTAGAAACATTGTGATATTAAATAAAGGTGAAAGTGCAAGATTGCTTTTGAAAAGCTTAGAGCAGCATAATTTCTTAATAAATGGTACTGGAATAATCGTAGGAAGTGAGGGCTCATGAGGGTTATATGGAAATGGAGCTATTTCTTATGCGGAATCAGGATTGGAAAGCGCTAATAGTTACAATAGTTATGAAAGCCTATCAATTATTAAATTTTTAAAGTTAGTATTCAGTTTTCCTCCGGCTTCAAGCTCATTAGAATTACTTGAATTTTTAAACAAAAACACTATTAACCATCATCCAATCTCCAATTTTACGCTTCTCAATATGGAAAATAATAAAACTATAGGAAAGGGGAGCATTTTTGATCGAAATTTAACAATATCAAATCCCCTAAATTTTCCAGGAAATTCTTCAATCATCCCGAATTCTCCAACCACAGATGTAAATATATGAATTGGAGATGGCACAAAGAACCCAAACTCTCCTTCAGACCCTTCCAACTGAGATCTTTTGCTCAGCTGACTGATCTTTTCCTAAAGCCAAGCTCTACCATAGATTCAACGGGCTCCTGGGATAAGATGCTGGAAGGTGGTGTGGCAGAAAGGCGTTTGGTACGAAGACTGGGTAGTGTAGGCCGCATAAGTATAGGCACGATTCAAAGTCAGCAAAGAGGCGGATCAACTGTGCAAAAGGTGGAAGCAAGTTCCCAGCTCATTAGGCTATAAGTTGAGATGACGAAGCTAATTGGGCGTAATCGCATTGTAGATGACGAAGCAAATGATGGATAAATGCGAAGATAAGCCACCTTGGTATTGTTAGTTCGGCAATAACCACCTAAAGCCTAAATTGTGAATTTGGTTCGCAATAAAACAGTCTTGAGAGCTCTAAATTAATTTATTCATTCGCTCCTTCAGATCCTTCATCAACAAGATCAATGCTAGGAGAATATCTAGCTTTAAGCTACTGGAAAAGCTTGCATGCTTTAGATGGTTTTAACATAACAGTAACTCATACAGATTGCGGGGCATTAGCTTATAATGCAACTTTAGGGCTTTCTTGTTTTTCTAACCTTCTTGCTACTCCTGGAGTAGGCTATTTAACTTCACTTTATCCTTTTATTGCTATTGGCTATATTTATACATTGAGATCTTTAAACTGCTCGATACCAAATATTTCTCCATATGCCCCTTCAAATCTTTTGCAGAATCAAACATTGTTTCCTGAGTTTATGACAGTAACCAAAGACGATAGATTCAATATTCAGGTCATCCTAGATCTTGCAGTTGTTTTTGGATGAAAAAGATTTATAGTAGCTTACGATAAAGAAAATATAGAAAGTTACAAATATTTTTTAGCAAAAATCGAGCAGTTTAATATGGAAATCGTAAATAATCCTGACCAAAGAATGATAGAGTCATACTATACCGTAGATAAATACTCAGAATGGGAAAATTGGTTTAAAAGCATAATCAGCTTAAAAGCTAGACTTTTTATTATTTTTTTTGCGCCTCCTTATTGGTTCAATGTAGTTGAAAGTTTTTATGATGCAGGTCTAAGAATAGGGGATTCCATTTTTTTATTTAATGCAAAGGTGGTTTATTCTATGATTTGGGAAAAGAACCCAAAGCAGCTGAATAAGCTTATAGAGATATTATATGGAACAGTTATCATAAACCAAGCTGAGTGAATTGGAGATTTCGGAAAAACAATGAAAAGAGATTATATAATAACTTATGGTAAATCTACTGATTTTCGTTGTTTAGCATTTGATGCTGCAATGCTGCTTTTAAATGGAATTGAATTTACTATAAAGCAAGGCAAAAATGTGATGAATTATGAAATAATGAATAGCAGTTTAAGAAAACAGAAATTCTTAGGATGCTCTGGGACTGTATCAATAGAGCAAGGAAGCAATCAGAGAAGTTTGCCTACAATAGGGATTTATAATATAAAATGAAATAATAGCGCCCAATCATTATATGAGGACTTTGTTGGTAAATATGATGCTAGCAGTGTGCAATTGATTACTTTATATAGCAGCATTATATGATATGACAATACAACAATAATTCCAACTGATTTAATAATATATGAAAATGGCTGCCCGTTTCCTGAAAAATTAATATTTCGGTCTGAAAAAGGAGCTGGAATTTTATATTTGATTTCAGGCTCATTAATAATTATTACAGCAATTGAAGCACTTTTTATATGAAAAATGTTTTGAAAAAATATTAAAATTGAAAAATTAAAAAATGCAGTCCAAGCTCACATTGAAGATTATTTTTTAATGGGAATTCTGGCTGTAGATTCTTTGCAATTTATTTCTCAGGGGCCTGATATTCCTGAATCATTTTTGTGATTATCAAAAGCTTGCAGCTACTCACTGGTTAATTTTGATTCTTCTGTTAATGGAAATTTATATTGGGGTTACTTGTATATTGCTCAGATTATTTCGTGCTATTGAGTTATTACAGCATTTATATTGATTTGCAAGTTATTTAATATTAATTCTGCGATACTGCAATACGCCAGAAGCCTCGCCTTACTTTTGCTACCAATTATAGGACACTTTCTATTTGTCCCTATAATTTCAGTTCTTTTAAGTATTTTTCAATGCGATCAAGGGGTTGATTCAAATATTACTGATTCTTTTATAAGACAAGACTGTAATACGTATTGCTGGGATAATAAATATTTTATATGAGGCAGCTTCTCAATAGCTTCTTTAGTTACCTATATCCCTCTTTCTATTAATTTCAGGTATTTTCATCAAAACATCAATGATTATATAAACATAAAAATGAAGCCAATTTTTATTCTAGAAAAAGCTATTTTCCAGGTAATAATTGTTTCTATGAATAAAACATTAAAAATTTACGATGAGTCTTTGCATGGCCTTTGCTGCATTATCCTCATCTCTATAATGATTTTGTTAAGCTTTAAGCAAAGACCTTATAACTATATCAGAATGAATATTTGGTTGATAATTTCATATTTTGGAATTTTATGGAGTTTTATATTATCATCACTTTATTGGTATACAAAATTCGAAGCATTAATGATGTGGACTTTACTTCAATATTCGGTATGGTTTTGACTGATAATAATTGGAGTTTTAATTCAATTTAAATTTTTCCCAAGCTTATTGCTTACTGAAAAAGCAGCTGATATTTCAATTTTTTTCAGATTTTCAATAGGTAGTAAAATTTCAGCAATAGAAATTAATAAAATGTTAAAAGAAATAAGGGATAAAACTATGTTCAAGAGCAGCTATTTAAATATTGATTCTCAATCAGGTTCGAATTCTAAAGATAATATCATACCAGAATAATATTTATAATAGTTAAAAAATACCATTAATAGTTTGTTTTAACAGTAATAGTTTTTGTTTTATAGGATCGTCACTTCTATCATCTGCTCATTGAACTTACGTGCTAACACTTTTTGATCACTTGCTGAGAACAAACTTTTTTCAAAAAATTTATATATTGCTTTTTCTAAAATTCCACTAATTAAACTTTAAATTAAACTGGTTTGCATAATGTATGTCTTGGAATGCAAGCTTCTTATGCTAGAGATTTTATATTATAATTATCAATATAGGAATTAAACATAAAATATTTTTTATTATTTTTCTCTCTCTATCTCACGATGGAGAGTAATTCAATTAGTGACATAGCGGTATAGTAAAACCTTATAAATAATAAATTTATTTGGAGTTAGTATAATTAAGATGTGCTCTAATTCGTAATTAAATTGAATTTTAATTATGGATTATTTAGAAGGTGCTTGAATTTTTTTATGAGAAATTAAAATTTAATGCCCTAAGTTCAATCCAAAACTTTAATTTTGGTGTCTCTAATTAATAAATTTTTAAAAATAATTAATGAAACTTTTAAAGATTATTCTTTGTGCACTTATTCTTATCGAAAGCCAGATGGTGGTTGATTTTATTTATAGCCCTTTTAGTGATTCAGAATTTGCTTCAAATCTGACTTTTTTCGTGAAGAAAAACTTTCAAGACCACCAATTTATTTTCAATTTGATTTATATTGCCACCATCGAAGATATACAAAAAATCTCATATAGCCCTGATATAATTTTTGACGTTACCTTTAGCCTCTCATTATCAGAATCCATAAAAAATCTGGCAGAGGAAAAGCATGTCATAATTGCCTCAATTAATAAACCGCTTGATTTTTTTTCTGACTGAGAATTTTTTGTCCATAATTCCTGGGAAAATCGAGTTGAAGCCTTGCATGGCATTATTTCTTATTTAAATTGGCAAACTTTTATAGTGATTTCTGGCGAGATTTACAATGAAGATGATGAGTTTTTTAATTATTTTTATGATAAAGATTGCCAATGGTTTTCTTTCTCAAATAGCAATGATAAAATATCAGCTGATTTATTCGTAGGGAGAGAAATACAATCGACTGGGATTAAAAATATTGTGATCCTAAACCATGGAGAAAGCACAAAATTGCTTTTGGAAAGTTTAGAAGAGCATGATTTGCTTACTAATGGGACTGGGATCATTATAGGATGTGAAGGCTCCTGAAATTTATATGGGAATGGGATTATTTCTTATGTAGAGTCTGGATTAGAAAGCGCTGACTGTTATTATTGCTACAAAGGGTTAGCTTTTATTAAATTTTTAAATTTAATATTAAGCTTTCCTTCAACATCTGATCCTTTTGCACTCCTTGAGCATTTAAATAAAAATACAGTTAGGCATCACCCAGTGTCTAATTTCACTTTAATAAATACAAAAAATAGGCAAAAAAGTATTACAGGAACAATTTTAAATGGAAATTTAGAAATATTAAATCCTCTGGTTTATCCAGGGAATTCTTTAATAGCGCCGAATTCTCCTACTACAGATGTCAATATATGAATCGCAGATGGAACAATAAATCCAGGAGCTGAACCTGAATTATTGGCAACAACTGTGACATATGGAGAATTTTATGCCTTAAGCATCTGAAAAAGCATGCATGCCTTAGATGGCTTTGAAATCACAGTCACTGATACAGATTGCGGAGTAACCACATATAACGCAGATTATGCGTATTCATGCTTTTATAAACTACTCCCAACTCCTGGCGTCGGCTTTTTAACATCACTTTACCCATGAATCACCATGGGATACATTTATACTTTAAGAGCTTTAAATTATTCAATACCTCACATTTCTCCTTACGCTCCTTCAATCATTACAGAAAACAATACAGCTTTTCCAGAATTCATGACAGTCATAAAAGATGAGACTTTTAACACCCAAGTCATTTTAAATCTTGCAGTAATTTTTGGATGAAAAAATTTTGTTGTTATCTATGATGAGACAAATATAGCCATGTATAATTATTTTGTTGCAAAATTAAAAGAATTTAATATGAATATCGTTAATCCGCCTGAATTGCGAAAAATTGATACTTATTATACGAGTGTTAACGGCAGAAAAGTTAGCCTCCATCCCCCTATTATCCCCTATATTCCCTATCCCCCCATACTTTCCGTTCCTCCCTGTGCACCATTAATCTTTATACACCCAGTACCCCCCAAATCTTCCCTTTCATTATTAAAAATATATAATGTAAATAAGGTCAAAATCAATATGGATAGGAGCTCATGCTTTTTAAAAGTTAACAGATTTTCTCCTCAAATATTATTCCCTTTCTGGTATTAAAAATTGTCACTGCTTTCATCTTCTTCATGATCTTTGTGCTCATATGGCTCACTCTGAATCCTTCTTCCTTTTTAGTTTTTATGCTTATCCACTTCTGTGGCATTACCATTTTAATTTGACTTCGGCCATGCCAAATCCTCCTTTTCATCTCAAATTTATATGTATCATCTAATTTACTTGCTTCATAGTTTTAAAATTTAGAATCTTTATTTGAATTAATATTATTTTTTCTTATCATTATCCATGACAATTAAAAGTTTAATGTCTTTATTCCTATTGAGTAGTTTACTTTGTGCAAAGAAAAGCAGTCTCTGACCCAACTGGTACTGATCAAAATTGGGCGTCTCCTTAATGATGGATACCTAGAAAGCTACCCTTCTAGCTCTCCTTTAATCATAATTGGCGGCACACTTATAGAAACTCTGCATCTCAAGACCTCTAGTTTAGCGCTGCGTATATAGGCTTTTTAAAATGCCATAGCTAAGGTGATTCTCTGGGCGAAATCAAAACTCACAACAATAGTTAGCTAAAGGATCTTTTCTATTTTCCTGAATAGATAAATTGATGATGTCATATTCGATAGCTAGACTTCTTTATTATTTAAATGTAATATATTATTGAATGCCTCAGTGAACTAGAGCTTGCAATCAATTCTTAAGAATATTGCACTAGCTATCACCCAGTTTAGAGTCAAAAATGCTAGAGAGCAAAATATAAAATGCATTACTTCATTTAAAAGGAACTCTTTCTTATGATTAATTAAAATAAGCTCTTCCAACTCAAGAACCAATTTACGGATACAATACAAGCTGTATACTTCCTGATTATACTTATTTCTATTGGGGTAAGCAGAACACTAGTTCAGGCTCAGTTTTTACTATTGACAAAAATAAAAATGTTCAATATCTCCAAAATTCAAAAGTAAATTCTTTAGCTGATCCTATCTTTTATAACAATTTTATCTATTTAATAGGAGGAAGTAACAACTTGGCTGAAAGGTATGATTTTAAACAAAACGTGTGGGAAAGCATGGCTCCACTACCTCAAGGTTTGAATTTTAGTTATGGTTGCAATGCTTTATATAGATATTTGATTCTTATAACAGGCTATTGTATCCAAAAACTGATATACAAAATTATAATGAATTGAAAGTTTAATACTTAACCGTCATACTACTATTCATTATATAAATAAAAAAGATAACAGTGTAAAAGCCTTTATTCAATATAAAAGGGTATAATTTATAGCATAACTCAAAACAACTACCGAGAAGTCCCCAATTTGGTGCTAAATGCGAATTATTTTAAATTTATGCTGAGGGGGAATAAAAGAGTTTATTTATTTGGGAAAGGGGAAGGACTTTTGAAAGTGCTGAAAACAATATTTTTAGTTGGACTCAAATAGGGAATAATAGCATTAGAGCAGATTATAATCAATCAAGTGCTGTTCGCTACAGCTTAGGAACTCTTTTAGCATGCCCTTAAGCTTTTGTTTCTTACTCCCCCCGTAAAACAAAAAAATCCTGTTCGCTCACGGAGGGGGTTAGTTTTTTTTTTTAAAATTTTATATATAAATTTTCAAGAAAAACAATTTTTTTCTAAATTTAAAAAAATCCCACTTCTCAAAATTGGAAAAAAAATATTAATTTAATTTGTAAAATGTATGTTTTCAAAACGCAATTTGTTTTAATTAAACAGAATTAGCTCGAGATTTCATGATACTAGTTATCACTTATATATCAAATTTTTTTCTCATAAAAAATTTATGTTCGCTCACGGATGGTGAGTTTTTAGGCAAAAAATAGGGATTTTCTAATGGTTTTGTTCGCTCACGGAGGAGGGAGTTAGCGAGTTTGAGTTGACTGACCAATTGAAGATTGCAAATCAAAACCTGCAAGTTGCTGGATATGCGCATGCATAAGGGTTGCCTTTACTTCATTATCTATGAAAATCAGCTGTGGAAATTCGATCTTACTTCTAAGCACGCATCTCAAGTAGCAACACTCTAAAATAAGAATTTAGAACTTAATGATCTCTATATCCTTAAACAAAATAGTAGTGCAATTAATCTATTCTCACTATAGGTTTAGAATTTAGCTAACTTACTCTCGCATAATAAGCATAATACAAGTAAATTTGTGGAATCATCAATAAGTCTGCTCAAACATATCCTGAGCTTGAAGACTAATGCTTGGCAAGGAAGGGTCCATGAAGTCTATCAGGATTAGCTAGGCTTTAACACCATAAAATTTATGTCAAAGTTTGAAGTATGACAAAGTTTCCGCTTTTATCATTACACTTCATAGATAGAGCCAAGAATTTCAATAAGATTAAGTAGTTTAATGCTTAGCATAGTGGCTAGTCCAATTTATAGTGGAAAAGCTCAAATAAAACGGGGCTTTTTTTGCTTGTCACAAGAATCACTCCAGTCGTGATTGAAGTGCATTAGCTGCCACAGTATTCAATAAGCTAATTCTTTCATTTTTACTCTAATTATTAGACAATTTTTCTGCTCAGGCTGATATTTGCATATTTATAGCCGAAATTTAATTTTTGTAAAGCTAATTCACTGCCTTGTGCTTTTTAATTACTTACTATTCATTTGAGATTTACTCATGTTTCTAAATTTCGATTTAGAGTATGTTAGTGTGCACCTACTATCTATGCACCATGCACTTTATCTTTAAATTTGCAATGAATTTACATCAGATAGAGCGCATTGTGCATCATATAGCTTGGCGCAAAAAATAAATTAAAATTCGAAAATACCAATTCAATTATAAATTTTTAAAGATTTTTTAAAGCAAAATAACCTCCCTTAAATTCTGACATGAATTTTATTTTAATTTAAAGTAGGAAGTGATTAATAGCCAATGCATTTTCTCAATTGAAAATTCTTATTTTAATAAAGGTTCAAAGCTATGCACATGCTATGATGGAGCATATCTAAATTGACCTTCATGTGTCATGCGCCAATTTTAGATTTTGTAGAAGTGTTACAAATTATGAAACTTGTGTCAACTTAAGTCTGAATTATCCAATGGACTTTGCACTTTCCCAGACAATTCTGCATTTGCTTTTTCGAATATTCATGCGAAACAAAGGATTTTTTTAAATATATTCTAAAAATATTAGCCTTAATTAGTACTGGAATATTATTTATTCTATAAGCCCATATATATTCAATTTAGCTATTTTTTTATACGAAATTTTGATGGGGGTTATAATTTATGCCCAAAAAATTTACAAAGCTGCTCAATTTTACGTTGGAGACTCTAATATGAAAAGAATTATTCAACTACAAATTTTACTTCTCTCCAGATTCATTTTATGAATCTTCATCTTTTAGCCCAAAATTATTAGCTTCTCCAACCCTGACCGAAGAATCAAAATCTCCTTCTCCTCTTAATACATTACCTCACAGATTTCCTAAGCTAAGGCTAAAAGAGTCCAACACCAGCAATGGCTCAAAGAAAAGAATTGAAAACTCAATAGAAATCAAAGAACCCTGCAAACAAAATGTGATACAAGACCAAAAGATTAAAAAAATCAGCAAGATGGTAGAAACTTCTGACGAAGACCAAGAAAATCATGAAAATGATCCCCCTTTATCTGAAGTATCAGAAAATCTATCACCTTTGCAAGAATACGCAAAGTATTATAGAGAAAGACTTAAATCCCTGCCAAAAAAGAGAAAGCGTGAGGCTACACCTCCATCACCAAAGATAATTGGAAAGCAAAGAGAAGTTTTCAAAGCATTTGGAAACAAAATAAACGTATACAAGCAAACAAAATTTGTTGAAGAATGCGAAACCTCTAATTTTGTGCTAGGAGAAATTAATTTGCATACTGGAAAAAAAGATTTAAATGAGAGGAAAAATGACCTAATTGTAATTGAAAAGCCTAAAATACCTCACAATTTAATAAAAGTTCATAAGTTTCAGATAAAGGCAGATTTAGATAGTTTTGAAAGAATTTTGCAGAGAGCTGAAAATAGAAAAGCTGACCAAAGTTGCGGAGTCGAAGAGAATCCTGAGAGTAATGATAATAATAGTTAATTTAAAATGTAATAATTCAGTCATGATGATAAATCAATATTAAAATAAATATAACTTGAAGAAGTGATAAGCTTTGTGCTTGACCATCTTTATCATTCATAATAATTGCATGAGGTTTTTTTATTCTTCAATTTCATCAATTTTATATCTATAGCTTCTAGCTATTCTATCCATTAGAAAGAAGATCTATTATTTATTTACATACATTTTTCCATTAATTCATAAATATTATAATAAAAACTCATATTTTCAATCAATTTAAAAATTAATACCCTGCAGCCTGCATATTGAGTATTTATCTGACATGTAAATTTCGACTTCTCATTTATTAATTTTCCTATTCAAAATCTTATAATAATGAAGCATGATAAATAAAATCTAATAAAGCCCCTTTATTAATTATTTTAAAATATTTAGCACTTTATTTTCAATATTTTTAATCTTGTTCATAATTCTATCATAGGTTTATTGAAATCTTCTATAATCATTGTTTATTAATAAATTGTGGCATGTCTTTTATATTTTCCCCCCTTATTTAGTGATGATAGGGCTAGATAAGTCGTTTCCTAGAGCATAAAATACTGTATTCCCCATATAGAGTTGAATAAAAACAACTGCCCCAATTTAAATGAATAAATCTTGTTTTCAAAATAATTAATATGAATTTGTTTTAGAATTTGTTTAAACTAATAGATTTAAAGCGTCGATTTGTTGTAATATTATTCTAACACCCTTTGAACGAAAATTACAGCTAAATTTTCGATTTTGATCAAAATTACCTCACTAGAATTTTGTTTTAAACTATTAAAATTAAAAATTACATTTTAGCTTAAAGGGAAGGATTTAGGTTTTATTAAAGTTAAATTTCAACTCTCTACTAATTAAAATGACTTACTCCCCTCCTGGATCAAAAGCATTAAAACACAATATTTTTTTGGTTTAAAAAACCACCCTCGATGAGCAAACAAAAGATGATTTTAATATACATTTTTTTCTGAAAAAAAATATATATATAAATGATAATTATTATAATGAAATACTTACTTACTTACTTAGGTGCCTAGTTTTTAAGGTGTCTGGTGCCCATACCCCTTAATTAAAAAGGGTCAAAGCGACCCACTAGTGACTTCACCAAGCCATCTTGGAATATGTGGTCAGCCCACACCCAAGCCTTCTATGAGGCTAGTCGCCAGCCGAATCGCCGCACATCTCACCATTATAATGAAATACACTTTTTTCAAATTTAGGATTCTTTAATTTAAATGAAATAAATTAATATCTCCTTAAACGATCAAATTTTTTATTCTCAAGGGAGGGGATACATTAAAATGGCGGCAAGTGTCAGCCTGCCCTCTTGGTGCAACGGGAAAGACCTTATGGCCACTGAGAACTGGGACGGACTCCGGTTGAAAATTAAGCCCAGCTTCACACAATGTGTATCAGGGTAAGCTTTTACTGCCTTATTGTGGTTGGAAAAGAGGCGTCCAACAACGTCATTTGGATCAAAAACCCATAGGCATTCCTCTAACGAGGAATTGGGAGTTTCGGTTGAGGCCGCAATAGAGCAGAATTTTCTTGTAGATGCTTGGAGCCAAGCTACTCCAATCGCCTGCCACAGAAATCCATAAGCTGCCGCTCAAGACTGAAGCCGCATTTCAAGGAGGAGATAGAAGATTCTGGAAGTAGCACCCTTTTTTTGGGATAGACCACTAGGCTGGGATTGAAAAGCGGTAGAACCTTCGTATGGGAGGTCTTTTTGGCTGCGTTACAAATATGGCTAACGCCTGACTTTAAATAACCTAGCCTAGCCTAATCTCTAAAGGAGGGAGTTAATAATAAATAAATTTTTTTTTCATTCAATAATTTCAAAAGAGTTTATATTGATTAAATCAATTCAATTTCAAAGCCAAAATCACAATCTTGGAAATCTTATTTTTTGTCCTTGGAATTGAGATTTGCGACTATCAGTTTTTGACCATCTGCTTGATGAGAATCAAACTTTCCAGGTGATCTTTCACCAAACCTCAATTTTTCTGGGTAATATCTTGCATACTTTCTATAATATCTGAAAAACAGTTCTTTGAATACTAGCTTTCCATCCAAAAAGGGAATAATTATGCTTTATTATAGAATAAAAACTAATCATGAAATTTTATTGGTAAAAATTTTAAAAATAAAGAGAAAAATACCGCATAGAATTTACCGATTCAAGATGATTATTTTTTTAAATAGTAATCTATTAGCGAATAATAGAGATAAATATTAGATACCAAATAAATTTGGCTTCCCTAGAGGAACTGAAAATAAAATTGAAATTTAAATATCGTTAAATAGTCAATAGTTTCTTTATGATTCAAAACACTGCTTTTCGGCTATAGCGTATTGTATAAGACTTCGTGGTCTATGTACTATTTCTGCTAGCTTTGTAGCTCTCCTTTCTTTTGCAACTTTTCTTTTAGATTTTTTCTGCTTTTCTTCATCTTTTATAACACAATTAAAATGGTGAGCCATCCGACCCGTCCTTCTCCTGTACCCTCAGGGACTACGGGATTAAGAAGTAAACGGGGCCTGGATATTGTGTCCAGGGTGGGTTTTTTTACCTTGGTCGGGACACCACGACAAGTTTTTTTACCTCTCACAAAGACAAGAAGACCAGAGCCGCAGAATCAGGAGTCAAACTTCAGGACTAGAAGGAAAGTGAGGAAGCTTGTAGTGGAGCTTAGGGGACCTGAAGGAGATTCCGGGAGGCTACTTTTCACCCTCCCCAGAAAGGACGGCGCCGGGTCACTAGACCCTGATCAAGGAGTACCTGGGTGAGTCTCCCTGTTAGATGGCGACGTCACCATTTTTTGGTGACGTCGACAGAAAATGGAGTGAGCTACAGAGCCGGTGCATAGGGCGCAAGCCTGAAGCTGGCAGCGCTGGGTAGAGGCTGAAATAAACCTCCATGACCCGCTAAACTAATTAATCTAAAAATAATCATCTTTTATATTGTGAATTCAATTAATAAGGTTTTCATTGATATTTAAACCTGTAATTTTGTACCAATTTCTTTTATTATTTATCGCAGCCTTTATAAGAGACTTAATTTCTGATTTATAGTTAAATAATTGAAACTTTGGCTTTTGAGGTTTTATGTCCCTGAAATTAATTTTATGACCTGTAAGAGCTCTCTCAATTTGCATTGAATGTTTTTCTATAATTAAAATCTCTTCTTTTTCCTTCATATACTGATAATAATATACAGTCTTAGTTGCATGCTCTTTCAGTATTTTTGTTAAAAATGGTTTTAGATAGTATGTCTTAATGAGTTCTGGAATTTTAACTTTGACAGCAGGAGACATCTCCCCTATTGATTTTTTAGTTATTTTTTCTAGTTTTGATCATTGAAGATTGAGAGCTTGCAATCTCGCGGAGTATATTTGGCTTAAAGACCTTATTTTCCTTTGTATATAGATAATCTTGGACTTTCAACTTTTCATCATCGCATACATTGTTGTGCAGCCATTAAAATAATAAAACGAGAATTATGCAGCATTCTTGAGTGAAATTTCTCCAAGCCTTATATTTTCGTGTCTTCAGATGAGGTCTACACGACTATTTTTTTGATTTTTTTGGTTTTAGTTTTTTAAATATTTTACCATGATTTAAATAATAATTATTTCAATATAAATATTAGGAAAGATACCAATTTGCAAAAATTCTCCAAAAAAATAATCCAAAAATAGACAAAGAAACACGTCAAACAAAATAGGCCAAAAAAAATAAACCAAAAAAATAGGCAAAACAAAAGGATATTTTAGATAAAAATAAATAATTAGCTGTGCAGCACATATATCAATCTATTCACCCAATCAAGGCTTTATTAAATTTTTTCTTTCGTTTTTCTTTTCATTTTCTCACCAATAGAATCATTATATTTGATATTTTTAATAATGCTCTTTGAGATCGAAATTTTCTTAATTTTATTCTAAACTTTCCTATTGCAATTGACATTGACTTAAGCAGCTCGATCAAATAAAGCACTTTAAGTTTCAAATATGTATGCTTTTGATATATTCTATTTCATAATCCTAAATTTCCAAAAACAGCCAGCAATGTTATTCAGCTTCGTTTACTCTTCTCTTTTAGTAATCGAAAAAAAATTTGTTCACTTATGGAGAGTTGCTTTTCAAAAAAATTATATATTATTTGTTTTTCTGGGGATAGGGATCCAAAGCATTAAAAAAACTTTTTTGAAATGCAAACTAAACAGAACTATCACTTACATATCAGAATATTTTTTATAAAACTTTTATGTTAATAAAGTTTTTTGTTTGCTCACGAGTGGGTTTTTGCCAAAAAATAGGGATTTTTCCAATCGTTTAGTTCGCTAACGGATGGGGGAGTTAATTTTTTCATAATCCCTCCTATTTTGTCTCAGCTCAAATCTGGTAAACTTTTCTTTCAGTTTATTTTCTTGCGTTTCATGTTTTGCAAGAGCAATTAATTCCTTTGTTCTTTTATGGAGCTGACTTTCAATTAATCTTTTCTGAGCTTTTTCTTTTAGCTGCTCTTTTTTTGCTACCGGGACATGCATTGACAGATCTCGAGAAGTTTTTATCCTCCTTTCAGCTTCCTTTTTTCTTTCCTCAGTGACATAGTTTACTTTTAAAATACTCAATTGGTGATCTTGTTTTGGGGATTCAAATCTTGGAGAGGACTCAAATATAAATCAAGGACCAGGAGTTGGAGTGACTGATCTGTAAAATCCTGGGCCTAAATCTTGCGTATTTTTATGCTTAATACTGTCTAAGACTGCTTTTGATAGTTGATTTGGTGCCTGACTTGAGCTTTTATTTACTTGTTTCGATATTGTTTTGCTTGCTGATTTTGAGATCTTTAGGTTGGAATTTTTAGACGAAGGGGAAAATGAATTAGCGCGCTTTAAATCTTTTGAATTTGAAAATCCTGAAGTATTTTCTAATTTTCCTTTATTCTCTCTCTAGTTAATAACAAACTATTTATATTGCTCGTTATTCTAGGTGATATAACTAATAATATTTATCAATTATAAAATACTTATAATTTTTAAACATAAAAATCCCAAAATAATAAAAATATATTATATTGTGCATTGCGAATATTCGAACACTAGCAAACTTGTCTTATTGATCAAAACTAGCCTACTATTCAACTGCTAAATAGCAGACTGGTTTTGACTAGTAGATGAGTTTGCTGGTATTCAAATATTTTACAACGCATAATTCAATAATTAGTATTAATGGTAAATTTTTCTCGATACCTTTCAAATTTATGGTTCCAAACGTTTAAAACATTATATAGGATTTACCCTGATTAGCGTTAAATTTAAAAGAATTTAAATTCAAGAAATGAAGAAAGCAGAGCAATGCATATATTATTTAGAAACTCTCAAATCAAAGGAATTATAAGATTATGCAATTGTAGTTAAATCAATTTTTAATATTTTAGAGATTGTAAAAAATTATAGTAAATTATTTTAATTATGAAATCATGCTTCGCTCTCCCTCATTGTTAACGACAAAAACCATTGGGCACCTATTTTGAGGAAAATTAGACACAAAAACGTTGCTAATATAATATTTTTGTATAATGTAATTAATAATTTTTATAATATAATTTCTAGCTAATTCTACTGAATTTCGAGAAGCTTGCATTTTATTTTAATCATTTAAAAATATTTATATATAAATAAATAAAAATTTTTTAAAAAAATAATAGAGCTAATAAACTTGCTCACTCTTAAAGTGGGAAAGTAATTAAAATTTTTTAAGGAAAAAAGAATGAATTTTTTGTTTATTGAATTGAGGAGTTAGAAACTTTAGAGATCAGCTTTTCTTTCTTTGTATTTTTGTAATCTTCTAAAAGAGGAAGCTTTGGGGATAAATAAGTTCTGTCTGTGAGACTCATAAAGCAAATTAAAATATATAGCTTTTTAAATCTCAAGAGTCATGAAGCTTATTTCTGAAGTTAATAGCAAAAATTTAATTATGGCATAGCACTGTATTTCTTGAGTTGCGAAAATTGAGCATTATTGATATTTAAATAATTGAATTTACTAATTATTTATTTAATCTCAACTAAAATAATATTAGCTCCTTCATGTGTAGACGGTATAATGATTTATATCTAGGAATGACATTTTTCAACTTAAAATTATTAAACTAGATCATCGCTTGTGTTCTCTCCTTCTCAATAATAAAAAAATTTTATTTGCCCAAGATATTTTTTGATTGATTAGATAAGTTATAGTGGGTCTCGGGGAATTATTTCAGCCCGTATCCATCTTACTGCAAGCTTCGGGCTCACCTGATGTCAAATCACTTCCTTCCTTGCCGACGTCAAAAAACTGGTGATATCGGCAATTTCTTTGAGGCACTCACCTGAAAACGCTTGAATCAACTCTGCGATAGAGGATTCTTTTAGCCTTTTAGTGCTCAGGACATGAGGAAATCGTCATATTTCTAGACAACACTGGCTTCATAGGCATAAAGCCTTGCAGAAGACTTTGGGCCTTAGGCTTTTCATTTGTGGGACAAAAAAAAAAACCCTGTTATGGGGTCCCAACAAGGCGAAAACTCTCCCCAGACCTCCTAAAGAATTTTATCCACCTGCTGAGGGCCGATTCAACTCTCCGTCACTCCAGAACTTAAGTTCAACTCACCATTCCTTAAAAAGTGCAAGAATAAGTCATAATAAATTTTAAAAAATACGAGCTCAATTATTTTAAATTTAACAGAGCTAAAAAGTGAGGCATTTTTCTTAATCAAAGTTAATAAAATTAGAAATCATTATTAAAAAAGCTAATTTATTTTAAATACAATTTTAAAAGTTATTATCATTGGCTATTTTTAAATGCTTTAATTTCCAAATTTCTATCTTTTTAAACTCCTTGTATTTAATCAATACCATAATAATAAATCTTTAAGCTAACCATTTTGATTTTTAGGCATAGAAACATTTGTTGCTTATGAATTTAAATTAGAGTTTCAAGCAAGCTCTTGAGCACACAATCAGGCTAATAAAATATAAAAAATAAGAATTTTAATCTTTAAATCCTGCCAAATCAAAAGCAGAGTTTCATTATCATTTTCTTCAAGAGAAAATAAGTCTCCATGTATTACCAAATGAAATTATTTTCAGATTTTTCTTATTTCTTTTGCTAGATCTCATTTTTAGTACTATTTCCTGCGATTAAGAAATTCTTATAAATCTTTCAATTTCCTTTAAATAATACCCCTCTATAAAAGGAATGGAATTTAAATCTATTGGAAAAATGTTAATTTTTATAATATATATACAAATAGCTCTTATAACCAATTTAATGTCGCAAACATCAAAATTTACCTATAATTTGATATTTTTAAATAGAGGAGTGCACTAGATACTACTAAAACATAGTTAGCACTTTGAATCAATATATTTTATAATATTATATAAATATATGAAAATGCCACTAAAGCTAGGAATTTTCTAATAATATTTTGCCAGCTCACAGGGGACAATTAAAACTTTAGAGTCCAGTTTTTTGGTTTTTATATGAGGAAGTTTTGGTTTAAATAAACTCTTCCTGCAACGCTCATAAACCAAATTAAAACAATACTTTTTTGTTTCCCAGACATTAAGAGTTTATTCGCAAATCTTAGATTCTTTCTAATATTTAGATATCGCAATTATTCATGATTTATTTAATGTCAGTGCAAATAATTTTTGTTCCTTCGGATGCAGTATAAAGATGATTTAATTCTAGAAATGGCGATGCTGCACCTTACAGTCTTTAAACTAGATCATCGAGTCTTCTGACCCTCTCCTAGAGAATTAAAAATATTTTAGATAATTTTTTTAGTTTTGAAATTTTCAATTTGATATAAAAATGAAGGAAGTCAGCCTTTAGAAATCTAATTTGAGTTTTTTATTTCTCAATCTGCCTTAGATCTAGCGATAGTAGCTTGAGGTTTAATTATCAAAGTATTATTTTAAATAAATTTCATAATAAAAAATCCCGTAATTATTATTTGGGTAAATTAATTAAAACAAAATTGTATGCTTTATATTTAAAAATAATAATTTACATGCAAATAGTTTTGATATCCAATTTAATTATGCTAAATCGATAATTTATTTTTTTTAAAGTGTGGACTGAATTAAAATAATATACTAAAATTTATTAGCACTTTGAATTGCTAAATTTATATATAGTATTTTTCAAAAAATTTTGTATTATTTTCTCATTTGTAAAAAAAATTAATGCCCTTTAATTTATTTCATTCTAACTAACAAAAAAATTTTGTCCACTCACGGAGGGGGTTAAATTTTTTTTTTTCTTCAAAATCTAAAAAAATCCTAATTCGCAAAAATTGGAAAGCAAATTTTAAATTTAATCTATAAAATTTATGTTTTAAAAAGCAATTCGTAAAAATTACACAGAATTAACTCTAGATTTCATTATACTAATTATCACTTATATATCAAAAATTTTTTCCATAAAACATTTTTTCTATTAAAAATATTTTTGTTCACTCACGGAGGGTGGGTTTTTGGGCAAAAATAGCGATTTTTCAAATGGTTTTGTTCACTCACGGAGGGGGGGGAGTAAGGAAGTGAGCTATTTTTTGGATTCTCCATTTATTTTTAATTGCATGTATGATTGGGATTCTCTGCTCCCAAAATTGAGTGAAATCTGAATCATCCTTAACACCATTCGAAGGGAGCTTAAGTAAAGTAACAAATGGATACGATAAAATTGACGAAGATTCTTATACATCTTTATCAGACAGCTACTGTACCAAATCTCACAACTCTTCTGATAGCTTTTGCAAAACATTTGAAGATCTTTCAGCTGCATATACAGTTTATTTGGTTTTTGAAGTAATTGGGATGATATGCATTCTTATATGAGCAATTATTCTTGGGTGTTTTATTTTTAATATAAATTGTTTTCCTTGTACATTTTGCTGCTCAACTTGTGCATTAGCAAGCCATTATATCGCTTTATTTGGTTGAATAGTAATTTCAAAAGCAAATTTTGAAGGAGACTGCACGGATTCGATGAATGAACAGCCAAATAGCAAGAGGCCACACTTATGTGTGAGTGAGGGGCCTAAACTTAGCTTATTTCTGGCAATTTTTATTCCAATTGTGGTTATTTCATTTGTTGTAATTGGTGCAACGGCTTTATATAAAAAATCTAACCAAGGATTAGAAGAGTCAGAGAAACCCCCAGCGGTTGATTTATCGGATATTAGTTTCAAAATAAATAATGACCCAGATCAGTACGATAATGCTATTTAAAATTCAAAATTTTACATTTTTCCATTAAGACAACTTAATTCATTAAATGAAAACTATCCAAAATAATGGAAACTATAATTAGGAATAGCTTAAGAAGAAGATTTTTAAGCAGATACATAAATTAATTAATAAATAAGGTATAATTAAATTAATAATGAATGAGATAAAATTCTTGTCAAAATCAATGATTTGATTGCATGCTAATTTCTGCTTCGATTTATCTCCTACTAGTGATCCTCAAAATCTTGGCAATGTCCATTTCAAAATGATATATGCAAGGCAAGAAAAACTACAAATTAAAATGTATTTTTTGAAGTAAATCATCAGAGGCTTCTCACAGAACGCCATTATTAAGAAATTGCACAAAGATTGGACACACTAATAAAGAAAGTTAAAATTCCAGAAGACTTTAGACTTTCTAGAGGAAGTCCGATAAGATATTGGTGGAGCAATGAGAATCTATTAAAAAGGCCATACTTTTAAGGTAAATTTAATTATAGTTATAGTTTTTAATAAAGAAAGAAACAGCAATGAAATATGTGAGACTTTCCAAAGTATTATAGAGGGGAAACTGACTATTTGTTTGTAGGCATTGCATTATTGGCTTCGCTTTGGTGCGAATGGCTTTAAACGCTATAGATACTTTCTGAAAAGATAGCAGACTTTTTTATTTCAGAATCTCTCTAAATTTTTCATTTAAAAGTTTTTTATAATTGATGGGATCAGCGAGTTGCATAACTTCTGTAATTTGGCAAGCAAAATGTTGTTATTTTAAAATCTGGCATGAACATGAAATTACGCTTCCATATCAGAAAAATATGGAAATCAAATTTTAAACGCTATGTAGCTAATATATCAGGTACTCTGTTTCTCAACTCTAGAATTTAAAGCATATTAGAAAAATTAATTACGATTAGCAAGTGTGCGAGTATTTTTGTATTCAATTTTAAATTTGATATATCATGCTTTATATAAAAAACTAATCTATTTAAACAGATTAATTCTGCTAAAGCCCATTAATTTAGTGCATTTAATGCTAGATTATGCAGTATGATGCATAATTATGATTGATTTGATTTATTTGTGTCTGTCCATTTTAGATCTGAATTTAATTGATTCGTGATTAAAATGAAACGAAATCCAGCGTTTTTCTCAACATTATTTATTACCATAAAAAATTTGCTTGCAAAAATTCTGTATTACTAGGATATAAAATAAAAGTATTGAATTTATCATCAAACATGCTAAAAGTTGCATTAGAAAAGTAGAGGAAATATATTGCATTATTTATTATATTTTTATTATTAAAATTCAGCATCTTGTTTTTGGAGATGGATTCATGTTTAATCGGCCATTTATAGATTTTCATTAAATATTTATTGCTTATCTTTATTATAGGAAAGATTATATTGGATTGAGATTAAGCTTATATGTTTAAGTCAGAATTTCAAGTAAGTTGTTGAAAACGAAATCAGGCCGATAAGAATATTGCAAATAAGACTCTGAATCTTCAACTCCAGTCAAAACAAGAGCAGAGCTTACATTGCAAATTTTTGTCAAAAGAATGTCATTCTTCATTGTGTCTCCAAATACAATTATTTTTGAAATATCTAAGTTATCTCTCTCAATTACATTTTTTAATACTATAGGATTCGGCTTTCCTGCGTTTATAAAATTTTTAGCTCCTGATGAAGCCAATAGTGCATCGACTGTACAAGCTGAGCATGGAAGCATAAATCTTCCTAATCTTCAATTGCAATCATAATTTGAAGTAGCAATTTGTGCACCTAATTGAACGCATCTAGATGCATAAGCAATATCGTGATAATTTAAGTCACCTGTATCAGAGACAGCAACAATCTTGATTTCATTATCAACCGAAATATGAGAATAATCAACATTAGATGCATATAGAGAATTTGCTGGTATCACTTGAAAACCAAGTTCAGAAAGTTCTTCATCAACCCCTTTTGGGCCAAGAGTGAGCACTTTTGAGTTTGCCTGACAATTAGTCTTCACCCATAGGGCTAAATTAAAAGCTCCAACTATGAGGTTTTCAAGCTTTGGAAAGATTCCTATACTTTCGAATATCTCTTTAAATTTAGTCCGAGAAAGCTCGCAATTGTTGGAAATAAAATAAACTTCTTTTCCCATTCTTTGAAGCCTGCTAATAAGCTCGACAGATCCTGGCAACTCCTTGAAATTTTCGAAAACTACTCCATCAATGTCAAAGAAGAAATAATCAAACCTATGCAGTTCAGTCAAAATCATAATATATTAGGAATGAGAATCTATAATTATTAATTAAAAAGGGATTTAAGAAAGTGTGCAAGCAATGATAAATTAAAGGAAGATGCTGGATTAAAATTAAATGCCGTGATGAAAAGATGAACGTTAATGATCTAATAAAAATAAAAACTATACCAAAATATCAAGATGCAAGATAAAGCGCCTAAAAAGAAGGCAATAAGAGCAGTACATAAGTGGAGAGATCTAATTATTATGGCCTACCCTGAGATAATAATCTAAAACAATAATTTAATCTTCTCTCTTAATATTTAAGCTTGATTGATTGGCTGAAGATTTCAAATTATCAAGTCTAAAAATATTTTATATAAAAATTTTTCACTTCACAGTAAAAGGAGTGAATCATCTATAATGAGATATTATTCCGTAAATAACAGTTAAATTTATAATGATTCTTAAATCAGATTTAAAATTGATTATTTGATTTAAGTAAGTGTTTCAATTAAACTATTGTATGCATAATCAGGTCTTAAGAATATTTCAGAAAAATATATCGGACTCTAACGGAGTATAAGTGATAATTACGATCTTTAAATGTAAGCCTAACCTTTATATCCTTAGTGTAAAGCTTCTATTATAATAAGAATGGTAAAGGCCAGCTTTCCTAGACCAAAGCTTAGTAATTTAATTCCCATTTTTACGCAACCTTAAAATTCTAAACTACGAACCTTAAATAATTTAATACCTAGGAAACGACACTATAAATTTTTGAGAGCGCAATCAACATGTGTACCACAATGATTGCTAACGAAACAATCCTAGGTGTATAAGGGAAGTCATAAATCGATTTCGTTTCTATCATTTCTCTTGCACCAATACACATAAAAGGAATTGCAACTGAAACCAAGAGTATTAAAATTATCCCAGCAATCGAAAGAATGTTTCCCTAAATAGAGCTTACCAAATTATACTCAAAAAACGCTATAAGCAGTGGTATAAGGCAGCAGGCAAGCTTAGTGCCATATTCCCCTATTGTTGATTTGGAAAGGCCGATTGATGATATGATATTGTGGGCAATAGGAATTGCGAGAAGAGGAAATGATGATAAAATTCCAAGCGCAGGAGATAGGACAAGAAAGTAAGCAATGATGTAAGTCCACCATGGTCTTTCTTCTTGTGAAAAGCCAGCTGAATAGTTTCTAAAGCTGATGTTGTACTGTCCATGAACATTTGGGACTACTAAAGGAACAAAGATTCCCATCGCTATGTAGATAATGAGGGATGCAATCAAAGCGCGTTTTAGTACTTTCTTAATTTCAAGCTTAATTAAATGGGCAAATAATTTATGATTTGTACTTAACATTTTCTTATTCGTAAAGAGTAAAAGGTCTTATGTAAAATGATTTAATAATCTTAATTATCCTAATTCCAAGCTTTTCTTTGAAGCCCTCTATAACACTTGGCAACGAAGGCTGATAAATTGTAGCTAAAAGAATGATCGGCAGACTTGTGCCAATATTATACACATCCGCCATAATGAAATCTGAGCCTTCTCTAGGCTCATCACTATCCACCATCGTCCCTGCTGCAAGGCTTATAATGCAAAGACTTGACACCACCACAATGTTTAGCATCGAAATATAAGCTATTATTGACTGGACGATTTTCTGCTCACTCTCCCCCTATGAGCGAACAAAGCCATTGGGCAAGTTCAAAAACGAAGTCTAAAAATTTAATAAAAAAATATTTTGATATAAGTGAAATATAATGAAATTTCAAGCTAATTCTGTTTAATTTTAGATAGTTTTTTATTTTAAAAACATAAATTTTATAGATTAATTTATATTTGCATTAAAATTTATTTCGAATAGCTTTTTTTTACATTTTTTTAAAAAAATTACTTAAAATTTATTAAAAAAATAATACTCTTTCATATGAGCAAACAAAATTTTTTGCTCTCGCCACAGAAGGGGAGTCAGAGATTTCAACCAACGTTAAATATATCGATATCCCTGAAAAAATAGCCAAATAAAACCAATATGTATTTTTGCATTCATTAAAGAATCCTTCATACTGATAAATATCACACGAATTTACGATCCCAATATCAATGTTTGAAGCCAAAGAGCTTGAAAATACGACTCCATAGCTGGCTAAAGCTAAAATTGAGACTGTAACAATAAGAACAAGATAAACAGTTTGCCAGTGTTTCCCAAAAATCAAATCAACAATTTCGCTGATATCAATTCTTCTCTTTGTGATGTCTGGGGTAATGTCTTCATAACTCAGAATTTTCCGATTTAAATCAGACTTGACTTGGTTTGTGCCAAAAAGAAGAATTTTTAAGCTTGGCCTTGCGATATTTTGGCCTCTTTCTTTAAGCTGAAGAAGAGCTTCACATCGGCTCATAACTTCAATGAGCTGACAAGACCAGACATATCCTAAAATGCAGCATATAATTGTGTAAGATCCTGAAATTAGCCAGCCACTTAATCTAAAAGCGTAAGGGACACTTAAAAGACCTGCACCTATTATAAGGTTTATTGTAAAAAGAAACCCTGCATTTGAACTCATATCTTGGGTCGATTGAGATTGCTTTTCTTCTGTTGACATCTAGTAACTATAAATGGAAAAATTAATTCAACAGCTCTTTTTTTTAAGTTCGCAAGCCCCAATCTGACTTATAGGCATGGCATATCCCTAAGATAGCCCGATATGGGTTAGGAATAGAGGCCAAAACTTCCCACTTGGCTCGACCAAAATGGCTTGGTCGAACTAAGTGGTAATTGGCAAATAAACCTCCTTCCAATTGGTTCGACCAATCCATTTTGGCCGAACCAAGTGGAAGTTTTGGCCTCTATCCCTAGCCCATATCGGGCTATCTTAGGGATATGCTTATATAACAAATGCTATTACAATAATTCTTAAAAATATAAATCAATTAGTTCAAAGAAACTTAAAGTAAAAAGATGGACGTCGATCGATATGATGTATTCATCTTTGACTGTGACGGAGTCTTATGAAAAGGCCCCTCTTCAATTGCCGGAAGCTTTGAGTCCTTACAAAGACTCCATTCTTTAGGCAAAAAGCTTTATTTTTTAACGAATAACTCAAGCAAAACTCCAGAAGATCTACTATCACAATTAGGCTCATATGGATATCAAGCATCTCCAAGCCAAATTTATTGTTCAGGCATATCAACAGCGCTCTACCTCAAAATAAACCACCCTGATATAAAAAAACTTTACTTGATTGGCTCAGACCAATTTCGATCAATGCTATTACGATATGATTTTGAAATAATTCATCATTTGGATATAGAGCCAGCGCTTCTAGCAGCCCCTGAAGATATTACAAGGTTTGCTGAAAATACCCCAGTTGATGCTATAATTGTAGGGTGGGATGTCAGGTTTACTTATACAGCAGGTGCACTAGGGTCTGTCTATATTCAGAATGGAGCAAAGTTTATTGCATCTAATAGTGACGCTTATTTTCCAATGGGGAAAGGAAGAGATAGGCCAGGCTGTGGGGCTATCGTAGGGTTTTTGGAGATTGCAACAAATAAAAAGGCAGAAATTGTGGCAAAGCCTAAGACTTTTATTTTAGATATGATTATGGAAGAGAGCAAAGTCCCAAAAGAAAAGGTTGTCATGGTTGGAGACTCAATGGAAACAGATATTAGGATGGCTTTTAATGGAGGAATTGATTCAGTGCTGGTATTATCTGGCGCATCACAGAGAGAAGATTTACCAAGATATGAATTTTCGCCAACACATATTTATGAAAATTTAGGAGGAATATTTAATTAGAAATGGCTAAATGTGGGATATTATGAAATAGAAAATTTTCTTACCACTAATCTTAAACTATCTTCTTATCTTATTCGCGACATAAGTGCATATTTTCAGAAGCTCTTAACATTATATATATTTCGCGATTAAATTTCTTATTTAATCAAAAGCAATTATAAATATAGCCACGAACTGTGTTTGGTCTTAAGTTTGATGTCTAAATTTGCAATTTCGCCTTTTCTGTCATGGTTAATTAGGGTAAGATATGCCAGTGCTGCTTTTGGATAAAATATCAAAGATACTTGACAATCCAAAAATAATTGAAATCAAAAAAAATTGGCTTAGACATTAAGTATTGCTCTACGGAAGTGATAAGAGTAAATTAAGTATATAAATTATCTACCTTGCACGATTCCGTTTAAACTTTAATACAATATAAATATGATGGAAGTTAAAAAGGCCTTTGTAAAGAGATTAATTTTGCCTGATCAATCTCGGTTTTTCGAAAAAAACGCAGAATCGCAATACTTCCCAAAATTCCCCACAAAAGCCTTAAAATCCCGAAATAGTTCTATTATTAAATCCCCAGAACGTTCAAAAAGCGTCAAGCCAAAGCGTGAAATCCTAATTTCAAAATCTCGAGATAAATTAATCCCAGACTCTTCCTCCATTCTAGAATCCATTAGTGACACAAGCATCCCTTTAGCCTTCCGGCGCTTCCATGAAGACAACTCTTTATCCCTCGGCAAGCCTGACTATTTCCTCATAAAGCACCGTGAAGTCCTTCTTTCACTTTTACAAATCCCAAAAATAGCAGAAAATATCGACAAAATCCTACTTCAAAAACTGAAGGACTTGACTGTAATTCCTGACAAATTGGCAATTATGATAAAATCGTTATTAACTGAAAATCCTCGAAATTATACAGAAAATGTTTTTAAAATAATGAATGATGAAATCAAGGAAAACGAGCAAGAAATCAGCGGACTTAGAGAAAGCCTTGTTAAAGTAAATAAAGAAAAAAAGGAACTCGCAGAAATGCTAATTTCAATTGAGACCCAGCAAAGTTTAAATGTAAGCGTAAGGTAGAAAGATATAAATAAATGCTTGTCACGGATAAGCTTATCACCTAGGGCAAGCCCAGGGCATTCTAAATCAAAAAGTCCAGGAAAAGCAACGAAGATGGAGTTTGAGAGGATCATTGAAAATGCAGCAATGAGCCAAGATATAGACAGCGTAAGGAAAAGATAGGGTCTCAAGCTAATTTCAGAAGAAATAAGAATTGCAATGCAAGCTGACTCTGTTTTAATTTTGGAGCCGAATGCCCAAAAAACGCAATTTGAAGGGCTGCTGAATGGAAAACTTATAAAAATCCCATCAAGAGGCACAGCCTTAAACATGGTTTTTCTATATGGGCTCTATAAAAGCGCCCGAGAAATTGATGAAGATTTCGATCAAAACTTGCCTGTAATTGTAGGGATGAAAATAAGGGCTTACCATATAGGTGCTATAAAAGATCATGATGGAATTCCTATAGCTCTCCTACTAGTGACAAGAAAAAGACCTGAACTTTTATATGAAAAAGAGATCCAAAGCCTCTTATGCGTCCTTTCTCTATTTTTAACTAAGTTTTCTGCTATAAAAGAAACAAAAAGAAAGGAATCAATTATTCGGGCAGTTTTTGAGTCCTTTTACGAGCTGCTCAAAATGAGCTCAGTTGACGAATTCGCCAGTGTCATCGAAAAATACTTACCCAGGATTATGAGCACAAATCGAGCTAACGTCCTGCTCTGTGACCACAAGCTAAACAAGCTTTACAGGAGATTTTCTAGTGAGTCTATTGAATATTACCCAAGCCAAAAAGGGCTTGCTGGATTCTGTGCAAATTTTAAAAAGGTTCTGGTCTGTAATAACGTTTCTAACGAGAGCAGATTTTTGAAACAAATTGACGACCCTGATGGAGAGTCAGTTCAAAACATCCTCACAATGCCTGTATACAAAGAAGAGATGAAAGGTCTGGCTGATCTTACGCTGCAAGTAATTGACAAAGAAAAGCAAGAAGACTTCAACGAAAGCGACGTAGAGTTGCTAAAAAACTACGGAAAAGTGATTTCGAAAGCTGTAGATGCCATGAAGACTCAAAGGCATATTATAACGGTCCAGAGCATGCTGAAAAATTTAGAATCCACCATCAGTGATTTGGCAGTTGACAGCGATACAAGAGCGGCTGGGTATTTCAACATTCAACAGACCATTGCGACTTTTAATAGCATGTTCAATAATAAATAATTTATTAATTTGTTCAACAAGTTAAAAGATTACCATTACGTCATAAAAATGGCGCATAAATAGTATAAGGACGAAAAATAGGCTTAATAGGATTTATATAAATGAAATATCTATTGGCAATTTGTCTGTTTAAAGCTGTACTGGGCTGGTGGAGCACAGGCCACATGATCGTAACCCAAATCGCCCAAATCGTGCTTCAGGCAGAGAACCCTCAAGTACTTAATATCGCCAACCAATATACATAAATGGAGTATGACGTCCAACCCGTCCTCCCAGTGATGGTAACCCATGTATATCCGGGCATGGCTTTCAGGGGAAATGAGTATACCCAACAACATCAGGAGCCTAAAGGCGATAGGCTTAAGCACAGATCCGCTGGTTTGTGACCTTTTTCCAACAGCGTCCTAGCCAGTGGATGCCCGAAATGGAGCAGGGTGATTTTTATCTCAAGCTGCTCTTGATGGCCCTCCCTGAATCACGGAAGTGAGTTCTTTCTAGGGATGATCTGAAAATAGGGGGCGACCCTTCCAGAAAAGGGCTCCCAAACGGCCAGGGTAGGAACAGTTGGCGTAATAAGGGGGAAGGGACTAAGTTAGAAATAGTGGTGCCCAGCAACGGTTTGCGGACCCAACAGGAGCAACCCACTACCGAAAAACTAGGGGTTTCGTCTTGAGCTCAGAGTTACTAGATGTGGAAGCCCCCAATTCGCTTGGGTCAGCGTGCGCCTGGAAGTAGAGACTTTAAATAACAGCAACTAATCTAATATCGCCAACCAGATCCTCGAGCCTCTTTACGGGCCGATGACCCATGGAATTTCAAATAGCTTTGTCGAAAGCGCCTGCTGGCCTGACGACATCAAAGTCTATGGGTTCCACGACTTCGACAGCTGGCACTTCACCAACAAACCATATGATTACGATGGTTTTTTAAATATTACTGACTCAGGTGAAGATGTCATTTGGGCCCTTAATCAGTGCATGAGCACCCTTGGCCTCCTCAATTACCAAACAGCAATTTTAGAGAATGCACTTGCAATGAGATTTTTGCTGCACTTTGTAGGGGATTATCATCAGCCTCTTCACGTGACCACCCTGTGGAGCCGGCAATTCCCTTCAGGCGACCAAGGCGGAAACTTGTTCAATATCACGTTTGATAAGACTGTCACCGAACTCCATGCACTTTGGGACTCAGTTATGGGAGAATGGGAGGTTGACTTAGTCAGACCCCTAACCAGTGATGGATGGCATGACATCAATATGTGGGCTGAGTGGTGCATGGGCAATTACACACAGGAGGACCTGGCAGAGGAGCTTGCTGTATCAAATATAACTGACTGGGTGTATCCAACTTACCATTTAGGAGTAGATTATGCTTATCATGGGATTAAGCCACTTGAAAAACCATCTGAGGAATACCTCAAAAAAGGATGGCAAATTGCTTTGAGGCAGCTTTCTCTTGGAGGACGTAGACTAGCGCAGTTGCTGATTAACTTGTTTGGGCAAGAAGAAACTCTAATCTATAGACTGAAAAAGTTATTTTATTGTTTTTTTAAATTTTCTGATATTAATTTAGCTTTATTTTTAGAGACAGGTGTAAGTTAAGGGCATCATCAATTTATAGACAGCAATCAAATTAATTTTTGTTAGTTTGTGAGTATTAAATTTAATTTTTTATTAAATTTACACTTACGCTATACAAAAATTTTTTGCGAAAATTTACTTTTGAAACTCTTGGAAATGGAGATATTTAATTCTTAATTAAATTTTGAAAAAGCTAACCATCAACCAGAGCAATCTGCTATTAACTTGCAGATTTTTTTGTCATTTAAATCAAGGCTCATTTTTGGAAATTTTTGATTTTTGGCAACTGAATTGACTATTTCGTCAAAGTTTATATCTGATCAGCAAGATTTGTTTATTATTATTTTTATGGAATTTTCCGCTAGCTAATTGTTTAAATATGCGTTTTGCGGTGAATTAATCTTTCAGATCGAGCATAATTTTTGCACCAGCTCCAATATGTCATGCACAATGACTTCAGTGTAAATGGCCTGCATTGACTATAAATGAAAAGCTTAGTAATTGTCTGCCTTCTTGAAGTCGTATTCGGCTGGTGGAGCACTGGGCACATGCTCGTAGCTCAAATCGCTCAAAATGTCCTCCAACAAGAAAACCCAGAGGTGCTTAGTATTGCCAATCAAATCCTATCACCCCTTTATGGTCCTCTAACCCATGGTATTTCAAGCAGTTTCGTCGAAAGTGCTGTCTGGTGTGACGATATCAAGAGCTACAACTTTGATGTTTACAACAACTGGCATTTCATTGACAAGCCTTACAATTATGATGGCTTCGCCAATGCTACAACATCTGGAGAAGATATTCTTTTTGCTCTCTCCAACAGCATATGGACCTTGCAAAGCCAAAATTACTCACTCTCTACCCTTGATTTGCTTGCTAGCAGTTTTTTCGAAGCTTTTATATTTTGAAAATTTATTAATTTATGCATTGAATGTTAAATACTTATAGAAATAGTTTTAAAGTAAACAAACTATTGAGAAATTATATTTGGAAAGCCCCTTCGCAAACAGCAATTATTTTTATATTTAAATTATTATGCTTGAATAATTTTGCAAGGGTCTACACACGTCGGGGTATTTTTCCCATGAGTGTGGAACCCAAATTCTGCATGTGGAGTTTCCACACTTAATGACTCCATATGTGGGATTTGGATTCGTATGTGGAAGATCTCATAATTTGGAAGCCTGTTAAAAAATATACCAAAATATAATATTTACATAAAGAATTTTTTAAACATTAACGATTTTATAATAATATTCACGGAGGGAAGTCAGTTGCGATCTTGGAAACCTCGATTGCTTTGAGATATGTCCTTCACTTCATGGGAGACTACCACCAGCCTCTTCACGTGACAAACTTCTGGAGCCGCAATTTTACCCAAGGTGATGAAGGTGGGAATTTATTCCCTATCACCTTCGATAATCAGATCAATGAACTTCACGCTTTGTGGGACTCTTGCATGGGAGTGTGGGCAGATGACTTGCCTCGGCCTTTGAACAGTGACGGATGGTATAATCTCAATATGTGGGCCGAGTGGTGTACAGGTAACAATACGAAGCAGGACCTTGCCAGTGAGCTTGCTATTAAAGAGTTGTCCCTGTGGCAGTATGACACTTATCGTATAGCTATAGATTATGCATATTACGGCATCAAGCCAAATGAAAAGCCATCAGAAGAGTACCTCAAGCGAGGGTGGAAAATCGTATTAAAACAACTGGCACTCGGCGGGTACAGGCTAGCAAATCTGTTAATCAGTTTATTTGGGCAGACATCAGCCCTAAGTTAGTTCATCTTTAATTTTATTAACCATATTTTATTTGTTCACCTTTTCCCTTTTAAAATTCCTTTTAATTATTTATTTCAATTATTTTTGGCTCGGTTATTCCTTTATCATGATTTTCTTCCCACATACGCTGCAAATTCCTTTGTCAAACGCACACCTCTGGCAATAGTGGTGCTGATCAAGGACACTTTTTTGGCAAATTCGGCATTTTGTGCCAATTGGGTTGACTCTGTATTTTGCTCTTGAAGATAATATCATATTTGTGGCGAGGCCTCGCTTTGGCTGGCTTTCTTTTCATACGTCAGGCGATATGAGTCTTGATAATTTACTTTCACATTTGTCGCAAACCATTTTATAAGAAAATTGGATTTAAAAGCAAAAAATTCTAGACTGCAAGTAGTAGTGATCAGATTATATTTTTAGGCTTTTGAATTAATTATTGACTAAGAATTTAAATGAAAATTATTCCCCCATCTGATTGGATAAACTATTAGGCCAAAATTATTAAGATAATTCAATGGTTTCTTCATTATACTTTTTTGACTCTAATCTAGATGCTGAAAGTAGAAACTGCAAACTCCCTTATAATAATATCAAATAATCTTAAAATTAAGTTATGATAGTTTGACCAATGATTATCTCTTTTTATTATTTGAAACTCGTAGAATAAATAAGCAAGAAAAACTGAAATCAATAATAATTCTTTGTTATTTACTTATTATTTAATTGAAATCTTATAGTTTGCCTTAATATTAAATCTTAAAAACGTGATTTTCTTTATCTTATAAATTTTTATCAGCTTTAAAAGTTGAAATACGCCAAAGAAATGGAATCATGACATCAGATTTAAAAAAAGAAAATTCCATCAATCATCCGTTTCCTTACCTTTAAATTAGCATACCATAGCTCGTGAAATTTCGATTTCCCATTTAGAAAAAATTATTCAGAATCTTATAGTGTTATTAATTACAATGTTGGTCTATATAAAAACTATCTAAAACAAAAGAAAATTTATTAATTGTCACATTTACATTCTTTTATACTCTCTAATCCTGAGCAGCTATCAGCTTCTGAAATTCGTTGAGATTGATGAGACTCTTCGAAAAACGAGCAGACTTCGCGAATTTCAAAAAGTTCTTCTTTGGTTTTTCCAGAAGAGTTTAGATTGAACTTCATGTCTCTTATGGCACATAGAGCCCTCTTAAGTTTTTTGCATTTGCTGGGATTTATTCTTGGTCGGAGTACTTTTTCACGGCTTATTGAAACACTGCAACCCATGTTGATTTATTTATAAAGTTTAAATCAGATAGAAATACTTTGTTATGATAAAGCTCTTTTCAGTGATTAAAATTTGGCTATTATCAATTTTGGAAGATTAGATCTTAAAGCTGCTTATTTACAATAGAAGATACAAATTTGTATTATTTAACACCTAATCTTGCCATAATACTCAATTATGCTAGAAACGATGCTACCTCTTTAAAATTTAAGAAACTTTAATTAAACTTTGTAAAATGTAGAAATTTTGAAGAGCAGTGCGAAAATTATATATTTTCAAGATCATAAATTAGATGCTTAGGCGTTTCGAGAGTCATTAACTTTAGATTAGTGTATGTTAGCCGGTACCTGCTCTCCAATAAATTACCATATGACCATATTTTGAAATTTTATAAATGCTATGAAAATGATGAAACTAAATACTTGATAGTTTTATGGTAGGATCATTCTGCATTCGTCATTTTCTATAAATAAGTTTATCTCAGGAATTTTTTAAATTAAATTTAACTTTTTCAATACGCATGAAGACAATAAATTGATAGAATTGTATATCAATGAAAAAATTAATGTATCATTGTTGTACATAATTTTCAATGATTATTATAGTATTTCATCTTAAATAGCCCAATTAATTTTTCTTATCTATTATTAAAGAGTCAGCGATCTTTAAATCTAAAAGTATAGTTCAATATGGAGGGACTGGAACTGATCTCTGATGATGTTCTGCTAAATGAAATTCTCACCCTATTTAGAGACATCAGCGAAATTTTGGTCCTAAGATTGGTTTGCAAATCGTGATGTGAAAGATTCACGCTATTATTGCCTGCAGTTGTAGAAATCTCACTGATTGAAATTGATAAAATCAACAACTATGAAATTTTTACACAATCTCACAAGGAATTGGAGAAGTTCAGGAACATGAAAATACTTTTTGATTTTAAATTGAAAAAGCTTGAGAGAGCGCAGTTGTTTTTTCATATGGATCAGATAGATTTCTGTTTAGGGCGAGCAATGATAGCATTATGTGAAGAAAAAGAGCATGCAACTAATAGAGAGGTAGAAGCATTTTTGGGGAATGGCTTACTCATCTTTCTATGATTGAGCAAGCATATAGCAAATTTATTATTTTAGAAAAATAATCTGACCCAAAAATTAATGTTTTAGTTTTCAGCCTCTCTTTATATTTTAATTAAAAACTCTATAAATTTAAAACGCTTTATTTTAGAAAAATTTTAGTAAATTAGTTAGTAGGAAGGGAATTAGTGAAGAAATTGCAAAGTGTATCCCCTGAAAAACTAAGCAGCGAGATCTATGATGTCGCAAAAAGTGAACTAATACAAACTCTGCAAATTTTAGGCCCATTAGATGAAACACAAAGAAAAATAATTGAATGAATCACTGGAACTTTGAAACTTTATGAAATTGCAAACCAACTAAGCCCTTATTTTAATGATTTATATAAAATGATGCTGAGATTAGATTATTTGCAGTCAAAAGTCAATAGAATTTCAAGGTTCTTCGGATTCAATGGAGTATAAAAGGATTTGAAGCTATAATTGTAATAAATCAGCAATTATTCTAATAATAAATAATAAAATAAAAAGTTAAACCTGCCCAGTCAGTTTATTTGACATTTAAAATCCATAATAGTATCTTTTTCATGCCATTAATTAGGCATAAATTATATGCCAAAGAACTCAAAATAGTCTAAGGATATTAAAATTTTCCTACTACAAATTATCGAGATTAGGAAGATCGCCTCCCACGATACATAGATTTAAAACAGATAATTAACTATATACTTACAAAAGAATATTTTACAATTATTTTAGCAGTCGAGTTTAATGTTCTCGATAACTTCTTCAATATATTCACTCATTTTCCTAATAGATTTTTTTTTCATCTCCATCAGCTCCTCTGTCTTCTTTTTCAACTCATTTGCAGCTGATTTTACAGCTGTTTCATTCCTCTTGTGGTTTATTAGTTTAGGGCTCCAATTTTCAATAATATTGTTTAATGCTGACTTAGTTTTAGTGTCGTCAGCATACTCATTGATTAAATATTCCAGATCTTCGTAAGAGCTTTTAATCGGCGATTTTTGAGTGCAGGGTGTCAAAGACCTTGTTCGGTACTTCTTGGGAAGCGCCTCAACTCGGAATTTGAAAATATTAATTTGGCGATTAAAATATTTCGTAGAGTTTTTGGATGCCCTTAGGCAATCTGGTATTATAGGGCTTGAATTAGGAGGGGACAATGACGGAAAATTGGGTTTTGGAGACAAATCTCCGCGTTTGGAAGGGAAATTGATGGGAGCTAGGTTTCTGGGGATTTGGGGTAGCTTGGGAATTGCTGGATCAGATTTCTTAAAATATATTGGTTTTCCCAATAAATTGCCTTCTGTTTCTGCATGGTATTTTCGGATTTTTGATAAAATTGGCGACTTTGGCTGAAGATTCTTGAGTTCTTCTTCAAGGACTATTTTTCGACACATTTTAATTGAATAATAAAATACTGAATTTTGAATCGATTTATTTTTATAACCTTTTCAGAAAAGAGCAGAATTTTATAATTGGATTTCTCAGGAAAGTCAGAAAATAAGATAATAGTAAGATAAATCAATTTTCCCCATCAAGTTATATAATAATAGAAGAGATGTAGAATAAATTCTATTAAATCTTAAAATTAGTTTAACTGCAATAGATTACTATAAATCGATCTTATGTAACTAAAATTACAAATTTTTATATATAGAATACTAAAGCTAAATTGCATTCAATGGAGCACAATAATTTTTTGAAAAAGATTAAACAAATAATTAAAATATATGATAAACTTTTAAATTTTTTTAATATATTTTCCAAAAAGTGTATCATCTTCATATTTTTCAAGCTCCGCATAGCTTTGTCTATTTCTCAACATATCTTCTTGAAGCTATATATCTATAAGAATTAAATACTAAATCGAGCCAAATTCTAATATGATATTGAAAGAAGATTAATTAAATTCTTTTTAGAAATAAATTATATCATCTTACGAATTCTAATGATTTGAAAATATATTCTGTTTTATTTCAATACTTGAAAATGGAATCTCAACAAAATTCAGACAAGCTTGCAAGTGAGCCTGGGTTTTACGCTCAAACAAATCACTCAGTTTATGCTCTTCTCGGCCACGAAGACAATGAGAACATTGCTTTGCCCATCAACCCAAATTTTCTCACATACAAAGAAGGAGTTATGAATAAACGGTATATGGAAGCTCTATATCTTGATAAAACCAATCATAGACATTTATCAAGGGAATTTATCAACAATTTGCTGACTTTTTATTTATTTATTACAAGCTATATTATAATTTCAGTAGTAACTTGGTCATTGCTGTACTCCAGTGATGATCTGTGTAAGTCGCATTATGTTTCTCGTATGGTTCTTTTAGGTATAATCCTAATTTTCGCATATGGGATTCTATTTTCAATTTGGAAATATCATTCTTTGATTTACTATTCACAGTACTTGTATGGAGCCTTGGGCTTTTTTATAATGCTTTATTTAGTTCTATGTGATGAAAACATCCTTTCAGGGATTTCAGGAAACCCATATAATTCGAGCACCCAGTCACATGTGCTTGTGATGGCTTGCTTTATTGTTTTGCTTACCCTCCCATCCTTGATCACGAACTTTTTGAAAAAATCATATATAAATATGCTATAAGGATTAAGTTTTTCTATGTAAAATTTTTATGCGTTAGCGATAAGATATATTTTTAGCCACTTCTATAAACTCTAATGCGATTTATAACATATTTGATAATATTTATTATTATTAAATATAGCTAGATAAATTCTAGCAGCACAGGATTTGCGGAGTTAGGATTGTAACATTTGATAACTTTGTAAACATTGCAGCGATTTTTATTGTATCCTTGATTTTGCTATTGGCTTGCTTTATTGCCTTTACAACGATTTCTGTTGTGGCAGTTTTATCAGATTTTTTTATACTGTTAGTTTTCTGTGTGCTACAACTAGTTGAGTCTCGACAAGTGGAGTTCAGGGCAAAACAGCTCTTTTGAAGAAAAGCTAAAGAAGAAGAAGCCTTGAACACAGGAACTGCCATTGTAGAAAATGAAATAAACAACTACGAATCAGTTTTTAAGCCAGAAATTGAAATTATTTTCAAGAACCTGGACAAAATAAAAGAAAACATCAAAGCTGCATCAGTCGCCATCATGTTTGCAGACGTGAAAACCAAGCTAAAAGTAGCTGCCTCTGAAATAGAGAAAATTAAAAGAAAATTAGTCCACGGAGCCTTGTTCGACCACCCTAATATCCAAAAAGACAAGAACATGGATGATGAAGACCTCACCTTTATTTTAGAAAATTTTGTTGATGGCCGCCACGGGACTCTTCAAAGAGTAACTGTAAGAAGGAAAACTATGCTGGAAGTTGTTGAAAAGAAGCCCTCACTTGCTTGCTTTGGGGCTTCTGATCTTGAAAGGATACTCTCTGGGGTTGGAGTAAATTGGAAGTTTGATATATGGTTTGTATACCATGCTGAGTGCTTAGTTAAGATTATAGAAGCTCCCTGAGGCTTAGCGACCACGATCGCCTCTATAAGGCTTTTGCCGCTTGCTGCCAGTCTGGGCACAGTCCTTTACTGTGCTACTCCCATGAATAAGGACTTAGACTCGCTACCCAAAGTTAGAGACACTATTCGGTTCATTTCAGAAAATTCGAAAAAAATTAAGTCTGCTCGAAGCTTAGCAAGCAATGCCTTGTAATGCTTGGGAATTACCCGATTATCCACTGTTGCCTTTCGACATCACTTTAATGTACATTTGTATGCCATGCAACAAGTTCAAGTGTTTGGATTATTTCGAAATACTTGCTGCAAAAGTGGGATATGAATGCACTTTTCAATATCCCTGAGCATGTTTCTGACACTTTCTTCCAAGCCCTGGAAAAAGTAATTTATATTTAGTCTTATAATAAAGATGTTCCTTATCACAATTCGTGCCACGCTGCTGATGTTCTTCATTCTCTTCTCTACTTTTTGATTCAAAGTAACATTTTTAACTCCCTCAGTCCCTTAGAAACCATTGCAGCTATGGTAGCAGCTCTAGGCCATGACGTTGGACATCCCGGCCTGAATACTCGCTTCCTAATCAATAGCCGTAACGACCTAGCTCTTCAATATAACGACTTCCGGGTTCTCGAAAACATGCATGCCGCCAAAACATTTGCCTTAATGAAAGAAAAAGGCCACAACATTTTCCAAAACTTATCCAACGACGACTGAATAAAAAGCCGAAAATTGATAATCGAAATGATTTTACACACAGACATGACGATGCATTTTGAAGCCCTGGGAAAGTTCAATACAAGATTAAATCTTGGCGACTTGAGCTTGGACAACCATGAAGACAAATTCTTGATTTTGTCAATGGGACTAAAATGTGCTGATATCGGCCATAGTGCGAAGATCCCTCAACTTCACGAAAAATGGTCGCTGCTACTAATAGAAGAGTTTTTCAAGCAGGGAGATTTAGAAAAAGAAATGAATATGCAGGTCTCGATGTATTGCGACAGACGGACATGTGATATCAATAAAAGTCAAGCTGGGTTCATAAAAAATATCTGTATTCCTCTATTTGAAAGCTGATGCAAGTTTTTGAGGTCTGATATAATAAATGTGAACTGTATTGACCAATTGAATGAAAATTGGAGAAGTTGGGAAGAAAAAGCAGGCAGCAAGCTGAAGAGACCGAACTCTATACTGCCGAATGACTCAATAGCCAATGAAGAAACTCTTATGAATCATGTGAAATCTTAGCTTACTACTTATAACGCTTTACGTCCACTACGGGGTTGGCAGAGCCCAGACCTCCGCTCGCCTTTCGCCGCATCGGGCCCACAGACCTCTGGCCGGTCCACTTCGTTCACCAAGGTGCGCCTAGGGGCAAAGTGTTGCCGGCTTCGACGGAATCATGTGAAATCAGTAGAATCGCCTACAATAGGGCATCCAAAGGATTCTATTTAGAAACATTTATGATTAATTTAATTATTTTTATTAGAAAATTTCATAGTCCTTCTTATTTTTTCTATAATAATGATAATTTTGATAGGGTTTTTGGGGATCCTAACTCTTGCAAAGATTGTGCCTAGGCCTAGCAAGGGCTCGTATATATCTTTTCAAGTCCCTACGCAAAATCTTGATTATTTGCTCCTTATTTCTATTGATAAAATTGACGGCTCTCCAAGTTTGCTGATTCTTTCTCAATCTGGGGCTTTTTCTGCTATTGAAAATGCAATAAAAAATGGCATCCAATTATTATTGACAAACTACTATAAGCAGTCTCTAGTTTTATATATCGTTCTACCGAACTCTTCACCTTAAATAGCAGATGGGGACTTATTGTTTAGCAGTCTCCAAGGGTTTATCCACTTTGCGACATTTCCTTCCAGGTACTTGATCGGTTGAAGCGATTTCCAGCGAGAAAAGTATCAATGCTGCCTTCCTTTTTATTCTGCTCCTGACGCTATGGAAACTTCTGGGGTGTTGTGCGCTGAGAACGCTTTATCCTTGTCTTTTCGGCTTTAGTATTGAGTAGCGGACTATGGACTTCTGCAGACCTGAATCGGGCGATTGGAAAGTAACTCGGTCCAGGGAGTAAACCTGAAGTCTAGCCTGTGGAGAATGCCATCAGCTACAGGAAAAAGGCTTAATAACTGGCCAGGCCCACAACTCCTGGTACCGCCGCGATAATTTCCACCTTCGGCTCCCATAAGAGTAAAACAAAACCTCGGATATGCATGAGTACATATTAGAACTGAATTTCGACAGGCTTCTTACCCAACTCGCCTTGGTCATAAGGATGAGAACTTGCGTCAAGAAGTCAAGTCGGTTAGGCCGCCAATTTTCTGTATCATCTCTACTGAACTCTGTAGCAAACATGGCAGGAAATGATGTATCTTGCGATGCAATAAATTGATTTGCTTTAAATAATAATGGTTTATGCCTCGTACTCTTAATTTGAAAAGGTGCTAATAAATGTCAGCTATTCAATTCAGCCTAAAAAAGCATATACCGTGGCAATTAGATTGAGCAGAATCCTTTAATGTTTTGCCTAGTAATATTTCATAGTAGATTTTAATAGATAAAGTATATGATATGTTGAAATTATAAAAAGCAGTGAGAACGAAATTGGATTTAATTTAGAATTAATTTGGGATGACTCCGATAAGAGTTATTCTCAATGCTTAAATAGTGGCTGATGCGAAAGCTCTTGATGTATTTGCAAATCCTCAAATTATGGACAGCTAAGTTCAATTGATCAATTCCATATTGACTCAAATTCGCAGCTTGAGATAAAATCTGAAGCCAATGAGTGGCAATTTTACTATATAGCTTGCTCCCTGCTATAGATTTCATTGATAGTAGAGTCACGAAGCAACTCAGAGAGTTGACTCACAAGCTAAAATTGGCAAGTCAATACAAATTTCTCACTGAGATTTGACTCATTCAATCTGAGTTTATGAGTAATCTCTCTGTGCTTCTTCGTCGCTCTACTCCTTTTAATACTATAGCAAGGAATACATTATATACATATGAAAGAAAACCATAATATGCTAGATTTCACGTTTTCCTCAATTTCAGGACTCACAAAAATATATGTTATTGAGAAAAGTGACTATAGCTCACCAGTCACAATATTTTTATATGAAGAAATAATAGTTGCTTATGCTAGAAAGCTTATATATTTAATAGAGCTTTCAAAATCTGGCAATGGCTTAATAATTATCGGATTTCACTGTCAAAGTCCAGTAGATTGTATAGGAAATTTGAATTTGACGTCTTATTACGAGCAGGGTTCGTCTCACTCCCAGCCTAACCAAGCCATCCCAATCTCAATGTTTATTTTTGCATGTTTTTGTCTGCCTATTGTCCTATGTGCATTATTGAGGCTAAAGAACTATATAAAAAACCGCGGATCAGCTTGAAAAGAAATAGAAAGAAACTGCAAAATGACAAAATGGGCAAGCACCGATGACTCAAATGCGCCACTATGTGTAATCTGTCTAGAGGAATTTGTAAAAGAATGCAGAGTCAAAGCCTTGCCATGCCAGCATATTTTTCATACTCAGTGCATTGACCCATGGGTAAAAAAGAAAGTCGCGTGCCCCATCTGTAAACGGACTATTAAAGCAAGTTAACTTAATTTGTTAATTTTTCAAATAAATATACTTGGTGTCAGGAAACCAATAGATTACCACCATCATGCAACAAAATACTGCAAATGCAAAAATCAAAGCGAAAAATGATTTTATTGATGCCCATCAGGATGTTTTAAACTGAATTTGGTCAAGAATTCCGGTTTCTTTCTTCATCTTAATCAAAAAATTAGCTTGTTTGGCTGCAATTGACTGAACTAAAGGGTCATCATTTTCCAATGTGACTTTAAAACTGGTGGCTACACTTTTCATATCTTTAGCTAAATTTAATATTTCCCTTTCTAAATCAAGCCTGGAAGCTTCATTAAATTCTGTCTGTTTCTTATACGAAAGCTGGGTGATCCCCAATAGCCTTTCTCTGTCTTCTTTAAAAGTATTGGAGTTTGGGGTGCTGACCCTTGATTTGAATTTTGCCTGCTGAGACTCTAATTGAGCTCTTTGTTGAGGATTAAGGCATATCCAAATATCAAGCAGATTTCCCTCAAACTTGCATAATAGTTCTCTGTCAATAGAAGCTGCTTCTTCAAGCCTTTTAGCAAACCGGAAAATATTAACAATGTCTCGATGCTGGCGAGAAGTTAGTGGCATATTTATTATTTAGATATGAGTGACCGAGCCAGCACAGAAGACTCAGCTGAAAATCCTTTTATTTATATATGACTGGATGGGAACTTTTACGTTGCAGGTGAAAAATTGACAGGCGAGATTTTGCTCAATCTCCCAAGCGCAAGAGGACCAGGACGCATCCACATCAAAACTTTGGGAATAGAAACAGTCACAATTACCAAAGCAAGCGGCGACGTCTCCTCAGCAGAAAGTGAAGTCTTTCACATGAGCACCACTCTGGTAGACTGGGAAGAATTTACTCCCCCAGGGCAATATGTATATCGTAGATCTTGAAAAAGATCCTTTCAGCTAATTGTTTAAGTCAACTATTTTTTTAGGCAAATTTAATCAAAATAAACCTATTTTGATGAATGCCATAATAAAAAATAATCCAAAAGGAATCCTAAACAGCCCATACCCTATATTTCCGTTTTCTTTTAAACTTCCCCATTACGCCCCAGCAACTTTTCATCTGAACACGATAAACTTCGACAACAACAAAATCGAGGCGAAAATCACCTATACAATACACGCTGACTTGGAAACTGAACAAAGTCCAATCTCTGACTCGAGGATCATCACAATTCATAATAGGAACACAAGGGTTTCTAGGCAATACTCAGTCAATGTTTCTCATCCTTTGGTTTCTTGCTTCTGCTTCAACCGTGGAGCTTCTTCCTTGAATTTAAGCTACCTCGGACCTGAAAATTCACAAATTGGCAAGACCTCGAATTTCAAGCTAATAATAGATAACAGGGCGACCCAAGCCAGGATCGTCAGCATTGTAGGACAAGTTCTCTTTGAACTGTCCGTGCAGGTGCCTGGGGACAAAACTTATGTGTTCACTAGCCTAGTATCCAGATTCTCCCCCAGGCTGGACGGAGGCAACCCTAATGAGCTGCTTTTTGACTCTGACTTGTCGAAAATCCCTTTTGGAATAAATCCGTCAAGTAACGAAAGCTCTTTAATCCAGGCCCAATACAAGGTTCAGGTCTTTGTACTGTATGATGTGGGCTGCCGCACCAAGCGATCTGAAATCACTTTAGGGATCCACGTCAATCCCAAGGTGGCAGAAGAAAGAGAAATCAAGCTTCCAAGTGATTGGAACCCCAAGGAAAACTCGACCTCCAATTTAATTTTACAGTCCAGCAGCGGCGTCCCAATTTCCTCCCCAAAATCCGCGACACTTCCGAAGAGTCCAAAAAAGATGGATTTTAACTCTATAAGAACATTTAATAATGATACAAAATAGACTGAGCCTAAATAGTTCTAGTGAATTTATATTAAGTGCACAAAGCTTGGCTGAGAGCTATAGAGTCCAGCTCGCGCTTGTTAGGCAGAATTTAGACGAAATTGTGATAAATCAGGTGGGATTGAGGGTAAAAAATAGATAGGAGCTGGCAAACAAGTCTGAAGATACGCAAAGAAACTTAGTAGAAGTCTTGGCAAATCAGCTGGAAGAAGCTAAAAATGAGCTGGAAACTCTGAAAATAAAGCAAAATCATAGTGAAAATGAAGTAGAAAGGCTGAAAAATTTAGCTGCTCAGCTGGAAAATACAAATAGCACACTGTAATAATAAAATAGGGTGAGTGAAAATAGCAGCTTGAAAAACCACGTAACCTCAATTTCTTCACAAATTTCTACTCTACAGCAGCAAATTGTAACAAATAACAGTGAATTTGAAGCAATGAAAGCAGAAATCTCAGCACAAGCTACCAAGATTAAGGAAACTGAAGCAGAAAACCTAAATTTAAAACAAAACCTTAGCCAAGCACTCCAAGAAAAAGAAAAACTGATGAGCTCTAACATAAACAACGTCTCTGAGTTATCCCTTGCCAGAGAAGCCATCAGCTCTATGACTTCTCAAATCGCCCAATTCCAAAAAGAAATACTGGAACTCCACAAAACAAACGAAAAACACATCGAGCAAATCGCGTCTATGCAGACTGAAAAACTCACCCTAATCCAACAAAACAGTAAATAATATGCAGAAGCTGCAGATGAGCTAATAAAAGAAATCTCCCACCCCAAGACCACTGTATATCCCTCACAGTCAATTAGAAGCGACCTATCCACCTGCGTAATCTGCTGTGCGCCAAGATTCGGGAGGATGAAAAACTGTGCTGTCTGCCAAGTCCCGGTCCACGCAAGATGCACAACTGATGTAAAATTTGTGTGTAATAAATGCAAATAAATTTTAACGTTACTGATTGCTTTTTCGAGTCATTTCTTCGAGGTTTGGGGTTGTGGCTGCGAGCCTTTTTGCTCTCGATTTTAGTTTTTGTACAGAAATCGGATATCGGACGTCTTCGATTTCTGGGTCATGGTGGAGGTCTTTGAGTTCTAGGAGGTCTCGCAGGGAAGTGGCTTTAAATTCGTGAGATTTATCTTGGAGCAGGATTGAGGATCGGTTTAGCCTGGAGGAGTCTACTGCTCCGTCTTCTCTTCTGGATATGAAAATTTGGAGATGGCCGAGGTATTCTTCTAGTTCTCCTAGTAGTATGAATATATTTTGCTCTGTAAGTGTAGTGGTTTCGTCAAGTCTGATTTCTTCGGCGATTTCTAGGTCAGCTAAACTAGTTTTGCAGCGCTCTAGGACTTGCTAAATATAAGTTACTTTGAAATAAGGTTGCAGACTTTCGAGTGAGAGCCTGAAGTTTTCAGTTTGTCGTATTTTTCCGTTTTTATCTTCGACGAGATCGTTGAGCTTTTTCTTAGAGCTTTCATAGAGTGAATTCAGCTTTTCTAGTCCGAATTCTAATTTCATGGAATATAATTAGAAATTTTTGGCTTTTATAAAGAAAATTATTTTAAATAATTATTTATAGAAAGTTTTGAAAAAAATTTTTGATGCGAATAGCTATTTTTTTAAACAAATTGTATTAAATTGAACAGATTTACTAGAGTTTTTACTATTTATATGAAAATAATTATATATATAATAATTTTGCTTTGCGCTAGGAAGAATAAGGAAATTCCATATGATTTTATTGCTTCTATTGTCTCACTATGTACTTCTTCCAACCTATCAATTTCCGCATTCATATTATTGATATACGTACAAATTTCATACAGCTGCTGCTCCGATTTAATAAGTGCAATCACTATTTCATCAAAATCAGCGATCCCTGACGCGTTTCTAATTTCCTCAAATGCATCTTCAATATTCATAATATGTTTTACATAGTTATCCAGTATTTTCCTCTTTTCCTGCAATTTTTCTTTCCATTTGCTTGTCAGTTCTTTCAGCAGCTTCGTAATTTCTATCGTATCCCCCGGACTATTCAAATTCCCAAGTATTCCTTTCTCAATCCTCTTATGGACTTTTTGTTCTCTTTCTTTTTCATCAAAAATATGAGTGCTAAGCTCGCTTAGTTTTTGGCTGTACATGCTCCTATTATTCAGGCTTTTACTTCTGAGCTTTTCAATATTATTGAGATTCCTGCTTGCTAAATTCACTTTAGTCGTGAGTTCTTCGTGCTTTTCTTGTGTGACGACGCTGACGTTTAGGATGCCTTCGTCTAGGCTCTGCAGAGTCCTTTTGTAGTGCCGTTTGTCGCGGCGAAAGACATTTACTTCATGTCGAATCAATCGGTTTTGTGACCTCATGTCGTTAAGACTCGTGATTTCGAGGTCGAGCTTCTTTTCTAGCATCTGCAGCTTGTTTTTCAGCTGGATTTCAGTTGGGCCAGATGTAAAATGGGTCTTATTTAAACAACTAGTTTTGCTTAGTTCATCCTGAAAATACTCTAACTGCTGGTCTAAGTAGACACTTTCGCGCTTTTCTTTTTCCAGCTTCTCTGTGATTTCTTCGATGTGCTTGTGTAAAATTTCAATTTCAGGCTCTCGGACCATCATTGAAGTTCGGGCTCCTGTCATAAAGCTTCGATTACTCATTTAATTATTAATTCTGCCAATTACTTTTGAAATATATTTTTGCTGACTCCCCCTCCACAAAAAAGTTGTTCGCTTACTAATTATTTTTTGTTTTTTAAAAAAAATTATATATGAATTTTTTTTAAAATTTAAAACCAGTTTTTTACGAAAAATTGAGAAGTTTAAAAATAATTTAATTTACAATATTTATTTTTAAAATGCAAGTTTATTAAAAATCCAAAAGAATTAGCCAGAGATTTCATTATACTAATTATCAGTTATATATCAAAATATATTTTTTATAAAACATTTTTGTTCACTCACTAGGGGAGTAAGAAAAAATTGCATTAAAAATCTAAAAATTAAGAAAAATTACTTTATAATACTTTCGGCCCATAAATAAATATTCATGCATATAAATTTTGATAAATTTCTAAAAAAATTAAATTTGAAACAAAAAATCATATATATAACCCAGGTCAAAAAGTGGCTCGGGCTATAAAAAATCAATTAATGGATTTCTAATTTAAAATATGCCAATGCATAATATAAGAATGCAGTAGATTAAACAAATTCTAGCGAATCTTAGGGCTTTTTCACCCTCGCTGTCACACTGCAATCTTAAGGTTCACGTGGCCCTAGTCACTTGGCGTCACACCTCGCCCTTTTCCTGTTGACGCACTAGTCTCTCCAAATATTCATGCAGTAGTCTGATTCTTGCGGCACTGACTCCTTCAATCTCTGTTAGTGCTCAGGGCATGGGTAAAACGTTCTGGTGCCTCCTTCCAGACTATCAGCCCGATGCAGGCATAAATTGTTTCAAAGAAGTGTAAGCCGGACATTTTACTCTATGCATATCGTCTGTGGATCAATGAAAAAAAAGCCTCTTGTGGAGCCCCGACCAGAGAAAAGCCCACCTCGGACCTCCTAAAAGAATGGATTTCGCTTAAATGGGGGCTGAGATCTACCCACCAGTCACCCTGGACCTATTCACCACTCGCTATCTTTTAAAAAGTAAATGCAGTAAGGAAAATTATCAAATTCTCTCGATTTTTACCAGCCGAAACTAGGGGATTTTGGCTCATTTGGACTCTTTGGCTCTCTTCTATTCTTCGTAGCACCTTCACTCTGCCGTTGCTCCACAATGAGGTCAGATAATCTTGGCTCCGGAGTTTGGCTGCTTGGAAATTCAGGAGATCTCGGTGTTTCTCTGGGCTTTGGAATTGAAACTTTAGCAGATGAAGGAGGTAGGCCGCTAAAGCTTGATTTTTTCTTATGCATAGTCGGCGATATATCCATAGTTGGTGTTTTAGATCTCGCTGGAGGAGGCGTGATCAGCCCAGATGGCCTCCTCGAGTGTTTTCCTTTAGAAGGGGGCTGTATATCATCTTGGCTTGTATTTAAATCTTACTTACTTTAGATTTATATGTTTAACGTCCCTTACGGGATTAGCTACCCAGACCTCTCCGCCATCTCATCCACGTGCCGGGCCCACAGGCCTCTGGCCGACCTGCTTCAATCACCAGGTGAGGCTTGAAACGGTATTGTCGGCTTCAACGACTCATGAGTGAGTTACTTCATTGCAACATGGGTTGTCTGCACAAAAAAACCAAAAAATGGATTTTCTGGCCGACTGTCGGCAAAAAGGAAAAGCATGTAGCCTGGGATCTAATGCCCAGCTTCACTCTAGGGAGTTGCCTATTTGGTCATAAGGACGCTGCTGAGCTTCCCTTTTCCAACTGCCATGCCTTCCTTCCCCATGAGGAAAAACCATCTCTGAAATTATATTTGGGTTAGGCTCTGTACACAACCAGAATTGCTTGTCTAGCCATGTTGTCCATCTCTGACATGATAAACCTTGCCTGATATAATTAAAATATGTGCTCGAAGCTCGATGGCCGGAAGGCCATGACCAGGTGAAGACGCCATATTTTAATTTAGTTTGCATTTAAATCAGAATTTTTCCTTGATACCGACCTCATTGTCATCCCAGATTTTAATTCTGTATAAAAATTACTGAAATCTCTTGTACCTCTCCCACCGATACTTTCTCTTATAATAACCTTGCAAAAGCTTTCCTGGGTCAGCCCATCCAGACTTGCATCTGAATTCAGTCTTAACCCATCATCATAATGGCTTTGAATTTCTTCTATTTCAATATCCTCATCTATTGACATCGCATAATTTTTAAAACCTTCAAAATCTAGATGTGTCACTCCCTGAGCATTAAACCAGGCCATTAATAGTGCTGTATCTTTTATTTGAACTGTTTTATAGCGAAAGAGCGCTTATAGGGCATTATAATAGTTATTCTGCCGATATATCTGACAAACCTCTTGTTTTTGAAAATTATAATGGTTTGACAAATCCAATGCTTATTCTGAGATTTGCTAGTCTCTTATTGGCACTTTCAAGATAGGGCTTGCCAAGTGAGAGTGGCAGAGCATCTCTTATATAAGGTCTATTATTAGCCATAATCTATATAGACTTCAATCAAAACCATCCAAAACTTGCTTTTCTTTACAGTGAAATTCAAAGACTTGCAATTTTCATAATGGCTTTTTATATCGATTTTCTGTAAAAAAGTATCTCTTGATATCCTTCCTGTGTTCCTGGGGTCTAAAACATTAAAAAGAACTGTAGCTTCATCATCTGGCATTGCAAGCTCTAGGATTTTCCTTACCCCTTCAATCAGCTGGTCTCTTGATATCTCATTATTCTGTCTATCTACATCTAAAACTGAAAACACGTTTTCAGCAGTTTCTCCCATACGGATAATTTTATGGCAAATTCTAAATACCATAAACTGTTCTGGACTAAAACTTTCGGGCTTCAGCAAGCTTATAGCTTTTCCTCTGCTTCCTCGGTCAGTGTCAAACAAGTTATAAACCAAATTCATCACGTCAATTAGAAACGCTGAGCCTTCTTTGTCAGTTTGTCCTGTAACTGTTTCGCGTTTCCTTGTTTTCATGTCTTTTAACGCATTAGCTACAAGTTTATTGAACTCAATCCTGGCTTTTGTCAAAAATAAAGCCAGCTGATGAGGAATTGGGTCATGATGGATCACTTGTATGAGCCTTGAAAGCAGAGTTCCTCATGAATTTCTCCTATGATTTAAGTCTTCTAGTGTTGGTATTATTTGGCATAATGCTTTGTGAGCGATTTTTTTAAGCCCATACACACGAATTAAATGGTCCATCATGTAGTCTGGCATGGTCCTTGGTGTCCTTTTGGCATCTAAATCTGCACAGTCCGCCTCATATTTTTTATCAAGCATTTCTTCAAAAAACCTAAAAACGTTATGTATTGACATAGGTCTTTCCCCTCTGCCTCTATGGGCTTCATAATAAATCATTAATGGGTTTTCACTAATTGCTGTTTTTTGTTCTTCTGATAAAATCCCAAGTGCAGCCCTAACGCCATCTTGGTTAACCTTACGGTCATCGTCATCATATATAGAAGCCACGTCAAATTCAATAGTTTTGAGCATCAAACTTCCTTCTGTTTCCAAAACTGCAGGCCCGTCTATCATCTCTTTTCACCTATCAAACAGCCTTGATAGATCTTGCAGGCAAAACTTTTTCATGTACTTTAAAGCACCTCAAAGTACTTTTCGCTTATGAGAATCTGCCAGAACGGTAAGTTCCTGCCGCATTTGTTGGTTTTCTGAAGATAGCTCTTGGATTTTGAGGGAATAGTCTGTGTCAATTTTTTGGAGTTTTTCTTCATTTTCCTTTGTGAGAAAATTGATTGCAGATTTGTCTTGGCATCCGTCAATAAGCGTAGCCTTGAGTTTTTCGTTTCTTTGGGTGAGACTTATGTTGTCGCTTTTTAATAATTTTAATTCATTTGTGAGAAGATTTATAGAGGACTCTTTTTCTGATATAAGTTTTTCGTAGAGGGATTTTAATTGGCTTTGGGAGAGTTTTTGGTCTTCTGCAAGCTTCTTGAGCTGCCTATTTTCTTCGTTTAATTCAGTGACTGTAGCTTGTAGTTTGGAGTTTTCGCAAGCTTGGCAGGCATTTCCCATATTACGAAACAGTATTATTTGAATATTTAAACATATTTATAAATTTCCTTTATAGTCTATGGCTTGCTTTTCACATTTATAGAGCGGTCCTCAATACCCAAACTTATTGACAGGAATTTCTGGGCCTTTTGGAGAATCATCAAGAATAGGAAAATAAGCAGGCTCGATGTCATAGGAAACTTTTTTAGGCATATGGCTGTATTTTCCACATTTAAGCCGATGCATGGCAATGGTTGGGACTAATTTTCTGCCTTTTCTTTTTGCTGAGGCATCAAATCCTAGTCTTTCTAATATCCTTGGTGAAGCGCAGTCAATAGGAGTCATGCTATCATCATTGATAACTAGCAGATTTGAGCCTTTTTCTATCAGAAAATAGATCAAATCTGCATTGTCCCCAATAAAAGCGGCATGAAGCTCAGTGTTTTTATTTTCACACTTGACGTTTAGTTTAGCGCCTATTTGCCATAGATGGTAAACTAGTAATAAACAGCCATTTAAAGCAGCCAAATATAACGCTGTGTTACCTTTTTCGTCTTTTTTGTTGATTATTTGTATGGACAGCTGGTGGCTTATGCTTTTGACTCCTTGGAAATCATTTTTTTTGGTGAGGTTTATAAAAGTCTGAAATTTGTCGTCAGAAAAGTTTTTAAATTTTATAGGGCTGGGAGATCTTATTGGGGCAGGCTTGGCTCGGGCCGATCTTTCTGATGGGGCAAAGCTTGAGTTCAGCCGTTTCATTGGAAGTTGAGGGTCGGTATGGGATTTTGAAAGGGAGCTGCCTGTAAAAAAGGTTCTTTCTGAATATGAATTTATTTGGCTTTGGTTTGGAGACTTTGCAGGAGTTATTTTTGACAAATTTAAGGTAAAACCTGAGCTGTTCTGAAGAGCTCTTGTGCTTTGTGGGCGAATTTGTTTTTCTGATCGTATGATATTGATTTGTGGCGATTTTATTTTTATATGTTTATCACTTCTACTTTTAAATGTAGATACCCTAGGCTTGCTATCTTTTTTAGTATTCTCTTTCTTCTCTTTTGGCTTCCTTGCTTTTTTATTAGTATTTTCTGCAATTTTGCTACTCGAATAATAATTTTTCGTTATGAAAAAGGTACTAGATTCATGAATTTGGTCTGCTCACTTCATAGGGTCTTGATATTGATCTTTTGTTTCCTGCATTCAATAATAAATGACGACGTAAGTAAAATTTCGCTTATGAAATTTCCTCTTCTGGGCTTATTTATTATGAGGCTCAGTTTTACCAGAAATCTTATAGGTAGGCAACAGCGAGGATGCACAGTCCCACGAAGGCAAATTTTAGGCAAAACACTTACAGAAGCTGAGTTCAGGCCAAAGTAGTCAGAGTGGAAGCGGTGCAGTTTAGGTAAAGCAATATCCATGATATCATTACTATTTTGCTTACCCCTCTTTTTTCGATATTGCATAGACACCGTAACCCTTAATATAATACAACATTTCCTGCACTTCTGTGCATGTTTCTTCATTTTCAGCCTGTGAAGTAGATATACTCAGTCTTACTGCTTTTTTCAGCCTCGAAAGCTTGGATTTTAAAATCGGTTGCGCAACTGATTTCTCACACAATTCTGATGAGCTTAGCTTCATTGAGCTTAAAGATGCCAAAAGTTTTTGTGTGCACTGAGATATCAAATCTAAGTCAGGATCTGCAGAATAGCTATTAGCTTTATTCAAGTCTGAAATTTCAAACTCTCTTGCCAAATCTTTTCTCAAAATATCCATTTTTCAATATTTTTCGGCCAAAATTTTTAATTTAATATTTATTAGTCATCAAATATATGATGCTAAAATTTTCATTTGGCTTTAATCCCTCATGACCTTCACATATTTCTTAAAGGCTTCTTCTATTTTTTTCACGTTCTTTCTGACTCGGCTCAGCTTTTGGATTCTCAATTTAACTTTTTTTCCGTAGAAGGCCTCCATGATTCTGGTGTCCCATATTTTGGTGTCATTTCTGAAGCTTGGCTTAAGCTCTTCTTTGATAAAGTCGCAGTTAATCTCTTCTGAGTGTTCTTTATTTTCAGCTTCATTTAATGACAACTGAATTGCTCTTTTGACTTCTTCATCTTCGAAGTCGTCGTTGGCGTTGTAGCAAAAATTTGAATTTTCTTCTCTTAGACTTTTAGAGTTTTAATTAAATTTTGATTTTAATTTTAAAATTAGATATAATTACAAAATTAAGATGAAAAAAAAATTTTTTAATAGGAGAACTAGACAAAAATTTTGCTGAAGTTTCCAATCCCTAAGTTGCTGACGATCATATCTTCACAGTTTCGAAGAGAAGTGTTTTTTCCGAGAATCTCGATCTCTGTGCCAAATGTAGAAACTTGCAGCTTACTGCAGAGGAATTTTTTTAATTGGCCAAGTGAAATTTTATCTGAAACCCAAAATGAAGCTTTCGGTTCTTGAGTAATCGAGGAATTACCTTTAACAACCCAGACGTCAATTGATATGGGATTAATATCAGGCTTCCCCTCAATCAAAAAAACTTCGATTTCTGGGCCACCGCCGAACTGGCTGACTAAAGACCTTCACTCATTTTCGCTTACAATTACAAAGTCCTTGTTTTCTTCAATGCCTGAGCGGATTTTAAATTGTCTGATGTTATTTGTTGAATTTTTCACTAACCCTCTCCACTAACGAGCAAAATCATTGGAAAAATCCTTTTTTGGAAAACAGCCATCTCTGTGAGGCATGCAAAAATTAGTTTAAAAATGTATAAATAATTTATTACTAAAACAATACCTTTGCTTATTTTTATTTAATTTGAAACAGCTTGCATTCTAAGGCAAATTTTAGTCTTAAAAAATTGTTTTAATATTTAGTTATGAATAAATTGAGATCGAGTGTGTGATTCCACTTTTAAAGTTATAAATAACGAAAAGAAAAATAAACCCTCCAAGCTCACATAGGGAGTAAGCTTTTATTATCAATTTGGTCAGGGCTGGTATTTAAATTTGAATAATGATCCCATCACTCTTTGCAAATCAAAAACTTGGTCAAGCCTGAATCATCTATATTTATGCTTGCGTTCCTATCCATTTTATTATCTAAAAAGCGTAAATTAGTCTTTTAAACAGATTTTTCCCTACTACTGGCAAAGCTTGGGCAAGGATATCTAAAACTATCTGCATTCCACGAGGATTGAGGTCAGTTACTTTATAGATTTGGCGATTTAGGGTAATTTTTGCATTTTGAATCACAAAAGAGGTTACATCAAGATTAGAAAAGTCCATTTCAGGATTTTTGGGGAGGGAATTAGTGGTAGGAGAAGAGCCTGAAAGTGATAAGAAGTTATGGGATTTATTGGAAATGGAGTCTTTTATTGGGACCCATAAGTAATTTTCAGGACAGAGAAGCTCGCTAGGGTGAAATTCCCCTTTATATCGCATTTTTTGGCAGGTATCGACGTAAAATCCCATATAGTAGTATTTGAAATTGCTTGATAAATGCTTTTGAATAAATTCTATTTCTTTTATAGCAGAGAATACACCTGGGGAGAGAAAAGTAATTTCAGGAGAGTAAAAGAAGTAGACCGCGGAAAGTCCTGATGGAAGAATATCAAGAACACTTACAGCTACTAACTTCCCCCATTACCCTGTTTTGGATCAAAAAGGGTTTAAAATATTTTAATAAAAAATATAAATACTCATATAATTATTTTCTTAAAAATTTTTTAGCATAAAAATGTTATGAACTTGCAATGAGAGATAGAGTATCTAATATATAAGAAAATATGCTAAAAATTGTATTGAACTTACGTGGGTGTCATTATAATATTCTTATATTCATTATTATAAAAGAAAGGAGAGATATGTTTGACTATAGAAAAATAATCGAACGAGGATCTGATAATTTTTTCCAATTTTTGATCAAGTATGAGGGAGTAAGCATCCGTCAATTTTATGAAGCATATGGAAGCTGCCTAAGCCGAAAGGGTATTCATTCGATGGTTGCTCTTTAACTAGCGAAGATTTGCATAGAAATCTTTCATAGCCTTTAGGATTAATTTCGTCAGGTTTATCTTTATGAACTGCAATTTGATATTCCCTATAAATTTCATAAGCTTCTTGAGAAAAATCGTCATTGACTAGTTCGTATTCATAAGTATGAGGATTTGTCTCTACATCTACACTCATTCGGGGATTTTCTGGGATTTTAATTTTCAAGATTCCTTCTTCGACTAAGTTAATAAATCCTTTTTCTGCTGAAAATATTTTCCATTTCGAATTTTCTATTTCTTGCAAAAGATTGTTTTTCAAAATTTCATTAATTTCGTCCAAATTTCTTTCCTCCCCTTTTTGCTTAACCCTCATTTTTTGGTAAATCTCTTTTTAAAAATAAATTATTATAGATTTTAATTTCCATTATTTGAGAACAAAAATCTATTAATTTCTAAATAAGTTTAAGAATGCAAGCTAATAAAATTAGCTGACATCTCATTATTAAATTTATTTATAAATTATTTTACATGAAAATATTTAAATATTTTTTTTTTATACCAAAAATAGGAATTTCTCTCTCTTACCAGCGAGTTAATTTTTGCATTTATTGCTAATGCAGAACTTATTGAGTAATTCCCAAATTTTGCTTCTCTATTTGGAGAATTTCTTTTAATTACACACAATCCAACGGTGAACTGAACACCTAATGCATTAACAGTAGCCATGACTGCATTTTTTACTTTTTCGTAGAGTTCTTCAGGGACAATAAGCATTTCTTTAATTGATTCACGCTTTTCTGCTTTATTGTTAGGTTTTTTGCTTAACCCTGATAAGTACCTTTGGAATTTTTTCGTAACTTTTCGCTGATTTTTATTGGGCTCATAATTGCTTGCATCCATCCTTATCGTATTTAATTTGCAGCAAGATTTGCTTAAGTTTGGTTTATAATAGTAATTTCCACATCTTCTTCAGCCTTTAAGCATAAGGTCTTCATAAACGTTGACTTTCATCTTTTCGCACACTAATCCGAAGCTAGCAGATTTTCCAGTTTTGCAGTATCCGCATTTATTGCCAGTTTGTTCGCCTATTAGGTTGACTAAGCTCATCTAAATATGGAACTTTCTTTTTATAAATTCTGAATAATGAGAAAATGCATTGAAAATTTAGCGTCCAAACATAAGAATTAAAATTTATCGCTCTTTATCATATAAATTGAATTATTTTAATATAATGATTTTTATATATTTTATCTATATTTAAATAATTCCCAATTAAAAAACTTAATTTATAATTAATAAGCTCTAAAATCACTGTCATTAACTTATTATAAGAGAGCTAAAAAAATAAGATAGTTTTATTAAATAGGAAATGGATGAGAATGGGTTAGAAAAATGCGTCTCATTCTTAAGAGATGCCCTGAATAAAAAGTCACCTGCACTTCGGAATGATGCTGTTCTATCTCAATTTATCGAAAAAATCTATACTATGCTAGTTATAAGTGACATGGATTTGGTAGTAAAAATAAAACCAAATGGAAAACTTTGTATGTTTTGCAGCAAAATTATCAACGGAATTAACATTGGATCGGCTATAGGGCTCCAATGCAGCCCTTCTGAGCATTATTTCTGCAGTAAAAACTGCTTGAAAAAGCATGCACTATTATGCACAAAAAATACCTTACTGGATTTAGAATATGTAAGATGCCCTTCATGTAGAGTCAGCATTAATATTGACCTAATTAGTGACGCTTTTGAGGGGCATATAGAAGATATCCAAAGAGACGCCTGTGACCGAGCTTTAAAAGAGCTTTTAAATGAAGAAGAAAAAGAAAACCTGCAAGCCAAGTTTAACTGTGGAATTTGTTATGGGGAATTTAAAGTAGAAGAAAGCGTCACCCTTGAATGTGACCACAGGTTTTGTTTTCCCTGCATCAAAATGCATATGGAGCTACTCATAGAATCAGCCCAAGTAAGTGACGAACACCTAAGATGCCCGACCTGTGTCCAGCCACTGACTGCTTATGAAATTGAAGATATCGTAGGTCCTCAGCTTTACGAAAAATATGAAAAATTCCGATTAAGAGGCTTCAAGCTGTCAGCTGAAGAAGATGAAAATTCCATTTTGTTCCAATGCAGAGGGGTTGACTGTGAATATCTATGTATCATTGAAAAAGGAGTAGGACAGTTTACATGCCCAAAATGCAATTATAAGTGCTGCCCTATGTGCAAAAAAGATATACACGATGGGATGACTTGTGAACAGTTTGAAAAATATTTGAAGGAAAATGATAAAGAAAGCAAAGCTTTTGAGCAGCTTTTAAGGAGAGAAGGGCTACTGAGGTGTCCAGTGTGTGGGGCGGTTGTGGAGAGAATTGATGGGTGCGAGTTTATGGTATGCTCGTCTAGTGAATGCCAAGGGATGACTTATTTTTGTTATAATTGTGGGAGGAAATTGGAAAGAGACCATGAGCCTCATAGATGCAAAGTAAGGGAGTTGCCAGAGAATCAGCGGAATATGTATAGAGCGAATGAGGATATGATTGCTGAGGTAGGGAGAAGAGGAATTAACCCACGCCAAAGAGAAAGAATAAACAGATTAGGGGTGCATGCAGATGGTGTTGAGAGATTGCTGGGACGGCCTGCTTGGCGATAAATCGATAAATTAATTCAGTTAAAATTTTTAAAAATGAATCGACCCTCTAATGAAAAAATTGAAAATCTGCGAACCAAGCTAAAAATCATCAATTCTAACATCGTAGAAGCAAGAAATACACAAAAGAATTACTATTGTCAGCAGAATCCCAGATCTCAAACTCCTTTATCAGATTTGCGATCCCCAAGAAGCGAAATCTCAAAGCTTCAAAAAGAAAATCGAGAACTCGTTCAGAACTACCGCGAAAAAGAAGATGAAGTTATTAGGCTGACCAAAATGGTCGAAGAGCTTCAGCAGCAGCTAAAAGTCTCGAGAGCGCAATATCGTGCTGTTTCTGTAGAAAGAGCATGGAAACGTGATAGTAATAAAGAAAACGAAGTTGAAAGATGGGACCATTCATATGAAAGATTATACCAGCATAGAATAAAGAGGCTAATTTAAATAAATTTGTTACAGATAATTTAGGCCAATATCAGAAATTTATGTTTTCTTCATAGTATACCTCGATTTTTTTTCCCTGCTTTTAAGCCTGTCTTTTGGCTTATTTTTCCTAAATTTATAATAAATTCGATTTAAGACAGTTTTTAGACGCCTGCCGAACCTTAAAACTTCCTATCGATCATAGCTTTTTCTGCGCTGCTCTGAGGCTTAAATATCGAAAATATTTGTTTTACTTAAAATCATTTTAAATCTAAACAAAATATGGAGTCTGATTTAACACCACGCGCAAAAGAAGAACACGAGCACAAAGCCTACTCTAAGCTTCTTGAATTTGAAATCAAAGAATGAGAACAAGAAAAACTTCGCGAAAAGCTTGGCAAGCCATTTGGCCGCTTACCTCCTTTTAAACTTGACATATTATCTCGGGAATCTCCGACATTTCTCCGTCCTGATTCTAATAGAGCTTTTTCTACAGATAAACTTCTCATCCAAGAAGGCTCATCTACGGCACGTTATGGACATATACTTATTTACCAAGAATAGCCCACTAAGGAGCATTTTTTGGTTGGCCGGACAATAGCTGGCCTACCAAATTCGTTAGCATGCCATATTTTCTGGCTAACCAATTTAAAAATGGAAAACCAAAAAATGCTCCTTAGAGGGCTATTCTTGGCAAACAGGTATACTTATAAAGCTCCTAAAGGACTTCCTCCATTATCCCGAGATAAATCTGCAACAATAATTCCTAATTTTCAGCTGACTTTTGACAAGTTTTACCCCGTTTTAGAAGCTGTAAAAACAATAGGTCCAGACAAAAAATTATCACTCCCTCCTTCGAAAAGAAACAGATTAGGCGACGATAGCCCATTTTTCAGCCAAACTCCGAAAGAAATTGAAAAAATCCCAGAATCAGAGCAGTTTCAATTTGGAGTGCCAAGTGATAAAAATGTGTTAGAATTCAACCCATTTGTGAGGCCTTCAGGCAAAAATTATATATCCATTTGCAGTTAATAATACGTTTTATTATAATTTTTAACTTTAATCAGTAACAATATTCTTATTGTGAACGAGGATATTTCTTTCCTTTACTTTTCTATTAGTTATTGAGAAAAATGATTAGAAAAATTCCTATTTTTTGGACTTTTGGCTAGCAAGGAAGCTTTAAAATCATATTTTTTTTACAAATAATAATTTGATATATAATCAAAGGCCATACTAATGTGATTCAACTAAATTCTATTAAATTTAAACATCTCGAATCCTAAGACATTAATTTTACAAACTAAATTAGATTCTCCACGACAAAAATCTTGATTGTGTTCGAAAGATATTTTTATATATAATGTTAAAAAAAGGTTTCTTGTTAGTTAACAAAGAGGAAAAGTTAGAAATGTTTATTTGTGAAGACTTGAAATTTGAAGAAATGGATTATCCACAAGATGGGTTTTCGAGATGGAGGACTAAAGAAGGCCAAACAGTCTGAAACGAATGCGTAGTGATTAGTTATAACCAGCTCGCACACAAGTTTGCAATACAATGGAAAGATAAAGAAGGAATTAAAGAAGTGCCAAGGATGAATCTAATGTTTGCATGGGAAAATAAAGAAGAGTTTTTTAAGAAGCTCAAAGAAGCTGAAAACGCGAGGGTTGAGCATGAGGCTGGGGTGAGATATCTGGGGAGACTAGAAATAGAAACAAACTACGAAATCACCAATCAAAGAATTAAGCTGCCACTTAAAAGAGAAAAAAAAATCCTCAAAAGAGTCGGAAAAGTTAGTAATCCAGTCGTATTAGATGACATTATGAACGAAATAAGAGAGCATTATGTCAGAGGAATTGTGCAGTATTCCTTTGACCTCGAACATTTTGCAAAAGAAATGAAAAGGTCAGAAAAACCTTGGCTCGATCACTTAAAACGGCAAGAAAACGTCCATGATATGGTAATTTCTGAAACAAACTACAGCAGAGACCATATCTACGAAACTCAAGAAAAATTGCTAAAACTAACTCCCCCCCCCCCTCCGTGAGCGAACAAAACCATTAGAAAAATCGCCATTTTTTGACCAAAAACCCACCCTCCGTGAGTGAACAAAAATTTTTTTAATAGAAAAAATTTTAATGGAAAAAAATTTTGATATATAAGTGATAATTAGTATAATGAAATCTAGAGCTAATTCTGTTTAATTTTAAACAAATTGCGTTTTAAAAACATAAATTTTGCAAATTAAATTAATATTTGCTTCCCAATTTTTGCAAATTAGGATTTTTTTAAATTTCGAAAAAAAATATTTTTTATAAAATTTATATATAAATTTTTTTTAAAAAAAAAAATTAACCCCCCTCCGTGAGCGAACAAAATTTTTTTGTTCGCTCACGGAGGGGGGGGGGGGGGAGTAAGCGAAATCTCACCTGAGGAACAAAAAATTTTACTGAAAATAATTGGAGACATGAACACTATTAAATATATGAAATTTTACCATTATTTAATAGAAATTGACGCAAATGAGAGGATTCTCCCGATAAGTGACTTGGAGTACCAAATGAAAGAAGGGTACAAAGAAGTGAGAATAAAGATAGACGCAATAGCCAAAAGAGCACAAACAAAGCTGGAGCACTTTGATGATATGCCAGAAAAAAATTATTTGCTTGCAGAAATGCTGCTGGAAAGCAATTTGCAGGTCGCGGTGTCTGACTCAATTGACCAGCTGATGGATTATTTTAAAAAATATTATACAACGGTGCCGCTTAATACTGCTGGGCTTGATATTCTTTCTTTACTGCCAGAGCGTGTTTATAGGATTCGAGTTGAAGCAAGAGACAAGCTTAACCTTTATACAGCCCCTGTCCTAAAATTTTTTGAGTATGATGATCCTATAATACATTCTATCAATCTTGCAAGATGCTGCATTAAAAAATTACAAGAAAGTTTATACTCAAATGACGGCGAATTTTTTTCGTCTGATATAAAGCCGCTAGTTTCAATAGAAATTTTATCAAAAAGTATACTAATAAGGATTTTATAAGAATTTTTATTATTTGTATATAAGGATACACAGTCGTAAAGGATACATTACAAAAAATAAAAAAAGGCCAAGGGCTGAAGCTTTATAATATAGAATTTCAGCACAAAACTCGTGACGAAACTTTCCATCGCCGAAGCAAAAGAGTGAATACACAGTTGTCCTCACAAAATATCAAAAGAGACTCCATGCACGACCCTGTCAGAAATTTGCTAGCAAGTGATGAAGAATGTAAAATAGACCCTGATTATATATTTGAGACCAAAGGCAAGCCCAGCTCTTTAATGAATAATGAGCTCTGCTGGCTAAAAGTTGATTGTAAATCATTTAATATGGTTTTCAGCCCAAGTCTAGAATTTATTGAAGAAGCTTTTAAAGACATCGTCAAAGTCCCGCTGCGAGCTATTTCTACAATTAGAAGAATTAAAAGAAATAGGGCCTGAAATGACCATATTTCAGTAAATAACGCAAATTCTGAATACTCCAGGTTTATGTCTATGGCAAGGGAAGCTTTGCATTACAATTTTTATGGCCCGGTTTCGCTGTTGGCAATATTAAGAAGCTATGACTATTTGGTGAAAATGAAGGTAAATCAGCTGTTTAAGTTTATAGTGCAAGAACATATTGATGATTATGCAGGGCTGCGCAATGAAATGATTAGGCTGAATGATGATATCGATTTCTTTGAAAATAAGCTACCTACTGTGATGAAATTTGGATTATTACAAGTAGATTTACGATTAATAAAAAGTGAACTTTTACATAACTCCCAAGAACTGCTAAAAAATCTAAAGCTGGAGCTAGAAGATGAACAAATTGGGATCTTAAATGAAGCCTACGAAAAGCTTGACGCCATTGTAGCGAAACTCCACTGCCAGCCTAAAACAGTTGAAGAGTTCGTAGAAATGCAAAAATATTTAGAAGACAATGGAGACCTCAAAGAATTCCAAAGAGTCGAAGAAGACTTAAACCAGGTTTCCTATATCATGCAAACCTTAGATTATTTTAAACATGCAGGAAACCCTGAATATTTAATGAAATGGTGGGAAACCAAATCATGAAATTGAAAGCTGCAGCTCGGCAGAGAAGAAGCTTTAAAGTCATTGGAAAAGCTTTTCCCTATGTTTCGAGAGCTTGTCAAACAAAGTGTTGTCGCGCTAAAAGAAAAGCTGAAAGTTACAAAAAATTCTATGGCTGAGTTCGCTGCCCTTTATGACATAAACCAAGGCGACGTGCTGCATACCCTTTTATCAGAAAAATTTTGTTGAATTTTTTCCTTACAGACATTTACTCGAAAAAAGTTAAAATTCAAATTTCTCATAATAGGAATGTTCAGATTAAATGGCAAGTAGCCAGCGACGTGTATGCTGCAATGGCTAAAGAAATCATACTAGAAATTGACGAATTCTCAAATGAAAGTGAGCTAATAAACAAACGAGAAGAAGTTTTAGGCTTTGCCAAGTCAGATTTTTCTGAAATCCAAAGGATGAAGGACGAGTTTAACAAGTACTACCAGCTTTGGAGCTATGTAAGGCTCTGAAACGAAAGGTGCAACTCATGGATGTACCATCCTTTTAAGTTCATTAAAGCTGGACAAGTAGAGGAAACCCTTCGAGACGGAATTTCTCTGCTAAATAAGCTAGAAACTGAGTTTACAGGGAACCAAATTTTATTAGGTGTTGTAATAGAAGTCCAGACCAAGCTGAGTGCTTTTGAAAAATACTTGCCATTTGTCCTATGTTTAAGTGACAAAAGCATGCTCATGAGGCATTGAAAACAGATTTGGGACCTTTTAGGACCTCTAGACGTAGATATGCTTGACTCAGCAAGGCTGGAATCACAAACTCTGCAGCAGCTTTTGGAGAAAAAAATCACATCATATTTAGATAAAGTTACAGAAATTTCAATGATCGCTAGACATGAGCACGAAATAGAGCAGGTGCTGTATACAATTGATAAGGATATTAGTGCCAGGTTGAATATTGAGCCTGTTGAAGACTACCCTGATATATTAATTGCCACAAAAGTGGTCGAAAATCTTTGTATCATTAAAGAGCATCATTTAACGCTGACTTTTCTATTGAAATCGTCTAGATATGTGGATTATTTTAAGTCACAGATTGTGGAGAATCAGCATATATCCTATTCTATCTAAATAAATTTTTCATATATATACATTGTATTTCTTTTATAAACATTCAAGGGATCATATATACTTTCCAAGCTAAAATATTTCCTTGAAGACCTTAACAATTTCCAAAACAAATGACTCGACCTATACCCACTATTTTCACTCCCAGAAATATCTGAAGCAATGAGACAGGAAACCAGTGAAATCAAAGAAATCAATACAATGTACCAAAAACGCTTGGAGTTTTTGCAAAGCAATTCTATTGGTTCTACAGCCTCTGAAGGGCAGTTTAAAAGTATCATTGAAGTTAATGAAAGACTTGACGCAATCAGAGAAAAGCTAAAAAGAGAGCTTAAGAGGAAGCAGGAAACCTGTGCAAGATTCAGCTTTATCGTCTTTGAAAACCTGCTTGCTATGCTAAAACAGATTATTCTTGAAAAGCCAGTAGACCTAAGCTTGCTTTTTTCTGGCCTGATTGCCGCACCTACGAATTCCCATTCTTTGTCAATAATTTCAAGGAAAAATTGCAATGTGGAGCTGATAGACTCAGTAACTATTTCTATAGCTAGCAGAAAAGTCCCTATAGAAAAATGGGTCAGTGACTTAGAAAGGAGCTTGGTCAAGACTTTTCAAGCGGAATTTAACAAAAATATAGCGGAAGCTTTTAATAATGAAAATTGGTGGATGAGTGTAAAAGACCCACAAATTCTGAAAACTGTGCAAATAGCCAAGTTTTCTTATGAAATCAATGATATTTTATTTGTACAGAAACGCAGGCCACTGCTAAGCAATCTGAGAGAAAAATATTTAGCACTGCATAACAAAGTGGCTGAATTTGTATGTCCTCTGCATAAAGAAAATTGAAAGGTTAACAACACAACGCTAGAAGGGATTTTTGCAATAGAAGAAAAAGCAAAAAAAAGGAAACTTTTTATACAGTTTTCGATAGACCTGCTTTCTTATATAAACGTAATTGATAACTTGCTGGGATCTTCTGACGATTTTCACTGGATTTCTTTTATAAAATACAGACTTTCCGGAGATTTCTCAAAGTTCCCTACAAATTTCCAAATTTCAGTCGAAATTCTTGATTTCGTGCAAGATTTTGGCTATGAGTACCACGATATGGAAAGATATATCCCTACGCCTCTATCAGACAGGACCATGCTAAACATAATCAACACAATCCACAACGGCTACAGCTCAATCCTTATGGGTGACAGCAACGCTGGCAAAACCACTATGCTTAGGCAGCTTGCCATGATCTGTGGTAAACCTCTCTGTATTTTGCGCTGCACAGAGTCTTCTACTTATAAAGTTATCATGAATTTACTTATAGGATGTGCCCAAGGAGGATATTGGGGAGTTCTAGAAGAAGTAAATTACCTTGATATTTCTTTAATCAGTACTATGCTTTTTCACTTACGAGACGTTCATGAAAAACTCCAAGGAAAATATAATAAAGTACTTATAGGGGAACGGCTAATAAAAATCAACCCAGGGTTCAGCTTATTCTGTACCACCTCTGCCAGGAACCCAAAAGCCCCAAAATCAATGTACAGCTCTTTTAGACCTCTAAAACTAATTGAGCCAAATTTTACGATTGTAGCGGAATACACCTTGGCGGCTTATGGGATTAAAAACGCAAAGGAATATGCCCAAAAAATAACCACGACTATGAAAATCCTAGAAACCAATTTTTATTCAGTTACCCGGCCTATTCTGTCTGACACCATTTTTGCGTTTTCTACAGGAGTTTCTGGGCTGCAAAGGCTTATGCAGAGGATAATGGATTTAGCTGACAAAGACCCGAGAAAAGATATGAATATTATTATAGCGGAATCTATATATAAAAGATACTCTAAAGAAATGAGGGATGGGCTGATTGACGTTTTAGTTGAAGTTTTGGAGTCAGTTTTTAAGGTAGATTTGGAGTATCATAAAGAAAATAATGGGCTGGAAAAGCATAGAAATTTATTTATTGAGGCTATGCGAGACTTAAATATTGTGCCGTCAGAAAATTTGCTGATAAAGTGTCTAATCTTAAATCATGCATAAGATATTTTTGAACGATTTTAATTTTTTTAAGAATGCTGCTACAAATGAATTGGGCTGGATACTTTATTTTTAGAAGCTAAATACAATGAAATCTTATTTATGTAATTAAATCGACCGTATCTATCTGTCTTCTCACCCAATTAGCCTTGTCCATGAGTTGCGTCACGAGGTTGAGTGCACTTACTCCCCCATTTTAAATTGGAGCAAGAATCCTGATCCAATTTAAAGGGGGTGAAGTTTTGAAATTTTTTTTTTTAATTTTTTTCAACCCAAAAATGCAAATTTTACCGATATCTTACTCCAATTTAAAAGGGGGAGTTAGGCCTCCATTTTCTATATATGTTGATAAAGTGTCAGACGTTGTGGAATTTAGTTATAAACGTAAAAAGAAGGAAATGGGTTATAGTGTCCGGGCCTCCTTGCACAGGAAAAACGTCAATTTTGACTGTGATTGCGTGGGCTTATGCTTTGAAGAAATCCAGAGGGTTTTGTATTCATAAGCTTAGTAGTGATTTTACTGCCAAAATGCTGGACCGACTTGTAGACTTTACTACAAATCCAAGCATAGCTCCGAAACATTCAATGTATTGTACTTTTCATATTTCTAAGTATCCAATGAAAACTGGCTACACTTCTAATGATTGGATTGCAATTGATTCCAAAGACATAGACTTTGAATTCGCTCTTTTATACTCATATTGTATATATCTCGTGCATATTATTAATATAAAAACATAAAAAAATATAATCAGAGCTTAATTTATCACAGTATAAATTCTATGACAAAGCCCATTTATTTTTCATCAGAAGGGAAAAAAATCCCGCTCAGCCTGGACTCAAAATTGATTATAGAAGTAGAAAAACTTGACAAGCTAACGCCTCACGATTTATCAGACTTTTCTGTTTTCTGCACCTCATCTATCGATTTAGACCCTAAAATTCTATACCACAATATAGCTTCAAAAATAGAAAACTCTGATAAAGATTTTTTTGAAATCCAATACGAAAAAGTGTGGCTTCCTCTCTACAATTTTGTGAATTCCTGCGAAAAACTGAATTTTAAGCTAGAATACCGCATCTGGATTATACAGTTTTTAAGGCTTTTCCAAGCATTAATGAAAGATCTTTCGAGTGATTTCGTCAAAAACCACTCAGGGACCTTTAATAATCCTATTCAGAAAAAATATTCAAACCAATTATCCTTTAAGCCTAATCCAAACCTGTCTTTTTCTATGGACTCCTCATTTGACAAATCAAAAAATGGCAAAAATATGAACTATAACCCTGAAGAAGTCGACAAAACTGGAGAAATGATGTCTAACTTATTGCAGTATATAGCTGGGCTGAAAAGTAACGAAAATAACCCGGTAGCTCCTGCACTTTTGTGGGAATCTTTATATATAAACGCTATAGTCTATACACTTGGGTCTTGTTTATGCGAAGACGATAAAGAAAAATTCAGCCAGGTCTTATACGGAATTTTGGAGAATTTTAACGACGCCTATGCAGGAGGGCTAAAATCAAGAATGCTAGAAGGTAAAGGACACTCTATTTTTGACTATTATTTTTCTACGACGACTAATCAATGGATGTCCTGAAGTGACGACACATTTTCTATCCAATCAGAGCTTGTCCCTAAATCTAATTTTAACAACCCTTCTACCTCAACCCAATACCATAAGCAAAAAACAATAAAAAACGAAGAAATCATCAGAGAAGCAATAAAACCTAAAAAAGCCCAAGAAGCCTTAAGTCTGCTTAACAGCAACGAAATAATGATGATCTACACCAAATAATTAAATATGGCGTCTCAACTTGGGTCTGGCCTTTCGGCCAGACAGTTTCGAGCCCTATTTAATTATATCCGGCAAGGTTTTGCCTAGCTAGAGATGGACAGCAATATCAGGTAAGCAATTCTGGCAGTGTACAGAGCCTGATCCCAGTCCGTTCTCGGGCTAGGATTTTACCTCGAGGGAAGAGGAAGCTTGGAGTTGGAAAGGAGAAGCCCAGCAGAGCCTACAGGTAATCCCTAGGCCAATTGGGCAAGTCTCTAGCGAGAAACCGGGAGTTTCGCCCCGGGCTACAAGCTTTCCTCTTTTGCCGAAAGTCGGCCAGAAATTCCATTTTTTTGGAATTTCCCAGCGGACAACCCTCGTTATAGAGAAAGTAGCTCATTCATGAGCCTTCGAAGCCGGAACACTGCGCAGGAGGCGCGCGTTGGAGATCACAGCTAGCTGTCCCAGCAACTAGTGGGCCCCGAGCGACGAGAGCGTGGTGGTAGTCCTGGAAGAGCAACCCGTAGGAGACGTTAAACGTCATGGTTAAATAAGTTAAGTTAAGATGATCTACACCAAAACTTCTCGAAAAACCTTATATTGGCTGAACTACTGTTTCCAGAGAAAAATCCATACTTTTTTATATGGTCACCATCAGACAGGCAAGACAAGCATAATACAGCATCTTTTGCATCGACAAATTGAGTCAGGGTATTGCGGAGTTTTGTCAATAGCCCTGACTGAAAAAACTATTGTGGGCTCTGTTCAGCATATGATATCAAATTCAATGGACCATATAAGGGACAATTTTTTAAGAGGCCCAGGAGGTGTAAAGCAGTTTATCGTGATTGACGATTTAAATTTGGACGTTGAAGGGAATATTTATGAAATGATGAGGTTTTGGAATGAGACTGGAGGGTGGTATGATGAGCAGTTTTTGACGGTCAATGATTTAGTGCTGCTGCCTGTCCATGGGTTTGGGAAAATCAAGCGACCATTGTACCAGAGAGCTTTGAGGAATTTTGTGATTGTTTATAAGGAGCCTTATTCTGACGCAGAAATTGGGTCGATTTTTAGAGAAACAATTTCTGTTGAAGCAGTATCGTCAAGCGAAAATAGCGAAGAAGGAGAAGATATGTACTCAGTCATGGATTTAACAGTAAATTCTTATATAAAGCTGTATGAGAAGCTAAAAGGGTATTTTGAGGAACTTGAAAAGTCTTGGCTTAATATTAATCTGCAGAAATTCATGGACTGCTTAAGATGCATAGGAAAATTCAGGATGGTCGAAAACCTTGAATTGACTGATTTTCTTAAAGTCTGGAGCTATATCAATAAGCTTTATTTTGTGGACCAATTCTGGTATATACCTGAAAATGAGGAAGAAGACAAAAAGGCTTTATGCCTTTTACTAGAATTCTCTTGTAGCCATTTTCTCAGCACTATTTGGTCGAAAATTTTTCTAGCCTGACATGTATTTTAAAAAACCGGAAAATCTGACTGGAAAAAGCTCGGCTAATGATGTAAGAAAATATTTTCCTAGAAAAACCCCGCTGCATACAAAAAGCTGGAATCATCAGCGAAATTTACGATATAATCCAAGACCATTATTACGGTTTTCTCAACGAATTTGAGCAGGACGAAGATAATATTGAAGAAATTGAAAAATCCGCAATTTTGATTGACAAATCTATAATCAGCAATGGGCCTAGCGAGTATGTCTCAATAAACCAAGAAATCGGTGCTTTAATTTTAAACAAATTTGACGAGGCAATAGAGAAATCCAAAACAACCCATTCAGAAGAACTGAAACATCTCTGTAAATGCTATTTCACCCCTGAAAAACTGCTTGGAAAATACATTAATCTGTATATAAATATTTTGTTCGATATACAGCAGAGGAATCCTTGTGAAATTGTGACGACCGCTCATGAAGCTTATGTGGTCCGAGCTCTTGCGATTGCTGCAGGGAATACTCTGGGGATTCCTGTGTTTAACATGAATAAAGGCCAGAACAGCCAGGAATTAGTGACTAATGATTTTGAAAATTTTGGGATTGGAGCTCATTTCCCGCTGCCAATTGAAGCTCGTTATAACTTTAAAAAGATTATTGATAGAGCTTGCTTAAACAAGCATTCTTTGATCACATTTACAATTCTTGACAACAATTTGAATACGTCTTTTATGCTTTTTTCATTGAATTTTCATTATAATTCTACTAAAAAGAACATTTTTCAATATATTTTTGGAGGGTTATTAAAGGGATGCTGGAAATTTTCAATGATATTGCAAGTGCAAGCGCACTTAAAGCAGGACAGTGCTTAAAATTCATCCAAGAAGCGATCCAAAAGATGAAAAAAGACTTCCCAAACCTGAAATTTTTGCTTGACGAGCAGCTTATTCAGTGGGTTTTTGAACAAATCAGGACTTACACCACAATAATTCTTATTGTAGAGACTGAGCAGTATTTGTTTACTAGAGCTCCTAATGAACCTCAAGGCGTTCTAGAGAAACTTAAGTACTTTTACTTGCCTCTCTACAAATCCTCAAGACTCGTGTGCTATAATACCTTGAAAGCTCCTTATTCTATATTAGAAGCTCTTGTTATTCAAGAAGACTTTTTAAACAAATGGGCTTCAGATCTAGATAATTCTATATTATCAGGTTTTCTGGCTCGCTACCAAGCACTTACCAGTGATAAAGAAGAAGCAGAGTATACAGTTGAGCTATTTACATACTATACCAATAAAATTCATCAGAAAAATTTATATTTTTCTAAATTAATTAATTGGAAATTAAAATGTATTTAATAAATATTGTAAATTTCTTATTATTTGCCAGAATTAATCCTATAAAGACTAGATACAATCGAAAAGAAGCTGGAGTATCTCCACAAAGCTATCAAAAAAGCTGAGTTTTTAGACCATGAAGTTGAGCACTCCCATGAGAGAATCACCAAAATTGAAGATGAGCTATCCTTACAAAGCGCCAGGCTTCAAGAGCTGGAAAAAACAAAGCATCAACTAAGCCTTGATTTGCAGTTCGTCGAGAGCGTAGGGTTTTTGGCTGATTTTTTTGTGGAGTATGAAACAAAAAAAGATGAGTTTTTGGAACAATATGAACAAGCTAAAGAAGACTTTGAAGGACTTGTAGAAAGTGTTGTCCCTGAAGATTATGAAGAACTGGAAACGCTTTCAGCGTTTCCTATGCCGTTAATGGTTTTGGGAATGGGATTAGCAATGCTGACTTCTAGCAAAATAAATAGTTTTCTGCATGAGAAGCTGGAATCGGTAGCTAAGCCAATATTGATAGGATTTGGGAAAAATTATAGAGAAGCCCAAAAAAAGCTGAGGAGGATAAAGCTAGAGACGATTCCTGACTTGTCAGAAGTTTTAAACCACCCTGCAGTAAGAGATTTTGGAGGAAATAGGCTACAGAAATCTTTTAAAGCCATATATAGAATTATTGATACATGCCAAAGATATAAGACTCTAAGTGAGCAGTATGATATTAAAGAAAATGAATGGGCCGAAGCTGAAAAATTATTGCCAATAGAAAAAGAGAATTTAAGAGCAAAAGAAAAAGCAAAAATCATTGAAAGCTTGAGCAAGCTAGAACCAGAAAGAGAAGCCTTGAAGAATCAAATTCAAAAGCTAACTTCCCTTGTGTATCGAAAAGAAATTGGAAAAAATAAATGAACCCATAGAGCAGATAATTTTTTATATAAAATATTTTGATATATATAATAATTATATTAATATGCAATTTTTGAAACATGATATAAAGATTTTAAACAAAAATCCTCTGTTAAGAAAAAAAATTATTTATCACTAACTAAGCAGCTAAGCAAACTGATAGAAACAATAAACAACCAAAAACCCAAAGCAGCCGTCCTCACCCGCGCTATGAAGGCTCATAGAATGAAATGGGTCCACGAAATCAACGAGTGCCAAGGGCAATCTGAGCAACTTTATGGAAACTCCATCATTCTAGCATTCATGCTTCTTAAAGGCCTCCACTACCGCCACCCTCAGCGTGATACTTTAATCGACGAGCTTTGTCAATTTTTAATTTCAAAAGAAGTAAAATTCCATAAATCTCAAAAAGCCTTGATTCACCAGCTCACATTTGACCCATTTTTCTATGAAAAATGCAACCTTATTTTGCCTGACTCTTTATTTTTCAAACAAAGTGCAGCTGCAATCAGTGCAGTTTTTGAGCTAGACCTTCCTTACCCCCTAATTTATGACACAAATGGGGTTGCTGCTAGATTTATCCAGGAACGAGAAGCCAAAAACCTCGAAACCCTTATGCTGGAAGCTGGTTTTGAGCAAAAACTCAGCAAAGCTATGATTGAAGGCAAAGCCATTTTAGTTATAAACCCTTCCCCTTCCATTTACAAAGTTTTAACCCCAATCATCTCCTTACGATCCCAAGTCTCCTTTGAAAACTTGCGTGGTAATAAATCCGAAACTGCCAAACAAATAAAAATTTCGACAAAATTATGCCCTTTTAACATGGATTTCCGACTATATATTTGTACCAGAGAAGTGCCACATACTTTTGTAAAATCAATGATGACGTTTATATCAATGGACTTAATGGAGCCAAGCAGCTGGAAATCTTATGAATACTCACGAATTGTAGAGCTTGTCGACAATAAAGACTACTTAGCGAAGCTAAAACAGTACGGAAATGAAATAAATACAAAGGAAACTAGTAAAAATGCTGAAGAAGAGCTATTAAGATATATCGCTGATGATAATTTTACAGACATTTTGGCTGATGAGCAATCTTTAGAAGCGATATATAAAAAATGGAAAAAGGCTTATACGTTTGACACTGAAGGCTTTGATAAGAAAAACATGACAAAAAGTTTTGATGTGAGGTCGCCCACAGCTATAGAGGCTGCCTTTGAGTAGCGCTCTAAGCGCCCGAGACTTCCCGACGAAGTCTGGGCGGTGGTTTGACCAGCTGATATTGGTCGAACCAGCATCCAATTTGACAAACCTTCTGTATAAGAAGAATTTGTCATTTTGGATGTTGGTTTGACCAACATCAGCTGGTCAAACCACCGCCCAGACTTCGTCGGGAAGTCTCGGGCGCTTAGAGCGCTACTCAAAGGCAGCCTCTATATATATGATAAGAGGGTCAGAACTTTTGAACCGCCGAGTGAAAATGATGCACCGATTATACTGATGGCAGAGCTGCAAGGGTTTTTAGACGAACTTTATGGAATTTTGAAGTCCATTGATATACTAAATGGAGAATTTGGCTGTTATTCTATATCTAGTCACATTTTTTCTGTGTTAATTGATATTAGTATAGCGGAGTTTCAAAAAGAAGGAGAATTGCCTGGGGTTGACCAGCTAGCTGCAAACTCTGGGTCTATTGTGTATAGAATTGTAGTTAGGATCTGCAATAGTTTACCCACAAATCTGAGGCATAGGTTTTTGATTTATATTATGCTGAATAAATACTATGAAACTCATAAACCGGACTCAAAAGAATTTCTGTCGATTTTGCAAGATATTAATATAAATATTGTACAGGAGCCTAAAAGCCATGATAATTATCACAGGCTCTCAGAAATGCTAGGAAAATACCCCAATTTATTGCCTCCTGACCTTACAATTGATTCTTCACAGATAAAGTTTTTCCTGTCAAATCCTTTATATCGTGATTCACGCCTTCCACATACAGTTGTGATGCCTCATAAGCTGCTACTATATTCTGCATTTCGGCCTGAATTAATTTCTCAGCTGATCCCTGAGCTACTATCAGAAACTTATGGCTATAGATTCATTTATATTCCTCCACCTGTTTTCAAGCTTGTTACAAGCACAGACGAGTCCACGCCAAATGCTTACCCTATAATGATTTCTTATGAAGAAGAAAATCCAATTGAAATGCTTAAATATGAATGCGAAGAAATGTCAATTCCTTTTGAAGTCATTGAGCCACTTATGATAGGCCAAATAGGCAAAGACAAAAAAGACATCGCTATGAAAAGCAACGTCCGACCAATTATTCAAACCCTACACCAAAATTCTGAAATGAGGAAATGGATCATAATAGACAATATACAAATTTTAAATAAAATCGAGGTAGAGCTGCTTTATACAGTGATAGACGAAGTCATGAAAAACCCTGGAATATCTCCAAGCTTCAGGCTATGGATTCTTCATGAGGGCTCTTTAGAGAACTCCCCACATCTCTGGCTTCTGTTTAAAAACTCGTTAAAGCTTCATTTCAGCGCTTTGAAATCGAGCCAGGAAAAACTGATCCATTGGTATATGACAAGTGACCAAGATTATTATATACATTTCCGTGATAAGGTCATTAATAAGTACCATTTCCATATTTCGTCAAACCCGACGGCGACACAAGCTTTATTTAGCAGAGCTTCTAACTCTCTCAATCCTAAATTAAATTGATGCATTGTCTAAAGTCTGCCGAGAATTTATATAATGTATTGGTAATATTTTATTTTGCTTATTTATGGTAAATTGATTTTAAAATGTCAAAAAAAATTTTGACATGTCATTACATATAAAACTGAGTCTATGGTATGTTAAAATTTTTTTGACATTTTAAAATCAATTTACCATAAATAAGCAAAATGAAATTTATGCAAAGGATTATATCGTTTATTGCAAATTTTTGAACACTGTCGTGGCTTGATCAAAAGTGGGAACATAGATTGAAGGTGCCAATTTGAAAAGAGACCTTTGTAATTAAAAATTAAAATTATCTATCTTCTCACAGTTCCACTTCTTCTTATTTTTGGGGGAGATGAGCTGTTGCAGCTGTAGTCACATGAGCATTGAGCATCCTTATTTGTGCTAATTGGGCTTGAGATGAATCTTTTTCAATTCTGCTTTCATTATGATCTCGCTGAAATAAAGGGTTATCAGGTTCATAGTAGTACGTAAATTGTCTTTAAATACTCTTTTCCTAAGCACCTAAAGTAATAGATACTGAGTAAATAATATTTTTGGATTATTCGCAAGTGCTATTCTCACAAATTGGTTCTTTTTGCCTTTGCATCTTGCTGGAGGAAGCTGGACTTGGGATCTTGTTGGTAGAGGTATTGTGGACATGTATGCTTATGCAAGAAAGCTAATGGATGTGATTGAATAATCAGGCAAATAATACCTGATATGCTGTAAAAGCGCATATAGGTTTGCTTTATCATGATTTCCGACAGCCTGAGGCAAAGGAATCTATATGATGTTTACTTCTTAGTAGTTCATATTTTAATTAATGGAAAAATATTTCATGTGATAAAATTTTTGGTACGGCAAAATGGCTGAAATGTAAATTCTGATAATTCTGATGTAATAACAAAAATGGCAAATGCAGATTATCCAATATACTAGGTAATAAAATAAACTTTGTTGTGATAAAAGTTAGATTTTGCGATTTAATTTAATATTTAATAAAGAAGTTAATAATAATAAAGTGACATAGCATATACACAATGCATATGCACTATTAAAATTTCATTAGTTAAAATCAAAATTCATTCCATTTTTCTTTTATTTCGCTTATATTTCGTTACAAAACTCCTCACCGGAACTCGCTCCATGAGGGTTGACATTTATTTAAAACTCCATTTTTTTAATTTTAGATAGTGAAGTTGAAATTCAAAGTAGCATAGCATCTGCACGACGCAGATGCGCTATTAAAATTTCCATTAGTTGAATCAAAATCCATTAGATTTGCTTTAATTTCCCTATATTTCAAAGTCAAACTCTTCACCGGAACTTGCTCCATGAGGGGTGACATTTTTATAATAAGCCAATTTTTTTTAATGCTTTTATAATGAAGTTAAGAATAAAGTGATATAGCATGTACACGATCCAGATGCACTATTAAAATTTCCATTAGTTGAATCAAAATTCATTAGATTTACTTGAATTTCCCCTATATTTTAATGCAAAACTGCTCACTGGAACTCGCTCCATGAGGGTAACATTTTTATAATAAGCCATTGTTTTTTAATTTTTAAATAAATCAGCACTCACTATTGGAGTCATCAATATAATCATTTTATTTTATATATTTATAAAAATATTAATTAGATTTTCTAGCGCATCTGATTTCTAGTTAATATTTATATATTTACATATTTAAAAAAATGGCTTATTACAAAAATGTCACCCCTCATGGAGCGAGTTCCGGTGAGGAGTTTTGCATTGAAATATAGTGCAAATTAAAGCAAATCGAATGAATTTTGATTTAACTAATGGAATTTTTTATAGTGCATCTGCTTCGTGTACATACTTTGTCAATTTTGGTTTTTAACTTCTTTATTTTTAAAATTAAAAAAAAATGGCTTGTTAAAAAATGTTACCACTCATGAAGCGAGTTCCGGTGAGGAGTTTTGCAGTGAGATATAGGGAAATTTAAAGCAAATTGAATGAATTTTTGATTCAACTAATGGAAAATTTTAATAGCGTATTTGCATCGTGTATATGCTATGTCACTTTATTATTAACTTCTTTATTTAAAAATTAAAAAAAATGGCGTATTAGAAAAATGTTACCCCTCATGGAGCGAGCTCCGGTGAGGAGTTTTGCAATGAAATATAGGGCAAATTAAAGGACATTGAATGAAATTTTCATTCAACTAATGGAAATTTTAATAGTACATCTGCATCACGTACCTGCTCAGGCACTTTATTGTTAACATCTTTATTTAAAAATTAAAAAAAAATGGCTGATTAGAAAAATGTCACCCCTCATGGAGCGAGTTCCGGTTAGGAGTTTTGTATTGAAATATAGGACAAAACAAAGCAAATTGAATGAATTTTGATTCAACTAATGGAAATTTTTATATAGTGCATCTGCATCATATACATGCTCAGGCACTTTATTCTTAACATCTTTATTTAAAAATTTTTAAAAATGGCGTATTAGAAATGTCACCCCTCATGGAGCGAGTTCCGGTGAGGAGTTTTGTAATCAAATATAGGGCAAATTAAAGGAAATTGAATGAATTTTCATTCAACTAATGGAAATTTTTATAGTGCATCTGCATCTTGTGCTTGCTATTGTACTTTATTCTTAATTTAAAAATTTTTAAAAAAATGGCGTATTACAAAAATGTTACCCCTCATGGAGCGAGTTCCGGTGAGGAGTTTTGCAATGAAATATATAGCAAATTAAAGTAAATTGAATGAATTTTCATTCAGCTAATGGAAATTTTTATTGTGCATCTGCACCATGTGCATGCTATGTCACTTTGAGTTCATTTTATTATAAAAACAGTAAAAAAAAATGGCTGATTAGAAAAATGTTACCCCCTCATGGAGCGAGCTCCGGTTAGGAGTTTTGCATTGAAATATAGTGGAATTTGAAGCAAATCAAATGCATTTTTATTTAACTAATGGAATTTTTTAATAGCGTATCTGCATCGTGTAGATGCTATGCCACTTTAAGTTATAAGTTCGTTATTAAAATTTAAAATAAATCTCAATATTTAACTTCTACCACAATAAAGTTAATTTTATTTACTAGTGTCAGAATTGCCAATTTGAGTGTTACGTATTAAGATTTCTCCTACCTGCAGTGGTAAAATTAAGTTTGTTTGGTTAGAGTATATTGGATGATCTGCATTTGCCATTTTTGTTATTACATCAGAATTTACATTTCAGCCATTTTGCCGTACCAAAAATTTTATCATATGAAATATTTTTCCATTAATTAAAATATGAATTATCTATTACTTTAGGTGCTTAGGAAAAGATTATTTAAAGACAATTGCGTACTACTATGAACCTGATAACCCTTTATTTCAGCGAGATCATAATGAAAGCAGAATTGAAAAATTCATCAAAACTGCTGCAGGAGCTCAATGGCATTATGTCCACATTGCAGATCCGAACGATTTGCACTTCACAGCGAACCATCTGAACCAGCAAGAGCATTTAATCGCTAATAGCTTAGATAATTTTAATTTTTAATTACAAAGGTCTCTTTTCATATTGGTACCTTCAATCTATGTACCCACTTTTGATCAAACCACGACAGTGTTCAAAAATTTGCAATAAACGATACTATACTATTGGGACTAGTACATAAGGAAAATTTTAGTATAAAAATTCTCAAGCTATCCAATTTTATTCCATAAACCTTCCAATAAAAGATTAAATCAAAGATAGGGGTAAGTATAAAAAGTCATCAACCAAAATGCTGCCTTCGTCACTATTATTCTCTAAGCAAATAAAAAATGCACTAGCTATAATTTATCCAGAAATCCAGCAGGAGGGGTCTAAAGAAGCCAAAAATGAGCAAGAAATTCAATCCCCAGAGCTGGTTCATGAAAAATTCAAAGAAGCCTTAACCTTCAACTTTGGCGTAGTTTATTCCGCTTTGTCCCTTAGAGCTAAATTTATTAATAAATCCGAAATTTTGCCATCAAGAGACATGCATATAATAGTAGAAAAAGCCATTAGCATAAGCATCAAGCATATGCAGACCACAGATTTTAAAGACTTTGTCAGCTTTGTAAGCCTGAATTTCGGGACTTTTTGGAATTTAGATGACAATCCCTATAAGGTTTACGCTTTATTGAATTTTTTAAAGCACACAATTTCTACTGACTCCCCCCCCCCCCTCCGTGAGCGAACAAAACCATTAGAAAAATCGCCATTTTTTGACCAAAAACCCACCCTCCGTGAGTGAACAAAAATTTTTTTTAATAGAAAAAATTTTAATGGAAAAAAATTTTGATATATAAGTGATAATTAGTATAATGAAATCTAGAGCTAATTCTGTTTAATTTTAAACAAATTGCGTTTTAAAAACATAAATTTTTGCAAATTAAATTAATATTTGCTTCCCAATTTTTGCAAATTAGGATTTTTTTAAATTTCGAAAAAAATATTTTTTATATAAAATTTATATATAAATTGTTTTTAAAAAAAAAAATTAACCCCCCTCCGTGAGCGAACAAAATTTTTTTGTTCGCTCACGGAGGGGGGGGGGGAGTGAGAAGAAAAATTTGGTGTTTTGACTGCCTAATAAAAGCTCGCTGAGTTATCCTCTTTACCATATGGAAAAAATAGGACATGAAGGGGCTATTGATGCACTCATTGATAGTACGCCTAGCCAGGATCATTTAATGTTTGCAGGGCTGCCACATGTGTGGTATACAGACCAAGAAGCAAATAATGCAAAAATGGTGCTACAGATTATAAAGCCATTTTTACATACCATCACAGCACCTGTTTTTGGGCTTGATGCAGCTGCAGTTCAGACTCAAAAAGCTGCAGAGGCTTATAAAGAAGCTATTAGGACGATAGAAGAGCTGATGGCTATGATTCCTGAAATTCCTGAAATCCCTCTGGATAATTCTGGGGATTTTATATCTATAATTGAGGTCTATGAGAAAAAAGATTTCAATCATATATCCCAAAATATCTAAAAAATACAATAATATCTATTTTTTTTATAAAAAATTTATTATTTTTGTTTATTTAGGCTGATTTTATTGGTATAAATCAGTATAACTACGATCATAAAAGATAATTTAGAAAAAATTTATTTTTACCTTAATTACAAGACAGCTAAAATTTCCAAGGCAAATTGGCAGATTCTGTCTGATATTATAAATCAAAAAATCCCTGAAGAATGGAGCAAAAAGGGACCTTATTGTTCAAGAACCCATGAGTCCTCAAAGGATTTCTTAAGCCATATATTTAACCGTGTAAAAGAACTGAATTTTAAAGTCCCAATTATTGATTTAAGATCTTGCTATAGTCCTTATAGGCTTCTGTGGCTGTATTTAAGGCATGAAGCTATGAAAAATAAATGGAATCTGTATGAATGCTGCATTTCTGCATATATTTATGATGGAGCTCACGATGGTCTAGTTGTTTCAGGATTATCAATTCATAATGCGCTTCTGGAAGATGGACTTATAGTGAATGCTGACAATAAAGAGCTGAGATTTACATTGCCTCCTTTGCTGCTTAAGGTGATGTGCTCTTATGAGTCAATGCCAAAAGGCCTTACTGTGTATCTTGCTTCAAACAGCTCAAATATCCCTAATACAACTGAAATTTCTAGAGAAACAAGAATTAATTCCTTAGCTGAAGCACTCAGCAAGTCAATTCCCTACTCCAAAACTAAATCAAAGCCAACCCACCACCTCTGAAACCAGATCTTCTGCCCCCTTTTCCACGAGAAACTTGACTGCTGATTCATGTTTGACTCAATCCTTCCTCAATCCCACTGGAGCAAGAGAGCGCTTTCGGTTGACATATAAATTATTAACTAATTAAAAATATAGACTTGTTTTCTGGTAGAAATCAGTCAGCCACAGGACTTTCTGGAACTCCTCTCTGCCAATGCTTCCCTTTTCTGCTATGTCCACTTCTCTAAAAATGTACTTCACAACTTCTTGTATATCCAGCTTCGACAGATTTTCACGCGTCATAGTCTTTATTGCCAGAGATAAATCTTGAGGACTTATAGCGCCGTCTCCATCAAAATCATAAAGCTTGAATAAAACTATATAAGAAATACACGTGATTTTGGTATCTATAGGAGTTCTAGGACAAAATACAGTCAAATATAAGCAAAACTGGTGAAAAGTAATGTAGCTTATAAAATCAACAGACTCGAAATCCATTTTTACAGTGTTCAATTCTTTTTCGTTTTCTTGAGGCTCTTTTTTAGACTTTTCTTCTTCAGGGGCTACTTTAGAAGAAGCGGTAGGGGGTGGCTGCTTTGGCTGGACCTTGGTAAACAGCACATCTTCGTCAAGAGGTTTTTTTTCTTCTTCAGTGAGAGGAAGCCCTTTTATGTACTCTTCACTTTTTAGAGGTATAGCAATCCTTAGTCGGTGGCGGAAAGGGTTATACATGAGCTCCCGCATTGACAGAAACTGCTGATTTGTCAAAGCGTCGCGCTTCTGAGTGTCTAGCTCACTGAAACGTTTATAAAGTCCGATTAATTCTTTAGCGCTGTCTATTATTAGCGTTACAGTTTGTTTTCATTATTGTATCATAGATTTCTTCTGCTGTGATTGAGTTATTAGAAAGCAAAATTAGCTCCATGATGTAGTCTTCTTCAGTTTGGCTGCGAAATGCATTTCCCATTTATTGAAAATTTGAATTATTTGATACTCATATAAAAGCAGACTAAGTCTTTATAATGATTTTTATTGAATCTATTCTCTGTAAAGAAGTATATATTTGAGTTAAGATAATTTACTTGAAATTAGGAAAAGTGATAAATTGATTGTTGAGCTAATTTTAAATTATGCATTTAATAAGGTAGAGAATAAAATTATAGTTGTTTATGTTTAATTAGTTTTTCAGGGCTTACTTTATAAACTGAAGCGAGAACATTTACAGATGATTTCCTGATTTGATGATGTTTGTTTAAGATCAGCTTTTTTTTAAGATTTTCAAGCATTTTGTGAGCGGCGTCTGAGCTTTCTATGTCGATTCCTTTGGATTTTCAAAGTTTTCCGATTGGCTCGTATAACTGAGTGGAGTTATATTTTGGGCTTAGTCTCTTAATTGGTTCTGGATTTGTCTCAAGCCAGCTGTTTCTTTCTATATTCGTTTTTCCTAAAATAGGCTTACTCCCTCCTTGAGCGGGTAACCAATTTTTAGCTTTTTTATTTTTTAATGCAAGCAGGAGATCTCATTATAATAATATTAATCATTATTAAAGTTACTTGATTTAAAAGGATATTAAATTTAAAAATTTTTTTCACAAAGGATAATTTTCAATTTATTTTCTTGCGTATAGAGGAAAGTTAGAAAGCGACTTTAAACTAACGTAGCTTGAGCTTCGTTGTTTTGAATTTTTAGATTTGATAGGACTCATTTCTCTCCTCAATTCAATTTTACTTGTGCTTTGCTTCCTAAGAGAGTCTTGAGAAAAATGACGATTAGGGTGAATTGTTTTGATAGGTGACGATTGCCTTATTGAAGAGGAAGGCATTATCTTCTTATAAGCTTCAAAAGCTTTTTCATTTAGGATTGGTAAATTCATTGTATATCATTATGCAAAATTTATACTAATAAGCTGGGAATTTTAACAAAATATTGTAAATATTAAATTATCTAACCATAAAGAAAAATTATAAAAATGAATATAGGAATCCTGTAAATTATTTTGTAATAAATATATTATCAAAGATTGAGGCATAATAAACTCACAAAATGTATAATCTGTATGTCCAATCTCGAAAAATTCAAAAAATTTAACTATAAAGAGTGTCCATTAAAATGAACATTACAAAGAGAATCAATTTATTCTAAAATAAATAGCATCAATATATATGGCTCTGCTGAATTTGGAAAACCAAGAAGAAGTGAATTCAACAATGCTTTATGCAATAGAGAACTTATTAAATAAAGCAGAATTATATTTAGTTAAATAAACTGACCCATATATATGGACAGTTTATCCTTTCCGAATATATTTATTCAAAATATAAATTTTCAATAGCGAATTTCATCTTAGACCATGCAAAGACTTCGTTAACTTCCCCTCTCATAAGTGCAAATCTCAAAGTATTTTTTGTAAAATTCTATTAACTGTAATAAAATTTGATTTAGATCACTAGTTCAAGTAAATAATTTCTCTTTGGTTTATGGGCTCTTTTGTATAAAATATTAGTAATATCTTCCTTCATAGTTAACCAATGGCCAATCATGAAACCTTCAACACCAAACCTAGTCTTAATAACAAGAAATATAAGAGATATTGCAGTATTTTCGTTTCTAAGCTATTAAAATGCGCTTTATAGCATTTTTATACATGTATTGTCCCTACTGCATTCAGAATTTTTATATGGTAAAAATTTTAGACTAACAAATAGCAGAGTTAATAAAAAAATATACTGGTATAAGGATCCTTAAAATCGGCACTCATAGTCTATTCAAAAGATTTATTAAATTTGGCATAGGATAAAGCTTAATTAATATTTTATCTATTTATTTTTATATTGCTCTCATAGTATTTTTAAATCAGAAACGTCGTTTTTTTCTCTTTGAAGTTTTTTTATTCAAAACTTTATTTTTAATAGTGAAGTTTTTCCTACACTTTTAGCAATATTTTTAATAAGTGTTTGCTTACTCCCCCCCCCCCCCTCCGTGAGCGAACAAAAAAATTTTGTTCGCTCACGGAGGGGGGTTAATTTTTTTTTTTTAAAAACAATTTATATATAAAATTTTAAAAAAAATATTTTTTTCGAAATTTAAAAAAATCCTAATTTGCAAAAATTGGGAAGCAAATATTAATTTAATTTGCAAAATTTATGTTTTAAAACGCAATTTGTTTAAAATTAAACAGAATTAGCTCTAGATTTCATTATACTAATTATCACTTATATTTCAAAATTTTTTCATATAAAAAATTTTTTCTATTAAAAAAATTTTTGTTCACTCACGGAGGGTGGGTTTTTGGTCAAAAAATGGCGATTTTTCTAATGGTTTTGTTCGCTCACGGAGGGGGGGGGGAGTTAGTCATTTTTTTTGTGACTTTAGAGTCTGCCTTTGCACAGAGAAAGAGGTCAATGAGAGTATATCCTGCTCTTATTAGCAATGGTTTTGATAATCCAATCATCATTAATATTATATTTTTTCTCACAAAATGCTTCTTTTTACTATTTTAAGATTTAATTGATAAAAACATCACCTCACATATTCTATCGATTTTTCTAGCTTATTTAGTTTCAATATAATGAGTATATTTGGTATCTATTGCTATTTTATTTTATCTCTGCTTGATGCTGTTCGCTACTGATATAATCCTTTTAGATCCGAAGTTTTTTCAGTAAGTTTATTCCACCCCTATCTGAAGTTTTAATTTTCACGTATTTAATTTTTACCGCAAAAATTACAGTTTTGGTTTAGTCATTCTTGACTGAAAAAACTTTATTGAATTTTTTTCACTTGATCTCATGGGGGTTTTAGGGTTGGTGGGTTTCATGCTTGGCCAACCAAATTCAGCCATCAGAATTACATGTAATAAATCATAAATTTCCCACCATCTTCATGCATAAGCTGGAAAAAATACTAAAAAACCATTTTTATAATTTAATCCTTTTTTCAGTATTTAATTACTGCTTTCGGTGTTCCAAATTCAAATTAATTTTAAAATCTTTGCGTTTCAATAAAATCCCTTCAAAAATTTTTCTAATAAAATAACCGAATGGCAGGATATAGAAGCCAAAAATCGCAGTCTTGTACAAATGAAGCTTTCTCTTTTATGTCAACCTTATCTAGGTCTGAAAATTTAAACCTTGCAGTCCTGCTCTATGATTTTTTCTCTTTACTTTTTATATTTATGAGAAAATTTGACCGAATTTGAGGATATTTTATCAAAATTTATAAATTTTATCTGAAAAAAATTGTCGGAAAACTGCCAAATGGTAAAAAGTCCAGAAAAATGGTATAGAGCCTGCAGTCCATTGCATCCAAAAAGTTTCACAGGAGTTGGAAGAAACTGAGCAAGAAGCCTCTGCTTCTGTGACCAAAAAATTTCCCTTGGCTAGCCACAGATCAACACCAGAAGTCCAAATGGAAAGAGAGGATTCTGGACGTTACTGTGAAGAGAACTCTTACAAACAGAGCGAGAGTCCACCACCAAATCCCACTGATTCTTCAACATTCCATAGTGAATCTATCGGGTATGCAGACGATTCAGTTGAGTACAAAACATTAACAATATCGCATTCAATTACCAAAATTGTTAGAAGGCGCTATAATCGCATTTTTAAGCTTTTAGCGTATCCTTTATTTGAGAAAAATCAGGTCCAGTTGCTATCTCCTACATATTGGCAAACAAAGTCTTAATAATTTTTTTTTAAAAAATCTCATTTAGTTATGGTTACTAGGCTTAGCACTTTAAAAAACATTTAATTTTTTGACTAAAAAATATATATAATTTCATTTAAGTAAGAAGGTTTTAAGAAAAAATTCTGTTATTTTAATCAGAAGAGTAAGAATAAAGTCTCTCCAATCTCATGTCCATAAAAGTTTCAAACAAATCAAGCTAACTCCTGCAGAGAAAAAAAATATTTTGTTGGAGTCAGCCAAACGGCTCGTTTTAACAGTAAAAGTCAACTATGACCAAATTTCCTTATGAAGGTGGTACTTCCAAACTATAAAATCCAATGTCAATGTCCCAAAATATAATATTTTACCACATTCAAGGCTGAAATCAGGTATCGGGATTTTAGACCACGTTTTCCGGTGTGGAACAATCCGTTATCACGGAAATTTAAAACAAATTTTAGCAAGATGGAAAGAAAGTACTGATGGATTTTTTGAAAAAATTGAGCAAATTCAGAAGAATCAAACTACAGTGAAGTGGCTAAAAAGGCTTAGCTTTGCTAGCGTGCATTTCTTCCATGCAAATGAGTATTTAAGCATGTCTGACGGGTTTTCCAGATGGAAACAATGTGTTCTTGAGGCAGAAATTGGCGAAACTCAAAAGAAGTATGAGGGATATGTGGGCTCAGCGCAGAACATAGCCCTTACTGAATTAGCAAAGCTCTTTTCAGCCAAAAAAATAAATTACTTTAATGAGCTAAAAATGAGATCTTTTAGGCTGACAATTATGAGATGCAAAATTCAACACTTGCTCCATTTGCTTAAAAAAAGCTTAAGGAACTGGCTGATTAGGCTGCAAAAGCCTAAAGCTTCAGAAGCTCCAAATGGAAAATCTCATTTATTCTATGTTAAATTAAATTAAGTGTTATTTCAAAAAAACAGTTTTATTTAGCCCACAAAATCTTCATTAAATCAGTCCACTATACTTAATTTAGCTCATATTGTAAAATACAATATAAAAACTGCCTTTTTCAGATGGAAAACTCTACCCCAAGACCAAACTCTTCAAAATTCAGAAAGACTGAGATTTAGAAAAACCATCCTAAGAAACTTAAATTTTATTATAAACAGAGACTTAGCAAGAGCTTTTGAGACTTGGAAAAATCCTGACTACATTGAAGAAGTCGAAGAAGTAGAAACAGTCACCAAAAATATCGTCACAAGGGTCGACCAAATTGTGTCTGTCAGAATCTTCGTCCCAAAGCAAAAAATTTTCACATCATTGGAATATAGAGAAGAGCACCCTGCAGAGCCAGTCAAAAAATCCCATCGCATTATAAAAGCAGCCCTCAGAAATCTCGACCATATTCTTATGATCTGTGTCCTACAAGCCTGGACTAAATGGAATCAACCAATTCCTCCTTCTCCAGCCAATAAGCATAGAGAAAAGAAATTTATTTCTTATCAAGTCTCTTCTAAGCCGATTTGCAGAATCGAAACTTCTGGCTTCATTGAAAAATCTTCCTTTATATGCTCAGGAGAAAGTTTTTATAACTCTACCCTTGATACCTCAAGCTTTATCAGAAATATTTCCCCAGAAGATATCCCTGACGGCTTCCCTGAAATAGTTTCTTATCTTTATGATACCAAAATTAAAAAATCGTCACTTACAAGGACTGCTCTGTTTGAGTGGCAAAATAAGGCCCAAAATAAAAATCTCAAGAAGAAAAACCTTCAAGTTTTGGTTAAAAATATTAAAAGTTTCCTAGTGAAACATGAAAAAAGTGGGTTTGAGAAGTGGCAAAATGTGGCAAAGAGTACTGCTAATTAATGAATTAGTTATCTTAATTAATAATTAATGAAGAATTGTAAATAATTGAGTGTTTATTAAGCTGGCAAGAAATTAATAAATAATGTTTATAGTAATTATACAGTAGTTTAAGCTTTATTGCATAAGCAATACATTTGGTCTTTTTTATTAAGTTTGTTTTCAATGACACATTTGCTTTCATAAGCGTCAATTCTGTTGACGTTCATAATTTTCATATATTTCATGTCTTTAATTTTGATTGGAATTGACTTGAATATATCATTTCCTTCCGCATTAATCGCTATTTTTGATAATCTCACATCTGTCCTAAACACTGCATATTTGCTTTCATTAGTCGTAAACGTGATTTTAAAATACACATCATTATTTTTATCCACAATCCCTCCTTTGACTATACTACCAAGACTTAAATATTTGCATCCACAAGCATCTGTTGGTCTATTGCATTTATTAATCATATTAATTTTCAGTAAAACTTCATTGGCAATCATTAAAATTAATGGATCATTTAAATGCTTCTCATCTATATTTTTAACTGGTAAACAAGAACACCATTCTAATGGAATTCCGATATCTGCACAAGTTCGATTGGCTGATATACAGTCTTTAAATAAATTGTAAGATCTGTATCTTCTAGATGTATTTTTTGAATTATCAATAAAAATTGTTTGGTTTGGGTGCCCAAGACTGAGAAGAGTGTTATAAAAATCAAAATTGCTGATAAGCCGTTTTGTGTTGTGGGATAAGATTTGGAGGCTGTTTGGAATTTTTTCAAGAAATGAATTAGAGGCTATAAGGAAAGTTAAAGGAATTCTATGCTCGTTAGCTCCAGCTGTTGTTTGGAACCACCCTCCTTCTCTTAGCCCATGGTCTCCTTTGATAAAAAGCACTAAATCTTCATTTCTGCTTGTAATGTCGGTTAAAAAATCAGCTAAATCTAAATCAAGGGTGGAAATTACCGTGCCTGTAGACTCATGATTGGTATTAATATGCGCATAAGAAAACCTTGAAACATTTTTATAAGCCTCAGAAAACTGCAAAATTTGGTCCATTATTATTTTATGGGCATTTTTATTTCCAATGCATCTTTGAGATTTCAAGTCTTGATCGTACCCATAAAATCTTTTTGCAGCACAAAAAACACTGCCCATTATATGGTCAATTTTAGGTGCTCTGCCTAAAAATGCAGAAAAACTGTCAACGCAGCCATCAGATCCAAAAAATGAAACAAAGCCTTTCTCATGCAATTTTTTCCATATTGAATTCTCTGTATGATAATCTTCTCTATAAGGTCTGTATATAGCTTCGTATTTAATATCTCCAAATAAAGCAGGCATAATAAAAAAATGAGAATTTCTTCCCATAACATTGTTAAGTTTAAAGTCAAAAAAAGAGTAATTTGATGACAAATTTTTTAAAAAATTCAGTGAAATAGGGAGTTTTCTGAAAAATTGTCTTCTGCTTAATGAATCAACTACCAGCATTACAATATTTAAAGGCTTTTCTCCTTTAAAGTAGTTTTCAGCCCTTTTTAGTGCTAGGTCTTTTGGCCGTAATTTATAGACAAAGTGTTCAAAATTGTCTGATTTTGATTTATCACAAGTTCCGAAAGCGTATTCTTGGCTAGTTAGAGCTACAGGATTTTCATAGGGTAAAAGGGGCTTAAGAAAAGGCATGGAGCCTATTTCTTCAAAAGCTGGGCCTAAGACGTATCATCCTGAGCAATTCATATAGAGTTTATTTTCTGCAAAATCAATATTAATCATACCAGGCTCTGAATGATATAGGCTTTCGCACCTTGGATAGGTTTTTGAGGGAAATCATCTCTCTGCTTCAGAAAAAGTATAGCCAAAGCTATCAGGTTTGCAGGCAATATTTAAGGGGAAAATTGTGTCTTCATCATCATAATAGTTTAAATCTGATGAGATTTCTGTTAGAATTAATTAATTCCTAAAAAAAGTCTTTTGTGTAAATTTTTTTTGCTGGGAATTTTCCATTAAAAAAAATATTATGCTTTGCTTAAATTCAAAACAGCGCCTTGTGTAAAGTATACTCTATATATAAAAATTGCGATATAAAATTTAAAAAATTATTAAGGTATAAAACGAAATGAGCCAGAATTTCTTCTTTCAATTTAGAGAAATTTGGGTATTTAATAACATTTGCGAGTTTATTATTTCCTCAATTTGGAAGGTCTCAAATAGCAATTTCTTTAGAAACTGAACTTTGATTTATTGAAAAATAGAAAATTGCGAAAAGTAGTATTCACGCTATTAATGTAAGGGCAAACCAAATTCTGATTAATTTCATTATATTTCTGAGGCGGCAATTAAAATGGTTATATTTGTGACCACAAATGCCAGGTTCATAGCATTTCTTCTCTAAAATATGTTTCAAGAAAGAACGAAATCTAGAGTAAAACGTCAAATTTGGATGAATAAAAAAGAGGAAAAATATAATAAAAAATTAGCAAGAGTTCATCCCAGGAATTATTTTTGATAACTCTCCCCCCCCCCCCCCTCCGTGAGCGAACAAAACCATTAGAAAAATCGCCATTTTTTGACCAAAAACCCACCCTCTGTGAGTGAACAAAAATTTTTTTAATAGAAAAAATTTTAATGGAAAAAAATTTTGATATATAAGTGATAATTAGTATAATGAAATCTAGAGCTAATTCTGTTTAATTTTTAAACAAATTGCGTTTTAAAACATAAAATTTTGCAAATTAAATTAATATTTGCTTCCCAATTTTTGCAAATTAGGATTTTTTTAAATTTCGAAAAAAATATTTTTTATATAAAATTTATATATAAATTTTTTTTAAAAAAAAAAAAATTAACCCCCCTCCGTGAGCGAACAAAATTTTTTTTGTTCGCTCACGGAGGGGGGGGGGGGGAGTAAGCATTATTCCTTCCTTATTTCCAGGAACCAAAAAATTTGATTCTGATATTAAATAATTAAAAATGAATAGAAAAATAATAACTCCCTTTTTAAATTAATTCAAAAAATATTCAATTTTATTTTTTTTAATTTTAAAAAATTTTAATTTTAAAGAAAAATTAACCCCTTTAAATTGGAACGGGATTTTTTGTTTCTATTTAAAGAGGGGAGTAAGACAGTTGTATAAGGATCTGATTAATTATATTGGAATTTTCGCAATTTTATAGGATATCTTCCCATCAGATTTTAAAATTTATTTGACTTACTTAAAATTTGCTCATTCCAACAATTGCCATTTATATAATGACTAATTGCTAGTATTCTTACTTGCTTACTCCCCCTCAGTGAGCGAAACAAAACTTTTCTGAAAAAAATTTTTATATATAAGTGATAATTAGTATAATGAATTCTCTAACTAATTCTGTTTAATTTTGAACAAATTTCGTTTTAAAACATAAATTATACAAATTAAATAATACTTGCTTTCCAATTTTTGCGAATTTCGTAAAAAAAAAAAATAACTATAAAATTTACCTTAAAAAACAAAATTAACTCCTTCCATGAGCGGTCAAATTTTTTGTTTGCCCGTAGAGGGGGGAGCTAGCATTTATATGGAAAATAATTAAAATTAATAGATAAATAAGACATTGGGCGCAGGTCAAATGATAGTACCTTTTTATAATGTGCATTTCACCGAAGTACTTTTGGTCGAAAATTGGTTTTAAACTTTTTGATAGTGAGACATTTGACTGAAAAAAAACCGTTGAATTTTGATCAAATGTCACACTATTTAAAATTTTCGACCAAATGCATTTAGATGAAATTTACACTGTCAAAAATTTACTGTAATTTGACAAGGAGCCAAGACATTAAACAATGCCAGAATTATATCAAAATTTAATAAATCTTTGAATTTAAAAATCTTGGGATCATAAATTGCATATGAATAATAATTAGTCTTTTAAAACGGGTTATTAATATTCTTTCTCAGATTACACAAGATTTATTCGAGTTTTGGAATTTCTATTGTTAATTTATTACAAAAATGAACCCAGGTGATACATTTTCACTAACTCAAGTAAGACTTCGAGCAAATAGACTACTAAAATCCAACTTAAAAAGCTCCGAGTCTGAATCAAAACTTTTCAAATTAGTATCCATACCAAAAGCCGATTTAACTTCATCAGTTAAAAATTTAGGCACACGAAGGACATCCCAACCTACTTTCCGAAGTATAAGCACTGCTAATTCTCAACGACAGCGAAGCTCTGTAAGCACAGCCAGAGAAAAGCTCAGCACAATCAAATCTCAGGTCCAAATCAAGCTTGATGACTTATATTCTCAGCCAAGTCAGTTATACCCTCTTTGATTCGTCAATAATTATAAATTTCTTTATAATAAAAAACTAATCCTTTATTTTCCTCTCCAAATCTTAAAATTCCCACAAATTCATTATAAAAAGTCATAATAGACGCTATTAAAAAACTCGAAAAGAGTGGAAATATAAAAGACCAATTCCGCAGTTTAGAAAAAATTTTGAACATAAAAAAGCAAAATTATAACACTTTGCGATATGAGAGAAGAAATAAAGACAGTTACCTACGATACCTCATACAAAAAGACCATCAAATCATAAAATTAGACGAAATTAAAGAAATAAATTTCGACGAAAAAATCAATGAATTGGAAAATAATATATATGAGATTAAAGAAAAAATATACCAAGAAAACCTTTATTCTGGGATTCTTTTACATATGAATTCTACTAGACAGAGGTCTCTGTGCTCTCTTTCTAGACCAATTTCTGATTTAAGGAAAGAAATATCGCAAATTTCGATACAAATTAAAGATTATTTGAGAGAAACAGCGAAGTCGAATCAGTCTTTTAAAGACACAGAAAAACAAATGGACGATCTGAATGAGAAAACGGAGAAAATTAAAGAGAAAAAGGAAGAAATGAAAAAAGAAGATCTCGCGAGGTTTGAAGAAAGGGTTATGGCTAATGAATTTATACAGAAACAGAAAGAACAAAGGCAAATTTTGAATAAAATAAGTGAAAACGAAAAAGAGGTGGAAGAATTAGAAAATGCATTGGCAATGGTGGATGATATTGAAGAGATCAATAAAGAAATTCAGGCTTGCAAAACTTATATCTTAACTTAAACTAAAAGAAATCTAGATACATAGCGTCCTTCTTAACGTCGACTACGGGGTGGCCGCGCCAGGGCTGCCTCCATTTTTATACGTATAGGGCCCACAGGCTTTGACTGGACTGCCTCGATTAACCAGGACACTCTTGAAAATGGTGTTGCCGACTCCGACAGCTTAAGAGTGAGTGACTTTTGTCTTCCTTTCGCTATGTAGCGAATAAAGGCTCTTTTGTTGCCGCATAAAGGAAGTGTGAAAACCACAGACCTTTCACATTCTATAGGGACAGGCTAAAGAGCAGCAGATTTGGTGCTATACGAATTTCATCATTTTATGATGCAAAACTTATATCAAGCGTCAAGAAGCAATTTTTAGTCAGCTAAAAAGAGAAACTAATGTAAGGTCGCTTGACTCAGTTGTATCAAATTTTAATTATTTAAAAGAAACAGAAAAAGTGCTAAATCTGCCTCCGAGAATTAGTGAACCATTGGAAAATTTAATTTTTAGGAAAATTGCAAGGCAAAAATTTTTATTATATAATATTTTCTTATAATTAATGATTATTGCCACTAATTCTATTAAATCTTTTTTAGCTTGATTTTAAAAAATAATTTTTTAAAAAAATTTCGGATATACAATTCATATATTTCAAGAAGGAAGTAAGAAATACCCAGCTTCACTTAGAGCATGTAATCGGAAACGCAAGCAAAGAGGTAGAAAATCTTCAAGAAATTTACAACGGTATCAGCTTAATCAACTCTACAGACGAAGACGTCCCGGCTTCCAAAATTGAACAAATCGAGAACAGCCTTATGGAAAAAAACCAACATTTGCAATGATTGCAAGAAAAAGAGTACAAGCAAAAAAAAGAAATTGCGGAATTAAGCAGCATCGTAGCAAGATTAATGTTCCAAGTGCAAGATTCGACTGATTTTAAAGAGGTGGACTCACACAACATAGCCCAGGTTTTAGCTTCATTTGAAGAAAAGATTGTAAATCTTAAGTCAAAAAGTAAATAATTATAAATATTTTCAGTTAAATAGAGAATTTAATATAAAATCATTATTTATGACATTACCCAAATTTCTTAGCTGCTTCAGCTCGGCCTCTAAGCATCATTGATAAGGCTTTTATAGCATCCAATTTTGACATATTTTCAATAGGTCTATCTTGAGAAATCGGCCGTAAATCGAAATTCTGTAGGGTTTTGTTTTGAATTGCGGGCATTTTGTATTCACTTTCTCTCATTTGAGATTTGGTTTCTCTGTTTCTTGATGGGCTGGTAGAGGCTGGCTTTTCAAAATTAACTGTTTTTACATAGTTTTCGTCCCTTATAACCCGCTTGGAAGCCCATTTTCTTTTAGGTTTTTCTTCTTCTCTTTCAATTTCCATCTGAATTACTCTTTTTTCTAAGTCTTCTTTGGCGTGCTGCATTTCGATAAGATTTCTATTGGTTCTTCCGCCTTCTTTTAATATGCTTGCCATAATTCATTTATAATTATTTCTGCTGAGCCTTTATATTAGATTTTTAGGTAATATTAATAAATATATATGATTTATATTTCGTTTTTATAGTATAGTCCAGTCCCTGCTTTAGATCGGGCTTGACTGACTTCGGGAGGAGTCAGATGGGGATTCGACAAACCAACATTTGCTAGCACAGCCAAATTCCCAGATGAGGAATCTCCAATAACAAGAGGACTTGCCAACTCCCTATGTGGCACCTCCTGACGCCAATCAAGCCCGGTCCAAACCAGTGATAGGCTATATAAATTTTCTAGATTTTCAATTTTCATAATAAGTTCTCTATTTTCGTATTGCAATTGCAATACTTCAGCTTCTTTGTTTTTCCTAGCGGAAGTCTGATCCCTTAAAGCTGCTTTGAGCTTTTTATTATGTTCCATTAGGTCACGTATCATTTTTACACTATCATAAAGTTTTTCTCCAATTTCTTCAGTATTCTGTGCTGAGTTTTCATTAAATGCAACTTTTGGAAATTTTTCAGGAGAAGTCGATCTCTTATATATTGTCTATTAAATAAGCATTTTATGAAATATTCTGTGCTGGATTGAGCTATAACACCATCATCTTTACACTGTAAATTTTATTTTTATTAGATATAATCCAGATAATTTAATAAAAAACAGAATAAAAATTTTTGTTTCCTAAAATTATTCTAACTGGTATATCTGGTCCAAAGTTTTCTAACGTAGACCTCAAATCTTGGATTTTTTTAATCTGCGACTTTCGTAACGGCTGCTTTTCATATTCTTTCAGCTTCGAAATCTGCTGCGCTTTATCAAGCGTTATCAGCTCTGTCAAAATAACTATATGTTTATTAGCTTGTGACAACTCTTCTTTAGCTTTCTTCAGCTCTTTTTTCAGTTCTTTAATAACCTTGGTTTTTGGGTCCAAATTTTTAATCGGCTCATTTGCAATATTTCCAGCCTTTGTCGCATACAATAAAGTGCTGACATTTTCATCAAAATAATCATCAATTGGTGCAATGCATGCAATCATCACACAATAGCTATTTCCTCCAATGCTTTGCTTTAACAAGCTCGTAAGCTTTGAATCTCTATAAGGCACGAAGCTTGGCTCACCTATTCTCGCAGTCGACAAAGCACTTATAACCTGCCTCAGCGTAAAAAGCGCTTTATTTATTTCTATACTTTCTTTTAGCGCCATCCCTTCATTACCAGTCAATGAAGTTTTTTCGCTTCCTGCAAGGTCAACAAGCTGCATTCTGCTTGTGGTGATTTTCCCCACCTTATTATTAACGGCTTCTACTATTAAGCTTAAAATGGAATGAGACCTGGAGGACGCTGCATTTACGTTGTGGGAAGCCATGATTTTGTTTTTTAAGCCTTGGTGATAATAAGTTAAGACTTCTTGCGCAGTGTGACAAGGGTGCATAAAAACGTTTTCCACGTAAAATTCTTCATGCTTGTTTCACCTCAGCTTAAGCCCTGCTTTGGTGTGGGCTGGGTTTAATAAATCATAAATATTTTCTTTGTAGAGCTGAATATATGTACAGTACACAGTAAAATCTGTGGATTTTTTATTTTGGAGCTCGTTGAAAAGGGCTTTTATAGATCTTGGGGCAAGTCCAATATTTTCGTTGTCTTTTATGATTGGCCGAAGGCGGCTGTCGTATTCGTATCCTTCCATTGTGAACGTTTTGCCTGACCCTGTTTGCCCATATGCAAAAATTGTTGCGTTGAAGCCTTCGACGACTTTTTTGACTAAAGTTTCAATTTTTAGCTCATTAAAGACTTCTTCTTGGCTTGCAGTTTCTTCTAGGGTTGTATCAAATTTATATCTTTTATTAAATCTCCTATAAGAAAATAATGATTTTCTATAAAAAAATTGATATATACTAAAAAAAAAATTTTAACGATGAGGTAATATTTTGCTGGATATTTGAAACACTATGTAGAATTTACATAATTGATTGAGAAGATGAGTCTGCTTCTATATATGAATTTGTATGGCCTTTTAGTGCTTCATCTGGCAGCAAAGGTCGGATTCGAATAGCGACTCCAATGCTTGTCTTTGAGTAATCCATTTATTTAAACTTATATGAAATACTTATTCAAATATAACCTCTCAGGTCTAAATCTACTTATCAATTAGCAATTTCGATAATTAATTATTGATATTTAGGAAATGTATATTACTAAATCTTTTTCCATATAATCAAAATAATTAAGGTATTGTGCAATTATGTTGAAATTTGCAATTTTTATATTAAAAATTACTGAAACAATTATACACATTTCGATTAATAGGCATTAAACGCTAGTTTTCTAAAAAAAAATAAACTAGTCTGAAACGAGCTTCTTAATGGGCTATTTATCTGAAGCTGTTATAATTTATCTAATTTCATTTAGCGAAACAAAAATTAACATTTTCTTAATGATCTTTTCATAATTTCAGCAATTTGTAGTTCTCCATAAATGGAAAAGGCGCAGCTTTATCAAGAGGTTCTCAATGAGCTTTCAGAATTCTTTAGTCACTATCAAAACCTTAGTGATATAGCTATCATGACCACAATCTCCAGTGTTATTCATATGAAATTCCCTCAGCTTGTTTTTGTTGGATTTTATATTACTCGTGAAGCCAATGCTGTGAAGTATAGTAATTGCCCGAGGATGGCGCTATCTTGCGCCATCCTCGGGCAATTCAAAAATGGCCCCACACCGGGAATTGAACCCACGTGTGGGGCCATTTTTGGTATGTGGAGAACATCGACTTCCACGCACCAAAAATGGCCCCTCACGTCCCGGTGTGGGGCCATTTTTTTAAATTGCCCGAGGATGGCGCAAGATAGCGCCATCCTCAGGCAATTACAATACCTCGAAGTCGGCCCATACCAAGGCAAAGTTCTAGCTTGTGCCAAAATTGATATAGGAAATGGTGTCTGTGGGACTTCTGCCCAAAGAAAACAAACTATTGTTGTCGAAGACGTACACATTTATATATAAATTATTCTACAATAATAAGAATAATGAAATATTTTTTAATTAAATATAAGAATTTTCCTTTTTAAGCTCAAAAATATTATTATTAAAGACTATAAATAGATTCGAGACTTATATTGCTTGTGATTGTGCTTCTAAAAGTGAAATTGTTGTCCCAGTTCTCCATAATGATGAGGTCACATCTGTTTTAGATATAGACAGCGATGTGCTGGGGTATTTTACAGAAGTTGATAAAGAGTGGCTGGAAAGGATAATCAGTTCTTTTCTAACTAATTAAAATCACAATATAGATCTTTCATTTTAATAGGTCATGATTGGACACCTATTTTAATTTCAAAATGGAACTTGCCTTGCCATTTTTGTGAAAAATCAAAATAAGCATGGTAAATTTATATTTATGGTCTTGTTAGGCCTAGTTAGACTTAGATAAGATAAAGTAAGATTCTGGAGTAATTTTTCATTGTATTTTGCTTTATATCGAGAGATCTATTACAATGGATATACTATATCTCTTGATTTTATGAAAAAATATCTCAAATGAGATTTTCGATAAAATTATTTATACTTGGTAATTTATAATTTTAATATATTCAGCAACCAATATTAGGGTACTGAGTGATTTGTGGCTATGCTGAGCCTCTCCGAATGCTTCTTATCACTAGGGATTTGCATTTAAATACAAACAATACAGCTTTGGCCATTTTTCCAACTTTAAAAAATCAGACTGTCTCAATGCTAAAGAAGCATTAGGAATATATTTATTGAAAAAAAATAAATCTCAATCATCACTGGCATCTTTAGAGATTTTAGAGGACAAATCTCAAGGGCAGCATATAGCCCAGATGCCCTTACCCTGCTTGCTTAAACTTTTGAAAACCCTCAAGACCCACCATGATACGATTTGCCACATATCTTGAAGGAAAAATATTTTTTAATAGGAGAGCATTTTGCATTCGTTGACTTTTATTTCTACGAAACCCTTGATAAGCTGGATAACATACATCCAAGCTCCTCTGTAGGGATCTCACCTTTATTTGCTGTTTATAAAAACATATAAAAAGCTTAGAGCATATGTAAGAATTTATTTCAAAACCTAATATGCCACATTTTTAAGGCCCTCAAGCTTGCAGGAGAGGCTAATAATTAAAAATAAATAATTAAAATTACACTATCCCATCAAATTTTTCAATTTTCTATATAGGTATTTTCCATAGTTATCTTGAGAGAAATTTATCTCTAAATCAATCATGGCGTTTACATGGCCAATTATCTTGTGAAAACCGATTTTTGAGAATTTTGGCAGCGGGTTGTGGAGAAATTCGATATTATTGTTGTCTTTTTGGCGGATTTTTTCTATCATTTCTTTGGTGCCGAATTGAATAAAGGCTCAGTTTTCGTGGATTTCGATAAGCATGCTATAGCAAAATGAAGTATCGGGATGGAGACCAATTACAGCGACGCAGGACCGATTTTTGGAGTCTGAATCTTTGGTGAGGGAGTAGCAAAGAATTTCAGTCGGAATGCAGTCAGGAATAATTTCAATTAAATCGTCAAGGGAGCAGCAGTTGTCAGTGTACCGAAGGTAGTCAATGAAGATTAAATTACCAATTTTTGTAGGACTCGAGTCAATAGGAAAATTTTGCGAGATTTTTGATCCGCATGTTTCTCGTCGAGTACATATAGCGAAGGTTATCTTCTGGATACTTTAGGAAATATCTTCTAAAGAGATATAATTTTTAAAGATTATTTGCATTAATAAAACCATTTTAACCTTTGGACGTTTCCCTTAAGTCAAGCTAAGAGTTAATCTGGCTATAAGCGGCTAAGCCACTAGCCGCCGATCTTAGCTTAAAAGGTCACCCTTTTAGACTTCCTACCTAAATCACCTTTCCAAGGGATTAGCTCCCTAGGACAGAGCCGTCTGTGAGGACCCTGTTGGTCCTGATGAAAAGTGACCATGAAGTAGTCTAGCCCATCTAACAGAGACAGAAAAACTTTAGGGAGTAAATCCCCTCTTTTTGAGCTGGCTTACCTTTGAGATAGACTACTTAGCTCATGAAGAGCTTACCATTGTGCCGTCCACTGCTCCATCAGGAGATGTCGCCTTGGATCCTATTTCCGTCATCGTATCCATTTTAATTCTTATTTGCCTTACTCACTCTGTGAGAGAACAAAACCATTCAGAAATCCCTATTTTTTGCTCAAAAGCAACTATTCTAGATCGAACAAAAATTTTTTTCATATAAAAGATTTTTATGAAAAAAAATTTGATATATGAAAATCTAGTTAATATTAAACAGATTGCATTTTAAAACATAAATTTACAAATTAAAATAAATATTTGCTTACGAAATTTGGTTTTTTAAATTTTAAAAAACAATAACCCCCTTCTTGATGAAACAAAATTGTTTTGTTAATTCACAGGGTGGAGGAGTTAAGGAATCTAAACGAGGCTATAATTTATACTGTCCCCATGCAAATAAATTTTTGGTGTAAAACGAATCTATTAAAATTTTTGAAATAATGACAGAAGACGATTAGAAAATTTAAACAAATTAGTAGATAATCAGGATATAGCTTTTAGGATACGATTATGATTGATGACAAAATTTATGAAAATAATAAAAAACTGACATTAAAATGGAATAATAAAACTTTGCTATATGCATGCCCATTCTTATATTTATTTAAATTTTTTATGCCCTCTGCATTAATATATATTAAAATGGCGTGGCGAAGCAACTCACCCTCTTTGCACCTGTAGCTGGGGAGACCCAGGGACTTTGTGGAAGAGAGGATAGCGTTCGGTGATGTATATCCTGCCGGGTGTTACTTGGATTGGGTGGAGCGCAATGTCGGATTGGACCGACCGCAGCTCATTTCCGATCAAGGTTTTACCTCTTGGTGGAGATGGGTTCGGAGTTTGAAAGGAAGCCCAGCAAAGTCTACTTAGCGCGATACCGGGAGCTACGTCCTGGACAACGAATTCCATCTTCGTCGACAGTTTGGCCAGAAAATCATTTTTTTTAATTTTCTGGAAGGGCAAACCCAAGTCTGAAGTACAATACGGTAACCTAGCCCACTTCATTCGTCATTCGACACGAGCCTCAGGTAACGAGAATTCTACCCCTAGAGGGTGATAGCAGGCGGTCCAATAATGGATCAAGGTGGAGAAGCGCACCCATGGATTCTACTAGGAGCTTTTTCAATATAAGTTAACTAACTAATTATACCATCTGCATTAAATAGCGATCTATAGAATCTTGCAAAATAATATATTTTTATTGTCCAGAATCTGAAGCCTATGCTTGCATAGTCTATTTTTTATAAGTGCGCTTTTACGAATTAAATAAAAATATCTTTTTCCTTCGTATTTTTCGGTATTTATAAAATCAAAAAATTTCCTTGCTTCTTTTAAGTTATATATTTATTAAAATGATTGCAAATATCAGCCTTCTTTGTACAATAGTTAGGACCTTAAGACTGTGGCGAACTGAGAAAAATTCCAAGTTAATAAAAAAATATGAATATTTTAACTCAATTTTTGTTTTATTATGATTGACTATAGAGAAAGCAAAGGAAAGGCCCTAAATCTCATTACCATAAAGAGTAAAAGATTCTACAGGGAATTCTTTTATGGCTGATAATAACATTCTTTAATCCTTACGAATTCATCAAGTGATAAAAATCATGAAAATTTATCATCCCATCCCCATCTTCATCAACCGCTTTAAAAACCTCTTTAACCTCTTCCAAACTCACATTTTCTCCAACCGACTTCATCATTTCATATAAATCTTCTTCCGAAATCATCGTTTTTTGCTTACAAAACATTCGAAAAATAGCCCGAATTTCGTCACTTGTGAAATCTTGTCTGTCAAACCTATGGGAGGGATGATATTCCATTCTTTCAATTTCCTCTGACAAATCACGAAAAGAAAGCCTTCGTAGATTTAATCCTCGGTATACTAGAGGACGAGGAAGGGATGGCTGGATGTCATTGAACATTTGTGATTGCGAAAAAAGTAAGGCTAAGGTTTTTGACTTCGAGCCTCTTCGGGTAAATTGGGGATTAGGTTTTGAAGCTTCTTTATGGCTCATGGTGAATATTTAGAATAATAATTCTCCCTATTAAATCCAGCTTGAATAAAAAATTTTTTAAAATAATTCTGGCTTTATGTGGCCGTTATATTAAAAATGAATTTAAGCTAGAATTTATTCAGTCAAACGATTAATTTTGTCACAAATATACTCAATTGCGTCTTTTATACTTCTGATTTCTCTGATATCGCTATTGTCTCCTATTTTTTGAATGATTCTGTTCAAGCCTAGCAATCCGGTCGAAAAATCAGCCTTGATTTTTTCTGAGTCTTCTGAGTGTGTTTGCAGATCATGCTCTCGTTTAGCAAGGCTTACTTCTAAGTCATAAAGAGTGTGATAATCATATTCATCTTTTTGATGCTTTTGCAAGTTTAAATTATCATATTCTTTATTAAGCCTTTCTATTTCGTTCTGCTGCCGTCGGAGGGTAGCTTCTAAGTCAGTTCTTAATGATTCTAAGCTTTCTTTGGTTACTCTGAGCTTTTGAAGCTGAGAAAAAAGATTGGAAACTGAAGTTGAGTTCGTAATCCGAAGAGCTTCAGAAATTTTGCCTTCTTTTGCAGCTAGGACTTGGCTGGCTTCTAAAAATTCTATTCTCAGCTTGTCTCCTTTTCTTACTTCATTGTCAATTTTCACTAAATTATTAATGTCTTGGTCTTTTATTTCAGCTTCTTTTTGCCGATATCAAAGCTGCTGCTCTTGCTTATAAAATGCGATGGCTTTGCTCCTTTCTTCGTATTTTTTTAATTCTTGATTTAGCAGCTCTCTCATTCTTGTGCGCTGAGAGTTGATATTTTCTTGGATTTTTCCGAGTTTTCCTCTTGTTGCTAATGCAGATGTCAAATGATATTCACTTCCTCTGTCCAAATTTCTATTTTGTGCCAGAGTGTGCACAATTTGAGACTTCAAAAGCCGAGTTGGGTCTTTGATCGCACACAAATTCAAATACCTGACATTTGCCATATGGTTCAAAGAATCGGTAAAAATCGATTCTAAGTCTATTTTATTTTGCAATTTTTCATATTTTTCTTGCAATTGTTCTATATACTGCACTCTGTCTGTATTATCTTTTTCAATGTGTGTTAAATCGTCATATTTCTGATGTAATGAATTCAGTTCAGCATTTAATAAGCTTTGTTCATGCTTTAAGGAGTTATATTCTTTTTTTTTCTTCAGCACATGATCATATAAATCTTTAATCACTTCTTTTACATACTTAGATTTTTCCAACTTTCTTACGGTATCAGCCAGATCTCCTGCTTTAAGAGTAAATAACTCTTCGATTTCTCTATATAAATGTTACTGATTCGCTCTCTGCTGGATATTTCTAACTCCCCCCCCTCTGTGAGTGAACAAAAAAAAAATTTTGTTCACTCACGGAGGGGGGTTAATTTTTTTTTTAAAAAAATTTATATATAAATTTTATAGAAATTATTTTTTTCCGAAAATTTAAAAAAATCCTATTTCGCAAAAATTGGAAAGCAAATATTAATTTATTTTTTATACTTTGTGTTTTAAAATGCAATTTGTTTAAAATTAAACAGAATTAGCTCTAGATTTCATTATACTAATTATCACTTATATATCAATTTTTTTTTTCATAAAAAATTTTCTATTAAAATAATTTTTGTTCACTCACGGAGGGCGGGTTTTTGGGCAAAAAATAGCGATTTTTCTAATGGTTTTGTTCACTCACGGAGGGGGGGGAGTAAGTAAATCATGTGTCACTGAAGATCGGCTTTGAGCTTTCCTTGATGATGGGACTGAAGTGTAGTTTGCCCTCGGTGTCGCTTTTGTGGAAGGGGTCATTGAAGGCTTGATAAAAAGAGGGACTGACTTGATATTTGGGAGCTGGACTTGCTTAGGGTTCCTCATAGCTGAGCGCGAGTTGAGTTTGTCATCTATAGAGGTTAATGCGAAAGTATCTTCTGGTCTTTTCATAGTTATAACTTCAAATTATAATAAAAAAAGAAGGGGAAAAGTTTTGAAGATATTATGCAAAATTCTGAAGACATGAAAAGTATTCATAGGAAATGGGTTATTATAAATGCAAGTAAATGAATGTAAACAATTTATAATAAAATTTTTGAAATATATATTTAGGATTGTTTTAGATAGTTTATAGGATTAATAAAAGGAGTTTCCAGATTTTTAAAATTTTAAAAAAACTAACTGAAAATTTGCATACACTCACAGGATTAATTTCTAATTGCAGAAATTTTATAAACTTATACCTTGCAAGAAAAAATCCAGGCTTTTATATAGAAATTATGGGACTAATAGATATGAATAAGCCTGCTATTACATGTGAAATAAATATGCCTACTTATAGAGAATATAAACATTTTTATAAATGGCTACACAGTAGGATTGCTTTCATTGATTTTAAATAGGATATTTACTATTCTGAAATTTCATATACTGAAGCCATCTGCCCATTATAATCTTTCCATTTTCTCGCAAAATTCTTTGTTCCCTTAACTAATTTATATAGCTTATATCCCTTTATAGATTTCTTTATCGAGCAAAATGTACTGGATTATTGAACGACCAAGAGAGACTCTATTAAAGGAACGGGCTGGATATCTATATCAGGAAGTGCTAAAAAGTGACATGTCAAAAAATGGTGACAAGTCTGAAAAAAGTTGACAAGCAAAAACGCGCCAATTTTTAAAATGGATTTATTATTAAAATAATTTAAAACTTAAGATACCCAATTAGACAGAAGATATAATTACACATTATATATTGGCTTTAAATATTTTTATTTATATATATATTTAAATTTAATAATAGCTGTGAAAATCAAAAACTTGCAACTCAATGTGCATTTTCCGGCTCGATGGAATTTCTTATTTTATGATAATTTTATTTATTAAGACTAAAGCTATAATTTGCAAAGTGCGTGGCTTGTGATTCTCAATATATAAGAAGTTCTTATCGACTCATATGAGAAGTATTTAGCAAAAATTCAATATGGCTTATAAGTGAAAATCAAAAACTTGCAATTCAATGTGCATTTTTCCGTCTCGATAGAATTTCTTTATTTTATGCTAATTTATTTATGAAGACTAGAGCTATAATTTGCAAAGTGCGTGGCTTGTGATTCTCAATATATACAAAGTTCTTATCGACTCATATGAGAAGTACTTACTCCCCCCCCCCTCCGTGAGTGAAACAAAACCATTAGAAAAATCGCTGTTTTTTGCCCAAAAACCCGCCCTCCGTGAGTGAACAAAAATTTTTTTAATAGAAAAATTTTTTATGGAAAAAAATTTGATATATAAATGATAATTAATATAATGAAATCTAGAGCTAATTCTGTTTAATTTTAAACAAATTGCATTTTAAAAACATAAATTTTATAAAATTAAATTAATATTTGCTTTCAAATTTTGGCAAATTAGGATTTTTTTTAAATTTCGAAACAAAAAATTTTTTATAAAAATTTATATATAAATTTTTTTAAAAAAAAATTAACCCCCCTCCGTGAGTGAACAAAATTTTTTTGTTCACTCACGGAGGGGGGGAGTTAGCAAAATTTCAATATGGCTTACAAGTGAAAATCAAAAACTTGCAACTCGATGTGCATTTTTCCGGCTCGATAGAATTTCTTTATTTTATGCTAATTTATATATGAAGACTAGAGCTATAATTTGCAAAGTGCGTGGCTTGTGTATCTCAATATATACAAAGTTCTTATCGACTCATATGATGTGTACTTAGCATAATTAAATATTGATTAAAATTAAAATATCTTAAGTTTTAAATTATTTTAATAATAAATCCATTTTAAAAAATTGGCGCGTTTACTTGTCAACTTTTTCAGACTTGTCACCTTTTTTTGGCATGTCACTTTTTAGCACTTCCTGATATAGATATCCAGCCCGTTCCTTTAATAGAGTCTCTCTTGGTCGTTCAATAATCCAGTACATTTTTGCTCGATAAAGAAATCTATAAAGGGGTATGAGCTATATTAATATGATGGCTGCTAAATATGTCCTTAGCAATGATCTCGCAAATTTTTTTTTGTGATCTAAGTTCTTTAATTCTATCCCTTGAATTCATTTGAGCAGTTTTATGTGCTGGAATGAGCTGTGATAACTCCAAGACCAAAGTATTAGTTATCCAGGTGGTTTTGGAATGGTTTCTTTTTTTCTTGGTGACTCCACTCCTCCTAGATATCCAAGAGAAGGTATAGGGATTACCGGTGGCTTCATAGAATCCAATTGTGAAACGATGAAGGAGTCTTTCTGGCCTGTCTAGACTCTGGAAAAGCAGCAAGCCCTTTCCCAGAGAATACCACTTTTCCCAATTGGGTTTCCCTCCTTAAAGCATATGGCTTTTTTCGGAAGCGTGCGGATACCCAAACCTTTAAATTCAATAATTTAAGCTTAAACTTAACTAATTTTTCACATTAATGCCTATATTAGCTTTACTAAGTCACACTGATTATAATAAATATGAACAGAAAATATCATCAAAAGCGCTCAAAGAAAAATCTCCCTGAAGCACCTCCGCCTTCATCTGACACTGCCAATGAGTATATGGACATCCTTGACATCTTCCATTGGGGATATACAACTAAGCGGGAAGTAAAATCAGTCGAGACCAGTGTCCCATTTAACTTTGATTATGTCCTGTATGACCTATCCACGAAATCCAAAGGAGCTGAAGAAGACATAGAGTTTGCTTTGAATCTAAAGCTAAGAAACAATATTAGAAGAGGAAACACCATCATTGTCTTATATAAGCTTGCTAAAGGCCAAGCCAAAGATAGGCTTAGATCAGTAAATTGGGATGGGCAAAGATATGAGATTAAGGAGCTTTATTGAGCGAGAAGATTAGATTATTAAGTATGAGGCCATAAGCGGTTGATCCACTAGCATTTGTCTTGTTTTGGTTGCAAAAGGTAGCATTCATAGACTAGAGTAAAAATATGAGAGGAATCCTTTGGATTTTAATCAGGCCACCTGTCCCTAGGATCAGATCCTTTAGGCAGAACTACTATCTCAGGAAAGTGCCCAACAAGGAAAGACTTTGGTAGGCAAAGCCTGCGCCTCAAGCCCATCTTCCGCCAGCACCGTAATTTCTTATATGCGAGAAGAGGGATGTATAAATTTTTCGATATGTCCTTTGAGTTTTTAAATCAAGCTGACACAAAAGATTTAGAAATCGCAGGGAGTTTTGTTGGAAACTTCAGCTTAAATTAAGATTAAGATTAAGATTACGCTGGGTATTTAAGGTCCCTACTACGTCCGAGGTCGCATGCCACGGTTTCCCGTGTGGTGGCAGAGCGTTCACCAAGCCCGGGCCGAAACCCCCGGTTTCTCGTAGAGGTATTGTCAAGGGCCGTCTCATACCGGCTTTGCTGACCACCTCCATTTCCAACTTGGATCGTCGCCTAAGTTTACGCCAACTCCGCTTCGTCGTCCGCCAGATCTGCCCATTGAAGGGCACCTTTTCAACTGGAGAGACCCCCGTTTTTGGTGTCTAACTCGCCTCCCCTCTTTTCCGGTCATCCCGAGAAAGAACTCAACAGCTTTCGCCATTTCGGGGCGAGCCACTAAAGCAGCTTAGGCAGGTAATTCACCCTGCCTCATTTCGGGCACTCACTGGGCTGAGCGCTGCTGCTGCAAAAAGAAGTCACGAATAACTGCCCATGGGTCTGGTCGCAAAAACAGCGGCTCTCGCGCTTAGGCCTCTCGCTTCGAGGTCCCAGACGTTGTTGGGCTAATTCCTGGCTCCAAAAACCATGCCCGGATATACATGGGTAACCACCACTGAGAGGGTGGGTCGGTCGCCATACGCCATTTTATGTATATGGAAACTTCAGCTTAAATTACAGCAAAGCAGAAGCTCATAAAGAAGAGCTGAGAAAAGTAATTTTTGAAGGTGTAGAAAAAGCTATAAGGAATGGAGAAACTGTAGACGTCTATAAAACTGTCAAAGCTAATGGAGAAAATGCACAAATTTCATATTTCCAGCCATTGGATTCATGGATAATTGCAAGCAAAAATGTGAGTTTAATAGCAAGAAATAGAAAAGATTTAGAAAAATATTCAGCTAACAGGTTTAATTTCGCAGGTTTAATAGCAAATGAGTGGTTTAATATCATTGAAAGTATGAGACCTGATGTAGTAAATACTTTTAAACAAGAATTATCAGGGCATACTATTGTAGGGGAGTATACAGGAAATCAGGATTATCAACATCTTATTAGATACAGCAAAATCTCTTTGGTGTTTTTTGCATTAGTTGACAATAATTCTGTAGTCACCTGTAAACCACCATTAAAAGCTTTACAATTTTTCAGAAAATTTAATCTTGAACACGTAAAAATGCAGAAATTCGGAAATTTACATAGTGTTTTGGATTTATATGAGAAGCTAAAAGGGCTGTTTTGTGAGGTTTCTTCAGAAACTTTAGAGGTAGGTGAAGAAGGAGCTGTTCTATATTTTGTAAAAAATAAAGCACAAGATAACCCTATACTAGCTGTTGCAGAAAATTTTCTATTAAAAAATACAGGAAATTTCCCTAGTGAGCATGAGTTTAACGAGGCTTTGGAAAACCAAGAAACTTTGTCATTAACCAAATTAAAAACGCTTGAGTATCGAATTTTTAGAAAAATCAGAGAAAAAACAAAATATATTGAAAACAATGCAAGTGATGTTTACAAAAAATTTGTGAAAGAAGTATAGAATTTTCCCATAGATGGCGCTGTTTGCCCTTGATTTGCCCACTGGAAAATTTTTTGGTTTGACCAAACCATAATGCACTGGTCGAACCAAAAAATTTTCTTCATGGGCAAATCAAGGGCAAACAGCGCCATCTATGGGAAAATTCTATAAACGAGCTTGCCGCAGGACAAAGTTTGCCAAAGCCTATAGAGTATTATTTTGAAGTAGCAAGAAAAGCTTTTGAAGAAATTGAAAGAAATCCAAATTTATATAAAAATCGAGGAAAATATATTGATTTTTTGGATAAAGTTTTGGAGACTGTAAAACTGCCTGGATCCTATAAAAGGCCTAATACAAATTATAAATCAGTAGTATTATTGACTCCTCCTTGCTATTATTCAATGACACAAATAAAAGACATCTCTAATGCTCTTGGATGCTCAGAAATAAAATATGAGTACAAAGCAGCAAACCCATTGGAGTTTCCTTTATATATCTTTAACAATGTTCCTCGAAATCCTAAATTCAGTGAGCATGATCTTGTTATTTTTGCTGGGTATGCTACTTCTTCTATCCCAGAAACCTTAAATAAGCTTCAAGAAATGAAAAATTCGACTGAAGAAATTCCATTGAATGCTCAAAGTTACATTAAAAACCAAAATCCAGAAGGAGCTATAAAAAATTTATACAATGCAATTTTTGATCTTACATCAAGCTTATTGTGGGGCGTTTTACAAAAAATTTTTAAATAATAGTAGATTTAATATGAATATATTGAAAAATTGCTTGCTATTGGGGGTTTTCTTGGGCATTTAATCAAATTTAAATCTAATCTAATTAAATTTATTATTTGAAAATTTTTTGCACAAATCCCTACAAATAAAATAAGCAATGGAGTTAGAAACTTTATAAAGAAATTTTCACATGATTTTGGCTTGATTTCTTATGAAAGGTTAATTGAAGAAGCGCTTAAGCTGCTTTTTCCACCTCCAAAGCCAAAAGTGTTTTACCCAGAAGGGACCTACGTTATTGTCCCTCTAGGTATTCCTGCACTTGGAAAAACAGAGCTGGTACCGGTTTTCCAAGAAATTGCGGAGAGAAATGGATTTATGTTTGTTTCTATAAGTTCTGATAAAATACGAGGAGAATTATATAATAAATATATAGAAGAGAATGGAAAAACTGATGAGCAGGTTCTCTATGATAAAACGACTAAGCAGACTATTAAATTGTTTCAGGATGAAATTATTTCAGCTTTAAGCCAAGACTCTTCAAGAAAAATTATATATTTAGACAAAAATCATCCTCCAAATGCTATCAAGGGATCATTCGAAACAATTAAAAAAGGGGATAAAAATGCCAAAATTATTGTCATGGTTCCAGACTGTGGAAAATACTACTTAATCTCTATCCTGAAAATAAGAAGACATCACGGAAAATAAACAAGAAATATTTTTTATATATAATAAATAAAATTTTTATATATTAAATTTTCTAAAGTTGGCAAAAATTTCTTCCCAATGAGTTTGCAAGTCCTACTAACATGCTTGCTGAGGATTAAAAATAGAGACACTCATGAGACACTAGCTGGAACCTTAGAAAAAAGGGTTGGCGTTGTTATGATGATGTACATGCTTTATAAAAATTACCTTCTTGATGAAGGAAGTTCATTATTAAGAGAAGTCAAATTTTTAAAGATACCATTTGTGGATGAAAAAATAAAGGTCAATGAAAATTTTGAGAATTTAATGATGTATGTGCTACAGAACTACACAATAGGTAAGACTCCTTCTGAAGAATATATCAGAAGTATTATTGAAGAAATTGAAAAAAATGATATAGACAGGGTTTCTATTTGATCGTCTTGGGCTAAAAAGCGCCCTGACAACTGGTGAGTTGACAAGTTCCATTTATTCTTTTACTTTTTTACTTGCTAGCTGGTGGAGTTGGCTTGGAAACTAATGGTGAGTCAATTCCACCAGTTGGTAGAGTGTTTTATGGCCCAGGGCGATCAAAAAGAAGCTCTGATCAATGTTCCATTACCTCATATTAGCCTTGGAGATGTATTAGAAAGAGGACTAGAAAACCTAATCGGCCAAAAATTAGAAGAAGAGCAAATAAAAATAGCAGAAGAATCTAAAGATTTCCAACCATCAAAAATAGTCCAAGAAGAAGCTAAGCATCCTCTAAAAATCCATGAAGGAACTAAAGAAATCAAGCCAGCCCAAAAGCTTCATGAAGAAACTAAAGAAATTCCCCAAAAAATCCCAGAAGATGTCAAAATTGTTGAAGAAACAAAAACTGAGCACGAAAAAATCCCAGTTTACCTCGGTTTAGATTTGGAAGAATATTTCGGGACATCCTTAATTCCTCTTATCACATCTGCTCTAGACGCGTTTGCTTCAAGCTTCCCCGAAGAGCAAGCTATCCAAAGCGATTTAAAAGAGTTAGTCACCAGTGGTGTAAGAGTTTATTCCCCTGCTGGCAGAGTTTCAGATAAATGAAAATTCACAAATTCCCTCCATTTAACGTCATTTTTCATAGGAGGAAATAAAGAAAAGTTAAAATCAAGTTTTTATATACGCTTTTTTATCAATACATATGAAATGAAAATAATTTTTATAAAAATAATTATTATTGTATTAGTAACTTGGTATAGAGAATTCAGAGAAAATGCTGAATGCGTTTTGAGGCTTACTCATATCGTCTATGTTCCACAAAGGCTAATTTGTGCCTCTGCTGTGTCTACTGATGGGTATTTTAGGATTGAAAATAAAATGCCGCACGTTACTTTACTACTAGGAAAATGGCCTGCAAAATTAAGTAATGAAGTGCTCATGTCTGCGAACTTGCAGGATAATGTAAGTAGAAGCCATGGAAATTTAATGAAAGAAAGTGTGGATATATACGCATTAAAGCTGTATCCACAATGGTTTTTGAAAGGAGTAACAAAAAAATACCACAATTAATAAAAAATTAATTAGAAAATAAATTGACTTGTCTTTTGGCATTTTTTTGGCTCTTTTTCTAAATTTAAAAATTTAGTAAGGTGATACTGAGCATGGTATTCCAAAATCTCCAAAGCGAATTTTTTGCTGTCTTAAAGAGGATACGTTAAATATCATTATATAAATGGAGTTAAATAAAGTAATCTTAAGTGCTAAAATTATTGCTGCATGAATTTTATAAGTATATTGAAAAATATAGGCTTACACGAGTTTGTTTGTTTTTTAAATAATTTATTTGCTTCTTGATTTCTGTCTAAACTTTTAAAAAAGCTGATTTAAAAATAAGCTAGCAACTTTTATTAGCGAAATCATTTATTGAGATTTTAAACGGAGTGTCTTTAAATGGTAAAGAACATAAAAGGTTTTGGTCCGAAAAATGTATTTTATTAGAATTTCAGCGGCATTATAAGTGCTCAGTGACTGAAACTTAAAAGAGCATATAAATGCAGGACCATTTAGCACAAGGACACCAATTTTAATTACTTAACGTCAATTATATATGATTAAATTTAAAATCAAATTACAAACTCCCTGCTTCTGAAGGAAATGGATCTTTTTCGCAATATAAACTATCCTGATCATTTAAAGATTTATCTAAGTTTTCGGTATTAGTACCTATTCTGGTTTGATTTGGCACGAGGTTATAGCCTTGATATTGAATTTTTGAATTTTCTATATTGCTAGAGCCTATATTTGACCCATAATTTTCCTCAATTACTAAGTTTCATTGGACGTCCAAATCCTGAAAGCATACATTAAGCACAGAAATATTTTTGTTAACGTAGTCATAGAACATAGGTGTTCCAAAGACTTTTGCTTCCTCATCAAATATAAATAAATTTGCTTCCTCATATTCACTCCATGAAACTAAGGGAGCTTCAAATATTTTATTTAAAAATTTGATCCGCGATATTTCGTTGTAAAATGAAGGTTGAGAGTTTTGGATTGATGGGAGCAAGAGAGGCCCTTTTAAGCCATTAAACATAATACTTTTATTCGCAGCATAATCGCGCGAATTCCACCCAGCAAGCAATCTATGCAAGTGCTCGCCATCGTATTCGAAATTTGATTCTTCTTCATAATATTCACTGCATTCAAAATTATAAAGTTCACAATTTTTAAGCCTGATATTCTTTGAAGTAAACGATTGATAAGCATTAAATCTGAAAAATAATTGGTTGTAGGCAGTCAAATGTAAAATATCTGCAATACCTTTATAAATTCAATTGTTGGATTGGTTTTCTTTCAAATGGTCTTTTATTTTCAAGAGTTCTGTTCTCGCTTCATTTAAGTTGTTGATGGGCTTTTTGGTCAAATTTTGAACTTTAACGCTTATATCATTTTCAAATAAGGTATTTAGCTGATTTTTAATAGAATTGCAGTCATCACCCCATAAATAATTCAAGACTTCAATTTCTGTGAGGATGCAGATCGGAGGCATATTTGAATCAGGGATATTACTTACTCCCCCCCCCCCCTCCGTGAGCGAACAAAACCATTAGAAAAATCGCCATTTTTTGACCAAAAACCCACCCTCCGTGAGTGAACAAAAAATTTTTTAATAGAAAAAATTTTAAATGGAAAAAAATTTTGATATATAAAGTGATAATTAGTATAATGAAATCTAGAGCTAATTCTGTTTAATTTTAAACAAATTGCGTTTTTAAAACATAAATTTGCAAATTAAATTAATATTTGCTTCCCAATTTTTGCAAATTAGGATTTTTTTTAAATTTCGAAAAAAAATATTATTTTTATAAAATTTATATATAAATTTTTTTTTTTTAAAAAAAAAAATTAACCCCCTCCGTGAGCGAACAAAAATTTTTTTGTTCGCTCACGGAGGGGGGGGGGGGGGGAGTTAGCAAATATCTTGCCCGGGATAAAGAAATAGTTAACTCTTTTATTAATGAATCCTTTAATAAGTCTATTTTTTCAAGTTCGCTACTCAATTTGGCTTCAATTTTTGCTTTTAAATTGCTTAGAGCGTCATTTTTCCTTAACTCAATATAGGATGTGATATAGTTAAGTGTTGTATAGGTTCAGCACTTTAATCACTCTGGAATTTCATGCATCAGAGATTTATCAAGATTAAATTGCTCTATGTATTGAATTTCATCAGAGGTAATTTTGGCTGAACTTGAAAATAAGAGAGCACATATTTTTCCAGCAAGGGGTAGACAAATATCTGTTTTTGAAGGGTTAATGAGATAGTATCCAGAACAATTAGTTTTTGAGCATAAGCAAATACTGTTTTTATACTCTTCAATCTGATCTGTGCATGAGGAATAGTTCCATGTTAATTCTTCCAATGACTTTATTCTTCTTATTGTATAGAGACCGATTGTATACCTGCCATTTGCAATCACTGTTCTTGCTTCGCAATTTGGGTAGCAAGAGTGATTAATTTTGCAAGTTCAATTTCCTCTTGGTATAGGATCCACAAAAAAAACAGAATAGCCTTTTATATCATTTTTGTTTCTTTCCAGCTCAACTGTATAAAAATTGGATGATTCATTGGTAGAGTTTGCAGGTTGGATTTTATTTTTACTATTTTGGATTGCAAGGTCTTTTTCATAAAATTCTCCTGCCGAATATATTTGGCCTGCGTATTCCCCCAAAAAGGCATTTTTCGGGATTCCTTGAGAGGTGTTGCAAAAGATTCCATAACCTTTTTGATGGATGGTGAATTCCTTTAAAATAATATCATGTCCATATATTTCACCTAAGGCTTCAATCGAGTTATATAAAGCTTTAGAAAAATATTTATCATTCAGATTAAAAATTTCTTCAGTCATTATGCCTTGTAAAATGTGTTTAAAGCTGTCATTTATTTGATTTGCTGCCCAATTTATTGCAATTGGCATAGAAACATTAAGAAATCTTTTCGCATCTATAGATTTTCCAATTATTTGTAAAATTATCTGGGCTGTTCTTTTATCAAATCCAAAAGCTGGCATTTCTATCACATCCACATCTTTAATGTATTTTCGTCTGTTTTTAGATATTGAGCGATTTAGGCAAGTTTCTTCTTTGCATAAGCATCTGCTAGTACATTCCATTTTATTGCTGAAACATGCATTTTTTTCAATAGATTCAAGAGAATCGCAAAATGCTCCATTACATCCTTCTTTATCTTCAATTATGCAAATTTCTTCTGCTGAAAAACCAGGATTTGAGGGTTTTAAATGCTCTATTTCTTCGATAATCTTGGAATGAGAGAGAGAGAGAAATCTTTATTACTTAAAGGCCTTTATTTCAGGGCCATGTCCCGATTAAAAATTTTTTAACTTTCTTCTTTTCCTAAAATCTTTGGATAAAATTTTAGTAAAATTTTCTGAACCCACGTAATCCGCGATTTTTTCGATTTCTGAGTCTGATATGAATTTTCTATATCTGATGAAATTTGAATCTGATCTAAATTTTATTTTCCTGATAATGTTTGATTCTGATATCAATTTTATTTTTCTGATAAAATTTGAATCTGATCTAATTTTTATTTTTCTGGTATTCAGGATTTTCTTATCGATTGTCTTCTTATCATCAATGATCACCTCAGTCTTCCTATATTTGAAGGTTTCCTGAATAGGATCTATTTCATCTAGTATTTTTCCATCTAAACGACTTAAAAACTCCAATATTTTGTCATCTGTATCAACATTTTCTGTATCACTATCATTTCATTCATACTCTGATTCAGAATTATCAAGTAATCCTGTATCAATAAGTTCATTTAATAGTAAAAGTTCGAAAAATTCATCCTGTAAAGCTCCGTTTTCTTCACAAAAGGAAGAAGAATAGGAAACATTACTTTCCGAATCTTCCATTAAAATAAAAGTATCTTGGAATGAAGATTTTGAAATGACCTTTGAGGAATTGATGGATACTTTTGAGATGAACTCATAATATTTATTCAGAAATCCTTTAAAGATTCGGCAATTTCTGTTTTAAAAATGCTCAAGTAAGAAAATATTGCTTCTTTCCACAATTCACAATTCAATTGCAATTCTTGTGTTTCAAAAAGTGAAATTTTGGAGTCAATTGCTTCATTAATTGCAGTCTTTAATTGATCTATTGAATAAAATTGATCATAATGTTCTATTGCAGAAGAAATCGATTCTAAAGCAGATTGAAGAGTTTCTGGATCATTAAATAGCGATTCTGAAATTTCATGATATGGGATTCCCTGAATTATATTTTTAATTGTTTCTGTTGGAGAAATCTTTTTTTTTGCTTGAATAAAAGCTTGGGCTTCATTCATTGCTCTAATATTCCTTTCTTTTTTGAAATCTTTCTGTGCAGCAACTTTGTGATGCTTTTGAGATGGCTGGCTCATATTATTAGGGGGGTTATGAAATTAATAAATTATTAGTCATTAAGATAATGCTAAATCCTAATTTAATTTTTAATAGCTTACTCCCCCCCCCCCTCCGTGAGCGAACAAAACCATTAGAAAAATCGCCATTTTTTGACCAAAAAACCCACCCTCCGTGAGTGAACAAAAATTTTTTTTAATAGAAAAAATTTTAATGGAAAAAAATTTTGATATATAAGTGATAATTAGTATAATGAAATCTAGAGCTAATTCTGTTTAATTTTAAACAAATTGCGTTTTAAAACATAAATTTTGCAAATTAAATTAATATTTGCTTCCCAATTTTTTGCAAATTAGGATTTTTTTAAATTTCGAAAAAAATATTTTTTATAAAATTTATATATAAATTTTTTTAAAAAAAAAAATTAACCCCCCTCCGTGAGCGAACAAAATTTTTTTGTTCGCTCACGGAGGGGGGGGGGGGAGTTAGCAAGTTTTAATAAAATTAATTTCTAAAATAAATTTATTTAAAGGCTCTTAATCGGAACCACTCCTTCGGAATAAAAAGTGTTCCATTTCCTTTGAAATCCTTGATCGTGAATTGCTTGAGACCTTTAAGCTTCAAAATAACTGGCTTCATCATTCAAGAATTATAAAAATAAATCAAAGGCCCTTCTACAATGGCAAATGATGAGTGGATGACGCTGAGATTTTGCAAATGGACAAGAAGATAAACTTTTTCACCTCTTTCTGCAAAAACCCCAATTTGGTATTTTGCTATTTTCTCGCAGATAATGCTTTGGGATTTGAAAAGCATCGCAATAGAATAGCCGCCATTCTTTCATCTTCCTTCTAGAGGTTCCTTTATTTTTCCATTTATTTCTATAACTGCTGCAATAATTGCACAAATTTCGCATGTATATTCATTGGCACTTTGCAGCGGTCTTTGCAGTAGATGTAGCGTTTTATCATAATTTTCTCGCAGTCATTCTTCAGAATATAGGTTCAAAATTTCTTGATCAGAAGGTGCTGCTGTAGCCTTATCCATTTCAAAATGTATAGCATAAAAATGATTTATGTGCCAATGATAGAGCTTGATTGGTAGAATATTTTCATATTGAGGGTCCCTAGTATCACATAAAAATTTTCCATCCCAAAGCCGAAAGACATTTACTTTTTTTTAGATCTCGTTCATTCAGTTTGAATTCTTCGAGATCTTTGTCATCAAGAGGGTGGCAGGAATAGAGACGAGTTAAGTTTATATCTGGGTTGTTTCCTTGAATGTAAAAGTCATCCATCTCGCCGGTTATTATGCATGCTTCTATATCTTCTTCATCGATGGATTCTATTGGCCATGAAAAGGCAAGAGTTTCTTTCTCAACGCTCCCGTGTTCAGGCCCACGATAGCAATTTAGGATTACGATTTGAAAGCCATCGAGAAACTCTTTGGTGTTTTCTGTAACCTTTCACCACTTTGTGCGTGCAGTACGAGCTATTTTCTCTTGGAAAAGTTTGTTTAATGGGATTTCTACTTGAAATGGTTCATGATTATTCTTTAGGTTGAAAATATCGACTGTTTGAATGAAGTTGGCTTTTTGTAAGGGTCTTCTTGTTTTACTATGAGTGTTAGACTTGAGATTTTTTACCATTTATAATATAATAAATTCAAATCCCCCTTTAATTTAAACATATGCCATTATTGATTTCCACTAAAATCAACTACTATAGGCGATAATAAGTCAGCCACATGGAGAGGTCGCCCTAAGCTACGGACTTTGGAAATTGTAGCTCCAATCTTGAGAAGAACATCTGCACTGTTTATTTAAAAATCTATCGAGCCGCAACGGCACACAAATTGCAACAAGTTTTTAAATTTGAATCACATGCCTAATTTTATTTTCGCTAAAATCTACTACTATAGGCTTTAAGAATTTAACCCGAACTTTGAAAATTTTAAGTCAAAATGGCTCCATTTTTATGAATTTCTGTATGGAATCATCACCAACAACCCAGCCATTCTTGCTCATTCTAAAGCTTTCTCTTCTTCTTACTTTCTCTGAGTTGTTTCTGCAATCGCACGGTGGGCAATTTCGTATTTCCGAAGATTTGCTTGTTTCTGTTTATTTCTGAAACTCCAAGGAGCAGGTTAAAAGATCAATCGGCTTTAAGATATTTTTAGGTATGAAAAGAGTATCAACGTATATCAGAAGTTTTTTCTTTATTTATTTTTACTTTTGAAGTATAAAGTGCTATAATTTCAAAGAATTTCCTAAAGGCAGCTATTCATATTTTATAATCAATTTTATATTCGAAAACGCAACAACTCACACTTTCATTTTAATACATTTAGCATAAATAAAGAAATGCGCAAATGGCTCTATGATTCCTCGAAAGCTCAACTGAGCATCAATAAAAATTAGAAAATTAAGATTTTAATAGTGCGAAGGCTTAAGTAATACTAAGATCGATTGTAGTGAATACGAAGGCAAGTAATAAGCTTGCACTAGACCTCTGAGTTGTTTTATGGTTGATAGCCAAGCCCTATCAATGACGTGATTCCCAATTCTGAATCGGCAGGACCGATTCAGAAGTCAGGCATTTCTGGCAGTGAGCCCTCAGGCGAAGTCTTCTAGATTAGGAGTTGATATTTTTTAATTTGGGATGACTGCTTAGTGTTTTACGACTTGCACAAATCCCTGATAAGAGAGCTGCCAATATTTTATTTGGAATCAAATAATAATAATAATCGACAAATTCTGATGAGAATAAAAATCATCTGATAAAAATAAATGGAAGAAAACAAAGATGTAGACATGGAAGAAATTGAAGTTTGCATGTCGCGCCAAACTCCATTAATCTTCCCCTTTGAAGAAGAAAAGGTTAATTTTGAAATAAAAAATATTACTATTTCTGAAGTTATCAACCCTTCTCCTCATACTTTTCAGCTGTGGTACCCTCAAGAAGAATCTCTTACCAATCTACAATTTTTTTCATACTCCAAAAAACTTAGCCGATTAATCGAACTAGAATTAGAAGTCGCAAAAGAAAAACAGGCAATGAGGAGCAGAAAAATATCTCCCAAGGACCAGAATATATAAAAAAGATTAAAAAAGGTCGTAGAGCATCAAAAATAAGTTTTTCTGATAAAATAAAAGTTTTAGAATACACAAACAATCATCGTGAGTGCAGTTGACGATTTATTGGATCAGTCTTTGGGATAAGTCACTGTCAAGTTCGGAAGATATGACTTAATCAATGAGATTATTCATTATTGAGTGATAAAAGAAATAATTACAGATCAACAATGACCAATGATGTAAAAACTAAAATTGATAAGATATGCAAAGATCTTGATCCAACATTAACAATTTCTGAAAGAACAAAAATATTAAATTCTGATGGCTGCGATGCAAAGCCACACCAAGTTTATTACTATATGAAAAAAAAATATAGCCATAAAAGGAGCCGATTTCATCCCTATCAGAGAAAATATGTCGGTAATGTTCTTAAACGTCAATGCTTTGCAGCAAAATTAATTGATACTTTGGAAGAGGGTAAACAAATAGTCAACATCGATGAATTTGGTTTAGATTTTAGCAAAAGAAATTATGGATGAAGTGAAAAAGGATCAAAATGCTTAGGGTTTAAGACTTCAATGAAAAGATTTTATAGCATTATTATTGCAGTATCTAATTGAAATGGAATAATTGCATGAAGAGCTATTGGAGAAAATAATAACGCAAAAAAGTTTAACAATTTTATTGCAGATCTGACAAAATACATTTATAGTCAGGATAGAGATTTTAGGGAATATACAGTGTTTTTTTTGGATAATTCGAAAATACACACATCAGCCATTAATAAAGAGCTATATGAAAAATTAGGCCTGTTTGTATTGTTTGGGACTCCTTACACTCCGCAGTTTGCTTTCGTTGAAAGAATTATTAGTTATATTAAAGCGAAAGTCAAAATCTGTGAAGATACACTTTTAGAAAGTTTGAAATATAGTGTTAATAAGACACAAGAAATACTTGATATGGAAAAAATAATGAGAAATATTTTAAACAGTTACGGGTCGAAAGCCTTAAAACTCGAAGATTTAGGAGATTAGATAATTAATAATTACTATAAGATTGCTGTCGAATGCCCATAAAATTGAAAATAAAATTTTGGATTATTAATGCTAATTTATGAATGTTTGAAAGCTAATATCAAATTTAAATATTTGCTTCTATCAGAATTTCTTCATAGATTTTTTGTCAAAATTAAAGTTTCTTTTTCTTACATAATATTATAGTCATTATTAGCGCTTGATATAGAGGAATTTTATGAAAATTGAATATAAAATTCTTTATGAGCTTTACCAGCAACCCAGCCATTCTTGCTGATACTAAAGCTTTCTCTTCTTCTTACTTGCTCTGAGCTGTTGCTGCAATCGCACGGGTAGGCAATTTCGTAATTCCTACGATTTGTTGGTTTCTATTATTTCTGAAGCTCCATATTTTTTAAATGATATTAACTGGGAAACATGAGTAGGGATCACCTCTAGCAACCCAGCCATTCCTACTGGTAGTAAATTCATCACTTCTTCTCACTTGCTCTGAGCTATCGCTGAAGCCGCACGGCGGGAAATTTCATATTTGAAGCGATTTTTTAATTTCAAAAACTCCAAGCAGTTAGCTAAGAAGCAAAAAATAGGCTTTAAGATGTTCGTAGGCTTTAAGAAAATTGTATCCAGAGGTCGCCTATTGCCGTGCAGAAAATCTCGAGAGAAAACCCAACCCCATAAATAAAAATTCCATGAGGGAGAGAAAATTAACAGAGCTAATTTCTCTCCTTTTATAGTTCAATTGATAATAGTATTTATTATTTATGTATTTATTATTATCACTAATTTATAAGATCTTTTAAAATAAGATTTTTAGTTATTAATTAATCCCAGTTTAATTGGATATCTTAAATTTTAAATTAATTAAATAGTAAAGCCACTTTAAAATTAGCGTGTTTACTTGTCACTATTTTTGGGCATGTATCTTTTTATATAGAGATTGAGCTCAACTCTTTGAGAGAGTCTGTTTTGCTCATTCAAGGTCTAGCACATCTTGTTCGATAAAGAAATCTATATAGGGTATGAGCTATATAATGAAATCTCTAGTTAATTCTGCTTGCATTTTAAAAAATACATTTTTTGCTAATGTTAAAAATTGTCATCTTTTAAATGATTTTTATAAAATAAAATTAATCCTTCGCCATAACAAAAATTTTTTTCTCTTGCTTTGAGTAAGCGCATTTAAAAATAATACGTCGAGCATTGGAGGAGCAGTTTTGGGCAGATAGCATAAATCTTGAGATTTCTCGTTCAAACTTCACTAAAAATCCTGCTGTTTCTTTAGAACTTAATGCTGCTGAGAGAGGAGTTATAGATGGAACAGGTGGTGCAGTCAATTTTAATTGCAAATATTTTGGCACCTGCTCTTTTAATGTCTCTTTCTGCTCTTTTTATTGAAATAGAGCTACATATAATGGAGGTGCGGTCAATTGAAAATATGCAAAATATATATTCAATGAAAATAAATTTGTAAGCAATTTTGCGGAATACGGGGATGATATGAGCTCTTTTCCTGCTGCTATGGAATATGTAAATCAAAATAGCACCGTTGGAGATCATTCTGGAGCCAGAATGCTTACTACAAGTTTGACTTTAAACAATGTTGCCTCAGGCCAAGAAAACAAATTTCCGATAGCTTTTGCCTTAGTAGATCACTTAAACCAAATTATCAAGACTGATAATATAAGCCAAGCTCAGCTGCAAGTTGTAAGCCCTTCTTCAGCTCTTATTTCTGGCTTAACAATAGTTTATGCTGTACAGGGAGTATTCAATTTCTCTGGCTACACAATCACCGCAAAGCCGGGGTCTTCAGCTCAAATAAGAGTTTACACTTCAGCAATCCAGGAAACAAGTGACAGCATTGAAGACCGCTCGAGCTTCTACATTGATGTCAAGCTTAGGCTCTGCGAGCTTGGAGAAGCCACTGTCAATGGGACTTGCTATGGTTGCAAGAAGCCTTACTACAGCTTGAATCCGAAAAACACTGCATGCTTGCCATGCCCTTCATCAGCCATTTGTTACGACAATTATACAATAGTTCCAAAGAAAGGATATTGAAGAAATAGCATGATGACAAGCATATTCTGAAAGTGCCCGTACTCAAAAGCTTGCCTGGGCTCTCCAGATATTCACAATTTATCTTATACAGGAGTTTGCAAGGAGGGCTATAAAGGGAATATGTGCCAGTCTTGTAAACATAATTACTCAAGACTATATAAGAATGAATGCATAAAATGCCCTGGGATTGTTAGCAATGTCTTTAGACTACTTGGTTTTCTTGTTTTTATTATTGCCATTCTAGTTATAATGATAAAAACTGCAAGAAATTCTGTGTACAGATCAGAAGCTTTTACTTCAGTCTATATTAGGATATTCTGAAATTTCTTGCAGGTGCTGGTAATAATAACGACTTTCAATTTAAACTGGCCCAATGAAGTAATTGAGCTTTTTCATATAAATGATATTCTTGATTATACTGGGCAGCTATTATACTCTTTAGAATGTTTTTTGCAGCTCTCGGTATCTCGAGATGATGTGTACTTTAAAAGGATTGTCATCTCCTCTGCAATGCCCTTTTGTCTCGGAATTTTCTGCTTTGCTGGCTGATTTCTTTGAAAGATCAAGACTAAGAGATTTCGTTATATAATGGACGATTTTATATCGACTGCTGTAGTCATGCTATTCTTAATCCATCCGAGCTTGATGTATGACCTGTTTAGTATTTATAGCTGTAAAGAAATCAATCAAGGAGAATTTTGGCTTAACGCGGAACTCGATATAAGATGCTGAACTCCAGAGCATTCTTTCTATGCTTTTATCATAGCAATGCCAGCAATAATAATATGAGGAATTGCAGTGCCTGCCTTATGCCTTACTAATTTAGCTAGAAGCGAAGATAGGCTTGACGAAGTGTGAATAAAGTTGCGCTATGGATTTCTTTTCAATGGATATAAATCAAAGTATTATTACTGAGAGTTTGTAATTGCGTATTCAAAAATGATTTTAATAGCTTTTTCCGTTTTTTTATCAAATGTGTCAATAGCTGTCCAAGCTATTGCTGTTGTCATCCTATTATACGTATTTCTACATACCCAGCGCAGAAACAAACCATTTATTTTGCAAATTTTTAATAGAATGGAATTTGTATCAAAATGTATCTCACTACTTACTGCATTTTCAGGTCTTTTCTTTTTAACAGGAGCTTTAAATTACCCTGGGAAATTTTTCCTTCTTGTAGTTGTGCTGCTATCAAATATAGTATTTGCTCTCTGATGCCTTTATAAGTCTACTCTTGAAGCTTTTAAAATTATAAAAATTCTAATTCTGGCTCTCAAACGAGGCAGAGTAGAGATAGGAATTGATGAAAATTATGAGTCAAATGTAGACTCCTGCAATGTAGAAAATTCAAAATATCAAGATCAAAGCTATAATCTCGTGCCAAATCAAACCAGAATAGGTACTAATACTGAAAACTTACTCCCCACCCTCCATAAGCGAACAAAAATATTTTGTTCACTGAGGGGATTAATCTTTTTTTATTACAAAAATTTATATATAAATTTTATAGAAAAATTTGTTTTCTTCAAAAATTTAACAAAAATCCTAATTTGCAAAAATTGGAAAGCAAATATTAATTTAATTTATAAAATTAAACAGAATTAGCTCGAGATTTCATTATATTAATTATCACTTATATATCAATTTTTTTTATTAAAAAAAATTTTTGTTCACTCACGGAGGGTGGGTTTTTGGACAAAAAATAGGGATTTTTCTAATGGTTATGCTCACTCACGGAGGGGGGAGTTAGAGAAATCTTTAAATGATCAGGATAGTTTATGTTGCGAAAAAGATCCATTTCCTTCAGAAGCAGGTAGTATGTAATTTGATTTTGAATTTAATCATATATAATTTACGTAGAGTAATTAAAATTTGTGTCTTTGTGCTAAATGATTTTTCATTTATATGCTCTTTTAAGTTTCAGTCACCATATCTTACACTTCTATTAAGATACATCTGCCTTCTTCCTGCATCCCATGCATTTACCTCTAAGTTCCCTTTTTATAAGGAGCCCCTAAACTTTACTTGATAACTTTTCGGCTTCAATGGCTCATGTCGGTATCGCTCTTTCTTGTCTGACTTAGCTGTGCTCTAGCTAAAAGTTTGTCCTCTATGATGGGTAAGATGAGAACCATCTAACCCCTTAGGTCCAGTAGTTAACTGCACACCTCTGGCTCTTTGATTCTCCAGTTTAGCCAAAACAGGATTCATCTTAGAATCTAAATTTTTTATAAATCAAATATTTGCTGCAGGAATATTTAGCACAAATAATCTTAACAGAATACCAATATTTAATTATGCCATATTATTTTCATTTTTCATATTTTAGAAATCAGAGGTAGCTAGAATCGAAACTCCAAATCAAGAAATTAAGTACTAAAATAATTCTACTATATGCTTTTTAAGATTTTTATAATTAAGCGTACGAACACTATGCCGATTATAAAAATCATGGATCAGTCAACAACTGTTTTAGTAAGTAATCCTACAATTGGATCCTGCTCTAAATTTTGAGTTTAAGAAATTTTTGCAAAATAAATGTTTAGTTCATCTGAGCCTGATTCCAAAAGCTCTTAAATGCCGTTCCTTGATTTAACTAAACATTGGCTAAAGGATTCTAGGACTTTTGCCTTCAGCTTGATATTTTTGACTACTCTTTTGTAAAATCTAAGAAGTGCTTCTTTCGTCCCTTTAACACTCTATGGCATGCCTTACTATGAAGCTTTTATTGCTTCCAGAAGTGCAGTTCACAGGATAAATTAAAGGAGAGGTGTATGAGCATGCATATATAATTATTATAATGACGGCTTATTATAACCTATTTTATTCTAAATCTGCATTTTTTGGAGTAGTTCAGCACGGTCTCGGTCTAATATGTCTTTAATAAAATTGATATCTTTTTCAGGTAATATTGAAGATCAACTTTCTGCTCTCCATTAAATTAAAGGCAAGAAGGAATTACTATGAATAGCTACCAATGTACTCAAGTATCTGGAAGAAATTCACGTGACTTTTTGATTCTTCATTAAAGGCCGAAAGAAGAAGATCTATTTTGATAAATGAGTATATTGAATGAAAAGCTCTCACAGCTGATCATTGAAGAAGCAAAAGAAGATGAGAAAGAACCAAAAGCTCCTGAAATAATAAGTTCAAAGAAAATCAAAGAAATAGATATGATTGAATTAGAAGCATACATTGGGGTGATAATTACGATGGGAATTAATAGGAAACCAAATTATCATATGCATTGGAATACTCATGGGTTATGAGAGAGTAGTCTTATATCAAAGGCCTTAGGACTCAAAAGATTTATAAATATTGGAAGCAATTTTCATCTTTCTGATCCTTTCTACTCATCAAACTCACAAGATAAACTAGAAAAATTGAATCCACTAATGAGTCAAATCGAAGCAAAATCTCAACAATATTATCATCTAGGGCAAAGCATAGCAATTGACGAATCTATGATTGCTTTCAAAGGAAGAAATTCCATGAAGCAGTATCTTCCAATGAAACCAACTAAATGAGGATTCAAAAATTTTGTCTTACCCCCCCCCCCCCCTCCGTGAGCGAACAAAAAAATTTTGTTCGCTCACGGAGGGGGTTAATTTTTTTTTTTAAAAAAAAAAATTTATATATAAATTTTATAAAAAATATTTTTTTCGAAATTTAAAAAAATCCTAATTTGCAAAAATTGGGAAGCAAATATTAATTTAATTTGCAAAATTTATGTTTTAAAACGCAATTTGTTTAAAATTAAACAGAATTAGCTCTAGATTTCATTATACTAATTATCACTTATATATCAAAATTTTTTTCCATTAAAATTTTTTCTATTAAAAAAATTTTTGTTCACTCACGGAGGGGTGGGTTTTTGGTCAAAAAAATGGCGATTTTTCTAATGGTTTTGTGTTCGCTCACGGAGGGGGGGGGGGGGGAGTTAGCAGATTCAAGCAACGGTTATGTTTATAGATTCATTATTTACCCAGGAAAAACGAATCTTCTGAATTCTCTCCTGATAACGTTTGCTTGAGGCTTTTGCAAGGACTAGAAAATCAAAATTTTCATCTTTATATTGATATTTAATATAATTCAATACCATTGCTATTGAAATTGAAAGAATTTGGAATTGAATGCACTGGCACAATAAAACAAAATCGAAAATATCTTCCGAAGGACTTCAAAAAGATTATTGCAGGAATAAATCAAAGTGAGTATCTGTTTATAAGAGCAGATCAGATACTTTTATCTTGTTGGCATGACAAAAAGATGGTTGTTTGTGCAACTAATGCAGGAACATCAGCTGCAATCACAAAGAAAAGAGGCAAAAGTGAAATCATTACAATTCCAGAAATTATTGAACGCTATAATAAACATTTCCCGCACATAATGGTGCTTTTGCGCCAAAAGTTTGGAAGTGCTTATCCTGTCAATTCTGAAAAAAGTTGCAGTATGAGTGGAGATTTTGCGTCAGCAGTAGTCTCTTCGGTGCTGAATCCATGGAATGCAGGAGTTAAAGCGAAGATGGAAGCATGGTGCAATGGGTGATGGCATGGAGACAGCACATGATGATCCAAAATGTTAAAAATTGAAGCAAACTGAAGAAAATAAAGTTTTAGTGAACCTTAAAGATACCAAAATTGTCAATTGAGTTGGTGCTAGAGTTGTAGTTGGATCTAATGCTGCAGTTATGCTAGTGTTTTTTCCTGGAATCGTTGATGTTGTTGTCGGTACATATGATGCTGCAAAAGACTTATTGATTTTAATTATGAGAAATAAGAAGTAAAGGCACCTCGGGTGCGATAAAGCATAATTTATTTATTTATTGAACGCTATAGGAAATTTATGAGAGGTATTGATATGTTCGACCAAAATATGACTTATTATTTATACCCTCATAGAACAATCAAATGATGGAAAAACTGTATTTTTTATTTTCTTGAGATAGCACTGAATAATTCATATATTCTATATAAAAGCCACATGATTTCATTGAATCAAAAATTTTTATCATATGATAAATACCGCATTCAAATTGCAGTTTCTTTGTGCGAAAAAAGCAAAGCTAGAAGAGAAAATAAAACTGTAATAAATCAAGCAATTTCAGGAATGCATTGGATAATAAAAATTGAAAATACAAAAGAATGCATCTTCTACTATTATCAAAAAGGAAAGAAATCAAGGACTCCTTATATTTGTTCAGAATGTAAGATGCACCTTCATCCAAATTGCTTTTATAGTTATCATAATAATATAAAGTAACGATGACCCCCCCCTCAATCTTTATGTCTACTGCAACAAAAAATTTTTCGAAAAAATCTTCATGCCTACTGCAACACAATATTTTTTTAAAAAAAAAATTAATGCATTTTTCTCTAGGTGAGCTTTCAAAAAAATCATAAAGCAGCACTACTGTATGTGTGTCAATGACCTTCTCATCGAGATTTGGACGGCTATTGTCATCGCTCGCCATTTTATTAAAACTTATCTAGCTAAAAAGTACGGAAAGATTTAAGATGCGCATCGAAAATTGTTGCAAGAGGATTAGGATTAAGATTATTACAGACAGGTGCTAGCCACTAAAATCTGCGTTTTGAAACGCATATTTGGTTTTCACTACCAAGTTCAAAATGACATATGCATATGCATGATAAGAAATTATTGCAATACATAATAGTTTAATATTCATCATATAACAAGTTCTCCTTATAATCCTCGTGCACAAGTGACAGTAGAAAACATAAAAAATGCAGTAATATTATATTTAATTCTAAATTTAGCATTATCAGATCAGTCTACTTAATTTTAATATAATTTATTCTAGAAATTGTAGTTCTTTACTGTATTTGCATAGAAACTTATATAGAAGTTTTTCAGCTGATATATTTATCCAAAGTGCATGCAACTCTCTCAAAGTTTTACGTAGCTTAATTTATAATAGCAATCTCCGACTAACTCAATATTTGATATGTTTCAGTTCAGTAAAGTTTGATATAAAAATTCAGGTGTGTGAGATATTAATAATGCTTTGCTTTCTATATTGAGGCATTATAATAACGAGAGAAAGCATACTATAAGAGGCTTCGATTCATTTTTCATAATTATTTTGTTTGGAAATTATTTTAAGTATATTTGAAATTGCACTATAACTTGCTTTATACCAAGCTCTGTATTTTTTTCTAGATCTGGTAAGCTATATAAGAATGTTTTGATAAACGTATACTATGATATCTATGCAGAAGTTTTATCATATAGGTGGTAGGCTAGCAATACATAGCAAACTTGCAAAAAAAGGAAAATGACTTAAATTGACTAAGCCTCGTTTTCAGATTCGTCAAAGGAGATGGCTATATGCAGCAACAATAACTGCTGTTAAACGTGGCTATTTAGAAATTTTATAAATATTTCTGTTAATTATTGCCTTCTCAATTAGTTAAAGCTCTTTAAATTATGAAGTTATAGCTATTATAAATAAAATAATATTTTAGAATGGCACCAAATTAAGATCAAAAGACTTACTCCCCCCCCTCCGTGAGTGAACAAAAAATTTTTGTTCACTCACGTAGGGGGTTAATTTTTTTTTTAAAAAAAAATTATATATATAAATTTTCTAAAAAATATTTTTTTCGAAATTTAAAAAAAATCCTAATTCGCAAAAATTGGAAAGCAAATATTAATTTAATTTATAAAATTTATGTTTTAAAAAGCAATTCGTTCAAAATTAAACAGAATTAGCTCTAGATTTCATTATACTAATTATCATTTATATATCAAATTTTTTTTCCATAAAAAATTTTTCTATTAAAAAAATTTTTTGTTCACTCACGGAGGGTGGGTTTTTGGGCAAAAAATAGCGATTTTTCTAATGGTTTTGTTCACTCACGGAGGAGGGAGTTAGGACTTTTTTATTTTTAAATATATACTTTTCTTGAAAAGATTTATCATTTTTAGCTCCTTTTTTATATATTAATTATTGCTTTATTGACTTTTCAGATGTAATTTCTATTCATGACTATGCTCTTTTATAATAAATATAATTTTTTTATATTTGTCATTTTTATTTTGTTCTTAAAATAGAACAAATTTCTCCAGCCATAAAATGTTTATTCCTTATATATGGTATTATATATATTTCCTTTGTCCTACAGGGGGGGGGGGTGTATATATAAGGATACTCTTAGCTTTATTTGCAAAATCCGGTATGCCATAAATTCTGCAAGTGTTTAAAAAGTGTTTATTTTGTCTACCATTATATCTCCTCCCTTTTTTATTATCTGATTTGTTATATTATCTAGTCCAGGAGCTTTCCTATTAGGCAAAGGTTTAATAATATTCTTAAAATTTTGAGTTTCAAAATTCATCTTCTAGACATCCTTTTGTGAAATAAAAGATATCATACTCTTAAATAATCTTCAAATTCTTTTGTTCAAATTTGAATCTCAAATGCATTCATTGATAAGACCAATCTATTTTTATTTAATAATCTATTTATTTTGCTTCAAGCTCCATAGGGATCATTTATGTAATGTTTTGATCTATGCTCACATATTATTTGATATCTATTTAGAATTTTTAACTGATCAATGCATATTTTCTTTACTTTGTATTTCAATAAATTCTTTATTTTTCTGAGAATGGCAAACTTTGATTCATTCTTTGAGTTTGTTAATTCTTTTTCTTACTCCCCCCCCCTCCGTGAGTGAACAAAAAAATTTTGTTCACTCACGGAGGGGGTTAATTTTTTTTTTAAAAAAATTTATATATAAATTTTATAAAAAATATTTTTTTCGAAATTTAAAAAAATCCTAATTCGCAAGTATATTGAAAGCAAATATTAATTTAATTTATAAAATTTATGTTTTAAAAAGCAATTCGTTCAAAATTAAACAGAATTAGCTCTATATTTCATTATAGTAATTATCATTTTATATATCAAAAGTTTTTTTCCATAAAAAAATTTTTGAATTAAAAAAACTTTTTGTTCACTCACGGAGGGTGGGTTTTTGGGCAAAAAATAGGGATTTTTCTAATGGTTTTGTTCACTCACGGAGGGGGGGGGGGAGTTAGGGGTTTTCACTTCTGGAGTTTTAAAATGTTTCGGTTGTAAATTAGTCTTTTATGATAATTGATTCTTCATAATATCGCTATAGATCTGAGAAGGGTTATTTGTTATGAAAATACCTTTTTCTTTAAATTTAAGGAAGAGTCTGTTTTTAAAGGCTTTAAGTGCATCTCCTTCTAGCTTGCATCATGAAATAACTGTTTTTTGAGTTCCTAGTGATATAATTATTAAAATACGTGATAGAAGTAAAATATGGTTGTATTTAATTGAGAGACTTCTTTATAAAAAATTTTCTGATGTTGAGTTTGAGAGAATTTAATTAATAATTGTGTGTGTATTATGACCTCTAAAAGTAGATATGTGCATATAATTGAGAATAAATGAGAATCTTTAATAAATTTATAAAATATTTCTCCTGTTAGATCATCGATCTAAGAAAAATATCCTTTTAGATGTGCATTAAAATCACCCAATAGTTCTATTTGATGTCTATCCTTTGATTCTTTTGAATAATTTCTTGAACTATTGATAAATTTAATCGATTTCTTACTACTGGGGCATAAGCTACTATTATTAAGTAATCTTCAATTAATGTTGCTAATATTCTATGATTATTAGTTTCAATAGATATTATTAGATTTGCAAATGCATCATGTATTAATAATCCAGTTCCACTTGATCCTCAGTTGCCAGCAATCGGCCCATTATTTCCAATTCAGATAAATCCTTGAAGAAACTAAAGAAATCAAGCCAGCCCAAAAACTTCATGAAAAAATTAAAGAAATTCCCCTAAAAATTTAAGAAAAATTGATCAAAAAAATCCCAGTTTACGTCGGCTTAGATTTGGAAGAATATTTCGGGACATCCTTAATTCCTCTTATCACATCCGCTCTAGGCGCTTTTGCTTCAAGCTTGTCCAAAGAGCAGGCAATCCAAAATGATTTAAAAGAGTTAGTCACCTGTGGTGTAAGAGTTTATTCCCCTGCCTGCAAAGTTTCAGATAAATGAAAATTCACAAATTCCCTTCATTTAACGTCAATTTTCATAGGAGGAAATTAAGAAAAATTAAAATCAAGTTTTAATATGCATTTTTTATCAATATATTATTAAAATTATTTTTATAGAAATAATTATTATTATATTACTAGCAGGCAATTTGGTATAGAGAATTCCGAGAAAATGCTGAATGCGTTTGAGGCTTACTAATATCGTCTATGTCCCACAAAAGCTAATTTGTGCATCTGCTGTGTCCACTGATGGGTATTTTAGGATTGAAAATAAAATGCCGCATGTTACTTGACTAGTAGGAAAATGGCCTGCAAATTAAATAATGAAGTGTTCATGTTTGCGAACTTGCAGGATAATGTAAGCAGAAGCCATAAAAATTTAATGAAAGAAAGTGTGGACATATACACAATAAAGCTGTATCCACAATGGTTTTCTAAAGGAGTAAAACAATAATACAATTAATAAAAAATTAGTTAGAAAATAAATTGACTTATCTTCTGGCAATTTTTTTGCTATTTCTCTAAATTTAAAAATTTAGTATTGTGAGTTTCCTTAATAAGCGTTTTATAATTACCAATACTGAGCATGGTATGACAAAATCTCCAAAGCGAATATTTTTGCTGTCTTAAAGAAGATACATTAAATATTATTTTAAATATGGAGTTAAATAAAGTAATCTCAAGTGTTAAAATTATTGTGCATGGTTTTATAAGTAAATTAAAAAATATAGGCTTATACGAGTTTGTTTGTTTTAAATAATTTATTTGCTTCTTGATTTCTGTTTAAACTTTTAAAAAAGCTGAAGCTAGAAACTTTAATTAGCGAAAGCATTTATTGAGATTTTAAACGGAGTGTCATTAAATGGTAAAGAGCATAAAAGATTTTGGTCCGAAAAATGGATTTTATTAGGATTTCAGCGGCATTATAAATGCTCAGTGACTGAAACTTATAGAGCATATTAAATATAGGACCATTTAGCACAAGAATACCAATTTTAATTACTTTACGTCAATTATATATGATTAAATTCAAAATCAATTACATACTGCCTGCTTCTGAAGGAAATGGATCTTTTTCGCAGCATAAGCTATCCTGATCATTTAAAGATTTCTCTAAGTTTTCAGTATTAGTACCTATTCTGGTTTGATTTGGCACGAGATTATAGCTTTGATCTTGAATTTTTGAATTCTCTACGTTGCAGAAGTCTATATTTGACTCATAATTTTCGTCAATTCCGATCTCTACTCTGCCTCGTTTGAGAGCCAGAATTAAAATTTTTATAATTTTAAAAGCTTCAAGAGTACACTTATAAAGGCATCAAAGAGCAATGCTATATTTGATAGCAACACAATTACAAGTAGGAAAAATTTGCCAGCGTAATTTAAAGCTCCTGTTAAAAAGAAAAGACCTGAAAATGCAGTAAGTAGTGAGATACATTTTGATACAAATTCCATTCTATTAAAAATTTGCAAAACAAATGGTTTGTTTCTGCGCTGGGGATGCAGAAACACATATAATAGGATGACGACAGCAATAGCTTGGACAGCTATTGACACATTTGATAAAAAAACGGAAAAAGCTATTAAAATCATTTTTGAATACACAATTACAAACTCTCAGTAATAATACTTCGATTTATAGCCATTGAAAAGAAATCCATAGCGCAACTTTATTCACACTTCGTCAAGCCTATCTCAATTTCTAACTAAATTAGTAATAGAACGTTTTTTCTTCTTGATAAGCTTTTTATAATTACCAATACTGAGCATGGTATGACAAAATCTCCAAAGCGAATACCTTTGCTGTTTTAAAGAGGATACGTTAAATATTATTTTATAATATGGAGTTAAATAAAGTAATCTTAAGTATTAAAATTATTGTGCATGGTTTTATAAGTAAATTAAAAAATATAGGCTTATACGAGTTTGTTTGTTTTTGAAAAAATTTATTTGCTTCTTGATTTCTGTTTAAACTTTTAAAAAAACTGAAGCTAGAAACTTTAATTAGCGAAAGCATTTATTGAGATTTTATAAATATAGGACCATTTAGCACAAGAATACCAATTTTAATTACTCTACGTCAATTATATATGATTAAATTCAAAATCAATTACATACTGCCTGCTTCTGAAGGAAATGGATCTTTTTCGCAGCATAAGCTATCCTGATCATTTAAAGATTTTTCTAAATTTTCAGTATTAGTACCTATTCTGGTTTGATTTGGCACAAGATTATAGCTTTGATCTTGAATTTTTGAATTTTCTGCATTGCAGTGGTCTATATTTGACTCATAATTTTCGTCAATTCCGATCTCTACTCTGCCTCGTTTTAGAGCCAGAATTAAAATTTTTACAATTTTAAAAGCTTCAAGAGTACATTTATAAAGGCATCAGAGAGCAAATGCTATATTTGATAGCAGCACAATTACAAGTAGGAAAAATTTGCCAGCGTAGTTTAAAGCTCCTGTTAAAAAGAAAAGACCTGAAAATGCAGTAAGTAGTGAGATACATTTTGATACAAATTCCATTCTATTAAAAATTTGCAAAATAAATGGTTTGTTTCTGCGCTGGGTATGTAGAAATACGTATAATAGGATGACAACAGCAATAGCTTGGACAGCTATTGACACATTTGATAAAAAAACGGAAAAAGCTATTAAAATCATTTTTGAATACGCAATTACAAACTCTCAGTAATAATACTTTGATTTATAGCCATTGAAAAGAAATCCATAGCGCAACTTTATTCACACTTCGTCAAGCCTATCTCAATTTCTAACTAAATTAGTAAGGCATAAGGCAGGCACTGCGATTCCTCATATTATTATTGCTGGCATTGCTATGATAAAAGCATAGAAAGAATGCTCCGGAGTTCAGCATCTTATATTGAGGTCCGCGTTAAGCCAAAATTCTCCTGGATCGATTTCTTTGCAGCTATAAATGCTAAACAGGTCATGCATCAAGCTCGGATGGATTAAGAATAGCATCACTACAGCAGTCGATATAAAATCATCCATTATATAATGGAATCTCTTAGTCTTGATTTTTCAAAGAAATCAGCCAGTAAAACAGAAAATCCCGAGACAAAAGGGCATTGCAGAAGAGATAACGATTCTTTTAAAGTACACATCATCTCGAGATACCGAGAGCTGCAAAAAACATTCTAAAGAGTATAATAGCTGCCCAGTATAATCAAGAATATCATTTATATGAAAAAGCTCAATTACTTCATTGGGCCAGTTTAAATTGAAAGTCGTTATTATTACCAGCACCTGCAAGAAATTTCAGAATATCCTAATATAAACTGAAGTAAAAGCTTCTGATCTGTACACAGAATTTCTTGCAGTTTTGATCATTATAACTAGAATGGCAATAATAAAAACAAGAAAGCCAAGCAGTCTAAAGATATTGCTAACAATCCCAGGGCATTTTATGCATTCATTCTTATATAGTCTTGAGTAATTATGTTTACAAGACTGGCACATATTCCCTTTATAGCCCTCCTTGCAAACTCCTGTATAAGATAAATTGTGGATATCTGGAGAGCCTAGGCAAGCTTTTGAGTACGGGCACTTTCAGAATTTGCTCGTCATCATGCTATTTCTTCAATATCCTTTCTTTGGAACAATCGTGTAATTGTCGTAGCAAATGGCTGATGAAGGGCATGATAAGCATGCAGTGTTTTTCGGATTCAAACTGTAGTAAGGCTTCTTACAACCATAGCAAGTCCCATTGACAGTGGCTTCTCCAAGCTCGCAGAGCCTAAGCTTGACGTCAATGTAAAAGCTCGATGAGTCTTCAATGCTGTCACTTGTTTCCTGGATTGCTGAAGTGTAAACTCTTATTTGAGCTGAAGACCCCGGCTCTGCGGTGATTGTGTAGCCAGAGAAATTGAATACTCCCTGTACAGCATAAACTATTGTTAAGCCAGAAATAAGAGCTGAAGAAGGGCTTACAACTTGTAGCTGAGCTTGGCTTATATTATCAGTTTTGATAACTTGATTTAAGTGATCTACTAAAGCAAAAGCTATTGGGAATTTACTTTCTTGGCCTGAGGCAACATTGTTTAAAGTCAAACTGGTAGTAAGCTTTCTGTTACCAGAGTGCTCTCCAACGGTGCTGTTTTGATTTACATACTCCATAGCAACAGGAGAAGAGCTCATATCATCCCCGTATTCCGCAAAATTGCTTATAAATTTATTTTCATTGAATAGATATTTTGCATATTTTCAATTAACTGCACCTCCATTATATGTAGCTTTATTTCAATAAAAAGAGCAGAAAGAGACATTAAAAGAGCAGGTGCAAAAATTTTGGCAATTAAAATTGACTGCGCCACCAGTTCCATCTGTAACTCCTCTCTCAGCAGTATTAAGTTCTAAAGAAACAGCAGAATTTTTAGAGAAGTTAGACTGATAAATCTCAAGATTTATGCTATCTGCATATACTGCTCCTCCAATACTCGATGTATTATTTTTAAATGTGCTTAGCGATATCAAATGCTTGTTATTAATAGGGAAATCAGTATCAGTGGCAAAATAAATGGCTCCTCCTTCTTCAGAGGTGTTATTTTCAAATAAGGATGATTGAATAGCAACATCTTTACACCTTAAACAATAAATGGACCCTCCATTTTGCCCACGTCCTTCAGAAAATACAGAATTTGAAACTTGCAAAGAATTTAATTCGCGGCCACGTATTGCAGTTGTAGTATAATCCTGAAATGTTGTGTTATATATAAAAAGATCGCAATTAATTGCATCAATAGCTGAGCAAGGGCTTGCAGATATTGAGCAATTGCCAAGTCTAAGCAAACTCCCTGCATCCAAGCTTATGATGCCTCCATTGTTTGAACTCAGATTCAGAAATACTGTATTAGCAATATTGGCTGTGCTTCCAGTAGCAGAAATGGCTATACCAGAGGAGTCAGATTTTCCATTTAAGATAAAGGAATCCTGAATTATTGCTTGGCTATAAGTGTTTATGCTTATAAATTGCCCTTGGTTGCCAAGATGATCTGAAAAAGTTGTATTGGTGATTGTAGCTACCGAATTGGTAATATAAAGTTCTGCACTACCTTTATCTAGTGTATTGTTGAAAATTATAGTAGACTCAATTGCTATTTTTGAAGACAACAAAGCTATAATTCCACCATCTAATGAATAGTTTTCTTCAATTTTACTCTTTCTGATAACTGAAGATGATTCTACTAAACTGACCAAGTAAAAAACAGCCCCTGGACCTGGGCAAGAATTTTGCTTAAAAATTGAATCCTGTATAGCAAAATAAGAATTAGAAGCCGCATATATAACTCCCCCTAGCAGACCAGCATTATTTTTAATAAAGGAGCATGATGTGCAAATAAATTCTGAATTTGAACTCATCGAGACGACTCCACCATTCTTTAGCGTTGCACAGTTGGATATAAAGATACCTTCAGATTGGACTTTCGCACGGTTTCTAAGATCAAAAACAGCGCCAGAAGATTCAGAGAAACTGCTATTAATTGTTGAGCCAACATCACTAAGTGAGTCATAGTCAAGAGAAAACGTGACCCCTGCATTGCTGATGAATTCGCAATAAAACGTATCCAGGAGTGAAAAAGTGTTGGAGTCTTGCATCAAAATTATTGCAGTTCCTTCGTTTTGCCTAAAGCTGCAAGACTTTAGAATGACTTTGGACACAGAGCTTATGCTGCTTTCTCCTATTGTGATTTCAAGTGCCGCACCTATGTTTCCTGAGTTCTTTACAAACTCACATTTATTAAATAGCAGAGTTCCATATATATAAAAAATTGAAATTATGCCTGAAGTCTGAGCCACGTTTTCTCGGAAAATGCAGCCTTCTATAAGTGAGTCACATATGCATTAAAATGGCGACACGTGCCAGCGTGCCCTCTTGGCGTAGTAGTCCAGACTTTATGGCTACAGCGAATTGGGACGGACTCCGAGCTGAGAATCAAGTGCAGGCTAGGTGTGTATTCCGGTTAGGCTTTGACTGCTTTCTGTGGCTGGAAATGGAGGTGCTCAACAACGTCCTTTGGATCCGAGGACCCATGAGCATTCCTCTACCGAGAAATTGGGGTTTGGGTCCAGGCCACAGGGGAACAGTTTTTTCCTGTAGCTGCCGGAATCAAGCTACTCCAATCACTGTAGCAGGGCCTCAGAACTCCATAAGCCGCCCACTCAAGACTGGAGCCTCAAGGCAAGGAGAAGACAGAAGATACCGGAAGGGCGCACGAGGTATAGACCCTCTGTGCTGGAGTCGAAAAGTGGTAAAAACTCCAGTACTGGAGGTCTTTGGTGACTGCATCACCAATATGGCTAACGCCTGACTTTAATAATCCTAATTCTATAAGGGAGTCACCTGATAAGGCTAGAGTGCTATCAATGTAAATTGCTGCCCCATATTCAGCTTTGTTGAAGCTAAACTCCGAGTCATACATGTAAAGTGACATCTCCTTTTTTAAAGATAATTTTCATTGAATGTATATTGCCCCTCCTTCTCATAAGCCAACATTTTTCGTAAACTTGCTGTTAGAGATTGAAAGTGAATGGGATCCTGTTTGCAAACTCGCTAAGGCATAATAGATAGCTCCTCCTGAAAGTAAAGGTGAAATATTTGAATCGAAGTCAGTAGACTCAATTGACAATACCTGGCCTAAAAAATATAGCGCACCCCCTAAGTCAGCACTATTTTCAGTAAAGTTACAACTAATTAATGATAGCTGATAGCAATTGCTGTCAACATAGATCACTCCTGGGCTACTGGGAAGATTGTTAACATTTCTTGCAAACTCTGATCCAAAAATCAATATAGAGGCTACTTTTGTGAAAAATAAACAAGTCCCATTGGTACTTTGGCCAGAATTGTCATTAAAATGAGAGGAATTTATGAATGGATTTGTTGTATTTGAAATAATAATAGAAGGAGAAGAGTTTTCTCAATGATTATTTTCGATATGCATTTCCGACATTGTAAAGTTGAGAGAATCAGAAATCGAGGATAGAAATTTGCAGTCTAAACTTGCTGGGTTTGATACTCGAAGTTTGAGGTAGAGATTTGGATCTGAAATATAGAAATCCAGAAGAATTGAATTAATGTTTTTACCTGACATTATTCCATTTGATTGCATTAGAGAATTGCTCATTTTTATATTTCCCATTCTTTTAATGCTTACTCCCAATCCTCCGTAGTGAACAAAAAAATTTTGTTAGCTCATGGAGGGGTGTTATTTGTTTTTTTAAAAATTTATCTATAAAGCTTATAGAAATTTTTTTTTTTCGAAATTTAAAAAAATCTTAATTTGCACAAATTTGGGAAGCAAATATCAATTTAATTTATAAATTTTATGTTTTAAAACGCAATTTGTTTAAAATTAAACAGAATTAGCTTGAGATATTCATATACTAATTATCACTTATATATCAAAATTTTTTCTATTAAAAATAGTTTTTTGGGTTTTTGGGCAAAAATAGGGATTTTTCCAATGGCTTTGGTAACTCACGGAGGAAGGGGGAGTTAGTAAACCACTTTTTCCACAGTTATTATCATTAAACTGCACATCATTGATTTCTAGCCACTTGGCTAACTCCCCCCCTCCGTGAGTGAACAAAAAAATTTTGTTCACTTACAAGGGGGGTTAATTTGTTTTTTTAAAAAAATTTATATATAAATTTTATAGAAAATATTTTTTTCGAAATTTAAAAAAATCCTAATTCGTAAAAATTGGAAAGCAAATATTAATTTAATTTATAAAATTTTATGTTTTAAAAAGCAATTTGTTTAAAATTAAACAGAATTAGTTCAAGATTTCATTATACTAATTATCACTTATATATCAATTTTTTTTCATAACAAATTTTTGTTCACTCACGGAGGGTGGGCTTTTGGCAAAAAATCGGGATTTTTCTAATGGTTTTGTTCACTCACGGAGGGGGGAGTAAATACTTCACTTGAATAATAACCCCTGACGGCACTGTATAGTTTAAATATTTGTCGTTCAAATGCTCTTCATCTATATATCCAGCCTGGATATCTATTAATGCACCATTCTCCACTCCATTAGAATAAAGGGTGCAGTTATCAATTAGAACGTTTTGGTTTTGATTTACAAACTTAGCCAGTAAGATTCCAACACTTTTACCATAATTTGACTCGAAACGAGAGTGCTTTATAACCCCCCCTCCTTGAGAGAACAAAACCATTAAAAAATCCCTATGTTTTGCCCAAAAATATTTTGATATATAAGTGATAATTAGTAAATTTAAATCTTGAGCTAATTCTTTTTAATTTTAAACAATCACTTTTTAAAATATAATTTACAAATTAAATTAATATTTGCTATTTTCTTTTAAATTTGAAAAAAAATTCTCCGTGGGCGAATAAGATTTTTTATTCGCTCACAAGGGAAAGTAAGTAATTGGTTTGCTTTAGATTGCTTAACTTCTAATTTATTGTCTACTTGAACAGAACCAGTAGAAAAAGTTAACGGGAGGTTTATTAAACCAAGTTCACAGTAATTATAAATAAAGGTGCAGGAATCTATCTCAACAGCACCTGAAAATTTTCCAGCGATCAATGAAGCCGTGCTAAGTTCGCTTTCTATTTCAAGAGTGAATTCTTTTCGATGGACTATATTGTTTCTGAATTCAACATTTTTGATTGAAACAGAACCTCCGCTAACTATATATAAAAACCCTCGTAAATCTTTGGGGTCCAGAAGTTCATAACCATTGTTGATCCTCGAAACAGTTCCTTCACTATAATAAAAGTTTCCGCCAGGAGCTTCTAAACCAAATAATTCAATATTAATACCGCCCACAATTACAGCTGATTGCTCTTTACTTGAAAGAATAATATTATCAAAAGTAACATTTTTCAATGTGATATTAGAATTATCATAGTAGTTTATAATGCTCCAAAGGCTGGTTCTAAAATTGACAAAGCTAACATTTGTTAAAAAAGCATTCGCATTTTCTATAGGAAGAAAGCTTGAATCAAAATTCTGATCCTTGCAGACATTCTCAGGCATGAATTCGCTAACTACTTCTTCTCTGTCATTTAAACTACCGATTCCTGCTTTATACATGATAAAGGGGCAGTAATCACAATATGCGCCTGAACAACCTTCTAATCAGTAGCTTCCTTTGAAAATAATATTTGAAAGCTCAAAGATTTGGTTATATGAGCGTATAAAGTGAAGACCGCCTCAATCATAATACAAATCTTGAATAATGACTTGTTTGCCTGTTCAACTTTCGATTTTCAAGTATTTTGGATTGAAGGAGCTGAAAGAAGACTGACAATAATGGTTATCTTCATAATATCCTGAACCATCTATAGAATAGGGTCCATCATCTAAAAGGTAAACAACCATGTAGTTATGACTAAGCGATGACATGGATAATCATAAGTACTGGTATGGTCAATTAAAAGTCCCATCACCAGCAAACTCTAGACCATTTGGAGTTGAAGTTACGAAATAAATATAAGGATTGCTTATGCTTGAAGTATCTTGATAATCCCATATAAAGTATGAGCTATCTGGGAGACGATAGGGGCATTTGGAAGTATGCAATAGAATATCAACGCAAATTCCATCTAATAAAACCCACCCTTCAAATCAAGAATTCGTGCAAGCCATGCATTGGCCTAAACTACTATTCCCATAGAATCTAGCACACGCATAATCTTCATTACTTCTTTCGTTGCAATTGCCATTCGCATAATTACACTCAATTATGTTGCATTCAGGATAGCAGTTAGCCAAATCAAAAGCTTTATCAATGGTGCATTCGTAGTCTGATGCCGTATAGCAGTCTTCCAAATGAGCAACATATGTATAATTTTTGCGAATATTCTGCTGGTATGAAGAAAAGATTGCTAGAGAAGTGTTTTGGCATCACAGATCTTGGAATTGTAGAACTTTATCATAATTGCATGAAGCGACCAAACATTCTGACTTGCACTTTCCATAGTCTAAGTACGTGCAACCTTCAGCGCATTGGCAATCCTGATAATCGTGATAACAGTCGTAATTACTGCATTCTGGATCGCAATTAGTATCTCCCAGCATTTCTGGATAGCACCCACTGGCGCAGGCTCCACAATCGTGGTTATCAAGCGTGCAATTCCAGTTGTTGCAAGCTTCGTCACAATTTCCATCTCCAAGCATGTGCTCAAAGCAGCCTGGAGAGCAGTCGCAATCATACTCGTCATAGTTGCACTCTTCTACGTGGCAAGCTTCTTCGCAAATTGAGTTTCCTATCATTCATAGGTAGCATCCTGGAGCACAAGTGGCATTGAAGCAATCTCCTAGGTCAAAATTGCATTGGGAATTTTGGCATTCAATGTCACAAACTCCATCACCCATCATTTCCGCAGTGCATCCTATAGAGCATTCTTTACAAGCTCCTAGTCCATAGTAGCAGGAAGGAACATTACAGTTTGGATCGCAAACTTTATTTTCATTTCCATTTTCTAAGTCAATAAGGCACGAGGATGCGCAATTTCCACAGTCTCCTCAGTCAAAGCCGCAGCTTTTTGTGTTGCAAGAATCGTGGCAAATTCCATCGCCAAGATTTTTTGGGTCGCATCCATCGATTGAAATGCAGTCCCAATAGCAGTCTGAGCTAACCTTTTTAGAAGCTGGGTCATGGAGAGCTGAGTCATAGCCGCAAAAAACATTCATGCAATTAAGATTGCACTCGCCGTCGCCTTTCTAATTATATTTTACTCTGATGTCTGGGCACGAGATTTGATCGCAAAGCTGCTTTGTGGCAGAAACTATGCAAAGTGCAATCATAAGAGGAACCACAGATTTCCCCAACATAATCATAATTTTTTATATATTTTATTAAATTTACTAATTTTAGTTCACTTACTAACTAGATTAATGAAATTAAGGCCATTTAGTGCTTAATCCCCCTCCCCTCCGTGGGCGCGAACAAAACTATTAGAAAAATCCCTATTTTTTGACAAAAAAAACAATTCCGTGAGCGAGAAAATTTTTTAAATATTGCTTTTTTGATTGCTTTAATAATTAATTATATTTATTGCTATAAGAATAGATTAATCACTCTTTAAATGTCCTGGAGTTAACGATAAACGCATTCAAAATTTGAGAAATCACCAATTTCTCCATGACTTTGGTTGGGAGTCAAAGCACTTTTAAAGGGTTTTTCTTGATCAAAGTTTTCTGGTAAGCTTTCTTGTTCTGCTGCATAATGCAAATCTAGGGTCTTAAGCTGCAAGCTTTCAATTGAAGAAATAGAAAAATTTTGATTTCTGCTGGCATTTTTCAAAGTTTCTGGCTGATTGATGACTTCGGGATTTGAAATAGGCATTACTTTAGTACCTTTAAATAATTTCTTTATCTTTTCAATTATAATTGGGATGCTAAATTTAAATAACTTGAAGAATCAATAAGCCACAAAATATATATTTGCGATAAATATAAAAATGAATAAAATGGTTTTCGCAGTATCCCCCAGAGAGCCGGTCAAATAAAATAATCCACTGAAAATTGTGATCACGCATACTGTTTTTGCGGCTAGCTCTGTATTATTTAAGCTATCTTCGATATAAGGCTTGTTTTCATATTGGAGATCCCAAAATAATAGCAATAAGGCTGCAGCAATAAGTGCCTGAATTTTTATATTTACTACCGTCAGAAAAACCGAGCAGCAAACTAAGAGAAGCTTGCCATATAAAATAACAAACTCCCAAAAATATTGCTTTGGCTTAAATCCTCTAAAAAGAAACCCATACCTTAGCTTGACATTGACATGCTCTAGCATTTTTCTCTGCCTTATAATGTTTATTAGGCATATTACAGGGAAAAAAATTCCTCATACAATTAAAGCAGGGATGGTAACAGCTAAAATATAAAAGACATGTCTTAACTCCCAGCATCTTATGCTAAGATCTTCTTTAAGCCAAAATTCTCCAGAGTTGATTTCTGTGCAGTTAAAAGACCCAAGCAATTTTTTTACAATTGTTGGGTGTATGAGGAACAAAATAATGATGCAGGTCGATATAAAATCATCTCAAAAGTTTTTATGTGATTTCTGAGCTGCTTTAATGAAAATTCATATAATAAAGGCTATGAAAAATGCAATTGCTGGAAATGCTGCGATAATTATCAACGTCTTGAAATAGGTATCGCTTCCATGATCTTCTTTCAAAAGGCACTCAAAGGAATAGATTTGCTGATAAACATAGTCGACTCCATTTTGGACGTAAAATAGTTCTATCACTTCTGAAGGTCAGTTCAAGTCAAAATTGGAAGCAATATTTACCAACTGTATGTAATTCAAAAAAATTTTGAGGTATACTGGCGCTAGAGCTGTGGGTTTTAAAGCTGACTTGATTATGGATCTCACAAGTAAGAAAGCTATAATGATAAACAAGCAAAAAATGGCGACTATTATGAAGATATTCAATGCTAAGGACGGGCATTCTTTGCACCTGCTACTTAATGATCTAGAGTAATTTTCTTGGCAAGATTGGCATTTGTTGCCTTTGTAACCTTTGCTGCAAACCCCAGTATAGGAGACTTTATCTGCATCAGGGGATCCAAGACAAGCAGAAGGATTTGGGCATTTCCAGAACTGATCTGTATATGGGTTATCTCTTCAGTACCCAGACTTTGGAGACATTCTATAGCTCCCATAGCACACAGCTGCAGCAGGGCAAGCCAAGCATGCAGTTGAGGATGTGTCTAAGCTGTAATAGCCCTGAGGGCATACTTTGCATAGGTTCCCTGTCTTAACTTCGCCAGTTCTGCAGCTTCTCATTTTAGCGTTGATGTATAAAGACTGGCTTGATGAGCTGTCTGAGGCCAGTGCTTTTGATATATCGATACTTGACGAAAACACTTTAATTTGAACATCTGTTTCTGGCTCTGCAGAAACTGTATATGACGAGAAGTTGAAAATCCCGTTCACTGCAGTTACTTTTATAATTCCATCAACTATAGCTGAAGAGATTGGTTCTATTTCTCCAATGCTCTCACTATCAGAGCTTACAATTTGATTGAAAGTATCTACCAAAGCAATAAGTAGAGGTTTGGGACTTTTTTGGCCTGAAGCCACGTCTGTTAAATTAAAGGTTGAGATGGGGATTTGACTCAAAGCCCTTCCATTGAAATTTTCAGCTAGTGTTCCATCCTCATTTGCTACCATGAGTTTGACTGGGTATGAAGCCACATCCTTCCCATAAATTGCAGAATTATCTTTGAAGATGTTATTCTTTAAGCTAGGCTCTTCATTATCAAAGTATATGCCACCTCCATTAAGACTGGCTGAATTTTCGGTTAAGTCGCAAGATTCTATAGGAGTTTTCCCTATATGCCCCAATAAGGGCCTTGGGCTCTCCGAGGAATCCCTCTGCTGGTTGAACCAACCAGTGAATTGGTCAAACCAACGCACTGAGTTGGTTTGACCAACAGAGGGATTCCACGGAGAACCCAAAGCCCTTATTGAGCCATATAAGGAAAACTCTTATAATTTAAAATCGCAATAATTTGCATTGGAACAGCTCATATAAACTCCTCCAGCCTGCCCGTAGTTTTTTTTTTCTGAGGCTAAAAAGTCAGCTTTATTATTTGTAAATTGAGATGAAGTAATCGCCAAAGTGATATCCTTTACATAGATAGCCCCTCCTGCTCCTCCAGTATTGCGTTCAAATAAGCAATTACTTATTTCACAGCTGCTTTTTTTCGTATTTCCATTGTCTGTTGCTATATATAATGCCCCACCTAAAGAATCTACATAATTTTCGGTAAAGGAGCAATCTGTAAGGTAAATTGCCTCGCAATTTAAGCAGTAGACAGATCCTCCCAGAGTCCCATTCCCTGCTGTGAAATGGGAGTCTTTTATTTCTAGACTTGTTAGCTGGCTGCCATATAGGCCAGAACCTATAAAGCTATTAAAATAAGAATTTTCTATTAAGATTGAGGCTTGATATGCATAGATGATCCCATCTAAAAAAGAGTTTATGTCTAAAAATTGACAGTCTTTAATTTCTAAATTGCTGTCGTAGGCTACATAGATTGAAGCTCCAGAGGCAGAAATGAGCTGACTAAATGACGAAGATTGAAGGTAAATGGAACTCTGACTTGAATATATAGCTCCTCCTCCTTTAGTTGAATTACCATCATGCAATTTAGAATTTATAATATGCACCTGACTTTCCAAAGTTGCGCAAACAGAGCAGCCCAGTGTGCATACCTGGTCAGTAATCTCAGAACTCTCTATTTTGATAGTTGACATTATGAGCTTAATTCCAGGAGAACTGTTTTTATATATACGAGAAAATGAAACTTCTAAATCTGAGCTCATCAAGTAAATGACACTTCCTTTGGAAAGATGATCAAAAAATTTACTTGAGCTAATTGTTGAGTTTTTGGCATTAAATATATAAATGGCATCTCCATCACTTTCACCTACATTTTTCGAAAATAATGAATATGAAATATTCAGCACAGAATCTTCCTCTGCATACAAAGCACCTCCAAAACCACTTTGGGCTAAGTTTGCTGTAAAAGTGCAAAAACTGCAAGTAAGATAAGATTTTGACCTTAGAGAAATTGCTCCTCCCATCGAACTACTTGTATTATTTAAAAACAAAGTTGAGATTAATTCAAGATTGGCAGAATTTTGAAGGTGGATGCAAGAAGAATCGGCAGAGTTATGGCGAAAAATTGAGCCTGTATCAGATAGTGAGTCAAAAATTATATAAAACATGCTTCCAGTATTATATTCAAAAGTGCAAAATTGAGTCACAATTTGCGTAGAACTGCTTGGGTTGTCAGAAAAGACAATTGAATCCCCTTGATTATTTTCAAATGTGCAGGAATCGAAAATAAGCTTCGAATTCGTAGAATTTCTGAAATTGGCATAAAAAGCTGCCCCTTTTGGACCTGCGTTCTTGATAAATTTACAGTCCTTAAATTTCAAGGTCCCAGAGTTGTATAAAGATATAGAGCCAGAAACCCCGACTCGGCTTTCAAGGAACTGGCAATCAATTACATTTGAAGAGCTATGAAGTGAAACTGATCTATCTAAATAAATTGAAGAGCCATAAGAGGCAGCATTTCCACTAAATAGCGAATCAGAAATTATTAATTCAATAGAATTTTGGGATAAAGCTTGCGCTATATAGATGGCGCCTCCGTTCAGCCCAAATCCATTTGCAAAGGTACTTGAAGAGACCTTAAACAATTTCTGATCTGAACTTTCTGAAAACAAAGTATAGATTGATACTCCATAGCCACTTGGAGAAGAATTCAAGTCAAATGTTGACGAATCGATTAATAAGTCCATTCCTGAAAAGCTAGCTGCAGCTCCAATATTACCAGTATTGTTGAAGAATGTGCAATTAATGATGGACGAGCTTTGGCTATCTTTTATTTGAATGGCTCCATTTCCTGAAAAATAAGTATTTTGGTTGTTGGAAAATGTTGATTTTGCTAAATTCCTCTCAAATGCCCCTGTAATCAGCAGGCAAGTTGGGGCAGCTCCTTCTCCGTAGTTTGAGTCACAATTGATTGAGGTGATTTCTTTGGTATCTGACTCAACAATGCTGAAGGTTGGGGAAGAGGCTCTACATATATTGTTAGTTAAATTAATAAATGAAATATCCAAGCTGTATGAGTTTGAAATCGAAGCCAGTCATTCGCAGTCAATTGACCCTGGAGATTCCTTTTCTTTCCTGATATATATATCATCGTTTTTCACGAAGTAATCAAGAACCAGCGTGTTTATATTGTTGCTATCATCTGAAGACCCGTTAGCATCAAAAATGGCATCCTTAATTAAAAAATTTGCCATATAGCCTGCTTTAAACATGCCTTGAGCGTAATTTTTTGTGAAATTCAGATTTTTTATTTTGCATCATCTTGGCGCAATTGTTGCGTTGATAACTTTTCCGAACTGATTTGTGATTTGCTTTGTCGTTCATCTTTTGTACTCTTCCAGCATTGCATAGTTATCTAAATTAATTAAAGGACCTTCAAGAGCTCCATTCAGTTCAAACGATATGTCTTGAAGCGCAAAGTTCAAGAGATAATTTGAATAGTGAATATAAATGAAGCTGGAATCTGCATAGTTCGATTTAAATGTTAAGCCTTCAAATACAATATGATTTAATTCTAACTCCCCCCCCCCCTCCGTGAGCGAACAAAACCATTAGAAAAATCGCCATTTTTTGACCAAAAACCCACCCTCCGTGAGTGAACAAAAATTTTTTTAATAGAAAAAAATTTTAATGGAAAAAAAATTTTGATATATAAGTGATAATTAGTATAATGAAATCTAGAGCTAATTCTGTTTAATTTTAAACAAATTGCGTTTTTAAAACATAAATTTTGCAAATTAAATTAATATTTGCTTCCCAATTTTTGCAAATTAGGATTTTTTTAAATTTCGAAAAAAATATTTTTTATAAAATTTATATATAAAATTTTTTTTTAAAAAAAAAAAATTAACCCCCCTCCGTGAGCGAACAAAATTTTTTTGTTCGCTCACGGAGGGGGGGGGGGGAGTAAATAATTTATGTAGTCAGATGCATTGACTTTATACTGGCTAGCTGATACAGACATATAAATCTGAATTAAGCCAGTTTCAAAATAATTGTACATAAAAGTGCAGTTAGACAATTTAACAGTAGCAGGCGATTCAAGATATATTAGTGTAGCTTCTGAAACACTGCTTTGAGGCTTCCTGTAGGCTAAATTATACTTAAAATCTACATTCTCTATACGAACTGAATAAGGGCCAGATGCATGCAAAAATCCACGAAAGTCTCAAGGGTCTCCGAACTCATACCCATTATTTAGCCTTGAAACAAGCCCTCCCACATATGTAAAAGCAGGGTTGCTATTTGAGCTTGATGAGCTCAGCAAAATCGCTGCAGTTCCTTGATAATCTACTCAGAAATTGTCAAAATTAACATTAATCAATTTCACACTTCCCTCTCCCTTAATAATAGCTGTCGTTTGGAATCTTCAGTTCTTTATGTCTGTATTTCTAAGAGTGAGCGTGCAATTTTCGCACCTAAACATAGAATTTCAACCATTTCCATAAAGCGTTGGGTTAGACATAGAAACTCGATCGCCTCTGTCGCTATAATAGTATCTATCGGTCTCATTATAGTTCATAACCCTTTATAGATTTCTTTATCGAGCAAAATGTACTGGATTATTGAACGACCAAATGGTTGAAGGTTTGACAAAATTATGCGTTTGAAACATAGTGAACATATTTGGAAAGTTAATGGAGAAATAAGGAAAGTTTATTGGAGAAATTTTTAAAACTAGAAAATACTTTGAGGGGAAAGTTGGTCCAAATGCTGGACGAAAACCGTAAAAATAATAATAATAATATTGAACGACCAAAACAGGCTTTCTCAAAGAGATGAGCTTAAACTCTATATCAGGAAGTGTTAGAAAGTGCCATGTCAAAAAATTGTGACAGTGCAAAATAAAGTTGGCAAGTAAGCGCGCCGATTTTTAAAAATGGCTTATTATTAAATTTAAAAATTTAAGATTCCCAATTAGACTAGGATTTATTAATAATTAAAAAGCTTATATTAAAGGTCTTATGAATTAATCATAATTTTATTATGATAATAGATAGATAAATAATAAACGCTATATATAAATTATAATTGATTTAATATTTTTGATTATTTAATAATTTAAAAGTGTAAATCGAGTTGTGCCAAAGCGAATGGATAGAATTTCCTACAAATGTGCGAGCTTTATAATAATTAATGCTGCTATAAAACCCAAAGTTCCCATTAAAGACTGATGACTATTTGCAAAGTTGTTAACGACTCATGTCATGGACTTTAGAATATTGAAAATCAAATAATTGTGAATCGAGCTGTGCCAAGGCGAATGGATATAGTAAATTGCCCGAGGATGGCGCTATCTTGCGCCATCCTCGGGCAATTAGAATAGAATTTCCTACAGATGTAGGAGAGCTTTATAATGATCAATGCTGTTATAAAAACCAAAGTTCCCATTGAAGGCTGTTGGTTCTTTATAAAGTTATTACAGACTTATATTATTTCCTTTAAACTATTAAAAATCAAAAATTGTGAATTGAGTTGTGCCGAGGCGAATGGATAGAATTTCCTATAAATGTATTGGTATGATGATAATCAATGCTACTCTAAAAGCCAAAGTTTCCATTGAAGGCTGATGGTTCATTGCAAAGTTGTTATGACTCATGTCATGCAGTTTAGACTATTAAAAATCAAAAATTTGAGAATCGAATTGTGCCAAGGCGAATGGATAGAATTTCCTACAAATGTACCAGTATAATAATGACCAATATTGCTATAAAATCCAAAGTTCCCATTGAAGGGTGATGGCTCTTTATAAATTTGCTAACGTCTCATGTCATTCCTTTAAACTATTAATTATCACAAAATTGTGAATCGAGTTGTGCCAAGGCGAATGGATAGAGTTTCCTATAAATGTACCAGTATGGTAACAACCAATGCTGTTCCAAAAGCCAAAGTTCTCATTGAAGGCTGATGATTACTTGCAAAGTTGCAAATTACTCATGTCAAGCATTTTTTAATTTTTCAAAAAAATTATTATTTAATTCTTTTAAAAAATATAAAAATATTTTTAATTTAAAAATTTTTTATTTTTTTTAAAAAAATTTTATTTTATATTTTTAATTAATAAATGGGGCTTTATATTAGTTTCATTTTTTTAAAAATTGGCGCGTTTGCTTGTTAACTCTTTTTACACTTGTCAACATTTTTTGACATGGCACTTTCTAACACTTCCTGATATAGAGATTAAGCTCATCTCTTTGAGAGAGTCTGTTTTGGTCGTTCAATAATCCAGTACATTTTGCTCGATAAAGAAATCTATAAAGGGGTATGAGCTATAAAAGTGCTGTATCAAACATATTCGCAATATTCAAAGCCAGTGCAGTCGACATCATTAAAGCCTGACCCATCAAAAATAATATTTTCGAATGTAACATTTTTTTGAAGAACCGCATCTCAAGCAAATCATCCCTTAATTTTTCAAGTTACCTTACTTTCATCCAATGAAAAGATGTAGAGATTGCAAAATCGAAAGCTCCATCCATTATCTATTTTATAGGTTCCATCATTTATCAGCATATATATTTTTAGATTGCAATTCGATGTAAAAGCTTTTAAATGAGTTTTTAGGTTAAAAAATGGATCTTCAATTGTCCCACTTCCATGAATATTGTTTTGATCCTCATGTTCTTTAGAGGTAAAATAAGACACGGGGTAATGAATAAATGTTTTTATTTCTGGATTTGAATAGCAAAAAGAGAATCCAAATAAATTTAAACTTGATAGTGAGCTATTTAAGCATAAACTACAAGAAGAGCTTGAGATTTCGGAGGAGAAAGTGCAGAAATTGCAGAGATTTTGGGCATCAGCAGGAAGATTGCTTTGGCAATCTGATAAGGAGCTTGTGTGGCAAAGACCATAGTTGCATTCAGGTATAAAGCATTCTGGATGGCATTCATTTTTGTCTAGAGCCATAGTGAGATTGCATTTATGGCTAGACGCCTCTCAGCAGTCATCAAAACTTACAATTGAACTGGTATCATTTCTAATTATCTGCTGATAAACAGTAAACCAGATCAATTCCTGGTTTTTGCACCGCTTTTCAGAATCTGAGCTCATTTGATCATAATTACATTCCCCTACTAAGCATTCAGGATTGCACTTCCCATAGTCCTCGACCGCGCAAAACTCAGAGCACCCACAAATGCCATAGTCTCACTCACAATTGGCAGTATTGCATTCAGGATCGCATTTTTGGTTTGAAAGTTTCGCGATGGTGCATCCACTTGAGCAGTGTCCACAGTCTCCTTTATCAAACTCACAATCTAAATTATTGCATTCTTCATCGCATACCCCGTCTCCTCATATACTGTTTGAGCATTCTGGTGTACATCCACAGTCCTTTTTATCATATTCACATTCTTCGTTATCGCAAGCTTGGTCGCAAATTGAGTTTCCTACCATCCAAATAAAGCAATTTTCAGCGCAAGTGAGGTTTAAGCAGTCTCCGTTATCATAATTACACTGAGAATTGCTGCATTCGCTATCGCAATTTCCATCTCCTCAGATTGTTGAATTGCACCCTGGAGAGCATTCTCGGCATACGTTTTCTGCGTAATAGCAACCAGGAACATTACATGCTGAATTGCAAGTTCCATTTAGTTGATTTTCTTGACCTATATGCAATTTACACTCAGTGCCACAGTAGCTGCAATCTCCAAAGTCATAGCCACAACTAGGAGTGTCTCATTCACTATTACAATTTCCGTCCCCAAGTTCTTTAGAGGCATACCCTAATTGGCCAAGGCAGGAATAGTAGCAATCAGATTTTTGAGGAGAATCACCAGGACTCCAGTTTGATCCAGAATCAAAACCACAATAGGATGTCATGCAGTTTATGTCGCAATTTCCATCACCTCGCTACATAAAAGTTACTGCTTGAGGAGGGCAGAGATTTGGGTTGCAATTGATGAGGCCATAAGCATTGGAGAGAAGCATGACAATTAAAAAGATCATATTGGGAATTTTTATAAAGAAAAGGGTTTTTATGAATAACTGATTACTAATTTTTTATAAAATCCAAAATTCTCAATTAAAAACTTTTTAAAATGAAGGAAATTAGCTTTATTAATCCCTCGCCTCATCCAATAAGATATCTTATACAAACTACTCTTCCTTTTCTTGAAATGCACGTTTATTTATGCCACAATAGGCATCGGCGGGTCAATAATTGGATTTATTACCTTATTGTTCTTAATTCTAGCTAATTATTCTCAAGGAAGTTCCTCCGCTGAGAGATTTGTAGGAGCTTTGCTTATTTTTTATTTCATTTCTAAATACTGAGCATGGTATGCCAAAATCTCCAAAGCGAATTTTTTGGCTGTTTTAAAGAGGATACGTTAAATATTATTTTATAATATGGAGTTAAATAAAGTAATCTTAAGTGTTAAAATTATTGTGCATGAATTTTATAAGTAAATTAAAAAATATAGGCTTATACAAGCTTGTTTGTTTTTTAAATAATTTATTTGCTTCTTGATTTCTGTTTAAACTTTTAAAAAAGCTGAATTAAAAATAAGCTAGAAACTTTTATTAGCGAAATCATTTATTGAGATTTTAAACGGAGTGTCATTAAATGGTAAAGAACATAAAAGGTTTTGGTCCGAAAATGGATTTTATTAGAATTTCAGCGGCATTATAAGTGCTCAGTGATTTAAACTTATAGAGCATATAAATGTAGGACCATTTAGCGCAAGAATAATAATTTTAATTAATCTACGTCAATTATATATAATTAAATTCAAAATCAAGTTACATACTGCCTACTTCTGAAGGAAATGGATCTTTTTCGCAACATAAGCTATCCTGATCATTTAAAGGTTTTTCTAAGTTTTCAGTATTAGTACCTATTCTGGTTTGATTTGGCACGAGATTATAGCTTTGATCTTGAATTTTTGAATTTTCTGCATTGCAGGAGTCTACATTTGACTCATAATTTTCATCAATTCCTATCTCTACTCTGCCTCGTTTGAGAGCTAGAATTAAAATTTTTATAATTTTAAAAGCTTCAAGAGTGGACTTATAAAGGCATCAGAGAGCAAATGCTATATTTGATAGCAGTACAACTACAAGAAGGAAAAATTTGCCAGCGTAATTTAAAGCTCCTGTTAGAAAGAAAAGACCTGAAAATGCAGTAAGTAGTGAGATAAATTTTGATACAAATTCCATTCTATTAAAAATTTGCAAAATAAATGGCGTGTTTCTGCGCTGGGTATGTAGAAATACGTATAATAGGATGACAGCAGCAATAGCTTGGACAGCTATTGACACATTTGATAAAAAAATAGAAAAAGCTATTAAAATCATTTTTGAATACGCAATTACAAACTCTCACCCCCCCCTTTAAATTGGAACAAAATATAGGTAAAATTTCCATTTTTTGGTAAATTATCCCCCCTTTAAATTGGAACGAAATTTAATTTTATAATAAAAAAATTTATAGTAATTTTTATGTAAAAAGTTTGATTTAAGTTAAATGTTTTTTCTTAACCAAAATTAAAAATTTAGTTATATGTTGCTCTTGTTTAAAAAGAGAGTATAAAGAACATCTTATTTGAATAAATTTATTATCCTTAATTGTTAGATTTTTAAAATAATTTAAATTTTTTGTTTTTAAAACATTTTATTTTTTTTAAATAAGAAATATATTTTTTATTTAAATAATTTTGATATAAATTTAATGCGAATTCTTTCAAAAATTCAAAATTTACTTATTTCTTGCTTTATGTTAAAGAATAGAGTATAAATAGCATCTTATTTAAACAAAATTAGCACTTTAATCGATAAATTTCTAAAAAGTTTTTTTAATTGTTTTTATCAATAAAAATAATAATTTTTGTGTAAATAGTTTTGATACTAATTAATAGTGGCGCATAATGAATAATAAAAATTTAGTTATATCTTGCTGTTTTTTTTAAGGATAAAAGAAAATAGCATTTTATTAAACAAATTTATTAATCTAATTCGCTAAATTTTGAAATTGCTTTTTTAAATTTTTATATATAGGGCTTTCCCTTGAATAGCCCGATAACGGGCTGGCTTTCATCCCGTTATCGGGCTATTTAAGGGAAAGCTCTATAAATTTTTTTTTATAAAATATTTTCTTAACCGCCCTTTAAATTGGAACAAAATTTTTTGTTCCAATTTAAAGGGGGGGAGTTAGTAATAATATTTTGATTTATAGCCATTGAAAAGAAATCCATAGCGCAACTTTATTCACACTTCGTCAAGCCTATCTCCGTTTCTAGCTAAATTAGTAAGGCATAAGGCAGGCACTGCGATTCCTCATATAATTATAGCTGGCATTGCTATGATAAAAGCATAGAAAGAATGCTCTGGAGTTCAGCATCTTATATCGAGTTCCGCGTTAAGCCAAAATTCCCCTGGATTGATTTCTTTACAGCTATAAATGCTAAACAGGTCATACATCAAGCTCGGATGGATTAAGAATAGCATGACCACAGCAGTCGATATAAAATCGTCCATTATATAATGGAATCTCTTAGTCCTGATCTTTCAAAAAAATAAGCCAGCAAAACAGAAAATTCCGAGACAAAAGGGCATTGCAGAGGAGATGACAATTCTTTTAAAGTACACATCATCTCGAGATACTGAGAGTTGTAAAAAGCATTCTAAAGAGTATAATAGCTGTCCAGTATAATCAAGAATATCATTTATATGAAAAAGCTCAATTACTTCATTGGGTCAGTTTAAATTGAAAGTCGTTATTATTACCAGCACCTGCAAGAAATTTCAGAATATCCTAATATAGACTGAAGTAAAAGCTTCTGACCTGTACACAGAATTTCTTGCAGTTTTTATCATTATAACTAGAATGGTAATAATAAAAACAAGAAAGCCAAGCAGTCTAAAGACATTGCTAACAATCCCAGGGCATTTTATGCATTCATTCTTATATAGTCTTGAGTAATTATGTTTACAAGACTGGCACATATTCCCTTTATAGCCCTCCTTGCAAACTCCTGTATAAGATAAATTGTGAATATCTGGAGAACCCAGACAAGCTTTTGAGTATGGGCAATTTCAGAATATGCTTGTCATCATGCTATTTCTTCAATATCCTTTCTTTGGAACTATTGTATAATTGTCGTAACAAATGGCTGATGAAGGACATGGTAAGCATGCAGCGTTTTTCGGATTCAAACTGTAGTAAGGCTTCTTACAACCATAGCAAGTCCCATTGACAGTGGCTTCTCCAAGTTGGCAGAGCCTAAGCTTGATATCAATGTAGAAGCTCGAGGGGTGCTCAATGCTGTCACTTGTTTCCAGGATTGCTGAAGTGTAAACTCTTATTTGAGATGAAGACCCCGGTTCTGCAGTGATTGTGTAGCCAGAGAAATTGAATACTCCCTGCACAGCATAAACTATTGTTAAGCCAGAAATAAGAGCTGAAGAAGGGCTTACAACTTGCAGCTGAGCTTGGCTTATATTATCAGTCTTGATAACTTGATTTAAGTGATCTACTAGCTCCCCCCCTCCGTGAGTGAAACAAAACCATTGGAAAAAATTCCTATTTTTTGCCCTAAAACCCCACCCTCCGTGAGTGAACAAAAATGTTTTTAATAGAAAAAATTTTTTATGAAAAAAAAATTGATATATAAATAATTCAATTTTAAACAAATTGCGTTTTAAAATAAATTTTATAAATTAAATTAATATTTACTTCCCAATTTTTGCAAATTAGGAGTTTTTTATATATAAATTTTTAAAAAAAAAAATTAACCCCTCCGTGAGTGAACAAAATTTTTTTGTTCACTCACGGAGGGGAGGAGTAAGGCAAAAGCTATTGGAAATTTACTTTCTTGGCCTGAGGCAACATTGTTTAAAGTCAAACTGGTAGTAAGTTTTCTGGTGTCAGGCTGGTCTCCAATAGTGTTGTTTTCAGTTACATACTCCATAGCAATAGGAAAAGAGCTCATATCATCCCCGTATTCCGCAAAATTGCTTATAAATTTATTTTCATTGAATATGTATTTTGCATATTTTCAATTGATCGCACCTCCATTATATGTAGCTCTATTTCAATAAAAAGAGCAGAAAGAGACGTTAAAAGAGCAAGTGCCAAAATTTTGGCAATTAAAATTGACTGCACCACCTGCTCCATCTATAACTCCTCTCTCAGCAGCATTAAGTTCTAAAGAAATAGCAGAATTTTTAGTGAAGCTTGACTGATAAATCTCAAGATTTATGCTATTTGTTCATACTGCTCCTCCAATACTAGATGTATTATTTTTAAATGTGCTTAGCAATATCAAATGCTTGTTATCAATAGGGAAATCAGTATCAGTGGCAAAATAAATAGCTCCTCCTTCTTCAGAGGCGTTATTTTCAAATAAGGATGATTGAATAGCAACATCTTTACACCTTAAACAATAAATGGACCCTCCATTTTGCCCACGTCCTTCAGAAAATACAGAATCTGAAACTTGCAAAGAATTTAATTCGCGGCCACGTATTGCAGTTGTAGTATAATCCTGAAATGTTGTGTTATATATAAAAAGATCGCAATTAATTGCATCAATAGCTAAAAAAAAGACTAAAAAGTAGATCCCTTATAATTTCCTCGCCTCTGACAGCTAAAATTAAAAATAAAAATTATCATTAAATTAAAATGGCGATATAATTTATAGCTAATAAATATATTTCCATCCTTATTTTATGTAGACTAATAAAAGGCTAGATTTTTCTATTTGCTCTGATAAACTTTTATAAAACCATACTCGATGCATTTGAGATATAAAATTGTCAATTTTTCTTTCATGAAAATATTGCTTTAAAGAGAGCAAAAATATTAGAAAAACCTGAATTTCCTGAAATCAAACCTCCTAAGAGGTCAAATATTTTTGTAATATAATGCTTTTAAATCTAATTTTACAAAATAAAGCTTCTATATTGGTAAACTAGAAATGTTAGCATAATATATGAAAAGAATAATGAAGCAAATTATTATTCAATTTTTTTGGTTATTTTATGTATTAAGCTTAAAGAAAGTTTATGAGACTAATTTCTATAGTCATGAAAGTAAATGGATCTGTCCTCAACTAATTTCAACAACTATGACATAGAAGCCGCAAAAAGGAATGTAGAATGTGACTCATGACTATTTTTAGTGTTATATTTTATTCCAATAATCCTCTCATGTCTAATACCAGATGTAGAAGCTGCCCTAAGTTTTATTTTCTTTTTCTCTTTAATGGGTGCTCCTTATTGACTTACAGCTGTTTTAGGGTTCCTAGCCTCATCCAATGAGACGTCTTACACCAACTGCTATTTCTGTTTCTTGAAATGCACATTTATTTACGTCACAATGGGTGTCGGCGGGTCAATACTTATTTTTCTTGCTCTATTGCTTTTAGTTTATGCTAATTATTCTCAAGGAAGTTCCTCCGTTGAGAGATTTGCATGAGCTTTACTTATTTTTATGTCATTTCTGAATATAATTTGGTGAAGGCTCTGAAGACATTATTTAATCAAATGTGATCAAATACCCAACTACCTCTGCTCATGAAGAAAGCGCATATTGTGCTGATTCCGAAGGTGAAAGATAGCAAAAATCCTCAAAATCTAAGGCCGATCACTCTGATAAATGCTATATACAAACTGTTTGACAAATTGGTGGCTGAGAGACTACGCAGAGATATCACAGAAAAGAATATCATTCACCCTTCTCAAGCGGGCTTCATCTCAGGCAGAAACTGTACTGAGCACATCTTTAGCCTTCAAACCATAATAGCGCTCAGAGAAAAAATGTCAAAGCCAACGTATTGTGCATATCTAGACCTAAAAAAGGCCTTTGACTCGGTACATAGAGATCTGCTTTTTAAAACAATGCTGGATAGAGGCATCGATTCAAAACTGGTTGCGATAATTCAAGAAATGTACAAAGACGAAAGCAGCTCAATCATCATAAATGGCCGTTTAAGCAAATGGATCAGTATAAACAAGGGAGTCAGACAAGGAGGCTGCTCATCGCCATTATGTTTTAATTTTATACCGAACGAGTTAGCCTGAGAATTAGAAAATAAAAAGCTTGGTGTTGCAATTCCTGGAGGGCAACGATTGGGCTTCTCCTGTATGCGGATGACGTAGTGCTAATTGCGGAATCATCGACACAGCTGAATAGGATGTGCATGGTAGTACAAGACTGGCTGAATCGATATAAACTTCTCCTAAATATTGCAAAATCGAATGTTGTTGTCTATCACTCCAGAGATAGACCGCGGATAGAAATCAATGGGGAAAGGCTCCAAGTCATAAATAGCTACAAGTATCTAGGGTACCTGGTTGACAAGAGGATTGGAAACACTACACACTTAAAAGAGAGATTGGGGAAGATGAAAGCCTCTGTTGGAACATTCATGGGAATGCTGCATGCAATGAAAGGCGTAAGGATAGAAAAGAAGAAGACGATAGCTAGAGCATGCATCAACACAGTCGCACTATATGGCACTGAAGTGTTTGCTACATCTGAGAACTACAACAGCGTTTTAGAAATGATGGAGCGGCTTCAGAGAAGGTATGCCAGAAGACTACTTGGAGCGCCCATGAATGCATGCAACGAGACTGTATTAAATGACGCAGACATAGTTAGCATTGAAACGGAGCTAGACAACAGATTGCTAGCGTTCAGATGTAGATTACAGACCAAAGGGAATGCGATCATCCAGGATTTACTACAAATTAATAAACAATGATTATTACCATGGGAAATAAGATGCAGAAAGGTGCAAGAAAAATACGGGCTGCCTGACGATGGTATCAATGATCATTGAAGTAAGATGAAAATGAGATCTGATGCCAAAAAAATAGAAAGAATGTCAACTGAAACATGAAAAACAACTGGATTATACAGGACTCTGATAGGAAGCGAACCGAAGGATGGACTGCCGCTATATTTGCGGGGCACTCCAGCAATGAATGGAGCAACCAGCATAATTTTTGGATTAAGGGCAGGCTCAAACTTTATAGAAGTTTTCTATGTTTGGCGCTGTAAGGCCGATAAATTCTGATCGGAATTTATCGGTTGGTTGCACCAAATCAAATGCCTTGGTCGGACCAAAAAGCGATTTGGTCCGACGAACTTGGAAAGCTCCTGGGAAAATGTCTGCTGCGCTTTCAGCGCTATATAGAGGAAACCTCTATACCAATCAGTGTAGATATACTAGGCACATCATTGACAGTCCTGATTGCAAATTCTGTGGAAAGCCGGTAGAAGATGAAGTACATGTAATTGAAGAATGTGAAGCATATGAAGAAAGCAGGATAAAGATTACTGAATTTTTGAAGGGATTATTAAAGGATGACTTCTCATTGCTAAAATTGACAGAGATAGTTTTATACAGCTGAAGGCTTGAACAAGTCATGAAAAAGAAATGCTGAAGGGAAATAGAAGCTCTCAACAAAAATGTGAATGGCTTTTTTAAAGAAATCTTAGAAGAAACCTGTATTTCCAAAATCCAAATACATCAGGAAGACTAGAAACTAAAGCGCAATTCTTTACTCCGGCTGAAATAGAAATCGGAGGATATTCTCAATATTATCCTCAGCAATATCCTCAACAATCTCATCAGTATCCTAATTTTAATCAAGGCAACTATGGAAGCATTAAGATGCCTTAAAATAGATAATAATGAGCTAAGCTAATAAGAAGATCAATAATTCTCTAGCTTTTAATATATTATTCTAAATACAATTATAATTATAAAATTAAATCTTAAATTTTATAGCTAAGGGATAGATTGCATAGGAATATATTGTGGATAGGGAGCAAACTGATAATTTAAACTACAAAAATTATTTGGATGCAACTGAGAGAGCAATTCCAGCAAAGCTAATGTCCACTGAGTATAAAAGTCTGACTCCATATTATTTCAATTTTTATATTTTAGAAATCAGAGGGAGTAATTGTTCTACAATTTTTTGAATAGAATCGAAACTCCAAATCAAGAAATTAAGCACTAAAATAATTCTACTATATATATACTTTTTAAGATCTTTTATAATTAAGCTATAAAAGAAGCGTATGAGCACTATGGTGATTATAAACATAAATGGATGATGTGCCCGCGCCTATTTTAAAGAATGCAAAAAAGGCAATATATTATTTTAATATATTCTTAAAATCAGAATTACATTGATTAAAAATAACTTTTCATTATAAATCTATATAAGATATGATGGGTTGATATTTTTAGTTACGTATTTTATTTCAGCTACTCTAGTAAGTCTTCTCCATAGTCCTCATATCCCTTTCAGTTTTATTTGGTATGCTCCCTACTTAATTATGGCTTTTTTAGCATTCCTTGCTTCATCAAACGAAATATCCTATATAAACTGCTATTGTTCGTCCCTTTGATGCATGCCTATCCTCTTCATAGGAAGTTTTATTTGGATATCGATGGAGTATTATTTTCAGAAATATACTTGGATTCTAAGTCTTCGTTGAAGTTTTTCTATGTTTTTACTAAAAGCAATGTATGCTTTATGAGGTTTGGCAGAAGAGCATGCAAATGAATTGAGAGAATTAATATTCTTATTAAATACAATGGAAAAAATTGGAGTTATTTAGTATATCCCTCAAAAATAATCATCAGAATATACCTCAGTCTTCGTTGAAGTTTTTCTATGTTTTTACTAAAAGCAATGTATGCTTTATGAGGTTTTGGCAGAAGAGCATGCAAATGAATTGAGAGAATTAATATACCTCAGAATAATCTTCAGGATAAAACCCAAAAAGAAAACCCTTATAATATTCTCGCTTCTGAAGGCACTGAAATGACTTAAAATTAAAAATAAAAATATTATTTAAATTAAAATGCCTATATAATTTATAACTAATAAACAGATATTTCTATTTGCTCTGATAAAATTTTATAAAACCATACTGGATACGTTTGAGATATACAAATTGTCAATTTTTCTTTTTGTGGCATGAAAACATTGCACTACATCACCAGCTAAAGAGACCAAAAATATTAGAGAAATCTGAATTTCCAAAAGCAAACATCTTAAGAGAGTAAATATTTTTGTAATATAATTTTTTAAATCTAATTTTGCAAAATAAAGTTACTATATAAATAGAAATGTTAGCGTAATATATGAAAAGAATAGCGAAGCAAATTAGTATTCAATTTTTTAGTTATTTTATGATTTAAGCTTTAAAGAAAGAGTATGAAGATTAATTTCTATAATTATAAAAGGAAATGGATCTGTCCTCAACTAATTTCAACAATTATGACATAGAAGCCGCAAAAAGAAATGTAAAATGTGACTCATGACTATTTTTAGTGATATATTTTATTCCAATAATCCTCTCATGTCTAATACCTGATATAGAGGCGGCCCTAAGTTTTATCTTCTTTTTCTCTTTAATGGGTGCTCCTTACTGACTTACAGCTGTTTTAGGATTCTTCGCCTCATCCAATGAGATGTCTTTCACAAACTGTTATTCCTGTTTCTTATAATCATAAAATGGCGTCGTCGAGAAAATTCTTCTCTGAAGAATTTTCACTCCTTTGGCCTATTTTATTATTATAGGATTCAGTTTCCCCTAGGACCTTATCCAGCAATATCAGGTAAGCAACGAGGAGGGGTGCACAGCCTCCTGGCCTGATCCTTGGATGTTTGGTGGACATAGGGTTTTACTGCTGACACTCCCGAGGAGGGAGACCCATAGGCGGCACAATGAGCAGGAGTCAAGTTTCGAGCAAGGAAACGCAGCCCGTGAGATCTGGCCTTCAATTGGCCGTCGCTTGCTTACGATGGTCCACTGCCGGATAAAAAGGGTGACGTCGGAAATGCCCGGTGACGCCACCAGCTAGAGTCTACTGGGGTGAGCGCTTATAGCTTATTTAAATCACCCTGCGGAACCAGAGAAACACGTTAAAACCTCTAAGTAGTCTAAGTTCTAAGTTATTCCTGTTTCTTGAAATGCACGTTTATTTACGTCACAATGTGCATTGGCGGGTCAATACTTATTTTTCTTTATCTATTGCTTTTAGTGCTAGCTAATTATTCTCAAGCAAGTTCCTCCCTTGAGAGATTTGTAGCATCTTTACTTGTTTTTATGTCATTTCTGGCCATAATTCACTCAGCTTGTGCATTTACTCTGTGATTTTTTGCGAACAGACGTGCAAACCGCTTAAAGGATTTAATACTAAGAAGAAACCAGTATTTCCAAAATCCAAATACGTCAGGAAGACTAGAAACTAAAGCGCAATTCTTTGCTCCGAGTGAAATAGAAGTCGGAGGATGTTATCCTCACTCCCCTCCTTGAGCAAACAATTCTTAAAAATTAAAAGTAAAAATGAATTCTTTGTAAAATTTATGTTTTATAATGGAACTTGTTGAAATTAGCAAAAGATTTCATTACAATAATTATCACTTATATATTGAAAATATTTTTTCATAAAAAATTTGGAGGGCGGGTTTTACCAAAAAATAGGATTTTTTCCATGATTTGTTCACTCACAGAGGGGGAATCAGCAATATCCTCAACAATCTCATCAGTATCCTTATTATAATCAAGGCAACTATGGAAGCGTTAAGAAGCCTTAAATAGATAATGCTTTTTAATAATTAACCAATATAGTAAGCTAAGAATCAATAATTTCTCAAATTTTTTTTATTATGTATTGATAACATATTTATGGTAAATTGACTTTAAAATGTCAAAAAAAATTTTGACATGCCATTATATATAAAACTGAGTCTATGGTATGTTAAAATTTTTTTGACATTTTAAAATCAATTTACCATAAATAAGCAAAATGAAATTTATGTGAGGGATTCTAATATATTATTCTAAATACAATTATAATTATAAAATTAAATAGAGGATTTTATAATTAAGGGATAGATTGCATAGGAATATATTGTGGAGAAGATGCAAACTGATAATTTAAACTACCAAAATTATTTGGATGCAACTGAGAGAGCAATTCCAGCAAAGCTAATGAATGTCTGGTATAGTGCATTCTAATTTTTTATGGGAAAAAAAAAACTTATCGGTGTAAGAAGAAAATTCTCCTATTCAAATATACTATGTAAGGAGCAAATTATGTGAGCAGATAAATGATAAAATAGCATTAAATACGATATGAAGAATATTATACTAAATTCAATAAGAGCTATGTAAAAACTAGCATAGCACACATCAGAAAATTAAAAAATATTAAACAAACTTTTAAAAAAAAATAAAAGTATAATATAATTGATTATTTGCTTATCATTAACGCATGACCCATGAATGTCTATATGATATATAAGTTAGTCCTAAAGTAATTATTGATACAGCCATTATAACCCCAAATACAAATAGCATAAATGATTGCAGTCCTATATTAGTTCCACAAGTATCATACATTTCTTCTGTGCATTCAAAATTAATAACATTCATCAAAAAATAAGCGGCTATCAAAAAAGAGACAAAACCTATAATTCCTTCTGCATATGACGCAAAATATAATATTTTTTTATATCTCTCGAGCTTTTTTAAATCATTATTTTGTAAAGCTTCTAGAGCTAAACATCCTAGCAAAGGATAAATGAAAAATAAACCTGTAAAACCTTCTAAGCCTTCCATGCCTAGAGTGCAGAAAATAATGACAGCAGGAATTATATAAATGATTAAAAATATAATTCCTTCAAATCTGACCCTTCTTTGATATAATCATAAAATGCGTCAAGAAGAGAGAAGTTGATTACTTATGGACCTGTCGAAGGATTAGGATTATTAAAAGCTAGGCCTTAGCCATATTGGTGACACAGTCACCAAAGACCTTCCGTGCTGGAGGTTCTACCACTTTACGACTCAACCCAGAGGGTCTGTGCCACTTTCGGTACCTTCTGTCTCCTCCTCGCCTTGTGGCTTCAGTCTTGAGTTTACGGGCTTATGGATTTCTGCTGGTGATTGGAGTAACTTGACACCATGGATTAGCTACTTGGAGTCTCTAACTTCCCCCCCTTTAAATTGAAACAAAAATATAGGTAAAATTCCTACTTTTTTGGGAAATTACCCCCTTTAAATTGAAACAAAATTTTATTATAATAGAAAATTTTATAGGTAAAAATCATTATTTTATATGTAAATACGTTAATACCCTATTTAATATGCTTCAAACATATAAGATTTAGAAATTAAACTCTATTTTGTCCAATTGTTATGGGGAGAGTTAGAAGAATACCATTCCAGCAAGTTTACACTTTGAGATTGAGAAATTTATGAATTAATTTTTCATGAAATTAAAATTAAATATATAAATTTTTTCATAAAAAATTTTCTTAACCCCCCTTTAAATTGAAACAAAATTTTTTGTTTCAATTTAAAGGGGGGGGAGTAAGGTATTCCCTTGTAGCCTGGGTCGAAACCCCCAGTTTCTCGGTAGAGGAATGCCCATGGGTACTAGGATCAGAATGATGCTGTTGAGCACCTCTATTTACCACAGGAAAGCAGCCAAAACATGCCAGATATACATCTCTTGAACAGCACTTGATTTTCAGCTCGAAGTCCGTCCCAGCTAGCAGTGGCCATAAGGTTAACTGCTGAGCTAAGAGGGCAGGCTTGCACATGTCTCGTTTTTACAAGATATTCCTGGCGTATAAAGCAGGTTGGCCAAGCGGTCTATGCACCGACACGTATAAAAATGATGGAAGCTTATATTGGCAATAACAGTGGACCTTAAGCGTAATCATATTAAATTAAGTTAAGACTCTTCCTTGGTATTTCTTTATATCAGCATCGAGACAAATACTGTTATGATCCATTTTGTTTATTATTATATCTTGTTGTTTTATTAAATAATTCAAATATTTATTCATTCTCAAAAAATATCTATTAATTTCTCAAAATTAAGGATTTTTCTCTTCAATCTTACATATTTAAAAGGTTCCATATGCCTTTTTAATAAATTATTTTTCTCAACACTATAAATTTACTAAAATTATTTACATTATTTCTCAGTTATCTTATTTTATGATTATTCTTTAACAATACTAAAAATAAAATAATTATTTTAATTTAATATAAATTACTATTCAACAAAATTTTCTATACATTTAATATCTCCTTTCGCTGCTTAAAAGTGATATTTCCAGCCATATTATAATTTCTGGGTATGGGTATCTCACGTGATTCTCGACACAAGCGTAGGAAGACCGGGGGTCGTATGCCAATTCACAAGAAAAAGCGAGCTTTTGAAAAGGCCAGACAGCCAGCTATGACTAAGCTTGGCCCAAAGCGTATTCACCCAGTCCGTGGCCGTGGAGGAAACCTCAAATATAGAGCCCTTCGTTTAGATGCAGGCAACTTCTCATGGGCAAGCCAAAACGTGACCATTAAAAGCCGTATCCTCTGGGTTGTTTACAATGCAACCAATAACGAGCTGGTAAGAACCAACACCATCACCAAAAATACCATCTTAGAAGTCGACGCAACCCCATTCAAAGCATTTTTCTATAAGACCTATGGACAAGACCTCGGAAAAGTCAAAAAAGAAGAAACAGCGACGAGGTCAGCCAAGGCCCAAGAAAAATGGGAAAAAATATACCTTTTTATAGTAAATATAAGAAAATATGGGGAAAATATGGGAGAAAGGAGGAATAGGATACAAAAAGAATGGGAAGAAAATGCTAAGGAGAAGAGAATTGACCCTACTTTGGAAAGCGATTTTAAGACTGGAAGACTGCTAGCTTGTATTACTTCAAGACCTGGGCAAAGTGGAAGAGCTGATGGGTATATTTTGGAAGGAGAAGAGCTAGAATTTTATAAGAAGAAACTTGAAAAGAAAAAGACTAAATAAGGTAAATTCTTATAAAATTTAATAAATAGCAAAAATTCAATAGTGAATTCTATTATTCTATTTGTAATAAATAAAAAACTGCTAGCCTTCCCGGTCTAAATTGGAACAAAAATCCTGTTGCAATGTAAAGGCTATTTTTGCTAAAAAAATTATATTTAATTTTTTTTCTAATTAAAAAATTTAATTGATTTAGTGTCAAAATTAGGTCAAAACTAAGTTGATAAAAATTAATATTTCATCAATAATTTATATATTGAAACTAATTTTGTTCCAATTTAAAGGATATTAAAGTACCCAAAAATGAAATTTTATCGATATTTTGTTTCAATTTAAAGTTGGAGTAATTATTAATCGCAGTCATTTCTATAAATAAATAGAATAAGACCAATCTATAAAGTGGGTATATAATTTCTTACAATTATTGAAATATAACCGTGTTTATCAATAAGGAACTACGATTCTGATGGGTATGGTTGCATTTGGATATATTGTGCAGTGCTTTCTGAAGACTCTTGGATTATAGGATCAGAAACTGGTGGCATTTGTAGGATCATTGTTTTTAAAGCTGAAACATGAGTATCAGTGATATGAGAGAGGCAAAATAATCCAAAAAAATATCCCATTATGAGACAAGGATTGACAGTTTTCCCTTGAGGGCTTATTGAGATCTCCCACTCACTTGCATAATGATGATCCCTAGAAATAAATCTTAAAAACTCAAGACATAATCCTAGTATAATAAATCTATTAATTTTAACTTATTGGAAACATTTATTTTAAAATTTTTATTTTTTTTAAAATAAAAATTGTGCCTAAATAATATTATAAGATATAAATATCGTGATATATTTGAGTACTCTAACATAGATTCCAAATAATGATATTCTCAAAATATTTTCTGTTTTAGATACCCTAAAGCCAACTATACCTAAAATAAAAATTGGGGAGAATATAATTAGATAAAGCAATAAAATCTCTTTTTGGAGCAAACAAGTGAAAAATATCGAAAATGCAGCAAAAAATCCTAACTCACCCCCCATCATACGTGAATAAAAAAAATTGTTTATTCAATGAGGGTTTAAATTTTTTTTTTTATAAATTTTTATTTTTTCAAAATTTAAAAAAATTCCAATCCGAAAAAATTGAGAAGTAAAATTTTTAATTCGCAAAATTTATGTTTAAAACGCAATTTGTTCAAAATTGAACAGAATTAACTTGAGATTTCATTATAATAATTATCACTTATATATCAGAGTATTTTTTTCAAAAAAATTTTTGTTCGCTCGCGGAGGGCGGGTTTTTGGGCAAAAAATAGGAATTTTTCCAATGGTCTTGTTCGCTCACAGAGTGGGTGAGTAAGTAAAATAGTGATTCTCGCATGATTATCCTTCTCAATTTTTCTATAACATGTAAAGTAATATTCTCGTTTATATCCATTTTATTTTTAATTAATTAAGAAATTCAATTGATAGTTTGCATTTTCGCATTATTGATAAAGCAAAATATATATTCAAACTATCCTTAATTAATTCCATAAATAAATTCTTACTATTTTTAATTGATGAAAATCAATATTTAAATTTTAATCAAATTTATCTATATGTATAAATATTAAACAAATTATTTAAAGAAATAAATTATTTCTTCGTTCTATCTACAAACTCCTTATGACCCTCTTTTATTTTCATCAAATTTCTTTGGTATCCCAAACCTTCGATTAACTATTTCCTTTATAATCTCCTTTTGCTGATTTTTATCAATAGTCCCTGCAAAGCTTCTTCTTTTTCAATAATCAATTGATTTTTCATCTTTTTTTGGCAGAGAAGTTTCATTTTTTCTCTCCATAACATTCTGGCTCTGTTGGGCAAGAATTGGTGCACTGAACAAAAATGCAGTCTCTATGTCACTTTTTCTGTTTAAACCAGAATAGCTGGTTGATCTAGGCCGCGGAGATTCTGGGGGAGATTTTCGTGTAGAAGAGGGTTCGTTGGGAATTGTGCTAGTCAAAATGCTGTTAGTGTGGGAAAGAATGCTTATATCGTCGAAAGTGTCTGTGTCTTTGAATTTGAAGTCCAGCGCTACTAGCTGGCTGTTAGGACTTAGTTGGTAGAGGTCTTTAAATTCTGGTTTGCATTCGCAGCAGCCCATTTGTTATATTTAATAGTGATTTAAAAATTCTCTAAATATTCTTGAATTAATGTCCTCAAATTTGTATGGCTAATTGGATTTTAATTATTGGGTATTTTTCAATACAAGTAACTGTTGGAAGGAGAAGCTATTTTGAATTTTCATCATAATTTTAATTTCAATAATTAATTTACATATCAGATCTATTTTTAACTGATTTATTTGAGTTTAGCCATAGTCAAAACTGGATTATTTATTTGTTTAATATTTTATAAGTTTCTATATAATAAAAATTTGTGATATTATAAGATAGGAACTTCCTTAATTTGGTGCCATATTCAAAGCAAATTATGCATGATTTAAACTTTGAAATTATATTATCTGCCTTTTCGGCATAAACTTTATATCAATAGCATTTATTTTTCTTAAAAGGAATTTTCTTGCAAGAATTTAAAAAGTATTTTGGATCATTTTTATATATTTTTCAAGGATTGTAAAATAATACCGATTTAAATGCAATTTTTAATTTATCCAAAACTGACTAAAAAACTCATAACATTATCAAAGTTCTTTTACATTATATTTTTCTAAGTTTCTGTTTTCTAATTTACTTGAAATAACCTCACCCCATTTGATTTCTTGATCAAAAAAAAACTTATAATGAATATTATTCCTTTACTGTTTTCCTTTGCCCTTGCATCTGTTATTGAGCTTCCAATTGGCTTGATCACATCTCCATCTACTGACTCCTCGCTTACCTCAAAATTGATAACTGATCTTGAAGGACTCGAAGTAAACATCCAAAACTCACTTTCACTGCCTTTTAAAGTGTATAGCAACTAATAAAAAAATGGAAAATTGCCATCCTATTTTTTATAAAAAAAATAAAAAAAGTCTTTAACCTTTGAGTAATTCAGATTAATTCAGAATTTTTTAAAAAAAAAATTATAAAACCCTTTTAAAGTTGTAGTCATTTGGTCTTACATTGACCTTTTGACACAAACTGATGTGACTACGTGAAGAATCCCTAAGGAATTCCTAGACAAAGATATCAAAGTTATCATCGATGCCGCTAATGATTCAATCTACTCACAGTTTTTAACATATACAGCTATCCAAAACAACTACTTGCATATGGTTGTAGCTCGCCCGATTGACGAAATTAACGGAGAAACCCCTAGCTCTAATACTTTATTTTTAGAAACTTGCTATGACTCCCAAGCATATGCATTTTTAGACATCATTAAAAATTTCGGGTGGTCAAACATTGGGCTGGTCTATGACCAAAGTAGCAATAATGTAATTTTGGCAAATACTTTTAAAGATAATTATAAATAATATCTTATATTGGTCGCTATTTTTATAAATATCCTTCTATTTTTAATATAAAATAGCATTAATCCTCCTAATCTTATACAAAAATTAGCTAAAAAATCATATGATACTACAGCCATGAACATTTTAGACGAGATTGTTATCGACGCAAACGACAAAACGTCTTCTACTGATCTCACAACAAGACTGGAAAGCACTACAAGAGACTCCGGCGCCAGAGTAATTCTAGTCTTCACCAATCCTGTCCTTGCCGCACAGCTACTCCATTCAGCTGATGAAAGTGTTATGGGAGGCTCCGGGTATGCATGGATTTTAAACAGTGACGCCATGATCGATATAGCCGAAATCGCCCAAAATTCTCACGCTGACGTCGATTCCACCACTTTTGGAGTCCTAAAAACTGGAGCTGTGGGCTTTATAGAAGAAGACGCTGATTATCATACTGAGGACATTTTAGCTACATTTAGAGCTGCTTTGACATTGATATGTCAGGGATATGTAAAATTAGGCTTCCCGAGTGTCCCAGTATCCTCAATTTCAGGGTCAAGTCTTTGGGCTTATATGGTATCGAACCCAACAACCCCAACCTTGCCTTATCGACTGAATTTTGACTCAACTGGGGTGAAAAAGTCTTATTACGAAATTTATAATATGGCAGATTTTCATTTGTCAAATATAGGTTATTGGAGTCAAGATACCAGAAAAATCGTGATTACAGCAGGTTCTGGAGAAATACAGTGGCCAGGGTTTTCTACGTCGGTTCCTAATGATAAAGTCCCGATTATCCAGATTGGGCTTTTATACCCTGGGCATGATTCTAATGGAAATACATATGCAGATGGCCAAACTATTCTGGTTGAGGCTGAATTTATATATAAAAAATAAAAAATAATTATCTAGTAAATACAATTTGTGCCTATATATAATAAATGGGTTCGAATTAGCAAGAAAAGAAATTAATGGGGACCATCTGCTAGGTGACTACCAAATAAACGCAGTCCTCAAAGACACTCTTATGTCCCCCAGTCTGGCAGCTGTAAATATAAAATCCCTAGAAAAAGAAAATATTTTAGGCTATATCGGCCCACTTACCTCAACAGAAGCACTTTCTTATATTACAGCCATCTCTTCTACAGCTGATCCAAAACCATTAGTTTCCTATGGTGCTACTTCTGCAAATTTAACGTCTTCTGAAACTTATTCTAGCTTTTTACGCACAATCCAACCAGATGGGCTACAAGCTGTAGCTATTGCTATGTTTATTCAACAGCAAGGCTGGAAAAAAATTTGTGTCATATATATTTAATCTTAATTATACTTATAGAAAAGTCAGAAAAACTGCCTGTTTTGCGAACTGTTTCCTGTCTGCTTGCCATTTGCGCTCCACGAACTGTGAAAGCTAACGAGGGGCTGCACTCGCTCAAATATTTGGAAGAGTTGTGCCATCGCAAGGTGCAAAAAAGGTTGCCTGCCATTGGAAATTCAAAATTTTTTATTTTCTGGCGATTCAGCAAAAAATGGAAATCCGAAGCCCAGGGTGTTATTTCTGGTTTCATGTCTATTGGCCAGCTAAAAAACTCACTTTTTACAACGTTGGGAGAGCTCTTTCCTACTCTCGGCTCTCATTCACAGTAGGAGAAAGATTGATATAGGATTGAGCAGGGTTATGTAGCTTAGCCCAACTGCTCCATCTGCATCAAAAGACCCTTACTCTATACAATGCAAAAATGGATCAATCTACGAAAGCGAAGCTGGAAGCTACTCGAATTGGAAACGGGTAGGAAATCAACAATTGATTAGGGTAAATAAAAAATTTCTTCTTACTTGATGCATATATCAGGCACCAGCCTCTTTCCTTGAGGCTTTAGCCTGTGATGTGCTAACTAAGTAATTAATATTGCGCGACAATTGGACATACCATTTAACATATGTTTCATATATACTAATGACGATTTTGGAAATGGCGTTTATAGCAGCTTTATTACTAATGTGGAAACACTAGAAATCACTATTATTAATGATGAAGATAAAAGATCTATATCTCCAGCTGTGGATGGGGTTGTTACTGATGATACTAAAAGTGATATAGATGACGCATTGGCTAATTGTGTTAGACACCAGCTTAAAGTTATTGTTTACCTAGGCAGTGATAATGTAGCTGCAGAAGTGGCTAAGGTCGGCTATGAGAAAGAACTCCATGGAAGTGATTATGCTTGGATCGGTGCTATGTGGATTACTGACAACCTTGTGAGTATAATTTCAAAAAATTATAATGACTCTGCTTCTGACATCTACGAAGTCGTTAATGGAGGAATAGGCCTTGGCTTTAGTCCAGCTTTGACTACAGGAGCTGGCCCAGAATTTGTAGCGAATTATAAGTCAAATTATTCAGTGACCTATACAACGTATGCTATGCTTGCCTATGACACTTTATACCTCTATGCGTATACTATCCAGGGTATGATATCAAGAGGCGAGGATTTTAATAATGGAAAAGAGCTTATGGACGCTCTGAGATCAGCTGATTTCACAGGTGCAAGCGGAAAAGTCAAATTTTCGGAAGGGACTAATGACAGAAGTGCATATGGGTATTCAGTTGTAAATGGGCAAAAAGGGAAAATCGTGACTGTAAAACTGTACGATCCACTGAATCCTAATATGTTTACTGATGTGTCTGATACTACTATTGTGTGGGGAGGTGGGTCGAGCTCTCCTCCATCTGATGAATGGTCGTCTAATTATGATTGCCCATTTGCTAAAAATAGGTATTACAATTTTACCTATAGAAAATATTATTTATACAAATTACTGAAAAAATATTTTTTTTTAAAAATTTATTTTGAGGATTATTATCCTTAACATAAAAATATGGTCACTATTTCTATGGATGGGGTCATCATTGTTATCTGTATTGGTACATTCCTATTTTTCATGACATTAGGGCTGAGTATTTTTTCTTTCAGAAAATGGCGACAGGTAGAAATCCAACAAATCACTGAGCCAGTTGTGAGAAGCTGGAAAGACACATTGGTCCAGGCAACTATTTTAATCGAGTTTTTCCAATTTGTGGCTATTGCTCCAACTTTTGAGTCGCTTAAAATTGTGATAGATGCTGCCTCGAACATTTTTATGGTCGATTTCATGAAGGTCGCTAATGCAGGGAAAAGCACTTATTGGACTATGTTATCCGTTGTGTGCTCTTTATGCTATTTATGGTTTTTCCTTGTCATTTTAATTATGGCTAATGCCGAGCATTGGCTTAAACAAGTCCCATTCTGTCAAAGAACTTTAGCACTCCTCAATGCTGCTTATCTCCCATTTTTCGGTAATACAATGTTCTTGCCGTTTACTACTCTATTATTGGATGTTTACGTATGCAAATTTTCTAGCTTCCCCCTCTGTTAGTCTAATTTTTTTTTAAAAAAATATTTATATAGAAAAAATTTTTATTTGAAATTTAAAAAAATTCTACTTCGCAAAAATTGGAAAGCAAATATTAATTTATTTTTATACTTTATGTTTTAAAACGCAATTTGTTTAAAATTAAACAGAATTAGCTCGAGATTTCTTTATACTAATTATCACTTATATATCAAATTTTTTTTATAAAAAATTTTTGTTCTGAGGGTGGGCTTTTGGGCAAAAAATAGGGATTTTTCTAATGGTTTTGTTAGCTCACGGAGGGGGGAGTAAATATTTTCCACTATAAAATCTAACTATTTTTCTATCAGAAAAAAAATATAGAAAAATATTATATGTGACCATAAAGCCCAAAAACATTCTTTTGTATGGAGAGACTGCTATATGAACTGCTGGGACGATAAGCATTATCCTTACATTGCAATGTCAGCACTCGCTATCTCTTGCTATGAGCCTATTGCTGTATTTTCACGTCCACTATGGCAGCAAGCTAAAACAGGGTTGAATCTTATGATTAAACCTTTCTTTTTACTGTTCAAAACTTGCGTGCAGATCCTACTAATCGCAATCGGAAAGTCTTTACAAGGTACATCGCCTATAGCCCACGGTGTTGTTTTCTCTATCTTGTTTATAGCTTTCACCTATATTACTTTTAAATTGAAGCCATTCAATTACTCTAGGTGCAATTTGTGGGAGCTTACCTCATTAATTGCTGTGTCTTATTTATATTTATTTATAATGGATAAATGCATTAATTTAATAGAAGCTTACTCCCCCCTCGTGAGCGAACAAAATTTTGATCGCTCACGGGGGTTAATTTTTTTTTAAAATTTATATATAAATTTATAGTAAATATTTTTTTTAAAAACTTTTAATTTGTAAAAATTAGCAAAGTTTATGTTTAAAATGCAAGCTGTTTAAAATTAATCAGAAATTAACTAGAGATTTCATTATACTAATATCACATATATATCAATTTTTTTTCCATAAAACATTTTTGCTCGCTCACGGTGAGTGGGATTTTGGCCAGAAATAGGGATTTTTTCAATGGTTTTGTTCGTTCAAGGAGGGGGAGTTAGGATTTTTATATGAAAAATAATTTTTTATTGAAAAATTCATGGGGATGGGCTGAGTATATTTTATAGCATTTTTAGCTACAATTTCTAATGCAGCAGATCCTGCCAATGTGGCTTGGTTTATTGTGCTTATGATTGGATGGGCCATTATTGGCGGCGGAGCATTTTTGATACAGAAGAAATATATGCCAAACTTACTTGTCCCACCAGGTGGAGCTAAATCTAAAAGAAAAGTCTATGATGCCCTGTCGTTGAGAAGAGGGAATGAATCAGCTTCTGTAGATATGGATAACTCAGAATTAGCATTAAAGCCTCATGACCCAAGCCCAGCTGAGCAGTCTGTGATTGAGCCTGAAAATGATAATAAAGTTGAAGAAGAGCCAAAACCTCAGGAAGAAGAAGGCGAAGAAAATCAGAATATCAATGAAAATGAAGACCACGAGTCATAATAAATATTAAAATGTTTTAGAAATTATTGACTGGCTTTATAAAATAATTAAATATGGCGTCTTCGTCTGGGCATGGCCTCCCGGCCATGCAGCCTCGACTCATATTTAATTATATCCGGCAAGGTTTTACCATTTCAGAGATGGACAGCAATGCTAGGTAAACAATTCTGGTTGTGTTCAGAGCCTAGCCCAAGTCTAATCTCAGGGGTGGATTTTTTCCTCGTGGGGAAGGAGGGTACGGAGTTGGAAAGGGGAAGCTCAGCAGAGTCCTTAGGACCAATTGGGGCAACTCCCTAGCGTGAAACTGGGCGTTACGTCCCAGGCTACGTGTTTTTCCTTTTTGCCGATAGCTGACCAGAAAATCCATTTTTTGGTTTTTCGGAAAAGCAACCCATGTCCAAGCAAGTAGCTCATCCATGAGTCGTCGAAGCCGGAGCACTCACCCTAGGCGCGCCCTGGTGATCGAAGCGGGTCGTCCCCAGAGACCTGTGGGCCCGATGCGGCGAAAGGCGAGCGGCAGACCTGGGCGTTGTCTACCCCGTAGTGGACGTTAAACGTTATAAATTTTATAAGATAAGATAAGACTGGCTTTATAAAAATGTCTATAATAATAATGTTGAAAGTCTTAATTTAAAGCGTGAATTTGCTTATAAATATAACTCAACTATTTATTTTTATTTTTTGTAATAATTTCTTTTGTTTCTTCAATAGCTTTACTTTTATTTTAATGGAAGATTCGGAAAGTAATGTTTCCTATTCTTCTTCCTTTTGTGAAGAAAACGGAGCTTTACAGGATGAATTTTTCGAACTTTTACTATTAAATGAACTTATTGATACAGGATTACTTGATAATTCTGAATCAGAGTATGAATGAAATGATAGTGATACAGAAAATGTTGATACAGATGACAAAATATTGGAGTTTTTAAGTCGTTTAGATGGAAAAATACTAGATGAAATAGATCCTATTCAGGAAACCTTCAAATATAGGAAGACTGAGGTGATCATTGATGATAAGAAGACAATCGATAAGAAAATCCTGGACACCAGAAAAATAAAAATTAGATCAGATTCAAATTTTATCAGAAAAATAAAATTGATATCAGAATCAAGCATTATCAGGAAAATAAAATTTAGATCAGATTCAAATTTCATCAGAAATAGAAAATTCATATCAGACTCAGAAATCGAAAAAATCGCGGATTACGTGGGTTCAGAAAATTTTACTAAAATTTTATCCAAAGATTTTAGGAAAAGAAGAAAGTTAAAAAATTTTTAATCGGGACATGGCCCTGAAATAAAGGCCTTTAAGTAATAAAGATTTCTCTCTCAATAGCTTTTAGGAAATAAAATTTCAGAAATTAATTTAAATATTATTTTGATAAAGAATAATAATCTAGCAAATTACTCATTAATTCGAAAGTCTGTACCTCTGCAAGGAACTTGAAATTGCTTTGAGCTCGCTTGTGATTTCCTTTTCACGGTCTCTTATGTAATTAAATTTCAGGACTTCTTCAATCTCGCTTGGGGTCCCATGAATTTTCATGCTCCCAAAGCTATTTTTTGCTCTTATTTTTGCTAATACTTCTGGTTTTAATATATCAAACTTGGACCTTTGCAAGTCTTTTGCGTCTTCTTTTTTCTCAGGCACATTTCTCAATAAGTCTGTCAATTGCCGCTTGTACTTCTTGACCGCTTTTGCAGACTGTTTTTGTAGTGGACTTATGTTTATATTTTTTCCTTCTAACTCTGGGCTATTCGAGACTTTTCCTTTCTTTTTCACCTTTTTTATTCTATTTGTGGAAAAGCTTTTTTTAATCCAAGAAGTCGGACTATAATACTGTGCAAAAATCGGTCCAATTGAGTCGCGATTGGGCAAAACCAGTCTCATCTTTCTATTTTTATAGCCTAAGCATGGTTTTGGTATGGTCTTTTCCCCTTGTTCTGACAAGGGAGTTTTTCATCACTTATGTTGGTCAAGCCAATTCTCCAAATAATAGATCAAATTGCTACTGGGTTCAAGCTATTTGAGGAATTTTTGAAAAAATCCCTTTTTCCTTGGGATACCTGGGGCAAAGTCATGCTAATACTATACATGAATCAGTTTCTTCTTGATAATTGTCTAATAAATTCCTGTCTTTTGTTTTCCGAAAAGTTGATTCCGAAGTAAGAAGGCGTCCTATATTATCACGCTCATATAAAAAAGGTACAAAATTTTTTTGAAATTTTGTTTCTGACAGAGTATTCGATCGCATTGTTTCTTTAAGAAGCATTGGAGGCAATTTTGCAGAAGTTTTGCTATGCTTTATAATTCTTTCAAGCTCTTTTTGGATGCCGCGAGTAAGGCTAGGGCTGAAATTGTGGTATAATGGATTTAAATTTAGGCTTCCTTCTTTAGCCATTTATTTAATATAATTTTCAAAATTAAATATTTTTAAAAAAATTATAACTCCCCCCCATCCTTGATCGAACGACTCGCCATCGTTCGATCAAGGATGGGGGTTAAAAAAAAATTTTCGGGAAAAAAATTTTTATATATAAAAATAAAAGAATATATAGATATGTTTTTATTTACTTTTAAATAAGAGGGTTAAGAGTATTTAATAATTATTTTTACAGCAAAAAATTTATTTTATTTCATAAAATACCAATTTTTAATATTTTGATTTATTAGTTGCCCCTTTAAACTGTATATAAATTTTAATTTGCTCCTTATTAAATTAATTTTTTTTTTTTTAAATTTTAAAGAATCTCTATTTTTATTAGATTACTGAGTTTTTAAGCATATGTTAATGACTAAATCACTTCGGATGGTTGATTCCGCAGCTTTCTGTCGTCTCAAAGCCTCTGAAAACAACTTCATTATGCACATCTTCCCAAGCTTTTGATAAATAATATATTTTTATATATAAAAATTTGCATGATATGAAAATCGTTCGATCAAGGATGGGGGTTCATTTCCCCAATTTTTAGGAATTTTTACAGTCAATCGTTCGATCAAGGATGGGAGGGGGAGTAAGGTAAATTTGTCAAAAATATCAATATTCCTCTGAATATTAAAGAAAATTATATTATTTGTCCTCTACTGCTTGAGGAGCCATAAGAAGTCATCACTCTTCTATTAAAACTTTTCGATACAGAATTTAACGAAAACATCAAGCTTGGCTGTGACCGAGAAGTTTTAATAGCCTGCGGAGATTTATGCTGTATATTGTTCCTTAATTGCAGCAAAATTCGCTTGTGAATGCCAAAACTTGATGAATTTAATTTTCCTGAAGACTCATAAAGCGAGTCCATTTCATACCTTTGAGCTACCAAAGCAAGCTTTTTCTTCCCTAAGCTGCTTGCAGAAGAAAAATTAAAAGTCCTGGTAAATAAAATAGGGGTAAGCGGCTTAGTTTTTATTTTCTTTTTATTGAAGCCTATCAGCTGGTTTCTCCCTTGTTCTTTTAGCGAAAAATTATTTTTCAAAATTTCTTTTGTGTCTTCAGGTATTAATTGTAAAAATTCTTTTTTTAGGATATAAATAGTGGCAGTGTCTGAGCAGACCACTATTGTGTATTTATTTGGAATGCCTAATAAAGCGGACTCTTCACCAAAGCAATTGCCAGATTCTAACTTGACAAGCTCAGAATTCCCTGACGTTATATATTCAGATACTATAGCAAGCTGCCCGTTCTTAATGAAAAATAAATCATAATTATTTTCTCCTTCAGATAAAATTGTACAGCCTCGAGAGCACTCGATGCTTGTTAAAGAATAAGCAATTCTGTCTCTGTGGTATGATGATATACCATTTTATGGAATATTTGCCTTATATTTAATAATATTTAAATAAGCAAAAAATATTTGTATGGAGAATACTACTTGTTTTACCTTTGGGAAATATTTTTCAATGAACGTTATTTTTTCGTGAAATATGGAGTATGCTTCAGCACTGAGTAGTTCTCTATAATCTTCCGTAGACAATGTTAAAAATGTGCATTTTGTTGTACATACAAAAGTCGATACTGAAATCTGGCCATTTTTCTTTGTAAACTCTCCTATAATACTTCCTGGCCTTACTGATTCTGAGTATACAAGCTCACCCCCAATATTTTGTTCATAGCAATTTAATTTTCCTTGTATAAGCACATAGCATTTTCTAAAAATCTCTCCTTTTCTTATCAGATATGTACCTTGTAAGACATTTTCAACTTGCAAAGATCTAATTATTTGGTGTTTAGGGTGCTATATATAAAAAACCCAAGGGTATATCATATTAATTTTTTCCTATAAAAATACCATGAATTTTTTTTTAAATTCCTCATAAAAAAATTGCTTTTTTTAGAAAAATTTATCATTTTTTAATAAGCCAGTGTTTATGCAATTTATGATATGTTTTCATCCTATCTCCGATTCCTTCAAATTGACATAAAACTTTAACTACATAATCAAACTCATCTTGAGACTTAGGCTGCTCTTCTATTATATTAATTGCAACGTCTATTTCTTTATCAGCACTTTTGATCATTTATTTCTTTTTTTAATGTAGTAGCATTCTTTAAAGATTAAATCATTACTTATATTATAAATGGAATTTTCCAAGCTCTGGACAAGATTTTGATGAGGAAAGTTTCATTCTTGGAGTTTCGACTTCTTCGTATGACTCGTCTGATGAACTGTCATCATTATTTCGGGGTTCTGAATTTCTTATCATTTTAATAAGGGCTAAAGAAGCGATGCCTGCCGCTTCTAAAGTCTAGATAAAAATTACAGTTGATATGCCTGATGTTAAGGTCGAGACCCATTTTAATCTCAGATGAGAACTGGGTTCAGATACCATACTGATAGACTCAGATACAAAGCATGGAATTTCGGTATCCATTGACAAGGCTGCGCCTGCTATTTGATCTTCTATGTCAAGATGATTCCAATAGGTGTCGAGAAACTCTGATGAAGAGGTGCCCATTTTAAAAATTATAGGTGTGGGTATTTAATTGTACAGAAACACAAGATATTGATTAGAAAATCGGCAGCAAAACTTAAAAAAGTGAGAAGAATAAGTTAATTATTGATGTCATGAGTTAGGAAAAATGGATGAGCTAACGACTGATAAAGGATTTTGGAGATTTTTTGCTTTGTGATGCAGAAAATCATTAAATGCATGTAATTTCATGCTGTAAATGAATTTGGGGGTATTTGAAAAAAAAATCAACTCAATTTTCGCATTTCTCCAATTAAGGGTAGAATTTTGCACATCAATTTTTTGTGATTTTTATTATTTTTCACATTTTATATTCTGACAATTTTCTATCCAAAAATTATTAAAGTTTGGTTTAAGTTTTAACTAATATCACGAATTAAAAATCAGGGAACATATCAAAAGCTGCTATTTGATCAGCTATATCTGGATCTTCTTCTTCTTTATACTTATCGAAATTAGAAGAATCATCAGGTGCACGAATAATTGGAACAATAGGAGGATTTATATTTTTTATAATAAATAATATTAATAATTGAAATATTGTTTAAAATTTATTTTTCCAATTTAAAAAGGATAAACATTGAAGATCTACATCTCTTCAATTAATCCCTCTAAAGAACGCATGTCTTTTAATCGCTTCTTCGCTTATCCGCTTTTTAGGGTCTTTCATGAGCAATTTTGAAATTAAATCATGAGCTGCCTCGTCAAGATTTTCAGGGTATGCGACTTCACTTGATATTATTTTTTTGTAAATATTATACGGATTTTTTTCCTCAAACGGCGGTCTGCCTACAAGCATTTCAAAAAGCAAAATGCCTAATGTTCACCAGTCAGCTTCTAAGTGGTGTCCATTCTGCAAAATCACTTCTGGGGGCAGATATTCAGGAGTCCCACATAAAGTATAGGTGTATTCCCCTGGGGTTAAAAATTTGGTAAAGCCAAAATCAACAAATTTAATGTGTCCTTCTTTTGATAATAAAATATTTTCTGGCTTTAAATCTCGATACACTGCGTTTTGTGAATGAATATATATCTTTTTAACATAATTGTGTATTAGAAATAATTACTATAATTTTCTTTTCATATAGAAACTGGAATAATGTTTATAAGCGAAATGCACAAAGCGATTCTTTAATAAATTAAGAAAAAGCAGACACAACCTCAGCAGCGTAAAATTTCGCTGTTGGAACAGTAAACATCCTATTAATCCTTAGGTGCTTATAAAGCTCTCCACCTGGGATATATTCCAAAAATAAATACAGTCGTTTCCGATCTTGTTGTGTCCCTATAAGTTTCGCTATAAACGGATGCGAAAATTCCTGTAACGCTTTCTTTTCACTTTTTATATGCTCGACCTGTCTCATTTGGATTATTTGGCTTTTATACATCATCTTGATGACAATAATTTCATCAGTTGCAATATTCCTAGCAAGTCTGACTCGTGCAAAGGTGCCAGTGCCTACAGTTCTCATTAGACGGAACTGTTCGAGCGATACTTTACGCTGAATTGATCTTTGGTTTGAAATAAAAAGGCTGGTTCGGCGTAGTCTTGGGGTTATATGAGATATTGTACTGTTTGGTGGCAGTGGGGAAAGAGTTTTTCTCCCAATTGTAAAATTCAACCCCTTGTTCTTTTTTATCATTAGGAGTCTCTAATTTATAGAGAAAATAATAATTACTAGTAGAATCAAATCTAGTTAAGATAAATTTGTGTAAAAAAATTAAAATGGATTTTTAATAGATTTCATAGGAGCTGCAACTGAATTTTAAGGCGGAAATAATAAGAAAAGTAAGACTTAAGTAATATGAGAGAGAAAATCGAGAGACTTTGATTAAAATCGAGGGTTATTGTAACTTTTTTATGTAAAAATGTAGATAATAAGACATTTTATCAATATTTAGATTAGATTAGTGATGGGTATTTATAGTCCCTAATTCCTGACATCATGTGTTCCACTTCGTATATCGTGCTGAGAGCCTTTACTGGAAAGATTTTGCCCTTGCAAGATCTTGTCGAGCCCTGAATTCCGCTTTTTCCCTGATCAGCTCCAAAGAAAACACTCAATAGGTTGCGCTATTTGGACCTCGCAGCCTAGCCAGATAAGTTACCCCGTCTCTATCAATACCCAACCTGGGCCTGACACTGCTGATAAAAAAAATGGAAAAAGCTGTCACTAGAGCCAGACCACTAATCAGTAGAAATGTTTCTGATCCTCTCACCTCTAGGTTAATTTATCTAGGGCAGCTCCTTAGACCAAAAATGCTCCTCCAGATATAAATAAGCACACCATCCCCAAGTACGTCGGGTCGCTTGCCATTTTATTATAATCAATATTTGAATTAAATGAAATTTTATTTTTTCAGCATTTATCTCAAACACAGTCTAAATATTTTAAATTTTAATAATCATTAAATACTTTTTTAGATTAGAGCATAGAACTCTGTGCATTTCCAGGTCTATTTGAAACTTCTAAAACGTCCATTAGCCTTGTTAATTCTGACATCATAGCTTCAATTCTCTGCAAGACTCCACGGTCATCCCCAGTCCCTCCTTGAGCATGTTTCTAAATATTTCTTACACTCGCATTAGTAACTGAAATACTTTCAGGCTGAGGAATATAAACTTGTCCTTCTACTCTGCTTATAGCGGAATTCGACCATGACTGCTGGTTTCTTTCGTTTTTAGTCAAAATATCTATTTGTTTTTTTAAATTGGCGTTTTCTAGGTTTAAAGTGACACAGTTGCTTTCAGCTTTAAATAATGCTCTTTCGTATTCTAGGCACTGTGAGCACTCACTGTGAATTTTTTCTCTTTGCTCTTGTAGGGGAGGGTGCTCACTCCCTAGTCCTTGTCTTGGCTTGATGTAGTCTTCGCTTTCGCTGTCACTTTCGCTTTCGTTTTTTGATTCTTCTTCCTCTTCTGGCTGGATATTATATTTGTTTATAAGAGCGTCGCTTTTATATTCATCAGAATCTGAGGAGTCTTTTCTGAAATTCACCTTTTTAGAAGGCTTTTCATTTTTTGGGCTATTAGGCTCACTTATAAAAATTGGGTCTACGGATTGTTGAAGATTAGATTAGTTATATCTTATGGGTCTCTGGGAATTATTTCAGCTTCTCTCCGTCCTAGCCGGGTTGAGGCTCGAGGTTGTCCTAAGAGCCGGTGTCACACTAGGTCTTTTTTGTCGATGTCAGCAAAATTTCGACTCAACAAGTCTCTTGCAGAGACTCACCCGAGCATATTTGGGTCTAGCTACTCCGTAAACCCTTGATAGTGTTCAAAGTAGGGGAAGCGCCCAATGTGTCGACTTCTGGGCGACCTTGCCTTTAGCAGGCACATATTGCTTCCAGAAGTGTGAGCCTACTTTGAATTTTCGGTCTTGTCGTCTTGTGTCAGGATCAAAAGCCTATCGTGATGTGTTGACCAGGCATATACATTAATTTTATGCTATTCTAGCTTAAAGTTCCATTTTATAAAACTTTATTCCTTATTTTCTATATAAATAAATATTAATTCTGCCTTGTTTTGAAATATAAGCTAAAATCCTTTATTTCCCAGCTCATTTTTTCCTCACTTGCATTTTCACGTCTATAAGATGAAAAATTTTTCCTGAGTTTAGAAATGATAGCTTTTAAAATCCCTGTTTGTTCCAAATTCTGTGGTGAAAATCCATCCTTGAATGCGGACTTGGGCTAGGCTCTGCTACGTCAAGAATTATTTGCCTAGCATTGCTGCCCATTTCTAGGGCGGCAAAATCTTGCCGGATATAATTAAATGTGTGTTCCAAGGAAGTCGGCGTAGCCGACTGCAAAACGCTGAGACGCCATATTTAATTATAACCCCTGTTTGTTCATCATTAACGTTTTCTCTTATATCTAAAAATAATAGTGTTGAATTTGAATACAAAAGACTGACAATTTCTTTAATTCCTTCAAAAGTAATTTTATTTTTTTTTAAATCCAGGGATCTTAATGCGCTATCATGGTAAAATGTGTGGCAGAGGTCGTAGACAGCTTTATCTTTAAGCTTGTTGTTGCTTAGATTAAGCTCTTCTAAGCCTTCTTTGCTTAGATTTTCTATTTGATTTCCTCTCAGCCCAGCTATTCACATATCGTGATCTCTTCTTTCTCTTTGCATATTAATAATTCTTCCTATTTCGTATCCACAGCTTTCTTCAAGCTCGTTGCTAGATAAATCCAGATTTTTTATTGTTTGATTTTTCATTAATGGTGGTATTAGGACACTTATGCTTATTTAAAGAGACTGAATACTGAATTTTTCAAAAAAATAATTATTAATAAAAATGCATAATTTACTATAAATAAGTATAAATCTTCATCTTTAAGTTTGCAGAAATTTATTTGAAGATTTACTATAGGCGACTGCCCATCTAAACCTTCCGCTAAAAAATGCCATCCTTCTTTGCCTATTTTTAGCCCAATCAGCTTTATATCTGTCATAACTGTATTATTTATCATATTCAGCGACAAAGATTTCAATATTTTCGCATTAAAACTTCTATTTCTACTATTGCATATCGTCCCTGGATCTATATGTATTTCTGAATCAGATTTATCATGAGGATTTGGCACTAAATAAAATTTCTTCGGCGATTTTACCTTGAGAAATGGCTCTGTAGCTGAAGGAGCAAGTGACCGTGAATGCGAATAATAAAAATCGTCATTTGAAATTAAATCAGAAAAGTTTTGGCCTCACACATAAATTCTTTTCAAAAGGTGAAATGCAGGGAGAGATGCTTGAATTGATTTTAAATCTGAATTTTTTAAGTCGTCAACGTTTAATTTAAGTTCACAATTTCGTAAATTTGAAGTAATGCGGCTGCTTGGCATGACGTGAATTTCTGAACAAATTTCACGGTAGCTTTCTGAGTAGCCTTTGGTAGAAATTCGAGCTGAGGAGCCTAAGGGGCGAGGAGAGGTAAGTGGAGTAATTTTTTTTTGAGAAATTTTCTTGCGATTTCGGTTCATGTGAATTTTGATTTTATGAGAATTAAAATTGATTTATTTGTAATTAAATTATTATTAATAAATAATTTGCTTTTTCTTCAGTAGAGACATTAATTCTATATTTATTATAAATATCATAAAATTTGCTTATGATTTATCTAATTTATTTATTTATGCTTTCCTGTCTCAAAATGAACTGTCCCTTCTCCAGGATTATACGTATATTTCAACGGAATCGGTCTCAAATTCAAATTTCCTTGCGAATCCAACAAAATTTCAGCCAGTTTCGTATCGATTTCATCCACACATTTATGCAGCCTCGCTCTTAATTTTTCAGTCACAAACTTATGTGACTCAATCCATTTTTTCAAGCTTTCAGCTATCAAATTATGCCCATATTCTCCAAACTTTTCATTTCTTGTCTTTAACTTATTATAATGGCTATTAAAGCTTACACTCTGCGTAATAAATTCTGACTCATTGAATTCTATATCATTTCCTTCAATATTAAGCCTCAAAATCACAAAATTTGTAGTCAATGCATGCCCTATGGCTTCAGCCCCTACATTTCCGATTTCATTGGTATCTAAATCAACTTCTACTAGTGTTGTGCTGTTTTCTATAAGTCTTGCTACATATTGAGCTCCTTCATTGCCCATCATATTTCCGCTTAAACTTAAAGTATTTAAAAACTTTAGGTGTTGGCAAACTTCACAAATTTCTCGAATTCCATCAGCTTGTAGCTTGCAAAACCCTAGATCCAAGATTTCTAGTTTATTATTTTTTGCTATTGGCATGCAGAGCTGCTGGGCAAAATATGGCCCGATTTCTACCCTGGCGACTCTAAATTCTATGAGTTCTACATTTGTGTTTAAAGACTCCAAAAATTTTTGTAGGCTGTATTCAGTGACTCTATTATCATTTGATAAATGATTTCTAGGTTTTTTGGTCTCATGACGAGTTACTAATGGATTATTTGATAAATTAATGACTTTTAGCTGGGTATTTGCTTCTAAAAACAGTGAAAGGACAATTAATTCTTCAGTGTACAATTTTTGATTAGAAAGGTCTAAGATGTCAATTCTGTTTGATTTTATCGCACTCAAAGGCAAACAGCCACCAAAAATTCTTATGTTTGGGATTCTAGATTCCAATATAAATTTATTTAAATACTCCAGAGTGAAATCATTTACATCAAAATTTCGTAAATCAAGAATATAATCTTCATGAAAAATCTGCTGGTCTTTTACTTCTACATGCTCCAGCCCCTCCATTAAAATTTCTGGTATTGACTCCAAGTCTTTTTTTAAGGCAATTAAATCATTTCTCACTTCATTAATATTCTTATACCGAATCCTCAGATCTTTTGCTAAAATTTTCAATAAAAAGCTACACATCCCATTAGAAACCATCAAATTGTTCAGTAATTTTGGACAATTTCATTCCCCTAGCAGTTCTCTTTGTCCTTGATGGTCTGGATGCACAGAAGTCATGATACTGAAATTATCTGGGCTTTTTCCTGTGAGTGCATTATATAAAATAGCTCCAATACTGTATATGTCGCATTGTGCAGTTATTTCTTGTTTAGGGATTCTTGAAGTTCTCCTATATTCTTCTGCTAGTTCTTTATGCTCTGGGGATAAGAAATTTTCATCACGAAAAGTTATGTCATATTTATCTTCTGGTAATTGTTGGAAATATGGACTTTCTACACCTAAAATTTCTAAGGTGTCCCATATAGCAAGCTCTAGATCAAGAAAGGCTAGATTATGGATATTTTGATCAACTAAATAGATAGAAGATGGATTTATGTTGGAATGGACAACGTGGATATTGTGGAGAACTTCTAATTTATCGAGGAGCTCTAGACCTAAATCAATTGTTTCCAGCTCGCTCATACAGAAGAGACAAGTCTTTTTTTCTGATTTTTTGGTTTTTTCTCGCTGCTTGATTCTTAATGAAAAATATTCTTTGAGAGTCATTTGGGTAGTTTCTATATCAGAAATTCTTTTATATAGTAAACCACCAGGGAGCTCTCCGAATTCATGGATTTGTTCGCTAGTAATTTTATTTTTTAACTCCCCCGTCATTGATTAAACGACACCATTGAAAATTTCCTAGGAAAATTAGATACATCCTTAATCGAGCAATTTCATATATTCATTCATCATTATTACACCTTAAATCTAACTACTTATCTTTATAGTATTAATTTTAGAGCTTATAATGCAAAATTACTATTAAATCATTCTAATGTGCTTTCTCGCATATTTGCTAGCGCAATTCTTACTTATAGAAATTTCTCATAGATGGCACTGTTTGCCCTTGATTTGCCCATTGGGGAAATTTTTTGGTTCGACCAGTCCCATATGGTTTGGTCAAACCGAAATTTTTTCCTCATGGGCAAATCAAGGGCAAGCAGCGCCATCTATGGGAAATTTCTATATCTCTTATAGCTAGCACATAAAATATAGAAATTGCCCTAGGATGGCGCAAAATCCTCGGGCAATTTCTATATTATACGTTGGGCTTTTTTGTGCATCTGTAAACTCAAAAATACCCGGCTATATATTTATAAAAATCTTCAATTTAATAAAAAAATATATATAATTTTTCCAGCAATTTTTAACTCTTTCCTTGATAGAACTATAGCGATAAGTTCAATTAAGAATAGGAGAGTAAGACAATTTCTCTAAAATAGTTCTGTCTAAAATTTTTATCGCCTTGTATACCAGCTACATATATAAGCTCAAATGTTAATTTTCCTTGACCAAGCATAGGCTTGACATCTAGCATAGCATGTTTATATTTTTGCTTATAAATTGACGATATTTCTTCAATTATATTCGGTGTCTCAATAATTTCGTATTTTCCTAAAAACAGCCCACCTTTTTGTAAATAATTAATCACAGGGAAAGGATTTTCTACTAAAATTGTGGAAATTTTTCTCATATAAACGTAAGATTTTTCGAAAATTTCAGAAAATTTAAAGCATTCTTCAGATATTATTTGCTTGAAAGTTTGGAAATCAATGGCTTCACCGTTGCAAACTCTTTCTTTGAATTCATCAATATCAACAGGCTCAGTAGGGGGAGATTGGATTTCGCCAACATTGCAAATAGCTCTTAAGCATTTTTCAATGCAAAATCCAAACTCATCAGGGGTCATAGTAGATTGGTCTTCGAAGCAATATAAAGAAAATAAGGTTTTTAGCCTATCTTCCAGCTTTCCATTACTTAAAATAATTAAACCAGTAAGTTGTTAAGTTATGTGGCCTAATAGGTCTTGTAGTCGCTCGCCTTGGCTCTGAAAGGTCGCTCTTTTTGATTTCATGCTTGAATTACCTGCCCAGGAGATTAACTCCTTGGCAGAGCCACTCATTGCAGGGTTCCCGAAGGTCTTGATTAGGGAAGAGGCAAAAATCTGTTTTGCTCATCTGGCAAGGACTGAAAAACCTTCGGGAGAGAAGCAAAACTTCCCTTTTCGGCAAGACTTCCCTAAGCTCAAAACATGATATAGACACTATTTTAGCTTCATCAGGATAGATCCATAGTGAGTGCACCTCAGAGTCAACGCCACGAGTTTATTTCTTAACCCAGTAAGGAATTCAATCACTTCGATTTCTAATCCTGTATCATAAAATTTTTTGTAATTCAGCTTGATATCGTCGTTTTGAATGATAGCTTTTTGGAATTCATTAGGAGTCATTGTTTCTGGAGCTCTAAGTTTTCTCCATCTAACACATAAATTATTGATTTTTTCGCTTGGTATGATATGCTTTTTCATAAGATCATTTTTGTAAGCTGAATAAAGAGTTGTGAGACAAATTCCCATATTGATTATATGTTTTAAGAGTTACAAGCTTTAAGTAAAACTGATATAAATGCTTGGTATAAATTTATATTTAGCTTTCTTATCTCATTATTATTCTGCTTTCTATATTTCAAGCTTTTTCTACTATAAAATTCTCATTATAGTTTTTAGAAATATTTAGATTTGCTATAACAAGATATTATAGTTTTTTGCTTCATTTGTATATCACAGTCCTGCTTATTATTCAGCTTAAATTTCTAAATAACTCTGTGACCTAGCAAATTTACCCATAGTGGACTTTATGAATACTCAGAAATAATAGACAGGCAAGGGCGAGAATAAGCAGACCTAGGATTTTACCTTAACTATATATTTAAAATAATTTTAATCATTTTCTTTTAATTTCGAAATTACGTTAAACTATAAATTTAAATGGCAAAAATAAGAAATCAATTTGAATCTCAACTCCGAGAGAAACTTGAGCAGAAATCAACAGCCTTTGTTTCAGAAGAAACTGTATTAATCAGAGCTTTCAAATATTTTGATCTTGATAATACAGAAACAGTTAGCTTAGATGAATGGAAAAAAGCAATAGAAAAAATTGGCATCATTGTACAAGACCCAGAACAGATCATTGAGCTTTTCAATATATATGATGCTGATGGCTCTGGAGCTCTAGATTATAAAGAATTTGCAGCCTCGGTATTTGGACCTGACAGTGCAACTGGCCGAGCACTAGGCCAAAGCAGTTATAGCAACGCTGCACAGCTAGAAGCTGAACAAGCTTTAGAAAAACTCAGACAAAGGCTAGTAGCAAGAGGTTCTAGAGGCATTTTAGGTCTAGCCCGTCAGTTTAGAATAATAGATGACAATAATTCCAAAACCCTTGAATATGAAGAATTTTCTAAAGCAATCCGAGACTTCCGAGTCGAGCTTAATGACGCTGAACTTCAAGCAAGCTTTAACTATATTGACAGAGACAGATCAGGCTGCATCGATTATGATGAGTTTTTAAGAGCAGTCCGTGGCCCTATGAACTCATTTAGAGTAAATCTAGTTAAAAAAGCTTTTAATAAGCTTGATAGGGATGGATCAGGGATTATTGATATAGACGACGTCAGAAATGTGTACAACGCCAAAGGCCACCCTGATGTAAAAAGTGGCAAAAAAACTGAGGACGAAATTTTAGGTGAATTTTTAGAAACTTTTGAAATGCATCATAATATTGATGGGATTAGAGACCAAAGGGTAACCCAAGAAGAATTTTTGGAATATTATAACAATATTTCAGCAAGTATAGACAATGATCAATATTTTGAGCTCATGATGAATAATACTTGGAAATTAGCAGAAGCCCCAGAATATACCAAAAATAAATCATGGTCCAATGTACAAGATGAAGCTCCAAAGCGGGCTCCTTTAAAAGTCTCTAATAGCGCACCAAGACAAGAAGACTCAGCTCCTGCAAAGGTTTCAAAGCCTTCATTTAATCCGACTCCATCATTATCAAAAAGTGCAGAAATTTTATTTGAGAGGTTTCGCAATGCTTTGGCTACTAGAGGAGCTCGAGGAATTATAGGGATACAGAGACAGTTTAAGATAATGGATGATGATAATTCTCATAGTTTGTCTCTATATGAGTTCAAAAAGGCATGCAAAGATTTCAGGGTTGATATAGCTGAAGATGATATAGAAAAACTATTCAGCAATCTTGATAAAGATAAAAGCGGCTCAGTTGACTATGACGAACTTATCGTCGGCATCCGCGGCCCTCTAAACAGCTTCCGTAAAGGAATTGTTGCTCAAGCCTGGATGAAGCTTGACCGAGACCGAAGCGGGATCATTGACATTGACGACATCAGAGGAGTCTATGACGCAAGCCGACACCCTGATGTCAGATCAGGCAAGAAATCTGAAGACGAAGTCTTAGGAGAATTTATAGAAACCTTTGAAACCCACCACAATATAAGTGACTTATCACAAAGAGATCGAAGAGTGACCCAGGAAGAATTTGAAGAATACTACACAAATATTTCAGCTAGCATTGATGATGACAGATATTTTGAACTTATGATGAATAATGCTTGGAAATTACATGGGGATGGACCTAAAAGAGACGTGTGGGCTGGAAAATTCTCTGCGAGGGATTTTTCACCTAATAGTAAACAGCATTATAATGCGACTCATCATCCTAGTACTGTGGGAGGAACTGTGGCGAGCACTGCACCATTTGGGACTAGTGATGAACCTGTTGATTATTCAACAAGTTTGAGGCCGAATAGAGATGTGGATTTGTCGGCTGGGATGAGTATGCAAGCTGCAGGGATACCAAGCTGGCCTGGACAGCCTCAGGTTTATACGACTGAACGCCAAGCTTCTTCGTCATCTCCTACTAAAAGATCGATAAACCAGCTTTTTGATCTTTTAAAGGAAAAATTATTCCGAAAAATCATGATAATTTTTGGCATTTTTGTAGATTAATCCCTTTTTTATTACAAAAAATAGACTATTATTAGGAATATTTAGATAATTATTTATAAGCCAAAGTATAGCATCTCGTGGAGCTCGAGGCTTTGTAGGCCTTGCTCGTCAGTTTAAAATCATGGACGACGATGGCAGCAAAAATTTAGATTTCAATGAATTTAAAAAAGCATTAAAAGACTACAGACTAGATTTAGGAGATGAAGATACAAGAAGATTATTCAATTATATAGATGTCGATAGAAGTGGGTCTATTGATTATGAAGAATTTATTCATAGATTGCGTGGAGAACTTAATGATGTTAGGAAACAGTTAATTATACAAGCTTATAATAAGCTTGATAGGAATGGAAATGGAATTGTAGACTTACTTCTTTGATTATCAACAAACATGGTTTTTATTTTTTTAAGCATTAAAAATAGTTATTAAAATAACCAAAATAATAGAATAAAATTATTTAGAAAAACAAATTAATTTTTATTAGAGGGAAATTAGAAGATCTTAAAGGAGTTTACAAAGCAGATTCACATCCTGACGTGAGAACTGGGAAGAAGACTGAAGATGAAGTTTTATGCGAATTTTTAGATACTTTTGAAACTCATCATGCCCTCTACAAAGAAGACACCCGTGACCATAGAGTTACTGTTGAAGAATTCTTACTTCCCTCTCCGTGATCGATCAAAATATTTTGTTCGCTAACGGACAGGGGGTAATTGGTTTTATAGTAAATTTTTTTTAGAAATTTAAATCCCAAACGAAAATTAATTTAATTTGCTAAATTTATGTTATGAAATGCAAACTTTTAAAATTTAGCAGATCTAGCTAGAGATTTTATTATACTAATAATCACTTATATATCAAAATATTTTATTCGCTCACGGAGGGGGTTTTTGACCAAAAAAGGAATTTTCTAATCTTTTTTTTTCGCCCATAGGGGAGTTAGAGTATTATTCCCACGTTTCTGCATCTATAGACGATGACCGCTATTTTGAGCTTATGATGAAAAACTCCTGGAACTTTGAAAACAAATCTTACCAAAAAGGCTGGGGAGGGGATTATACAGAACCTGCCCAGCGTCGTAGATAAATATTTATTTAAATTTAATTTCTTACTCCCCCCCCCCCCCTCCGTGAGCGAACAAAAAAATTTTGTTCGCTCACGGAGGGGGGTTAATTTTTTTTTTTTAAAAAAAAATTTATATATAAAATTTTATAAAAAATATTTTTTTTCGAAATTTAAAAAAATCCTAATTTGCAAAAATTGGGAAGCAAATATTAATTTAATTTGCAAAATTTATGTTTTAAAACGCAATTTGTTTAAAATTAAACAGAATTAGCTCTAGATTTCATTATACTAATTATCACTTATATATCAAAATTTTTTTTTCCATTAAAATTTTTTCTATTAAAAAAATTTTTGTTCACTCACGGAGGGTGGGTTTTTGGTCAAAAAATGGCGATTTTTCTAATGGTTTTGTTCGCTCACGGAGGGGGGGGGGGGGAGTTAGCAGTTATTTAAATATGAAGCGAACCAAAGAAAATTGGATTGAAGGGCATCCACAGGATCGCAACGGTATTTCTGGCTGCCGTATATTCGATGGGGAAGATTTGCATTATCAAGAAAGGAAAAGAGCCCAGCAAGAAACCCAAAAGAAGTGGATCGAAGAACAAAAGAGAGAAAACGAAGAAAAAAAGCGAAGAGAGGAGGAGGAAGAAAGACAATATGCTTTTCAAACTCAGCAGGCAAACAGAATGAGAGGACTTCTTGAAGATTTTTTAAAAATAAAAATATTTTCTATATCTTTATCTTAAAAATGATAGATTTACTATATATTTTAGCCAAATATATTAGATTTTAGTATATAATAAAATATTTTTAAAAAAAAAATAAAAAATTCTTGAAGATGATTTAGAAAGTAAAAAAAGAATGATGCAGTCCTCCACTAGAGATGCCAATCTCCAATTAAGCCGTGAAAAGAAAGAAAAAGAACGCTACGAAAACTCGCTTAAACTGAGAGAAGAAAATCAAGATTTATTAGAACAGAAAACAATAAGGCAGGTCCCTCCATATGAAAACCCACTTGAATAGATTATTAATAGAATTATGGATTAACTAAAAGTAAGGGCTCGTCTTGGGTATTTTTAGGTCTTGAAAAGATATTTGTTAAGAAATTTTTGAAGGGAGCTTCTATTAATAAATAGAGAACGAGGCCGAAAAAGTAGCTGCAAAATAGGATATAAATAAAATCTGAAAATTGGTTAAGGGTTGTGAAAACGTAACCGTACTCTTCAGCTGAAAAAAGACCATAAACTACAGCTAAATGGACAAGAAAAGTGCTAAATGTTAGGTTGGAGAATGGGATCCAGCCTTTTCAGCTTAAAAATGAGGTAATTATAGAGAGATAGTCTAGTAGTAAAGGAAGAAACATCATACTATATGATAGGCCGATAAAAAACCCATTTGTAGCAAAAGAAAGAATATTCCCTGTCCTTGAGTACCCTTGGAAATCATTATCTTTGTCAGAATAGCATGGCATTTGTCCAAAAATCTGCAAGTTTAATAATCCTAGCCCTATGGCAAACGATAAAACTGCCCCAAATCTCTTTTCTTGATAAATTCCCACTATTTGCTTTCCAAAGTAATCTTATTAAACTTAAATTTGTTAAAAGGTTTTTCTGCTTGCCTATTGGTAGCATAGTATGCCAAGGATCCCCTTGGGGATTCACACTCTTTGCAACGTGGCACGAGAACTTTTGAGATAATTAACCTGGAGAAAGATAGGGCCGAGCACCCCCTTTCCCCTTCTTCGCCGCCTGACGCCGAAAAAGGTTCTGTGTATCCGTCTCCCCTTTGTCAGCTCCAGTGTTGATTGGGAAGGCTATGGACTTCTGCAGTATGCTGGTTAGTATATGAAGGTTGTCCGCGCAAAAATACCCCAAAAATGAATTTCTGGTCGACTCTCGGAAAAAAGGATAAATTCAAAGACCTGAGGACAACTCTCGGTTTCACTTTAGGGAGTTCCCTGAATGATCTAGGCATTGCTTGCAGACGTTACTGAGCTTCCCCTTTCGAACTCTGAACCCACTATTTCCCTCAAGGTCAATCCAGTCCTTAAAGCGGACTAGGGCTAGACTCTCTATATTACCAGAAATGCTTATCTAGCATAGCTATCTATTTCTGGGTTGGCAAAAACTTGCCGGTTCTAAATAAAATGTGTTCGAGATTTTATTTCCAGACCAAGACGCCATTTATTTATGTTTGCTTCCAAAGCCATCAAAAACTCTTTCACTTTTACTCTGTAAATATATAATTGCGCTCAAAAATCCAAATAAGTACACAGTAACCCTACAATATGGTTTAACAAAGAAAATTTGATTGGTCTCGTTAGTAACATTTTTTTCTGCAACAAAGGCTATAGAAATTTCATATTCAGCAGCAAGAATAATCCTTAATACAAATTCAGATAAAAATACTACAGATGCCAAGATCCATGAGAACTTTTTAGGATAATAGCAATAAATTGTAATAAAAAATATCCCGAATAAAAATAGCTGGAGCTCTGAGGCAATATACCATGTTTGGCTTATACAATGACTGCCCATACCGCCAGGAATAAAATTATTCAGGAAAAGTAAATTTGCCCACCAATATTTTTCGCAGTCTTTTGTCAAGTATTCATCAACAAAATGCCAGTTTGGCCCTGAGCCCATCGTAGGGACTACAGAAACTACAAAAGCTAGTATAAAAATGTATGCTGGAACTGTTTTTGCTATTTTTCTAAGAGTCTTGAAGCCCCATCTAAAGCTTTTAGGAAAATTTTGGATCTCTTTGAGCGATAAATATCCCATAAAAAAACCACAAATCCACACAAATGTGTCAACTGCGTAGAATCCTCCATAATCAAAAGCAGTGCTAGCCCATCCAAAAATATAAGGAATATCTTCCGCATTTATAACAGCCCATTGCACTCTTGCTAAAAATACTTGCACAAGAATAACCCATCCTAAACTCATAACTCTAATCCCATCAAAAATCTTTAAATTTTCATTAAATTTTGTATCAAAAAGTTTTTCCCAATTTTTTATCATAGAACAATTGATGAAAAAATATTTTAGTTTTGGCGATAAAATATTGGTTTTTTGGGGAAAATTCAAAGAAATATCGACCATTTCGGATTTTTCTGTGAGTTCAACCATGATTTCTTTTTCTTCTTCTATGCCAATTTATAATGAATTTTTAATTAAAAAAGTGCTAAAAATACATAGTCTTGAAATGGTATATTATTTTTTGTTTTTTAGGCTTATCTAGATGTTCAATCAAAGTCCCAGCAAAAACTAGAATTGCAAAGAAAAATGTAATAGCGATTATAAATCCTCCAAAAGCTGATAAAGTATGCTCTGTTGGGGAATTTATTTCGAAATTCATGTTAGAAGCTTTGAGGATGCTTAAATCCAAATGAGGGTTAGGATGACCTCGAATAAGGCTTTTAATTGAGTCTGCGTCACAGTCTTTAGGAACGCACAACCCTAAATAAATTTCTAAAATATCCATTGGAGTTCTTAACAGAAGATACTGAGAGTCCTCTACACCTAATTTCCCCCTTTTACAGTGAGCAAAGAATTTTTTGATTGCTGTTAAAGGGGTTTTATTTTTATTTTAAAATAGAATATTAAAAAATTATCGGTTTTAAAAATTCAAATATGCAATTTATACTTAAGAATGCAAGCTGTATAAAATTTAATAGAATTACTAGAAATCTCATTATAAAAATTATTAATTAATATAAAAATATTTTATATATAAAAGTATTTATATTAAAAAATTTTTTTGCTCCCTATTAAAAATGTTAATTTTCAAAAATCAAGGACTGTTTCAATGGTTTTACTCGCTCTTAAAAGGGAATAAGCATAAATTATATAGCCCTAAATCATTGCTATCTCTCCCTGAATAATACAACCTTTTCACTGGAGAAATGCTAGTCAAATTTCCAGTCAAAAACTGCACAATTGCTGCAGCATCTGATTCCAGCGATTGTTTACATTTCTCAAGATTTGCAAAAGTCGAGATAATTCAAAGGAGAGTTATAATTAATTTCATGTTTTTATAATATCATTTACGTCATAAAATAATAAATTTTACTATCAACAAGACTTTAATTAGCAAATATTAGTAATTTCCTATGATTCTTCTTTCAGTTTAAAATATTTGATAAATGGAAGACCCAACTACCCATATTCAAGATAACCTTGATTTCGCTGAAATTGCAGCTTACAATGCAATACAGAGCATATATACCATTTTTTATTAATTAATATGCTTATATAGCAGATAATCAAAGACTTAATTCAATTTAATAATGATTACTCATTAGGAGGCGAAATTCTCTATGATCACTACATTGAGCAAAAATCAGTTTCTTTTGCAGTTCAAAATCTTCAATCTATATTGGCAAACACTTTAGAAGCCCATTATGTCAGGCATGACCTTGGAGATCCTGAAATCTGAAAAGCAGATGAAGAGCCAGTTCCTTGCAAAATAGACTCATGGGCTCGAAACTCCATCCCAGTCAAAAAAAAGATAAAAATGCCTTCAGTTGAAACAACAACTCAGCAAGTTCCAGCTGACATGAAAAGTGTAAAAAGCTTCAAATCTAGTCGATCAGCGTTTACTCAAGTAAAACAACTAAATAAAACACTTACTCTCTATGATAAAACAAATTTAATAAAAATAAGCAAGAAAACATATTTATTTTTCTATTTAGATGGAGCCAGAAAATCCGACCCACCGACTCGCCCTTATAGGCGAGTTTTATTAAAATGATTTTTTCTTATATGGAGTTAGAGGAATGCAAGGAGAAGTTATTGAAGAAACCAAAGGCCAACCAATTCCTATACAGCAAGAAAATGAAGAAATATCAGAGGAAGAAGAACAAATGAGGCAAAGAAAAGAAAGAGAAATGAAAAGGAAAAGAGAAGAAAGAGAAAGAATTAGACAAAGAAAAGAAGAAGAGGACGAAAAAGAGAAAAAAATTGTAAAAGAAGCTGAAGACTTGAAAAATAAAACTTTTACCTATGATAACAAAGGCAAAATTGTGATTGTAAACCCCTTAAAATATGACACAATCCCACCAACTGCATTAGTAGTAAAATATACTCTGCCTGTCCCGATAGTAGAAGAAAACCCAAAAGACCAAAAAAAGCCTAAAAAAGACCAAACTAAAGAATTTTCCATTGTGAAAGCAAGAAAACAAGTCCCAGTACAAGAGCAAGAATGGGTTAAAAATGTCACTTCAGTCGCGCCTCCTATATTTGACACTATAAAATTAACTACTGGAGTATCCATAATAGAAGGAGGAAGAACAAAATACCCAGTCAATCAAGCAGGAGGAGATCTAAAAACGATGACTAGGAGAGAATATAGGACGCTCTCAGAGCATAGACCAAACCCTTCCATTATGAATATGGCAGATAACCTTAACCTGTCTAATGATAAAAGATCTCCAAGAAGCAGCCAAGAGTCTTTTAAGCCAGGCAGCAATAATACACAAAGCAAAAAAGATTTATTTCTCATAAAACTATGAAGTTTATATATTTATCAAACAATTTCTTTTTCCTATATAGGATTGGTATTAATTTTTTAAACATTTTTGCAAAATTATATATAATTGGATACTAGAAAGCATCCCAGACTTTGAAGAACCAAACCATGATGTTGAAGAATTATCAGAAGAGGAATCATTATCAGGAAGTAAGTCAGTAAAAATACCAAGATCCAATACATCTAATAAAGATCGAATTTTACAGTATGGCCAAACCATTGAAGAAACTGAAGAAATGAATCCTGTTGAAAAATTCAATGTATTGCATTTTTTATTAATTTTCTCAAAATATTTCAAATCATAGTACTAAATTTCTTATAAATCATAATTTTGCAATAAATTTTGAGCCTAAAATTTATATTAAAAAAAATATCAATTTTAAAAAATAAACAATGGGGAACCAATCCTCCATTTAAACAAGCTTTTCTTCCAGACAAAATTCCTAAAAAGCATCCAAATGATAAAGAAGCTTGGAGACTCTATGCAGACCAGATAAAAAAACCCAAAGATGACCCATTTGCATCAGTTAAAGAACTCTGGGAAAAAAGAAGTTCTTCACTTAAGAAGCCTCGAGATCGGCCTTTTATCGAACGCGTCGAAAAGAAAAAAAGAATGCCGCCTCCTCCATTTGGACAAACTATGGTCAACCATGTGCCAGAAATTACAGGAATTGGCTCATCTGGGGCTTATTTATCAGCAGATTTTAACTCATAATTTTTTGGTAATTATTAGATTCTGTATTTTCTCTTCCAATCTGCTTCTAAGACCCTCATTTGCCACTCTTCATTGATTTTTAGTAGCTCATAATGATTTGTATCAAGATATTCTACATTAAAATGGTGGGTTAATTAATCCACCCTCTTAACTCCTGTAGCCGGCACCCAAAAGGGTGCCGGGACCTTGAAGAAGAGATATGTGCATCTGGCTAGGTTTTTCTTGGTTTGGTGAAGTTCAATGTCGGGCTGGTTCACTGCAGGCTTTACTCCAATGCCAAGTTTTACCTCAGAGGGAGATGGGTCCGGAAGTTGGAAAGGGGCTTTCTTACAGTATCAATGGCGTTCGTTTTGACCAATCGGGATTATTCCTCAGCTTGAAAAAAGGAATTACACCCTGAGCTACGGATTTCCATCTTAGCCGAGAGCCGACCAGAAATTCAAACCTTTTGAATTTTCATTGGTGGCAACCCTGCTGACTTAGGGTGCGATGACCCAAGCTTTCTGACTGCCAGAGTGCATTGTCTGGTAGGAGCAAGACTTTGAAGGTTGTGCTACGATTATCGGCTAAGCAGACGAGTTGAGCATTTAGGAAGGGATAAGGATCTTCGGATCCCGAAAATGGAGATTTTCTATAATCTAACTAAGTGTCAGTGAAAGTGTATCAAGATATTCGTCATCACTTCTAACTACTGAGCCGACTCCCATGAAAAATCCAAATGATAAGCCCATAATTGCGCCTGATATAGGAATATAAATATGCTTTTTTATTTTAAAAAATAATTAATTTTAGAAAAAAAAAGTATTAGGTGCTATTTATCTGAAAAAGAATAGGATTTTTTGTTTTCCAAGCTGCAAAAATGCCAGAAAGCGAGCCAAAAATTCCCCCGACGATCCCACCCATTTTGAAGCCTTGTATGAATTTTTCAGAAAATCCTTCTTTTCCTACGAAAGTAGATTTTAAGCGATTCCATTTGGCAAGGAGGCGGCTTGGTTTTTTTTTTGATTCTCCAAAGTTTTCAATAGCGTAAGGGTCTTTTTCTTGGCTGTCTTTGGATTTTTGGACTAGATCTTGGAAATATGATGAACTTGGTTTATCTGACATATTTTTATGGTAAGAGATAGAAGATGTTTTATTAAGAGTTGCTAGAAGATAATAGTAAATAAGGTTTAAACCTAGCCTACTTATCAAATTTTACTTCTTTTATTATAGGTTTTAAATCTTATGTTTTCTCATTATGATTTTTAATATATAGCTTAAATATTCATAAAAAGCTTAAATAAACCCACCTAAAACAATATTTTCTCAGTAATTTCTCCTATTTAAAATTCTCTTTTATTATATGAATATTTTCATATTATGCTAAGAGCACTTCTAAGACACACAGGATCAAAGCCTCTTATTCGTAGCCCTTTACAGTGATCAAACATTGCAAGGCTGATCTTCTCTCAAGACCATTCTTTAGCCAATCAAATCTACAACTCAGTAGTAGAAAAGCATAAAAAATCATTTCAAAAATTAAACCTAAAGCAGCATGATAGGATCATCGATCTCATCATTTCTGCATATATGAAAGAGCCAGCCAACGAAGCTTTAAAATCAAGACTCACTGACTTTCAAGGAATTTTTGAAGAAAATGAAGGGCGTCTGAGGATTTCTCGAGCCTGGATTGACGCAATTCAGCAGGAAACCAAAATCAAGCTATTCCCAGACCGCTTGCTAAAAATCCCTGACAGAAATCTCGATAACAGACACTACGCTGAAATTATTCACAATATGCACACAGCAGCTTATAATATCATGACCTATAAGAAATTAGAGCCTACAATGAACTTTTTTTATAGAGGGATTTTCCCAGTCCATGATAAACTTGAGCTTAAAGGGAATTTAGGCGACAAATTAAGGCTAGAAAATGATGAAATCAAGATAAAAGATGAGGTACATATAAGATGCTGCTCAATAAAGCCTCACGCGTGTGAAAATTATGATTTTGACCCAACTCCTAATGTAACTTTTATTATTGCACGTGGGATGGACGATAATGGAAAGCAATCTATATGTGTAATGCCTACTGTGCTGTTTTCTGTGCATGATTTGCCGAAATTTAGGTATAAAGGCAATGCTGAGCCGGATAGTATTTTCCTCGTCAATAAAGCAAAACTGAAAGAGTTTTTTTATTTATTTGAACAAGAAATGGTCCGATAATTAATTAATTATTTTATCAATAATGTCTTTCAAGCGATTTATTTCGAGCTGAAATCCTGCTTTTTTGTTTTGTTCTTCTAAAAGGCATAGGGCTGAAAGTGCTTGAGGAAGCATTTAAATCCATTTCTCTCTTGCTTGGCTTATTTTTTTTATTTTTTGGACTTATTTGAGTTTGGCTTAGGGCTACACTAAAAGAATAAGGAACAGGAAAAACGGTTCCTTCACACGACGACTATTTCATAACAACTATTTTTTTTGGCCTATTTTTTTTTGGCCTATTTTTTTTTGGCCTATTTTTTTTTCACCTATTTTTTTTTGGCCTATTTTTTTTTGGCCTATTTTTTTTGGCCTATTTTTTTTTGGCCTATTTTTTTTTGGCCTATTTTTTTTTTGGTCTATTTTTTTTTGGCCTATTTTTTTTTGGCCTATTTTTTTTTGGCCTATTTTTTTTTGGCCTATTTTTTTTTGGCCTATTTTTTTTTGGCCTATTTTTTTTGTCTAGCCTCATTCATGAAGCTGCTGAGAGTACTAAAACCTTATTGAGAAACAGAGACTTTTCCTTACGCGATTAATATTGAGTAAATTAAGTGAAAAACTCCTAATTAACTCTAAAATTTTCGAAATTTTAAAAGCAATGAATTAGTATTTCATGGAGTAAGAAATCTGTTAAGGGTGCATTTTTCGTTGATTAAATCGTTTTAAAACACATTAAAAATTATATTAAAACAATTAGTATGGAATTGTGCCCAAATATTAGTAAAAAATAGTTAAAAAATTGTCAAAAAAAAGGCAAAAAAAATAGGCCAAAATAAATAGGCCAAAAAAAAATAGGCCAAAAAAAAAAAATAGGCCAAAAAAAAAATAGGCCAAAAAAAAATAGGTGAAAAAAAAATAGGCCAAAAAAAAATAGGCCAAAAAAAAAAAGCCAAAAAAAAAGGCCAAAAAAAAATAGGCCAAAAAAAAAATAGGCCAAAAAAAAATAGTCGTTATGAAATAGTCGTCGTGTGAAGATACGAGGAAAAACATATAGGATATTTAATTAATTTAACTTAATCTAATTGAGCCTTTAAATACAGGGGTGCCTTATTTCTCTGAATTCTCGTTACTCTTGGAAATATGCCAGCATCACAGTAAGGATGAATCCTCCTAATCCCAATAAGCTATTTGGAATCAAGAAATATGGGAACAGCGGCGATATCAAAGTGTTTCCAGCAACTATTTAGCCTACGGTCCAACCTTTATATCAGCAGTGAAAAGAGGCAAAATTCTATACAGGGAAGAACAATCCTCACCATTTCATTATCATGTAAAATCATATACACTTGTAGGGCTACAGTCTACAGATTGCGTCCTTATTTTAGGTGATTGTGAAGACCTTCTTCGGTTTAGAGTCCTAAAGGTTCTTGGTGGCGTCGGTGCTCTTGGCTTTAAAGGGGAGGAAATTCGTGAATATTTTGGAAGAGTCCTTTCAAAGGAGTAGACATGCGAATAATACTTACTCCCCTTCCGTGAGCGAACAAAACCATTGGAAAATCCTTATTTTTTGCCTCCACAAGCGATCAAAAATTTTTACGAAAAAAAAATTTGATATATAATTAACAATCAAATCTCTCAATTTTTAGAAAAAAAAAAATTTTCTATATAATTATATATAACGTTTGTTTGTTCACTGAAAGGTGTTAGGATCATCAAAAGATTCCATTTCTACCAGTCTAACTGAAACAAAATTAATTATCTGTCTCTTTATCAATATATCTCTAATCTAAAAAATAGCATAAAAACAATTATTCTTACAAAATAGCATATATATTAATTTACACAAAAGTCATATTAATCCAATATATTTATTTATAGAGTTTGTGCATCCCACCAAGCAACAAATGCAGACAAACACCCAGCCCAGCACAAAACCCAACATGTCCCAAAATACCCTAATATTACAACAGAAGTATAGATAGACACCTCACTGTCACAGTCATCTGATTGCAAAAGTCACACCGCTCCTAAAATAAAAATAATAAGTCTAAACAATCCATAGACCAAATAATCACAAGCAATATATAAAATCTGCACCAGAGTTGCTCGATTTGTACACCTCGCGGTAAGTTTTGAGTGCCGAATTGTGAATTTGAAGGCAAAATAAATGATTTGAAAAAACACAGAGATAATCGTTGAGTAGAAAACTATTTGGAGGAAGAGCATCACGTTATCGTCACAGGAATACTGCAGCATCAGCGGAGTTATGATGATAACACCGACCCTCATAAGAAACCAGGATATGGAAAGGGCAAAGGCTGTTCGTGAGCTAATTAACTCGAAATCCATAATAATTAATTGAAAAAAGCTTAAAGTTCTATTATGATAAAAGGCTTATAGGAATATTTAATTGGCAGATACTAAAAAATAAATACCTAGGAAAATAGTCTTTATTAATTGTAATGGGATAAATATTTTTTTGTAAACGTTTCAAACATAATAAAGTCATGGATTCAACAGGATTATTGCGGTTACCACTTATAAGCAGAAGCCAAAGAAACTCGTCGTCTACTGCTGCTACTACACCTTTGAGAAGTCCTTTCTTGTCACCAGCCCAATCACCGTCAAACCATGCTGCTCAGCTAGAAAAAAAGCTTGGAAAATATCTGAAAAAGAAAACTAATCACAGATCAGGCTCAATTGACCTTGCCTGCTTTCACGAAGAACCAAATAAAAGATTATTCCTAATAAATAAATAAATATTTATAAAATATAATTTCCATCAATTTTCTATTAAAATAAAGCTAACCACAGACAACAAAAAATACAAAGCCCTTTATTTTCTAATAAATTTTTTTAATTCATACAAAAACCTACCCAAATTATCCCAAAGAAACCAGTACAATCATATAGAAAACAGCTCCAATATAGCTTATCTCGAAGAAATCGATAAAGTCCGATTAAATCCGAAGCCATTTGGAATGATTCAGAAAGAAGGACTAGAAACGACAATTGATATACACATGTATAGTATGGGCGATAAATACGCAGAAGCGTTTTCTACTGGTCTGGATAAGCTCAAGAGTGTAGAAGCTTTAAATTTAAAAGGAAACGGCCTCAGTCAAAAAGGGGCGACCAAGATTATCTCGAATCTTGGCACAAAAAAAGTAAAAAATCTGAATTTGGCTGATAATAAAATTGGGGAGAAATCGATAGAAAAATTGATTGAAATATTAAGCAATCATCATTCAGTGCTAAAGCAGCTGAATTTGGAAAATACAAAGTTAACTGATAAACCAGTTATCATGCTATGCCAATGCTTGACAGAAAATAAAGTTCTTACAAAGTTAAATTTAGCGAAGAACAATATTAGTGATATTTCTGCTAAAAGTATAGCAGAGATGCTATCATATAACAATTGGATTAGATTTTTATGCTGAAATTTATAATTTTAAGTCTATTTTTAAAGCAAATATCTTTTTTTTGTGTAAAAAATAAATTTTATTGTAAAATAATAATGCTAAATCAAGGCAAAAGCTTATAGATTTACATTGAAATAAAATCCGCGGACCAGGCGCTAAAGAAATTTTTGAAGGGATCGAGTCCAATGACGGCTTAAAACACCTCGATTTATCATGAAACGCTATGGGCAGCAACCAAGACTTAGAAATCTCCCAAAAAGTTGGCTCAGCCTTAAAAAAAAATCGAGCCCTCATACATCTAGACCTATCCTACAACTATTTTACCATGAAAGAATGCGAAATCATAGGCGAAGAATTAAAATACAACCACACTTTACTAGGAATTCATATGCTTGGAAACAGCTGCAAGGTAACTTCACGCGGCTTTATAGTGCCTACAGAAGGCCAAAGTGGCATTGAAAGGGCTCATTTTTTTCAAAGGGCAATTGGAGCTTCCCCCAGAGCATCAGAGCACCCCGAGGAAAATTTAAATTGCTGGATCTGTGAAAAATGGGTAGAAATGATATTTAAATGGACGCCTGGGGTGTCTGGAGATGCAGACACTGACCCGATTTTTTTGAATTTGGAATGTGACGAATATGAACAAGACTATATGGAGAAAAATGAAAAAGGGACTTTTATTGCGGTCAGAGCAGTTCCGCATGGGAAAATTAATTTTTTCTTTAGTACGCTGAAAGAGCATATGCTTTCTAAAGAAATTGATACTCATACACTGGACGAGCCTATAGAAATTAGTGTTGGGAAAAATAATATAGAAATTTCTGCAGTTAACACAAAAAATGCAGAAGGGATAGAAATGGACCCGAAAAATCCTTTTGACACCCTTCCAAGAATGCATAATAAATACCAGAGGCCAAGCGCAGGATTAGAAAGAATACAATGGTCAGTCCCTATAAGTCTTTTTAAAGACTATAAATTTGATACTGATGAATTAATGCTAGATGGGTTTGAATTTGATTATAAACATACTCGTATTAATAATTTTGTAAAAAAGCCTGAAGAGCAAGAATTAGTAAAAGCTGTTTTAAGAAAAGTATATAGGAATTTCAGAGAATCTTATAAGTACATTTCTGCCATTGGAGGAAATGATGTATTTTGTATTGGCTCAAATCTTTTGACTGATTTTTTAAATCAATGTAGCATGTTCGATGAATATTTTTCGATCTCTGACTTAGGTGTAAACTGGAATTCTACAAATTCCCAGCCTGATAAAAATCAGATTTATAATGCAGGAAATGGGCTGTGTAGGTACGAATTTATGGAAGTTTTAGTGAGAATTGCTAATGACAAATACGTAAGAAACAAGCTAGTAGAAAATGTCGCTGAAGCAGTAAAAAAAATGATGGAAAATCATATTTACCCTGTCTTCTCCCAATATGATTCCAATAAATGACGATTTGAAAGGTATGTATGTGAAGATGTCGATTTATGCTTAAAATGCCATAGGCTCATCTTAGATACCTTATACAAAAGATATAGTGGCAAAAAGACTCTTCCAGGCAAAAAGCCTTTTATGTGTTTAGACGAGTTCAGAAGTCTATGCACAGATGCGAATCTTATAAGTGACACTTTTGCTACAAGAGAAATAGATATTTGTTATTCCCAATCCATGATGACACAAGTTGACGAACTTTATAAATCCCGACACATGGAAATGAGCTTTGTTGAATTTCTAGAAGCAATTTGCAGAGCAGCTGATTTATCAAATCTTCCTAAAATCACAGGCGAGTTACAAGAAAATATAAAAGATTTACCTCTAAAGGCGAAATTGGAGAACACATTTCCTTACCTTTTGAAAATTTGCCCATTCAGCGTCAGAGACTCCTTTGTATTTCCTACAGAAGATACCTATTTCAATTTGATGTATAGGCCAAAATGTGAGGATTAATTTATATTAGCTAATTATAATAGTCTTCTTTTTTAGCAAAATTGGTGGTAACTCGTCTTACAGTTAATCGTTTCTGGGAAAGCCTTCTTGTTTGTTTTCTTTCTATTTCATTTGCTTCAGTAGGCAACGCAGAAGTTTCTTCTGAAAAACACATCATAATTTCTTTAAATTCTCCAAAATCCATCCCATTTCCTGCTTTTAATTGAAATTCATTTAAAATATCAACCATGTCCAGGTCTGATATAAAGCAGCCTGCTTTTTCTAATGCAAATTTTAATTCTTCTACCTGTATATACCCGTTGCTATTTACATCAAAATACTTGAAAGTGTTTCACATTGATTCTTCGTCAAGCAGCCTTTTTCGGTCCATTGCTGCTATAAGAAATTGGGTGTAGTTTAGTTTTCCGTTTCCGATATAATCGATTTGTTCAATTAGTGAAGCAATTTCTTCACTAGCAAAAAAGTACCCATTTCTCCTCATAGCGTCTGCTATGTCATCAGCAGTAATAAACCCAGTTTTGCTTCTATCTATGTCTTGAAAAGCTGCTTGGAGATCAGCTATTTGTTCCTCTGATAAATCCCTCACAAGAACTTTCATACTCTCCTGTCATAGCTTGCTAGGAGCTTTAAACCTTTTTATAGAGTTGAAAATTTCTAATTTTATATGCTGGGATTGGTTGTGCTGCCCCAGATATATAAACCAATGATGATTTATAGCGTTTTTTACAGATATTCTGTGTTGAGGGTTTAAAACAAGCATTTTTTGGATTAAATTTTTGGCTTGTTTAGATACAAGTTTCCATCTGTCGTCATCAAAATTATACTCACATTTCACGATTTTCTGGAAAAGAGCTTTGACGTCATTCGAGCGAAATGGATGAGCCCCAGAAAGCATAAAATACATTATAACGCCTAATGACCACACGTCACATTCTTTACCATAATTACCTTTCAGCACTTCTGGAGCTACATAATAAGGCGTCCCAACCATAGTATGGAGAACACGGTTTTCTCCAAACCGATTAGACATTCCAAAATCTACTAATTTTATTTCTGCATCTTGAGAGTTACTAACAAATAGAAAATTTTCTGGCTTTAAGTCACGATGGCAGATTTTCAAACTATGCAAATGATTGACGGCTGAGAGCATGCATTTCATGATTCGGCCGACTTCATCTTCGGTCAATATCTGTTTATTTAAGATATAGTCAAAAATGTCTCCACCTGTGCATAATTCCATAACTAGATGGATATACCTTGCGTCTTCATATATTTCATATAGTTTAATAATATTTGGATGATCCACAAGTTTCAAAATATCAAGCTCCCTTTTCATAGTAAGAAGATTCATTTTGACCTTATCCTTGCATATCGATTTAATTGCATAGGTTTTATCACTGTGAACCTCACCCAGTTTTTTGGCTTCTCTCACAGTACCAAATTGCCCATAGCCTAAAACCTTCAGAAATTCATATTTGTCACGAACACCTAAATAGCAATTACTTTCAAGTCTAGAATCTTTGCATATTTCTGAACGAGAAAGGATGCGGGCCTTCCGAGGGGTCTTTAACTGAGATTCTTTGCAGATACATGCACCCATTTAAGAAGTAATTTTAATAAAAAGACTATAAAAATGTAACGAGAGACTTCTTTTGACTGCGATTTTAAAAGATTTTTAATGTTGATTATTTAATGATTATAATTTAAATTTTTTAAAAATTATCATAAAGGTCTAGTGTAACTAAGGAGATTTAAATCAGTTTTAAATTATCTTTATAAAGAGATCAAATAAATCTATTATGGATTATTTTCATAGGCTAGTAACTAAAATAATATTTTAATGTTAAGTCCAGACAAAGAATCTCACAGTCAAAATGAGCCTACCCCAGAGCTTTATTCTCCTCGCCCCAACTCTGTAGAAAAAGACTACAACGAGCAGCTTACATCTCTGCGTAATCAATATGACCAAAGGCTTAAAAGCATTTCTTCCAATATTCAAATGTTTTTGCAAGAGCTATGCGGGGACGACATTTTCAACGCTATGAGAGAAAACCCTTTAAGCCAAGACTACGCGCTTCAGCGTATTGAAGAAATGTTTGAGCATTCCATGAACAGTGAACGAGAAGTTACCATTCATAGACTAACCCAAGAGCTCGCAGAAAAAGATGGTTACATTGTAAGACTGGAAAATGATAATAAATGATTAACTTCTACATGCCAAGATTTATGCCCTTTATTTATGAATAAAAAATATAGGCTAGGACGCATAATAGATCAAATAATTTTTTTTTAAAAATAATATGGTATAGAAATTAAAAGAAAAAAAGAAAAAATAGACACAGAAACTGCAAGCAAAAACGCAAAAGAATTAAATGAAGAATTAGAAGAAACCAAGCGAAAATTAGCTGATACTTTAAAAAGAAAAGAAAAGGAATGGAACGAAAAGCTAGACGAATTGATAAGATCGAAATCTCAGACATTTCAAAGTCCAAGCGCTCAATCAAAACAAGAAATGGAAAATTTATTAAAAGAAAAGGACAGAGAAATCCGAGAAATAAAACAAGAATTAGAAAAATATTTACAGCAGGTAAAATTCCCTAATAAAAACTTAGATATGCAAAATCAGCTAGAAAGAATTAAATTTGAAAACGAAAGATTAAAAGAAATGAACGAAAACCTGAAGCGGGAAGTCAACGAAGCTGTGCTACAAAGCCAATCGTATCAGCAGAGATATGAACAAGAAATTTATAAGTTTGATAAATTAAAAGAAGAATTATTAGAAGATTTCAAACGAAAATTGAAAAAATTCAAACAAAAAATTGTGTCACAAAAAGAAAAGATAGGGAATTTGAGGATAGAGGCCGAAAAATTCAGTGAAAAAGAAAATGAACTTAAGAGGGAAATAGAAAAAATGAAAATGGAGACACAAAATGCTAAATATGATGCGCAAGAAAAAATCAGGCAAATAATAGCAGAATATAATAAAAAAGAAATAGAAATTACTGATGAGTTGCAAGGGAAAATAGAGGCTACTAAAAATCATTATACTCAGTTAATAGCTAAAAAAGAGCTAGAAAGCCGACAAGAGCTTGATCTAGAAATATCAAAAATCCAAGACGCCCAAAAATCAGCCAAAATTGCTTATGAATCAAAAATAAATAATTATGAAAGTAATTTTATTTCAAAAAATTTGTTTTCACAGCTGCTTGAAGAAAAAGAAAAGCTACTGACAAGGGATTTTAAAGCAAAAACCGAAAATTTAACTTGGGATTTTTCGAAAAAAGAAGAAGAAAATGCTAATTTAATAGAGAAACTCAGGATTGAAAATGAAAATTTAAGAGTTAAAGTAGAAAATAATAAAGAAATGACAAAGAAAATGGGAGAATCGTTTAGTAAAAGACTAAATGATCCTTGGAATAATGAAACTTTAGAAAATTACCCAAGATCTCCTATAAGAAAATCTCCAGATTTTGAAAAAATAAATGAACTGGAAACTCTTCTAGAAATTTCGAATCAAAAAGTGAGGCAAACTCAAGACAAATACGAAGAGATTCTCTCAAATATGGTAGAAAAATCAAGTTTAATAGAAAGCCAAGCCATTATTAATAATCTACAGTCCGCAATTTCAAATAAAGAAAAGACAATTATAAGGCTTGAAGCTGAATTATCGATGATGGAAGATACGCTAAAAGAACTTGCTAACTCCCTTCCTAATGAGCAGTAACAATTGGAAAATCATTCAGTTTGAGAAAAAGCCTCCTCAATTTGCGAGTAAAGTATTTTATTAATAAAAAAATATTTAAATTATATAAGTGATAATTACTAATAAATTTCTAGAAATTTTTATTCAATTTTTAAACAGTTTGCATTCTAAAACATAAATATTATAAATTAAGTTATATTTTTTTTCTCCTTTTATGCTAAATTTTGAAAAAAAAAATTATATCATCTCCATGGGCATGCAAAATTGTTTTGTTTAATTCCGAGATTGGGGAATAAAGAAAATAAAGAAATTTTGGCCAAACAAGCACATATTAAAAATGAGCTGAATAATAAAAGCATAGAAAGTGTAAAAGGAGAAATAAAAAAATTAAAAGAAGCTTTAGCATCAAAAATTAAAGAAAATTCTGAACTTAAAAATGAGATGAAAAGATTAGACAATTTTTGTTTTGAGGTCACAACTAAAAATAGATCTTATTTAGAAAATTCAAAACATAAGGCAAAGCTAGATATTTTAGCTTTGAAAAGAGAATTAAAACAGCTCCGACAAACATTTGAGTTTGAATTCATGGTCTTCGTTAAAAACTTATCAAGGACTTTTGGGGAAATCCATAATAAACTTAAAGACACACAAAATAGATCAAAATCAGTTTCCTTCAGAAAAATTGCGACTGCAATAGATCCTAATAATCAAGAACTTATGCAGTACTGCAATGATGAATTAAGCTTAATTTCAATAATAAAAAACAAAATTTCACAGAAAAATGATATTTCTGTAGATTTCAACAAAATTAGGTCAGAATACGAAAATCTTGTAAGAGAAAACAAAATCCTAGCTCCCCCTTCGTTGAGTGAACGAAAAAAAAAACTTTGCTCACTGAGGGGCGTTAATTTTTTTTTAAAATTATATATAAAAAATCAATATACGAAATAATTTTAAAAATTATATGTTTTAAAATGAAAGCCTCTTAAAAAATAAACATAATTAGCCAGAGATTTTATTATAATAATTATCACACATATATCAAAATTTTTATATTAAAAACGGAGGGAAGGTTTTTACTTACAAAATAGGCAATTTTCCAATTGTTTTGTTCGCTCACGGGCAGAGGGAGTAAAGAAAAATATTAGTTTAAAGTCTTCAGATATTGATGCTCTTCAGAAAGAAGCTACTAAGATTACAATGCTCATGAAATCAGAATACGAAAAAAAGGTCAAAAAAATCAAAGAAAAATACACAAAAGAAATATCCTCTTTGAAAGCCCAAATTAAAAGTCTAAACGACAATAAAGAGGGCCTCGAATCCCAGTTAGAAAATATTCCATATTAAATTAAATTAAAAATTATTTCTTATTGATAATTTAAAATAAAATCAGCTTAGCCTGTTAATCAAAATTATTATATAAAAATAGACCATAGCGAAGAATTAGAAAACCTCAAAACAGACTTAGAGTTCAAAATTGACTGTCTCCAACAAGAAATTACTCGTCTAACCAATACTCCATCTCCTGAGTTTCCTCAAAAAGAGGTCAGTTTTCTCAAGAAAAAAGTCACTGACTTAGAGCGCAATCTTCTTCGAGAGCAATCTCAAAAATCCCAAATTTTGAGAAACAAATCTGACGAAATTCAAAATCTCAACCAAACAATAGATAAGCTTACTCCCTTAGCGAACAAGCAAAAATGCTTTTGCTTGCTACTTGGAGGTATTATTTTTCTATTTTCAAAAACTAATCGAAAGTGCAAATGCAATTTAATTTATTTTTTTTTAGCAATACAAGCTGCTGAAAAGCAAGAGTTTTGCTAAAAATCTTACTAAAAATAGTTATATTTAAAAATATTTTTAAAACATTTTTTGTTCATTATGAGAAGTAATTTTCCAAAAAGAGATTACTCATAGAGAAATGGGAATTAGCAAAGTTATTGAAGAAAAATCAATAGAAGACACGTTCAGCACCAGAAGAAGCTTAGAAGCTACTTTATCTCCAAAATATTAATTTAATAAAATCTAACAGTACCAATAAATGGAAGAGTCATGCGAAGTTCGGTTTATTCTACTAGGGAATGGTAGTGTAGGAAAAACCTGCATTATGCTGAGATTCACAAAGAAACCTATACGAGTTTCTCATATAAAAACAATTGGAATCGACGTAGAAAAACGAAATTTTCAATATCAAGGGAAAAATATTGAAATTAAAATTTGGGACACAGCCGGACAGGAAAGATATCGAATGGGCTCTAGTTTTTGCTTTTAGAAATTACCTCTAACAGGCATATTTAGCTTTGTTTAGCTATAAATTTTTTCTTTTGGGGTATCTTTTGAATAGTAAAGATTTTAAAAGAAAAAAATCAATCGAGAAAATGTCTGCTAGGTAAAAAATTTTCAAAAAAAAGCTAGTCACAATCGAAATGCACTGCCTAGGGATTTATTTCATCGATTAAACGGAGCCTTATTAGTATATGACGTTACACAGCGGGATACATTTGCAGCTGTACAAAGTTGAATGAAATTAATTGAAGATAATGCACCAGAAAACACAGCGATAATTTTAGTTGCAAATAAAATTGATGAACAGTTTATTGTGGCAGAAAGCGAAGGCAGGGCACTTGCAGAATCTTATAGGATTCCTTTTATTATGACAAGTGCAAAAACTGGGGAAAATATTGAGCTAGCATTTGAGGAGCTTTTCCGGTTGGGTTTTGCATCCTTCGTATGAATATGAAGACTTTGTGTCTTCCTGATTGAAATTTGGTAAAAAAGACTTTTACCCCTAGAGACCACTAGTGCCGATGACGAAGGCATAAATGGTACCGATACTAGCTAGGGGGTTTATCCCTAGCTGGAGCTCTAGTCACTCAATCAGCCGTCAATTCCTGAGCCTGCATACTCCAAGGTTCGAGACAGCATTAAGAATCAGATCAAGCTGGAGGAGAGCTATCTCTGGTAGAAATGATGAGTATCAGGGAGGTGCGCTAGCAGCTGAGCGAGTCTTCAACGAAACTCGTCTCGGGTGAGACGTAAAAGGAGGGTTCTAATCTATAATTAATGTTAATTTTAGCATTTGAGGAGCTAATTAAAAGTAGCTATTGAGAAAAATCCTAATTCACATAACATAAATTTTTAATTATTTGTAATTATTAATGAGAAATAATCAGATTAGATTAGATTAGATTAGATTAATAATGGATGCTTACAGTCCCCAATTCTAACTGATGGCATTCTGTGCGGTGCTAGCCGCCTAGCGGCACAACTGAAATGGGGGCTTCCCCTTTGGAAACTCCAAGCTCTGGCTTCTTGGTAGTTGTATTACCCTATTGGGTAAAAAAATTACCAGGCACCACCATTTCCATCTTGGTCCTAGTTACTCCGCCCTGCCTGTAACCCTTGGCTGGTATCGCTTTTTCTCAAAGTCCTTGAACTGGAGAGACTACCTTGACTCTAGTCTACCTTCATTTTCCCAACCGCTTCGACAGCTTTGATCAGGCAATCCATCCTACTCCGTCTTAGCACCACTGGTTCGGATGCTGCTGACAAAAATAATTCACAAGTAACTGCCCATTGGATGAGACCAAAACCCGCGGATTTGTGCTTACGTCCTTCGTTGCAGACACTAGATATTTCTGGATCAATTCCTGATTCTAAAAGCCATTTCCGGATATGCATGGGCTGTCGTAACACGATGTGAACGGTTCGGACGTCATCGCCATTTTATTTACATTAGAAATAAATCAATTAAAACATTTTTAAATATAATAGATATGATTTTTTCAGAATATAAAGAAAGATATCTTTTAAAGTAAATTCGATTAATTTATTATTAAATAATTCCAAAAACTTATATAATTTTTTAAAAAATATTTATGATAGAGTAAGTTATTAGAGAAAAATAAAGAAGGCGAAACTTTGACAGAAAAAGCAGCTTCACCTATAAAGCGGTGCTGCTAAAGTAATATAAAAAAGTTTTATAAATGTCATTACCAATTAAATATTAATTATGATACCCTTGCTTATTTAGAGACTTCTGTTTTGGATCTCTTGCCTTATATTTACTATGCTTCTTTTTCTTCTCAACATGCTGCTCATCAACATTTTGATTATTTTGCTTTTTTGGCTTACTTTTCGATGTAATAGTAGTCCATTCTTCATTATTTTCTTTTTTCTCTTCAATTTCTGTGCCTGCTTCTTTAGCTTCTTCTATATGATTTTTTTCAGTTTGCTGAAAATTTTCAAAGCTAGGCGGAATTTCAAGGCCTTGCTGCTTAATATAGTTATAAGTCTCTTGAGTCACTTGGAGAGCTGGCCATTCAGGATCAGGAATATAGATTTCATTAGGATCAATAAGCGAATCCAATTTAGGCTCAGTTGGCTGAAAAATTCCTAAATTTTCTAAAGAAGGAGGAGGCTGAAATTCGGTTTCTTCTTGCTTATTGGAATATCGGTCTGGACATATTAGCATATGCGAATCTAGCTCATTAGTTAAAACATGATGCGCGCTGTTATATTGGCAAAGAACATATACATTTGGGGTGGGTTTCTTTTCAAGAGTTTTTACTGTATATGGATTTATCTCTGAGCTTCCTCTAGGATCATAAGGTTTGGCATTTGCGCTTTCCTTACTCCCCCCCCCCCCTCCGTGAGCGAACAATAAAATTTTGTTCGCTCACGGAGGGGGGTAATTTTTTTTTTTTAAAAAAAATTTATATATAAATTTTTATAAAAAATATTTTTTTCGAAATTTAAAAAAATCCTAATTTGCAAAAATTGGGAAGCAAATATTAATTTAATTTGCAAAATTTATGTTTTAAAACGCAATTTGTTTAAAATTAAACAGAATTAGCTCTAGATTTCATTATACTAATTATCACTTATATATCAAAAATTTTTTTCCATTAAAATTTTTTCTATTAAAAAATTTTTGTTCACTCACGGAGGGTGGGTTTTTGGTCAAAAAATGGCGATTTTTCTAATGGTTTTGTTCGCTCACGGAGGGGGGGGGGGGAGTTAGAAGATCTCATTTATTAGTGTCAATAATTTTTCATAATGGAAATATTTTTCTTTATGATCTCTATAAAATTAGCATTATATAATAATGCTTAAAATCAATTATCCTGTTCAAATTTTTTGTGTTAAAGATGAAACTACACATCTTGATAATAAATTATCACAAAGTATATGAAAATATTCATTAAATACAAAGGAAAGTCTATTATTGAATTAAAATTCGAAGAAAATACCCCATATAGAGAAATCAAAACAATGATAGAAAACAAGCTTTTAGTTCCTGCATCTGAGCAAACTCTTACATATCTTTTGTCAGAAATTGAATCAAAAATAGCTGATGACCAATTATTTAGCTCTGATTTTAAACATTATTGCTTTATTCTAAAAAGAAATGCTGATAGTCCAATAGCTGAAGATTTTTACCCTGAAATTTCTGGTTCTTATGAATTTTTCGAAGCTTGTAAAGAAGGCGACATAAATAAAGTTACAAATCTATTGGCTAATTCTCCAGAGTTGATAGCAGAATATAGTGCAGATGGACTTACAGGGCTTCATTATGCAGCGTGCAGCGGGAATATACAATTATTTACTTTGTTGTGCCAATTTGGTGCTGATATCAACCAAATCTCAAAAGATGGGAAATGAAGCCCTTTGCATATGAGCTGTATTCAAGGACACTTAGGGATTACTGATTATTTATTAAGGCAAAAAAATATTCAAATTGATTTAGAAACTCCTATAAACGCTACCCCTTTGCATTGTGCCTGCTTAAGAGGAAGCTATGAAATAGTTGAATTATTGCTTCAATCTAAAGCGAATTATTCAATAGAAAATCAGTTTGGAAAAACTCCTATTGAGATGGCTGCAAATAAAGAAATTAGAGAATTGATTTCAAAATACATGGGAACTGCTTTTGAATTGCCTGGAATTTTTGAAGGAAAATTATGAATGTCTAAATTTATTGGAAAAAAACGAGTATGAGCAGTGCTTAAGCCAGAAGAGGGAGAATTTTTGCTGTATAAAGATAATTGGGACCGCAACGAATTATTAGAAAGTTATAATTTAGATGATTTTCAGGAAATAAAAAGATGCAAGCCGAAATTTTTGTCTCATGATTTTATACTTTTAACTAATAATTTTAATAAATTTTTTTTTTTATTTTGTTATAAATTGTATTCAGCCAATATAGGATAGTTTTAGAATGACGCTCAAAAATGGTACCAAAGAGAATTTTTATCTAAAAACTGAAGAATCAGCAAATGAATGAGTCAAAAGTATGTTTGCAGCTCTTCTCTATAGGCAGAATAAATCGCGAGCTCTAAAAACAAAACATTTTATCAGTTTAGAAGAATTCCCAGTCACCTCAGAAGTAAATTATTTTTCATTCGAAATAGAAGAAACCATAGGAAAAAGCGAGTTTTCTACTGTATATTTAGTAAAGAAAAAAGACACAGGGGTTTTATATGCATTGAAATCTATATTAAAAGATGCATTAAGCAAACAAAATTATACAAAATACGCTGTGAGTGAAGCAAATATATTGAAAAGCATCTCATTTCCTTATATAATAAAATTAGAATACTCATTTCAGTCAGAACGGTCTCTTTTTTTGGTTATGGAATATTGCTCAAATGGCTCTTTAAGCAATTTATTGAAAAAAATTCATTATATCTCTGAAAGAATAGCTAAAATTTGGGCTGCTGAATTAGTGGTAGCTATAAAACATTTAAATAGAAATAACGTTGTATTTAGAGACTTGAAGCCAGAAAATATATTGTTTGATAGTAATTGGCGGATAAAAGTGTCAGATTTCGGCCTGGCTAAAGGAAATGTGCAAAATGAGGATACAACAAGCTCATTTTGTGGATCGCCTGCTTATTTTTCCCCTGAAATGCTTAATAAAGAAGGTGTTGGAAAAAGCGTGGATATCTATGGAATTGGGTGTATTTTATACGAAATGTTAGTTGGGTATCCACCTTTTTACTCAGAGCTTATAGAAAATACATTGAAGAAAATAGATTATGGCAAACTTAAATTTCCAAAGTATGTAAGCAAACCAGGCAAAAATTTAATAAAAAAATTGCTAAATAGAAATCCTAATTTAAGGCCTACATATGAAGAAATTGAGTGCCACAATTTCTTTGAAGGTATAAACTGGGATCTTATTGAGCTCGGAACCTCAGCTATAGATTTTCAGGGGCTTAATTATACTTAATCCCTCCTTAAATTGGAACAAAAAAATATATATAATTTTTTCCATTTTCTGGGTATTTTAATCTCCCTTTAAATCGAAACGCAATTTTTCAATAGAAAAAATTTTATATACGAAAATATTAATTTTCGTAAATTATTTTTGACCTAATTGAATAGAAAAAGTTCAAGTAGAATATCATTTAAATTGTGTTGATTAATTTTTTGAATTAATTATTTATAAAAATAAATTAAAACTCAAAGAATATTGGATTTAATTTATTATTTTTTAATTTGTAAAAAATCTTTTGTAAAGAAATTTAATATGATTTTTTTTAAAATTAAAAAATAAACCCTTTAACAGGAAAAGGAATTTGTTCTAGTTTAAAGGGGAGAGTTAATTTACACAAATTCTATAATAAAAACTATTCCATATCTAATGATCATACCTTTATGAATTGGGCTAAACTATTTCTTATAATAGATATAAAAATTAAATAATTAATCAATGATTTTTAATAAGCATATAAATGATTGAAATTGCGTCATTATTACAAAGAAATCTTCAGCTTCCCACAGACTCTGAGGAAATATTTCTTTATCAGATTTTTGATGGACTACATAAAGTTGATATAACAGCTCTAACTTCAGCTTTTTTTCAAATATAGCATAGTCTAGCTTTTCATCTGTCTTTGGCTATAAAAACTCTGGAATTCCTTCCAGCTAACTATCAAAACTTGTAAGAGCTTAAATAAATTTCCAGATCTCTTTGGACCGCCAATTTTAAGCCAGCCAAAATAAGAATTTCTAAGGCTTTGCAGCTCAATAGTAGAATAAAAGCTTTCCCTAGCTATATACATCCAGGAAAAATCTCCGCAATATGTTACGAGTTTATGCAAACTTAGAAATGGCAATTTATTTTGTGCTGGAGTTTATTGTAAAGAGCTTAATATAGCAGGAATTGCTTTTACTCTTGATGTAAATACTCTTCAAGTTACACCTCTGCCTTATGGTCCTAAAATATATGATCAGGGTCTTATAAATCATAATGAATTTGTGTATGCTTTCGGCGGAAAAGAGCAAAAAGGAGATAACTTTTTCATAAGCGGCTTGGCCTATAGATTTAATTTATACATTTTTAAGTAAATAATTTTCATACTATTTTATCCTCAAAAAAATGGCTTCTAAATTTTTTGTTTACTAATGTGTTTTGAGGACTTTCTAATCAGCTAGGCTAATTTTATTAAAATGGATATCTTCTTCTAGATGGGAAAGAATCGCAAAAATGCCTCAGCCAAATTATCAAATTTCCTGCATTGAATATGAGAGATTTATAGTAGTAGCTGGCTATGAAGAAAAAATATAAGCCAAGATGGAATTAGCTCGATTGACCCTGAGATACTTTTATTTAGATTAATTTTTCTACCCAGTGAGGTTTTTTGCTCAGCTGACAAAGAGCTCATCCTCAGCCAAGCTCTACCATCGGTAAAAAGGACTTTGGGCTCCTGGATAGCGAAATTGCATTGAAGACGAATGCTTTGCTCAAAACAACGGATGTAAGGTTAAGATAAATCGCCCTGTCATCGCTAGCGGTGCCTTAAGGCCTAGCACAATGAGCTTTTGCTCCTCCATAAAATGGTCTTAAGATCCCTAAATGCAAAGGTCAAGGTTAAGATTAAGTTTAAGCTGGTTATGAAGATGAAACCATATATCTTTATGATTATATCACAAACAGTTATGCGCCCTTATTCTTATTTACCAAACGCATACCTAAAACTTTATTTAAATATAATTCAGAGTTGTTTTTATTAGAAGGTGCAAAACTATGAAAGTCTGCTAATTTTGCTAGTTGGGAATTAGTGATGGAATATTCATATATTAATAAATATACTGTGACAACTAATGTGCTGATAAAAGAGAAAATTGCTTATTTTGCGATAAATTTTAAAAGTATTGCAATGCTGAATTTTGAAACTTTTGAATTAAATAAAACAATACTGGTAGGTTAGAAAAATATATCATATTAAAATTTTAATTCCAAAGGAGCTAAAATACAATTTTTATTATTTTTTTTTAAAATCAAATTTTTTTAACTAGTAAATATGCTGCTAAAAAGTCTAATAAATTATATTTAATTAATTTTTACAATTAAGTTGAAATTAACATTAAATGCACTTTCCTTTCCTAGTTTGTACGATAGGGTCATCCTTACACTCTTTTGACACTATGCTCTTCCTCTTCTGCTTTTTTACATTTTCTCTCAACTCATCTCTCAGCTTCGCTATTTCTTTCATTTGCTCTTTTATTTGCAGTTTAATTTCCACCGCATTTTTGCATGTTTCTTTTTTCACCCCAAAAATTTCAACATTTTTTTCTAAAATTGCAATAATTTTATCATTTAAATTTTCCTCGTTTCTAAGCTCTACGGTTCTCTTATAAAGAATTTTTTTCTCTTTTTTGGCTTTTTCAGTGTTTTCCCTTAGCCCATTTATCATATTTGCTAGTTCTTCTTCAGTCAGCCCTTCTAGGTTATTGTGGATATCATTATTCTGCTTAAATTCTTCTACCCTTTTTACTTCTCCCCTAACTTTTTCGTTTTCTTCTTTTTGCTCTTCTATCATTCCACAGAGCTCATCAGCCGTTTCCAAGCATTTCATACTTTTCATCTGTACATCGTCAGCTTCTTCTCTCAATTTATTCATCATAATGTCCTTTTCATTCGAACTTTCCAGCATTTCTTCAATTTTTTCATTTAATTCTGTATATTGTAAATGGATAAAGCAGATTCGGTGCATTTTTTCCTTAAAAAAAGACTATCATTTTTTTAATTAGTTTTTATAAAATTTTTAAAAAAATTCATTTATATAGTAAAAAAACAAGCTTAATTTCTCTTTAGGTAAGCTGATGAGTGCCCTGTAAATCCAAGTTTATGTTAGCTTCTCTGAATTTTTCCAAAAAATTCACCATTTCTTGGTCTTTTCGATTTTTTTCTTCCAGCATTATTCTATATTGTTCTTTTGTAGCTCGCTTTATCTCAATTTCTGTTTTAGTTTTCGATACTTCTTCATTGTATTTTTCCCTCAGATCTTTTACTTCTTCTTTCAGCTCTACAAGTAAGCTGTCAAATTGGTCATTTACTTGAGCTTTTATATAGGTTTTGTTGCATTCGTCACATATCCCAGTCATTTCATTAGTCTCAGGGTGCGGGATTTGTTGGAGAAAGCAATTTTTGCAGTATCCTCGATGACAAAATGGACAAATATTTTTTGAATTGATGCCTAATATAAAAATTGAGCCACATTTGGCGCAAGATCGGTCCTTTTTATAGGTTTCTTGGCCTAATTCTGGGTCTAAAGTGGCGAAAACTGACATACTGACAGGCCGAGTTTCTTTTTGTGCAAAATCCTGGATTATTTCGCTTTGTCGTAAGTCCATATTATTATTTCTAATCTTATCTTTCCATTTAAAATCCTAATAAAGTGCTTTTGAATGTAATCAAAAATGAGTTTCTAGGTAATTAGAGCGTTTATTGCATAATGGAACTATAATAAATATAAAGGATAATGGGACAAACTGGCTCACATCACCAAGTAAGACTGCAGAGAAATACAAGGGAAACGAAAAAGCCAAGGATTCGCCGTGATACCAATGTAATGCTGAAGCCAAAGACGCTAAAAATTATACTATTTAGTAGGAATAATTGTTTTTGACTCACAATTCATGCCTGTTTAGCAATAAAAACAGGGGTTTTATTATATTTTTTCTATTAATTATATTAAAAAAGGGTAGAATTAGCTCTGATACTATTTCTATAAGACTGCCTGATGACTCGGTTACATTTGGATGACTTTTATCTGAAGTGATTCGCTTAAATACTTACCCTGGAATTATTATTGGGTTTAGAACTGCCACAAATTCTGACGTTTTGGACTATTTATTGACAAAATACGATAGATCTTTATCATGCTTAAAGGATGATGAAGAATTAATCGCGATTATTTTAGAACCTGTGACTGCTGACATTTCATGCCAACATTTTACTCCTCTAAAAGTGATCGGCAAAGGCGGATTTTCTACTGTTTTTCAAGTTAGAAAAAAAGACACTGGACACTTATATGCGATAAAAACAATCAATAAAAAATTTCTTATAAATGAAGATAAGCCTTTTTATGGAAAATAAAGAAATTTTTATTTAAATAAAAAGTAATTAAAAATTAGTATAAAATGATATATAAGTATATAGTTAAATGTGAATTTTATTAAAAATTAAGAAAATGGGCTTTATTTTTAGGCAAAAAATTGTATAAAATTTTTCAAATTTTAAATGAAAAAGATATCATGGTGAAAGCTCAGCATCCATTTATCGTCAAACTGTACTGGGCTTTTCAAACAAGAGAAAATTTGCATTTAGTCATGGATTTATGCCCTGGTGGAGAATTATTTTTCCATTTGCATAACTTAGGTAGGTTTACTGAAGAACAAGCAAGATTTTATTTCGGAGAAATCCTGCTGGGGTTAGAGTATTTGCATGAAAACGGAATTTTGTATAGAGATTTAAAGCCTGAAAATATTTTGCTAGATCATGATGGACATATAAGGATTACTGATTTTGGCTTGTCGAAACAAGGTATAGCCTATACCCCTATATAGATTTCTTTATCAAGCAAAAATGTAATAGACAGTTGAAGGGCCAAGAAAGACTCTGTAAACAACGGGCTTGATCTCTATATCAGGATGTATTTAAAAGTGGCACGTCAAAAAATGGTTAACAAGTGAAAAAATGTTTGATTTAGACTGGGATTGATTAATATTACCTACTTCTTTCTGTAGAAATTAGGCTCAAGCAAGTAATTAGGTTAAATTAATTGCACATAAACTATAAAAGGTAAAACATTATTATTATGACCCATTAAGAACTTTTATAAGAAAAATCGGTGTTCAATACAAGCCTTGGCTTTTATAGAGCATGTGATCATAAACAAATTAGAATTGTTTATTTAAAAATCTGTTTTTTGCTTGTATTAAATTCTACAATAAGACATTTATCAACGCCAGTCTAGAAGGGCATCTTAAATTTAAATTAATTTAATAATAAAGCCATTTTAAAAATTGGTGCATTTGCTTTTCAACTTTTTTCTCATTGTCAACCATTTTTTACATGTCACTTTAAAACGCTCACCTTTATAAGATCCAGCTTATCCCTTTGAGTAGTCTTTCTTGGCCGTTCAACTGTCTATTACATTTTCTCGATAAAGAAATCTATATAGGGGTACGGGCTATATTTTGCCTAATGGGTCGACGAATAGTTTTTGTGGTTCACCTGAGTACATGAGCCCAGAAGTTCTCAGAAGTCAAGGCCATGGCCGAGCTGTTGATTATTATAGTTTAGGTGCTTTACTATTTGAAATGCTGACTGGACTGCCTCCATTTTATGACTCAAACAGGTCGAAAATGTACTTTAAAGTGCTTAACGAAATGCTGGTATTACCTAACTTCATATCAAAAAGTGGGAAGTCACTATTGTCAGGATTATTGAATAAAGATCCTAACGAAAGACTTGGAAATTTAGGTGGCTTCTCAGAAATCAAAGCCCACCCTTGATGCAAAAAAATAAAATTCGACCGTCTCCTCAAGCGACAAATTCTCCCACCTTTCCGACCCAACTTAAGACTCTCCAATTTTGATCCTGAATACACAACAATGGGTATTGATCAAGATTTTTTAATAGAAAATATAAATGTCTATGATGAAAATTTTGCTGGATTTGACTATAACAGTGAGGACGAAATAAAAGACACAATTTCTTTATTACCTAATAATAACTTGTCTTCAATGTCAACTATTACCTCGAAATCAGCTGGAGTAGTGTCAAGAAATGAAAGCCAATTAAGAGTTTTTGCTATAAATGAAGAGGAAGAAGAGGAAAAATCACAAATTTTGTCGAAAAATAGCGTTTCTAAAGCTTTTTCTGCAGAAAACAGTGTTGCTTCTTTTATAGTAAGAGACTCTAGATTTTCGCTTCAGGCGTTAAAGGAAAAAGTAGCTCCAAAAAAAGAAAAAGATTTTCCTTTGCCATTGTTTATACCAAGACAAGCAACAATTCTTCAACAAGATGCTGAAATTTCAGATGAAGATATAAGCTTTACAGTTTCTGATGAAGATTTTGATGAAAATGTTATTAATGCAGTCCCAGGGTTTAACTCGAAATTTTTGCAGGAAGACTAGCATGTACTATAAAGCTCAATAAAATACTAATAAGATTATTTTTATAAATTACTTATAGAGATATTTGTTTTTCTTACTCTTCACCCTTTAAATCTGATCAAATATCTATTTTGGTGCAAATATAAATTTTTAGTATAAATAATATTTCAATATAAATAGCTCTTAGAACATTTAATGCAAAATTTACCTATTTTAAATAGGGCAGTACAACAGATTACTATTTCAATAAAGTTAAGCCTTTGAATTGATAATTTTATAAATGAATTTTTATATATAATTTCTCAAGGGACTGCCTCTTAGAAGGCGTAAGGAATAATAGTAATCTCTATATAAATTTACTGATAAAAAATCATATTATTTTTTTTAAAACAATTAAAGCAGATTTTTGGTTCCGATTTAAAGGGGAGTTAGAAAACGTTAATTTGAACTAAAAATAATGAATTTCAAATAATTAGAAAAAAGTAGCGAAGAATGGTTTCGATCCATCGACCTCTGGGTTATGAGCCCAGCACGCTTCCACTGCGCCACTTCGCTGTGATGTATATATGCAAACAATTGTTGTATATAATTATATCTTAGTAAACTGATAAGATACTATTCTTCTCTGATTAATAGCTTTACCAAAATTTTATTGAATTAAATGAAAGAATCAAAAAAAGTAGCGAAGAATGGTTTCGACCCATCGACCTCTGGGTTATGAGCCCAGCGCGCTTCCACTGCGCCACTTCGCTGTGATTTATATACTTTTTATTTGTATAAATAATTTTTCTCTGTAATTTCTTTTATTTTTCTTTCTTTCTTCTTATGCAAAGCATGCTATATTTTTGCATTATTTACCTGAAATGCCATAAGACGTTGCATATATTTTAAGCTAAAAGTAATTTTTAATAAATTTGTGTAAATTATCTCCAAAACTAGACTATTCATCGTTTTCTTCAATTTTCCTCTTCTTTATCTGATTGCTAAGCATCATTTTATTTCCATCCAGATCTCTCTTGAACCTTGTATCAGTTGGATCAATCCCGAACTTAGAATCTGTATATATTTTCTTAAATCTTTCATCATTTTCATTAAATTTGAATTCTTTTTCTTCTCCTTTGCTATCCACCAGTAGCTCCAAACTTTGTGTCAATTTTTTATCTTTCCTTTCCTTCATTTTATCCTTCATCATTTGTTTCCTCATAGCTTTTCTCTCAGCTTTTTTATTTTTCTTTTCTTCTTTTTTCTCCCTCAAATGCTTTTCCCACGTAGTTTCGTCTTTCTTTTCTTTTGTCGCTTCTTGTGCAATACTATCAAAAACTGAATTAAATTTTATTTCGAGCTCCATATTGTCTTTTTGAGCTGCTTTAAATTGTGAAATTTTGCCTTGGTGATTTCGCTTTTGCGGCATATCATAATCATCAGGTTCCTCTTCTTCAGAAGAGCTCATTGGAGCAATATAATTTTGCAAGTCGACTTCATCTAAATCTTCTACTGCAAAAGCTGATTGGAGTTTTTGTGTTCTTTCCTTAGGAGTTTCGTCCCAGGTTAGTTCTACTCTTGAGTGCTGCAAAGCTTTTGTATAAAAATGAAGAAGCTGATGGTTTTTTGGTACCTCATTAGCGATTTCTTTAGCTGGGTATTTGAAGTCTTGGACATCGTCTGGAATAAATCTTAAATCAATGAAATTTGAGGTTCTTTCTATTTCTAAACCATCACATTCTTCGTAAAGCCTTATTGCTGCTTCTATTGAGTTGCACTCGACTACAGCGAAATAATATTTTAGCTGATCTAGTTCATATTTTCTCAGCTTTGTGTCGTCTTCTTCAGGGTCAACTCCAGAAAAATCTCCAACTGGGCCTGCAACTGTTTCTTTTTTCATTCTTTCCATACCAAATTGTGAAGGGTATATGGTCACTTTTGCGACATCACCTGGGCAAAAAGAACTAAAAAGTGCTAATAAATCGACAGCTTTGACGATCCTAAAATCACAATTTGTGACTGCAAGTCTGTTTGTTTCGCCTCCTTCAGGTATGTTTTCGACTTGCTCATAGAGGTCCTCGCCAAGATTGATTTCATCTTCTTCGCCACTAGAACTTGAGCTTTCTACATCCCATTTATTCCTTATATAAATAATTTTAGATTTAATTTTTATTCTGAGACTGAAAATCATAATATTATTTATTTTCATAATAATAAGGTATAAATTTCCCTTGTGCGTCAATACATTCAATGCCTGAGGTGTCATAAATTTCTGTTAAAGGGTTAGAAACATCTTTGACTTTTCGGCCTCTTTCATCAACTTTGCTTGGAACTGGACCTTGGAAATCTTTTTTTGTGAACATTGAGGTGAATCTTTCGTCAAGCTTGACTTTTTGGTCTTCAGGCTTTTGGGTGCGGAATCGAGGATCGGTATGAATTTTGGAAAATCGAGAGTCTTTGATATGGCTATCTTTTTTGCCCATTTTTATAATATAAATATGCTTTAGTTTAGGATGAAGATTATTTAAGACAGGTGCTGCCATATTGGTGAAGATGCTATCAAAGACCTCCGTATTTGAGGTTTATCCACTTTTTGGCAAACTGCCCAGTAGGTCTAGCCCCGGTTTCTCAGTAGAGGATGTCCAAGGGTCCGAAGGACATTGCTGAGCACTTCCATTTCAAACACAGGAAAGCAGTCAAAGCCTACCTGGATACACATTTTCTGAGGCTGCACTTGTTTCTCGGCTTAGAGTGAGCTCCAGTTCTCCGAGGCATTAAGGTCTGGACTATTGTGCAAAGAGGGCAGGTTGACAAGTATCGCTATTTGAATGTGCGCTATAATTTAGGATAAATGCGATTTTAATCAAGATTGAATTTGTTAATATAGCTTCTATTTTCCTAATGCTAATTATCTTGATATCTCGAACATTCTACTGAATAAAAATTTAGGAAAAAATTGAGTTAATGCAAAAGTATTGATTAAAAACCTTCATGATAGCCTATTCATATCTCTGAAACCATTTTAAGTAGCTTTACTGCAAATCTGTATCTCAAAATGTTATCGGAAATGCTTGGCATTTTAGCTATTATATAAAAAATTCTAATATTGCAGTTTTTCATATAATAACTCTAAGAAACGGCTATGATGCTCATTGTGACTCATTATTGTGCCAAGGCTTGATTATTTATGCTATTAGCAGAGCTGGGAGAAGAGAACCGGCGCGAACTGACAATTAGCCAATGAAGAATGATAGAGTTAATATAAAGGCTCATTCAGAATATCACAAATAGCGTCTCTGCAATTCTAACTAATAATTAAGTTAGAGGCTTGAGGCAACGCAGCTTGATGAGATTTCTATTGTCTTTCTGATTTCTCATCTTGAAGAAAATACCTCATTGATATCAAAACTGATTATTCTCTAAATAAAATCATCTTATTCCCTAGTAAGGATATTTATATTATAGTTAGAATGATATATATTTCATAATAAATATTTACCCTTTTGATTAATAAAATTGTTCTATATCCAAAAATGGCTTCATTGCTATTTTATTATTTTGATTTATTCTTTATAAATGATTTTTGATCACTTGCAAATTTTTATATGTTAGATTTCTCTAAGGTTTATTAATATAATTATAGACTATTGATTCTTATAAAATTGCTGCCTCAATAAAGTGTATTCTTCACTATTTAGCATTTTGATCCTATTTCCTGATGCATCTCAGGAGTTGAATAAATTGACTAAGTTGTTTAAATAACTCTAAAAATCTGCAATATATGCTAGATTTACTACTTAGAGAGTTGCTTCGATCGAAATAAGTTGGGATGACAAAATTTCTCTGAAACTGCCCAAAAATTAAATTTCAATTTGCTTTTATTAAACCATAATTATCTTCCCTAAGCATTTGATATTCAAATTTTCTATAAAAATTTAACAATATGTGCGAAATGATTATTGATTTCCACACTTAAAAGGAAAAACAGTTACCTTAATAAAATTCAAGCTTAATTTAAATTTTAACCTAAAGCATTTTTACTCTGATTTTATTTCCCACAAATTATATCTACTTATATCTAAGGGAGAAGAATAAATATGGACGTCAACGTTGTTCAACCAGGCAACTCCAGAATTTCTCGTGAAAGAAGGAAGATCCAATACAATTCGATAATGCTTTTGATATTATTTGTTATACCTATCCCACTAGCATTCATTATTGTAGATCCTGCTTACATTTTAGTGGGTTTATATTGGGCTATTTATTCCATTCCATATGTGCTAATAGGAATTTATGGGCTTGCAGTGTCAAAAACTGACAAAAGTTCTTTATTGAGTGCTTACTCTGTGCTTCTTGTCATCTTTATAGGTTACTGCATATTCAATTTGGTGTTTGACATTCTTCTTTTTATTTCGTTCTTTTTCCTGATTGGCTTTGCAGGAGTTAGCATATTTTTCTGTATTATGGTGGTCTATTATATATATTCAATATTGTATGCAAGAAAATCTGTGTTCGATTCGAGAAGATTAAAGGAATCCTTAGATATTGGATTTCCAATTCAAGACCCAATAATTGTAGGAGATTATTCAATGCAGCAGCAATATGTACAAGCACAACCTAATTATGGACAAGGATATCAACAGCCTTATCCTGGGTATTGAAATCAACAATATAATTCGGGATATAATAATCCTCAGTTCAATCAAGGATATGGTAATCCTCAATATAACCCGGGAGCTAATAACCCAGCTTATAGAAATCCTGGAAATGCCCCTGGGTTTGTTAATCCAGCCCCTATTAGCTCTGGATTAAATTATATAGCCCGTTCCCAGCTATAGATCGGGCTATGCCCAATCTTTGCCGGTCACTCAAGGAGTTGTCTGCGTCAATTTTGGGTGATGAGTCAACTCCTCGGGTTCGCAAATAGCCACCATATAGTGATTTGCCAACTCGGGGTTGACTCGTCACCTCGAAGTGATGCAGACAACCCCCCGAGTTTCCCGGCAAAGATCGGGCATAGCCCGATCTATAGCCGGGAACGGGCTATACAGGAAATAATCCTAATAATAGTCCTGGATCAAATTTTACTGGAAATAATTCTGCTAACAACCCTGAAGTAAGCAGCACTGGAAATAATCCGGCTAATAGTCCTGGATTAGCAAGCTCTGGAAGTAACCCTTCTAACATTTAAACCATTTAATCTTTCTACATGTGAAAAAATTATTAAATGCACTGATTATTTTTAAAATAAATAAATAATTCTCTTACTCCCCCCCCTCTGTGAGTGAACAAAAAAATTTTGTTCACTCACGGAGGGGGGTTAATTTTTTTTCTAAAAAACATTATTTTCGAAATTTAAAAAAATCCTAATTCGCAAAAATTGGAAAGCAAATATTAATTTAATTTATAAAATTTATGTTTTAAAATGCAATTCGTTTAAAATTAAACAGAATTAGCTCTAGATTCCATTATAATAATTTATCATTTATATATATCAATTTTTTTCCCATGAAAAATTTTTCTATTAAAAAATTTTTGTTCACTCACAGAGGGTGGGTTTTTGGGCAAAAAATAGCGATTTTTCTAATGGTTTTGTTCACTCACGGAGGGGGGGAGTTAATACATTTTCAAGTGTTTATTTTTTTATTAAAATTTAATTAGCAACTAAAATTTTTGGTTATTCTGCTTTTTTTTAAAATCATATACCATGCATTTCTGTTAAAATTATCCTCTCTCATCAGATTAATTTAATTAAGGAATAGAATTCATATAAAAATCATTTAATAAGCTTTAGCTTTTAGTTTTTGAGAGAAAATCATTATAAATTTCTGAAAATCCAGACCATACTTTAAGATAAAATTGTTTAAATTTATATGAGTTTTAAAGCAGCAAAAGCACTATTATTGTGATATATAACTTAACAATATATCCCAGGATATAGAAGCTCTCATTTAAATAAGTATATCGCGATCCTTCGTATAATTTAATTAATTAATAATTATCTAATCGTGCTACATCCTAATTAATATCTTATTTATATATACATAAAAATGATGACGACAGACCACCCGACCTCTCGACCCTATTTCTTCAACAGCAGCAGGCAACGGCCCAGTGTCGAAGATTTAGGTGGAAAGGGGCCGGTAATCCTTTATGTATGTTCGGGCTGGGTTTTCTTCGAGCCCGAGGAGCTAATTCTCGGACTTGGAGTTTTTCCTCCAGGACAACCATTGGAAAGGGCAAGGTCGGCCAATGTTTGAGGGCAATATGACCCTCAGACCCTGAAGACGGTATTTGCCCAACGAGAAACTGGGAGTTTCGACCCAGGTGGTTGGCCCTTAGACTCCAGAAGCCATGGAAGTCAAGACTGGTCGCGCGAATCCCTTGCTTGAGGCAACAAGGAGGGTGTCCGCCGAGGCTCCTCAGGGGCGATGAGCGTTTAGGGGTGCCAATCCCCGGCCCTGCAAGGCAAACGGCATAATCTAATCTAATCTAATCTAATATCTTATTTATAATTTTAATTAATAGCTAAAGTTTTCGATAAATCTTCCTGCTCATTTGCAGACTCAAGTCTACTAGAGTCATAAATTTTAGCAGTAAACAGATGCTGACCATTTTTTCTGTCCCAAACCCAAAGCATAGATGCAGTAGTAACCCCAATCACAGCTACAATTATAAAGAAAAGCGACACATATGTGTAGCCATATTGATGCTCTGTTTTATAGTGTATTGCTCCAACTATAATAGGTCCTATAGTCATCCCAGTATTCTGGGCCGCCGTCACAATCCCAAATCCAGTTCCTGCTGCATATGAATCTACCAAAAATGGGATCGACCCTCACATAGTAGATCCATATATTGAATATCCCATACCCAAAATTATCAAATTTAGCCCTCCTCATATACATTTATCACAATCAGGCAATAAAATAAAAATTACATGGACTATCAGCATCATCAATGCAGACGAAAAAATCCAATAAATATGTCTACCTAGCCTATCAGCTAAAATCCCAAAAATTGGACTAAATAAAGCAGCTACAATATATGTGATACTTATAAAATACCCAGCTTCAATAGAACTGAAATTAAATCTCGTCTGAAAATATAAGCTTGCAATTGAATTAAAAGTTAAAACACATATATAAACTACCAAGCAGTTGCCGGAAAGCATCCAAAAGCCAAAATTGAAGGATTTTATGTCAGAAATTTTGATTTTTTCACTGGATTTTTTCTTAGATGGGCCAAGTAAAGTGTCTTTGTGAATATCCATAAAAATTAAAAAAAGGCCTAGTATTAGTGACAAAATACATAAAAATAGCCCAAATCAAAGACCAAAAACGACTGAGCCAGTTGAAGAGTAAAATTGAGGCTCAAGGATGTTATTTATTACGCTTCCCAAACGACCGATGCTTATAGTCATTCCGTAAGCCATTGATAGCTCTTTTCCGGTAAATCATTCAGCCAGAATTGTTCCTTGGACTACGCATAAGTTTTCTCCTCCAAGTCCAAATATAAATCTTCCCAAAACTGCTATTGGGAATGATTCTATTGTGATAGCTAAAGCGAAAATTGCTTGCCCAAAGCAAACTAATAAAGAAAATATAAAAACTGCGAGTCTTGAACCAAAAGTATCACTTAAAAATCCACCGAAAAAAGGTAAAATCATATTTGGGAAAGAATAAACTGAATAAAACCAGTTGAATTCGAAAGAGTTTATGTGTAAACGCTAATTGTCAAATACATCCATAATTTCTGGTTGGAGAACTGAAGGAGTGTCATAAGCAAAGTAATTTCCTAATTCCCCATTTCCGTGAACAAGCAAAACAAATTTTGCTCATTTACAAAAGATTTTTTATTTATAAAACTAAATTTTTAAAAAACTGGATTCGGAGAGGAAAAAATTATATAAATTTATGCTTGAGAATGCTAAGTTGTTTAAAATTGAATACAATTATATAGAGATTAATTTTAATAATCATCACTTATATACCAAAATATTTTTTTACTCTTAAATGGGAGTAAGCACAAAGTGCAGTCAAAGAAAAGAAACAAATATCTTCATTTAGTTTGAGTTAAGTCGTGAATTGGCACAAGTTTTGGCTGAATTTCAATTGTGAGTTGTTGACTTTCTGAGTCTTCATTTGCCATTTATTTTTCACAATTTTAAATTTTCAATCAAATTTTATTATAATTAATAATCTTATAGTTACTCCTACAACTTTCTTTGTCAGATTTGTTTTAATATAAGAATTTTTTCAAAGTGCCCTAAAGGACAGAGATGGCTCAGAGGTAAGGCTTCTTTGATATATTTCTCTCTGAAGATGGGTGCTGCAGTGCAATATTTTCATGCCACAAAAAATTTTATATATCTCAAAAGTATCCAGTATGGTTTTATAAAATTTTACCAGAGTAAATAGAAATATCTAGCCTTTTATTAGTCGAGATAAAATATGTATTAAAATCTATTTATAGTTATAAATATTATGGGCATTTTAATCTAAATAATAATATTTTTATTTTAGCTCTCCCCCAGATTAGTAACGATTATGTTTATTTTGAAAATTTTTTTGTGCAGTTTTAAGTTCATAAAACAAATGGTAATTTTATGTAAAACATTTTGAGATTTATGCAAAATAAAAAAAATGTAAAAATTCATTATTGATTGGAAGAGATTAAGTCATTTCAATGCTGTCAGGGGCAACAGGATTATAAGAGTAGTAATTTTGAGCTTTATTTTGAGGATTATTCAGAGGCATATTCTGGGGATTATTCAGAGGAATATTTTGAGGATAGTTTTGAGGGAACTGCTGAGGAAAACCCTGAGGAATCTGCTGAGGATAACCCTGGATCTGTTGAGGATAATTCTGAGTAATCTGTTGAGGGTAATTCTGATTAATCTGCTGAGGACGCTTACTAACTTCTATTACAGTATTACCAACCTCTATTACAGTTGATGGGGCGAACTGATTATTATTAGTTGCTAATATTACTGTCCTGCCTGGGCCCTGGAAATATTGGGCCCTTCTTAATATTTGCATGCTTATTTGCGAAAACCCATAAAGCAAACACTGAGCCTGCATACGCTAAACCAATAAGTGAGCCTACAACTGGATCCTCACAATTCCTTTTACAATTTCCAAGTACAGCAAAAAAATATATAATTGCCCAAATAATATTTATTATGACAAGGATAAGCGTGCATTTCAGGTAGCAAGAATAGCAGTTTGTATAAGACATTTCGTTTGATGAGGCAAGGAATCCTAAAATGGCTGAAATGAGGTAGGGAAAGTACCAAGTTATGGCGGTAAAGATTAAATCAGGAGGACTTTGCACAATAATTACTAAAGTAACTGGAAGAAAATACATAGTTAAAAATAGCCCTGCATCGTGTTTTACACTCCTTTTTGCAACTTCTATATCATAGTTGTTAAAAACAGACGATGATAGATCCATTTATTTATTATAATTGACGTGGTGTTCATATGATTACTTGCTATTTTATAAAAGAAGTTAAAAAATACATAAATGAGAAGAATTATTTCAGCACTTGATTTCTTAATTTGATGCTTCAATTCTATTTAAAAAATGTAGGAAATTTTAATTTTCTCTAGAAATATGAGAATTAAAATAGATTAATAAAAATTATGCAACAATTTTGAATCAGCTTATATCACTCGAAAAATTGCAAATGAATTCACTATAACAGAAGCAATAAGTATTGTAATATAAGAAAACTAGGCCAAATCTTCTTTAACTTATTATTTTTATCAATTAGAGTATTAAATCATAACTAATATGTCCAGCTATTTTTGAAATAGCTAAATAATGATATCAAAAATTATTAGAATTTAGAAGTGCAAAACGCGGAAAGCAGATTTTATTATTATTATTATGAGTGGTATCGCGCCCTAGGCGCCTTTAATTTTTATTTCCAAATTTCTTCTTTCAAATTCCTCCACTTATCATCAATTTTCCTGAATTTCTTAAATTTATACCATTTCTTGAATTTACGTCGATTTTCCTTAATTTCTTTTTTTAGTTTTTCTTCAAATATTCATTTTTCCTCAGTTATTTTTAGTCTTTCCGCTGAAACTACACATTCTTTTTTGAGGCAGAATTTTCTTCTCAACTGATCCTGAGTCTTATCTTCAGAACATTTGCTTTTATAAAATTTCTTCTCTCTTTGTGCTTTTCGATTTATTTTCTTTTTATTTCCATATATATTTTTGAATTCCTTCATATTGCTTTTTTCGCGGCAAAACTTTCCCATGAGCTGAGCCTGAGTTCTGTCTCCAAAGCGCTTCTTTTCATCAAATTTCGCCTCTTTTTGTTCTTTTTCATCTATTTTCTTTTTATTTTTATTTTTATCCTCTTCATCTTCATATCCTTTTTCTCCATAGTCTCATTCCACACAGTCTTCACATCCAGTGCCCTCATCTGTGTGACATAAGTCTTGTGTTACGGCAAAAAGGGTATCAGCAAATTCTGAGTCTTCAATTTCATAATCTTCATCTTCATAATATCATTCTGAGCAGTCTTTATTTTCCCTCTCAACCCTATCACACCCTCTGCACGCAAAATCTCCATCAATTAACAGAGAGAAGGCTAGATCGACATCTCCTCTGCATAGATTTAGCGCTTCCACTGCATTTTCCATGTCAAAGCCTAAATTTGCAAGCGCTACTGCTTTTTCCAAGTTGGCATCATCCTCGACCATTTTGCCTAAGAAAAAGATGAAAATTGAAAATCCGTAATATGGAAAGCAGATTTTACTATCTCTACAAGTACTCATGCTCCAGTTGTAATTTGAAGAAAAATCTCCAGTAGAATTTAGAGAAAAATAAAATGCAAGATGGTAGTGCATATGCAAGATGGTGCAAGAAAATGTAAGTGCATACAAAATGGTACATGAAACGAACTTCTCAGTTAAGAAAAAGTGCGAAACGCGGAAAGCACATTTTAGTTGTCCTACAAGTACTCATGTTCCAGTTGTAGTTTAAAGAAAAATGTTGAGTAGACTTTGGAGAAAAATAAAAAAAAATAACATAAATAAAATTAAAAAATATACACTTTAAAGAAAGAATAAAAACCTTGATTAACAAAAATTGAGTCTTTTAGCTCAATGATTCCTCTAATATTAAAGACTTATAGCTTCAGAAGGATTTTTATCTCCATGGGTTAAAATTTAATAAGTAGTCCCCAAAATAATTAATATTTCAATTTTAAAATGACATGCTAAAAAATTTAGGTTTGTCAAAATTTTAATAAAATGGAATCAACACACCAATCCCAAGCAAGCCAGGAGGCAAAAGTGACAAAGGTCTTGCTTTCTCAAGCAGAAGGGAATCACCACAAAGGAATCTTATGTGCACTTCTAGCTCATATCAGATACTTCCTTCCCGATATCTTTCTATACTCTACTAAGTATGTTTCTTCTTGTGCCATTCGACCCGTTTTGTATAGGAAATAGGCTTCGCCGTCAATTCCAAACTTCATCGCTTTCAACGCAAATACCCGAAAAAAGCTATATTTAAATTTCTAATAAAATGTAGTTTAATATTTTTTATAAATTGATGATAAGTTAACCAAACCCGTTTTTATTGATTCTTTTAACTCATTTAACACCTTTATCAGTCTTCTCAGCGCATTTTCTTTTCAAATCTTCCTGTTCCATAAGTTCTTTAAGTTCCGCACTGGTTAAATGGTAATTTTTAAGCAAAAGTCACCTCTTAAAGTTGATTTATATGATGACATTGAATATGTCTACACCTGCAGTTAATGCTAGTGATGCTTGTGATACTAGTGCTGTTAATTTGGTAGTGTTGCTAGTGTTGCTAGTGTTGCTAGTGTTGCTAGTGTTGCTAGTGTTGCTAGTGTTGCTAGTGATGCTAGTATGCTAGTTTGGTAGTATTGCTAGTGTTGCTAGTGTTGCTAGTGTTGCTAGTGTTGCTAGTGTTGCTAGTGTTGCTAGTGTTGCTAGTGTTGCTAGTGTTGCTAGTGTTACTAGTGTTGCTAGTGTTGCTAGTGTTGCTAGTGTTGCTAGTGTTGCTAGTGTTGCTAGTGTTGCTAGTGTTGCTAGTGTTGCTAGTTTTGCTAGAATTACTGATGGTGCTAGCTCTTGATAAAATTGCCAATATTGCTGATGGTGCAAGTGTTGCTAGTGCTGCTATTATACTGAAAAGGAACTTTATATGAGGAAAGTAATAATTGTCTATGTTTTTGTATTCTGTTCTCTTGATTTTGCCTTCTCGGTCTGGGTACAGATAAAAATTTACCCATTGGAGTTTTTTCCTCCTGTTTTTAGCTCATATTTTTTTTTCCCAGAGATTTTAATCCCCTGTTGGGTTTTTTCCGCCGCATTTTGTAATTGGACAAAAATGTTTACATATATTTTAATCTTTTTATTGCAGATAAATGCATCTATATATGTGTAATTATTATTTGATTTGCTTAGTGATTACGCAGGCAAACATATATTTGCGCATCTTTAAACAATCAATAGCATTTATAATATTTTAATTTGTTTTTTTTTGGGGTTTTATCCTCTATTTTTGACCCTTTTTCCACACCCCCGGGTAAATTCTGCCGCCCCTCTTTTTTTGATGAGGGTAAATTCCGCCATTTTTGGAAACCGTCACTTTTTTGACGGCGGACTTTACCCCGGTAACGGTTTTGAGGGCTGCGGAATTTACCTCAGCGGGGTAAATTCCGCTAAACCCTTTAAATTGGAACAAAATTTTTTGTTCCAATTTAAAGTGGGGGAGTGAGAAAGAGTCAATATCTATAGAATATTTCAAGAGAGAACGATTTCCTGGAATTAAAAGGTTCCCATTGAATACTATGTTATGATATAGCTCAGTTTGAGGTGTCGGTGATAATTTAATCCACCGATACTCATCCAAATCAAATCTACTCGAATAATTTAAATGATAGCTCATATAATTTCCTCCAAAGCAGTAGATAGATCTATTGAAATAAATAGCTGATTGGTAATAATGAGATACTCTATGAGGCAGCTCTTGAACTTGGTAATTTCTATCAATGATAATAGCTTGAAAAGAACTGTTGGATACATTATAGCAGAGCATTTCACCGTTTGGAAGCAAAGCAATGCGTGATCTATATAATTTGTTTGAAATTTTCAACGCTTTTGTTTCTTCTCTTTCACTTTCAGTGTCATAAATGTATAAGTTGTTAGTAAATCTATCAATTTGATAAAGAGTAGTAATTTGGTGATAAGCTTTAACATATTCTTCATAAGCTTGACTCAGGCATGGATCAGCTGTGTTTTTCTGATTTTCATATAATGAGTAGATTTTCCTGAATTCTTGCTCTACATGTGCAGTATTTGGCATGCTTAAGATAGCAGATGCTTTAATTCTTAGCTGTTGGGGGTTTAACAATTGGTTAGATTTATTTTGGTTGAACTGATTTTTAGCATCATTTATCTCATTATAAAGAGCTTCTTCAGTAGGATTTAGCTGAGAATTAAGCAACTTGAGATAATTAGGGGCTTTTGTATCCATATTATAAAATCCCATTAAATTTCCTATACTTTTATTTTTCTGAATAATTGATGTGTTTTCCTAAAAAAATTGGATTTTTAATAGTTTAGCTCACTTTCGTAGTTGAGTTAGAAATATTATTTTATCATGCTATCTCCTACCCCTTTTAGCTAAAAAAAAATTGCTTAAAAGGTTGTTAACTCTTTTTATAATTATATAAATTAAACTGATTTAAAAATTAAAATATTAGGATAATAATTAAAAAAAAGGGACAAACAAAAAAGTTTTCTGCTCAGATCTTATTGTTGTAGAAAATAAATAAGGATTCACCAATTGAAAAACTTCAAAAGTCTATTAATTAACTTCAATAATAGCTAATTTTATATTACTTTAGCTCTACTTCCAAATTAATAAAAGCAATGCTCAAATTTTTTCTAGCTACTGTAATCAAGTTGGAAATTTTGCGCTTCAATGAAGGGTGAGTTATTTTTTAAAATATTATATAAATTTTATTTTTGCAATAACTTGAATGCTATCAAAGTTAGTTTATCCTTAAGTTTAATGTAATTAGCTGAATTTCACTATTATTATTATCTTTTTATCAAATTCTTTTATAAATAAATATTTATGTAAACTTATAACTTTGACTTATAGCAGAATTTCTGCAATCCTCTTATTTTAACAAAAACAAATACAGACATTTAACAAACCACTTAATCATCACTAGAATAGCAAATCTTAATTATCACAGTATCAAAAACAACAAAAAATCCAATCACAACTGCCCCAGATTTGATAGCAGCTCTAACAACGACAGAATCTGAACTTTCAAGAATTTTAATGTATACCGATTTTCACATTCCTGCCCATCAAAATGTCCTTTATTGCTTCCATGCTATCTTCTATTTTTCCGCAATCTTCTACAAACTCTCCACAGCTTTCGGCACCCTTCACTTCTGCTTAACTATTTCGTTTGTTGTTTGGCATAATGCATCTGCATTTAAATAAAAATAAAATATTTATGTAAAATATATTTTAATCACTAAAAAGAGGGTTAATTTCAAAAATTAAGAATTTTCTAATGGTTCTTGCTAACCAAGAGGCGTAAAAGTTTAACACTCTAATTAATTACTACTTAAAATAATTATTCTATAATCTGAAAGAGAAAAGATATCTTAAGCTATTACAATGTTGTCAGGATAATATTGAGCATAATGCTGAGGATATTTACCAATTTCTATTCCAGATGCAGGGAAGAACTGGCCATTAGTAGATAATCCTCCTGTCATATTTGGATTTTGGAAATACTGGACTTTTCTTGATATTCCTATATAAAGCGGAAAGAAAATTTTAATATTTTGGCTAAACTTATTAATAATAAAATTTTGATAGATTAAATAATATAAAATCTTCAATGTTTTTATTATACTTTATTAAGTCTTTTAAGCTATTTGCATGCTTGTTTGCAAAACACCATAAAATAATCGCTGAAACTGAGTATACTAAGCATAGAAATGCTAAAAAAAATAAAAGCACAACTATGGAAATATCAGCCGCCATCCTTCCCCCGGACTGGTCTCTACTCACTGCAAATAGCAGAAAAATAAAAATCAATACAACTATTGTAGTGCCTGTAATGATGTATATTAAAGTGCACTTTAGCATTCCAGAATAGCAGTTTAGGTAACACATTTCTTTCGATGAGGCAAGAAATCCTAAGACAGCTGCAAGTCAGTAGGGATGGAATTGAATTTTATCCGTCTTTGATTAAATATAAATGGGACCTCAATATAAAAGCTTCCAAATAATTTAAGGAAAAATAATTAATTTCATAATAGGAATAATAGATAGCTTTTTTAAAATTAGTAAACGGAATTTGATATTATTTTTAGGCTTGAGTCAATATATTAATAAATTTAAGCATCTGCAATAGTTTTACTTATCTATTTTTATCTAAAGCTTATTTAATTAGTGCATCATATGCATTTTTTAAATGAATTTTTATTTATGGTTTACTAATTTATAATCCTAATATCTTTTTTATTCATAGATGCTTATCTATAATTTTAATGAATTCCTGTCTAAAAAAAAGTGTATCTAGGAAATTAGATAATAAAAAATGGCATTGAAAATTATATTATATAGTTTCAAATTTAATCTTATTCTTAATTAGCAAATCGTGCTTCTTGTTTAAAGTCTTCATCCAAGGTGCAGCTTTGTGTGGTTCGCTCAGCTGTGTACAAGCTCCCTAGGGTATCGACAACAACAAGATAGTATTTCTTTCCTCCAGCCTGGTTATTAAGCAGCTTCAGAAACCTAGAGTGCACAGCTTAGGCACTTGAAGGCTTGCTGATTGAGTTCACACAGGTTTCTACCAGAAAATTGAAAACAGATTTTCTAGTCAACTTTGGCTGAAAAGGGAAACTAGAAGCCAATGGTGCAACTCTTGGTACCGCGCTGGATAATTGCCTGACAGGCCTGGTGCGCATTCAGACTTTTGCTAGCCTTGCCCTTTCCTGTTTCGCAATCCTTCTTCCGTGAGGAAAAAAAAACTAAATTCTAAAAAAATTAAAAAACAGACTCTGCCATCTGCAAATAGTTTATAGGCAAAGTCTATATATAGCCAGATATGAGTTATCAAATGACGAGCTTCTCTCTAGTTAGTTCAGTTGGTTTGACAAGCCTGAGTTGTCCCAACCAGCTGAAGAGAGGAGCTTTCCATTAGATAGTCAATATCTGGCTGCCTTAAGGCTTTACCTATATTAGCTTTACTGCTTTTTCTGAACTAGTAAAAATCTAGCCAAGTATAATTAAATATATACTAGAAGTTGGTTTATAGAAGTTCTAATCCGAGATGAGACGCCATATTTAATTATATCGTTTCAAATCTTATTAAATATAGTTAGAACGTAAGCGGGTGGGTGCGTTTTTACTTAACCATAGGGAGAGTATATAATAGAGATCCAAAAAATAAGCTCAATAGAGTATTTGTGGATACCTGTAAAAATAGTCAGGAGGTTTGGAATAAAATATAGCACTAAAAATAACCATGAGTCACATTTTATAGTATTTTATAGTGAAATTATTTTAAAAATTACATTTTTATTAAATGAAATTCTTCAGAATTAAATTAATTTAAAATAGTATATACTTCTTTTTGCAGCCTCTATATCGTAGTTGTAAAAAGAAGATGAGGATGGATCCATTTAATTTAATTACTATTAAAATTTAGCTTTTAAAGAATTTTTTATGCAGCTGAATACATAAAAAGAATATTAAGTCAAATTTAATGCCCTTCCAAAAAGACCATAACTCTGTCACTTAGAATTACAGAAAAGAAAATTATAATGAGGCAAATAGCGATAAATTCCTAAGCCAGACAGGAAAGAACTCCAAACAGGTCAGAGGCTCAGTAGCTAAAATTAATAATTCTTAATCCTTAATGTATACTTTTGATATCTTATTTACGTTTTCTATTTATTTCTGATATAAGTTGTGAAATAAAAATGCATGGATTTGCGCAGAATGAGTTGATTATGCTCTTATTTGCATGAAAAAACATCAAAGCTTTCACTTAGTCCAAAAAATATCTTTTGCTTATAGAATTTCTTTGATTTAAACATTCTATAACTGATAAATCCTTCTTATTATCTGAATTATATATCGCTAGATAAGAATTTTGAGTATAACTCGATAATTATCTATTCAGAGAAATTTTAGTCTTGAATTGATAAAATTAGCCTATAAGTTTTAAATAAAAGTATATATATAAATTAATTGTTATATATAGGAATTGCCCGAGGATGGCGCTATCTTGCACCATCCTCGGGCAATTCAAAAAATGGCCCCACACCGGGAATCGAACCCACGTGTGGGGCCATTTTTGGTGCGTGTAAGTCGATGTTGGCCACACACCAAAAATGGCCCCACACGTGGGTTCGATTCCTAGTGTGGGGCCATTTTTGAATTGCCCGAGGATGGCGCAAGATAGCGCCATCCTCGGACAATTGCTATATATTTAATCGGCATTCAAATTTGAATAATAAATATTTTTTATTTAACTCTACTCTAATGCATTTCATAGCTTCCAGGATTATATTGAGGATAATACTGCGGAGAACTGCCAACTGGAATTCCAGGAACAGGCATAAACTGTGAGTTTGTTGTAATGCCTCCAGTCATAAACGGATTTTGGAAATTTTCAGCTCTTCTTAATATACCCGTATATTATTCTTTAACATATTTATATTTTTATTCAGATTAAAATTCTATATCACCTGCAAAATTCCTATAGGCGTATCCCTTAGATAGCCCGATATGGGCTAGAGATAGAGGCCAAAACTTCGCACTTAACTCGGCCAAAATGGATTGGTCGAACCAAGTGGAAGGAGGCTTATTTGCCACTTTTCAATTGGTTCGGCCAGCCCATTTTGATCGAACCAAGTGCGAAGTTTTGGCCTCTATCCCTAGCCCATATCGGGTTATCTAAAGGTTATGCCTATATTTATTTTCAGCTGGAATATTAAATCCTTCAAAGTATTTGCATGCTTATTTGCAAACCACCAAAGAATAAACCCAAAAGAGGAGTAAACTAAATACAAAAATGATAGAATGACTACTAAAATCAATATGCCTTCCACAAAACCACATCTCTCTTCTTTAGATGGGTCGCAATGAGAGGTTAAAGTTCCAATCAGCATAAAAAAGAAAGTCACCGTTGATATGCCAATGCTTAACGCGCAGTAGACAAATGTGCATTTCAGAAACCCTGAATAGCAGTTTATGTAGGATTTTTCATTTTGAACGGTAAAAAACCCAAAAGTTCCTGTAAGTCCATAAGGAGAGTAATAAAGGGCAAACCAGAAAATTACTTCGATTGCTGCTTCTTTGTTTTCTATGCAGCATGCTATGGCAATTGGAATGAAAAATAGCACTAAAAATAAAATTGAGTCACATTTTATAGAAATTAATATTGAATTAAACTTTAAATCGGAACAAAATTTAGGTAAATTTCTATTTTTTGGGTACTTTAACCCTCCTTTAAATTGAAACAAAATTCTTTTTAAATAATAAGACTTTATAGGTGAAAATACTAACTTGCATAAATAGATTCATCTAATTTAATTGATGTAGTGAGTGTAGAACGTTATTTGAACAGCTTTAACTCTAAATCGATTAATTTTTTATAAAACTAAATTAAAATTTTTTATATTTTTTTATAAAAATTAAGGCTGAAAATATTTTATAAAATTAGTTATGATCTAATTTAATGGAAAAAGTGCAAGAGAATGCTATTAGCCAATTTTCATGCTGAATCGATTAATTTTTTTAATTGGTATAATGTTTTTAAAATAAATGTTAACTCTTTTTAAATTGGAATAGGATTTTGTTACAATTGAAAAGGGGTAGTAAGGCTAAATTTGATAATTAATCAAAGGTGATGCTGAGTTAATAATTAAATTAAATAAATATATCCTTCTTTTTACGATCTCTATGTCGTAATTGCCAAAAACAGATGAGGATGGATCCATTTATTTTTATTTATACAATTAAATTTTTATTACTCATAAAAAAGAATATCAGATGTTGATTGCACAAATATTTGAGAGCTAGATTTTTTTATTTCTTAATAATAATTATTTATCTAATCGCATCTAATAACATAAATTAAAAATATAGAACGACTCTTAATATATAAAAATTAATTTTCACAATTTTGCATAAACAATATTAATAGTAATGATAGAGATTAAATAAAATTTGCTTAAATTATTGATTTAACGATTTAGAGCATTAGCCTCATCATTGATATTTCTAGCAAAAAATTGTGAATTATGGACTGCTGGCAATAATACTGGGGATTAGATGCTTTCTCTTTTTGGCTTTGAACAATTAAGGCTGTGTGCATTTGTTCTCCTGTCTCAGCATTGTAAATCGCTTGAGTGCTTGGGCTTATACTTGAAATCGTTGAGAGTAGTGAGTCCATTATTCTTGATGCTTAGACAAGCATAAGGCCCATCCCTGCTCCACATTCGAAAAAAAAACCTATTTACACCATTTCTAACCTAATTTATAATTTACATTTAAAAAAATAAACTATGATTAGCAAGCTTATTTTTGTATTAAGTTTATGTGGATTATATGAAAAATAAGCTATTTAAACAGGCGGCTCCATTGAAAAAGGCAAATACAGGGATTTAGTAATATGGTCTCATTATGAGCGAATTAAAATTAATGAAATTTATCCAGAAAATGAAGAAATATCTCCATTTTTAGGTCAGGAAATTAATGGGAAAATTCACAATGTTTATGTTAGAGTAAAGTCGGCTATATTAAAAAGAATTTTTTATTCATAGAAAACAGAAGCTATGTTGCTAATTCAATTGATAATTTTACCCGTCATAATTTTTAATAATAATTATAATTAGTCAAAAATACTTAAAAAATAATTAATTTTAATTACTCAGTTGAAAAGGAATTGATTTGAAGTCTGTCGTAACTTTTTGGTAATTTGGAGGGTCCTCAAACTTTAGGTTTTTGAGGCTCCTTCATTTATCTACATCAGAAAATTTTCCGTACAGTTTTTCGTCGACTTGAACCTTACTTCACATAAGGCCTTTTATCACAATAATTGGGATATCTGGGATCAGGACATTCAGGACTATTTTCAGGATAACTAAGCTGTGCTCAAGAATAAGGAATATCAACCATTTATTTTTGGTATCCTCAATTTCGAAAGCATCAGTGGTAAATATTATTATTGCAATATTTGTCCCTGCCCCAATAAAAGAAATCGCCTGAATAATCTGAAGCCAAATTCCAATAGAATGTAACCTCTGGGGGTATGGCCTTTGAGTTAGCGTGCACAACTTCCAAGCATCAACTTTAATTTCTATAAAAATTAAAAAGAAAAGCAAAGCCAAAGAAAATGGAAAACTGGCTCCAAAAAGAATGACATACCCATATGTCATAATAATTTCCATATAATCCTACATAAATTTTACAGATAAGGGAGAGTCATATTTAGATAATTTTGCTTGGAATTCGGCTGGAGTTAATTTGATTCTATAGTTAGGATCTTTTTCTCTGAGTTTTTTGACCCTTTTCTCTTCAGACCAAATTTTGTACTTAGTAGTTAGCAATGGTAAATAAATTTCTACTAGGTTTAAGCAGAAATTTGTAATGAAAATTGATTCAAACTGCCTTTTAAGTTCATAAATACAATCTTCATCAACGCACCCCTCAAAGTTTCCTTTGCAGAAAGCAATATAAAATAAGCTAGAGTAACAGTTGACAAACTGAAACAAGAAAAGTTTAAGAGTGAGCATATCATTATAATCATTATAAGTTTCATAGTTTTCCCAATCATTAAGTTGCTTTGCGACTCTTGAGTAAATGAAGTTAAAAATTTTGATTTCGATTGCATTTCCTACTCCTACAGCTGTAACTTTCCACGATCTCTGATCTAAGGTAGATCTATAAGCAAACAAAATAATCACACAGAACAAGTCAAGTGCGATGAAAAGTGCTAAGACAGAAAACCCAATCGCTTTCCTTGTGGTCCAATGACTAGCTGGTACGACTTTTTTCATTCTTCCAGTAATTTTATCTATTTTGAACTCTCCTCGAAATCGTGGCCTCTGCTCGTTAAAGACTTCAATTCCTGTAGTACCCCAGCGCCAAGCCAACTTTGATTGCTCTCGGAGCCAGAATTGCTCGTAAAGAGTAGATAAAATAGGCAGCATAAAAGCAAGAATCACAATTGTTACTTCTCCACCTGAAAGTGAGTCGTCCTCGTCATCTTCATCGTTAAAAGCATAAAACATGATTCCTAAAATAATGCTAATAATAGCAAAAGGAGCCAAAAACGCAGTCAAAAACTCAATTCATGCCAAATACATAGCGATTTTTTCACCAAAATAATCCCTCAGCATGTCAATATTTTGGAGCTTAAAAGGATTTTTGTTGAGTGCCCAGTCTTGTATGAGATAATCTAATTGTTTTTTCCTATGCAATACTAACACATGAGTTAGTAGTCCTTCTGTTTGAAGGTTAGCCAGATCTATGCTGCTCTTGATAATTGACCAGACAATTCTTTCTCTGTCTTTGTATTGGAATAGCGTACCTTCACTGTCAGAAGTCTCCATTTCCATGCCATCATACCTCTTATATAGTTTTAGTGAGCTTTCCGTCTTTTTAAAAGGGCCATATGGTGAGACCTGCTCGAAGTCCTGCAAATCCATTGTCTGCTTCTTAAACTGAAGAGGGTACTCAATGAGTTCTGCCTGCGCCATCAGGTTAGTTTCGCTACATGTGACTCTGCAAAATATTTCGTCACAGTCTCTCGAATAAAAGAGCTGAATTTCTAGCTTCAAGTGGTCTTGTAAAACCTTAAAAACATTTTCGATTATGGATGAGCCTATATCCCTGAGATTTACTCAGCCGTCTTTAGCGCATCCTTCTATTAGGGGGTCGATTTCTTTTTCAATCTGCTTTAATAGAGGGACTTCAGTCTCTTTGTTGTGAAGTTTGAAAATGACTCGGTAAAATTGTTTGGCTTCTTTCTCTTTCATCCAAGAATTGAGCTGGCACAGCAGGCCTTTGTCAGGATCGGTGTAGGGGTTCTTGAAAATTAAAACTAAATCTGCAGGGTCGTCTTCTTGTGATTTGTCCTCGACTTCTTCTATAAATTGCTTCTCTTCTTCAGCGGACATTTTAGCAATATTAATAACGCATAAATATTGACAAAAATAAGCTTTTAAAGTGAACTAGACGGTTTTTCATTAAATTTTTATTAGAAATAAGATAATTTACATTATCTGTGGTCCCTCAGATTCTTTATACAATAGTAAGCTTATTCGGTCATTTTTCGTTACATAGCTACTGAAATTCACCCTGGAGCAGTTCCTTTAGCTATGATTCTGCTTCTTTACATCAAGCTCAATTTTTCTTCTGGATTAGTCGCAGTTATCCGTTATACCAGTCTATATTTTTAGGGAATTATACCCTATAATATTTCGGTCCAGGCCACTTAAAATTTGTTGAACTTGTCCAGTTCATTGGGTGGGGACTTCAGTTTTTCAGGCACGCATTAAAGATAAAAGACCAGCGTTGGTAGACAACATTTTACTTACTTTGGCGGCTCCATTGTTTGTTACAATTGAAGTAATGCTTTTCTTTGGGTAAAAGCCTGAGCTTCAGAGATTATGTGAATCTAACCTCCAGAAAAAAGCTAAATAATAAAACTAAACTAAAATCACATATAGAATTTTTTATTTTATTTCTGATGCTATCTAATTGAGAATTCTGTAGCTCATATTTTAATATAAAACTCTTTAATACAAGTAAATTTATTGAAATCGTTCCATAGCAGCCCAAGAATTCTATTTTGTATACTTTTTATTTTTATTGATTTTACCTATAATATATGTTAAAAATTAAAGCAAATAAATAAATCAAACTAAGAAAAAGAAGTTGACGATCCTTCCATCTTAATCGTTAGCAAAATTGTTTTGCTAATTAAGCAATTATAATAAGCTTAAAAGATTTAAGAATACTTATTGACTTAAAGACCTGAACTATCAGTCATTTGATTTATAGATCCAGGCGCAGCTTGAGAATTATTTGAGGCCCTGTAATAATTTTGAGTATTAATAAGTGGTTGTCCGATCTGTTCTGATGTGCTTGAGATTGAGAATAGTGGAAATCCCATAGCAGAAGCAGAACGATTTTGAGTATCTTGAAATAAATCGCGCTCCAACAATGCTGCTGATCTAAAAGGTTCTTTTGATGCCATTACCCCTATAAAAGCTATAAAAGCACAAAATCCATAGTATATGACTTTGAGAGAATAATTCAATCTATAGCCACTCAGATATGAGTAGTAATACCACAAAACCACAAAGTATGTTAATAATCTGAAAATAGAAAAAACTAATAAGTAAAAGTTTAATGCAATAAGGCCTTTCATATAGCTAGGATTAGTAGTTTTATATAGGAGCAATCCAGCTACTCCTACTGCTAGAATAGAAAAAGACCACAGAAGAGATCATAATAGGCTTGGTCCTTGATTTTCTATTGAAGAGAAAAAAAAGGATGATGAGATAGCAAATAAAGCTAAAATTATACAAGAGTTTATTTTCAAGGTTCGCCTGTAATCTTTGAGAATTAAGCGATCAAGTTGAGTCAAAATAGCATTCATCTTTTTATTTATAAGCATTGGAAATTAATGAATCAAAAATATTTGAAATATTGACAATTTATTAATCAAAAATTTTTAATTCTCTAAAAATATTTCTAAAAATCAATATCTAATTTATTTGAAAGCTTATCTTAACTTTATGTTTGCAAAAAGCACCATTGCTTTGTGATGGCTTAACTTAGCTTGGGTATAAGACTTAAAAGGGAGCTTCACGAGCTGAGTCAACTAATACAAGTTGGATAATAAACTTAAGAGTTAATAAATAAATTCAATTAAAGGATGATTTAATAAACGATTAACTGCCATGCAAATAAAATATAGAAAGGCTAGGCAACTCTAAAATACTAGATAACTTTCTCCCATTTTTATATTGGATTAATGCATTTTAGTATTTTTATGCTTTTGCATTTAAATAAGGTTTTTATCAGCACTTAGATTTTTAAGTAGCAGCATAATGACACCATTTAATTTTATTTGCCTAATAAACCACTCTTTTTATATAATTAAAGTATCTCCTATCTATCTTATAGAGTCATTCTTTAAGTGCTTAAACTGATACCAGAACATGCGAAATCTCTTAAAAAAATCAAATATACAATTCATAAATTAACTTATTTACGATAGCACATTATTTCTTTTCACATCTTAATTCTACTACTTACTATAAAAAATTTTTTTAATTGTCATATTTTCTTAAAGATAAAAAACAATTCAAAAAAACTACTTAATACGTAAGATTTGGAGTTTAAGTTCAAGTATTTAGAGGATAATCATTAGCTTGTGAATAGCCAACACCATCTATTTGTTGCTGATATCTTCCTAATACGTTTGTCATGGCTTTTGAAGCTTTAAAACCTCTCCATCCCATTCAAGCAGCAATTAAAAAATAAGCTACCCCGACCCCAGCTATTATTATGAGCACAAATGTAATTGCTCTTCCTAGGCCTGTGTCATCATCATTGCTTCCAGAGCCGTTCGCAGAATAAGAAATCATAATTATGAATTCAATGACAAAAAACCCTGCATTAAGTAAGCAGTAAATCAAAAAGCAAATGAATACTATGGCTAGAGCTCTCAGCCGACAAGGATTGTTTGTATTTGATAGAAGTCCTGAGATTCCTGCTATTGCAAAAGGGCAGCAATATAGTAGTGACCATAGGGCAACTTCCAAGATGAAATCCGAATTTATGAATATTGATAAAAGTAGGATAGGGAAGACTCATAGGCCTAGAAGTATAACAGAACTTATCTGAAGTCTCTTTTTATCACTAGTATTTGAAGGACCACCGTTGTTAATCATATTTTTATTATAAGCTATTATTCGCCATATCTCTTAAATATTTTACAATAGTTTCATACAGCTTAAAAAAATTGTTTAAGGTTAGGCTTTTGAGTAATTTATGGTGATTAAAAAGAAAAATATGGATATTTTATTTCCCCTAAGAGTAATGAAATTAAAATCCATATTGTTAGCAGTTTTGCCAATTATGCTTCATAAATGTCAATTTTATACTGAAAATTAAGAAGAATAGCTTGAATCTTTTATGTAGTGTCAAAATTACTATATTTAAAGAATTTATCGATCATTGTAGAGCCGCCTATTTCATAATTTCCCGTTTTCATATTTTACCTTAAGTTAATCAAAAAATACATAAACCTTAACTTTTATACACCAAAAAACTACGAGAAGGAAGCGCCACTTCTCACTGACCATTTGAAGTATATATTTTGAATTATCAATTAATAAATTTTAATAAAGGTCATTTAATCTAACTAACTAGATAGTTAAAAAACATTAAAATTGATTTTAAATATATAATGTATTTGAAATAAAAAATTCCACTGCATGAATGAAGAATAAATTTGCTTGGCTTAATAGTAAGTTTCTCATTTTTAAACCGCCTTCTATTGCTCATGTATAAGCAAAAATAGCTATTGAACTTTTCCAGGTATCAATTTATCTCAGACGCCTGATAAATTTAGCTTTACTTGTGCCTCAATCCAATTGGGAACTATTGGTGATTCGTTTGCTGCTGTAAAAAAGTTAAAAAATTTAGATAGAAAGCGTCAAATAAAAATAGTTGCTATTGATTATCTGACCTTATATATCTATGGCTTATTCTGAGCTCAGTTATCTGTGAGTGAGGGGTTCATTATGGTCCAAGAAAGAAAAATTATAATTTTAGTGCATGACATTATAGACTTTTGTAATCCTAAAAGCATTGCAGGGTATCTTATATAGCTGACTCTTTAAGTGATAATTGATGAGATAATATGAGACTTTTGTAATCAAATAATTTTATATTTTATTTCTTTCTTATCTTTTAGAAAAAATTAATTAATACAAATCTCAAAAATGATTAGCTATTGGCCGAAATTCTAACATAGATTTTTTGTTCAAATCGAACTTATAGTAAGTCCATAAAACTATTTTACCATCAAACCTATATATTTCCGACCGCAGAGTTCTAATAGCATTATATGAAGTTCTTCTTGCTGCATAAAAAAATCATTCCAACTCGTTATTTTTAAATTTTAACTTATAACTTTTTTATGTTAGAAAATCCTTTGTTGAAAATAAATAAAAACATTCAAGCTCTCATTGTAGAAGAAATAATTATATAAATTTCTCCTTTATTATAAGAAGCATACATTTGATCTGTATATTCAATAATTGAATTTGCTATTTTATTTCAAGCATACTCATTTCCAACTTCGCTCTCATATATATGACCCTTTCTGTCCTCAATCAAATACAGCCTATCTGCATTTATAATGATCTTTGTTTTACACTCTGAAAAATCATAAGGAATTATAGAAAAAGAATCCAAGTCAACTGAGTATAACAAAATATTTTTATTTACATGCCCAGAAATTAGAATATTTTCATTAAATATAGCACTATGACAAATCGCATCAGCTTTTGGCATTGGAGCTATATTAAATCATAGGTTTTTATCTAAATCAAATCTCATAGATATAGGAAAAGCAACATTTTTTTCACCATATCCTCCAAAGCAGTAGACATTCTTATTGAAATAGATATAATTTTTTAGCATATACATAAAATGGCTGCTGGAGAACCGTCCTCCTAATGGTAGGTGTCTTGATATATATCTGAATCTGATTTTCGGTGAAAGAGCTCCTTATTGGTGAGTTAGCTTCGATTAAAAGGGCCAGGATTATTTTATCTGATTTTTAAATGGCTCAAGTAGCGGTGTTTGGACTTTACCCTCCAGCATATAGCTAAGATTTCATCTGAGAGAGGGAGGGCGAATTACCTGTCTAAGCTCATGATGGTCTGCTCCTAATGGTGTAAGCTATTGAGCTTATTTTTGGAGCTAATCTTGGAATAAAAGGGGAAATAGGCTCAAAAAGTCTTAAGGACGCAAATCTCTTCAGTTGAAAGGCTCTGAAGATACAGGTGATTTTAGCTGAATAGTTTCTGAAATGAAGTATTTTCTTTGTTTATCGCTTCAATTAAGCTTAATAGCCTATAGCTGATGTGCCTTTAAATGCTTGTCTAAATGGTAGCTTTTTAATATTAAAATTTTTATCAACTATCAAGGCCTTCCTATTGCATGATTCCTCATAAATATACCGAAAAGAAAAAGGCTGACCAAAACCAAAGCAGAACAACTCACCATCTGGGAGTGGAGCTATGCATGTTGCATCATCTCACATTTCTGGAGTAATCAGCTTTTTTTTCTTCTTCTCTTTCATTTACAGTGTCATAAATAACTAAATGACCTTCCCCAAAATCATCTTGAAAAATAAGATAAAGAGATGTGGCATGATGATAATTGCTAATATACTCCTTATACTCCTGGCTTGATGATAGATCAGAATCAGAGCTTCTAGCATTATAAAACGAGCAAGTTCTCCTAAAATCTTGCTCTGAATCAGGGCTATTTGCAATCTTCATAAGAGGAGATCAATTCCTTTTTAAATCTTGAAGGATCAATTCATTTTTTTGTCCTCTGTTGAAATCGCTCTTGTTATATCTTCAATTATACATTTTGGTTCTTGAATTTTACTTTTGAGTTCAATTTTCACTCTTCCGAGGTCTTTAGTCTCTTCAGTATTCGCCATTTAAGATTATCCCAATTCACATAATAGGAATATTAGTCTTGTATATTATAGACTTACAGTTTATCTAAAAACAGCCTTAAAAATAGGAAAACTGCTTTAGCTCAAGCTATAGCTGTATATATCTTATAAATCATAAAAAAATTATATCTCTACGACCTCAAAGAAAATCGAGAAGATAATTAAAATAATGACTTTAACAGATAGATTAGTTGGCAACAATGAAAGTACTAAAAGTTAAAGTGTGAAAATTGTAAAATTTAGCTAAACTCAAATGGTTTATTCTCAACTAAAACCATTGCAAAATCTTATATAAATAAGATAAAATGGAGGTTTCAGGATTCAATTCTAATCAATTATTAACTCCATCAAATCTAAGAGCTAAGATATCCACAATTTTCAACTCCACTAATTGTCCAGAATTGGAGCAAGATTTTAGAAAAACTTGCGTATTGTTCGAGAGTCAAAATTATGCCTCTAATTCACAACTAAGTCAAGCTTATCAAGATTATATCAATGCGTACCATAAAGTGACCTCTCTTTATATTATTAATAAAAATGATAAAAGCAGTCTTAATTTGATTGTTTATGATACTGAAAATGATACAGAAGAAGTGAAAGAGTTAGAGACTCCTCAAACATATAGTATTGGAATTTGCATTGCTCAACTTCCAAATTGTGAGCTATTTTGCTTTGGTAAAGGTCTAGGCAATGGGAATACCTTTATAATTGATAAGAATTTTGGAGTTCGTATGCTGCCATCTGGAGAAAATATTAATTAATATTTTATTTAGTAGAAGAGAATAAATTTAAATTTGCTCACAAATTAAGCAAAACCAATCTGCAGCACCTTCTCTCCAATCCTCAGCTATCTACTACCAAAAAAATATCTATTGTTTTGGAGGATCATTTGGTCCAAATCTTTTAGCTCTTTCAGAGAGATTTGACTTAGATGAAAATCGATGAATTAAGCTGACCCCAATGCCGAAAGCTGATTTCAAATGTCATAGTGTAGTATTTAATGGAAATATTTTAATATCTGGATGAACAAAAAAAACTATTTTGCTATACTCAGTCGATCTTAATTCTTTTTCTAAAATTCCTTATGGCTTTGGAAAGTTTAAAAGAAAGATATTAATAAACATAGGGAGATTGTATTTGATCGAGTGTGATGGGTTTGTGTATGAAAGTGAAGTTGGAGATGAGTATAATTGAAAACAGATAGCAAATTCAATCATTAAATTTGAGCATTGGCAAGTTCATTGCTCATATAATAAGGGAGGAATTTATAGCATGATATGATTAAATTTTAAATTTTGAAAGAAAATGCATGATTTTGTAAAAAGTCCTTTGAGTTTTAATTTTCAAAGAGAAAATACTAATTAAAGATGGCAATATATTGGCATGATAAAATGCTGCTATTTTGTAAGAATTTCTATTAAGCTAAAATATATAAAATATACTTAAAATGTTAAAGGCTAGTCAGTTATTACGATTTATAGAAAATTTCTATGTAATTTCTAAAGGACTACATCCATCCATAAAGCCATCACACTTGCCTACCAGTTCGCATTTAAAAAAAGCTATTCATTTCATAAGAGTAAAATTTTGCTATGATCGATTTGAAAGCTCTGGTGCTTGTCAACTCCAAGATAGATAAGTGCGATGCTATAAGCAAAAATAGACTTTATTACAGCGAATCTGACCAATAGGTATTACAAGTTTGATTTAGGTCGTGGATTAATGGTTAAACTTTAATAAAAATGAATTTTTAATATTCTATACATGGGGGCATTTCTTTATCCAATTTTTCGATTGCTGCTTAAACAACTTTCCATAGTTTCATATATTCATTTTTCTAATTTCGTTAATTTCATGTCGAAAATTATTGTAAGCTACTGTTATATCATTCATATATTAAAACTATTCTTTCCAAAACTCCTTTGATAGTTTCTTAAACTAGAATTGTGATGGTTTCATATAATATTGTTAGGCCTGCAGCTTAGATCCTAAAAAATAAATTTTATTCCAAAGAAAATACATATCCTGTGATTGATCAATTGAAAATTTTCCTTCTTTACTTGCAACTCCGATTTCATAAACTATTGAATTGTAAATATCTCCGGTTAATACTTTTAAGTGATATAAAAATGAATTTTTACCAACATGAACTATAAGCTAAATCTATCAAATTTATTTTAGCCTTTGGCAAATATTTTTTCATGAGAGCAAAATTAATAATATTGATGTGTTTAATATTAACTGAGATAAATCTCAAGAATTGAGTCGATAAATAATGCAAACTGAAACGATTTTCGCCTAATGTGATTATCATAACACTATATATTCTATACATTGCTATATAATTATAATTAATCGTATCAAAAGTAAGTGATTAAATTTTAATCAAGCCATCTGCTTAATATCTATCTAAGCCTAATGTATATAAAGTCTTCACGCTTATTGCGTGCCTTGATTCCTTTTCTCTGCAACTTGAAAAGCTAATGAGTCACCTTAAGGTGGCAAGTCAACTTGGAGAAGAAAATTTGCATCAAGGCACGCTATAAGCGTTCAGACGCTATAAAAATGAAAGGCAAAAAAGGTAAAAAAGTAAAAAAATCCCATGACATCGACGAGTTTATCAGCAAAGAATTCGAGTTAATGAAAAAGAACCGTAAAGCCAAACCCTTATTAAGAGCCAATGAAACTGCTGAGCAGCCTTCACGCTTAAATCAAATGATTAGACTTAAAGAAAATGAAGACTTGCCGCCTCCTCACCCTCAGCCACAGCCTCGCGAATCTTCAAAAAAATCAGAAATTAAGCCCAAAGAAAAAGAAGTCAGAGACGAAGAAATATATGAAGAAGATTTCGAGCCCATAGAAGAGGAAGAAATGCCTCCGCCTCCTCCTCCGCCTCCAAGGCCTAAGAAAGGTGTACGAGATATCACTCCAATCGGCGGAAAGCGCCAATCCTCAACTTCTTCATCATCAAAAATCGACTACTCAATCGAAGACATTAAAAAAGGAATTGCGCATGAAAATGAAATTGCAAGAAAAAAAGAGGAAGAAGAAGAATCGCCTAGTAGCCGCAGTGGAGTAATTTCACATATAAAATCTGCCCCAAAACAGATAGAAGAAGTAGAAATTTCTCAAGAAAAAGTCGAAGAGCCTGCTGTGTTAAAAGAAGAAGAGGAAAATAATTTGATTTATAAATTGAGTGAATTTGACGTGATGATAGAAAAACTGAATAAAGGGGTGATTCAGAATTCAACAGTTCAGTCGAATAGTGATAATGTAGAAAAAGAAATACAAACTTCAGAAATTGAATATCAAAACAAAGAAGCCCAATGGCCTGGAGATATGGGAAAGCTTAATGAAGAAAATATAAAGCCAACAGGGTCTATAAATAAGTTTCTCAGAAAAGTACTGCCAGCTATGGAAATTTTATTGGAAGAAAACATAACAAATAAAGGAGGAGAAGTAAAACTTAAAGCTCAAGAAAAGCCTGAAACAGAGTATATCAAGTCTCAGCTTTCTCTTCCAGTACCAACATTTCTGAACACTCGCTTCCCGAACTCTTCTTTTAAAATCACCGATTTAGCATTTTTCCCTCAAAAAAGAAACTTCCTGGCAATTGTGTATTCATTAGAAAAATCAGGAAGCTTAATTTTAGTATGGGATGTCCAGCAGCCTCGAAAGCCATCTCGGCTATTGTTATCAGATTCTACTGTGTCTACAGTAGTTATTTCAAGAAATAGTGAGCATATTGCAATTGCTGGCACAGATGTAGGCGGGATTTTATTATGAGACTTACGAGAATCATCATCTTTTCATGAGATTATTCACATTGACGATAAAAAATACACCCTTAGAAGGCCTACTTATAGCACTGAAGGTGTAGTTGAGAATTCTCACATAGGCTCTGTACAAAAAATAATAGAATTAGCTGGACCTAAAGGACAAAGTTTTTCCATTGCAAGCTTGGACAACTCAGGGCAGTTAATTTCTTGGAGTATTGCTGAGCTCCCAATCGCTGATTTGGCAGGATCAGAAATCGATCTAGGACTAAGGGTAGGGGGAAGAGTAAAAATAGTGAAAAGCAATAGCCTAGCAATCCCTAATTTATTCAAGCTCCGAGTTGCAAGTGGAAGCGTTTTTGGAATTGACCCAAGTGACAACCAAAAATTCATATATGGAAATTCTGGGAATTTATATCATGGAAATAGATTTGGAAACTGGGCAAGTCCTAACAATTTTGAAGGAACAGGGAGCACTCCTACATGTGTTGCATACTCCTCTTCAGAAAATTTTAAACATTTTCTTGTTGGGTTTAGCTGTGGAAGTATAGCACTTTATGATAAAAATTTTAGTGCGCCTAAAGAAAATTGGGCGCATGTCTGTGGAAGTTTGATAAGGATTGGCTGGGATCCGAATGGGAAAGAAATTTTTTATTGTATAGATATGAATCAGCAGCTAATGGTTTGGGATTTGAAGAGAAAAAATAATGGGCCGATTTTGACTATTAAGCTTAAAGGAGAGTGGCAAGCAATTGACTGGATTTTGCCAGAAAATATAAATCAGGAGCTTATTCTAGCTGCAAGTAATGGAGAAAACGCAAAAGTCTATTCAATTGCAATAAATTCATCAAATATTAGATAATAATTTTAAATAGGATATCTTAATAAGGTTATCACAATGGTATAGCCTCGTAATTATGTAATAGAGCAGGTATAAATTAAATAAATTAATGAAACCTCTGAAATCTGATCTAAACTACACCCAAACCCTTATCCGAAATCTTATTTCTGACAACAAAAGCTTGCATGAAGACGTTGAAGATTTTCGAGTCGTCCTAGAAGCAGTCGCAGACAAGCTAAAAGATCTTAAAAAGGAACTCGATAATGAAAAAATTCGCGGCCAAAAGGTTGATTTTTTAGAAGAACAAATAAGCCAGGAAAGAAAAAAAGGCGACTCTTTGGCTGAGTCAAATTTTCGGCTAAAAGAAAGATATTTAAGCATGCTTGAAGTGATGAGACAGGCAGCTTTTGAGATCTCTGAACAAGATAAAGAGGATCAGCTTGTAATTGACCATTTAATAAGAGAAAATAAACATTTGAGAGAGATGTTGGGGATTTCAAGGCTGGATGAGTCAGCTATGAAAGAAATTGATGAAGCTCTTTTAATGGAAGAAGAAGGGCTAGTTTCTATGAATCAGCAAGAGTATCAAACCATAATTGCAGAATTTGTGAAGAAGAAACAAAAAAAAGAAGAAAACTTGTTGCTGCCGCCAAAACCGACGAAAAAATCGTATTTATTAGCCCCAAAGCAAGAGTCAAATCCTCAATAATGCTAATGCTGTTATTAATATATAGTTTGGCTGATCATGATACCCTGAATCCTCTTATCCATGTTATGAGAATTTTTTAGTTTTTCTACTATTTTTTAAATCGCTACAAAATTTAACTAATTTTCAATTATTATTTCATAAATGAATTGACTGCTTAAAGGTGATATAGCCCAAGCTCTCTTCTTGCTTGAACTTTCTGGTCTTTTCCAACCGGAAAGAGGGAGTTTGATAAGTCATCTAATGTTGGTTTTACCAAATCCCCAAATAGCAGAGCCTCTTGTTGCAATACTTTTAAAAAATAGAATAAAATAAGTTCGCTGAACTCTACTCCCAGGCGGCCAATTTCACTGGATATATAAAATTGGATTCAGCGCAGGTGGATTAATGTGAGAATACTCCAGTCCCACATAAAAAAAGTTTAGAGAAAATCCAGTAAAATGATATCTGTCAAAACACACAAGAGATTGCAGTCAGAAACAAATCTTTATACACTTCGATGTGTGCTTGAATAGACCAATAATTTCAAGGATCAATATTAAGAAGTAATAAATTATCCTCTGGAGATGCGGTGATTACATTTACTGCTGGAGGATTTATGAGGAATTAATCAAAAGAAGCTTCATCAAATTAAAGGACAATGAAAGAACACTTATAATACCCTTAGGCGATTCGTCATAAATAGGGAGATAACCTATGCAAGATATAAAATAAGGATTATCTTAACCAGCATGCATCGTGATAGAATAGGTCATTGAATTATTAAATTTACAATGTAAGGTGGTAGAAGTCATAATGGAGAACTCAATTTTCTCAAATAAGCAAGTTATTACAGTGACTTTGTTGCAGAATCCAGGTACAGCTTGTAATGTAAATTTCAATCACAAGAAAAGGCCATAACTTCACCCCAATAAATTAGAAATTGGGAAGAAATGCATATACCTCAGACATTTAGAAACTATGTCTTGCTAAATTTGTGAGCACGCTGGGCATAATGCAGAGGGACATGAACGAATACAAAAATGAGATAAAACAGAAAATCAAAAAAGTTGAGAAAACTATAAGAAATGAAGAGGGAATCGATCATTCAGTTAGTAACGAAGACAAAACTAAAAATTTGCAAAGGACAGCCTCCTAGAAGGAATAATAATTTTAATCTTTAATCTAGTTGTGGGATTCTAACGTTTGGGGAGCTGGTAAAACCAATATAGCCCGTTCCCGGCTATATTAATTGGTTTGGCAACTCCCTCTTTCCTGCTAGGAAAGATGGTAAACCCTGAGCAAAAATGGTGCTCGGGCTATAACCATTAAATTATTTATTTATTATTTCATAAATATATCTTTAGAAATATTATATATTATAATTAATGATTTTTATAGCTTTATAATTATTATTTTTGATATTTAGATCCTAATAGCGCAAAATAATCATCAATAAACTGTCTTAAATCTTCTGGATTTTCCACAAAATGATCAACTGAAACTGTGCCTTTATAGTTTGGCTTAAAAATAGGCTCGAGCTCAACTTCAGGATTTTCTGGCGGAATTGGAGAAGTCTGGCAAGACCTCGACTTTTCTCTTGACCCTTTTGTCAAATCTTCATAATTTTCATTAGTCTCCAATTTCAATTTGCTTTCACTCAATTCTAATATAAATTTCAAAGCAATTTTCATGCTTGTAAAAGTTCATCTAAACTCTACATTATCTCTATGATCAATTCTTGGAGGATACCTAAACCTCTTAATATAATAATAATTGCTAAAAAGCTTAGGGGTTTTAGACTTCAAAACAACATATACAAACATAGGCAAAGACTCATCAGCGCCATGAGCCACGCTTCCTTCATTAATGCTTGATATAATTTCTATATAGAGCCCTACTGTTAATAATTCTAAAACAATTTGAAATACATACCAACTTATCTCGTGGTGAGGTGTATTTATTGATATTTTGTATTTCTATCTGATATAAAACATACGTTCAATTGCTGGGGTAAAAATTATTTCTTTATCTGGTGGGATTTGGATGTCTAAGTGTCTTGGTTTTATAAATTCAAATGAATTGAAAGCTAGCATGAGCTGCTCGTCTAAGTTTCTTTCAAGAGGTTCTGTTTCGAATAGAATCCTGAATAAATTTTACTTGTATTTTTCTCTTGTTATTATGTACTCTAATGCTTCAGAACTTTCATCAATTTCACTTCAATCAGAGCCTCGCCAGCAAGAGTAGTTTCCTAGCTGTTTTTCAAACTGCTCTACTAGAGCATGGATTCTGGCACTTTTTTCAGATCTTGGAAGATCAGGGGTGAGACGGTATTCGAGGAAGCTGGATATGGAATACTAGAGGATTTGGTCTAAATCCTCAGTGAATAAATTTTTTAATTTAAAAATCAATTTGTGAATATTTTAAAGTAAATATAATTCAAATAGAAAATTTATGTCTTAAAATACAAGCTGTTTAAGATTTAATAGAATTAGCTAGAGATTTCATTTTAATAGTGCGTATTTAAAAGATGTTTATATTAAAAAAAAATTTTACACGATGGCCAAAAATAGGGATTTTTAAAACAATTTTTGTTTGCTAGCAAAAATGGGGAGTAAGAGTTTTTTAGATGAAGGATGCTGGAGTTTTTCTTTAAAAGAATTTATGTTAATTCCACGATCTCCCATTTATATAAATATAAATTGGCTGATGTTATTTTGCTTGTCAATAGCTTGAATAGCAAAACATCTATAACACTTTGGAATAAGTACTATTTTGCAGTTTTATATATCAGATATCAAAAAATGCTTTAAATATTTTTACTCCTGCCCTCCGTGATTGAACAAAACCATTAGAAAAATCCCTATTTTTTGCCCAAAAACCCACCCTCCGTGAGTGAACAAAACTTTTATTAATAGAAAAATTTTTTATGAGAAAAATTTTTGATATATATAATTGATGACCATTATCATGAAATCTCGAGCTAATTCTGTTTAATTTTAAACAAATTGCGTTTTTAAAACATAAATTTTACAAATTAAACTAATATTTGTCTTCCGAATTTCGAGAAGCGGGTATATATAAATTTTAAAAAAAAAAAATTAACCCCCCTAGGGTGAGTGAACAAAATTTTTTTGTTCACTCAAGGAGGGGGGAGTTAGCAAGATCTGCTGACTGATTAAGATGGCCATACATGCATGTATTTTACTATTTCTGAGGTGAATTTGATGAATACCATATCAATTAGACCAAAAATACCTTTTCTATTCAAATTATATAAGATACATAGCAGTTGCCCGATGATGGCGCTCAATGTGCCATCATCGGGCAACACCAGACAAGGGTCCACAGTGGAAATGGATTCCACGTGTGGAGCCCTTTTTAACACGTGGAGAATCCTCATTTCCACGAGCCAAAAAGGGCTCCACACGTGGAACCCATTTCACGTGTGGACCTTTATTTGGTGTTACCCGATGATGGCGCATTTAGCGCCATCATCGGGCAACTGCTATAGATTTTTATTTTATACTTTATTCAATTAAATGAGTAAAAATTAAGGCAGATCTTATATTTTTGTCCTTTAATTTAGTCATGAAGCTACGTTTATTTTCTTATTTATAGCTCTTCTTGAATAAATGTCATCTCTTTAGCGATTTTCTGCTGAAAAAATAAATTATCGTTATTTTCTTAAATTTTATTATACCGAAAAATGTTATTTCCTTATCCGACCTCCATTTTATTACATCTTAACTTCGCTTTTTCTTATTTTACCCCTTATCCATACAATTTTTTGTTCTCTTATATAGATTTGTTACTTTTTGATAATTTATCATAACCCTTAAAGCTTTCCAGCACCGATTGGTAGCATTGATTTGTCAAGCCAAAGGGTTTGCGCTCTTATTCAAATATTTTTAACCATTGTAGCGTTTTAAGAATTAATCTCTTACTCATAAGCTTTCTTAAATGTTTTTTAACTACCTTTAAAATTCCAAGTAATATAAAGTAGATAAATATGAAATAATAAAAATGACAGAGAGTAACGTTGATACAATATTATCTCGAATATCAGAAGTCTCTGAGCAGTGGGAATCAAGTGAAGGACCATCTCCATGCCATAATAATTTTCGCTTTAGCAAAAAATCAGTCCCTACTATGAGAGAGGCTCTCTGGTTGATCCAAGATAATTTAAGATTGGCTTAAAATTCCAGTCTCTAAGAATTATTTCTGTCTTTTGGCATCTCATGGATAGCTTTGCGCTGGTACTAAGGGCTATCCTCACCTATGGCCTTTTACTTCTGATGCCACCAAAAAAATTGATGACGTAGAAAATCTCTGGGGAGAATGCCTTACTGTCTTTTAGGTCTTACGAAACCCTCAAACTCCAAAAGAGAGTGGAGTATAGCTAAATCGCCCTTTGCCTTCTAACTGAGCTGCATCACAGGATCAGTAATACTCCCATGAAGCGCTAATGGACATTATTCCAGTAGCACATCTGCAAACCAGGATACAAAGGTTGAGGGTTAGATCCTGACCATAAAACCCACCCGGAGAACTGAGTAATGTGCTCTTCTCCTCTAGGTTCGGATCAACTCACTGATCATCAAGCCATGACACCATTTAAATAATTTTTTAATCCAAGAAGAAAACGAAAATGAACTGCATAGCCCTAACCCTTCCAAAAAGATAACAGTAGATTCAGCTGAAGAATCCCCAAACGACGAAAAGAATGCTGAAATTAATTTGAAAGAATTTGAGTCTAAATTGGTAGGAAAAGACAAATGTTCATGTGCTTGCACACTATTTTAATACTAAATTTTAATTGTAACCTATTAATTACAAAAATTTAAGACTTTACCAGTTTTATCGTATAAGGATGGATGAGAGAATATAACAATTCTTAATTACAAATTATATGTAGAAAAATTATAATAAACAACAAAAAAAATGAAATTTTGGCTTTCTTTATAATCAAAAAAAAACTTACAAGCGTTTTTGGTGTATTTAGAGATTTTATTCTTTGCATTATATTTAAGGGATTTTTCAAAAATTTTAATTATTGAAAAAGAAGTCCTTGAAAAGCTAATTGGGAGGAGCATGTACTTACAAGCCTCAAACAGATATTTAGGATGTAATGCAATTTTTTGACTCTAATTAGAAAATTAAGGATATTTTTATAAACCTATTTAGATGGAAAACCAGGTCGAACTTTAAAAATTAGCATTATTGCTTAATTATTTAGCTGATATTATAGTCTACAGCCAAAATTTCTAAAGCTCAAACTTAATTTAGTAAATTAAATAATAAAATTTGTGTATTAAAAACTAATTAATTTATCTGTTTTGAATATAAACAATAAAAAAATGGAAAAGCATATTTCAATCTTGGTATTTTATGAGGATCCCTATTAAAATTTAATCTTTTAAGGAGTTTGCTAATATTAATATCTTTGAGTTTTTATTCTTCACAGTTTTCCAGAATTATTAAAATGGCGTGATCTGACGTGGACTCCTGGTGACCTGTGAGTTGATCCAGGCCCAGGAAAGGCGAGCCACATGGCGATAGTTCTCCGGGGTGGGTTTTTTGACTTGGGGCTGACCCTTGTCCTTTTTTCCTTACCTACGAGCTAACCCTACTGGCACAAAGTCCCGATACCACTCCATGAGAGCATTATCGAACCTGTGATACGGTTCTGACAGGTCATGGAGAAGGCAGAAGGCGATTCCCCTATACTCTGAACCCTGTCAGAGGTTAAAGGAGTTTTCTGCTGAGATTCGGAGACCCTGACCGGGTGGGGTGGCTTCCCCGAAGACCTTCGACGTCACCATTTTTTGGTGACGTCAGAAAGGAAAAAAGGTGGTGTGAGGATAGCGCTTAGCGGCACCGCGAAGTTATCCGTGGGACGGCGAGGGGCTGAAATAATCCCTTAAGACCCGCTATAACATATTTCTAATCTAATCTAATCATAGTTTTCCGAATCCTAAATTAAAATGTAAATTGCTCTGTCTGCTTTGTCTAGATTTTGATCTAAATGATTTTCTTATGACTAGGTAAGCTGAAATTAAACTCTTCAGAGATTTTTAATTTATCTAAATCAATTATATTATTAATTTGAAACAGTCTTTGATCCCTTTTTAAACTGTTCAAGCCTCTTCTTTGATACCTTCCCAAACGTAAAAGCAAATTTAAATAGAGTATTGGTATCTCTCGCTTTTGCTCTATAAAGCATGCTTGGGCACTTTTTGTGCTGCACATAAATCCCAAAAGATACCATCAAAATCCACCCAGAAATTAAAATAAGCAGCAAAGGAGTCAAAAAATTGCTACTTTGAAAACCCAGTCCAATCGTTGAAAGCAACGCCAACCACACGACTCCTATCAAGCTTATGCCTTGCCACAAGCTGAATCTTGCATAATTATAAGGCCTAAACTTAAAAATAAATGCAATATAGACGATCATAACAACAATAAATATAATTCCATGACCAATATCTGATGCCCTTTTGACTGTCTTATTCAGGACAATCAAAATCGTCTGAATAATTGTTTTCATCATCAAAAACAACGGAGTCGACTTTACATGAAGTGTTGGCTGTAATTCTTGCTAAAGAGGACGACAAAATACAGCTAGTGGCTCATAAGCTATTAATGCAATAAATGAGAAAATAGCATAATATAAATGCTCATCTTTCCAGCAGAAATAAAAGCAGTCAAACGCAAGAAAACTGTCACTCCCCCCCCATCCTTGATCGAACGGCTCGCCATCGTTCGATCAAGGATGGGGTTTAAAAACAAATTTTTTTGGGAAAAAAATTTTTATATATAAAATAAAAATTATATTTTTTTTTTATATATTTTTAAATAAGAAGGTTAAGAGTATTTAATAATTATTTTTACAGCAAAAAATTGAATTAATTTCATAACTCCCCCCCCCCCTCCGTGAGCGAACAAAACCATCAGAAAAATCGCCATTTTTTGACCAAAAACCCACCCTCCGTGAGTGAACAAAAATTTTTTTAATAGAAAACATTTTAATGGAAAAAAAATTTTGATATATAAGTGATAATTAGTATAATGAAATCTAGAGCTAATTCTGTTTAATTTTTAAACAAATTGCGTTTTAAAACATAAATTTTGCAAATTAAATTAATATTTGCTTCCCAATTTTTGCAAATTAGGATTTTTTTAAATTTCGAAAAAAATATTTTTTATAAAATTTATATATAAATTTTTTTTAAAAAAAAAAAATTAACCCCCCTCCGTGAGCGAACAAAATTTTTTTGTTCGCTCACGGAGGGGGGGGGGAGTAAGAATATTTTTTTGTTCCTTATTGAATTAAAAAATTTAAATTTTAAAGAATCTCTATTTTTTAGATTATTGAGTTTTTAAGCCCAGGTTGATGACTAAAGCACTTTGGATGGTTGATTCCGTAGCTTTCTGTCGTCTCAAAGCCTCTGAAAACAATTTCATTAGGCACATCTCCCAAGCTTTTGATAAGTAATATATTTTTTTATACATATAAAAATTTGCATGATATGAAAATCGTACGATCAAGGATGGAGGTAAATTTTCCCTATTTTTAGGAATTTTTACAGTGAATCGTTCGATCAAGGATGGGGGGGAGTCAGTGAAATTTTCACCGATAGAGTGGTCACACACAAATATGTCAAGGCAGATTGAAACGAAAGGAATAAAGCAAAGATTCCCCAAAATCGGCATTATGAAATCTTCAGCAGATCCTAAAAACCTGAAAATCCATATAAATCCCCATTTTTCGTCTAGTCTAAATAAAACAACCACACAAAACACGACCCATAAAAATATTCCTCCATAGATAGCATTAACCACAATCCAAAATATCCCATTCCTCATTTTAAAAATATTCCCCAGGTTTAAAGACATGGCATTGCTAATATTAAACAGGAAGGGGCTTATAATAGAAGCATCTGGTCCCATTGCTGCAAATTGAAAAAACTCTACAGCAATAGTTAACCCCACAATGGTATCTTGTAATGAAATTTCATGCTTTTCTTTGAGGGCTTCTATTGGGATGTTTCACCATTGTTTTCATATTAGAAAAGTAATTATCACAGTTGTCAAACTTACTGCAAAACAAATTACAAAGAGAACGGCTCGTCCTTTGACAAAAGTTTTAACTTTATCGTTGGGGAATGGGCATTCATAATTGGCATTTCTCAAATCGCTTGACTTATTTGTTGTCCCATCTGCATAAGTTATAGGCTCTATAATAAATAGTCGTTGGGCACTATATGGTTTTATCTCCCCAACGTCGTAGACTATGGGATTACCATCTTGGTTTGATTTCATTGCTTGGATTAAGAATTCGTCGAAAATTCGGTCATTGCTGCCATTATCGATACTTACAGCTCCTGTGCACCCGATGAATTTTGTACTTCTTATTGCCTTCATTAATTTTATTGGGTCAGAATAATTTTGTCCTCTGTTGATCATGTAGTCTAAAGCGTTTCCTACTAAATAAACAGAGTCATAATAAGAACAACTGGCTCCAGCTGGCTGTTTATGGTATTTAGTAAAAATTCTATTTTTGGTATCTTCTCCCACTTCTCCAGCCCATACTGGGTAAAGGATCTGCACAGCTGAGTACCCAACTGCAAATCTTTTATATAAATTTGTATCATTTGTTAAAAAATAGTTAAGGGTGTCTGATGCTCCTGCATAGATAACAAGATCTCCTTTCCTCATCCCTAAATCATACAAATATTCAGCTGCATAATTCGATGTGGGGTACTGACATAGTAGTATTAATAGTCTTGCTTGTGAAATTATGATCGCTTGGAAAACATCAGCATATTGTAAAATTGTGGTTTCATTCAATCCTGGAGGTATAGCGTGTAGGTTTATAGGATTAATCAGCTCGATTCCCAAGAGTTTTGACATTTCTACTATAAGTTTATAAGCGGTGATGCTCCATCCATTATTTTCGTATATTATTGAAGCCTTTTTCCACCCCATAATACTTATTAGTGATATAAGTTGATAATAATAATAATAATAATAAAATAGCTACGTACGGAAATGATTTACTCCGTAAACCATTCCTCCTAGCAAATTTTTATTATTATAGGGTTCGGTTTATCCGGTGAACCTTTATCCACAATTTCGAAAATGGCTTATCGCATAGGATAAGAAGGCGGCCCAAGGATTTTAGCAGGCATAGGAGTTTTACCGCTTGGCACACTCGAGGAGAGTTGCACTTAGGCGGAACACCGCTGGAGTCAAGTTTGGGTGAGGCAACGCTGCTAGTGAAGGATTTCTGGCCCTTTTGGCGAGGTCTTTTGGAATGCTTGCTAGACAGATGGCTGCTGACGTCATCACTTGGGAGTTAAAAGGGAGGTCTGATATTACTCCCTGCGGAAGAAATTGTCACTTTATTCACCTAACTCCCCCCTCCGTAAGCGAACAAAACTATTAGAAAAATCCCTATTTTTTGCCCAAAAAAAACCTCCTTGAGGAAACATAAATTGTTTTAAGGGAAAAAAATTGATATATAAGTGATAATTAGTATAATGAGATCTCGAGCTAATTCTATTTAATTTTAAACAAATTGCATTTGAAAACATAAATTTTACAAATTCATTTTAATTTTCGAGAGTGGGATTTTTTTAAATTTTAAAAAAATTTTTTCTATAAAATTTATATATAATTTTTTTTAAAAAAAGCAATTTACCCCTCCTTGAGCAAACAAGATTTTTTTGTTCGCTCGCGGAGGGGGGAGTAAGTAAGTAAGATATAAGTTGGCCATATGTAGACGAAGCAATCGTCCTCACGTACATGGGAAAAGATGCTGAAGACTGCAATGATGGGTCCATATTTGTGCTCCCGATGCATGGGATACTCATGTTTAATTTTGGAAGTAAATGCAAAGTTCCAATTGCTACTGCAGACCCAAAGCCAGTAAAATGAGCTAAACCTAGTTCATCAGCATCTTTTGTGAAGCAGGCTTTTGCAAATGACTCATTGAATATAGTGACCCCACAGTCAAAACTGTAGAGGCTGACTTGAAAATTAGATAAAATATTGGTGCCTTCATTAATTTTATCTGCAGCTATATAGGAGCCCATTGAGCGGATTTGTGAGCCCTCACTTGGAGCAAAGCCTGGATTAGTTGTCCCATCATTTATGCTGAGTTTTAGCACTTTTTTGGCTGACTTAGGAGGATTCTTAGTTTTGCCAGGAAAGACTAGGTCTTTAATGACAGTAACATTGCTATTTATAATGGAGCCGACAACAATTCTTTCGCCATTTTGAATATTTACAATTGAAAACTCATTTTTTATACTGTTGTTGTTTGGCAGGTAAAAATCAAACAATGACACAAGCTCGTTGAGAGATTCTGAAGAAATATTATCCAGCAAATATGAAATGACATCAATGATGGACTTTGCTAAATACTCAGTAGTGTTGGAATCAAATTCGTGGCCTTTTTCAGTAATAATCAGAGCTCCTTCGTATTCACAATTGTAGCCACTTTTCTGATCTAAAATAATTCCAGTCCCAGAATTCAAAAGGTCTGCATTTTTCAAAGAATCTTGCAAGTAAGCTGATTGTAGCGGATCTGTTAGAATATAGTAAAGAGTTGCTCCAAGCCGGAAAACAATTTTTTCTACCAGCTCATCAATGTTTGTATCTGATCCTACAGGAATAAACTTAAGTGTAGATGAAAATTTATTAGTTTCAGTTTTTAATTCATAGCTAAGGCCATTGCCAAATACTATTCCTTCTGTCCAATTAAAATATCTGAGTAAGGAAAAAAAAGCATCCATTTGGCTTGATTTTGAAGGCGCAATTGAATAAGTTCATTTATTGGAATACTTTAGGTCATTATTAAAAACCAAATGAATCAGCATATGGTCTTTGCTGACTTGGGAAAGGGAAAGGTGGACATCAAGATCACTTGACAAGTCAAGCAAGATGGAGGCGTTTGGGTAAAATGAGAGACACTCAAGTATATTGATAAAGCTACATTCGTGAAACTCAGCTAAAGGTTCAACAACTTTAAAAGTTTCAAGAAAATAGGGCTTATTTGCGTATTTGTTGTCAGAATTCACATTTGTTTCGGGATTATCAGAAAAAACTGAGATGATTTCTATAGAACTGATTTTACCTAAACCCTTCTAGAAATGTAAAAATTTTATGATATGGAATTTGGATTCAATCAAAAAAAAATTGTATATCTAATTTGACATATAATTGAATTCATTGATCAAAAATTCAATTCCGCCAAATTTAGATATAGAAATTGCCCGAGGATGGCGCAAAATAGCGCCATCCTCGGGCAATTTCTATAATTGAATTTTCAATAAATTATTTAAAAATAGTTTGGAAACTGAAAATTCTTGAATTTGTTGTATATATAAATTAAAAAAAAACTAGTTCAAGATAAGCGGAGTAATAGAGCAAAGAGCACTAGCGTTTTCCAAAGTTGACGTTGAATAGGATGCATATTAATTGTAACAAAATAAAAAACAATCACTTTTTAATAATAAAAATCTTGATTAAAGCCAGCCCATTGAATATATTTTAAATTATTAATTAGTGACGGTAAGCTTTTGTTTGGCTTGAACCAAAAATTAAACTTCTAATATTTTAAAATTTTTAGCTAAAAGTTGAAATTTACCGAACATTATTAAAGATGCATAATAAAAATTTATAATAATGATTAAATAGTAAATGTTAGAATTAAATTATCATTAATTTGATAATTTTTGATTTAAAACTTTAATTTAATTAAGCATCCCACAAGATTTTCTTTAATATCAATTAGCATCCATTAAGCACTAAAATATTTTCAAATCATATTAAAATTTAATTGAATTTATGATACAAAGAAATGTGTATTTTCTTAATGAAAATCAAGCAGTATCATTTATTTTTATAAAATAACGCTATAGCTATAATGAATTATTTAACAGCTTTCAGCCTGGTTTTTGTTGAGGAACTTTATACTATTTAAATTTGATTAGTAGAATTTCTTATTCTTCCCATCTAAACTATGAGAGCTAGTTTGAAGTTTGACAAGTTCATAATTAGCCTGACCTTGCAACTTTACTCGTTCATCTAACGACAGAAAACAAAAAAAAAATTAGCTTTTCCATATTTAGTTTGAAATTTTAGCAAATTATCAAATTTTATATAGAGCGCTCTTTATAATAATCTATGTAGCTATCGATTAATTGAAAAAAATTCTGCTGAAAAGAAATAATTATTAATAAGGATAGATTAAATTTTAACTCCTTTGAATAAAAATTTAATGAAAATCTTGTCGCAATATTTCTTTTTGATAATTGATTGTAGTCAATAATAGACTTTCCAGCTCACAAAGCTTGACTTCCATAATTGGCCTTAAAGGAATAAATCTGTTGATATAAAGCTGCTGATACGTTAAGCATCTCAGCTTGCTTTGGCTAATTTCTAAATCAATAATCTTATTATTTCCTGCTTCATTAAAAACTTTATAAGTCGTATTAAGCTCGCCATTACATTTCGACTGAATTCTATAACTAATATCATTTTTCTCCAAAATTTTTACAAGAATTCCATAAGCTTCAAGCTTTACTGAGTTATGGACTAAAATATTTATAAATTTTACAAGCAATTTCCCCCCTCTTTCCTTCTTAATTATAAATTTTTCAAATAAATTGTCCAAAATCTTTTTCTCTGTGGCGCTTTCTTGCAGCTCATCTTTTGTTTCAAACTGTAATGTTAGGCTTATCCCTTTAACTTCTGTCTAAATCTCCATTACATTGACTCGAATTTCTATATTTTTTTCATTAAATTTTCTTACACTATAGAGTTCTGTGTTTTCAATTTCATTATAAATTGTTTTCATTAATGCGAAATCTTTGACTGCTTCTTCAGCCCGGAATAAATCTTCATTTATGATATCATTTTTGAATAAATTAAGAGCTGGTAAAGATAAATTATTTGATTTCATAACTACATGCAAAAATTTCATCTTTTTCACTTCTGGATGAAGCTGCACCTTGAAGCCTTCTTGCTTATCGATAAATAAAAATGCTTTATGGATGTCTCCGACCAAGTTTTTCATTTTTCCATTCCAAATTAGAGCATAAACTGAGTTGCCTTCCCGCAAAATTTTTCATTTTTTCCTGATTTCTAATAAATTGTGTATAAAAATATGCTGCCGATCCTTATTTTCTTCAATTGATTTAATTCTCTCGTCCATAATGTTTTCACAGTCTGCCAGTGCTTTATATTTAAGTGCAATTCTCTCGATTCAATTTATAGGTGTAGATTTGTGCTTAACTAAATGTTTGATAGAAAAGAATTGCCTTGTTCCCATACGGCCGACTAATTTTCCAATTGAGTTTGATTTGGCTTCACTAGGACGACACATTTCAACCATATCTATGACGGACTGAATTTGGAAAAGAGCAGCTCTATGATTAAGGTTACTTTAATGAAGCATCAGCTTTATGCAAATCTTCTCAGTCAGCAAGATTAGGGGATTCCTGATTGAAAATTTCTAAAGAATTCAACTGGGTCGAGAACTCTTGAAAAGGAGTTTGCTTCCTTACTATATTTTACTCATGGTATACCGGATTTTCTTGTTCATCATAAAATTCCACTTCATTCTGCTGCTTAGGCTCAATTGATACCATATTTCTGAATTTATTAAATAACCCATAATGACGTATTTTTCAATCACACTATTTTTTCCTCGTTTTTATTACATTACTCTTTTGACTTATAAGTATGTAAATATATTATGGGTAAAAAAGCCATCGTTAGCAAACATATCGTCCTTTCAGGAGACCACCATCTATACTCCCACCACCCTATGTATGGGATAATTCTGATCGAAGGTGAATTTATTTTCGATGTTATCATATTAGATGATAACGTTCCCGTCAACGCAGTTATAGAAAAATACTCTGAGTGGAGCCCTCAGGACTATGCGAATTTCTATATTTCTCCTGGGATCATTGATCTGAATGTAAGAAGGGAATTTGAAAATTATACATTTTTAACTAAATCAGCTGTTAGTGGAGGAGTTTCTCTTATCATAGAAGAAGATGGATTTTATACAGCTGATTTTCAAAATGGAGATCTCTATTGTGATATTGGAAAAATCTTGGTGCTTGACAAGAACAATTTTGAAAGGCTTGAGGAAATACAGAGCAAAGAATATCTTGCAGTGAAAAGCTACCTTTTCCCTCCAAGCACATCGGTCCAAACTGTCCCTTCTGATCTTGCTGTGTTTTTTGATAGAGTTTCTGAGCTAAAACTGCCTGTTTTTATTGATCCTACTCTTCCTGATGCAAGAATGCTATTTATGGCTTCACCGATGAGGTTTGAAAAAGTGGAAGAAAGAAATACAGCAGAGAAGTCAGAAAATTATAACGTGTTTGCAGCAGCTTTTCCTGACACAATTGACTCTGAAGATGATTCTGAGTCCAGTCAGTCTATCCCAGATTTAGAAGTAACGCGGTCGTTCTGAAATGAAGACTTAGAGAAGCTCCAACATCAGATGATAAAATCTCGGTCAAACTCAGGCGAAAATTTTGAGTGCCTTCAGATCCATAAAGAAATCCAAAAAGAAATTTCTCCAGTCAATGACTCTGATGAATGCATAAATAAAATGGCATTCGGTTAGAGCGAAATTAGCTCAGCTAATTTTCTCTCCCTCAAGCAATTTTATTTATGGAGTTGGGTTTTACCTCGAGAACTTCTTCACAGCAATAGCGGTTTAACTCTGGGGATAACCAGAGGAACTGCTCCTCAGTGTACTCAAGAGGCTCAGTCTTCACCCCTCAGCACACCCGATGAAGGTGACCCTTAGGCGGAACACGCACAGGAGCTGAGTAGAATAAAGCCGTGGCGGCAGCGAAGCCCGTCGAAGCCGGAACGCTATATTTGCCGTACCTTGGGGAATCGAAGTAGATCGATCCAGGAGTCTATGGGCCCGAAACGTGGATAAGTATGGTGGCAGCTCTGGACAAGGCTACCCCGTGGTAGACGTAAAAAGTTATAAATAATTTAAGATTAAGATTAAGACTCTGATGAATACTCATTGCTAATTTATAGCAGCAAATCTCCTCACTTGAGATCAAAAACTCATACTATTTTCGACGACTTAGACAAAAGAATCAAGCAAAACCAAGTCAGTATTGAAAATATTTCTCAAGCTGAACAATTTACCTATAAGCAAGCTGGGAGGACTGAGTTTAGAAGGCAAAGCTTTCCTTTTGCAGGAAATACCATCCCAATTATGGAGATGCCGAAAACTCAAGCTGAGCCTGTGAAAAATACTTATGAAGATCGTATGAAATTCAGAAGACCTCAAGCTTTAAGCATTAAGCCGCAGCAAGAAAAGCATGAAGATAAAAAAAGAATTTATGTGTATCATCTCGCAAATTATTCAGAACATTGAGAGACATCAGGAATTGAAAAAATTTTAGCGAGTTTAAGACCAGAAATTCCTTTACATATTGTAGGAATTTCTTCAGCTATTGCAATTAATAAAATAAGACAGGCTAAAGAGCATTTCCCAAGGCTAACATGCGAAATTCCTGCGCCGCATCTATATTTTACATGTGACTCTGTAAAAGATGGGAGCACGATTTTTAAAAATTCCCCTCCAATAAGAAACAGAGGCAACTGCAACCTACTATGGGATTTATTGAAAATGAAGGCTATTGACTGCATATCATCCCAGCATGCCTTTATTTCTCCAAGATGTAAAGATATAGAAAACGGGAATTTTCACAAAGCCTTAAACGGAATTTGTAGCATTGGATTCACTCTGCAAGCTATTTGGACAATGTTAAATGTCCCTGTTTCTACTCAGTCACAATTAGAGCACTATATCATCAGGATTTCTAAGTGATTATCACTATACCCAGCAAGGATTTTGAACATCCAAGACAAGCGAGGCTCTATTGAAAAAGGCAAATACTGTGATTTGGTTATATGGTCTCCTTACGAACGAATTAAAATTAATGAAATTTATTCAGAAAATGAAGAAATATCTCCATTTTTAGGTCAAGAAATGCATGGGAAAATTCACAAAGTTTATGTTAGAGGTAAAGTCGCTTATGATGAAAAAGAATTTTTTATTCATGGAAAACAGATGTTAAGTGGCTAAATCAATTGATAATTTTACCCTCATAAATTTTAATAATAGTTCATAATTAGTCACACAAATAAAATGGCGACGACACCGACCCGTCCTCTCCCGGAACTGGGGCGAGATTGGGGACCTTGCTGCGGCCTGAAGCCAATCCGCCCAGGGAAAGGTCTGGAATGGGTACTGGTAGTTTGTGTCCGGCTAGGTTTTCCTCCCAGTCCAGCAACGACGATCCTAGGGTCGTCCCGATAGGACATGGGGCAAAAAGGGTTTTTCCTCTAGGGACCGCTAGTGCCAGTTTGGAGGGCATGGCAGGAGCCGACAAGAGCTAAGGAGTTAATTCTTAGCTCTAACCCTAGTCTGGCGACGTGAAGCACGGTGACCCAGTTCGCCTACTTCCGGGATAGCATGACCAAGCCCCGTGACCGGAAGGAGCTGAATGGTAGCCTGTGGCACTTAGGTGCACACTGGGAGCAGGGCAAGGAAAGCAAGCGAGGCGTCCAAAAGGCGGAAGAAAAAGGACCTTCGGTCCTGGCCGGGAGCTACTCTATAAATTTAACTAAGACTAAGACTAAGACTAAGTTCATAATTAGTCAAAAAATATTTGTAAAATAATTAATTTGAATTACTCAGTTGAAAAAGGAATTGATTTGAAGTCTGTCTTGACTTTTTGGGAATTTGGAGGGTCCTCAAAATCTAGGTTTTTGAGGCGCCTGCATTTATCTACATCAGAAATTTTTCCGTACAGTTTTTCGTCGACTTGAACCTTACTCCACATAAGGCCTTTTGTAACAATAGTTGGGATATCTGGGATGAGGACATTCAGAATTATTTTCAGGATAATTAAGCTGTGCTCAAGAATAAGGAATATCAACCATTTATTTTTGGTATCCTCAATTTCAAAAGCATCGGTGGTAAATATTATTATTGCCATATTTGTCCCTGCTCCAATAAAAGAAATCACCTGAATAATCTGAAGCCAAACTCCAATAGAATTTGACCTCTGGGGGTATGGCCTTTGAGTCAACGTGCACATCTTCCAAGCATCAACTTTAATTTCTATGAAAATTAAGAAGAATAGCAAAGCCAAAGAAAATGGAAAACTGGCTCCAAAAAGAATGACATACCCATATGCCATTATAATTTCCATATAATCCTACATAAATTTTACAGATAAGGGAGTGTCATATTTAGATAATTTTGCTTGGGATTCAGCTGGAGTTAAATTTATTCTATAGCTAGGGTCTTTTTCTCTGAGTTTTTTGACCCTTTTCTCTTCAGACCAATTTTTGTACTTACTCCCCCCCCCTCCGTGAGTGAACAAAACCATTAGAAAAATCGCTATTTTTTGCCCAAAAACCCACCCTCCGTGAGTGAATAAAAATTTTTTTAATACAAAAAATTTTTTTTGAAAAAATTTTGATATATAAATGATAATTAGTATAATGAAATCTAGAGCTAATTCTGTTTAATTTCAAACGAATTGCTTTTTAAAACATAAATTTTATAAATTAAATTAATATTTGCTTTCCAATTTTTGCGAATTAGATTTTTTTAAATTTCGAAAAAAAAAAAAATTAACCCCCCTCCGTGAGTGAACAAAAAATTTTTTTGTTCACTCACGGAGGGGGGGGAGTTAGTAGTTAGTAATGGTAAATAAATTTCTACTAGGTTTAGGCAGAAATTTGTAATAAAAATTGATTCAAGCTGCTTTGTAAGTTCATAAATACAGTCTTCATCAACGCACCCCTCAAAGTTTCCTTTACAAAAAGCAATATAAAACAAGCTAGAATAACAGTTGACAAACTGAAACAAGAAAAGTTTGAGAGTGAGCCCATCATTATAATCATTATAAGTTTCATAGTTTTCCCAATCATTAAGCTGCTGTGCGACTCTTGCGTAAATTAAGTTGAAAATTTTGATTTGAATTGCATTTCCTACTCCTACAGCTGTAACTTTCCACGATCTCTGATCTAAGGTAGATCTATAAACAAATAAAACAATCACACAGGACAAGACAAGTGTGACGAAAAGCGCTAACTCCTACCTCCGTGAGCGAACAAAAATTTTTTTGATATAAAAATTTGATATATAAGTGATAATTAATATAATGAAATCTCTAGCCTATTTTGTTAATTTTAAACAAATTGCTTTTAAAACATAAATTTTGCAAATTAAATTCTTTCCAATTTTTGCGAATTGGGATTATTTTTTTAAAAAAAAATTATATATAAATTTTTTAAAAAAATAAAATTAATTTCCCTACGTGAGCGAACAAAATTTTTTTGTTCGCTCGCGGAGGGGAGTAAGACAGAAAACCCAATCGCTTTCCTTGTTGTGGTCCAATGACTAGCTGGTGCGACTTTTTTCATTCTTCCAGTAATTTCATCTTTTTTGAACTCTCCTCGAAATTGTGGCCTCTGCTCGTTCAAGGCTTCAATTTCTGTCGTCCCCCAGCGCCAAGCCAACTTTGATTGTTCTCGGAGCCAGAACTGGTCATAAAAAGTAGACAAAATAGGCAGCATAAAAGCAAGAATCACAATTGTTACTTCTCCACCTGTAAGAGAGTCATCCTCGTCATCCTCATCTTCAAAAGCATAAAAGATGATTCCTAAAATAATGCTAATAATCGCAAAAGGAGCCAAAAACGCAGTCAAAAACTCAATCCATGCAAAATACATTGCGATTTTTTCACCAAAATAAACCCTCAGCCTGTCAACGTCTTGGCGCTTAAAAGGGTTTTTGTTGAGTGCCCAGGTTTGCACGAAATAATCTAATTGTTTTTTCCTATGCAATGCTAAAACATTAGTTAGTAGTCCTTCTGCTTGAAGGTTAGCCAGATCTACGCTGCTATTGATAATTGAGTAGACAATTCTTTCTTTATCTTTGTATTGGAATAATGTACCTTTACTGTCAGAAATCTCCATTTCCATTTCATCATACCTCTTATATAGTTCTAATGAGCTTTCTGTCTTTTCAAAAGGGCCATATGGTGATACCTGCTTGAAGTCCTGCAAATCCAATATCCGTTTTTTAAACTGAAGAGGGTAATCAATCAGGTCTGCCTGCACCATCAGGTTAGTTTCGCTACATATGACCCTGCAAAATATTTCGTCACGGTCTCTCGAATAAAAGAGCTGGATTTCTAGCTTCAAGTGGTCTTGTAAAACCTTGAAGACATTTTGGATGATGGAAGAGCCTATATCTCTGAGATTCACTCAGCCGTCTTTAGCACACCCTTCAATTAGGGGGTCTATTTCTTTTTCAATACGCTGGAATAGAGGGATTTCTGTTTCTTTGTCGTGAAGTTTGAAAATGACTCGATAAAAATGTTTGGCTTCTTTCTCTTTCATCCAAGAATTGAGCTGGCACAGCAAGCCTTTGTCAGGATCGGTGTAGGGGTTCTTGAAAATTAAAACTAAATCTGCAAGGTCGTCTTCTTGTGCTTTGTCCTCGACTTCTTCTATAAACTGTTTTTCTTCTTCAGCGGACATTTTAACAATATTAATAGTTCATAAATATTGACAAAAATAAATTTACTCCATTAGAGTGAGTAGATCCTTTCTCAAAAAGTTTTTATACTCTTCTCATTAGAATTGCTCGGTAAAGGTAGAAGAATTGAGAGGAAAACTCACTAGTGGTTGAACCAACTCAGGTTGATCAAGCAAACTAAAGCTGCAAAATGGGCGTCTCTCCAGATAGTTTGACTACCTGAGCAGGTACAACAAATGGAGAGTTTTCTCTCAAGTCTCCTGCCCTTTACCGGGCAATTCTAAGGAAAATAGCATATATGATTTTAAAAGTCACAATTTAGAAAAGGAAAATATAATTTGTTTTATAAAATTTATGTTAGAGGAAAGCTTTTAAATTTAATGAGATCTGCTATAATTATTAATAACATATAAAAAATATATTTAAAAATATCCTTGCTAGCTAATTTTCACAAAAAATTGCCATTTTCTAACAATTTACTTCAGTCTTAAAGGAGGAGTCAGGAAAATTATAATAAGTAATGATAGATTTTGAAAAGATTTTAGTCACATGATTAGATAAGTAATGAAAAATTTTGAAAAGATTTTAGCCACATGATTTATTTGGGCTATCGCACAAAAACTTTATTGCGACTTATTAAGATTTATACTGTTTTATTGAAAGCAGCTTAGTTTACTGCTTATGATTGAGTAATTAGCTATATCAGCAATAGCAACGAGATACTAATTATAAAAAAACGTTATTATATAAATGGGCCTTAATTGTTCATGTCTCCGCAACTCCACTACTGATGAAAAGCAACTACGACTTGACGGAGAGAGGGTTTTACAAATGGAATCAGTCAAACTCAAACCCCTCCAGCAAGACTTAAAAACAAATAGCAATGCAATTTTAACCTTAATCCCCCTTTTTATAATAGCACTACTTATGTCTTCATTAATTAAAAAATGCAAAAAACAAAATTCTAGATTTTTTGGCTGATAAATGGTGATTTAGAAGACATCGTAAAACTGCAATGTGTTCTTCGTGGCTACCTAGACCGCCGTACAATTAGAAAAGTCTACAACTTTAAAAACTCTCAACAATCAAACGATAACCGTTCTACAGATTTACTCAAAGACTCCAACTCCTTTTCCTCCCCAAATCTAGCAAAGCACTCCATCAATAACTCTTCTGAGCCCATCATTCGGCTCACTATCAAAGAAATTGCTGAATCCCAAGTCCCTGACTACTCTACAAACGCAACTCGTCTAATCCTCTCTAGGCTTGGCCCTTTCAAAATCACTGAAGAATTCCCAGACAATGAGCCTCGGACCAAACGTGGCCCTGTAGAGCTAGAAAACCAAGCTATTTATATTGGTGAGTGGAATAAGGACAATCAACGCCATGGCTTTGGAATCCAAATTTGGAGCGACGGATCTAGATATGAAGGGTACTGGAAAAACGACCAGGCCCATTTTAAAGGCAGAATCATTCATGCAGATGGAGAAATTTATGAAGGAGACTGGAAAAATGATAAGTCCCATGGGGTTGGCATTTATATTCATACAGATGGAGCAAGATATGAAGGAACCTGAAGCAATGATTTACAAGACGGCTATGGAATTGAGACCTGGCCAGACGGGGCAAGATATCAAGGAGACTATAAAAATGGGAATAAAGAAGGAAAAGGAAAATTCGTATGGGCAGACGGCAGCATGTATGATGGGGAATTTCATAATAACGATATAGAAGGAGTTGGAGTCTATACGTGAAATGATGGCAGAAAATACGTTGGAGAATGGGCTAATAATAAAATGCAAGGAATTGGCACGTTCACGTGGAATGACGGAAGAATATACAAAGGAGGCTACTTTGATGACAAGAAGCAAGGGTATGGAATTTTCGAATGGCCAGATGGCAGAAAATATGAAGGGTGCTGGTTTAATGGAAAACAGCATGGGAAAGGGATTTATTATACAGCGAATGGGGCTGGCAGAGAGGGGGAATGGAAAGATGGGCAAAGAATCAAATGGTGCGAATAATTTATAGTGACAATAAATTACCAATTAGTTATACATGAGAGTTAAAGTGTTTGATGATAAGGTGATTAGCTTTCTTCGTGACATCTTCATGACTAATTCAGGAAACTCCAGGAATATCTTTGAAAAGGATGGCGTAAAAGACTTTTCCATCAATTATCTTAGCTTCAGTGATCTTTAGAGCTTGATCTGTTCCTAAAGTTCCTTTCCTTGGCTCTGACTCCCCCTTTTAATTTAAAAAAAATATAGGTAAAATTTCCATTTTTTGGGGGAGCTAACCCCCTTTAAATTGGAACAAAAATCAATTTTATAGGCAAAAATCCTAATTTATATGTAAATACCTTAATATCCAATTTAATATGCAGAATCAAAAATTAAACACTACTATTTTGTTCAATTTTAATGGTGAGAGTTATTAAATTAAAATGCTATTAAATATAAATGTATGCAATTTATTGTCTCTCTTTAAAATTTTATATAATTTTTTTTCTATATTTTTTTTGATAAAAATTTTTCTTAAATCCCCTTTAAATTGAAACAAAATTTTTTGTTCCAATTTAAAAGGGGGAGTGAAGGTTTTAACTTTTTTATCTTTTGATTTATTTTTGTCTTTCTCAGCCTTTTTTTCGGCAGATGTTTCTCAAGCTCAGGGTCAAACGTAGATTCCCTACTGAGATTATGTTTTTTCTCTTCAAACTCTTCAACTGCTTCTAAGCAGCTTTTCAAGTTTTCTTTAGGCTCCCACGTCAAATTTTCATATCCTTTTCACTTCACTAAATACATTCTGTCTTTTCCTTCGCCTCTTTTCTCTAGAATCTTTTCAACGACAAAATAGCCCAGTCCCGCCATTTCATCTTCACTCATTTCTGAGTCGCTCGAAATATAGCAGGTAATTGGCTTCTTCCGTGGCTTTTCCTGCAGGTGGTTTGCTTGGGACAGAGGTTTTTTCTTTGGGGCCCATTTTCGTGTGTAATAAAACTTCTTCATATTTTATTATCAAGGGAAGAATTATTTATTGACTATAGGATAAGAGGGCATCATCTGTATTCCACAAAGGCCTTTACCTTCTTTGATTGCGATTCGGATGTAGCCGTCTTCACCCCAGGAAGGACCCCAAGAGTTCTTGACGATGTAGTAAGCAGGGACTGTGGTTCTATTGAAGCCTACTACAAGGACTCCATGGTCTAGATTTGTCCCGCAGCTTTTGTCTATAACTCCACCACCATAAAATTGCCAGGCAGCTTGGTCAGCTTGAACACCGACTGAAACTGGGCCATGAGTAAGAGCAGCAAGCAATGCAGTGCTGTTATTAGGAGTGACATCTACATAACCAGAAATGGTAGCAGAAACATTGGCGACTTTAGTTTGATTGCAAATTCCATCTCTCCCTGTATATTTGTAATGCTTTTCAGTAGTCAGGCCATTCTGGATTACGAACTCAAAGCCATAATCCATAAGTCCTCCATTGCAGCCTTCATTCCCATAAGACCTTGAGCAATCAATAAGTTCTTGCTCACTAAGGGACACCATTAACATTAACATTAATTAGTATTATAGAGGCTCTTCGTATTGGCGCGGGTTTCCCCTGCCCTACCTTCACCCTTCACGCTTCACCCGGTTGCTCACCACCAGTCGATCACGACCTTCAAGATGTTGCTCCTACTGGACGAGGATGTGCACTCGCTACCCGTAGTTGGATGAGTTACGCCACCCAGCAGTACGTCAACAGAGGTTGCCCACTCCGAAAATTTGAAAAACAAATTTTCTGGTAGGACTGTCGGCTAAGATGGAAATCCAAAGCCTGAGACGTAACGCCCAGTTTCACGCTAGGGAGAGTTGCCCGATTGATCAGGAGGCACCTTCCTGATGCTGCTGAGCTTCCCCTTTCCAGCCTTGGAAACCATCTCCCCTGAGGCAAAACCATTGGTGCCAGAATGAGCTGCGGTCGGCCTAATCCGACGTTGCGCTCCACTGTGCCAAGGTAAAACCTAGCCGGATACACATTCTGAGCGCCTTTCTCCCTTCCACGAGGTCCCCCGCGAACGCAGGCTGCAGGTGTTGAGAAAAAGGGCTGAATCGCCGTCACCATTTTTAATGTATCACTAAGGGACACCAAGGTATGGTTAGCCAAAAACCAAGCTCCTTCTACAGCTCCAGTTGTAGAAAAAGCCCAGCAGCCTCCACATATTCCTTGGTTTTTCACTTTGGTTACTGCTCCTGCTTCTCTCCAGTCAATTGCATCAGGAATTACTACATTGTTTTCTTCAGCTACCCTCTTTGTGTAGTGAGCTTGAGCCTTGGTTCCTAAATAAAGGCTCTTGAATTCTGCGAATGAGACATCAGCGAATTGGTTTGCTTTTAATACCCAGCTTCCTGCTTGTGAATTGTGAATCCTAATAAAGGCTGAGTTGTCGCGGAACACCTTAAATCTGCGGGCGTATTCTTCAGCAGTTGAATATAGCTTGTTGTGACGGGCAAGGAAATGGTTGAATTCTTCAACTTCTAGTTGAAATTGCTGAAGTCCTGGTGAAGAGGAATTTGAAGATGTGAGAGCAATAGTGCCGACTACACAGATTATCCCAACAAGGGCAAGAGATGTGTAGAGGATTTTGGATTTCTTTGAAGAGGTATCGAAGGATAAGGAATCCATCTTATTTATTTTGATTCAACAAAATTGCAAGAATTAACAGACTTAGAGGTAATAGGAATGAGAAGGAGGCCAAAAGCACTGGTAAGAGATTGGAATTAGTTAGATATAGAAAAATTAAAGAAACGTGGGAAGCTTTAATCACTATTAGGCTGAAGCTGCAAAGAAAAACTCGATATCATGAAGAAGGAAGTAGAAAGATTTAATGTGATGAGAGATAGCCTTCAACCGCTTATCATTAGACCAAATAATCTTGTCATAATAAATTTTAACTAATAGTTTTATATTTTAGGAGCATATAACGATAGCTTTTATTGCCAATTGGAGTAAAAAAACCGAATTTTTTTATATATTTAAAAATCAATTTATATTTTGTTTTATATTAATTCTTAAAATTAAAGCAATTAGTTAATCCCAGAATAAATAGGTATGATTGCTCAAAAACCATAGCTGAAGTATAAGCGGAGATTTAATTTCTCATTCAGGCTAAGTATTTATTTTCCAAAGTGTTAATAATATGTCTTTCATTTATTTTCATAATAAAAGAAAAATTAAAAGCCAAAATTTGAGAAGGAATCTTAACGATTAACCTTAAGCCTTAGTGGCATTATAAGGGTTCAGATAGAACGGGTAAGATGGGTACATCTGGATTCCACAAACACCGACTCCATCTTCAATTCCAATTCTGATGTATCCTTGTTCTCCCCATTGAGTGCCCCAAGAGTTCTTGACAATATAGTAAGGCTTTTTCACGACAGAGTTATATCCAACTACAAGTACTCCATGGTCTAAGTCAGTTCCGCAGTTCTTGGTCACAACTCCTCCCTTATAAAGTTGCCAAACCTTTTGGTCAGCCTGGACTGCAACAGATACTGGATTAGTTAAGAGGCTAATTTCAAGCCATACACTGCTGTTCGAGACTGGGATCTGATATCCATCAATACGGGTGATATTTGACTGTGCTGCCAAAGTGTAGTTGCAGGTATTGTTAGTTGCTGTATAAGGATAGTTTGATTCAGAAGTCAAGCCATTTTGCTGAATAAATTCAAAAGCATTGTTCATCCAGCCGCCTTGGCAGCCAGAGTTGCCGAAGCTAAATGAGCAATCAACAAGTTCTTGCTCACTGAGGTCGATCAAAGTGTGATTGGAGATCGCCCACAAGCTTTCAACTGCTCCAGTAGCTGAAAAAGCCCAGCAGCTTCCGCATTGTCCTTGGTTCTTGACTGAGGTTACTTTGCCCCACTGTCTCCAGTCCCAAGAAGGATAAATTTTTAGGTCACTTGGTACAGCTTTAGGAGTGGTAGTAGCTTTAAGTGCACTCTTTGGGACTTTGCTTGTGAGGTATATGCTGCCGAATTCATTGAAGGAAAGGTCAGCAAATTCATTGACTCCTAAGGTCCAGTCTTCTCCTAGGCTATTGTGGATTCTGATATAGGCTGCATTGTCACGGAAGACTTGGAATCTGTGGACGTACTCTTCAGGTGTGGAGTATTCTTTATTGTAGAGAGACATGAACTCTTGGAATTCTTGCTCTTCAAGCTGGAATTGTTGGAGGGCAAGTGAACTTGGGCCTGAAGTTGCAAGAGCGATAGCTCCGACTATGCAAACAACCCCTATGACTGCTAGAGCTGCATATAGAGCTTTCTTCTTGTTGTTCGACTTCGAGGAATCGAAATAAAGACTTTCCATTTCTATTATTAACTTCACCAGCTTACGCAAAAATGGCTTTGTAAAGATGAATTTGTTCACCGAAGATATGTCCTTAGATTGAAAAAAAGGAAAACTGATTAAGGCTTTTTTTTTTTTTTTTTTTTTTTTTATAATTAAAATATGGCGTCTTCGTCTGGCATGGCCTCCCGGCCATGCAGCCTCGACTCATATTTTAATTATATCCGGCAAGGTTTTACCATTTCAGAGATGGACAGCAATGCTAGGTAAGCAATTCTGGTAGCTTTCAGAGCCTAGCCCAAGTCTATTCTCAGGGGTGGATTTTTCCTCGTGGGGAAGGAGGGTGCAAGGTTGGAAAGGGGAAGCCCAGCAAAGTCCTCTGGACCATTCGGGCAACTCCCTAGCGTGAAAACTGGGCGTTACGTCCCAGGCTTTGCATTTTTCCTTTTTGCCGATAGCCGACCAGAAAAATCCATTTTTTGGGTTTTTCGGAAAAGCAACCCATGTACAAGCAAGTAGCTCATCCATGAGCCGTCGAAGACGTGGACATTTGCCCTGGAAGCACCCTGGTGATCGAAGCGAGTTTGTCTCCAGCAGACTGGTGGGCCCGATGCGACGAAAGGCGAGTGATAAACCTGGAGTTGTAACCCCGTAGTGGACGTTAAGCGATATAAATTCTAATGTAATGTAATGATTAAGGCTTTTTTGGGCAGAAAATATATAGAAAGCTAGTAATTAATAGATAAAGAATAAGACTAGATAAAAATTGAGGAAAAATTTGATTATTATAAATTTCATTGTAAATTGTAGAAATTTTGAGGAAATGATGATATCAACTTGAAAATTCGATTGGGATGGATTTGTAAGAAAATTAGACAGAAATTTAAAAAAATCAAATCGTATGCTTTTTTGATTTTGCTCACCTGTATAAATGGTGGAAGAATTATTTTGCTGAGATGAGAATGCTCTGGTAGATAGTTAAAAATATGTGTTGAGTAATTGGTTTGAAGCATTAAATCTATGAGCAAATCGTAAAAAATTCAATATTCCTTAAATTAGCGAGCTATGGCGCTATTGCTTGGGCAGGTTGTTTTGATGCTTGCATAATTTAGATCATAAAGGACTAAGAGAAAATACTAAATTTTATAAAATTATAAGCCAGAATAGAGAAACGCAGCTACAAACTGAGAAGTGGCTTTGGATTTTGAGCATATTAAATTTATCTTAAAAAATTAAACCTGCAGATTATTATTTTTATTATAATTAAAGATTTATTTGAGTAGAATAGATAACGGGGAATAGTGGCTCCATCTCGAAAAATTTCTTTTCCTTCTTCATACCTATTTTTATATAGCCTTAATCACTCCATTCTATATCCCATGAATTTTTGGCAATATAATAGCTTTTTCTTTCAATCGTATTATATCCCAAAGATGCATACATGTCTTTATATATGCGTTAATATTTCTGATAGCAAATACTGACTAATAATCATCATCAGATCTAAATTTTGAAATCCTATTAGACTGCCTAATCGATTTTCTCAATGCTTGCTTAGTTAGCTAATTTGTGTTTAGCGTCGTTTAATACTTAGTTAGTTGATAAGTGTTTAGCGTATCGTTTAGATCTGAAGAGCATGCTATAGTCCACGGCCTGACTTTTAGTGATGTCATCGGTATTCTCACGCACACCCTCTTCATCAGGGGCGGATGCTCCTAAATAATGAAACTAAGTCTAGTCGCAAAACCTCATGACGAGTGCTGCATAGCTCCATATTTGACTCTTTCGCATTCTTCCAAAGAGTCTAATTAAATGGAAGTGTCAAGCAGCAAAATCCTAAGCCTCCTAAAATCCAAGGACCAAAGCTTTCTACAGTGAACCTTTCTGAGATTGTTGGTAAAGAGTCACTGGGAATACTAATCCTATAATAATAATAAAATAGCTGAGAATTGAAAGTTTTGGAAAGAGCTAATTTCAACAGTCCAATTTTTATATTTTGACGTTCTCAATGCAATTTTCTTGTAAAGGTATTCTGCATGCATTGCTAAATTATACCTGACAGCAAGCACCTATGATTCATTTCAGTCCCGCATCTCTTTGTCACCACACCTCTCTTGTAAAGCTGTCAAACTCTTAGGTCTGCATCAAGTCCAACAGAGACTGGCTGCTGACTTATAGTCCGCAGTAAATATGCGCTATTATTTAACAAAACATCTGTATAATTATCAATGCGCGCCAAAAGCTCTGCTTCTTTTTCATAATTGCCCCAGCAATCTACAAGTTCTCACTCACTTAAAGTAGGTAATGTGTGACTAACAAGGAACCAGGCGCTTTCAATAACTCCTGTACCAGAAAAAGTTCAGTAGCTTCCACAGTTTCCTTGATCTTTTACTTAGGTAACAGCTCCATGCTGTCTCCAATCCCAGGAAGCCTGATATTCTACCTCCGTAAAACATAGAAAAGGGAAATTAAAATTATTTTATTTTGCCTATAAGTTTTAATAGTATAGTAGCTAGAAATTAGTTTTCGATTTGATGGTGTAAGCTATTTATTTATAAAAGGTAATTCCTTGGTCTATGAGTCTCAATTCTTGTCTGAAGGAATTTATTAGAAAATTCTTCAATAGTGAGATCTGCGATTTGTTAACAAATAAAGTGAAATCTTCTTCTTGAGAATTGTGAATGCGGATATCAGCCGAATTGCTCACAGAAGATTTTGAAACAAAGTGCATATGCATAGGAAATGCGTAAGACTTGTGGTGAAGCAGCATAAAATTTTGAGCCTCTGCCTCTTCTAATTGAAATTGCTAAATTGTGATGCCATGAAGATTGTCACTTGAAAAAGAAAAATAGTTTGCGATGCAAATTATTTCTATAAGAGTAATTAAAACATAAGCTATTTTTGCTTAGAAAATGATTGAAGAAACATAGCCAAAGTTTTCCATCTTTTATAAAATACTCCTTAACGCATATGTATTGATATCTTTTTTGAATAAAATATTTTCATATTATTATTTAACACACAGTTTAACGAATAAAGCTAAATTAAGGCTTAGGACTGTTATAAAGAGCTGTAGGGTATGATGGTGCCATTTGGATACCGCAAACTCCTTTTCCTTCCTGAATGCCAACTTTAATATATCCGTCTTCTCCCCATTGCGTGCCCCATGAATTCTTAACAATATAGAAAGGCTTCTTAGCAGCGGTGTTGTAGCTAACAGCAAGGACTCCGTGGTTTAAGTTAGTTCCACATTTCTTGGTGACGACTCCGCTCTTGTAGAATTGCCATGAAGTAGCATCAACGGCTACTGAAACAGGAGTCCGAAAGACAGAGGACAATAATGAGGTTGCGTTGTTAGAGAGCACATCAGTGTAGCCAGTAATCCTCACCCACGGCATAATTACTTTCATGTAGTCGCAGGTTGAATTTGTACTGTTAGTTGAATTTCCAGATGTGTAAGGGTATTCCTTTTCAAGGGCTAGACCATATTCAAGAATATATTCGAAAGCTTGGTCCATATCTCCTCCATCGCATCCTGCGTTTCCATAATCTTTTGAGCAATCAATAAGCTCTTGCTCACTTAAAGACACCAAAGTGTGGTTACCTGAGGCCCAAGCTCCTTCTACAGCACCAGTAGCAGAGAAAGCCCAGCAGCTTCCACATTCTCCTTGATCCTTAACTGGTGTAACAGCTCCATGCTTTCTTCAATCCCAAGTAGGTTGATAAGTAAGTTGTTCTGGGAGGATTTGAGTATGTCGGCGTTTGTTAACATCAACTCTGCGAGTGAGGTATCGGCTTTCGAATTCCCCAGAGGTGAGGTCAGCAAATTTGTTGACAGCCAAAGACCAGTCTTCTTCAGCTGCGTTATGAATTCTGACATATGCTGAGTTTTCACGATAGATTTGGAATCTCCTTGCGTATTCCTCTTCAGAAGAGTATTTCTTGCCATAGAGGGTCATGAAGCTCTGGAACTCGGCTTTTCAAGTTGGAATTGCTTAAGTACAAGATCGTGACGATTGTCTGAAGAAAAAGCAATAACACCAACAACACAGACAATGCCTATAGCTGCAAGGGCTGCGAGCAGTGTTTCTTCTAGTTGCTTGTTTTAGCTGAATCAAAGTAAAAACTGTCTATTATTTTTATAAAGGTTTATTTATTACGTAATGTGACTTTGTATTGCGTAATTTCTTCCCAAAGATATCAAAACACATCAGATAAAATGGCAAAATTTAATTGATATAGACAGAATTTTTGACTTGATTCGGAAGGAATTAGAACATAGATAGCATGAAGAACTAAAGAGAAAACTAGGAAATCGAGAAATTTGTAAATTAGAATATAGTGAAGTTAAAGAATCTACAAAAGGAAAAGAATTTTAAAAAAAAATAATGCAGGAAACAACTATAAAAATAATTAAAACTACTGGGGTAATTACTTGCAAATTGGAAAGGCTTGTCATTTTAAAATTTTTCTAAGACAAGAAAAATGATTAGGCGAAGCCGGTGATTTATATTTCAAAAATGAAGAATAAGAAAAGTTAAAAAATCAAAGATTTACTACACCTAATAACTTTTAGCTTACTAAATTCTATCTATAGGACCTTAATTTTTAAAAATTTTTATCTCTTTATCATATATTATAATTTATTTAAATTACTATGTCTAAATCGATAATGAGTTTCAAAACTTCTCTTTTAATTTTGATAAGAGATAAAGAGATAGCTTAAATTTAGTTGCTGTATAACTGGAATATTTTGACCTAAAAGTTATGCATATTTCTAACAATTTTTATTATGAAGTTTTTAAACCCGCGAATGCTACTTAGATTGCTGGAACCCTCTAGTTTCTATCTTCATTTGATGCACTGACTTTATCTATTTATAAGACTGGCAAATTTGTTTATGGCATGCATTTGACAGTTTTAAAAGTTAGAACGATAAGTGATAAATTAGAAGATTCAGCAATCTAAGAATCTTCATAAGCCATATAGGAACATTTCACCTTTATGTACCAGTTAACAAAACAAGCATTTTATGCATAACGCTTCGAAAATTGGTATATTCTATATAATAAGCTTTTTATTTGAGATTTCATAATGTATTACAAAGTTTGTATTTCAATTCAAATATTGATATCTAATTGGGTAAGATTTTTCATATTTATATTTAACACACAGTTAACGAATAAAGCTAAATTAAGCCTGAGTATAGTTAAAAGTAACCACAGGGTATGATGGTGCCATTTGGATACCGCAAACTCCTTTTCCTTGCTGAATACCAACTCTAATGTATCCTTCTTCTCCCCAAAGTGCGCCCCAGGAATTCTTAACAATATAGAAAGGCTTCTTACTCCTCTTTATGAGTGAACAAAATTTTTTTGCTTAAAAGATAAATTTTTGTTTCTAAAATTAAAATTTGCAGTATTTAATATTTATTAATATTTAAGATGGAATCCCATAAATTTCATAGAATTGATCGAGGTTTCGTTAAAAAAATTATTATTTATTCTATATAAGAATAAATTATATAAAAAATTAATATTAAAAAATATATTTTCTCCCTCAGGGTCATTTTCAAAACAGCCGATCATCTAGTAGCTTTTCCATTGGGGAGGGGAAATTAGCAACGGTGTTGTAGCCAACAGCGAGGACTCCGTGGTTTAATTTAGTTCCACATTTCTTGGTGACGACTCCGCTCTTGTAGAATTGCCATGAAGTAGCATCAACAGCTACTGAAACAGGAGTCCAAAAGACAGATGCCAATAATACAGTTGCGTTGTTAGGGTAGACATCAGTGTAGTTAGAAATCCAGGCAACTGCCTCTGACTCTCTCCAGTAGTTGCAGGTTGAATTTGTGGTGTTAGTACCGTTAGTTGAATTTCCAGAAACGTAAGGGTAGTTATCTTCAGTGGTTAGACCATGTTGAGCAATAAATTGGAAAGCTTGGTCCATATCTCCTCCATCGCATCCTGCATTTCCATAAGCTCTTGAGCAGTCAACAAGTTCTTGTTCACTTACTTCTGCTTTAGGAGTAAAAAATATTAATTTTTTTATTAAATAACATTTACAGATGAGATAATCTCTTTTTTATATAAATATTTTGTTGCAATAAAAATATTAATAATAACTTAATACCATTCATATCTTTGTTTTAAAGAAAAAAAACTCTTTAAAGCGAAAAAAGCCTGCTTAACTTAAAAGGGAGAGTTAAAGACACCAAAGTGTGGTTAGCCAAGAACCAGGCCCCTTCTACGGCGCCAGTAGCAGAGAAAGCCCAGCAGCTTCCACATTGTCCTTGATCTTTAACTGGTGTAACAGCTCCATGCTTTCTCCAATCCCAAGTAGGTTGATAAGTAAGTTGTTCTGGGAGGATTTGAGTATTGAGACGTCTGTGGACATCAACTCTGTGAGTGAGGTATTTGCTTTCGAATTCCCAAGAGGTGAGGTCTGCAAATTGGTTGACAGCCAAAGACCAGTCTTCTTCGTCTGCGTTATGAATTCTGATATATGCTGAGTTTTCACGATAGATTTGGAATCTCCTTGCGTATTCCTCTTCAGAAGAGTATTTCTTTCCATAGAGGGTCATAAAGCCTTGGAACTCAGCTTCTTCAAGTTGGAATTGCTTAAGGGCAAGATCGTGACGATTGTCTGAAGAAAAGGCAATAACACCAACAACACAGACAACGCCTATGACTGCAAGGGCTGCGAAGACTGCTTTCTTCTTGTTGCTTGTCTTATCTGAATCAAAGTAAAGACTGTCCATTATTATTATAAAGGTTTATTTATTACGCAATATGGCTTTGAATTGTGGAATTTCTTCCCCAAAGATATCAGATAAACCAGATAAAATGGCAAAATTATGATCATGGTGCTATGTGAAAAATCTGACAGTTGCAGAAAAATATTTTTTTGCATAAAAATATTTATGACTTCTTCCCTTTAAATTGGAGCAAAATATTGGTATAATTTCCTTTTTGTGGGTACTTTAACCCGCCTATAAATTAGAACAAAATTTTTTATAGAAAAATTTTATAGGTAAATACTAATTTTTTATACAATCAATTTTGAGTTAATTTAATGGAAAAAGTCCAGCTAGAGTATTATTAAACAGTTTTCACACTGAATTGTTTAATTTTTTGAATTAATTCTTCATAAATAAAGAAAAAATTCAAAAATATTTGTTTTTAATTTTTATTTTATCAAGAAAAATTTAATATAATAATATTTTGTAATAAAAATTAGCCTCTCTTTAAATTGGAACAGAGTTTTTTTGAACCAATTTATAGATATGATTTGGATAGTTTTTTAAATGCATAAAGTGAAGAGCTAAAGAAATGGAGCCCAAAATTTTAATATATATACCCAAAATTTTTGACTTTATTCTGAAGGAATTAAAGCATAATAAGCATAAAGAATTAAAGCAAAAAATAGGAAATTGAGAAATTTGTAAATTAGAATAAAGTGAAGTTCAATACGTCACAAAGGGAAAAAATTTTAAAAAAATTTTTACAAGAAGCAATTATAACAATAATGACAGCTACTAGGGGTAATTACTCAGAAATTGGAAAGGCTTGTCATGTTTAAAAATTTTCTCGACAAGAAAAATGGTTAGGTGAAGCTGGTGATTTTTTATTTCAAAAATGAAGACAAAGAAAAATCAGAAAATCAAAGGTTTACTATACTTAATAATTCTTAGCTAACCAAATTATCTCTAGCAGGACCTTAATTTTTAAAAATTTTTATCTCTTTATCCTATCTCATAATTTATTTAAATTACTATGTCTTAAATCGATAATGAGTTTCAAAACTTCACTTTTTAATTTTTGATAAGTGATAGCTTAATTTAGTCGCAGTCTTACTGGAATATTTTGGCTTGAAAGCTATGCATATTTCTAACAATTTTTATTATGAAGCTTTTCTAGATCCGCAAAGGCTACTTAGATTGCTGAAACCCTCTAATTTCTATCTTCAGTTGATGCACTGATTCGATCTATTTATAAGACTGGAAATCCGTTTATGGCATGCAATTAAAACCTCAAAAGCTGTTCAAGCTAGAACGATAAGTGAGAAATTAGAAGATAAGCAATCTAAGAATTCGTAAACTATATAGGAGCATTTCATCTCTATGTGCCAATTAGCACAGCAAGCACTCTATACATAAAGCTTTGCATTTATTGATTATATTCTATATAGTATTTTTTTTATTAAGATTTCTTAATAAATCAAAAATTTGCATTTTAATTCAAATAAAAATCAAAATTTTAAGTTCTTAAAAATTTTTTTGTTAACTATATGGACTATAGTAATTTGCAGATAAAGGTATATTAAATAAATAAATTGCATTTGGCCTTAAAAAATGAGATTCTGTCCTTATTAATATGTTTTGAATCATAAATGAGATGAATATTATCTTGATTTAAGCAAGAGGTATAATCTCTATTTAATTTGTACAAATTCTGCATATTTCTTTATTATTTGCATTTAATCAGCAATCGAAATATATTGAGATTATAATCATGTTATTTTAAAAAATCGCAAGAATGACCTTAAAAAGAGCTACATCATTATTAAAGAAAACAAAAGGGTCTGCTTTTAATGAGATAGTAACTTTATTCTTAAAATTTTTAATTTCTTTGTCTGCAATTCTCAAACTTTGCTAAGATATTTATTAGAAAATTCTTCAATAGTGATATCTGCGAATTTTTGTCAAGAAAAAGTTAAATCTTCTTCTTGAATATTATGGATGTTAATATAATTGTCATTAAAAATTTTAAATCAAAGGTGTTTAGCTGGAAATGGCTAAAGTTTGTGAAGGAGAAGAATAAAATTTCTGAGTTTCTTTAGGGTATATTATTTAATTGTGATGACATGATTATTATAATAAAAAAAGAAAGGTAGCTTCTTATCAAATTATTCCCATAAAGAGAAACAAAAAAATTAGAAATTTCTTCTTACGATAACTTTATATTAAAGAAGTTGTTTAAATATTTATGAATATAATTTACCAAAAAAATAACCATTATTTAGAAAGAAAAGTAAGGACCTAAGAGACTCTATTTAAAAATTTTATCCCTTTATCTTACCTATTTAATTTATGCTAATTATTATGTTTTCAAAGAATAATGAGTTTCAAAACTCAACTTTTTAATTTGATTAATTAAGAGATGCTACTTGAGATCCTGGCTTATAAGTTTAACGAATTTTGATCATACTCAGTTTTGGAGCGTTCTATAGCCCTACGAGTTTTATCCTCTATTTAGGTGTAGACTCGATCATCTATCCATTATAGTCAACTTTTAAGCTTTCCAAGCTAGCATCGCAAGCCAGAAGCTGGAAGCATCAGCAATCTAGGAAGAAATTCAATGCCATCCATTAAGGGATAAAGACGTGAAATTATGACTATATTTTTAAAAATTAAATTTTAGCTTAGCATTTCTCAATATTATCAATATTTGAAATTCTAATTTCAACAAGCCAAAATATTAAATTATATGTTATTTCTTCATCTGCAGTTTTCAATATTTTTTGTCTCCTCTTTTCGCATCTTTTCCTTTGATCTAATCCCAATTGACTTCTAATTTCGTTTCATAAAATTCTTCTACACTATAGCTTACTTTATAAAATTCTTCTTCTATCATTATAAGCTTCAAACCTACTCCCCACATCCTTGATTGAATAATTTCATTGAAATCTATAATGCTTATTTTTATTGAATGATTTCATATGGTCTAAAATGAAACTTACTTAGCAATCCATCTATTTCTGGAGCAGAGAGTGGCTGACAGGCTTCATAAAATTTTGAAGTTTGACTCCTCCCGTTCGATTTATTGAATTGTGATGGTAAAAATTTTTTCCTTGTAAAAGAAAAATAGCTTTCTTAGCATATTATTCCTGTAAGACCTATCAAAAATATACGTTATGTTCTTATAAAATAAATATAATATTAAAGAAAATTATTTAAATTTTTTTCTAAAATAATTTTTGAAGACGATAGTTTTCATTTTTCATAAAATTTAATTATCTTAACTTTAAATAATATTTTCTCATATTTATTATTTTAACACGCAATTTCGTGAATAAAGCTAAATTAAGGCTTAGTATAGTTAGAAGTGGCTATAGGGTATGATGCAGCCATTTGGATACCACACACTCCCTTTCCTTCCTTGATACCAACTCTGATGTATCTATCTTCTCCCCAATTTTTACCCCATGAGTTCTTGACAATGTAGTAAGTTGGTAGGTGATGGGTTTTATTTTTATCCATTCTACTGCAATTCTCAAATTATTCCAAGTTCTAAGAATTTTTATCTGCTTATCTCATCTATTTAATTTATTTTATTTTTATGTCTTCAATTGATGTGAATATCGTCAAAAGCCTTCGCAATTCGTATGGGAAGAATTCACTTCTAATATGTCAATAAGCAAGCATTTAAAAATTAAATCTTAGCAATTATTAACATAGTCAAAATTTTATTCGACATGTCTTAATATTGCTAATGCTTCTTATTCTAATTCCAATTAAGCCAAAATATTTAATTATTCTTTATTTCCTCCTCTGCAGTTTTCAATATTTTTTGTCTCTCCTCTTCAAACATTTTTTCCTTAGAGCTCATCCCTAACTCACTTCCAGGCTTCAGTTCCACAATTTCTTCTACACTATCATTTGCTTTCAAAATGTTTCTCCTCTCATTAGGAGCTTCCATACCTAAACAATCACTGAAAAAATTGGAAATAATTATTGCATTTGACGATGCATTGCCTATAAGCACTGCATCAAGCTTAGGAACATAATCAATAAAAGTGATCATTTCAATGCCTTCAATTCCTTTTTCTTGAAGCTTTGGCATAATTCTCTGCTGTGGAGTCCAGGTCAGTGATAAGTTTTCAAGTGAAAACATAAGTGTGCTTGCTAAAATTGACCCGTCACTTTTTCCTATTAATAAGCAGTCATTTTCATCCGGCAAAACCAAACTGAAAATTTTGCATGAAATTTCTGGGTTGATTCCAGTACTTGGGACACTAAAATTAAGGATTTTATAGCAAGTTAAATAGTCCCATATATGGATTTCACTGCCTTGTGAGCTCAACGCAATAGCGAAATTCTTTGATTCAACCAAAGAAATAGAAAAGCAGCTTCCTGTAAATCCTTCTAACTCCCCCTCCGAGGGCGAGCAAAGCCATTGGAAGAATACCTATTTTTTGAGTGAACAAAAATTTTTTATGAAAAAAATATTTGATATAAGTGATAATTTGTATAAAGGAATCTCGAGCTAATTCTAAACAGCTTGTGTTTTAAAACATAAATTCTACAGATTAAATTAATTTTTATATCTCAATTTTGTTTGGATTTTTTAAATTTTCGAAAAGAAATTACTATAAATTTATTATTTTTTTAAAAAAAATTAGCCCTTTCCCTGATCAAACAAATGTTCTTTTGTTCGCTTACAGACGGGGGAGTAATAAAATCGGCTCGAAAGCTTGTGCTAAAGCATTCATGTAAAACATTTTTAAAGGGTTTGAATCCAGCTTTACTTGGCTCCCATCATCAACTTGATAAGAATTATCATACCCTGATATAATAAATCTATGCTTATTAGAATAAGCAAGTGCTCTGACTCCAGGCATTTTCGCTGGTCCTTTAATTTCTAATTGAGGCTCTTGAGCTGCAAGATGCCAAACTCTAATGCACCCATCATGTAACCCTGCATAAAGCAAATCTGGCACTGGGGAAATCATCGTTGTGATTTTTCCAGTCCCTCCAGCACTAAACTGAGAAATGCTTCGCAACGAATAAGAGTCAATCACTTTAAAGACTTTATCTGATTCTCCTACCACAATGACATTTCCGAGTATACTTTCCTTGCAATTTACAGCTGAAATTATTTGGATACCGTGCACAGGTGAATATCTAGGGCTTCTTATGTCTCCGGTGAGCAGACAGAACATGTCGATATTTCTGGGACTTACGGTGATTACATGGAAAAGCTGTGAATACTCTGAAGCATTGCTTGCGTCTGGAAATAAAATAAAAGCACTTAAAATTGGTCCTCGTTGCTGGATTGGATACATACGGTTTGATGTAACGTGAGAAGCTATAGGAACGCCGAGTTTTTTATTAGATACAGGTACAGGAGCACTATTTCCCATTTTAAATATTATTTTTATCAAAAATAGGTTCTTTATCAATATCTCTTAAATTTCACCAAAAAAGCACTTATTTATCGTCAAATCCTGCATTTTTACTTGTTTTATTCAGATTCTTCATAATCTTGCAGCACTTCTTTGACTGCATTCATAAAATCTTCATGAAAGTAAGAATAAGCAAACTCTCGGCACGCCAACACCATACAAATTGAGCTAAAAATCTTTAATTTAGGATTGATGATATGCCGAAATATAATTCAGCTTATACTTATCCCCATCGATGCTCCAAAAATCTGAATTCATTGCTTGGCGTCACGTAGTTCGGCTAGAGTTCTCGCTATATTTCTCTCTGTTGGGTTGCTACCGCTAAATTCCCTTCTTTTAATCCTATTTAGCTGAGAGTTCAGTCAAAGTTTTTCTTCAAGAATTCCCATATTTATTAATTCTAAATTTTTATCTTAATGCCTTGCCTAGGCTTTAATTTTTGACGCCACAACGTAGATGTGTTGGTCGTGGCTGTCCAAATTGAAATCTGTCTTTATATCGACAACTTGTAATATATCATTAGCCCACTTGTCTGGGCTAGATGGTGATAAAATTTCTTTGTATTGGTCAGGGTAAACTTCCACTGTTTCTTTGCAGGGGGAATTGTTCCTTATTAAGTCGATTACAGACTTTGGAAGCTCATAAGGCAATTCCTCTGTTTCTTTTTCTTGAACAAAATTGAATCTACTAAGATTTTCGTTTTTGTTTTTTTAAAAAAATGTATTTTTTATTAAAAAAAATTATTAAAAATAGGAATCTACTATGGGTAGCTTCAAAATCTTTACTTCTATCTTTAAATTGGAACAAAAATACTAAAATTTAAAGGGGTTTAATTTTATTTCTTCAGAAATAATATAAATTCTTCATGTAAAAAAATTTAAAAAAATACATTGAATACAATATTTCTGACATTTTTATAAAAAATTAATTTACTATTCAGTCTGTTGCCTGTTAAATAGCACTCTCTCCATTATATTTATTAAAAATTATTATTTTCACATTACTACTGACTCCCCCCCCCCCCTCCGTGAGCGAACAAAACCATTAGAAAAAATCGCCATTTTTTGACCAAAAACCCACCCTCCGTGAGTGAACAAAAATTTTTTTAATAGAAAAAATTTTAATGGAAAAAAAAAATTTTGATATATAAGTGATAATTAGTATAATGAAATCTAGAGCTAATTCTGTTTAATTTTAAACAAATTGCGTTTTAAAACATAAATTTTGCAAATTAAATTAATATTTGCTTCCCAATTTTTGCAAATTAGGATTTTTTTTAATTTCGAAAAAAATATTTTTTATAAAATTTATATATAAATTTTTTTTAAAAAAAAAAATTAACCCCCCTCCGTGAGCGAACAAAATTTTTTTGTTCGCTCACGGAGGGGGGGGGGGGGAGTGAGAATTAAAAGGGGGCCACTTTACTCAAAAAATGGATATTTTTATAATTATTTAAGGGAGGAGTTAGAATAAACTCTAGGTCTTAGGGTAACCTTTGGGGAAAAAGCTTCTGTCATAGCTCTTTCTCGTATTATTCTTGCTCTTGGCAAAACTGTGTTTTCGTAAGGAGGTGGGTCGACTATTATTTTAAGTTTGTCTAGTAAAGTGTGTTTAGGCTGGACACTCCTAGCTTGGGTCATTGAATCTCTCGGTATCATCTGTGATTGAGGAGCTAGCTTGTGAAGATACAAACATTCTGGTTTCGGACAAGGCACGCCCTCCAGAAAGTAGGTGCAGTATTTCGTAGTCCCAAACGCAACTGTCAATGACTTGCCTTCAAGCACAAACTCGTTGCATGCCTTAATGCAGAGTGAGGATTCTTCTTCATTCGAATATGTAATATAAGCCCCAAAAGAGACTCCTGAGGCTCCGTTTGTGTATGCGTTGGCTTTGTTTACAACACATTTTTTAATATTTCCATATTGGCCAAAATAGGCATAACTTTTCAAAATTGTCTCCTCGGCAACTGATGGAGGCAAGTTTATAATGTAGACCAAGTCAGTTTGAATTATGCGCATTTTCGAAAGGTCACCGGAGTTTGACTGAAACTTCTTGGTTTGCCGCTGAGTCCTGAGTAGATATTACGTTTTCGAGCCACTGAGAGGTGAAAAGGGGTGATCTGTGTCAGCACGAGGATGGAGAGGAATTTGGCAAGACAATTTGCGCTCCATTAAATATTTATATTAGCTGTAAGAAAATAGCCTTTTTATAGCCTTTAACCAGTTGAAAAGGATGATAGGCTAATAATTGAAAATTTGTTTGGCCATTTATATATATCAGAAATAGAATCTGAATGCTTACTATTTCTTTTAGGAAAATTAAATTACTTGTAGTATCAGAAAAATTATTTATGCTAAATTATTAATTTCTTTTTAAATAATTGCATAATTAAAATTATTCAATCTCTGACACGAAATATTTATATAAAATTTGAAATTTAAACCATCCTCGTAAATAACGAGGGTTGCGAGTTAGGAATAAAATTTTTATACAAATGAAGTTATTATAGGTCTTTATATGGTATGCTGGCTTGTGATCATTGGTGTAATTAAGAAATAATTTTTAGGTAAGAAGGTTTGGAAAATTTTAAAGTATTTTTATTATTCTCCATTATAGATTTTAATGCAAGTCTAATTTTCTAAAAACGCTTAAAACAAAATCGATTCAATTAATTAATTTTCTTTATATTTTTGAACTATTCTGTCGACTATATTGCTGAAATTACTTTTAAATTATTTATTTAACATCAGGTCGAGGTAAAATCAATGATATCAGAAAATTTGGCTAAATCACTTCCCGCTTAGCTTTAAAATCCTTTCGATAAATTATCTAGATAGCTTATACAAATATTCATATTAAGGCTTAAGCAAAGTAAATTTGAATAGATAATAAACAGCTGCTAGATCAGTGGACCTTATTTTATTTTTTAAATTAAAGGTCTGTTGCATATTTTATATTTCGCTTTTTACAGTTGAAGTTAGATTCAAAAATATTAAATTCTACAATCCAATAAAAATCCATAATATTTTAAGCTATTTAGAATGTTAAATGCAATCTCAACCATAATGCAGTAATTCCTTTTCTATTAGCCATTATAGCTCAGGGTTTCGTTTGATCACCTTTGGCTGCAATTTGCCAAGTCAGCTCCACCAGTTGCCTAGTGAAACCTATAATGATACATTACCATTTGGTAGAGTTGACTTGGCAAATTGCAGCCACGACACTGTGCAGCAAAGCTGATCAAACGAAGCCCTGTACTATATGTTTTTTTGATTATAATATTATCACTGTGTTAATTTCTGCTTAATACCTCTTTCTTACTTTATTTTTGCAATTTAAAACCTTTTTATTCTATATGATTTAAATCGATATAAAATGTCACGCGAAAAACCTTACATTTCTAAGCCTCCTGAAGGATTTTTTGACTTAGTTCAAAGTGCTTTACAATGCACTTTTTTTCTGGTCCATGAGTCCGGCCCTACATCGTTTCTCCTGAAAGACGAAAGCCAAAAGCCTATTAAAGTCAGCCTGGGCAGTCGTCATACATGCTCATGTGGGGGTGGACGAGAGCATTGCTTGCACACCCTCTATGTTTTATTGAAAATATTCAGGATCCTCCCAGACAATCCAATTCTCTGGCAGTTATCTTTTATTGACTCAGAAATCAACTGACTCATAAAAAGTCGACATAATCCTATGTTGGATTAGTTTGGATTAGATGATGGGTGTTTATAGTCCCTAGTTCTCGTTGGTGGAATTCTGCGTGGTCCTAGCCGCCTGGGAGGTACATCCGAATTTGGTGGCTTCCACCTCTAGTAACTCCAAGCTCAAGCCGAAATCCTTGATTCCTAGGCAGTGGTGTTGCCCTGTTGGATCAAAGACCTTCACTGCCACTACCATTTCTACTTAGTCGCTTCGACCGCCTAGTTACTCCGCACTACCTATCACCCTTGGGGATATTGTTCCTGCTCGGATCCCTTTAATCGGATAGACTCTCGCCTGCCTTCACTTTTTCCCAGGATCAGACTACAAACCAGCGGATTTGTGCTTAAGTCCTTCACTGCAGGACATCAAATATTGCTGGATCAACTCCTGACTCCAAAACCATGCTCAGGTATACGTGGGTTACCTTCACCTTCACATGAGAAGACGTGTCGGGTGTCATTACCATTTTTATTATATATCCTATGTTAGATAAATATACATTAAAATGGCAGCACGATTCAATCTGCCCTCTTGGCGCAGCAGTTCAGACCCTATGACCATATCGAAAACTTGGACGGACTACGAGCCGAGAATCAAGTGTAGCTTGAAGATGTGTATCTGGGTAGGTTTGGCTGTCACTGTGATTGGAAATGGGGCAATGTCGCTTGGATCCGAGGACCCATAGGCATTCCTCTATCGAAAACTTTGGTTTCGGCCTAGGCCACGTGGAACAGTCTTTTTTTGTAGCTGTCGAAGGAAGGCACTATAGCACCTGACAGACTCCAAAGAGCTGATCCTTGGATCAAGCTGCTCCAATCTCCCGTTGTAGGCTGTAGAAATCCATAAGCACCCACTCAAAACTGAAGCCACAAGGCAAGGAGGAGAGAAGGTAGAGGAAGTGGAGTTCGTTAAGGATATAGACCCTAGTCGAAAAGTGGTTAAACCTCCCGCATGGATGGTCTTTGGTGAGTGCGTCACTAATATGGCTAATATCTGACTTTAATAATTCTAATTCCTATGTTAGAAAAAAAAGAACCAAAAAAGGACAAAAAACCGAATTCAAAAGTCCAAAGAATTTCTCTAACAGAAGAAGTCGGATGGTAAGAAATATATAGCCCAATTTGCCAAGAAGACATGAAAGAAGTGTCAGAATTAGTTTATTGTAAAATTGGCTGTGGGCATAACTTTCATATAAAATGTATGAAGATCTGGGCAGAGCATAAAGTTTTTCAAAGAGATATTCATTTTATAATTAAATTAGCTTTTTATTTGGTAATATATGACTTTATAATATTTAATATAAAAAGTATAACATTACATGCCCGCTGTGCAGAACTGACTGAGGAAATAATGTGCTTGAAGAACTAAATAAACTTTTAGCAAAGTCAAAAAAGCCTAAAAAGCAGCATAAGTCAGCAGCTTGTGTTGGGTGTGGACAGCATCCTATCTTATCTTATTAAGTCAAATCATTTAAATCTCCTAAGAGCTTGAATACCTCCTGCTACCGCTGTCGCCGCTCTGGGTTTCTATATTCTCGCCAGGAAGGATTTTTGAGGAAGGCCTCAAAAGGAGCCACTGAAGGCGCCAGCGCCAACATTCGGATTTGACGGGTCACCCTGACCTCGAGCTATCATACTCGATTTGACTGTGTTCCAGCTAAAGGTCAACTCTTTCGGACTGGTTGAGCAGAAAAACACTATGCGTTCCACTTCCCAACGACCAGAAGTCCGCTCATCGTCTATCTCACCTGGCATAAACGGGATAGGCTTCACCGTGAAACCTGAACCTCATAATTAAAATATTGCTGAAAGAGAAACAATTAGCGGAGCTAATTAATTTCGACAGAATGCCATATTTCAATTATGATCAGCACCCTATCAGGGGTGACAGATTCCACTGTCTAATTTGTCCGAGAAGTGACTTATGTAAAAAATGCGCAGATAGCCATGGAGATCATCCTTTCATCAAGAAAAAATCAGAAAGTAAAAAATGGGAGCCTGTGATCAGACTAAATGAATTCAGAAACCTTGAAAACCGAGAATTAAGCTCAGAAGACTATGAGAGGCTGCTAGAGCTTGATAGAAATCCTCCGCTTTTTGAATACCTTTTAAACGTAATTCCAAATGGCCAGGCTTCTATATGCGTAATTTGCAGTATAAACCAGCCTTGTAATAGATGAAAACTTTTAGACTGTGGTCACTGTGTCCATGATGCCTGTTTACTAACTCCCCCCCCCCCTCCGTGAGCGAACAAAAAAATTTTGTTCGCTCACGGAGGGGGGTTAATTTTTTTTTTTAAAAAAAAATTTATATATAAATTTTATAAAAAATATTTTTTTCGAATTTAAAAAAATCCTAATTTGCAAAAATTGGGAAGCAAATATTAATTTAATTTGCAAAATTTATGTTTTAAAACGCAATTTGTTTAAAATTAAACAGAATTAGCTCTAGATTTCATTATACTAATTATCACTTATATATCAAAATTTTTTTCCATTAAAATTTTTTCTATTAAAAAAAATTTTTGTTCACTCACGGAGGGTGGGTTTTTGGTCAAAAAATGGCGATTTTTCTAATGGTTTTGTTCGCTCACGGAGGGGGGGGGGGGGGAGTAAGTAATTTACAAGAGGAAAATTATATCTGTCCTGCAGATCATTATCCAATATTAAAAGGATTAGAAATTGAGTGCTTAAATGTAACTATGCCTGTAAGAACACAATCATTAAACCAAGAATTAACTGTAAATGGCCAACAAATTGCAGCTAATAATGAGGCAAGAATAAGAATAAGGAAAAGGCCAAATCCACCGTCAGCACATGTGAGGAGAGAAGAATTGTATTTAGGACCGCCACCAAGAGGAAGGTTTAATGAAACTAGAGACAGCTGAAAGAGAAGACAAGTGCAAATGAATTATCAAGCTCCTTCTCGGCAAGATTTCGAGTTTCCTGGACTTGTTATAACGAAGCTTGCAGGGCCAGCAGCAAGAAAAGGCACTTTAATCAGTAGTGCGCATTCTGTATTAAATCAATAAAATTTATAATTTTTATTTTTGTTACACAAAATAATGGGTAATTTTTAATTGCTAATTATCATGTCGTTGGCCAAGAAATTTTTTATTCAGTCCTCTATATATGATTAATCAATTTAAATAAGAAGCTTAGTTCTAACTCAAACCTATAACTTTATTTTTTTATAAAATTTTATAATAAAAATAGCATTGTTTTTATATAAAATAAATTTTTAATTTTTTTATTGTGCCATAACTTTGTTTAATAGAGTAAGGGAAGGCTTTCTTGGTCATGATGTTGTAGAAGTCTTCAAAAGACACTTGCCCATCTCCATCACTGTCAGCTCTTTCAATCATTTCCAACAGCTCTTCATCAGTCATGGTTTCTCCTAGTTCTTTTGCTACTCTTCTTAGGTTCTTGATGCTGATAGTTCCAGTTTTATCGTCATCAAAAAGTCTGAAGACTTTTTGGATGTCTTCTCTGGTGTCTTTATCGCTCATTCTTGCAGTCATCATGTCAAGGAACTCATCAAAGTCAATGGCTCCAGACCCATCCTTATCTAAATCACTGACCATTTGGTAAATGGTTTGATTTTTGGCTTCAAAGCCCAGCGATTGCATAGCTGAAGTCAACTCTCTAGGGTCAATTGTCCCAGATCCATCAGTATCGAATAAATCGAAGGCTTCCTTGATTTCTTCGATCTCATCTTCAGTGAGGCCTGGACGCTCATATTGCTTTGGATTAAAAGCTTTTGCGCCTGTTCCTGCTCTTCCTGCCATTTAATTTCAACAACTATGTGCCAATGAAATAAGTTTAAATTGCCATAAAAAGGGTTTAAAGGAAATTGCTGATGAAATTGGAAGAAAAGAAAAATTTGGTAATAGGTCTAGTCTTAAAGACTTTTAGCAATCTATAAGGGTTTATCGTTCTCAAGAAATATCCCATTAAATAATAAAATCCATGCGAATGACATCATAGACTTGAAACTCACAGACAATGCACTTCGCTTTCTTAATTTCATGCTAACTCTTCACTGTAAACTTGAGGAGCCAATAGAGCCATTTTTTCAGCCTGATAATCCCTGATGAAAGGCTAAAAGACTCCTAGAGATATTATGAGCTTAAAAATTGAAGGAATTATTTTAATTTAAGATTAGATTAAAGAAACAGAAACTTCAATATTAAATGAAAAGGAGTGGATTTATGAAACCTGTGCAATGATTATTCAATATGTTTTCGATTAAAAATTTATAGTTGAGAGATGCTAAAAATATTTTTTTGCTTGGATTTATGAGCATTTTTATAAGGCTTTTACACTAAATAAACTGAAACAGCATCATAATGGAATTAATTTAATAATTAAAAGCATAATTTAACTTCATTATTAAGTCAACCTGAAGAATGTATTTAAACATTTTAAACTTTAATTCTTTTGCAGCTTCTTTTCTGCTCAATAATATCTCTATAATCATAGCTATTTTCCAAAATTTTAACTATATCTATACTTTATCTCTCTCAGTTCACATAGTCTATCCCATATCTTTAGAATTTCCATCTTATCAGTTCTGATGCAATTAACATTAATTATAGATTAAGGCACTTCCTCCTTTTAATTCTCAAAAGACCCTCTGGGCGGAGTCGAAAAGCAGTAGAACCTCCCATATAGGAGGTCTTTGGTGACTACGTCACCAATATGGCTAATGCCGACTTTAATAGCATAGCATAACATAACTTGCAGACTCTGTTTCCTGCTCGGTTTGGCTTCAGCTGCAGCAATACCCTCAAACTCGAAGCAGGTTCGGGGCGTCACCATTTTATTTGTGTATCAGTTCTGATGCCATTTCTTTAATATGATTGGGTAAACCATCCATAAATTCTTAAAAAGCCATATAAAATTATGACATCCCAAACAGTAGTTCAAGCTGAACTAGTCCATCTAGTTGCAGACTACATGGCTTTACGTTTTACAATCCCAGAGATTGAAGCAGGAGAAACTATCGAAGGAGGGGAGCTTTATGCAATGTTCGCAGTTGATAAAAGTGGATCCATGAGTGGCTCCCCAATGAATGATGCTAAAGGAGCAGCTGAAAGTTTGACAGTGAAATTCCGTAAAATGGACGTCCCTGTCACTGTCTATCCTTTTTCCAACACAAGTAAAGATTGGAGCTCAGATGCTATGGGCTATGATGAACTCGTAAAAAATTTACAAGCACTTAAAGCAAGTGGTGGGACTATTTTTGAAAGCGTTATTAAAATGATGGAACAAAAAATAAATGAAAAGAACCTAAAGAACGTCTTTTCTGTTTGGCTCACTGATGGACAAGATAATAATGGCTTGGCAAGCTTAACTCCAGTTATGGAGTCCTTTAAGAATAGTCTTGAAGCTAAAGGTGTTTCAATTGCAGTTCATTGTATTGGCTTTGGCTCTGGTCACGATGCCACTCTATTAACTAAACTATCACAGAGTGGAACCAGGCCTGGAACTTTCCAATATGTCCCTGAAGGAGGAAGAATTCCTGTTGCAGTCAACAATGTTTATGAACTAGCATATGAATCCACAACATGGGCAAGATTAGTATCTCAAGGTGGAGCTGTTTCTTTCTAAATTATTAGCGTTCAGTTTAGCGTTTCGTGCTTCACCTATAAAACACTCGTCATAGCGTTATCTAGCTCGGACCATGCCTTATCTTTAGACGGACAGCCTCTCGGCACTTTGATAATGCCAACTTGAGTCATCTCGCACTCTAAAGATCCCAGTCATGACGGCCTGGGATTGCTAACACATTAAATAAATTTTATTTCCTAGAGGATGAACTTCTAATACTATGACTGCTTGAGTTTTAATACTCTACCATGGCTCGCTGGGTTAAACCAAGCCTCTTAATTACAATAAAATAGAAAAATTCTCTCCAGGAGTCCAGAAAATTAGAATGACGACATACTTTGACTATGAGCTGTTTCATACAAAGTAAACGTTGATAAAGATGGAGACGAAGAATCAAAAACTCCTGGCTTGAAGGCTTTAGTCTATATCTCTGAAAATGATTTAGAAGACTGCAAAATTGAAATCCACAAAGGCTCTAGTGTTGTTTCTGTAGAACTTGAGCCTACAAGAGGAGACTCTAAAAATTTCTTTGACTTACTTTAGATTATTGGATTATAGCTATTGTGAAAAAAATAAATAATAAAAAATTGTTTATTTATTTTTTATAGGAGGAAATTAGTTGATTTGGTGACAAGATTTATTGCATTTAAAGTCTCACAAGCTTTAGAGCAAGGTGCAGTAGGTGCAGGTGAGAAGCTAAGAGAACTAAGCCCACTTTTAGAAGAAATGGGCAGAAGACTTGAAAATTTATTGCAAGAATCCAAGAGATTGCGCCCATACAAACAAAAACAACTTGCATCCTTTTTTTCAGCAACAAAGGACTTAATTAACTTCTATTTTTCCACTCTTGGAACCATTGGAGGTGGAGAGATTGGAAACGAAACTTTAGCTCAGCTAAATGGCTATGCTAACAAAGTTTCCTTACTCTATTTATTCTTGATAAATGATTGACCATTTTTGGTCAAGGATGGTGCGAAAAATTTCTTGTAAAACAGATTATATGTAATTTATATTAGCTTGCAAAAATTATTATATTAAAGATTTTCCCATAAAAATGTTATGCTCTAGTAATAAAGGTAAAGCATGTAAAATATTCTGCCAATATGCTATAATCCCTTGGCTAAATTTCTATGGCCGTTATACGTGCCATTTTCATATGAAATTTCAAATTATGAATTTGCTGCACTAAAATCTGCGTTTTGAAACGTATATTTGGTTTTCACATACCAAAAATTCAAAATGGCATGCATATGCATGATAAGAAATAAATACAATGCATCATAGAAATCGCAAGGTATAGAATAGTTTCATTCATGACCATATGAAAATATTTGACCAAGAACACGGTTGATTTTCATTGTTAGGAAATTTTCAATGGAATCGCTCAATTGAGGGAAGGGAGTTAAGAAAAAATCTTGAAAAGAAAATTGCCAAAGAGGCTGGACCAAATCTCCCATTGCTGTTCCTAGCAGATGACCAGACTGAAGAGTTGATGCACGATTTCGAAAGAAAAGAATTGGTAGAAAAATACCCAGACTTCCAAAGACAAGGAACTTGCATTCTTTCAGGGAAAAATTGGATTGATGCTGTCACTTCTGGCGACTGTTTATGCTTAACTTTCAGCGTAGAGAGACCACAGAATCTTGAAGGAAACCCACTCGATATTAAAATCACGAACATTTCATCAACCATAATATCCCATGATACTTTTCTAGAGTCACCATTATTCGAGACAAAAGCAGGGCAGCTTATACAAGGTCCTAGAAGCTATCAGCATGGCCAACCAACACCATCAGCCCACACATTGGATCCTAAGCTTCCTCATGAGCCTTTAAACGCAGTAATTCCTCTTTTTATATCTCCAGAACACTGGAAAATCGCAAAATTAAGACTCAATTCTATGCTAGCATATGATATCACTGTTGACGTCTTAGGTTTCAAGCCTGATCAGCTGCTTTATTTCCCATTCATGCTCCTATGCAAGTCCTTTGAGTTAAACTTGCCTAAAATATCTCCAGAGACCCATAGTTTGATTCAAGAGACCTGCAGACAAATTTATATCGACAATCAAGACTCAATTCTTAGGAACCTAAAAGACAAAGTAGAAAATTACATTGCTGTTCCTGCGATACGTCTTGAAGATTCTATTCCTAGTAACCAAATCTTTTTGAGCCAATTATATATTGCTAGCTTGGTTGGAGATATTACTGAGTTTAGAGAGATCTTGCCATTTGTTTTCGAAGAAGAGGTCAGAAGATCTTTTAAGTACCCAGAAACTAAGTTCCATGAATTATGCTTAAAATTGTTAAAAGTTGACGCCACTAAAGAAATTGAAGCTGTCAAAGCTTCTTTTGTGGATAAAAAGTCATCATTTGCTCAGAGATTTCTTGCTCTGCTTGAAAGTGTTACTGGAGTAAAAGAGACAGAAGAAGTGAAAAAAGAAGAGGATGCAAAACAAGAAGAGCCAGCTGCTGCTGCTGCTCAAAAGCACGAATTTAAAGACAGAATTTTAGAGCTAAGCGCAGAAACAAACGAGGCAATTGATAAACTCTACTCTGAGCTACAACACCAAGCTTTTGGTGGTTTTTCACAGCTTCTATCAGTACTCGGACTTACTGTAAACACCCTTGAAGACCTTAGCTTGACAGAAAACGAGCAAAAGCTCGCATTTTTACTACAAGTAATCGGCCATCATAAAACTCCAGATCGTAAAGAAGCCATAAACAACAACGCTTACGTTAATTCTTTTGACAAAGAAGCAAGCATTGCTTTTATCCAAAACTCCTATACAGCAACATTAAATAGAGAAGTCTTATCATTCAAATCTCAACTAATTGCCCAGCTTGAAGGAAAAGAAGCTCAGCAAAAGGCAACTACCTTTGCTATGACTGACGATCTAAACGAAGCAGCTGGACTTGTCCATGGCTTGCATCAAGGTGACATTGGGTTCCCTCTATTCGCAAAAAGTTTAGCCATGGGTCATGTCCCTCATGTCATTGAAAAAATCAAAATGCTTGTTACAGGCCAGTACAGAGGAGTCAAGCTTATCATGGACACCCTAAAACTAAATCCAACATTTATAGAGTGGAAACCTAAGAAAAAATTCACCCACAAAATTTACCTCGCCCATAAGGATGAAGTCAGAAAAGAAGATTGGTTCGAAGCTTTCCCTCACCAAAGAGAGCACTTTGAGCACATTTTTATGAGAAGCAGCGGCACGTTTGTCCCGTACACGAAGCCAAGATCAAACTGTCGTGATAAGAGACATTTTAATAAGCCTTAAAATAATCAGTCTTTAAGCGTCATTATTCATTTTTTATATGATTAATATTTTTTCAGCTATTTTTTGGCGAAATTCTCAGCATTTCCTTACTTTTATTTTTCACATAAAATCACATGTAACTAATATCAATTTTGTCGAAATTATGAAATGGAAGGCATAGAGGAGCATAAAGTTGCTTTCCAAAGCAATCTGAGACCTGAGCGTGAAATCATCGAAGAAGCTTTGAATTGAAAGCCTATTGACAACACTGACGATTATAGAGTAGAAAATGCATACGCATATGGAGGAATTGCCCTTCTTGATAGTGCTGCATTGTCGAAAATGCGAAGCGTAGGAAAAGAAATCGTCAAAGAAATCGGCAGAAAAATCCTGAGTGGTCACCTCAACCTCACACAAATTTCCTTTCCTATTAGATGCATGCAGGCAAATACTGCTCTCCACAATACACTGAAAGGATCTCTTATGAGCCCTCTGTATTTGAATAAAGCAGCAGCTACGTCAGATCCGTTGGAAAGGATGAAATTGGTAATTGTGTGCAGCATTTCGTCGTATATACACACTTCAACTTTTCTAAAGCCTCTTAACCCTATTTTAGGTGAAACTTTGCATGCCCGACTGGAAGATGGTGGAGAAATGTGGGCGGAACAAACCAGTCACCATCCACCAGTTTCCCACTTTTACATTGAGGGTCCTAATAAGAATTATGTGTGTCACGGCTATTATAATTATACAGCAAAAGCAGGGTTGAATTCTGTAACAGTAAAATTTATGTAGATTACCAACGTTGGAAAAAAGGTTTTTCAATTCCCAGATGGGCAGATAATCACTCATAACTTGCCAAATGAACTATTCGCAGGGACGTTTTTCGGGACAATGAGACATGAAAGTTTAGGAGTTTTGGTATTTACTGATAATTTAAATAGATACAAAGCAAAGGTGGAGTTTGCGTTCAATAAAAACTTGCCAAGTGATTATATAAGTGGAGAAATTACTGATGTGCATGGGAATAAAATAAGTGAAATAAGTGGGACTTATTGTGGACATATTGAAATTGACGGCAAGAGATATTGGGATGCAAGACATATCAGACCATTTAGAATTGATTATGATATTATTCTGCCAAGTGATTCAGAAATCAGAGAAGACATTGTAACACTGAGAAGAGGCTTAGTTGACGAAGCGCAGGCTGCAAAGGAAGCTTTGGAGGTTCTACAGCGCCATGATAGAAAATTGAGAGGTTCTAAACATTAAAGATTATTAGGATAATAAGTCTTATTTTATTAATATTTGTGATAATAAAATAGATGAGTTTGGAAAATTATTTTATGTTAGATTCTTATATAAATTTTAATACTAAGAAATTTAGCTTTTGATTATGGATTCCATAACGCAATAAATTATATACTTGCGGAATAGAGTAATCAATTAAACTAATTAACCTATATGAAAATTATAATTAAATGCTTACTGGAAATTATAATTATCAAGGATTTTACAAAACATACAGACAAAGTATTTGAAGATATAAAATTTGGAAAATAATATAATTATAGCTTGAGCTTCCAATTTCTTGTACTTATTTAATGGCTCCCAACGTAATTAAGGATTGATGGTTCGAAAAACACTTTTATTTTTAGGGATTTGAGGAAATTAAAAGGTTGTCAGTAGTAGGGCTACTTAGTCTATGATCAATGTTTGTTCAGTTACGAGATTTCCTTTGAAATATATGATATAGATGAAGCATTGGATAACTTATTGCAATTGTAGAAGGAGATTGATCTTGCTAAACCTAAAAATTAATTTCATTTAAAAATAGGCAGAATTCTGTTTGATAATACCTGCTATACAGGCCAAATATAATGTAATTGTTAAAAATTTTATTTTAAAATAATTTACTTAACTTCCTTGCTATAAATGTCATATCTTGCCGATCTAAAAATATCCTAATTCCCCCTCTGTTAGCAAGCAAAACCTTTGGAAAAATCCTTGAGTGAACAAAAATTTTTTATCAAAAAATAATTGACATATAAGTGATAATTAGTATAATGAAATCTCTGGCTAATTCTGTTTAATTTTAAACACTTGCATTTTAAAACATAAAAATTAAATTAATATCTACTTTCCAATTTTTAGAATTAGGATTTTTTAAATTTCGAAAAAAAATTTATTACAAAGAATAAAATTAACCAGCGAGCAAAATTTTTTTTGCTCATGGAGGGGAAGTAAGTATCTTATAATGAGTACTTTCACGTTTGGTAACGATATTCGCCGTTTTCACCGAATTCAACTTCTCGGTAAAGGTGCCTACGGCAAAGTCTACAAGGCTCGAGATTCTCTCAACAATACATTTGTCGCCCTAAAGAAATCTTTAATCAGCATGGATGAAGAAGGCATTCCAACCAGCACTATGCGAGAAATCTGCCTTCTCCGCCAGCTTTCCCATCCTGGAGTTGTCTCTCTCTTAGACGTAATTATGACAGACAGTAGCCTATACCTTATTTTTGAGCTTCTTGATCAAGACCTCGGAACATTTCTTTCTTCACTCGACAATTTGCTTTCAGAAGAACAAGCAAAGCGCTTTCTATTGCAAATTCTTAAAGCCCTTTACTTCTGTCACTCCCGTCGTATAATTCACCGTGACTTGAAGCCTCAAAATTTGCTGCTTGACGCTAATTTAAATATAAAACTAGCTGATTTTGGGCTTTCCAGGATTTTTCAGATCCCAATGAGACCATCTACGACATCAGTCCAAACGTTATGATACCGGGCCCCTGAAATATTATTGGGGTGTACTACATATACAACAGCTATTGATATATGGTCTATTGGATGTATTTTTGCTGAAATGGTAGCTGGAGTCCCACTCTTTCCCGGAACAAGTGAACATAATCAACTTTATGCGATTTTTAGAATTATGGGGACTCCTAATGAAGAAAATTGAAGTGGAGTTGGAAGTTTGCCGAGGTATTCGACAGACTTTCCAAAATGGTCAACAATTTTAATGAAAAATTTGTTTCCTAGAATTGCGCCAGAAGGGCAAGATTTACTTGAAAAAATGCTATCAATGGATCCAAATAAAAGAATTTCTGCTTATGACTGCTTGCAACATGTAATTTTTATATAGCCATACTTCCAGGGAATGAATTAAAGCTGCCTTATTCAATAATATTTATTTTAGATTTAAGAGGGATTTTCTAAAATTCTGCTATTCAAAATTAAAATTTCGATGCGGTTTATATACTATTAATTAACATATGGAATCCAAAACTACCTATGAGAATTTATTATTAGAAATTGCTAAACAAGAGGAAACAATTGATGGCTATTTTAGAGAAGCAGAAGAACAAGGAAGTATTGACCCAAACTTTGAAGAGTATCTTAATCAAGCAAAACTTGAGCTTCATAAGAAGCGTGAAGAGTTGCTTAAACGGCAAGAAATGACCAACAGTATTAGATCTCAGAGTCTTAAAATATCGAAAGAAGATGCAGAACCTGAAGAAAATTCACCAAAAATAAAGCGAGCAAGAACAGTCGAATTTGAGGAAAAAGTGAACCCGAAAAATAAATATCCTTTTTATTCGATCAAAAACATTGAGCTGCGAAAGCCAAATCAAAGATCGTCATCTACACTAATTGAAAACAGCCAAAATTCAAAACCAATCCAGATTTTTAAAAAAATAAGCCGCACGAGAAGCAACAATACAAGTCCTTCTGAAAGAAGATATGAAGATAGCCCAAAGGAAGTTTTAAGTGAATATATTGTTGATGATGTGTATACCCCAGTAATTCAAAAGAGAAAAATTCCAATAATAAAAGTTGACAAGTCTGTAGAAATAGAAGAAAACATCCCAGATTTAATGCTGAAAAGAGCTATCAGTGATATTTCTAATATTTCAAGTTTTTTGAATGATAAAGATATTGGCGATAAATTAGAAACTTTACAATGATACAGAGAATTAAAAAATTCTGCACATGAGAAAATGCTTGATCTAAAAGAGCAAATCTTAATGGAAAAAGAGAAGAAGCTGCAAACATTGATTGAGTACTTGCCTGGAGCAGCAAAAAATAATAATGAATGTTTGCCAGAAGTAGCGAAAAATAATAATGAATATTTGAAAGCTAAAAGCAAAGCAAATCTTCCACCTCTATCTCCTAAGAGAAATGAAGAAGTCCTTACTAAAGCAAAAACCTCCCCACATCCAAGGTCAAAGCAAGTGACATTTCAATTAGTTTCTCATAATAAAACTAGATCAGCTGGTAGTTCCCCTGATAATAGTTCAAATTATAATCCAAATTGCAAAGAAATGATTTCAAAAAATTCTCAAAATACCAAATCACAAAGTTTTATACCGTTAAATAAAGAAGATAAATTTGTAAAAATTATATAGGCTGAATTAGTTAACGCATTGCCAGGTATCCCATCAGAAATTGCATCAAAGCTTGTGAAAGATATAAAAATAACTCATATATAAAACATGAGTTTTCAATATTTAATAAAAATAGGATTTTGGTATATAATTATAATAACCAAGAGTTTCTTGGGAGATCAGAAAGCGAATATTTTTTATGGCAATTCACAAAGTCAACGTCATCTCTATAGCCAGCACAATAATAAGTCCCTTTCTTAAAGTCGAATTTTGGTCTCCCGCCACCACAGCTAGGGCATTTAGGGATAGCGCCAAGCACGACTCCATCAGCAATTCTTTCAGCCAGCTCATCTTTGGTCCCTGAAACCTTTTGATCGTTTTTCCTTAATATTGATTTGAGCTCATCATTTGTTTTCCCTTTATATTCAATGATCAATTGCTTATACCTATCATATTGATCTGGTGTATAGCCTAAAATCTGAGGTGCTGCTTTCGGCTTTGCTTTTGCCTTTTTTGACTCTTTTTCCAATTGAGGAGGGGTTTGTCTTTTCTGATTTGCTTTGGCGGCCACTTTTTCCTTCTTTTTTTCTACTTTGATTTCTTTTTTTACCTGCTTTGCTTTTGATTTTTTCTTGTCTGCTGATGCTTTTTCAGCTTTTGCAGACTTAGGAAGAGGCTTTTCTTTCTTGGATTCTTGAGCCTTTTTATTACGAGTACTTACCATTAATTTTATAGCAAATGAATGTGGCTTTAAATTTAAAAAATTGCTTTAACTCCCCATTAATCAAAAATTAAATTTAACGCTTAAATAGATCAAAAATTCGTTTATAAATTAAATATATTAAAAATTATTTGATTATAATAAATTATATCAGAAGAGGATAAGAAATTTGGGCTTTGGAAAAAAAATTACAATGTGAAAAATAGCCTTCACATTCTAAAATTATTAATTATTATTTCAATCTTATTTATTTGCATTATATGAATAAGAAACGAAAGATAAAAAATTTTAATTTTTTAACATTAAAATTATGTTTAATGAAACTCAAATACGAACACCATCCCCGACATTTATGCTGTCCCACCCTAACCCTGCATCATCAAAGGCTTGACATGGGTCGTCTTATTCATTTTCCAGCACAGCAGTAAATTTTCGAAGCTTTTCTCCAGAAAAAGATTGTCATATCTCCCTTCACCGAAAAAATCTTGATTTTCAGCTTACCTCTATAAAGAAGCGGCTGAAAAAGCAAAAAGAAGCTTTGCATTCAGTCCAAAATTCAATAAAAAGAAAAGAAGAATGAACAGCAATCATGATAGAAAACTTGCAAAAACACAACGAACAAAATCTTTTATATGAGAAATCTGCAATAATAATCCAAAAGCACGCAAGGCGATTTTTAATAAAGCAGAAAATTGACCCTATAATAATGATCAAAAGGCAAAACGATGCAAGTTATAATTTATCTGATATGAAAATTCATGCTGATGTATGCTTATTTCATTTAGGTGAGAAAACTGAAAATTCTGCAATAAAAATACAAAAAGCCTACCGAAAGCATGTAATTAGAAAAAAATTAAGAATTTTCCAGATATGTTTTGATCTTTATTGTCAAGATAAAAAAGAGCAATCTTTGCGATTTCTTAGAAAATCATTTCGAGTCATAATAGCAAAATTAAGAGTCAAATCATTAATTTTCGAAAAATTCAAAAAACAAAAACTAAAAGAGATAAGAGAAAACTTGGCAATTTTTTCTATAAAATCATATTGGAAACATAGAAAATTTACATATAAAATAATGAAAGATAAAATTTCAAAATATAAGCAAAAAAAAATTGCAATGCAGAATAAAGAAATGTATCAAAAATTTTTATTGAGTTTGGCCAAAGAGAAAATAAAAGACCCTAATAGCCCGACAAGCCCAAGAAGAATTTTAGGGTCTGACAGATATGACTTAACTTAACTTTACTTAAATTTGCTTTAAAGTCTTCCAGCTTGATATCTCCGCACGCTTCCGAGGACCCCAAAACCTGCTTGCCAATCTTGGGCCTCTTCTCCCACGGCCAAGGCTAGCACGCTCTCCGCTGAGTTTCGACGGGTTAGGAGAGACTCCACCTTGCATATGCTTCACGTCATGTCGGCTGCTATGAAGGCAAAGGTTAGCCCGATGCCTTCTAACGGCCGCCTGTAGGTACAGCGACACCCAGGAAAAAAAAAGCTGTGACCCTCCGGAACCGGCAGGGAAAGAACTCACGGCCGAAAAACCATCCGGATAATTAAAGCTTTGACTGGAGTGACCACCAGCTGACTCCCAAAGTTTACCCACCCCATACGGCAGCTCTAGGCATGCTAGGGTTAGAGTTGAAGGGCTGAACCTTGATTTAGGCTATAAAGCCACTTTTGCGCCAAAATGGTGGGATGTCGTCGAAGACCTATTTTGTCACCACCACATTTTAATTGTGGCAGATATGAGGAATATGATGAGGAAAGTACCATAAACCAAGATGATTTATTAAACAAGGATTCTGAAGATGTTTTTAAAGAGGCAAGAAGAATTCAAGCACTGTTAGAAAAAAAAATAAAAGAAAAAATAGCATTAGGAAAACTTTCATATTCAGTGAAGCCTTTAAAGGTCTCTGACGTAAAATCAAAAACAAAAGAAAACCAACTGAGAAATATTTTTGAGCGAACTTTTAATAAAAAGAGGAATAATTATAGAAGCTCTACTGCTTCTTCTAACGCAAGGGGAAGAATTTTACCGAGAGAGCACACACCAAAGATGAGAACTACATTAATGACTCCAGTTCCAAGATTAGGGCATAGACATGCTGGTAGTGAAATTTTGCCTCCTATACAAACCCCACCGTTAATGTACACATCTTATATTTATCCTTAACCACAGTTTGATATTTCTATCAAATGAGTTATCACAATGAATTAATTTCAATTTTTCTCTGATTTATAAAAATAATGTCAGCAAAATCTTTTGCAAGTTTCGTTAATTAAATAATCTACTATATACACGTTTTACATTTTTTCCAAAACTAATTCTGTGAACTCTTTCAGGTCAATTTCTCCATCGCCATTCTGATCTCCTTCCTTTATAATGCTTTCTCAAACTGCGTCATTTGAGCCTTTCCCTCCACTTAGCATTCTCCTCAGCTCATCTGTAGAAATTGACCCACTTCCATCTTTATCAAAAATTTTAAAAGCCATCTCAAGGTTTCGCCTAGAAAATAGAATTTCATGATCCAGGGTAGCTTGGATAAATTCTGTGTAATCGATAAATCCGCTCCCATCTGTATCAACGTTATTCATAATTCTATCAATGACAGTTTCATTGTTTAGTCCTCCTACGACTTCGTTATAGATTTTAAGCAGTTCTTCTTTGCTGACCCGACCGTCTCCATTTTGGTCGAGCATTCGGAATGATTTTTGGAGCTCTCGCTTTTCCTCTTGTGTTACTAAATGAGTTGTGATGAAGGTAAAAATTGCACTACGGAGCTTTACTGAAGCATTAAAGGAACTGAGTTGTGTAAAAATGTTTACTCCCCCTACGTGAGCTAATAAAAAAAATTTTGTTCGTTCACGGAGGGGGTGAATTTTTTTTTAAAAAAAATATTATATATATTTTATAATAAAATTTTGTTTAAAAATTCTAAAAAATATCCAATTCGCAAAAATTGGAAAACAAATATTTATTTAATTTGTAAAATTTATGTTTTAAAATACAATTTGTTCAAAATTAAACAGAATTAGCTCAAGATTTCATTATACTAATTATCACTTATTTACCAAAATTTTTTTTGCATAATTAGTTTTTGTTCACTCACGGAGGATGGATTTTTGGCCAAAAAATAGGAATTTTTCCAATGGTTTTTTTCGCTCACGGATGGGGGAGCTAGGATTTGGTCAGATGTAGGGAAATCTAAGGCTTTATATGATTGAAGCCAGCTATGAGCAAGGGATTCTTGAGCTGTGATCCGCTTTGAAACGTCCCTTTCAAGCAGTTTTCTCATTAGATCTCTTGCTCCTTCAGAAATTTTATGAAAATGAGGCCCATCAGTTAAAATGATACCGTATTTTACATTGTGTAAAATTTCTGCTTCAGATTTCCCACTAAACGGTGGCTTCCCTGTCAATAGTATATACAATATAATTCCACAGCTTCATTCATCACATAGTTCGTTATAAGAATTTTCTAGTATACCTTTTATAATGGCTAATATTTTGATTAATCTAAAACTCTTTTTCAAAGTAAAATGCATTATTATCTATAAAATGAAATAAATGTGGACGTGACGGAAAATGGTCTCCGAGGCTCACTCCCAAAGGATAATAGGATCAATCCAGATAAAGCTGAAACAAGGCCTTTGTCCCTTTTTGAAGAGGCTTTCAGACTTGGGATGACTGCTGAAGAGGAAATTTGTTTATCCCTGGAGGGTCTCCCTATCCCTGCCAGATGGGCTAGAGAGGTTTTGCCTCTCACATAGTCTCTTCTATCGGGACTATCTTTAGCCCGACAAAGAATAGCTCTAACCTAGGGAGCTAACCTTAGGCTAGGCGAGTGTCATAAGAAAATTAAGGAGGGCAGAGTTTTGGCAGGGCATTGCACGATTTGCAACCTTTCCTAGAGTCAAAGTGGCCCGGCTAGTGGTATAGAAAATTCCTGGGGATAGCGCGGAATACGCTATCCCCAGGACCAACCGGGATCGGATCCCACATGGAACGAGGGTTCCGTGTGTGGATCCATTTTTGACACGTGAAAGTAAATATCTCACATGTCAAAAATGGATCCACACATGGAACCCCCGTTCCATGTGTGGATCCGATCCCGGTTGGTCCTGGGGATAGCGTATTCCGCGCTATCCCCAGGAATTTAGTATATGCTGCTTATGGCCGTTGAGTAACTTAATCTTATTAACTATAAATAGAATACCTCTGGAGCGACATAATATACTGAGCCGAAGCATCCTTTAATTTTATGTTTTTGGAAAAACACTGAACTCCCAAAATCAGCTACTTTTATTGTGATTTCTCCATTGGCTTCTTCAATTAAAATATTTTCAGGCTTTAAATCTCTATGTATAATATTTTTCGAATGACAATAGCTCACTGCTGATAACAATTGATACATTATGTGTGCTGTTTCTTTTTCACTAAAGTGTCCTTTTTCTGAAATTTTACTGAACAATTCACCTCCAGGACAGAATTCCATGACGATATAAAAGTGATTTTTATCTTCAAAAATCTGGAAAACCTTTAAAATATTTGGGTAAGGAGATTTATACATATTTTTTATTAATTTATATATAATTAAAGCTTGGAATTATTTTATGTAAAATCTAATTATACGTTAATTTAATATTTGGATGATCCAACGTTTTTAAAACTTGAATTTCTTGAAGCTTATTTGTGGAAGTCAGCATTTCTTGACTTAATTGTTTTTTTATTATCATTTTAACCGCATAAGTATTTCCAGTGACTTTTTCTATACACTGGAAAACCTTGGAGAAGGCTCCTCGGCCCAGTTCTTTTGTGATTTCATATTCATTTGAAAACTGGTCATGGCTTTCAGTAACGAAAATTTCAGGGCGGATTTTCAATTGTTGCATGTTTTCGAGGTATAAGCTGAATGTCTTTTTCTTCGGTGATATGCAGCCCATATAACTAGTAATATTGGTTTAAAATATTAGCCATGGATTAGATATAGGAAAGTCAAAATGATAAGAGAACATATCTTATAAGGGATTTATGCATTTTATAAATAATGTTTAGATAAATATTCTTAAAAACCACTATTTTGAAGCTTAAAAAAGAAATAGTCTAATAATGGTATTCGAAAATAAATGGCTAATTATATATAGAAGCATATTAATGAAAGTAATAGAATCTTTACAAGAAATGAAGAATATATATATATTTGTGATAGGTAAATTGGTAAACGAAGAAATTGAAATTTTTTTTAAGGAATCAAAATTTAATTATCCTGGATATGGAGAGTCGTGCATATGAAAAGAAAAACTAATTGGGTGTTCATCTCTCTAATTATGTCTAATAAACTCAGTATATATAGCAATATTATAAATCCATATTATGATTCTAGATGATACATCATTCTCTAGAAGAATTTCAAGACTTTTATATTTTAAGCGGTCAAGAACCTTAAAGTACGTGCTTAATGGTAAATAAAATATTTAATAGATACATTTTATAAAGGATAATTTCATTTGAATATGGAAGAGTCAGGATTCAAAGAGAGACTTCGCATTTATATCCAAACTTATGTTGACAGAATAACACCACATATGAAAAAGAGATGACTGATAACTTCTATTCTGCTTTTCTTTTTCTTTCAGAGGGTTATCAGCTTAAAAGGTATCTAATAGTCAGGATATTATGTTATTGCTTACTGCTTACTTCCCCCTCATCCTTTATAGAACGACTGCTGGCCAATAATGAGTTCAAAAAATATAAAATAAAATAAGATATTTTTTATTTTTTCTATAAAATCCGCACTATATTAAAACTGCTCAGTCAGTATGGGGGTTTATCAATTTATATACTTAACCTTTTCTTAAGGTTCCTGACTCCAATTATGTCTGACATGGAAGACGAAGAATCTGACAATCCTGTACTTCCTATGCGAGAATCAAATGAATTCAAACCTTTTCTCCGCAAATTAAACGAGTTCAGTTTTTGGAAAAATACTTTTATAGGGACAGTCATTTCAGTATATTGCACTTTTATCGAATCTTTAGACATTGAAGTGTTTTGGCCAGTTTTAGTGGTTTATTTTATTATTTTGTTTGTAGCAACTATGAGACGGCAAATTGCTCATATGTATAAACATGGGTATATTCCTTTTGATTTTGGGAAAACCACATATCAAAGTGGAAAATTGAGAGGAAGAGAAGATTAATTAATAAGAAAATTCATAATTAAGAATTAGAAATGGAAAAATGCAAAGCCAAAATATCTCTTCAAGGATTTTCTGATTGAATTTCTCCACATAAAGGAAAGAGGTGGTTAATAGCTGCAATTTTTTTGCTAATTTTTCTTTATAGAATTATTTGCTTGGAAGGTAATTTTTAAGCAGGGTTTTACTTGGTTGCATGCTTATCTGCAATGTACTTGCTTGGTATTTCTTTGAGTTTTATTACCCCAATTATGTCAAATTTAGAGTATCAGGAGCAAGATAACCCTGCTCTCCCTAGCAGCGAAATAAACGAATTTAAACCTTTTATCAGAAAATTAGAAGAATTCAGTTTGTGGAGACATTCTTTTATCTGTATAATTATTTCAAATACTTGTACATTTATTCAATTTTTGGATATTAAAGTTCCTTGGCCGATTTTTATGATTTATTTTTTAGCTTTATGTATAGGAACACTAAAGAAGCAAGTTTCTCACATACATAAGCATGGTTATAATCCCTTTAATTTTAGGAAATCCACAATTAATTTTAAAGAAGAAGTTTCCTCCATTTAAATATTTTTACAGTATCCCGAGCTTATTCTTATTTACAAGCCTTTTTCTTAATTAAAATTATTATTTTAAATTATCTCATCTCGTCATGAAATTAAAAGGTTTATCTATAACGTATAACTACATTTGAGGCTTCTCAATAGGAGAATCCATAATTACTTGACTAAAAGATTTGCTTTGCACTACACTAATCGAGCTGATATTAGACTTAGAATCTTCAAGCTCTTCTCTAAAAAGTTCTGTGAAGTTAAACTCAGTACCTTTTATTTTATTTAGTCTTTCTTCCATATTTGGATCCATAATCGTAGGAGGTCTATTTTTAGATAAGCAATATTTATCATCGACCCTACTCTTACTTACAGAAATACCGTCCTGATGCAGTTTAGCTTCTAAATATTCAATTATGCTCTTGTCTTCAAGCACTAAAAGGGTTTCTTCAAATTCATATGTATAATCAACCCCTGCTTCTTCTATTAAATATCTTATACACTCTTTAAAATTTTTATTTTTTCGTTTTTTTGATCATACTGCAGCTATCTGTAGGGCACTTTCTTTTCGTTTATTTACAATTTGGAAATTAGCTCCCATATATTCATATAGATATTTGATAACTTCTAAGTTTCCAGATTTGCAGGAAATTAAAGCACAGTTTTCACCAGTTGTTTCGTCTATAAAGTGTACGTTAAATTCATTATTAGGCTTTTCTCTAAAATACTCTCTAAAAAATTTTATGAGCTCCAGCCTGCCTTTTTCGACCGCTCTTTGTATAGGTGTCATTGTACTTATCGGCGCCGCCAATTTACTTTTCTCCTGTGTATGAGATTTTGTATTTCTTGACTTCGCGAATATTGAAAGCTCTTCACTAACTGGCTCGTCATCTGAATTTTCAACCTGATCTTTATTTTCTAAATATAATGGCAAATAATATTCTAGCAAGCTTAAATGGCCAAGCTCGCATAAAACTTCAATTGGGCGTTTTCCTAATTGCAGGAAATATTTCGTCATTACTGACAGCTTGGCGTGCCCTTCTTCATATAAAGTTTTAAATGCAGAGGTCGCTCCTAACTCCCCCCCCCCCCTCCGTGAGCGAACAAAAAAAATTTTGTTCGCTCACGGAGGGGGGTTTAATTTTTTTTTTTAAAAAAAATTTTTATATATAAATTTTATAAAAAATATTTTTTTTCGAAATTTAAAAAAATCCTAATTTGCAAAAATTGGGAAGCAAATATTAATTTAATTTGCAAAATTTATGTTTTAAAACGCAATTTGTTTAAAATTAAACAGAATTAGCTCTAGATTTCATTATACTAATTATCACTTATATATCAAAATTTTTTTCCCATTAAAATTTTTTCTATTAAAAAAAATTTTTGTTCACTCACGGAGGGTGGGGTTTTTGGTCAAAAAATGGCGATTTTTCTAATGGTTTTGTTCGCTCACGGAGGGGGGGGGGGGAGTAAGTAAAGAGCATAGCCTAAAGGGTTCATATCAACTTGGTGGATTTTGATGAGTGGGTCGTCAATCAGTATTGTAGGGTCTTTATAGTAGATGTTGGTTTTTGAATATCGTTCGAGAATTAGACGAATTCTTTCAGCAGAGTTTTTTTCGATGGCTTCAATTAGTTTGTTGGAGATAAATTTTTCGATATTAATGTGTTTTTTGGTTACGCAGCAAGCTCCCATAGACTATTTATTACACTTATAAAAATCAGTAAAAATTATTTTATTATAAATATGCTGTATTTAAGAATTTTTTGAAAGAGAGAATAAAATTGGTATTCATAGAGGATTGATATAGATATTTTTTGATATTTGAAACACTTTGATGGAAAATTAATTCAATTTATTGTTAATTAAATTTCGTTCCCAATAGTAATCCATCCTGCTCTAAGGTTATTTCTGCGTCCAAAGATCTCTAAATAAGAGCCATTAGGTACTAGCTCTTCAATCATCTGATAAACTTCTTCAGGCTTCTGGCTCTGCCCTCTTCTTAAGCTGAAAATGATGTCAGGAATTTCTTTGTCACTCATATCTAGGTCTCCCTTTACCCCAACCAAGCATGTTTCTTTTGCATGCTGTAGCCAGTATCCATGACTTTTCGCAATTTTGTTATTGCAGGTTTTCTTTACCCATACGACTTCATCAACGTATTTATATACTTTTTACCCATTTTGAGCTTCTATATTGATATAGAAATTTTTACATTTTTATAATCAGAGTAATTAGATATATCCCCAGCAATCTAACAGCTGGAGCGACATTCTATATTTTGCATTAATTGTCCATATAAAAATTAATCCTTGATTCTGCAACTTTGGAATAGGAAGTTGCCTTATACTTGGATCAGGTAAAGATTCATATGAAATAGTTACCCCTCTGGTAGGATTTGCTCCTGATAGCTGCCAAGGTGGGTCCATCATGATAACATCAAATAATTTCCCTTTGACTTCTTGATGAATTTTTGCAAGCTGCAGAAAATCATAATTCCTTACATCAGCACATATAGGTATAGAATCTTCAGGGACACTAGTTTTCTCTATTTCCCTTTTATCGAATTCCTGCTTAAAAAAGTTCATTTCTTCCTGGTAAATGTATTTGTCTATTTGTTCTAAATCCTCTTGGATTATCCCGTTATTATAGCTATCTGCATATGTCTATATATGTATTACTTCTGATTCTTGGCTGCTTGGAATATAAGTTTTGCTTTGCTTAGATTTGACAGTCCGCTTCTTCACCATTTCGCGCGAAAGTTATAAGCCATTTTAGATAATTTTTAATTATGTATGTGCGTGTTGCCAAAGGACAACAGTGTTATCAAAACTAGAAGTAGCTAAGTGGATTCCGTCAGGGGAGAGTTCAACTGAAGTCGTTTTATCAGAATGCCCAGGCAAGTTTTGTAGGCTTCGCTCTTCATTAATAATGTCCCATAGCATAACATCGCCTCGGTCAGTACCACATATAATGATTCTTCCACTTTTTGAGACTTCTAATGCTTCTACTCCTCGGCCTACATTATAAACTCCCACCTCTCTGAGGGCTCTTATGTCGAAGAGTCTTATAAACCCATCAGAAGAGCCTGATAAAAAGGTATTATTAGAATCATGCAAAAATTTGACACAGTTTACATCTCCTTGATGAGAATAGGAATTTCCTGACGAATTTTGTTGACGCAAGTCTCAGAGTTTGACAGTTTTATCACAGGAGCCGGTTAGAACTAAATAAGGGTTAGCTTTGCAAGTGTCGATTGTCATGACATCTTCGGTGTGCTCTTCAAATTTGTGGACTGGCAAATCAGTTTTTGGGAGATCTCAAAGACAAACTGTGGAATCGCCTGAGCATGTGACAAGGTTTTTTGGAGTAATAAAGCTTAATGATGATAAATAGCCTTGATGAGCTTGAAATGCCATTAAAGGCTTGTTTTTGCCTTCGATTTTTTTCTTACGGTTCATTTCAATTTGGAAAATATAGCATTTTCCAATGAAACTTCCAGTAGCGAGCAATTGGCTTGTAGTTTTTTCAAATGCACATGTCATGAGTGTAGGATTTGTGTCTTTAACAACTCATTCACAGGATGGGTTTCCTGTGTATGAATTTCATATGATAACTCGGCCATCACCACTTACAGATGCTAAAAATTTTTTAGCTAAATCACCACCAGCTCAGGATAATGAGTAAACTCTATCACCATGAGCTTCTAATTTCAAACTTTCAATAAATAGACATTTGATAGGCTGGAGTGCAGATTTATAGTTAGATATAGATATTTTGGGCTGCTTGTCTTCTAATTGAGCTTTTAGTAAATCAATTGAGTGCTCAACAGCTTCTATTTTAGAAAGAAGATCACTTGAATCCATTATAATTTCTATTTTATATTTTTAAACATATGAAAATCTTAATTTAATATAATTCAAGCTGAAGACAGAATCATAGATTTCTCCTCCGTAATTTGCTTTGCACATATTGCTTTCATTTCCAAAAGCATGATTATGTTTATTGAACAACTTGCCTGATATGGATTCTTGATAAATTATATAATTAGATCAATGTTTTGCTCCGCTTTTAGAGCTCAATAAGATCAACCTCTATTGTGCAGAATAGAAAGCTAAACTATCTCTTCAAAATATAATCCCTTAGCTCTCCTTCCTAATTGCTTTGGCTTCAAGTCACAGTTTATGCAAAAAATCAGTTATTATAGTTATTAAAAATGATGAAATTCATAATATAATAAATGAAATGAATTTTTTATTAAAATTTAAGAGTATTTTATTGCGATGAATACTTTATTTTACCATTTTGATTGATTTTTGAGAGAAAATCTCATCATAAATTATTAGGGATTAATTTCTACTGAAAAGTTTAATTTATTAAGTTTTTTAAAATATGCATCTTCATTTATTAGGCACTTTTAAACGATGGTGAGTTGGATGAAAAGGTCTAAGGTGACAGGTTAATTAATCCTAGCCAAAGAAAAGTGGATACCATCCTTTTAGAAAATATATACGTTCTATTTATAGAAATAATAAAAACTAGTTTAGCGTCTTTATAAAAATTTTGTCAAATTTAATTTAGAGTTAGAATAAAAGTAGGCTATAAAGAATTAGTAGGATTTTTAGGCTAGGTTTAAGCAAAAATAATTGATTATTGTTCAATTAATATGCTTGATGGTTAAATAAGCTATATTTAACTTTGAAGGCTCTTATGTTGTGATTCTTAAATCAGCAACTTTACAATTATTTTCCTCTATTATAGGCGATGCATAATAATACGATATAATGCTGAGCATATACTAACCTTTATTGCTAGTTTTCTATCATTATTTTTAAGAGCGCTCAAACATTTTGTCTACACTACCTAACCTACTGGAAATTATTAGCTCATAACTTTTTTGTGTGCTGAATCGTTTTAGCTGGTAGAAATTTATATATTTATATATATAAAGCATGCTAAATTATAATTTTAGAGAGAAAGTCAATAAATATTTAGCGAGCAATTAATTCCATGTAGATTGTAAAAATACTAAAATGGAAATGAATCGCCCAAGTTTCTCATTGATCATAATTACTGCAGTTGTTTCTATCAATGCTCAAGATGCAGATGGTGACCCTAATAGCGGCGATAATAAAGACAATAATAGCGGTGGATCTGTAGCAGGAGGTGTTTGTGGAATAATATTCTTCTTAGCATTTATAGGCATAGTAATATATATAGCTTGAAGACGTAAGAAAGCTGGAAAAAAGTGCTTATTAAATCGAGATACTCCCTGGTGCTGGGGTGATGAGGATGAAGAAGAAGAGGATCAGACACCAGAAATAGGCAGAATTGATACAGCTCCACCAGCAGATAGAGGAAGCATAAATCGGTGGAATAACTTTATATCTGAATCTCAAGGGTTAAGTGAAAGATCTGGCATTCTACAGAATTCAGAACGACAAAATTTGCCAGCAGCTAAGAGAGCTAAGCTATAGAAACTGTAATTTGCACAGAATACTTGATTTCCCAACAAAAAGCCTGTTCAATATGCTTAGGTGATTTTAGCATTCAAGAAAATCTAACAAAAACTGAATGTGACCATTTATTTCATGTTCAATGCTTGAATGAATGAGCAAAGAAATCTCAATATTTAACATGCCCAGTTTGTCGTAAAGATATCTCTCAAGGTAATAAATTATAAATTTTTTTGTAATTTAATATATAAGCAGCTAATCATATAGGCTATTTAATTATGTATTCTGAAATACCCCTTCTTCTTTTCTCACTAGCTGTTTTTCTAGAGAGAGTACTTCTCTGTCTTGCGGCGCTTGTTTTAACTCCTTAGCCTTAACAATGATCAATTCTCGTAAGCCTACAATCGCAATTATTTTATAATTTGTCATAATACTTTCTCCAATGAAGGGTCAAATTTAAATCATAATTGGAGCTATGCATAATATTAAAATCATTTTTAAAGGTGATTTGCGTCATCAATGACTGTTTTATTAGTGCCTGAATGCTTTGCGATCTATTTTTTCAAATTAATAGATTATAGTCTTGAGCACAAAACCACAAAAACTCTAAATATTTTATGTAATTGGTAAGGATGGAAATATTAAAAGCCATAAAAAATACACCAAGAGTATTTATAAAGTAGGCTAAGTAAATTATACAAAAATATTGATTTTGTAAAATGATTGCATACTGAAAGCTAAAAATGCATATTGTTGAGTAATCTCCTATTTATAGAAAATTGAAATATTAAGTAATTTGACTCTTAAGCTGATTAGGAGACTAGAAAAGAGCATAAAACTTGAAAAAGAATTTACAGAATGGATAAAATTTAATTACTTACTTACCCCCCTCCGCAAAATAATTATAATAATTATGATTGAACAACTATTTCAAGGAAACAATTGAATATACATGGTTATTACTGTTCTTATAATGATTCTGATTTATCTTATATGCAAATTTAGAAAGGAGAAGATGATGAGCGAGGGGGTGTGATAAGTGGAATTCAGATAACTAATGTAGCAAAAAATAATGATGAACGCAATAATTCGCTCAAATAAGCAATTAAATCAGACTTCTAATATTAATTTCACATTAGTAATCTTAAATAATCTTAAACTAATATATTTATAAAATGGAAGAAGAACAATACCCTCTAGTTGAAGAAGAGCTATGCAAGTTTCATTCAATTTCAGATATTCCTTTATTTCTTTGCACATTATCAGTTAACTCTACAGAATTTCTTGTTTACAACGTAGAAAATAATAAAATCTGCGCAAGAATTCAAAATCCTGTGCCTTATAAACTCCAAATTAGGGGAGCTTCTTGTCTAATCAATGGTTCTCAGCTGTTTTGGCTTGGAGGGGCTTCTCAAAATGGCGATATTGTTGGAGCGTGTCTTCTTATAGATATAAAAGAGCAATCAATTGAAATATTGAGTTCTGGAAAGCCGAGACTTTTGATTACCCCTGTTTTTCTCGAAAACTTTGTTTATGATTTGGGGGCTCTAAAGGCAATCATGAAAAACAAGCAAGTAGTGATAAGTTTAATTTAAGGAAAAATAAGTGAAAAAGTATAGCAGATATGCCTGAAAGTGCTTATCAAACCACCACAGTTGTTTTTGATAGAAAAATTTTAATTGCAGGGCTAGGGTTTGGAAACATATTAGAATATGATCCTGCTAAAAATTCTTATGACACAATTTTCAAAATTGCCAAAAAAAAAACAAAATTACTTATTGTAATCCAAGACCAATGCTATCTTTTGAGTATCTATTTTTACTCTTCAGAAATAAATAATGCAAAAATATGAAATTGTTTAGGAAGGATAAAGAATATACCACTTTACCCTATCTCAAATATTTGCTATTATAACAATAATATTTTATTCTTCAAAATTAGCTCACTCATATGTAAGTTTGATATGGAGAATTTGGAATATAGAAAGATTGCAGCGACCTCGGATTCTCTGAATTTCAAGGATAATCTCCAAATTAATAAAAGTATTTGCATTTTATTTTAATAATAAGGTAGATAGTGAATTCATAAGATATAGAAGCTTAAAAAATATTTAATGGCATCAAAATTGTAAATTAATTTATGTTTATTCACGTGCTCTGCTTTTGTGCTGCAGATATGATTGTCTTATAAATTATTACGATATGATTTTAGTGATATATAAAAGAGCAAGACCTAAATTATTCTATAAAAAAGCGAATATAGTTTATAAAATACAAATGGAATAAATATCCCAAGCTTTTTATTGATTATTATCACTGCACCTACTCCTGTCAATGCTGATGCCAATGATAGCTCTATGCGTGATGGAACAATAGGAGCTATTTATAGAAATATCTCTCGCCACAACCTTTTATACTATCACTAATTATGAATCCATTCTATATACATAAAATGGCGGACGGCGACCGACCCTCTCAGTGGTGGTTACCCATGTATATCCGGGCATGGTTTTTGGAGCCAGGAGTTAGCCCAACAACGTCTGGGACCTCGAAGCGAGAGGCCTAAGGCAAAAGCCGCTGTTTTTGTGACCAGACCCATGGGCAGTTACTCGTGATTTCTTTTTGCCAGCAGCGCTCAGCCCAGTGAGTGCCCGAAATGAGGCAGGGCGACTTACCTGCCTAAGCTGCTTTTGTGGCTCGCCCCGAATGGCGAAAGCTGTTGAGTTCTTTCTCGGGATGACCGGAAAAGAGGGGAAGGCGAGTTAGACAACTAAACGGGGGTCTCTCCAGTTTAAAAGGTGCCCTTCAATGGGCAGATCTGGCGGACGACGCGGCAGTGTTGGCGTAAACTAGGCGACGATCCAAGTTGGAAATGGAGGCGGTCAGCAAAGGCGGTATAAGGCCCTTGACAATGCCTCTACCGAGAAACTGGGGGTTTCGGCCCGGGCTTGGTGAACGCTCTGCCACCATACGGGAAACTGTAGAATGCTTCCTCGGACGTAGTGGGGACCTTAAATGCCTAGCGTTAATCTAATCTAATCTAATTATGAATCCATTCTAACCATTTGCTTTAATCCTAAATTTCAACTGCAGAAATCTTAGATTTATATTAATCAATCTATAGATTGGCACAGTTACAATATCTGGTGCGCTTATATTTTTTTAAAGAGCACTGTATTTCCTTTCAGAATATTGATGCTTCTTTTGGTAAAAAATTTAGGGGTAAGAAATTTACCCAATCGATAATATATAATTAATTAACCTATAAATAAAATCTACAGAAAGTAGATATATTTAAATTTGTGACTTTAGAATTTCTGCAAGCTACTAAAGAGCATTTTTGTTTAAGAAGCCTGATTTAGTTTCTACAGCCCTGTTCCTAAGCTGCTAAAATTCCATTTTAATTTTTTTGATTTATCTCATCTGATTTAATCCTTTCATTAATTTTGGCATTTTCCCTTTATACTCACAATGATAAATTAAGTAATAAAGTTTTCAAAAATCTTAAAATATTAAAACAATCAATATCTCTAGGTAATAGATTATTTTTATTTACTTCCCCACCCTCTTTAAGCAAAAAAATTTTGATATAGATATGATAATTACTATAATAAAATCTAGTTAATTCTGTTAAAATTTTTAAACAAATTGCATTTTAATACATAAATTTTATATAAATTAAATCAATATATGATTTCCAGTTTTTGCGAAGTGGGACTTTTTTAAGTTCAAAAAAAAATTACTTTAAAAATTTATATATAAACAAAAAAATTAACCCAAACAAAATTTTTCGATAACGGAAGAGGTGAGATTATTTATTTTTGCAAATGAACATTCATTTATAAAAACATTAAAACTTAAATTTTAATATTTAAAGTTTGTTGCTAAAATGGCCTAACAAACAGGAGATAAATAAATTTTTTAGTTATTTTTAATTATTGACATAAATGGATATAAATAAAATGGCATTCGGTTCGAGAGAAATTAGCTCTGCTAATTTTTTCTCTCCCTCATGGAATTTTATTTATAGGGTTAGGTTTTCACTCGAAGACTTCTGGACAGCAATAGCGGTTTAACTCTGGAGATAACCAGAGGAACCACTCCTCAGTCCACTCAAGATTTCGGGCTTTTACCTCTCAGCACATCCCCACGGGAGGATAACCCTTAGGCGGAACACGCGCAGGAGCTGAGTCGAGCGACAAGGGCGACGGCAACGCGCCGGGTGAGACGTGCAGCAAGGCCGGTGAAGCAGGAGTTGATAGAAGGCTTGGACGGGGCTGACCCGTGCCAAGATGGCTCGCCTACGCCATCAGTTTTGCCATAGGCCCTTTTGGGCTGCGGCACTAGACACCTTAAACACCAGATAATTAAGTAAGTAAGTAAGTAAGTAAGTAAGACATAAATGGATAATATTTTATAAATTGGAATCCAGAGATTTTAATAATAATCAAAAGACATTCTACCACTTAAAAATTTGCTCTAATAAGAATTCATACCATTTTAAATAGATTAGTTTCCATAAAAATCAGTGAATAAATTATAATTACCATGCTTGAAGCTGTGAAAAATTATAAAAGCTATTTCACAAAAAAATTCGCTTGTGCCGCTATAGAAGAGCTAATCGAAGTCTTCGAAGTTACTACTGAAATTTCTGATAAACTCTACTCCAAACTGATATGCTGCTTTTGAGACCTTGGGGAAATCATTTTGAACCTCAAAAAACTTGAACGGGCCCGAGACTGAAAATCATGAAAATCCGCTGCTGAAGAACTCGATCGGCTTGAAGGCAAGGAGCCTTGAAAAAAGCGTGAGCAGAGTCCTCTATATGATTATATATTATTACGCAGAAGACTTAAATTAATTCGAAACCTTCGTCAACGAAACGATATGAATGCTTTAGTCCATTATCTTCGCTCAGGTCTAGTACGCGGTTTAGGCGGTAGTTTAAACCCAAGTTTGTACTCAAAATCATTAACTGACACAAAATACTTGATCATGGAGTATCAGGATGAGGTTTGCTCTGCTTTAAAGCATATTTTAAATTCCCCAGACTATCCATTAAAATCCAAACTGACCTTTTTTTCTGATTCTCGCTATTCTTTTGGAAAAACTGCTTTTCTTATGAGTGGAGGAGGAGGACTTGGGATTTATCATCTAGGGGTTGTCAAAGCTTTATATGAGCAGGACTTATTGCCAAAAATAATTGCTGGGACATCAGCTGGATCTATGGTTGCTGCTTTTATAGGCACGACAAAGTGGGAGGAAATTCCAAAATGGTTTGAAAAAGGAACTATTAAATATGATGATCAATCAGGCTTAGAGGGAGGACCTTGAATAAAGAAGATTAAAAGACTTTTCAATGATGGGTATTTAATGGACATTAAATATTTAGAAAGATTTTTACGAAATACTTTAGGAGAAATCACTTTTGAAGAAGCATATGAGAAGACTGGAACTGTCTTGAACATCACTGTAAGTGAATCAAGCGACTATAGTGATTACCGTCTTCTTAACTACTTAACAGCCCCACAAGTTCTCGTATGAAGCGCTGTTCTGGCTTCCTGTGCAATTCCTTATATATTTGAATCAGTAGAACTAGAATGCAAAAATCATATGGGTGAAATAGTTCCATATCATCCTTCAGGGCTAAAATTTATTGATGGGTCAATCAAAGCTGACCTTCCTACACAAAAAATTGCTGAGCTTTTCAATGTCAATGCATTTATAGTTTCTCAGACAAACCCTTGGATTGTTCCTTTGCTAACACCTGAAGATGGAGGAGGAAGCTGAGGTGACACTTTTAATTATAAGCTATTTAGGCTATTAAAAAGAATGCTACTAATGGAGTTCCAGCATAGGGTGCAGCAGCTGAATGTGCTTAATTTATGCAACACCTTATCATGATGGCTAGGAATTTTTACTCAGCAGTATCGCGGCCATGTAACAATCTGGCCTATTCCTTCTATCAAAGATTATGTAAATATTCTATCAAATCCTACTGATGACGATATCCAAAGATGCATTCGAAAAGGCCAAGTCAGGACTTTTCCCAAAATAAATATGCTGAAATCCATCATGGCGATAGAGAAAACATTTGATTCGTGCTTCCAAGAAATCAGAGAAAGGATGCATTTGAAGCCAGTGAAAATCGTTGAAAGTTTAGAAGGAGAAGAAGAATTCGAAGAGATCATGGAAAATTAATTAGTTAATCTTGATTTTATTATTTATTCAACTGGTTCTTCGCTCGGGATATCAGGTTTGTCAATGGAGGCCAGAGTTGAAAGCTCGTCCAGACAATTTTTTATTGGTGCGGCTGTGTCTTTTAGAAATTCTTTCCAAGATCTTATTGATATATTGTATAATAGTTTTGCGTTATCGTTGATTTCTGTCAAGTTTCTCTCTTCTAAAGTGTATCCAGTTAGATTTAACCTATCAGAATTTTCTCTCATTTCAGATTCATTATTAGCATGGGCTGCTCTCATAATTATTACTGGCTATTTAACTTATATTTTAGCCTTAAATAACAGCTTCTACTCTTTTGACTTCAGGCAGGTAAAACATCATCATCTTTTCGATTCCTTCTTTTAATGTGTCATCTTGTGATGGACAATCTGCACAAGACCCCAACATTTTTAGCCTGAGAATTCCGGTTTCTTTGTTAAAGCCCATGTATCTTATATCTCCGCCGTCTTCTTTTACATAAGGCCTGACTCTTCCTTCAATAATTTCTTTGATTACTTGTACAGTCTCGCTATTGTCATAAGGCTCATATTCTTCTGATTCTTCTACCTTTTTGTCTGCAGCTTCATCAGTTGTCATACTTCTTCTTACAGCATTATTAAAATACAGCCGTTTTGATGTGACCAGACTGCTTATCCATCTTCTTAACAAATAATTTCTCATATTAATTATCTATATAATTTTCCTCCATATTTAATTTATTTATATATCATTATATTTTTTTCCCCTTTTATATATAAAAAAGTATATTAAATTAAGTCTACCACTTTTTCCCAGCTGCAGGCTTAGCTTTTCCTTGATTTCTGATCTTTGTTGATTTTGATGTCCCTGTTGAAGGCTTTTTATCTTTGCTTTTTCCAGCCCAATGCTTTGGATCTTTTACGTTACTTCTTGGCTTAGTGTAAGGTACAAATACCCCATTCATTCTTAAATATTTATGCTCAATATGTTCTGCTTTGTTTGGGATGGCAGCAATCCAGTCTTCTTTGAGCGTTTTATTTACATTTGGGAACCAAATTTTGTGGAAAACTTTATCTTTAGGTATCCAAGTGACCAATGTGTTGCTTTTCAAAGTATCTAGGACAAGTTTGACACCTTGGTATTCGCCATGTGTTAGCATTTTAAGCTTGTGGGCTGCTAACTGTGCATGAGGGAGCATTAACTGCTTATAAAACTGCTTAAACTCGCTTGACCCTTGCTTAACTCCATACAAGCATCCTGCAGCTTCTTCAAGATTTGTAGTGCAAGCGAATTCTATTGACCTTTGTTCATACTGTTTGCTGTTCATTTCTGTAATAATTTGATTTCTATAAGCTTGTGCTTCTCTTATAACGGTCTGTGTATATATCTTGCATATATGAAATTTCCCTATTCTTATTAACTATTTTTAAAGGAATATTATAAAGAAAAGGTATAAACTTTTTGAATAAATTTCAAGGCTTGGTCAGGGTTAAAAATGTCAATATAAGTACCATTGGCAAATGCATCTTTTCTATCGGAATTCTTTTTGTCTCTTAATGACAGAAAAATCAATGCGAGTTTTTGCTCATTTGTAGTTAGACCAACACTGTCAAGAGTTGTGTAGGGTGGAATGTTGAATAAGCCCATAGGCTTTAAGGTTCTGTATAGCATACCACCTTTGTTCATGTTTTGGTGGATTCTTTCAATAAATCCTTGAGCTTTTTGGCTGAGCTCTGTAATGCGACCTGTGAACTCAAAGTCGATTTTTGAATCCTTTTTGGTAGGTGCTCCTCCTGTAGGGGTTTCTATATCCATTTTAGTGCTTTCTGTAGATTGGACACTATGAAATACTTGTGCGTAATGAGATTCAACACCAAAGAGTTCAGCCTTGACTTGAGCGAGATGGTCTTCCATTTTAATTCCGAGCATTTTCATAGCAAAATCATGCAGAGGGATAGGCCTTTTATATTGAATTACCCATTTTGAATTAGTCGACTTCAAAATCCATATTTATCTTACCATATTATTGCTTTCCATGGCTTTTTCCAGCTTTATACTGTTTAATTAATGCCTTTCTTATATAGAGAATAATCCTCAGCGGTCCTATATAAAAGTTTTTAAGGTCTATTACTACCTATATATCTTTTTTCATTGAAATTCTCCTTCTAAATTCTTCTTCAAAAACATATGGGAAAATTTCTGACGCTTGTGGGAAATCCCCATGCGCATATGCGCAGAAAAGCTGAGCAAGAAAGATAGAATTACTCGAAATATTTTCTGGCAGGCGTGATGCAGGATTCGATAAGTAATTTGAATGCCACTCTTGCAGATGCTGTATCATTTGGTCACGGTTATCACGATAAATAGCTAAACAAGTGTCTTTTATGAGCTCAAACTGGAATGATTGGAACTCAGACTCTGCATCTTCATAGACACGGACAAAAATAGAGAACGGAAATAAGAAAATCTGAATTGGCATGTACCCTAGCACATCAACTGTAATGTCCCAGGCAATCATTGGCTTGATACGGAGGCGGGCAATTTGCCAATGGTCTTCGTTTATGTATATCGGCATGACACCATTAATAATTTCATTTGGAAGGCCTTTTACAAGATTGCTAGCTGGCTTAGGCTCCATCCCATGCTGATAAGCTCTTTCTGCTTGGATGATTTGTCCAGCTTTAGTTTCAAATAATGCAGAGTCTACAAAGGAGTCTGAAGTGATTACAGTGGTATTCATTTTTTTAATTTTTATTTCTAAAGCGTCACCGAGCAAGTTTTGAGGTCGCTCAAGCTCAAAAGTGGCGCAGAAACAATCACCATCTATAATCGCTTCTAGCCAGTTTCTAGTTGACAGCACACACTCTCCGTATTTTTCTAATTGCCCTTGGTATTTTTTTTCTAATTCATCTTTATTGAATCCTTGCACTATTTCACCAATAAGTTTTTCTGATTCATTAAGCATGTCAATGTTTTTGCCGACCTCTCTGGCGATTTTTCGTTCTAGATTTCTTTTGAGGATGTTTTTATGTGCCAAGTTATTCAATGAGGCAAGCTGGATATTGGAAAGATGAACCCCAGCGCTTTCTCTTAATGTGGTATAATAATTCTGCAATAGTTCTCTTGTGGTGGAGAAGAACGGAATACATTGTTTTCTATGAAAAGGTCGAAGATTTTTGGCTTCGTTTTCTAAATAGTCGATTCTTGTTTCCATTTCTTGTATCAAAGGCCTGATTTCTACAAGTTTTTGGGCTGCTTTATCGCCTCCAACTTCTAAAATTTGGATGATTTTATTACTAACGAAGTTAGTAACTAATAAAACCAAGTCTTTGAATTCTGAAATTTCTCCTCTGTGAGGATCAAGATCATATAGCTGGACATTTGAGCCTCTGTGCACTTCAATTTTGCATTCTTCTAACTCCCCCCTTCGTGAGCGAACAAAACCAATGGAAAAATCCCTATTTTTTGACCAAAAATCCGCCTTCGTGAGCGAACAAAAATACTTTTTAATAGAAAAATTTTTTATAATAAAAAATTTTTTGATATATAAGTGATAATTATTATAATGAAATCTCTAAATCATTCTGTTTAATTTTAAGCAGCTTGCATTTTAAAACATAAATTTTGCAAATTAAATTAATTTTTACTTCTCAATTTTTCCAATATGCATTTTTTTAATTCTCTATAAAATTATATATAATTTTTTTTGAAAAAAAAATAAACCCCTCCTTGAGCGAACAAAATTTTGTTGTTCGCTCACGAAAGGGAGAAGTAAGTCATTTTCACTTATGTAAATGAGGCCTTTCAAATTTCCTGACTCGTCATCTTTTTCTATATCAATTTTATGTGTGGTCATTCCTCCATGAGAAATGAATCTTGCCCAGGTTGTGGATTCAAAGGCCAGCTCATAAACGTTGTTGACTGCTACTGGAATTCTTCCATTTGGAGGGACATATTGGAAAGATCCTTTTCTCGTCCCACTTTGTGAAAGTTTAGTCAATAAATTTGCATCGTGATCTCCTGAAAACCCTATAGTATGCATTGCAATGGAAACTCCATAATCCTCCATATCCTGCTTAAACTTGTCCATAACTGGAATCAGCTGGGTCAGTCCTTTATTGTCTTGCCCATCTGAAAGCCAGACACAGAAAACGTTTTTCATTGCCTTTTCAATAATTCTTGTATGAATTTGTTCTATTACTGGGCCAAACAGTGTTCCTCCGGATGCCTTGAGCTTTTCTGCTTTATCATGCATTAATTCATACCCTTCATCGTCTGAAGACATTATTTCTAGCTTATTGCTAAATAGATAAGCTGTGATAGGTATTTCTGCTTTGCGGAACTTTTGAATTAGGCTTATCAAAGCTCCTTTTGCATCACGAATTGGGCCACCCGACATTGAGCCACTTTTATCGATGGCAAAAATTGCGTGAAGGCCTTCAGATTCGATTTCTTCTCCTTGCTTAGCTGGGAGAACGACTCGGAGTGCCATATACTCGCTGACTAAATGTATGAGTTCAGCCTCAATAACTTGGGATTCCATATTACCTAAAGATCAGTATATAGTGCTTATATAGAGATATCAGCCAATAAAAACAATGAAAACTAAATAAATTCGGTTAATTTAATATCATAATATCTATCTAATTTAAACAGGAAATGATAATATAATGGATTTGAAATTTAAGGAGTCTTGTGCAACTGATAGAGATTTTCATATGAATTCTGTAAGAACCAAGGTATCAGTTTCTCCATCATCAACTTTGCCATCAGCTAGATGTGAAACTAACAAAAAAATCTCTAAAAAGCTCAAAGGCCTTCATAAGAAAATTTCATTATTGCAAGATATTCAAGCTTATACCGCTTATATTGATGATCTTTCCAGATGGATAGAAGACTATTTTTTTACAAGTTTTTCATTGGAGTTATCAACGATTCCACAAGTCCCTAGAACTGAGACGATTTTTGATATGGAGAGCTCAATGAAAATTCTTGTAAATTCTTTGGTAAAGGTAAGAAAAGAAGCTTCAGACAGATTAGCAAATCAAGAAGAAAAATTCATGAAGTCACGAGCTCAAATTGAAGAAAACTTAAAGCAACTAAAAACTGAAATGCAAAAGTTAACATGAAATGTCCAAGATGAAAGTAAAAAACAAATTATTGTAGAAGTGCCTATTAAAGATAATTTTTCGCTTAATCTTTGTATTGAAGAATGCGCAAAGTTAAAAAAAGAGCTTGAAGCTTCACAAGAAATCAATGAAAATTGTAAAGGATCTATGCAGTTTTTATTGCAAGAATTTCAAAAAGAAGGGTTTGCAAGGCAAAAACAAGGAGATTTGCTAGTTGATGTGTTGTCAGATTTAAAGAATTTCACATTAAATATTCTTAAGGAGAGAAGAGATTATATTTCACAGAATGCAAGCATGAAAATGACAGCGGAAAAAGAAAGATATGAAAGGACAAAATTTTTGACTGAATATGTAGATAGAGTTAGGGAAATTAATGAAGAAAATGATAAGTTAAAGAAAGAAATAGAAAATAAAGCAGAAGAATATGATTATATCAATGGGAAAATTAAAGAATTTGAAGCAAAAATGGATGAAGCGAGAAATCAAATAAAGAATATAACAGAGCAAAATACACTTACAAATAAAAAATTAGAAAATGCAAGAGTCTATATTACAATGGCATGCAGAATTATTGTTTCAGTTATTGCAAAATTCAAAAATTTACAGAGTTTGATAAGTTCTTATAAAGAAAATATCAAGGACATCCAAAAAGTTGCAAATCAATTTTCAACACCTAAAAAAGTTGAACTGCCATATTCAAAAAGGCCAAAAATATCAAAACTTAGACCAAAAATAATTGCTGTGATTGCTATGATTAGGCTAACTAATATTTTGAAGCTAAAGAGAGTAAGAATCAGCAATTTTTCTATACAAATTTTAGCATCAAAGCCCAACATTTCTGCCCTTTCACTTGAAAAAAATCCAACATTCACTATATTTTCTGACATTTTTGAGTCAACTGCTATTACTCCCTATCCAAATTATTTTTCCTCCCAGCTTTTTGACTTCAAAAAATTAAAAACAAAATTATCCGAAGCCTCAAAAAATATAAAACAATATCAAGAAGAAAATAGCAATTACGAGAAAAAATCAGCAGTAAATGATATGAAATATTCAAATTTAAAGAAAAAATATAAAGATTTATTAAATAAATTCAATTTATTCAAGCAAGAGCTTGATAATATAAAGTCAAAAATCCCTTCCGAAAATGTATCAGATGAAAAACAGCAAAAATTGAAAAATAAATATGAAAAATTAAAAATGCAATTAGAAGTTTTAAGAACAAAATATGCAGAAAAAGAAGAAGAAAGAAGAAAAATGAAATTAAAATTAAAAGAATTAGCAACGATAAAAAAGAAACTTATCCAAAAAGTAAAGGATTTAGAGAGCAGACAAGAAGACTTGATGAAAATAATTAAAAAGACAAAAGTTAAAAACAGAATCGTAAATCTAAATGAAGAAATATCAAATCTGAAAAAGGAATACGAAATTATGAATAAAGAAGACGCTGGAAAAATAGCTAAAAAGACAGAAACGTCGTTGGGGGTATCAAAAAGCTCTTCTTGCAGCTTTGACCCAAATGAAAGCTTTTATTTAGAGTCATCAAGTATAGAATTAGAATAATAAATTGTTTTATAATCAACACTAGCTTTAAAATCCAGCTCCAGCATCTAAAGACTTTTCAAGCTCCTTCAATTTGATTTGTTTAAGCCACACATTTTTATTAAAATTTTTTCCTTTCTTTATTTTTTCTTTATTCTTATCATCTTCTTCACACATAATTTTTTCTACGTTTTTGCTGATCATGTAATCCTCTTCTCTATCTCTTTCCTTGAGCTGCCTTCTTTCTTCCAACTTTTCTATCATTTGTTTTGCAACAAACTCTTTATTTTCTCTTTCCCTATCCATTTTAAATTTTATTTCATTTTCCAAATCTTCTTTGCTTTCTTCAGGCCCAAAATGCGTCTTTACCGGTGACATTTTCTCTATTTTTTCTTCCTGCTTTTTTTCTATTTTTTCAGAAATTTGTTCTTCTAATTTTTTTCTATACTTTTCCAGCTTTTTCCTGTGCTTCATTTCTACATCCTCCTGATACTTTTTATCAATAATTTCTCGTTCCAGCTTCTCTTTCATCAATTTTTCATTATTTTTTTCTTTTTCAATCAATTCTTGTTCATACCTCTCCAAAGCATTTTCCATAGCTAGATCTTTTTCATAATTTTTTAAAAATCTTGGAGAATATTCATCAGGTATCATAAATTTCGGGATATCAATTCTCACTCTGGGCGACTGAGGGCTTGATGAAAACGCTGCAAACGTAGAATTTAACGTATCTGAATGCTTTCTTAAATCCTCTCTTAGTGCTAAATTAAGTGTTTTCTGTTGTGCTTCTATTTGATCTCCATGTGTAAACGGAAAATAATCATACGTTTCACCAAGTCTTTCTTTCTTTATCTGCTTTTTCCTTTCTTTTTTCCTTTCAATTAAGCTGTTATTTTCTTCTATAAACAGTGATTTTTTTATATAGTCGCTGTACTCTTTGTCTTCTCTATCCTTTTTCATTTGATCAGTCACCGTCTTTATATACCCATCCTCTTCTAGTTTTTTTATTTCTTTGGTTTCCTTTAATTTTTTAGCCTTTTCTCTAATTTGTTCTCTATGGATATCTAGTAAATCTTGAGGAGAAATTGCTAGATCGCAAGCCTGTCTCCTTGTGTATTTTGTTCGAAAATCGAATAAAGGATGGATTTTTCCTGTGTAAAATGCGCATGGCAAAGGAACTGTATTTTGAGGTTTATAACTTAAGCCTCTATAATAATTATTTAAATTCTTTGAAGGGCCTTGATAAATAGGATTAGGGTTTGAAGCATGCACTGACAGAGAACCAAGCCTAATATTAGTGCAGCGGCTGCTTCTTGGTGTTAAAACTGAGCTTTCTCTGCTGGTTGTGCTATCTAGCGAATAATTTGCTTTATTTTTTCTTTCAATGATAGGTTTTCAATCAAGCAGCCCATCTCTCAGTGTCATAAGTCCAATTTTAAAATTAAGTTTGATTGAGTTGCCTTGCCTAACGAGCTCTAATATATGTGACACTATTTCTTGCATGCACTTTTGGGCTTGATCTCTATTGAGATCACATACATATGCAATTGCAGAATAACTTATGTGTTGGTCCAATCGTTTATCTTTGCTTTCATTGGAAAACAAGTCTAAGTTCTTGTATGTGAAGTTCCCTGAAGTGATAAATTTAGGCGAAGGAAGGTACATGACTCCTAATGACTCTGAGGAAATAAAGCGACCAAATTCACAACTTACATTTAATCCTTTGTTTATGTTGCTTCTGATGAATTTTGTATACCCGCTCCACACTTTATAAAGCGTCTTATAGCTTTCGTTCCTGGAAATGACCTTTGGCGATTTTTCAGCTGATTTGAAGACATCGACTTCAGATAACTGCATTTATAAATGGGTTTACAGCAACTTATGTAAAATTACTATTATGTGTATTAAAGTAAAGGGAAATTCTTTGCTTCCTCATCAACCATCTTTTCTAAGTCATCAATTGAAGCTGCTCTTAATCGATTAATTTGTTTATCCATCATCTGCACATAGCCTGGCCCATAAATAAAGGTAAAGATAGGCCTAGTAAAAAAACGAAGGTCTATATGTGATCCTAAATATCCTAAAGGGCTATTGACTGAGGTAAATTTATAAAATGCTTTTCAGTCACGAAGCCACCAATCCATATTAATAAGAACTCTAGAATATCTTGTCCTCTTCCAGGTATAATCATATGCGTGAAATCCTGCCAGCATGATTAAAAACATGATATAAATGAATTTCCTGCTACGCTCATAAAGCACATGTGTGGGGATTTGTATTTCCCATTGCTTGTATTTTTTAAGCGCTGTTGAAAAATAAAACATATAATAGTCATAATTCGGGTCCTTTGGGTTTACGCTTCATAAGGGGTCATATAGCTGGATTTCGACTTTTGATTGTAAAACATATCGGTGCCACTCGCGCATTCTCATACGATAATGGTCCATATAAGGAGGAAATTTTACGAAGTCCTCGTATTCCCATCAGTTTTCGAGAGTGGTAAAGGTTACAGGAAGGTGTTTTTTGATGTCTTCATCTTTTATTAGTGCTTTCTTATCATTAATAAGCCCTCTAAAACTTCTCATGTTGGGGTATTCTGGTGGCAGCTCTACTGGACTATAAGAAAGCTGCTCGTAGACTTCTTCTGATGTAGGGATTAGGAATTTCTTTTCTTCATAAGGGTTAAGGAAACTATTAAAATCGTAGTTTATGAGATCTGATTCAGTCTTTTGGTGGTACTTGATAAGGCTGGTTGCTGTGTTTGAAATTGCAGGAAGGTTTGTGTTAAGTGAAGGCTCTATGTAGTGGTCTAATAGTTTCCCATAGAGCTTATATCGAGTTGTCATTTAGAAATTATCAATAAAAATAACAAATATTTTTAACAAAACATGGCAATTTAATTTGAAAATATTAGAATACATTAAAAGGAGTTGCTATGAGGGTCATTGTCGTTCGCTATTTCTTCCCATTTTCGGTTTAGTTCATTTCTTGGAGTGTTCATGTCGCTGACTGAAGGAGGGTTTTCGAGCTCTTTATCATCTTCTTTGATATCTCTTGAAATTGAAGGGATTTCAAAAGAGTTGTCAATAGGCATTATCCTCTTGCTATAGCCAGATTTTTCTTGTGTTCTTGTCATATCAAGGTTGTAATCAGGATTTTCTATATAAGGCTCGTATAGCTCTTCTAAGTGGACTTCTTCTGAATTATTCCGCTGGTGGCTTAAGTTGATTTCAGAAACTTTGTATTTGTTTACGTCTCGTCTTCTCATTAATATATATTCATATGTCGTCATGTTCTTGAACTTAAGCCAAATATGAAATAATATTAGCTGCCCATTGCATATACCTACAATTCCACAAAGAATTATAATTAGCACCACAATAGAAAAATAAAAATACATTGATTGGTCACTCAATTGCAATTTTTCTTCGATTCTTTTGGAGTCTTCGCTTGAAGTCACTGTTTGTTGGCAAACAATAGAACTTGCTGAGATTATTGTGACGACTAAAATTTGTACACATAAGATTAGATTGAAAAATACTCGATAATTTACGTCGCCGATACAGTTGTTAACTCAAGTGCAGTGATGGTCAAAATTATTTACACACCTTTGACAACGCCGGCAGTGCTTACTGTTCCCACTTACATACTTATCGCAGATTTTGCAAATTTTGGGGTATTTTTTGTTATTTTTTGCTGATTCAGGCTTGGATTGGCTTGTAGCGTCGATTTCTTTTAATGCAGGATCGCTTGGATCTAAATATGTGCATATAAATCCAAATATTAAAACTGAGGTAAGGGACATTGCAAATAAACAGCAAAAAACCACGCTGTTTGTATCTGCAAAGGATGGGAGAACTAAAATGCTGAATAAAATGGAAATAATTGCTAGCAAAATTCAGGCTATGATTTGATGTTTATGATATGGTTTGCAAAATCCATTTCTTTTCATAATATTTAAATAAAAAATTAAAATTACTTTCAAGTGGTTTGCCTGTGTGACATTAATCAGCCTTTAATCATGAAAAAATCTCCAAATTCACTTTTACTTTCCTTACAATTTTTATTTTATATTAAAAAATATTGAGATAAAGCATTCAGCCTGATTTTTTTATCTATATTTAAATTTAAAATAAAGATACTCAATTTATAATTCCATAATTCTTCTACACTTATTGCATTTCAAATCTCTTAAAAAATGAAAGAGTTTCAAAATTTCCTCCTCTATCTGATCACTCCTTATAATGAAACGTCAGCTTATTTTCGAAACTCCTTCTTTTTAATATTTTTCCTAATAAATTCCTAAATAATCCTACTAAATTTTACCCACTCTTATTTAAAACTATTTCATTATCCCAAAGTTTCACATTTTCTTATGCCTTTATAATAAAAATGCGTCTATTCGGCAAGAAAAAGAAAAAGCAAATGAGCCAAGAAGAAGTCCTCAAAACAATGGAAGGACTCCGTAAAACCCTCGAAGATATTGATAAGCGAGGAAATCTACTTCAAAACAAAGCCCAGAACGAGCTCCAACAAGCCCTTCAAAGGAAAAAAGTTGGCGATCGAAGCGGAGCCTTAATTTGTCTCAAGCGCAAAAAAATGTATGAAAGCGAGGTAGCCAAACTTGAAGGATCCCGTATGAACTTGGAACAGCAACTGTTCGCCATTGAAGGAGCAAGTATGAACAAAAATATTTTTGACTCACTGAAAACGGGTAACCAAGTCTTAAAAGATGTCCATGGGGAAATAAAAATTGAAGACGTCGACAGGCTAAAAGATGATATGGAAGAACAGCAAGATTTATTGCAGGAGATGAATGAAGCCATATCACAGCCAATTGGAATTTTGTCGACAATGGATGAAGATGAGCTTATGGACGAATTAGACCAATTAGAAGCTAAGGAATACGAAAAAGACATGCTTGAGGCACAAGCTGGGCCAGCTCTGCAGAACAGAAATAATGTTATTCAAAGAGAGCCTGTGCCTGCTCAACAAGTAAGTGCAGCGAACGATTTAGACGAACTTTATAACCAAATGCAGATGAGCTAAATAAACTTTCATGGTAAAATTGTTATGTATATTTCATAGAAATCACACCTAGGGCTGTTTTCATTTTTTGTTTTGTAGGTTTTAGTGACTTTAAAAGGCTATTGACGCCGTTTTCAATTGAAGAAATCCTTGCCTTTAAGTGATTAAAAGAATCACTATTCGCCTGAATCGTGTCTTCAAACATCCCAAGACGATCACGAACTACTACAGTAGAAACTCGTCGTGATTTTCGGTGGTTAAAGTTCCCTTTGGTTTCAAGATGCCGAGGTATTCCTTCTGCTCTACCTAGGTTTATAAGTGCGGATAATTCTTCTTTTGCTTTTGTGTTCCTTAACCATCGTTCTTTGGCAATTTTTGTTAGCTTTTTCTGTTGATCAGGAAAGTCTTTTATTGTGCTTTACTCGCAAAGAGTCTTTTTATTGGGGAGGCATTATTTATTTTCTATACTATATTTAGATATTTTGCCTATTTTATGTTTTTTAAAAGCTATAAGCAAATATAAAATTTTAAGAAAATCATGCTTAGAAATGACCAAAAATTCTGATAGACCAGCAGCCTGGGCGTTATTGTCTCTTATGGACCGTTTCGTAAGGATTTCAATTTCTCCAATATATGAGCCTTTAAGAAACGATTTATAGCAAATTCCATTATTTTCTAATACAAGATTTACTCTACCTTTTACAATAAAAAATACTTCATCTGGAAAAGTGCCTTCTCGATATAAAAAGTCGCAATCTTTGTGCTGCAAAGGCTTTAGCAGCGGCATTATTGAAATAATAAAAGAAGGGTCTTGGTCTCTGAAGAAAATTAGGTCTTTAACAATCCCGCTGTACATGGTAGCACTGACTTCGTATCGTAAGGATTTTGGAAGCTCTTTAAATAGAGAATGCTTATCACTTCATACAGTCCCAACTTTGCTTGTGTTGTATTTAATTATTTCTCTTATTTTCGATTTATTTTCTGCAGAAATCCCAGTTTCATTTGCAAATTCATGGATTGCTGCTAATTTTGCTGCCAAAATTGACTCCTTTGTATCGATTTCTGACAGGAATGAAGAAAGCGCACCTATAGTAAAAGAATAGAACCCAATGCCTATTAGCATCCAAATCATAGCCAGCAACTGTTCTAGTTCTGTTCTAGCTGCAATATCTCCATAACCTACTGTAGTAACTGTTGTCATTGCCCAGTAAATGCTTGCTATATACTTTTCTCATACAGTTTTATCAATATATCCACATCTAGTCACCCAAGTATCAGGATCAAAATTGTTTATTTTCGCCATAAAGAACCATAAGCAGCCCATTATGTGCACACACAGACAAACTGAAACCAAAAACGTCATCAGCTTGTAAAATCGAGAATTTAGCTGCATCATGTCTTGGATTTTGTCAGCTAAATCATGCTTTTTGTAGTGTTTTAAAGCTTTGGCAATTCTTATGACTCGTAAAAGCTTGTAAAGCCGGGGAATTCTTAATAACTTGGCAAGGTTGTTAGAGCGAGTTGTGTTTCCGCCTCCACCCATCCAATAATCAATTAGTGTATAAGGAACACTAGAAACTGCATCAATAATAAACCAAGTTTTCAAGTAATGCCATATTATATATTTTATATCTGCATGTAGAGTTCCTTCATAGCTATGGACTCCACTAATAAAGCTAAAACACATATCAATTATAAATAGTAAATCAATCATAATTTCTATAGTAGTTCATACATCGAAAAATTTTAACTCGGCAAATGCAAGTCGAAAAGGCATAACAATAGCTGTATATAGCAAAAAAAGAGTCAGAATCATGTCTCATGACCTTTTAAATTTTCCATCAGGATCTATTATATACCACGGAATTAATTTTTCGTCACGGTCTCATTTTTTTACCCTAAAGTCTTCTTCTTTGTCAACTTTTTTCTGGAGAATTGAATCAAGGTTCTGTTTGAATTTTTTGTCTTGATCGAAAACTTCGTTTGAGGTGCCGAAAAGCATAAGCTCTCTTTTGAATTTTTCTAGAATTCGTTGGATTCTTATAATAAAAAATGCTCTTTGCCACAGCTTCTTGGCATGTGAAGAATATCATGGGGTAACATTGGAATTTGTATTAGTGAAGCTTGGATTTTTAAACCAGCTTTGATTCACAGGAGATCTGTTTTTCATTGAAATTTCACCTGAAAGTAGTCCATCTAGATCATAGTTTTCGGTAGGAACTGTTGGACATTCAGTTAATAAAGGAATTATTTTTACTCTTGACATATTTATTCTATTTTTAATGCTAAAAATGCTTTATATATCTATCATGATTTCTTTTTTATTGGAAATCATATAGGCTTTTCAGTGTTTAGATTTTATTATCAATATAATTGAATATTAAAAAATTTATCTCTTTGCCCTGAGCTTCTCTATTTCTTGAAAGTATAAAGCTTCATCTATTACGCAGAGCCCAGTGTGATCTACTCGGTCAGCAGGATCTCCATATCTTTTGACATTGGTGACAATTTTTTCCTCAGTTAGTTGTCTTCTTGTCAACAAATTTTGTGGCTCAAATCTTCTTCGCTCATATATTAAAGGCAATTTTTGAGTGATAACTTCTTTATACCCTTCTTGGATTGCTACAGACAATGGGGATGGCGGTCTTTTCTGGATCCTTGGCCTAGATAGCGACCTTATATTATTTTTTTTAGTTTTTCTCTTATTTGTGGGTTTCTTCTTAAAAGATCTTTTTTCTGATTTGTCACGCATTTTTGGGTTAAAGCTTTTAGCTGTATTGTGATAAGAATTAAGAACTTTATTTCAATATTCTGGTGTAACAGCATGCTCTTCTTGGAAATACTTAGACTCTCTTCTGGATAGCTCATTATCTATATTTAATTCTAAATCATCTGATGACCCGTCTTCACTTCCACTTTCTGCTTTCTTTATTGCTTCATTATTTGAATCTTTAAAATAATCCTCTGGAAGAATTTCTTCTTCTTCCTCCTCAGTCGATAGATTATAGCTGCAAAGGTTTACTATAGAAATAACTGATCCTGTAGCTGCTAATAAGGATTTTTGATCAAGAAATAGTAATGATTTTACACGTTGTGGAAAAATTATTTCTTGAATTAATTGATTGCTAAAATTTCATAAACGAATTTTTTGATTATTTGCTGCTGTTAAAAAAATTTGGAAATCTTCAATGAGATCAATTGACAGAACTGCAGAATCTGCATCTGGGACTTTATTTGTCAGTCTATAGAGACTTTTATTTTCAATTCGAAGCAGCTCAGATTGCCCTGATTCGAAGCCTAAAAATATTTTTGATGGCGATAAAGCTCTAAATGTGCTCAAATTTCTTCTAATATCAATTTTCTTAGCTTTTTGTAACTGATTTTCACTGAAAAATGAAATTAATAAAATATTACCTGCACATAGAGTAATTAAATACCCAGGAAGTTCTTCTATCATTAGTATAACTTCTCTATGGAGAATATATCTTCCATATATAGAATCCAGATTTTCAACCTGCATAAATAGCAAAGCTCCTTTCCCAACTGACATTGCTGCAAACTTGTGAGGATTTCTTGCTGCATGGGATTCAAAAAAATCAAGATCGTCTTTTAGCTTTTTTTTAATTGCGAGCTCACAGTCATAATGTGGAGGTTTTACATTCAAAGGTTTAAAAGCTTTAACTGGAGCTAGAACAGCTCGATTTTCAGAATCTTTTATATCTCCAGTGTATATAATTTTTTCAAGCAGGCCTGTTTCTCCTTCATATCGAAAAATGCACATTGAGCCTGAATAAAGTAATAAAAGAACCCTATCAATTTCTTTTATATAAAACATCTCTTTTACATCATTTGCTGTTGGAGGAGGATAAATCGTTGTTACTAGCTTTCCAGTCAAATCATATAAAATTACGCTATTGTCCTCACTTAAAACTCCTATGAATTTGTTTATTCACTTAATTTCTTTTACTGCACTTTTTGATATTGCAAAAAAATCACCTACAAGATTGATCCTGGAAATGCTTAATTTGTTTCCAGTGTACGTCGCTAAAGTGTTTGAGTCAATAAATGATATAAAATTAATAGGATTTGTAGGGCTTGAATGAGTTTTAAAAGTATAAATTAAATGAAAATGCTCAATACTCCATATTTTCATAGTGCAGTCAATAGATGCACTTAAAAATAAATTAGGATTTGAATGGGCTGCTAAGGCTAAAATTGACCGATTATGTCCATCAAAGGTATGGATTGGCTTTGATCTTGACCCTAATTTATATACAAAAATTTGGCCTTCACTTGTGGCACATACACAGTATCCTTGTGGTGGGCAATATAAAGTGTCTGTAATCAATGTTCCAGGGCATAGATCGTCAGCTTGATTTTGTAGGTCATAAGTTCCTAAACTGAGCACAGCAATTGAGCTTTCGCTCCAGACAGAAAGCCTCTCGAATTTTTTATCAATTCGCATCCCTTTCATCCAATTCATCTGTAAATCAATGCTTTTTATTAGCTCTATCTCGAACTTTACAAATCCTCCACCAGGGTCTAATAAGAGTCCTTTTTCTATATCATATTTGCTTTCACATATAAGCTTCATAACTGTTATATTAGAAATTCCACATAAAATTAGATGGTTTGAGGAATGAATATATGTGACATGCTGAATCCTTCCTGGGCCTAGAGTTTCCATTCTTCATATTTCAAATAGATCAGACAGCAAAAATAGCCTGAAATCTGTACTGATTACAACAAAAACGTGGTAAGGCTCAATATAAGTAAAACAGCAGCATGCGTGAACTCGTAAAATATCAAAGAAAGTGCAAGTATTTTTAAGAGTGCCAAAGCTATCAAATAAATAAAGAGATTTTTCATCGAAAGAAGCATAAAGGTTGTAGTTACGAATTCATTCGATTCTTCGAGGAGTAAATTGATGCTTACTCCCTCTCCATAAGCAAACAGAACCATAGGAAAAATCTCTATTTGTTGCCCAAATACAACTAAAAATGTTTTTAATATAAATTTTTTTTATGAAATAAATAATTTGATTTTAAGTGATAACTATTAGAATGAAATCTCTCGCTAATATTATTAATTTTAAACAGCCGCATTTAAAACAAATTACTCTCCAATCAGGATTTTTAAATTTAGAAAATAAATTTATTATTAAACTTTTTAAAAAAAATTCAACCCCTCTGTGAGCGAACAATATTTTTTGTTCACGCGGGGGGAGCTAGTAAAAGAAGTTTCGGGGATAAGCCCAAAGACTTGCTCTGGAGATTTTTGGGGTCTTCTTGGCTGGGATTTGTATGAGTTGATACAATCATGACGAGTTAAAGACTTTTTCTCCGGCCTGCTCATTTTTAACTTAAATTATTACTTTTAATCATATGAATAATGCAAATTTGTCCTTTTTGGCAAAAATTGTGCTTTGTGGTTTAAAATATTTATATATTAAAATGGCGTGGCTAACCAGCCCGCCCTCTTAGCTCCTGTAGATGGTATTCTACAGGGTGCGCAGGGACCTAGAGGAAGGGAGGATGGCATTCTGGAATATGTATCCAGCTGAGTTTTTCTTGGTTTGGTGAAGCCCAATATCGGGTTGGCCGACCCATAATTTTAACCAATGCCAAGTTATTTGCCTCAGTTGCAAATGAGCACGGAGTTGGAAAGGGGTTTCCCAGCAGAGCCAATAGCGTTTATCTTGGCCAGCTGGGACTATTCTCCAGTTTTAAACTAAGAGATATATACTAAGCTACGGATTTCCATCTTGGCTGAGAGTCTATCATAAATTTCAACTTTTGAATTTTTTAATAGTGGATAGCCCTTCTGACGAACGGCATGGCGGCGCGAGTCGCCTAACGACCAGGCAGTGATTGCAAGCCCTCGTCCGGCAGGAGCAGCATTCACGATTTTTTTATCACGAAATGGTGAGAAGGCGGGAGGCTACGGGTGGAGATAATCTTTGCAAAGCTTTTCAATAAGGTTAATTAATGTTGATGATATAAAATATTTTGATTCATTTAATTTTTATTTACTGTTAATTTTTTAAAATGATAATTAGTTAAAATTATATTAATGATGATGACATTTTAGTAATAATTAATGGGAATTATTTTGAATGTTCCTGGTAGGTAAGTTTTGACTATTGTCAAACACTTTTAGATAAGGATTAGCAATCAGATGCCACTATATTTTTTCTATTTCTATAATAAAGCTGAAATGTATTTAACACAACAGATTTCGAAAACTCCTAATCTGAGAAACTATTAATGACTTACTAGCCATGATAAAAAATTTTAAAAACTCTCAATTTTATTGCTTAATGAGCTATAGGCTTTTTAGATACTTCTAATATAAGAACAATTATTATATACTTATTGCATAGTGACGTGATCATATTAATAACTACAACCATTTTTATATTTTTGCATTTACTTACAAATCACCACATTCCAAGATTTTAGAATTTCTTAGAAAAATAAATAGCCTCTAGAGTAATGAGCATTTTTATTTTCTAGATTTTTCTTAAATCAATGTTAAATAAACAAATAATATAATCATATTAATCTGAATTGAGAATAATGTTTAGTTATTTATAATCATGGACAATATTCAGAACTTATGGTGGCAAGAAGAAGTTCAAATAAACTACAAAAATATTACAAGCCTCAATAAAAGATTCCTGCAAATAATTACTTCAATGCGAATTTTAGCAATAATTATTTATCCCTCCTGATCCTCACTTTTAAGATTTTTCACATATATTTCTATTCATTTATTTGTTTATTTTCTTGTTAAATCAAGTGAAAGCCGGTCAACCCTCCACAAAGCAGTAACTACAGTAATTCTCACAGAATATTGAAACTTTTTATGATTATTTGTGTGGTTGCCAAATTTCCCTGGGCATTATGAACTCGGAGAAATGTTTGCATTTGTATCAATGAGCCTATTTTTAAATGCAGTTCTTACAAACAAATGAATTTTTAATCTGATGATGCTAAAGCATATGTACATTTGGCATATTCATCCATATCTATCTAGCAGTTACTCACAGATTAATTTTGCTCATTTCATATATGCAATTCTATTTCTCGTATATTTTTGTAATAAAGGTTTTTTTAATAAACAAAAAATTTCGGGTCCAATGATCGTGTACTTTAATAGCGGTCAGAAATTTTTAAATAGTATAAAATTGGCCCAAATTTTAAGGTTTTTTTGGTCAAATGTCTCACTATCAAAAATGATTCGAACAAATTTTTCCTCTAGGAAATGTCGCACTAGCAAAAATGCATGATCATTTGACATGAATCCAAAATTTCTCTCGAAAGATTTTTATACCAAAAAGAATTGGAAAAATCAAAAAATAAATTAGGTACTATAGCACAATCAACAACAAATGGGATTATCATTTTGACAAATAATGAAATAGTTTTCAATAACTCAAGTATCTTAGAACTGCTCAATTGCGATTTGCCTTCTTTGTTTTCAGTGATAGAAAAACTGGAATATTGCCCTGAGAAAAAACTGGCGAGATATTCAAACTCAAACTTCTTAATAGATGATGTTATGCTAACAATGGAAAATATAAACACTGAAGAAATCTGTTTAGGAATAACTAAACTAAATGATATCAATTTAGAATGAAGAGCAAAAAAGATATTATGAGAAGAAGTCCCTTCATTATTTTTAACAGCAAGAAATGCAAATCAGATTATTGAGCTTGAAAAAAATATAGCAAATGATAAAATGAAGACAATTTTACTAAGATCAGTTTCTCATGAACTGAAAACTCCTTTAAATGCGATATTGCATTTTACTAATGAAATCCTAGAAAAACATAGAAGTAAACTTAATAGTGAAGATCTTCAGCAGCTTTCTATGGTTGTTACTTCTTCAAAACTAATGCTATCGCTTATAAACGACTTATTGGACTACTCAAAAATCCTAGCAGGTGTTTTTTCGATCAGAAAAGTATACACAAATTTTAGAAAAATAATATACAGCACCTGCGAGCTTATTGAAATCCAAGCAAAGCGCAAAGGTTTATCTTATTCATGCCACATTGATCCAAATGTCCCAGAAGAAATTTATACAGATCCATTAAGATATGGCCAAGTCCTCCTAAATTTATTAAGTAATGCATTGAAATTTACTATGAAAGGTGGCATTGAAGTCCATTTTTATATAGATTGCAACAATAAATTAAAATGCCAAGTCAAAGATACAGGAATTGGCATACCTGAAAAAACAATGCAAAAAATTTTCACTGCATTTAATTCTCCTAATAACCCGAATTTAAATCCTAATGGATCTGGCCTTGGGCTATCTATATCAAATTATTTAGTAAAAGAACTAGGTGGAGACTCAATCAAAGTAAAATCCTCTGTTAGTAAAGGCTCTTTATTTTGGTTCTCAATTGATATTTTACAAGAAAAAATACAAATAGAAGACTGTGAAAGTGAGCCAGATGAAATTGATGACTCTCTTTGCACAGTCATGTCTAGATATAGCAGCTTTGATAGCGGATGCCATTATGATATATTAATTGTAGATGACAATGAATTTAATTTAGAAGTCTTAGGATCTGTCCTCACAAAATATAATGTCAAATTTGCTGAAGCTTCTGGAGGGAGAGATGCAATTGAAAAAATCAAGCTTCAAGACAAGTCACATCAATTCAAAGCAGTCATTATGGATTGCAACATGCCTGAATTAGATGGGTTGGAAACCACAAAAGAATTATGTTCAATGTATAAACAAGGTAAATTAAGAAAAATACCTTATGTGATAGGGTATTCCGCTTATAGCTCTGATGAAGATAGACAGCTTTCATTGGCTTCTGGGATGATGGACTATTTAATGAAGCCATGCCCTCCAGAAGAAATCATTGCAACAATAAATAAATATCTATAAAAAGTTACTATAATAATTAATAGCTCCTCTTTGCTATTGTTAATAGAATTTGCTGATATACAAATATAAACTCTTATTGCAAAATAATGCACTTACTTTCTTTATATTTATGTTATCAAATTCTTTGAGCGATTTCTTATCCTTAGAAGTGAGAAGATGGGATATTTCTTCTATATGAGTCATTCCCGTAGCTCCAATCTTGAAATTGTCAGCACGCTCCTTTATAAGATCTCTGGGTTCCTCCATAATGCCAATGTCCTCGATCCTGAATTCCAGGCCAGACTGTTGGGTCATTATAAAGTCTTTTAAGTGCCAGCATTTCTTCTTTATCCTCAAAAAGTGCATCGATCAGTCATTCTTTCCTTCGCTGTCCTGCTAAAAATCTCCTATCTTCTATTGCTTGCAAGAAAGGTATTGATTTTCTTTTATATTCGTATAAATCATTCTTCCTCTATCTCTTTCAGTTCTGGCTTTTTAAATGATAGAGCCCCATAAAAGAAGATGTAAAAAGACAGGCAAGGGAAAGTTTGCTGACTGTTCCAGGGATTCTTCGACGAGCTGTTCAAAATAGTTGATGTCTGCGCTAATTATAAGCAGGGCCACGTGCTTTTCAGTATGGATTATGATCTTTGTATTGGTGGAAAATGTTGTCTTCACCTGGAATTTTTATAAAACGAAAAATTGATATGATGAAAGGTAAAGGATTTAATACGGAAATGCAATGAGGCTGAGCTAAATTAAGTCTAGTGAGATAAATAATCATAAATTTATTCTAAAATTTTTAAAAAAGAGGAATGAAAATTCAGTTATTTTGAGTTAGAGCTTTTTAATTAGTTTTGGGCAGACTGCAAAATAAAATTATTCATCTCTTGTTATAATAATGGAAAATTTAAAATCTGCATCTGCAGCTGGTCTTGGCAGTTCTGTTGAATGGTTTCCTCCAAGAGAGCCAGGCTATCGTTTTGCTGCACATCTCGATCTATACGGGCCAGCTGCCTTTGTTCACGATCCGCCTTCTCCTCCTAGAGAAGTAAAGCCTCGCGTTTCGTATGGAGGTGGCTTTCAAATGCCAAGAAAAGAAGCTTCAAGTCCTGGGCATCTTCAACAGTCTCCAAGAACTGCTTCCCAAAGTAACTTATAATCAGTTTCTGCAAGATATTCTTCACAAATTGAAAATCAGCCTTCAATTAGCAATTTCGAACAAGAACTAATGAAATTGAAAATGGAATCACAATATTTGAGCAATCAATGGTTTAGCAAGCCAATTGATCCAAGTATTTTGCACGTTGACCCAATTACTCATTCACATAAATCATATTATAAAGCTGCTGATGCTACTAATTTATCATTAGAGGAACTAGAATTGATGAAAGAAAGTCAAACCAAAAAATTAATTGATTTAGAAACTGAATATTACCGAACCAAACAAACTTCTTCATTTCAACATCCTAGTCAATCATCAGGCATCAATTTTTCATACTCAAGGTCAAGTCCAAAAGCTTCTTATGACTATTTTACACCTAACTCCCCCCCCATCCTTGATCGAACGACTCGCCATCGTTCGATCAAGGATGGGGGTTAAAAAAAATTTTTTTTGGGGAAAACAAAATTGTATATAAAATAAAAAAATATATATATATTTTTTTTTATTTACTTTTAAATAAGAGGGTTAAGAGTATTTAATAATTATTTTTACAACAACAAAAAAATTGATTTAATTTTCATAAAAATATCATTTTTAATATTTTGATTTATTAGTTAATCCTTTAAACTGTATAAATTTTAATTTTGTTACTTATTAAATTAAATTTTTTTTTTTTAAATTTTTTAAAGAATCTCTCTTTTATTAGATTATTGAGTTTTTAAGCCTAGGTTGATAACTAAATCACTTCAGATGGTTGATTCCAAAGCTTTCTGTCGTCTCAAAGTCTCTGAAAACAACTTCATTAGGTGTATCTTCCCAAACTTTTGAAAACTAATATATTTTTATATAAAAATTTGCATATGAAAATCGTTCGATCAAGGATGGGGTTAATTTTCCCAATTTTTAGGAATTTTTACAGTCAATCGTTCGATCAAGGATGGGGGGGAGTAAAGGAAAACCGACATCTCAAAGTGTCAGACTTTCACCTACAAGGGAACAATATGAAGCAAAATATGAAAGATATTTGCAAGGGAAAGCTATGAATAAGAAAAACAAAGATATTAGAGGGAAACCAAAAATAAATAGCAAAGAGATAAAGAAAGGACAAACTAGTGACAGGGAATTTGAGATGGTGACTTTCTTAAGATGAATGTTTAAAAAACTTGATAAAGATGGCTCAGGAAGTGTGGATACTGTAGAGCTGATGCAAGAGTTCCACGCTAACCCAGAGATAGCTGAAATGTTTGGGTTGAGAGAACAAGCGGAACATCCACAGTATATGGAAAGGTTTAAAGATGTCTTTGATTCAATTGGACTTGGAAATAAGCATGAATTCACACTTGATGATTTTTTGGAATTTTTCAGAAAACGACAAGAAAAGCCGACAGTTAAAAAAACGCCAATAAAAAGGCCAAAATCACCTAAGAAAAACATAGAAACTGCTGAGCCTCCAGCAGATCCTGTGTGCTTATTAACTAACAAACAAATGCAAATTCTTGAAGAAGTATTTTTTAATAGAGACGAGTATGAAGATAAAGTCTTAAAGCGATACGACTTTATTGATGCTTTAAAACAAGACGAAAGAGTCATAAAAATTCTTCATGTGGATGCTATAAAGCTTGGCCCTTTTCAAACCTTAAACTTAGAAACTATGCTGAATTTCATAGAAAATGATGGAGATGGGCCTGAAGAATTTATAACCTGAAACCAATTTTTAGAGTATTTTTTTACCAAACCTCAAATGGCAGCTTCAGATACTGGAATTACCGACCCTCGGCTAGATGATATTGACATTCCTCCTAGATATGTTTCTATGATAAAAGAATTTTTCGACCAGTTGCCTACAAAAGGAAGAAATAAAGTGTCTACTTATGAATTTATCAGTGGAGCGAGAAAAGAGATTATAATTAAGCCTTATAAATAAATTTTAGGTCTTTCTATAAGTCAAAAGTTAATATAGCAAATCTATGGACAAAAATAAAATTATTTAATTGCATACAGATTATAAAATTAAAGGGTTTTTGTCCATGACTGCCAGAGAGCCTGACGGGTTATCCTTGATTCCACCTGAATCAGTTAATGATGTCTTAACAAGGATGGAAAGGGATGCAGGAGCTTTGGTATCTTGGACTGATATTTTAGGCTATTTCAGCAAGCGTGGTATCCCTAAACTTATCATTGATGATGATAATCCTAATAAGCCAATCGAAAAAGAGAAATTTGCAAAACTAACAATGCCTAAAACCAAAGTTCAAGAAATTGCTGCTCAAACTGACGAAATTCCTGAAAATAAATCAAAAACTGATATAAAAAGAAAACACACTAGGAGTTTGTCTCCACAGCCTAAAGAGTTTAATAGAACTTTTAATGATATTGACGATTTCAGAGAGAGCAGAATTTATCAAAAAGATTACCCAGTCCGCAGCAGCTCAGTTGGAAAATTTGGTGTTACAGTTCCAGAGCCATTTGGTTTTGAAACCAGAGAATTAACTAAAGAAAAATCGATACGCCAAAGAAGATTTGAAGAATATATAAATGAAATTCGCCTGGAGGAAGAAAGACATTTAAACATGAAATATAAAGCAAACCCAATACCTTCAGACGTCATAATACCAAAATATGACAGTATTCTTGCTGCACAGGAAGCCCGAAGAATTGAGGTGAAGAGGACTTCTATGGAAACGACCAAAGCAAATGAAAAACCTTTTAGCTTTTATGTAAGAGATAAAGAAAAGAAAAAACCAGAGCCAGTCGAGATGAAAAAAGAGACTTTTAAAGCAAATCCTGTGCCTTGGCATTGCAAAGTGTCGATCTATGATCAAATGAGAAACCAAGATAAGGCGGCCAGAGAAGAAAGAATCGCTAGAGCAGCTCAAGAGTCTCTTAGAAAATCCTCTCTTCCGCCTAGGATGGAAATGCATGAAAAAGCTAGGTCTCAGCAAATCATTACCCCAAAAACTGAAAATTTTGAGTCTTTCAAAGCTAAAGACCCTCCAAATTTCACAAAACTCCAAGCAAAATTCCAAAAGACATTAGATATGAATAAAAATGCAAAACTACCTACACAAGTAATGCCTTTTAATTTCGATAAACGAGAAGGCTTAACAGCTACACAAGAGGACCAAATGAAAAGAGAAAAGCTTAAAACGATTCACCCTGAAGTTTTAGATGAAATAGATGGGGCAAATTTTAAATGGGGAAATATGGACAAAAAAGATATAAATAGCTCTACTGGTGTGCTAAAAAAACCATAATTAAAATATGGCGTCTTCGTCTGGGCATGGCCTCCCGGCCATGCAGCCTCGACACATATTTTAATTATATCCAGCAAGGTTTTAACAATCCCAGAAATGGACAGCAATGCTAGGTAAGCAATTCTGGTAATGTACAGAGCCTAGCCCTCAGTCCAATTTCAGGGTTGGGTTTTACCTCGAGGGAAAGGGGCTAGGGTTTGGATTTGGAAAGGGCAAGCCCAGCTAAGTCTGCTGATAATACTCAGACCAATCGGACAACTGCCTAGCGTGAAACCGGGCGTTACGTCCCGGGATCCAGACTTTTCCTTTTTGCCGAGAGGTCGAACAGAAATTCCAGTTTTTGGAATTTTTGGTTGGCCAACCTCGTGACTCATGCAGCAGCCGCAAAAGTCCATAGTCCGCCCACTCAACACTGGACCAGAAAGGGAAGGAGGAGGCGTCCGAAGCAGAATCCCACACTTCAGAGGTGCCATGGCATCAGGCGCTGAAGGAGAAGAAAGAGGGTGTCAGAGCGAAACACTTGCCTGGCGAATCATTGTCCCAATTCGAACAAGGCAAAGCTGAAGACGGCGCAAAGCGGATGAACCACCCATACGGATAGGTCCTTGGTGACTGCGTAACCCAATATAGCAGACGCCTCCCTGTAATAATGTTAATGTTAATGGTGTGCTAAAAAAGCCGAAAGTAGAGCCTTCAATTACCGAGAAAGTCAGAGATATGATTTCTCTAACTCTCTATTTTTATAATGAGAGTTTTTCATAAATTTAATCGGTTTAATAAAGAGCAAAAAGGATATACTGTTTAATTAAAATCTATGTTATTCGCAATATATAGATAATAAACTTTTTGCTATTAGATGGGGAGTAAGAAAGAAAAAAATCGAAGAAAGTGAAGAAAAAGTGAAAAAATTGAAAAAAGAAGAGGATGAAAGAAAAGCTAAGCAGGATGCAATTAGATCAAGAGTGCAAAACTCTCATGCTATACAAGAAAAATTAAGAAAAGAAAAAGAAGATCGAGATAAAAGGACAACTGAAAAATTAGAAACAATGAATAATCAGTCTGCGATTTATAAAGCTCAGATAAAAGAAATGAATGAAAGAGTTAGCCAGAGACCTTTGCTGGTAGAAACAGTTAGTGATAACCAATTGAAAAATATTGCAAAAATGAAAACTTTATTGAGAGTCAAAAGGTCACTTGAAGAGTCCAAAATTCCAATCGCAAACTATTTTAATGAAGAAGAAAAAGATTTAATAGAAGAAGCTGAATATTTAGTAAAAATCAATAAGCTGGCGTTATAGAATATTTATTAAAAATCAATAAGCTGGCGTTATAGAATATTTAGTAAAAATCAATAAGCTGGCGTTATAACTTTTTAAAAAAATTATTATCTTAATTCTACCTATTGGTTGTCTGTTTCATATTTTTTGATATTTTCTGCAATTTTAGAGCATTTGTGTTTTAGTTCATTTATTTGGTTTTCAAGTCTTGGATTTAAAGATATATTTTGATTCAGCTTCTTGAGTGCAGCTTTTTCTGCTTTTAATTCGAGCAATTTCTAAATATTATTTACAGTTTTTGCTATTGTTTTCAAAGAGTTCGTCATTTTTTCCAGCTGTGTTACTTTCATAGCTAAGTCTCTTTCTGCTGAGCTTAGTGGCAGATTAACTCTGTTTTGTTTCTGTAAAATCCTATCAATTTTCTCCTTCAGTATTTCAGAGTTCCTTTCCACGTTTTTCATTTTTTCTTCAAGTCCTTGAATGCTATTGAACAATTTAATTGCAGAATCTGCTTTGATGAAGCTCGCGCTGTTTTTTAATTTATTAAACCATTCTTTGCAGTCATCTACCTTTGTTTTTAAAAATTCTGCTTTTTTGGATAGCGGTAAGACACACTTTTCATAGAGTTTGTCAACTACAAGGGTTAATGCAGCTAATTCTTGTTCTTCATTTGTGATATCAGGAAGGTTTACATCTACAGCAGGAGGAGGTGGAATATTGATAGGCTCTGATAAAGATTCTTTAGGGAGATTTATTTCTAGCTCATTTAAGTCAAGATTGAAAAACTCCCCTTTTTCTCTGATTAATTTGAGGTCAATTTTTCGAATTTCTTGCTCTAAAGAGATGAGGGCATAGTTGTAGCGGATTCGGTGGTGGATTATTGCTAGAGAGCTTCCAGGGAGATTTTTATTAATTTCTTTGACAACAGAATGCTTTATGTCTTTAGACACTCTTCCAAGAATGCAGGATTCTTTTAGTTGAGATAGCCAAGGAAGGGAAATTTGATATAAAGAATTATTGCAAAGATAATAAATTTTATCATCATCTGAAATCCTAATAACTCCATTTTGGCCTTCAAACTTTATTTGTTCAAAAACGCTTAAATTGAGATTAGAATCTCTAGATGAAAAGCTTATATTTATATCACCAAATCCCACAAGTAATACTAATGATCCAGAAACTTGCTTTAGCAGAAAAACAATAGGATTAAAAGAAGACAAGCAAAAGATTTCATCATATTCAAGTGATCTTTCATCAGAGGAGATATTTTTTTCATAAAAACTAATTGGTCCTTGTGGAACTGCTATATAGTTTTGATATACAAAATTAGGTAGACTAATATAAGCTTTCCTTAAATTTTGAGACACCAGTAGTATATTATTGGTGATTTCATTTACCCATTGTTCTGAAGATGGCTCATATAGAGAATAAGAATTGTTTTGAATTTTCATTATTTTTTCAAAATTTGTAAATTCTTTCAATACTGAAAACTTTCTGGGTATTGCAGGAGAAATTACATACAGATCTCCATTGCTCATCAATACAATGCAGCTAAATCTGCTTAAACTTTTCTCTTTTTCTTGAAGAAAACAAAAGCTCACGGGCTCTCCATTATTGCTGCTTAAAATATCAATAGGAATTCTTCACTCAATTTCAGGCTCCCTGATGCTGACTAATACATCATAAATCCTTAAAATCATATCAGGAGTAAGCACCGCCAAAGCGCTTTCAGATAAAGGATGCCAATGATAATCCAGAATTTTTCCATTAAAACGTATGAGTTTTCACTCAGTATCAGTATCAATGCTGATTACTAATAATTGGTCTTCCCCCACGATTGCAAGACGTTGAAGATGAGGCTTCATTGAAAGAGGATAAAATGGGAGTGAGGATAAATTTTTTATCTGTTGAGAATTGCTGTCTATAGGGTTTATATAAAGATTGTAAGGTTTAGAGCGGTTTAGGATAAGGGCTGAGGCAGATTCTGGGTTTCAAGAAAGCAAAGGATTCTGAAGATCTCTAATTGCGTTTTCCATTTATAAGTTTATGAAGAATTATAATAATTTGATATAAAAGCGTCAAGAAATCTTAGATTTTATATAAAAATTACTGTACCTAATTTAATTTGAGTCCAAATAGTTTTAATTTAACTGAGAAAACTTCTATTATAATTATCAACTTTAATTTCTAACTACTTGATTCACCCATATTTATTATGGTTAAAGCACAGGCCAAAAAAGTCCCAGAGTCTGTACAAAAACTCAAAGACCGAATCGCTGCCAACGAGGCCAAAAGAGCTGAAACCAAAGCAGAGAAAGAACAATACAGAGTTGCAGCCTACCAAGCCGCTTTAGAATTATCAGAAAAACATCTCAAAGACTACGTCGCCCAACAAGTCCTCGAAGCCGAAAACAAACAAACCGCCACCTCCACTGGTGATTTCTACGTCCCACCAGAGCCAAAAGTGATCCTCGCCATCCGCATCAAAGGTATTAATAGATGCCCACCCAAAGTCAGGTCAGTCCTTAAGCTCTTCAGACTTATCCAACTACACAGTGCAGTCCTCATTAAGAACAACAAAGCCACCAAAAACATGCTCAAGCTAGTCGAGCCATGGGTCACTTACGGATACCCTTCAAGAGAAACCATTGCAAAACTAGTCTACAAGCGTGGATTCCTCAAGATTAACAAGGCAAGGATCCCTCTTTATGATAACGCACAGATTGAGAAAGAACTCGGCGCTGAGAAAATTGTCTGTGTCGAAGACGTGATTACTGAGCTTGCCACTTGTGGCCCACACTTTAAGAAGGTAAACAGTTTCTTATGGAGATTCAAGCTGTCTTCACCTAAGGGAGGATTCACCCATAAGAGAACTTCTTATATACAAGGAGGGGACTGGGGAAACAGAGAAGGGAAAATCAATAATTTAGTCCTTAGAATGATTTAAACATTTTCTCTTAAATCGAGTTTGATTAAAAAACAACGTTCCAGCCACAGCAGAAACTTTTAGAGGAGGAGCTCGACGGGAGATCATCGTAAATTTCGGTTTGAAGCTTCTTTATTTTTGCAGGTGGAGATTTTGAGATAAAACCTTTTTCTTCACTTAGCTGGTTTTCGATGCTTATATTAGTAATTTTTCGCTTTGCTTTCGGGGATATTGCTTTGGGAGTTCCTATCAAAATAGTAGCATCTCTGCTCTGTATAGAACTATTTAAATCATTGCTCCATCTATACCCTTGAATTTTCTTTATTTCGAGATTTGGTAGCTTTTTCTTATTTTGGAGACTTCTCTTTTTTCTCTTTTTCAGCTGAAAATTTTCTGAATTTTTGGTTTCCCAAAATTCTTTTTTCTTTATTGACGTATACTCATTTTTGACAAAACTTTTAGTTATAAAATCAGGCTTATGATGCAATTTTCCTATCAGTCTATTGACTTTTACTTTCAGCGAGGAACGCTCGCTCAAGACTAAAGCGCAAGGCTAGGAGGAGACAGAAGGCGCTGGAAGTGGCACCCATTATTAGGGATCGACATTCTGGGCTAAAGTCAAAAAGAGGATGAACCTTCCGTTTTTGGAAGTCTTTGGTGATTGCATCACCAATATGGTTAACACCTGTCTGAAATAACCTAACCTAACCTTCAGCGAGGATTTTTCACAATCCATTCAGTCTGGTTTTAAAAAAGACCTTTATGTACATAAAAATAGTGACGACAGACCAAGCGACTCCTAACCTTTTTTCTTAAAACTAGCAGGTAACAAATCAAAAGGGGAAGGGAAGAAAGAGCTGGCAGTCGTTTGTATATACCGGGCAAGGCTTTCTCCGAGCTCTTCTAAGCTTTCCTCCCGAAACCATCATTAGAAAGGGTAGAACAAGCAAAAGCCTCGAGAGGATAAGTCCTTCAAACAGGGCACCTAGGTGACATCTACCTAACGAGAAACTGGGAGTTTAGGCCCAGATGATGAGCCTAAAGACTCCAAAAGTCATGAAAGTCGAGACTGTACGTGCAAATCCTTTGCTTACGGCGGCGAGGAGGGTGTCTACCGGGGTCCCACTGAGGACGAAGTATTTAGGGATGAAATACCCAGCTCTGTTAAGGACAACGGCATTTAACATTAATAAAAAGACCTTTTATGCTAGGTAAATGAATCCCAAGACTACTCATCAAATATGGACTAATTTATCATAAATTCCTTACTAGTTAGATATAACAGTTATAAAAAATGGTCTTTAGAAAGCCAATTGATGAGTGGAGCTCTGTTGTCCAGAAACAAGTAGAATATAATAAAATCAGAGAGCAGGAAGAAAAAGCTAGACTTGCACAAGAAAAAAATGAACTCAAAAGAGATCTTGAATTCCAAAAACAGTTGCAGGATCTACAACGGCAAAGAGAGCAAGAAGCCAGAAACCGAGAGGCGTTAGAGGTCCAAAGGCGTGCAGAATTATTTAAAGAGCAAGATCAAGCTAAAAGAGTCCAAGAAACCGTTTTTAAGAAACAGATGGCAGAAGATCTTATGAATCATCAAGCTTATCTAAGGCAAAAAGAACAGCTAGAAAGGCAAAGAAAATACGAAGAAGAACAAGAACATCTAAACCGGGTTAAAGCCCAAATGGAAGAAGAGGAAAGGCGCCGTAAAGAGCAACGTGATAGACTAGCCATGGAACAACAAATGATGAAGCAATATAAAGACCAACAAGAAGAAATGCGCAGAGCCCAAGCTTTTAACGAAAAAATGTACGAAGTAGAGCTGCAAAGGCAATATAAAGAAAGAGAAGAAAGGAAAGAAAAAGAATATCGCGATTATTATGCCAGACTTAGTGAAGACCAAATGAACAAAGGAACAAGGTTCAACCAGTCTGTAGGAGCACAAATAAACCAAAAAAATTTCGAAATTAATGAATGAATTAGCAAAAATGTCCAGGAACACCAACAATTTTTAGCAAAAAAAGAAGAATACGAAAGACAGTTACGTGACACAAATTTAAGAAATGTTAATGAAACATTAAAAGCACAAAACGAAGAAAGAGAAAGAATTAGGCAAATGCAGATGGAAGAAAGCAGAAGAATTGCAGAAGAAGTTCAAAGGAAAATTGACGAAACCAGAAGACAAGAAATAGAAAGAGAAAACCAAAAAAGAATGCAGCAGCAGATGTATAGAGAACAGCTAGCAGTCCAAGCACAAATTACGAATGATGTAAGAATGAGCCAATATAAGCTTTCTGAACATGAAAAATTGATGAATAAGCATGTTCTAGGAGAAGATGTGTCTATAGGGAAAATTAACGAAAACTCGCCAAGTAGATCACAGTTCCAAAGAGGAGCAGCAGAAATATTAAAATCTGGAGACCAGCAGAGATTTGCTTCATATGAAGAAAATGCAAAAAACTTCTATGGAGACCAATCTCCTGGAAGTAGGCAAAATCAATATGCAAGTCCAAAAAAGCAGGATGGATTTAGAAATCCTATAACAGGTGCTGGAATTAACCCTGCGATGAGCCAAGGAATTAGACCTTTCGCAAATGTGAACTTAAGATAAAAAATTTATTAATGGAATTTATAAAGTAGATTAGTAGCTGAATTATATACGATAGAGAATCTAAGGAGTAATGGTAGTTTTATGATTTCAAATTTTGCAATAAAATTTTGATTTTTTAAAATCATTATTTGATTTTGAAAATTAAAGGGATTTATTTTTTAATAATCTAGCTGAAATTCTATGTTATACAGTTTTTTTTATATTTTTTAAAATTAACTTAGAAAATTAGAAAATAGTTCTATTTTATCCCCTTTAAGTATTTAATTTCATAAATAGTGGCATTTTGAAAACGATAATAGTTTAGCCATTGCAAAATTTAATAAATTCTGTAAATAAAATTAGATTCTTTAGACTATAATAAAGAGTTATTTTGATTCAAATATGTGTGCATTTTATATAAAGTTATGTTTGTATAATTTTTCTGATCAAGTCAGCAAAAAAAAATAGGATGCATAAAAATTATATATTTTTATGATAGTATAATTAAAACAAAGCTAAAAATCATTGTCTTCAAATTGAAAACATTATTAGTTTTATCTGGTATCATTTCATTCTTCTTACTTAATTATCATTGGAATTCAAAATTCTTAATTTCATAAATATGCAAATCACTGATATAGCTGACTAAAAGTATTTTTTAAATGCTGCTTAAATAGCCGCCTAATAAAAAGCAAAAAATTATCCTAGCTATAAAAGTGTTTAACTTATTGCCATTTTATTTAGTTCTAGACAAGTTTTCTATAAAGTCAGTATTCCCAGCATCCGCAGCCATTTTCCCATAACTTTTCAGCCAAAGTTTAATAAAAACGGACTACATGAGTGTATTTACTTTACAATTAGCTCAGCTTAATATACAGAAAATTAATGAAAAATCAACAGGTCCAGCTGCACAGCACTGCCTTTGTGAGCATTGTATGAAAGTGTTCGAAACGCCATACGCGCTAAAGGCTCATTTACTGAACGAATTTGAGCTTAACGAAGAATCTATAGCATTTTTCAATGTTGAAGAAGGGCTCGAAGAGAACTCAGAGCCATCAACTACAACAGATATAAGTGACCAGAAATGCCATGAAGCTAAACTTGAAGAAATACTATTAAAATGTCCAAGCTGCGATAAAATTTGTAAAGGCCATAAAGGCTTAGGTCAGCATATCGGTAAAAAGCACAGCCGGAAAAGAAAAAATTCAACCTGTAAACAATGTGGGAAAGGCTTCAGGCAAAAGTATGCATTGAAGTTTCATATTAGACAAGTCCATGAAGAAGCTACTAAAGTGATTTGTGATTTCTGCGCAAAAGAAATATACAACAAATACTCGCTTCTAAAGCATATTTCTAAGAAACACAATGATGCTAGAAAATAAATTTTTGCTATTTTATTTACTTTAGTAATCGAAATATTTTAATAAAATAAATCGGAAAGTTAATAAAATATTAGAAAAGATAACTTAAAACCATTTTACCATAAATTATTTATAGATCCTATCCAAAAGTATGATATTTTGGAGGATATAAAAATTGAAATTGAGATTGATTGCTGCTTGATATATCTTATCCAACTCAAGCATCTAAAATATAATTTTTTGGATAATTTAAATTTATTATTGGTTATATAATGCCATTCTTAACCAATATCAACATTGCTATTTTTATTTTTATCCTCCCCAAGCCTTTTGCCAAAAAATTATTTTTTAAATTAAAACCAGATAATATTATTCTTAAAGCATCTCAAATAGCTCAAATTATTTTAAATAATCAATTAATTTACCAAAATTAGAAAATTGCATTTTTTTATATTGAGCTATAATCATAATAGGGAATTAAATTATATATTAGCTATAATAAAAAAGTACGATTTTTATAAATTGTTTAATAACTCCTTGATTGCAATTAATATTCCTAAAGTCTTATATTTATTTCATATATTGATAATATTTAATTATATGAACTTTTTAGGTTGTAGCCCAAAGATTCCCACGATTTGTCCCATCCTCCCTAGCCACTCACCTGGACTGTAGATCCACAAATACTAGTGAAAGCATTGCGAGATTCCTCAGAGCTTTGGATTCCGAATACTAAAAATGTCTCATCAAGAATATGGCTAATTGACTCTAAACAAATAAATTTTTAAAATAAAAACTAGATTATCTAGGTGATTTATTTCGATTTAAATCTGTTTAATTATTTCAAATATTTATTCTTGTAAGCTTTTCTAGGGATTTTACAAAATGTTTAGATTAAATAGTATAGTTAAAGGAAAAAAGGAGTTATGTCTCCTTTAAAATTTGCATTGACTAGCTGCTTGGATGAAGAAAGTTTTTAAAAAGCTACTTAGACACTTTTCTAATAATAGATAAATCATCCTTAATTTAAAGCTGTTACATTTTCTGCCATTTATATATAGTCTAAAAGCCAAATATATACAGTATTTCCGGCATCTGAAGCCATTTATTCATTATTGCAATCAAAATTAATAAAATTTAAGTTAAAATGAATGCATTGTCTTTACAGTTAGCTCAGCTTAACACTCAGAAAATTGTTGAATATTCATCAAATTCCCCAATGCAACCTTGTCTTTGCCAACATTGCATGAAAGTGTTTGAGACTCCATACCAGCTCAAAGCTCACTTATTGAATGAATTTGAGCTTAACGCGGAGACTCTAGCATTCTTTTGTGTTGCAAAAGGACTAGAAGAATACTCAGAGCCATCAACCCCTTTAGAAATAAACGATCAAAAAGGCGAAGAAAACAAACCTGAGACGATGATGCTAAAATGCCCAAACTGTGAACAAATTTGCAAAGGCCACAAAGGCTTAAATCAGCATCTAGGCAGAAAACACAGCAAAAAGAGAAAAAATTCAACATGCAAGCAGTGTGGGAAATGTTTTAGGCAAAAATACGCATTGAAATTCCACATAAATCAGGTCCATCAAGATGTTAATAGGGTCATTTGCGGCTTCTGCAACAAAGCAATATACAATAAATACGCGCTTCTTATTCACATTTCCAAGAGGCATAGTAATATTAAAACATAAATAATTCAAGTTTTTAACATAATTCCTTATGTCTTTTCGCACTTTTTAAGCTTTTATATGTCTAGATATTGGTATTTCTTAGCTGAAAAGAATAACTGTATGCAATTTATTTTTCCAAACACTTCAAAAATTATGTTTTAGACTTTATTTACTTAGTACTTAAATTCTAATTACAAATTTGATAAAAATATAGAAATATATAGCCAGGATCTTTTATATAAGGTCCTAATAACTCTTGACAATAATACTTGTTGGATATCGACATTTTTGTAGGACATAAAAATGTAACAGATGCCCATATTTGAGCGATTATTTAATAAATTAGTTAAAATATTCGGAATTTCAAATGTTTTATTATCTCTAACAATTATCAAGCCTCTTCTAATTTTTCAATCATTATAACACCAGTTTTAATTTTTTAAATTTTTATACAACTTAAAATTTTTAAATATTTTTATCATCAACTAAGGATCGACAATGGAGCCCTTTATAATTCCTTGCTAACTCATATTATTTATGCTGCGATATCTTTTATTAAAGCTAAACTACTAATTTTAAAGTAAGGCAATTGCTCAATCATAAAAGAGTTTTACGAATGCATACAGGCAAACTAATAATTAAAAAATTGTTAAGCTTAAATAAGTGTTTTTAAACCCAACTTCTCATCTTAATTTCACAGTCATAATAATGTGGGTTCTATTTCTTATCCTTCAAGCCAATGCATATTTTCTCCCTGGGGTAGCACCAAAAAGCTACGAGCAAGACCGCCCCCTCAATCTATATGTAAACAAGCTTGACTCTTCAAAAACCCAGCTGCCTTTTGACTATTACTATCTAAACTACTGCAAGCCACGTCATATTAATACCCAAAGTGAAAATATTGGCCAAACCTTGTCAGGAGACACTATAGAATCTTCACCTTATCAAATCCACATGGGCCAAGTAGCTAAATGCCAAACTTTGTGCACTCAAGTAAACAGGCGATCCCATGTAAGAACATTTAAGTGGATGATTGAGAATGAATACAAGGCCTCTTGACTTCTTGATAACCTTCCAGCTGGTTTTAGACAGACTATTAACAAGGGCGACCTCAAAACAAAAATTTCTTATTACCAGGATGGTTTTCCTATAGGTTTTAGGGAAGGTCGAGATTTTATAGAGAGTTTTTATTGAAATCTAGATAAATTTAATATAAATTTTTAAGAAAATAAATAGAGGATATATTTTTATGTAAATAATCATCATCACATTGTCATAAAAATTCACCCAAATTCCAAAGATGAAGACAAGTGGAAAATTGTTGGGTTCTTGGTCGAGCCTTTAAGCTTATTAAACACAAATGAAAGACTGGGCTGTGAAACACCAGAATTCCTTACTCTCGTTCTTAAATGGGTTTAATTTTTTTATGAATTCTATAATAGAAGAAAAGTTCATAAATTTGATGTTTAAAAATGAAAGCTTTCTTAATTATAATTTATGCTTCAATTTCTGAATGGTTCTGACGAACCAAAAAGTAAATTCACATGAAAATTTAGGATTTTCACAAAAATTCCTAAATGGCTAATAAGAATCATTAGAAAAGAATGCAAAACATTATAATATAATTAGCCGAGGATTAAATTTCTCACAATAGAAAAATTTTCAATGGTTTTGCTCGCTTTTTAAGAGGAAAGAGCTAGCTATGAGTTTGGTGAAGCCAGATGGAACGAAACGATCATGACTCCAGCTGACAGACTAACAAACTCATTCCCTACCAGGATTTCTTCTCTCCCAGCACAGAATTTGGAAAACCCAGGATCTAATATTACATTTACTTATAGTGTCATTTTCGAAGAAAGTGACGTTAAATGGGCTGATCGATGGGATTACTATTTGTATATGACTGGAGAAAGTGGCGAAGTGCATTGGCTTTCTATAATCAACTCCTTTGCGATGGTTCTCTTTTTGACTGGGATGGTAGCTCATATATTTAGAAGGATTATAAAAAAGGATATCAATAGGTATAATGAAGGAGATGAAATAGACCCTGAAGGGGAATCAGGCTGGAAGCAAGTAAAAGGAGATATTTTTAGACCTCCTATTTACGGCAGCATTTTTTCTATTATAATTGGTTCTGGGGTACAAGTAATTGGGATGGCAATTTTAACCTTGCTATTTGCTTGTATCGGATTTTTAACTCCTGCTAATAGAGGAGCTTTGATTACTGCTATGCTTATTTTATATGTATTTATGGGCGTTTTCGCAGGATATACTTCATCAAGGCTTTACAAATTCTACGGAGGCAGCTTTTGGAAAAGGAACGCTTTTGGTACTGCTTTCTTTTTCCCAGGAATTTGCTTTTTAGTATTTTTCATAGTAAATCTATTTATTTTAGGTGAAGAATCATCAGGGGCTGTTCCTTTTACATCTCTTCTCGAGCTGCTAGTCCTTTGGTTTGGAATTTCTGTCCCTCTTGTGTTATTAGGCAGTGCTATTGGATTCAGAAAAAATAAAATTGAGCATCCTTGCAAAATCAATAAAATTCCTAAACCCATTGAAATTATTCCAGGCTCGTTCAAAATTAATGCAATTTGCCTAATGGCTGGCTCACTGCCTTTTGGTTGCATGTTTATCGAGCTCAGCTATGTGATGAAGAGTTTATGGCATCACACCTTATTTTACTATCTTTTTGGATTTTTATTCCTATGCTTTATAGTGCTAATAATCACATCTGCAGAAGTTTCAATACTAATGACTTACATTATCCTTTGTAGAGAAGACTATAGGTGATGGTGGGCTTCTTTCAGTGTGGCTGGTTCATCGGGGCTTTATTTGTTTTTATATTCCATAATCTACTTCATGACTGATTTGACATTCAGTAGATTTTCGTCAATAGTTATTTACTTTGGATATATGCTCCTTACAAGCGTGGCTTATGCACTTATAACAGGAACAATTGGGTTTTTCGCAACCTTTATCTTTATCAGAAGCATTTACAGCAATATTAAGATTAGTTAACATAATAAATAAAGATTTATTAAGAAATGCATGAAATAATTTTCTGTTTATATCTGATTGTTTAATATGGAAGGCAAGAAAAAGAGCAAATATAAAGATCTCATAGATCAAGTCGACCCACTTTTATTAGAGCAATGAAGCCAGTATCTATTATTTAGAGAACAATTTCGCCTAAAAGCAGAACTAAGAGAAGAAAATTGCTTTGATTGGAATTTAGACACTTTGGAATTAATTGGTAAAAAATTATGCAGGAGGTGTGGATATTTCAGCAGATAAGCATGACCAAAATAAAGCAGTTGCGTGTCTTATAGTATGTAGATATCCAAGTTTTGAGATTGTCCATGAGCAAGCTGAAGAAGTTACACTTACTCAGCCTTATGTTCCTGGATATTTAGCATTTAGAGAAGTTGAACATTTAGAAAGACTTATTAATGACTCACCAGTAAAGCCACAACTAATTTTGGTAGATGGAAATGGAATTTTGCATAATAAAGGTTTTGGATTAGCAAGTCATTTAGGAGTTATTGTAAGAATTCCTACTGTTGGAGTAGGAAAACATGTTTTCGCAGTTGATGGGATTACAGCTTATAATGTAAAGCAGTTATCGCGAACTTTACAAGCAGGAGGTGAACATGTAAATTTGGTCGGAAAATCAGGGAAAATTTGGGGTGCTGCGTTGAGGAGTACTGATGATTGTATAAATCCTGTTATTGTGTCTGTAGGAAATATGATAACACTTCCTACTGCCCTAGAAATAGTAAAACAATGCTGTCTGTATAGAGTACCTGAACCAATTCGACTTGCAGATAAGTTGTCAAGGAAGATGGTAAAGAACGTTTAAATTAATTTTTAAAGCTATCTTTCATATATAATAACTCTCTCCCTTAAATTGGAAGAAAATATCGGTAAGATTTCAATTTTTTGAATATTTTAACCATTAAATTGAAACAAGATTTTTTGTTCCAATTTAAAAGGGGATAGAGGGTAGTAAGGAAAAAATACAATTTTGCTAAAAATAAAATTTTATATATTTATATTCCGCCTTGTAAGTTGTTTAGCCTATCAATAATACTCAAATACTTCTGCTTTTGCCTTGTTATTTCAGTTCGCAGCTGCTTTTCTACGTCTGAAGCTTCACTGTCAAGCCTATTCAGTTGTTCCTTCAGGGAGACAATATGAGTTATGCTTGACAGCTCATTATTAGGCAAAAAGCTTTTATTACCTCCGCAAGAATTTCCCAAGATATCTGAGCATACTTTCATACCATATGAGTTGCAGTCATTATGATACGGATCTCTACTGCATGGGTTTTGTGATCCAGGATTTGAAAGATATCTTACTCCCCCCCATCCTTGATCGAACGACTCGCCATCGTTCGATCAAGGATGGGGGGTTAAAAAAACATTTTTTTGGGAAAAAAAAATTATATATAAAATAAAATATATATATAAATTTTTTTTTTATTTACTTTTAAATAAGAGGGTTAAGAGTATTTAATAAATTATTTTTACAGCAAAAAATTGAATTAATTTCATAAAAATACCAATTTTTTATATTTTAATTTATTAGTTACCCCTTTAAACTGTATAAATTTTAATTTGTTACTTATTAAATTAAAATTTGTTTTTTAAAAATTTTAAAAAAATCTCTATTTTATTAGATTATTGAGTTTTTAAGCCCATGTTGATGACTAAATTACTTTGAATAGTTGATTCCGAAGCTTTCTATCGTCTCAAAGTCTCTGAAAAACAACTTCATTAGGTACATCTTCCCTAGCTTTTGATAACTATTATATTTTTATATATATAAAAATTGTCATGATATGAAAATCGTTCGATCAAGGATGGGGGGGGAGTTAACGAAATCTCCCGTAGAAATTTTTCACACGTAAGATCTTCTTGGCAATAATTTTGTTCAATCATGGCTATATAATCAAAATTATACTGGCAAAGTCTTATGCAATGCTCACAAGAATTTGTACTGAAAACACCTAAAGCAAGGACTAGTAAGATGAGTATCTTCATTTTAAATTTTAACGGATTTAAAATACAAAATTAATTAAAGCTTATTTAGCTTCAGCAGCCCTCCTCTAAACTTTCCATCTCTTGCAAATCCGATGTAAGGACTTAAGCTGATTTTTTCTGCAATATTATTGTACAGCCTCCCCTGTTTTGTTTTCTTTTCGTTGCTGCTGCTTATTGTGCTTAAATCTGAAGAGTTGGACCCAATAGAATTTGTTCGATTAGGTTTAGCAGCTCTTTTCGGTTTTGACTTGCTTCTGATATGAGAAATCTCTTTCATTTTCATAGGGCTTGGATCCTCATGCTTTCTCAGTGTAGGTGTTGGGCTTATATGCTTTATTGCTTTATTATTAGACTTGCCTCCTATAGGAGATAATGATATGCTTCCTTTTGGCTTTGGAATTCTTGAATTCGATAGCTGTGGGAGCATCATATTACTTTTTATTTTTGGGCTTCCTTTGAAACTTTTTGACAAATTTTCGTCAGGTATTGAGTGGGCATTAAGCTCATCTCATGTTTTCAGCTCTTTTAAAGCTTTAGAAATAGCAGTTGGAGGTGGGATTGATTTATCTTGAAAAAACTGCTGCGTGTTTCCTATTATATTATCTCGCAGCTTTAGCTGCTCTTCTAATATTTTTATGTACATATCTTTTTTCTTTATCACTAATTGGGCTTTATTTTCTTTTCGTTGAATTTCTAGACTATTCATATTCATAATGTTTTTCTTTAGCTCTAAATGCAGCTGAGAAAGATAGGGCTCTGTAATTCCTTGCCTATTCCAGATCTCTTCAAATTTTGGCCTTCTCTGCTCTAAATCTTCTAAGAACCCTGAATTTATAGTAATTTGCCGTTCATGACTTTCAATAGTGTTTTTAAGAAGATTTATTTCATCGTAGATTTTTATAGCTTGTGCTGATTTTTCGCCTTTTTCAGCGACCACTTTTTCAAGCTCAAACTGTCTAGCAAACATAGTGAAGCTTATCTGAGAAATATTTTGCTCAGATTGAAAAATATTCTTCCTGGTTTCTGCCTCTTCTTGGAAGTGGGTGCTAAGCTCAATTAAAAATTTTTCTATGTTCATGCTTGGTTCAGCCTTTTTCGAAATTAATTGGGCTCGGAGTTCTGATACCTCATTTCTTATTCCCCTCTTTGCGAGCGAGTAAAAAATTTTGTTCGCTCTGGGAGCTAAATGTTTTTATTAATTTTTTTTTCGACATGTAAATATATCCCAACTCGCAAAAATTGGAAAGCAAATATTGTTTAATTTGTAATAAAGCAAGCTGTTTAAAATTAAACAGAATCAGCAAGAGGTTTATTATACTAATTATCACTTATATATCAAAATATTTTCCATAAAAATTTTTTCTTTAAAAAATTTTTTTTGTTCGCTCACGGAGGGTGGGTTTTAGGGCAAAAATATGGATTTTTCCAATGATGTTGCTCACTCTCGGAGTACGAAGCTAGCTGATTGATAATGGAGGTATATTTTGCTATATGAAATTGTACATTAACCACATTTCTATGTACAGTAGTTTTTATATTTTTCGCTCTATTCGCATATGTAAGTGTATTGTGTGTATCTTCAAAAGCTCCAACAAAAGGAGAAATGCATGCAATCATTACTGTCCTACAATTCCCTCCCAAAGAATCCTTCAACAATCTTGTCAGCTTCGAATCACGATAAGGAATATAAACTTTCCCTCCTTTTTCGCTTGCTTCACACAGTGCATTTATGCAATTTCCCAGTGCTAGTAGTGACCTATTAATGTTTGCTCCTTCAATTAGCCTGATTCCTCTATTTTTAGTATTGCTTGCTCTCTCAGACCCAGCAAGATCAATCAATGACAATTTTCCAACCAAAATTTCTGCATTAACTCCAGAGGCTTTGTCTTTATGCTCCACTACAATTTGTAGCACAGCATGTGACCTGCTTGAGGTCTCGTTAGCTTCTGTATACTCTGAGGTCCTTCTTCTATTGCCATTTCTTATACTTGATATCACATGCTCTGGAGAAGTTGCTAAAATTTCGTTGAGCCCTGCTACAATGACACCTTTGGCAGGATCTTCTCTGATTTCTAATGTTTCCATACTGGGATTTAGAAGGTCTCTGACGATTTCATTATAAATTTCAAGATAGCTAAGCTTAACAATATAGTCCCGCTGGCCAGATAGCGCTTCTATTCGAGAAAATACCTCTAAAAAAGTCTTAAGCATTAGACCTGGACTGTCAAATTCTCCGATCATCGTATATGTTTTGCCAGCACCAGTGGCACCGTATGCGAAAACAGTAGCGTTGAAGCCATTTAAGACGCCTTCTATTAAGAATTTAGTAGTTTTTTCGTAGACCATGTCTTGATTGCAGTCTTTGGAAAATGAATAATCAAAAGCGTATTGTTTTTCACGGGATCTGTTTTGACGAAATATTTCTTCAGGGACACTTATTATATATCATTGTGAATAAATGCTTCAAAAAATATTACTAAAATATAAAATTTATTATCAATATACTGATTTTATGCATTTATTGCCCAGAAACCTTTTGGATGGTTCTGGGATGGGAGAATGCAGCGTAACTCCCTGAGTTGATTCTCCAGCTCAAGCTGACCAACCAGCTCGAGAAGTTGGCAAATAAGGCCTTTGTCAATCTCCAAGTTGGTTCATCAGTTTGAGCTGGAGAATCAACTCAGGGAGTTGCGCTGCATTTTTCTAACCCATGACCATCTAAACGGTTTCCTGGGCTATATATAAAAAACTGGCATAAATCTTCAGAAGGGTCCAATAAAATGACTACTTTATCCTCAAGTACATGAACTAAAGGTTTATCGTTAATAGCACTTTCCTTTTTAGTTAATGGACGAGCTCTAACTGCAACAAGAATTTTTGAAGCGCCTTGTTGCATTTGTGAGATATGATCGTCTTCTGTCTCTAAAATTTCTGATTTCTTATCAATTTCTTTTTTCCTTTTGTCTTCTTTTCTTACACTCATTATTATCTAATTTGATAAATGAAAGATTGTATTATACTGCCTTGGACATTTCTTGTCAAATTCCTTTGAAATATTAAAGCTTAATTTTAGAATTTATATAATAGTCGTTTTTAGTAATGGGTAGTGGTAGGAAGGGAAATGCAAAAAAAAATCATATAATTTTATGAAAGATAATTTTTGAAGGAGAAATAATATGCTTTTGTAAACGATCTCGAACAATAATCTCAGTCATTTATATAATAAAATAGCTTATAAATTGATGCTCTCAATTATCATTCACTGTTATAATTATCACCAACCAATCTATATGGTTAAAAAATATCTTCTCCCGACTCATATGGACGAAATATAATTGACTCTCAACTAACTTCCCTGCCATTTAAATTAAAAAAAAAACTATTTCAATACAAAGGGGTTATTTATTTAAATAAGAAATATAAAATTTTTGATAGAAAAAATTAGATATTTTAAATTTTTTATAAAAATTAATTGATTAAATTGCTAACTTTGTTTAAATATACATTCTAATTATGTTCATCTTTTAAATAAAGCAATAAATAAGTAAAATTTTCGATTTAGCGGTATTAAAATTGGTATTAAAGCAGCTTTTTTCATAAAAAATAAAAATTATACCTCTAAAGGTGAGTTAATTATCTAAAAAATGGAAATTTTACTGATATTATGTTCCAATTTATTGAAGAGTAAACCTATTAACCTTTTTAATTACTTCACATAGGATTATTAGACAAAAAATTTTAGCCCAAGCTTACTTATTGCATTTAGCCACTTGCGAAACAAAATTTAGATATTAAATTAAAGATAATGCAAATCATTTTGCAATACTTATTTAATACAACTTGAGCGCCTTCATGACTAAAAAGTCACACAAGTCAGACAAGTTCCTTCTTTCTCATCCATTAAATTGTGTAGCTTGTAGCTCTCAACCTCATGTATGTCTGCGATCGTCTTTCCTTCATCGCTTTTTTCATCTCGAAAAGAAACTCTCATCAGGTTTTTGTTGTTATTGGATTCTCTTTTTCGTGAGAGAATTGGTTTAATTACCTCCATTTTATTACTATAGCTATAGTTGAAGGATAGATTTTGCTCTATATGAGGAGTTATTAATAATACATTATAATTTAATATTGGTTTTGGGAGATAGACTAAGTAGGAGTTTGGAAAATTTAGTTTTGAAAAATTCTTTAAATAGTTCGGTAACTAAGTAAAACTGCTGCTAAAATGGTAGGATATTCCTGAGCATTTCATATCGATCCTTTATACATAGTACATCTTTTTTCCATATCAGCTATTTCCTAGGCATCATTGGTCGAAACATTTTTGGTTTCAGCGTTATTTGATAAAATGTTTTTTTGACCAAATGTCCGACTGCAAAGTGTTTGAAAATAGCCCAGCTATCATTCCAGTTGAGAGCCAAATCTCTGTTGACGAGTCAACTGTCCAGTCTGAAAATAATATAAAATACTTTAGGAAGCTTGAGTGCTTGGACCCAGAAGATTCATATGGATGCTCAAGATATAATCATAGAAATTATTTATAAGTAAGGATTTTGGATTATAAATTTATCAATTTGATTTGAAAATAATTATAAATGAATGAAAAATTATTATAATCATTAATGTGGATTGTGCCCGCCAACATACTCGTTTATATTTTATATTAAATATTGAATCATTTACTCTTTAATCTTGAAAATTGTTATTTGCATTAATTTTACAGGTTCTAGAATTCTTCGTTAATAAAATATGGGTAATGACTGCCTTTCCCAAAGAGACAACAAAAATTCTCAAGCAAAGGCTAATACTTTAGCTAAAGAAAATGCTGTAAATAAGAAAGAAATGCTATTAATAAAGAAAGCTTCTCTATACGTTAATAAGTTAAGCTTAGAAAGTATCCCAGAAGACCCATCTGATCATCCTTTTCTCAATACTTCAGTATCTTTAAATACTCAAAATATCACAATCCAATATATATACGATCACTTAATTTCTCAAGATGAAGCAGAACTACTGTCATTTAAGGCTAAAACTTCTGAGCCTGAAACAAGGTTCGGAATGTTTTGCGCAACGCTTTACCAGTGAACTACGACAAATAAGTTTTCAGATAACATGAAAATAGAGCCTTCAATTTTTTCAAGCTTAGTGAAAGGTATGAAATCGGACATCATTGAAGAAGAGTGTTGAAGTATTCTAGCGCTAAGGAGCTTAAGCCAGCTTAGCTATCTTAGACAAGATATTATGGAGTTTGCGAGCATAAATTCTTTGGTGGAGACCTTAGAAGTTGCTTGGTCACAGAATCATAGGCATATAGGCTGAATTTTTTATAATTTGTATATAAAATTCTAATGAATTTAGTTACTCATAGGAAAAGATTATTTTTTGATTATATATATGCAACTTAAATTAGGCCAATATACTTGAAATACTATGATATAAATGATTCAAAAAACATTGCCTTAAAAGAGCAATTTTCGTTATTTGCGGATTTTGCAGGCAAATTTGATGATACAGTAAAGCAAGCTTTATTACCTTTTTTGCAATAACTTATCCCCTCTCCATTATCGAGAAAAAAAAAATTTTGTCGCTCATGAAGGGGTTTAATTTTTTTGATTATATATAAATTTTATAGAAATTTTTTTTACTAAATTTAAAAAAGCTGCGAAATTTATATTTTAAATTGCAAGCTAACAAAATAAAGCAGAATTAGCCAGAAACTTTATTATAATAAATCACTTATATATTAAAAACTTTTTTTTTCACTCACGGGGGTGGGTTTTTACCTAGAAAGGATTTTTTCCAATTGTTTTGTTCTCTCACAGAGAGGGATTTAGCTATTAAAGATAATACATTGTTATATAGTCGTATTTTTGTTATAATAAAATAAAATTTTTTAAACTTACCATTTCTGTTCTATATATGACGCTTTAAAATTAAAGAAATTAGCCCAGGTTAAGAGCAAGCGTCATGCATTTAATACCTTGGAAAATAATTATTTTATTCTTCGTATTTTTTTTTCTTATCCGAATTCAAAATATTCTGTTTTTCATTAATTAAGAAAAATTTTATTGATTGTTTACCTTATCAAATCCGAAATCCATAATATTTAATATATATTTATGCGTTATAATTATTTTAGAAAATTTCTTATAAACTTGCCTATTTGTTAATCCAGCAAAAAGAAAGTTATTCAGAACCTCTTATATACAAATAAAGCTATTTATAAGATTAAAAATTTATTGCTTAATCTGGACTTCAGCTTGAGTTTTCGTGTTTCTTCTCTTTCTTCTCTTCCCAAAGACCTTAGATCTATGGTAATTTTGCAAGTAGCACAATTGGCACTTGCCCTTCGCATAATGCTGTCTATCTTTATGAGGGCAATTCCAAGCCAGTTTGTCTCTGCCGAACCTATGATAGCAATTGTTGCACATGTTTTTCGCATAGTGCTTTTTGTCATAATGGGTACATATAGGAACTGTACGGGAACTATTTTGATTCTCTGAAGCATCTTCCTGAGCCGACTCTTTGACTTCATTATTTTCTTCTTGACTTGAAGTACTGAGCTCGTTCGAGAAAATCCTGGGGAGGTTTAAACACAGAGGCCATGCCTGATCGTTTGCTTGGGGTACAAGTAGTGAAGGCATGTTAGTAAACACACTAGGGATGAATACTTTCGCAAGTGTCTCTTTTTCGACCGCAAATTTCATATTATTTATAACCAATAAACTTCGGTATGGTAGACATTATAGGACAGTTAAGCTAATTTAGACTAGGAGATATTATGATGATTTTGATTATTTTCAATCCATTTTCAAATTATTAGCATAAACAAAAAATAATTTTCCTGGCTCTCTCCTTGGTTATAAAAGTAAAATTGTTTTGCTTGTTTAATATACTCTACCAAATAATATAAAAAATTTTTTGGATTTAAAAATTATCTAATTAACTTAAAACATTATTATCTAATAACTTAAAAAAATTATTTAAGAATGCAAACTATCTAAAATTTATATCGTATGTGGAGATTTTACCATAATCATTATTAATTAAATGGGCAATTAATATTTGTATAAATATTTACATTAAAATATTTTTTTGCTTGCTAATGAAGCAAATTTATGATATTTTGCTTGTAATTAAGGAGGGAGTGAGAGATTAGTATTTATCAATGTTGGAGAATATAAAGAAACTCATTATAGGAAATTTATGATACAATAATTGGGTTGATTAAATTAGCTAGCTCACCTTCGAGAGCCAAATAGTAAAAATTCACAATATTGGCAAGCAATTATTTAAATTAAAATTTTTTTTGAAAACGTGGGAGTAAGAGGTTTATCAATATTAAAATTGTTAATATTAAAAATGCGGAATATTAATTTGCTAATATTAGATATTCTCCAGAAAATAATGCTGCTTCAAAGCAGAAAAAATAAATTTAGAGAAGTCTGATAATTAATTATGGCTCTTATAAAGTATGTAAGGCACAGCATCTATATGAAATAGAGAACCAGTATATAATTCATCAGCCATTTACAATATAATTTTGTGATTTAGATTCATAACTTAGATTTTTAATTGCAATATTTATTCAATAATTAATTGAAGTAATAGAAATCATAGCATAAATATTTTTTCTTACTTGTGCTTTAGACTAATAATAATTATTTATAACATGATTTGCTGCTTTATAGCTTTATGAGCTCATAAACAAAAGAAACTTTGGAAATATACTCAAAAAAAGAAAATTATTAAATACAAATATCAGCTGATAAAATTTTGTTGCCCTCTAATTTTTCTTATTTCCATATGATAATTATTTAATAGCTTTTAATTATGGAAATTTAATACATATATAGAATCAAGCAAGCATTTAGGTATATTTCAAGCTTTAAACGCTTTAAAAGTTACATTGCATTACTTAGTTGGTGTTTATAGCGCTTAGTGCTGCACATATTAAAATGGTGCGGCGAACCAACCCACCCTCATAGGGCCTGTTGTTGTGGAAACCCAGGGATCTTTGGAAAGGAGGAGGTGTTCGGTAATGTGTATCCGGCCAGGTTTTAATTGATTTGATGGAGCACAATTCGGGGTGTTGACCACATACTCGCATCTAAGTCAAAGATGGTTACATCCTTTTCTCGCGGGGGGTCACAATTTTATTATTAAACCATTAAAAATAATAATTGCTAGCATAATTTTATGGAATATATTAATATCTGACTAACTCTCACTCTTTTAAGAGAGAAGCAATTAAAATACCTCGTTTTTAGGAAATTTGACCCTTTTGAGCAAGCAAAAAAATTATATAAAATCTTATTCTATATTAAATATATTTATATATAATTAGTAATTATCATAAAATTTCTTCATATCTGAAATATGGATATTTTAATAAGTTAAAAATATATTTTTTTTAAAAAAAAATAAGGACTTAAATCTTGCTCACTCTTAAAGGTGAGTAAAATATATTATTTAAAAATCAAACATTATAATTTTTAGAGAAATTATATAAGATACCTTTTTACAAGGAATATAGATTAAAAATGGCAACATGCCAACCTAACCGCTTAGCACAACAGTCCAGACCTTATAGCTACAGCGAACTGGGACGGACTCCGAGTTAAGAATCAACTGCAGGCTCAAGATATGTGCATCCAGGTAGGTTTTGGCTGGTTTTCTGTAGTTGGAAATGGAGGTGCTCAATAACGTCCTTTTGGATCCTAGAACCTAAGGGCATTCCTCTACCGAGAAACTGGGGTTTTGGCCCAGGCCACAGAAGAGTAGTCTTTTTTCCTGTAGCTATCGAGGAAGGCACTTCAGATAGACTCCAAGGAGTTGATCCTTATATCAAGCTACTCCAATCGCCCGTAGCAGGGCTGCAGAAATTCATAAGTCACCCACTCAAGACTAAAGCCATAAATCAAGGATGAGACAAAAGATCCGGAAGTGGAACCCATTATTATTGGGGGATAGTCTCTTTGGGCTGAAATCAAAAGCCGATAAACCTATATGGAAGGTCTTTGATACTGCGTCACCAATATTGCTAACGCCTGCCTTTAATAGCCTAACCTAACATTTTTACAAGATACTAGTTCAGATACCAGTATTAATAATACCAGTTAGCATTCACACATTTCTTTTTTTTTGCTGCTGCTTTTGCACTTGAACAGGGACACTCAATCCAATTTTCATATTACTCACTTCTCCGCTCTGATGTTTGATATTTTCTCCATTTGGTAATCCTACGCAATCTGTTTGAATAAAGTTTTTATTCTATCTTGATAAACAAAACCTTTTGACTTCTAATCAATTATCTATTAAAATAGAATATAATAATTTTTAATTCAATTAATCATGTTTCAACATATTCGGGGATATATGTTGTCTCCTGTTTTAGCACTAACTTCAATATAAACAGCTCCTAATTCTTTTTCTTTAACAGTTGCTTCTTCTGAAGTAAGACATCTTTCTTCAGCTTTCTCGGTTTTATTCCCTATCAATACCATGATTGTATCAGTTCCTCTTTTATTTTTGGCATCTTCAATCCATCTATCATCATTGTCAAATGTTTGTTTATTCGTTACATCAAAAACAATAACTGCCACTGAAAGCCCTCTAATATAAGCAACTAATTATTCTAAGGCTAAATCTGTACTAGTTTGTATTGGGAATAGTATTATAGATATAATTGATACAAAATCACTTATCCTTGGAAATTGATAAGAGCTCTAATATAATTTGGAATTAAGTCTTAAATCGTTCTTGCCCTGCTGTACACCAAAGCTGAAGTCGTACAGTCCTATTGTCAAGATAAAGAGTTTTGGATAAAAAATCAATCCCAATCGTGGCTTGATAATTATTATCAAAAGTTTCATACCAAAATCGGGTAATAATAGAAGTCTTTCCCACATATATATCACCTAAAGCCCAAGCTCATATTTTGCCATGGAGCCATAGAACTAAGCATTCCCGTTACCATTATATTATAGAACAAATTTTAAATAATTATATTTCAATGCATAATTTCATAAAACTACTTTTTAATAGCTTATTTTTATTTCTAACACTATATTTAATTTTTCAGCTATTTCTATTATTTTTAATTTTTATGGCCTGCTTTGAGTTTCAAATGTTTATATTCAGTTTCTAAGTCCCTCAATAGCCTTGATGAAATTTTGATACTTTTTACACTAACTATAAAAGTATCATCAAAAACTGTGACAGGTGAATTTGGCATATGAATTGTGCTTAAAACCATCATTACATCTTCGAATCTGACCCCAATAAATACCTTTGACACCCTTTCAATAATGGCTATACAGACCCTAAAAACAGCTTTCCACCCTTCTAAAATAAACATATCCCATATGGGAATTAAAATTGCTGGCTGTGATTGCAAAATATTAGCAAAAATTGTTAGGAACCAAGAAGAGCTGAAATGTGCTGAAGAAATTTCTATGTCTTTGAAGAGCTCTTGGACATCTGGCATGAAAAGACCAATAAGTCTGTCAAGTTGATAGAAAAATTGCTTTAATTTTGGAAGATTCTCTATGAATAAACTAGAATTAATATTAATTATAGATTAGGTTTCTTCCTCGAGTCTTCGTAGAAGACTCGCTCAGCTACTAGAGAACCTCATGGGTATGTCAGCATTTCCATAGAGATAGCTCTCCTCTGAATTTCGGCCTGGCTCTTAATACTGTCTCGGAACCTTGGAGTATGCAGGTTTGAGACTTGACGGCTAATTAAGTGACTAAAGTTCCAGCTAGGATAAACTCCATAGCTAATATCGGTACTAACTATACTGCCATTGTCTGCACTAGTGGCCTCTAAGGGGTAAAAAACGCCTTTTTTTCCCAAATGTCCAACGGGAAGCAAAATCTAGCCGGATCACAATGCCCAGTATCTGTAGATTCAGCGTCCTCAGTTTGGCTTCAGGCCGAAACAAGATCCCGAAACTTGAAACAAGTCCTGGAGAGGACAGGTCGATAGTCTTGCCATTTTATTTTTGTATAATAAACTAGACATTTGAAATTTCTCAATAAGCCCAATCAAGCATTTAAAAGCTGTTTCTTCTGATTGAAGCTGGATATAAAGAGTCCCAGCAATATAGTTCATACCCTGACAGTAGCCAATATCAGGATTATAAAAAGCATAAGTTTTAAGCAGATTTGTAAGAGCCTGCGGAGAAATTAATGAGCTGTTCTGATATGATCTTGAAACGTCCATTTCAATGATGTCATTAGAGTCTCCTATGATTTCTGTGTCTGCTGCAACTTTGTTGAGGAGAGCTATATAATCAATAAGGTTTGTGTTAGCTCTTAATGATTCAACCCAGATTTTTGATCTTAAAGCTGCTAACTGCTTATCAGAAAAATTAGAATCTAATAGTCATCTCTTATAAATATGATGCTGAAACATTTTTTTCCAATGCTTAGAAACTTGCAAAATTGGAATGAAATCTAATGGTCCAAGATACTTAAAAGATAGCGCAATAGGCAATAGACTTTCCCATTTCCTGATTTCTTTTTCTCTCTTAAAGAGGCTAGAAGACACTCTTTTTGAGTTGAATTTTTGGTTCGTTTGGATTTCTGCAAGTAATATGCAAATTCGTTCAGAGTCCAAATCATATTTTTGGCAGATTTTCAATATGATTTGATTAGCTAATTCTATGGAAACTCCAATCAAATTGATATACACACAAAATTCACTTAAAACTGCAAATGCTGCTGACCTTGCTGCTCTTTCTTCTTCTGGATCTTTAATAAATCCATGTGGGATCGTATTTGTGATCTGCTTTATTATCGACCCAAAAAACCCTTCACTTTTAGGCTTTCGTTTATTTTTAACTGCAGCTTCTTTATCTGCATCGATTTGGCACAAAATTGCAAAATCTATAGCTTTAAACCACAAATTTTTATTTTCCAGCATAGGATGATGAATATAATTAGCCAAATATTTCCTTTTGCCTTCCTTATCTTCAGAATAAAAAGTGTGTGACATGTCAAGAATTTTGCAGAAAAGCATTGGGTCAGTATCATTGTCCATCATAATGAAATTGAAGGTTTCTTTGAAAAACATGCTGAGTTCTTTTAATTTGTTGTCGTTCATACAATTTAAGCTGTTTCTTGACTCTAAAATGTCAAGAAATAGTCTTCTTCCATCAGGGCTGCTTAAAACTTGGCACAACTTGACATGATAATTTTCATCCAATTTTTCCTCTTCTTCAGGCCCTCCTAACGTAGATTTTGTTTCTTCAAGCCCAATTTGAAATGGTATCAAATAATTAATCACTCCTTTAATCAGTTCTAAATCATTATCTTCTTCATATGGATAGAAATTGCTAAAATGGCGAACGAAATTAGGTCCCTGGTCTCCTGTGAGTGGGCCCAGGCCGAGGAAGGAGGATATCATTGGCGACTGTTTCTGGGGTGGGTTTTTGGGTGCTAAAACCTTTTTCCTCGATCCACAAACGATAGACCGAGACACAGTATCCTTCCTTACTTCTTGGAAGGCAATCCTTAGTCTGCAATAGGGCTAAGGCAGGGCCAAGAAGGAGATTTAGGACGATTCAGCAATACCTCAAGCACTGCTAATGGTAGGCAGTCCTTAAATGTTGATAAAGGATCAAGACCTTAGCGGGTAAGTCTCCCCAGCAGACTTTCTGATGTCACCATTTTTGGTGGCATCGACATAAAGGGCATTAGTTAGATTTAGTGTCTAGCGCCACCTGAGTGTGAAGCTAACTCTTAAAGGGGTAGGGGCTGAAATCAATCTCAGTAGCAGATTAGAGTTAATTTTAATCTAATCTTCATCTGGATGCTCCATGACTTCATAATCATCTTCTCTAAATTCCCAATTCGGCTTCTTATTTTCCATTTTCCACTCTTCATAGCTTACAAACCTCATTCTTTTATTTTCCGCTTCATTTGACTTATTAATATCTACAAAAATGATGACATCAATGCTGCTATTCACATTATCGATTACAGTCGCAAGCTCTTCAAGTGTTCCTGCACCTTGAGTTTCATATTTTTGGAATTGCTTTGTGTATTTTTCCAATGAATATTTTAAAAAATGAATTCTGCTTTCTTCACTTTGCTGAAGAGTTTCTAATAATCCTGGCATTATTGAGTCGAATTTTTCTTTTTTCAGGTTCGCATCTTCTAAGGACTGCAAGTATTTTTCTAGTCACTTTTCTGATTGAGTAGCATAAAAAGACTTGCTGAGAAACTTACTGTCTCGAGAGTCTTCAGCTTGTTTAGCAGATTCATATTTTTCAGCAGCTAACGAAGCGTTGTAGTATTTTTTCTGAAATCTGGCTACTTTTTCTTTGGCTTTCTGCAGTTCTTGATTGATAGATGTTCCTTTCCCTAAGATTTCTGATTTGGTCATTTCATAGTGTTCTGAAAATAGCTCAAGTGGCTCAATTATATCTAACTGCATCTGTTTACTTATTCCAGTATTGTTTTGGATCAGCTTTTTGATATGAGAGTGTGTTGAAAGCAATGCCATTGACAAAGTATCAATGCTTCCTTGAGATGGAGTTTCAATAGACATGGAGTTTTCAACCTTAGACAAATAATGAGCAAAGATATCATATGATCTTTTATATTGCTTGAAAAAGTTACATAAGTTTACCACTTGCTCGCTTCCCTTTTTCAAGTGCTCAACTATGACTTCGAATTTATCACATATGTCGGTATAGCTCATAAATAGATTTATTAGTAATGATTTTAATGATAATATGAAAATCAACATAATTGTGCTAATATTCAAATCAAGGCTTATAATAATAAGCTTGTATATTTAAAATATGATGATTTTATCAGTTTCAATAAAAATTTATATATTTTTCAGCTGTGATAATTTAATAAGAAAATTTATTATTGTAATCAATTATAAAATTTAATTCCTGATGGCCTGGTTTTATTATTTAAATGCTGCTTCCTTATATATAAATTAATATAAATGAGAAGAAAAGGAAGCGTAGACGAAATTATCTCAATAAACTCAGTTTTGAGAGACACAAATTATGTTTTTGGTGACTTAGCCGCAATACCAACCCCAGAACCTCCTGTAATATTAATTCAGGAAACAAAAATCATACATATTAACTTATCAGACAAGCTCCATAGAATTATATTTATAGAAGACGCAATAGACCTTAAAAATAATTTGCATGATCATGAAGATCACATCCTTATTTTTCAAAATCTTCCTTCTGAAGATATAACACAAATAAGAATTGCTTTTAACCTCCATCCTGTCATCGATTCAGAGTGCTCTTCTGTAGAAAACAACAATAGAGATAATCTAATGCTATTCTCCGATCACTTTTTTTTCTCGATCAACGATTTAAATGCTTCAAATAATGTAGAATTTCCTATCGCAATGAAAACAATAGTCTATTCTAATTTTTTATTGATTTTTTGCAATGAACCATTGGAAAATGCTGAAGATGTATTATCAATGAATTTATCAAATGTCGACAAAGCAGATGAAATTTCGGACAGCCCTAGGATTGGATTTTGCAGTGAATATATTGAAATTATTTTTCAAAAATTAATAGAAACCATTTTTAAAAGAATGGAAATGATCGTTTATAGTATGGAAGAAGAAGCAAGAATCTGTTTGAGGTTTTCGCAGAATTTGAGTATTGAGGAGCAAACTGATTTTCTATTAAGGATAAGCATGGCAAAAAGAAAATTGATATATCTCAGGAACCTAGTTAAGCCAAAAATTCAACTTTTTACTGGCTTGTATCGCTCTGACCATGTTTCTGCACATTTCAAACATGTTCTTCGATCTCTGCAACAAAAAACAATATCTTATTACAAAAGATTAGACAAATCTTCTAGTCTGCTTCTAAGCGCAGAAACAATTTACACAGGCATTGCTGATGATGAGCGCACTAAGACTTCAATTAAGTTGAACTCTATTATGAATTTTTTTACCTTTATAGCTGTAATATTTATCCCTTTGAATTTTACTGTCACTGCCTTTGGTATGAATGTAGCCGTACCATTCCAAGATGAAAGTGACTTGTGGCCATTCTATGTCATTATGGGAAGCTCCATACTTTTTGTACTCTTATCATTGATTATTATGAAAATCAAACCATTTTTAAGCTAGCATTAAAAACTTGTTAATAAACTAAAGCTTTCTTTTTCAAAGTTCGCAGATTTTGCTTTAATGGCAATGGATGGAATGCCCTTTCTGGATTGAATCGATTTCTATACTCACTTGTCGCCATGTCTCCATGCAATTTTTTAATAGGCTCCCACCCATGCCCATCAAAAAGCGTTGAGTTCTGCACAAATCCAGAGGCTTGTGTAGATGGCCTATTAGACTTGCTTAAATTACTTATATAGAAGTCTCTTGCAGGCCACTTCTCACCTCTGCATAACTTTCAACCGTTTGCTTGCCAGTAAGACACTCCCTTCCACTGTGTTCCTCCTCATGGCATAAATAAAATGGCATTCGGTTCGAGAGAAATTGGCTCTGCCAATTTTCTCTCCCTCATGGAATTTTATTTATGGGGCTGGGTTTTCTCTCGAGAACTTCTGCACAGCAACAGCCGTTTAAACTTTGGGGATAACCAAAGGCACGGCTCCTCAGTGCACTCAAGATTTCGGAGTTTTACCTCTCAGCACATCCCCACGGGAGGATGACCCTTAGGCGGAACACGCGCAGGAGTTGAGTCTGGACGAGCGACGGCAACGCGCCGGGTGAGATGTGCGGCGATTTATCTGGCGACTAGCCTTATAGAAGGCTTGGGTGTGGGCTGACCACATATTCCAAGATGGCTTGGTGACGTCACTAGTTGTCGCTTTGACACTTTTTCATTAAGGGGTGTGGGCACTAGACACCTTAAAAACTATGTAACTAAGTAAGTAAGTGTTCCTCCTCATGGATGAGGGTTTGCACTCACTACCTGAGAGCCAAAGACGCTAGGTCATGGTGCTATATGTCAAGAGGTTCGTGATTTCTCAAAATTAAAAAATTAAATTTTTCTGCTCGAGCTGTACACCAAAATGGAGCCAGGAGCTCACGACATACGCCTGGCATCACGCTAGGGATTTGGCTATTGGCAAAGCGACAACCTCTGGCCTTTTTGAGTGTCCCATTTCAATATCCTGCGAACCATCTTCCCACGAGGTTAAACCTTTACCTGATGCGAGCATGCAGTAGCAAATCCTAACGTTGCATTCCACCAAATCAAGTAAAATCTTGTCGGATGCACATTTCCGAACACTGCCCTCCCGCAAAGTCCCCCGCTTTCCCAATGAGCCTCCGACCACAGATGTTAAGCAAGCTGCTTACCATTCCAGTTTATTGTATGATAGTCTATTAGACACCTGTACGTTTTTTCAGAACCCTGTATCTGTAGTTCTATATATTTCAGGTCTTTTTTTTTCTTGGTTTACATATCCTTTTTCTAGCTAAATAATAGGAGGAGACTAACTATTTAAACCACGAAACGATTTCTCTGCAATTCAATGCATATAGATTTAAGATTTTCTATAAGTAGTCTCGAATGAATCGTCAGCATAATTAGGATGGGTTTGTGGGATCGTGCATTTCCCGTGGAATCTAGAAATCGTATGATATTCCTCTTCAAGTCCTCCCCCAAATTTTCCATGTGTCCTTCTCATAGGAGAAGAGGACTCATAAGGACGGTTAGGGAACCTTTCAGTTGCCCGTGGGTTTAAATATTTTTGACGATTAAATTGCTCTTTTACTGTTTTAGTAAAGGTGGAGCCAAAATTATCGTCAGCCCTTGCGCCTGGGATATACCCAGAGTAGCCAGGAATTGCACAAGATTTCGTCGTTATAGGAGTTTTGGATCCCATATCATTTGAGCTGGTTCTAAAGTGGTTTTTTGATGTCCAGGCTGATAAATCAGTAGGAGTGATGTCATTTGATCTCACCAATGGAGAGGAATGACGAAAACTGCTGTTGACACTATTAAGGTTTCCTAGCATTTTTATTATATTTCAGTAAAGCTAAACGGAGAACTAATTATTAAAAAATCATGAAAGATCGAAAATAGGCAAAAGACAAGACTTTGAAAAGGACTAGTTTTTTGCTTTATCTGTGAAGATATATCAATTAGAGCAAACTCTGTGACAGAATTCTCAATCTGTAAGCTTCGAGTTTGCGAAAAACGTGCATGAAGAAATGATAAAAATTCATGGATTTAGTAAATTATGTAAGAGAAGAAATTAAAGCCGGTTTATTGAATAAAGAATTAGGAAGTAATTAATGCAATTAAGAAGCGATGTCAAAGTATATCAAGATGAAAAACATTGCTAAACATAAATCAACTATATCAAGATTAGAATCACAACTTAAAACTAATGAAAGCAAGTACATGCAGAAGATAAAAAGCAATAGAAGAAAAGATAGTTTAAGTTTAACGAAATCTCTAGGCAAAAGCCCCAGTCTTCTTTACTTGAGATCCAGCTTCATTAACAGCTCTGAACAACGGTAGGTGGACCTGCCTAACCTTCGAACCGTTAAAGTTAATGAGCCAGTTAAGGCTTCTCTAGTAAGTGCTAGCCACAGCACCGACCTCTTCTCTTCAGGCCGATACTCTCAAGAAGCATGACTTCTCTCACTAAGCTCGGAGGTAGGACCCGGACCTGCGGAGCAGGGGTTAGGACCTATTCCTAAACTGGCATTTTTAACATTGTGAAAAAAAGATAGAAAAAGAAGAAAACCGAACATATCTGGCCGAAAGCACCATTGAAAACTTAAAAGAAGTTATAGCAAGTTCAGAAAACTCAGAAAAAGTTATCAGAGATCGGCTGAATTTTATAGAAGCTGAGATAAAACATATTGAACAAGCATATAGAAGACATAGAAAAACTTGATTCAGAAATCTGCGAGCTTGAGAGAAAAACCAAAATATGATACCCTATAAAAAGTTAAGGACTATCACATTCAGAAACTGCCATAAAGAAATTAAAATGAAGTTTAAAGATCAAATACTTGTGTTGCTAACCCTGCTTAATTACAATAAGATATAGGTAAAATTTTTAATTTTTTAACCGCCTTTAATAAGAACAATTTTTTGAAAATAGGTGAAAATACTAATTTTTTATAAAATTCGCTTTGGTCTAATTTAATATATAAAGGTAAAGCAGAATATTATAAACATTTTCACACTGAATTGAGTAAATTTTTTAATTAATTCTTCAAAATATTGTGTTCAATTTAGATTTTTTAATTTTTAAAAAAATTAGCCTTTTTAGATGGAAAAAGATTTTTTGCTCAATTTAACGGGGGTATTAAGGCTAATTGAAAGTTTCATGAATACAAGAGAAGCAATAGAGTCAAGAGATAAAAATGATCCGATATTAGCCGAAGAAAAAAGGCATGCCTGATGTAAAATTGCTTAATTATCCTTAAATTTTGGATTTATTAATATTAATGATTATAAATAGTTATCATCTATATTTCTTATACAAACTAATATGAAAAAAGGCAATGTTCCTCAGCCAGCTGCTAAGAAGCCAGCTCCTGCAAAATCAGCTGTCAAAGCTCCTTCTAAGTCTTCAGCTCAAAAAGAGCCTCCTGCCAAGTCTGCAGGAAAAGTCTCTGCAAGTCCATCTCAACCAGATCCAAAACCAGCCAAAAAAGCAGGGCCACCTTCCATCACAGACAACATTGGAAGTCTATTTGGATCCTACTGCAACCAAGCTCATACAGAAATTGATTTTGAAGGTTTACAACGCCTCTGCGATGATTTACGAATCAATCCGATGACTGATGTTGAACTTCTTGCATTTGTTTGGAAATGCCAAATCAAGCAAGCAGGAACGATATCTCAGGAAGAGTTTACTAATGGGATGAACGCTATAAGAGCTGACTCATTGAGCACTTTAAAAACTAGGCTTAATGCGCTGAGAGATTTCGCAAGAGACCCATTTCAGAATGACTTCAGAAATTTTTTTAGGTTTGTCTTTGATTTAACAAAAGAGCCAGGAGCTAGAAATATTGATGCAAATGATGGGATTTCGCTGTTAAATTTATTATTAACTCCTCACTTCAGGTGGATGCCAAGATTTATCGAATTTTTAGGAACAAAACAGCAGAAGTTTCTGAATTTAGATCAATGGATGGGAATTCTTGAATTTTGCAAGAAAAACCCAAGCAGCTTTGATAGCTACAACCCTGAAGACCCATGACCAGTTCTAATCGACGAGTTTGTGACCTGGACCCGACAATAGCCTTAATTTGGCTCTATGTCGAAATAATGTGACATTTTGTCGAAACAGTGTGACATTTGGTCTAAATTTAAAGTTTTTCAATCAAATGTCTGTATATCATCAGTTTTTCTGCGATATGTCCTTCAATGAAATGGACACTATCAAAAGTACAGATCATTGAACCCTGCACCCTTAATTTTATTTTATTTCTTTAGAGTAGCTGCTAAAAGTAATTATAAGAGCATTAAATAAAAGCTAAATCAACATGTCTACTAATGAAGCGATTGAAGTAATATGCATCTAGGTAGAATCATTAGTTCTCAACTGTAACAAGCAAGCCATGGAACTTCTACGTCAAGACAACTATAACGAAGCTTTATTACTGCTCCGAAAAGCCGAAAGTTTGCTTTCACATCCTGAAAATCTAAAAGATGCAAATAACAAACTCCATGCAATCACTTACAACAACATCGGCTGCTTCTATAAAAAAGCTGGAAAGGCCCAGCTTGCTCTTCAATATTTACAAAGAGCCTTAGAAGTCAGCAAAAACTTCCCCTCAGAGTACACAAACCTTGCAGGGACACATTTAAATATATGTGCAATTGTTTCACAAATGGGAGACCATGAGACTGGGGTTTCGCATGCTATAAAAGCGTTGCAGCTTTTAAAAAAATCATATGACGAGGATGGGTCTCAAAACACCATTTCTACGCTGATAATTGCACTGCATAATACAGGGGTAGAGTATGAGTTTTTAGGGGAACTAAAAAAGGCTGAAGAAACTTATAAATGCGGGATGGATTTGGCTAATAAGCATCTTGGGAAAAATCATCAATTAGCCCTGACTCTGACAAAAAATTATACACTTTTGCAAAGAAATAGGGAAATTATTAAGCCACAGTTAACAAAAAAACTGTATTTTGAAAAATTGTCGTCTGGATACTCAAGAACAAGGAACTCAATGGAGCCTCAGCATTCTTCAGCTAATGAAAGAACTTTACCGAAAATAAGAACAACGAGTGGAAGGGCGAGAAAAGGAAGAAAGGCAAATAAAAGTGTGGGAGAGCCTAAACGGAATGACTCTAACAAGATGAAGTTTATGGAATTTCTACCTACTACTGTAAACCAGCCGAAAAAATTCCAAAGAAATCTCCTTAAAACAGCACCTGAGTCCCAAGTTAAAAAGCCTCAATTTTCGCCTATAACTGATAAGCCGACAACAAGCTTTACAAAGCCAAAACATCTTTCAATAAAAGAAGATAAAGCTATAAGCCATATAGAAAATAGAATAGAAACACTGAGGAGCCAACTTGATGATTTCGAAAATAAATATAAAGAGCTTGAAAAGAATGCTTCAAAAAAGCCACTGTCAAAGCTTGATAGACAAGCTTTAACCCCTTCTCCGCCTCTATTAAACCGTTCATTAGGCCCAATAAAGCCAGTATCTCCACCTTCGAAAAATAATTATTCCCATATAATCACTATACAAAAGCACTGGAGAGGTTATAAAGCAAGAAAGGACTTTAAAATTCAGAAGAGGCTTGAAGCCCAAGAAAAAGCTAAAGCGGCCATCGAAGAGTTAGAAATTCTAAAGAAAAGAGCTATGGATGATAATTTATATCAAGATTTAGAAGAGCATGTAAGACCAAAATCATCTGCTTTTCCCATTAAAAAACCAGAAGAAAAAGTGCGCCCAAAAACCAACTCCTCAGCATACCCGCCTCCAAATGTAAATTTTAGACCTTTAAAAAGTGCTCAAAAAACGTTAAAATTCCAATTGGACCCCATTCCTGAATCCAGGATTGAAACTAAAACTGACCGTGCAATTTTGATACAATCTCACATAAGGAGATTTATTAGCCAAAAAAAATATAAAAAAATGAAAAACGCTGCCATGAAAATACAGAAAAATATAAGGAGACATCAGTGCAAAAGTTTATATCAAGATATTCTATCTGCTGTGCTATTTATACAAGCGTTTTGGAGAGGGCACTTGGTGAGAAAAAAATATTTGAAGAAAGAGAAGCATAATTAATGGTAATATTGAGTATCTAGAATTTGTATTAAAATCTTAAATAGTTAAAAGAATTTATCGATTTCTTGGTATCCTCTTTCAGCATCTGATATTAAAGATTCAGTTTTCTCTGTATGGCTTTCGTATAACCTTTGAGCTGGGTTATATGAAGGCACATCACAGTCAATATCGATCGATTCAGGCTCCTGGAATTTATTTGTCGATTTAACTATTGCAGGATTTTCAGTAAAAGCTTGAGGTCTCTGATAAGGGGACTTCGATTGATAATAAAAATTGTTGGGCTGACTTCTTGAAGGTAAAGGAGATCTAAAGGTTCGCTTATTTTTCCTAGTTTCTCTACTTAGTGATACTGGTGAATCTTCTCTTGAAGCTCCAAATTGTTTTGATTTCGCTGAAGCATTAAATTGTTCTAAATTTGACTCTGAAGGTTTTAAGGTGATTCTATTCCCAAACTCAATATTGTCGGGTTTAGATTTTTTTTGTGGCTTTTTTACAAATGAAATTACGGATTCTGCAAAAGCACCTTTATCTCTTCGAGTCTCATCAATTTCAAGCTCTTGCGGCATAATTTCTTCGAACTTAGGCTTAGATTTAGCTTTGTGGGGAGACCTTTCTTTTATTGGCAAATTTATAGGAAACTGAGCCCAAATATCAGGGTTGGCTTGAAGTTTTTCCATCATTTCGAAAATGGTATCGGTCATATTTTTCGGGACTTTTCATACAGAAAGGAATCCAGAAGTCCCTGCAATTACGATAAACCTCCCATCTCTTGACCAGCTGATAGCTTTCATACTGCTGCAGTTATTCAGTCTACTAAGTTCAGTAGATTTTTTGCCTGTCCCTGTTTCGTATACTACTAATTTTACATAAGAACCTATTTGGTTTGGCAGGAATACTCCTATATAGAGCCCTGAAGGATCTTGTATGCACCCTTTAGGATTTATTTCAGTTTCAATAATTCCTGCAATTTCTCCATTATCTATATTGAAAATATATATCCCGCCTAAGCTGCAAGTCACCAATAAAAATGATCCACTTGTATGGATGCAAAAACCATTGGATTTTCCGTCAATTGGAAATAGATTGAAATGAGTTCTTTCGAGCTCGCCTTGAATGGCTTCAAATGTTTGTATCTGGATACTGCTTGAGTCTTTTAAGGTTGCAGCTTTTATGCACATTCCATCTCCATCTATACATTCATGGAATTTTATTGTTTGTAAAGCATTTTGATTTCTTATCCAAGGCTCTTCAAGCACAATGCCAACTGTTTCAAAATTTGAGTCCAAAATTACAGCTTGGCCAGAGCTAAATCCAACCCCTAGAAAATGACCGCTTGGTGTAAACGAAAGATCAGTCACCTCTGAGCTTGATATCTGCAAGCTATTTAAATATCTCGGTTTTTCCCCTAAATCGAAAAATTTTACAGTCCCTCTACTGAATCCGCAGCATACTGTTTTTTTAGAAGGATGTACCCCAATAGCAGTAACATATCCTTTTCCACCAGAAACCTCCATAGCTTGCATATTCCAGCCTTTCCCCACATATTTCCATACATAAAGACAGCCTTCGTTGCTGCTCGAGACGAAATTCCATCTTTCAGTTCATTGGACAGTGTTAACGGGTGAGCAGTGTCCTGATGATTGATTTATAACTTGCCCTTGGGACATATTCAAAATTTGTATTGTAGCGTCTTGAAATAGGGTGTACAGGATATTTCCTCCGTTAACTAAGACTGCAGAAATTGATGATTGATGAGTAGACGGAAGCTCTCTAAAAAGACGATTTGTGCGTAGTGAGTACATCGTAATTGAGCCAGTTGTGGAGCCGAAATAAGCGTAGTCTTGATAAGTCACGACTGATATAAAACGAAGCTTAGGGTGCTGGTAGTTTGCCATGGACTTTCCAGAAACATTCACAGTCATCACATTTCCGTTTTCTAGGAGCACCACAAATAAGTTTAGGCTTTGGGAGAATCCTACTTGTAAAATATTATTTTTGAAATGTAATCTTTTAGAGATACTGACTGAATTCTCTATTTTCCATATCTTCAAGCACAAGTTTTCAGCTGTCGCAAAGCTCAACTGATCGCTCAATAAAGTTATAAATAAGCAGCTTTCCTGCATCTCTAAGTCGTCAGTTTGCCTCAAAATTAAATCTGGAGCTCTCCACTCCCACAGACTAATTCTATAGCCTCCTTCATTTTCATTTTCAGCAATAATAAGCCTTCTACCCAAAAAACTGCAAATGACATTAGCAGTCGGGGATTTTCTTGGTTTAAATGGGACCCATTTAGCGCAGACTTGTTCCAGAGTTCGCCATCTCCATACACAGATTAAAGGCTGTAATGAGCTTTCAATAGTAATGAAGTATTCAAAGTCAGATGAAAAAGCGATAGATGTAACTGGATTATCATGGCACCTTAAATTGACTTTTCGGTCGTTATTTATGTCTCATAGCACTACCACTGTGCCAATTGAATATATAAGGGTGTCTGAGGGGCCATGGACTGCATATGCGTTCATTACACCTGTGAGCTCAAGAAGTTCCCACTCCTCTTCCATTTTAAAATCTAAGAAAATATTGAAAGATTATTTAATATTTTTATTATCCTAGGTATTTATGCATAAAGAAATTGCAAATAAATCTAATTGGTATGATCAAATTTTTTCAATATGAATATTAGGCATTTCTATTGTAGTCTATTATAGAAAACTTAAATGCTATAATTTATGGAATGAGATTGATTAATTAATTGAATTTCGGCGTTCGCAATCACAGCACGGGTCAGAGATACACCAATGCATGCTCATTGTCCCTGAGGAACAGGCAGACACTTCTCTCCGTCACAAGAGAGTGTTGCGCAACCGGATTGGACTTTCGTCTTGAAGCCCATTAATACTTGATCTGGGACACAATTCCCAATATCATATATAAGGCGCATGACGTCTTGGGGTTTGTCACTTAATCCATCAAAGCTTTGATGGCTGTGCCCTTTCAAAGAATCTCCAGAGGTAAAAAATCCATGTGCCAGGTATTAGCTCCCTGAGGTAAGAGAAAATCCCACGCCCGGTATACACCAAGGCTTGTCTCCTCCATATCAATATATATGAAATGCTACTAATAAAAGTTTTGTATTATATTTTCAGGCTATTAGGACCAGTTTGCCTTATTGGAGGAGAAATTGCAACAGCTGTTGGCAGCTGGCAGTCTTTTATTGGAAGGGATGAATATGTGGGTGCTTGCGATTATATCGTCACCAAAAGTTATTTTGAAAAAATAACAATTGTTAAAGGAACTGATGGGAGTTGCGAAGCTTATAAAGATAATGACAAAGATATTTGCCATTCTAGCAATCATTATTTAAAGCATGACTTTGGAGAATACCATTCGCAGACACTAGAATTAGTTAACATATCATTTGACTATTACGCATCCTTACTTGGACTAATATGAGCAATTTTTGTATCAGTTCACTGTCTATGCTTTTTATTTATTGAAATCTGCAGACGACAGCGCTACTATAGAAATTACTCATATTGGCTAGGAATGTGATATACCTTGTTTATGAGGTATCCAACCATCACTTATAGCTTGGCAACTTTTTTATTCGGTTCTTTCTGATATGATGACTGTTTAGGAGCATTCCAAATATGGGTTCATTCGAAATTTTATTATTATTTATTAACTCTTACCTTCTTTCTTTCGTTATGGCCATATATTTACCTTTACAGACTTTTATGAGACAGAATCGGACTAAATCTCACTAATTTAGGGAACACTTATAAAATTGAAAATATTTTTAACCCTGCTGAAAGAGACACAACTAAGAGATGGCAATATGAGATGGTAGGAGGTTTGGTTTCTTTACTAATAATTGACTGTATCATTGTATCAATAATAGGATTTATGTCGCAGGATAGTGCGTGAATTTATCTTGTTATTGACATCAGTTTTACTTCATTTGCGTGGTTATTAGAGCGCTTCAACGCAATAAAGTTTAAATATCAGATAGATGGGAGAGAGTTAAATGGAAATAATCGCATGAGGATGCATGCACAATATGCATTAATTTAAGCAAATCCTGATGGTTTAGAGTAATTATTAATAAGTCATAGCTAATTAAGGCGACTAAGAAACATTTATGTTACTTCTTAATGTGCTTACTCCCCCCCCTCCGTGAGTGAACAAAACCATTAGAAAAATCGCTATTTTTTGCCCAAAAACCCACCCTCCGTGTGAGTGAACAAAAATTTTTTATGGAAAAAAAATTTTGATATATAAATGATAATTAGTATAATGAAATCTAGAGCTAATTCTGTTTAATTTTAAACGAATTGCTTTTTAAAACATAAATTTTATAAATTAAATTAATTTTTGCTTTCCAATTTTTGCGAATTAGGGATTTTTTTAAATTTCGAAAAAAAGAATATTTTTCATAAAATTTATATATAAAATTTTTAAAAAAAAAAATAAATTAACCCCTCCGTGAGTGAACAAAATTTTTTTTGTTCACTCACGGAGGGGGGGAGTTAGTTCTTGCGGCAGGTGTTGAGCCTTCTCTGAAATGATTCTTAGCTCTACGAGGAATTGACTTCATATATTTCATTCTTCCAGTGCCTTCACCTCTTCTTCTGTGGGTTTTCAGGGCCCAGTTGTAGTGTCTCATTTTAGCACTTGGATATCCACAAGATGCACAGACTTTAGTTTGCTTGTGAAGAGCTCTTTTGTTGCATCTTCTGCATACTGTATGGGTGTGTGAATTTCTCTTTCCTGCGCTAGGCGTGCCTTTAGTCTAAGTAATCATTTACCATTCCTTATAAATTTATGCCAAATAACTATGGATGAGATAGTAATTATTTAATTTCAGCTTCAAAGCAGTGTAATCTATAATGCAGAATTTCAATTCAAATTATAACATCAATTATACATGTATTTTAAAAATTTAAATATAGCTATAAAGACTGATGCTTAAAAATTATAAATAAATACAAGCAAAATTAGTAAAAAAAGATAATCCCTCGTAGTTATTGAAATTCCTTTTTAGCCAAATTTTATTTGTAATTTTTCATGATTAAGATTAAGATTAAGATTAAGATTACGCTGGGTATTTAAGGTCCCTACTACGTCCGAGGTCGCATGCCACGGTTTCCCGTGTGATGGCAGAGCGTTCACCAAGCCCGGGCCGAAACCCCCGGTTTCTCGGTAGAGGTATTGTCAAGGGCCGTCTCATACCGGCTTTGCTGACCACCTCCATTTCCAACTTGGATCGTCGCCTAAGTTTACGCCAACTCCGCTTCGTCGTCCGCCAGATCTGCCCATTGAAGGGCACCTTTTCAACTGGAGAGACCCCGTTTTTTGGTGTCTAACTCGCCTCCCCTCTTTTCCGGTCATCCCGAGAAAGAACTCAACAGCTTTCGCCATTCGGGGCGAGCCACTAAAGCAGCTTAGGCAGGTAATTCACCCTGCCTCATTTCGGGCACTCACTGGGCTGAGCGCTGCTGGCAAAAAGAAGTCACGATAACTGCCCATGGGTCTGGTCGCAAAAACAGCGGCTCTCGCGCTTAGGCCTCTCGCTTCGAGGTCCCAGACGTTGTTGGGCTAATTCCTGGCTCCAAAAACCATGCCCGGATATACATGGGTAACCACCACTGAGAGGGTGGGTCGGTCGCCATACGCCATTTTATGTATATGTAATTTTCATGATAATTATGGAAAAATATGATTAGAATATTTAGAAGGGCATTCAGCCAAGTAAGGTTGAACTGAATTACACCTGATGGCAAAGAAATTGCTACCGTAGCTAAAATTGGTGAAACTTTGCTAGAAAATGCTCATGCTAATGGTATTGATTTAGAAGGAGCATGTGAAGGCTCATGTGCGTGCTCCACATGCCACATAATCTTAGAACCGCATATATATGACTGCATAAAAGAGGCTACAGCTGATGAAGAAGATATGCTGGATCTTGCTTTTGGGCTGACACCAACGTCAAGACTTGGATGCCAAATTAAAATTTCTCAAGAAATGGATAATTGTAAAATCAAGCTTCCAAGCGGATCTGTTAATTTGTATGTAGATGGACACAAGCCTAAACCTCATTAAATAATTTCAACCAAATTATATGGTTGCAGGAATTTTTAATCTTTAAATATCAGTCATCTCGAATAAAAGAATTCTTTTTAGTAGCATACTATAGTTTCTATTAAAAAAGATAGTGCTACTAGATAAAAAGCCAATAAAAATATATAAATTCCAGCTATAAGTATCATTTTCAATTTAGTTTGAGGAATAAATTAAATGATTGCATTGCTTTAAAGCAATAATCTAAATGAAATTATAAAGAAAAACTGTGCTTGGAATATTTTAAAATGATCAAATTTGATATGGTTTAAATAAAATTTGCTAAAATAAAAAGGAAAGCTTAGATTAATATAAAATTTCAGCTTCTATTGTTAGGAAGCCTTAAATTGACAATCTTTATTTTCACTTATAAGGATCCCCCCTCATTGGCCTAATTTTCTAGTCTTTTTTTATAAGATAAAAAAAAATTTAGCTATAATTTAAATAATTTAAGGTATAGCTATTTTTGAGCCTTGAGAGCGATAGAGATATTTATTTATTATGATCATGAATAATAAACCCTAAGTTATACCGATTTTGCAAGTGGAAATCTAATATTATTCCATTCATGAACCGCATTTAATGCTAATCTTAATAGTGACATATACGTTCTTATTAAATTAATTATCTCAATTTTAATTAGTAGCTTTAGAACTCTTCAAATCATATAACTTAATAGAATTCGGCTGTTCGATAAATCTATACAAATTCCATATCAAATCCATATTTATAAATTCCTAGCCATCAGCGCTTTAAAACCTATCTAATTCAAACTAGACTTAATGGCTATTATCAATTACCAGCACGAATCCATTCTCTATAACTTCATTATTTTTTTCCCCTTAATCATTCTCTTTTTTCTATTAGTTCCTAAAACTCGTAATATGATGCAAAAAAGTATATAAAAAAATGGCTATTCGAATTCCAACTCGTCCACATCCACCGTTTGCTTCAAAGACTTCCAATTCAAATTTAAATTTGACTGGAAAATCTCAAGCACTAAATCCATTCATCTTTGAAGACAAAACCGCTAAATCCACAACTCTACTTCCAAGCATAAATTCCTTCAACATTAATTCTTTACGAAAAATCCGAAAAACGAAAAAGGCTCATACGCTGAAACTAGAAAGATTTAGCGATCCGTTGCAAAACAGTCCAAGCTTGAACTCTATTGTCATTCAAAAATCGGGCGGATCTTTTAGCAGGTCAATGCATTTTAAACTGACCGCTGATCCTTTGAATTCTTCTCCGCTTTTTGATGACTTATATGAAGAGGAGAAAGAAATTATAACTCCAACGCCGTTTAATGAAGTTGTAGAAGAAGATTTGCAGAAATCCATTTTTAGGTAGAACTTAGAAAAATCTAAACTTAGACTTAATATTTACATTTCTGATCAGAACGATCGAGCTAATCCTAGGATGCTATCAGGAAGTCTCAGCTGCTTAGTTGCAGACTTCTTGTACGGTTACCATTCTCCCATTCTAGAATCCTCCTCTCTGGTTGTTGCCGTGGTAAGTGGATGGCCTTTGCAGTTAGAGTACATAAGCTTTGGACTTGCTCTCCACTTGCTCAATCTTAGTCTTCACTGATTCTGCACCAGTCATTTTTTCTTGAGCTTCGGTAGCACACTCGTGGCCAGTGCTGCGGCAGGTAATAGTCCTTTTATCAGGGCAAAACTCCGATAATCAATTTCATAAATACTAACTCCCCCCCTCCGTGAGTGAACAAAAAAAATTTTGTTCACCACGGAGAAGGGTTAATTTTTTTTTTTAAAAAAGTTTATATGTAAATGTTTTATAAATTTTCAGTTCTATAAAAATTGGAAAGCAAATATTAATTTAATTTGCAAATTTATGTTTTAAAGCGCAATTTGTTTAAAATTAAACAGAATTAGCTCGAGATTTCATTATACTAATTATCACTTATATATCAATTTTTTTTTCCATAAAAAATTTTCTATTAAAAAAATTTTTGCTCACTCACGGAGGGTGGGTTTTTGGGCAAAAAATAGGGATCTTTCCAATAGTTTTGTTCACTCACGGATGGGGGAGTAAGTGGAACCATTTTTAGATCACAGTCAATTGATGTAGATAATTCACAAACATCATTTTGGCACAAGATTTCTGAGAATACCAAAAAGCCTGAAACTCCTGAACTTACCCAAATTAAAAAACCTCAAGGATTAAAAATCAGGGTTGTAAAGAGCAGTCAAGGCTTACCTTCTTCTCGATCTATTGAAAATCCTCAAAACTCACCAAAACTTTTAAGTTTAAAAATTACAAAATCGTCTGATCCTAAAAGAGAAGAGCCAAAAGGTTCCGAAAAATGGAAAAAATCAATGAAAGATCATTTATTTCAGACTTTCCAAGCCTTAAAATACTTAAATTCCCACCCATCAATTGACATTGATCTCGTTAGATGCCGAAAAATCAAGCTGACTAAAAAGCTTGAATTTAGAAAAACAGTGATTTTTGACTTACTCCCCCCCCCCCTCCGTGAGCGAACAAAACCATTAGAAAAATCGCCATTTTTTGACCAAAAACCCACCCTCCGTGAGTGAACAAAAAATTTTTTTAATAGAAAAAATTTTAATGGAAAAAAATTTTGATATATAAGTGATAATTAGTATAATGAAATCTAGAGCTAATTCTGTTTAATTTTAAACAAATTGCGTTTTAAAACATAAATTTTTTGCAAATTAAATTAATATTTGCTTCCCAATTTTTGCAAATTAGGATTTTTTTAAATTTCGAAAAAAATATTTTTTTATAAAATTTATATATAAATTTTTTTTAAAAAAAAAAAATTAACCCCCCTCCGTGAGCGAACAAAATTTTTTTGTTCGCTCACGGAGGGGGGGGGGAGTTAGATGAAACTTTAATTCACTGTGTAGACAACGAGGCCGATGAAGCTTCAGATGCAATTATCCCTGTAAAATTCCCCAATGGCATGATTGCAAAAACGAAAATAAAAATAAGACCTTATGCAGTAGAATGCTTAAGGGTAATCAGCAAAATATGCGAAGTGATAATTTTCTCTTCTTTTAATCAGACTTATGCAGATGCAATTATTGATTTTTTGGACCCCAAAAAAGAAATAGTACATCATAGGTTGTATAGGGATAGTTGTGTTATCGTTAATGGCTTAATTATCAAAGACATTAGGATTCTGGAAGACAGAAACCTAGAGGACGTCGTCATAGTTGATAATTCAGTACACAGCTTTATATACCAATTAGAGAACGGAATACCCATTGTTAGTTGGACAAATAACGAAGACGATAAGGAATTATTAAATTTAGTCAATTATATCAAAAAACTTACTACTCCTGATGATATCAGAAAATTAAACAGAAAAACATTTAAACTTTACAGATTTTACATGGATTATATCCATGAATTTGAAACTGATAGCCCACATAAAGCAAAAAAATAAATAAAATTTAAGCATAACTTTCATAATTAAAAATATTTGTCATGCTAATAAGAAATTTTAGTAGTTTAAAAGGTAAATTAAAATTAAGCTAGAAAATTGAACAGCAGGAGTATCGTTTAAAGAAAGCCTTTAATCTATTTTGTTTTTTCTTTGGCTTATTATTTCCAGTTTTAGCTGGGCTATTAAGATATCCAGATTCAGGGGGAAGAATGTTTGGACTATCTTCTTGAAAATTTCGTTCTTCCCTCACCCTCTTTTGTGGAAGTTTGATCAATCCTTCAATTATGATTTTCTCTTGCTCATACAAATATCTCCCGCAAACCTTACAAATAATATTTCTCCCTAATTTTAAACTGCGTTCAATGTCATCTTTATCAATTTCATCACCACAAGCTAACGTTATAGATTTCCTTTTTGGGGTATTTGCAATGTCTTTAATTCCGTTTTTAAAATATTTTTGTAGAGGATATACAATTGAGCATCTTTCTTTATGCAGGAATACTGGAATGCACATATCTGTTTCCACTTTATTCATAAAGGTGCTTCTTCCATTGCTATTTATAATTTCTACTGTGAAATATACCTAATTGCAATAAATAAAAATTCTATTGATTACCTCGGCAGCCGCCAGGATTGTTTACATTCTCTTTATTTAGGTGTAAAATTTTCTTGCCAAAATCAAGGAAGAATTAAATATACTCGATCTATTATGTTGCATTTCAACTCCACAAGCCATCACTAGCACTTTCAGTTCACTTAAAAATTCATTATTACTTGCTTTATCATCAAGAAAATTCATTCCTTCTGCTCTGAAGCCATTCATGAAGTTCATTCAATAAGGAAGGTGCTCCTGAAATTGAGAGTTTCTGGCAAGCGATTGCAAAACTTGAAGATAAAGGTCTAGGTAACTATTTTGGTAGAGGAAAGAAAATTCTAGGTGAGAGAGAATCAAGGCAGCAGGGAATGAGAAAAAATCTAATATTCGTAGCTGATAAATTGCTTCTTTATGTATACCTGGGATTTCGAGCTTAGAAGGGTCAAAATCTAATCTTTGGCTTACGTCTGGCTCCATTTATTGTAGAAATTAAAATTATTAAAATTTTTGTCTGTGCTTATACCTACAATTAGGATCATCCTTATATTTATAACTGCCACCAAAAAAGTAATTAAAATACAATTTATTGTTTTGATAAAGAATAGACCTCATGGTAGTAATAAGAAATCCATACAATACTAGAAAATAGATGATCTCATAACGCTTTTTCATTTAAGCTTTCTTAAGTCATTGCAAATAAAAATGTATAAGGCTCCAATTCGACACTTCAGTCTCAATAAATTTGCGCTCTGGGTTGACCACACCTGGACAGGTGCTGAGCAGAGAGCTCACGAGATTGGCAAAAACTATACTTTTATCAGCCTTTTCTCAAGAATAGGAATTCTCAAGAGTCCAAGATTAATCAGCTATCTTTCAGAAAAACTTGACAAACCAACATTATCACCAGCTGTAGAAAACTCAAAGGTCACTGACAACTCACTGCTGTTGTTTTACTCTCAAAACGTTGCAAGATATGCTTTTGCATCAATATCTCATAATTTATAGCTAAATTATTAGAAAATTAAATTAAAAAGGCATAACACTAACTAGTATTGAGGATAGTTTGGTAAACACTGAATACCTTCCAGGAATGCGCTTGGCCGCTGAATTGATCGCTCCTCTATATTTATTGATTGTTCCTCCTTGGTGGCTACCAATTATGTTTTACACTTTTGGGATGTGGTTTTACCAGCCTCTGGCTGCTTCATTTGCAAGGTCTGCAGTTGTAAGAATGGACTTACTACCAGATTTTGAAGCAATCCATGTTCAAAAGGTCGGAGCTTTTGGGTTCACTAGGTCTGAAATCGTTCCAATAAAGAACTTGGTGAAATCCAAGCTGGAGCATTCGAAATACGATTATTATCATAGGTTAATGGCAGGATTTGACAGAGATATGATGTTTAAAGATGCTGAGTCTGGAGAAGAGTATAATTTTGAAGTATCAGGAACATGGGTTGATGAGAATCTTAAACATCCTCTTATTAACTAAGGATCATTATCCTTCTTATAATATTTGTGGTGTCTTTATAATTTTTTATTTTAGCCTTATAGATATAGAAAGTAATAAGTTTGCCATTAAGAATTTATTATAAAAATAGATATATTTAGAAAATTGCTATTTTAATAATTGTTTATGTTGAACTGCATATATTAGAGGAAAATTAGAATTATTTAAAAATTAAAATAATTTAGGAAGAAATATTGATTTAATATGGAATGAAAGCGATTATAATAGAGTATTCCGAGTATCACCCATGAAAATTATCTTATGAGTAGATCTAAGGATTATTTAATAGTAAAAAAGTTTAATATGGCATTGATTATTAGCTATTATGGTTTGATAATTTATCAAATTGATAGATTGATGCTCTATAAAGGAAATTAATTAGATTTAATAGATTCCCTAAATTTTCTGAGATTTTTATATTTAATTTAGATAGTTTATTGCAATTATTTAATTTTGATAGTTTATTGCAATTATTTATTAAATAATAATACTAATAGCTTTAATTTAAACTACTTGAGCATAACTTAGCAAATTTAATGATTTGGATCTTGTATTAGGTTCTATTTAAAAGGGCTAGGCTCATGATGTCACCATTTTTCTTGGCTGCCATATTTATTTTAATACGAATTTTGACTTAGTCCCCCAGCGTGAAATTTTGTTGTCTCACGGAGGGGGCTATTTTTTTTTATATATAAATTTATAGTTTCGAAATTTAAAAAATTCCAATTCGTAAATATTAATTTAATTTGTAAGCTTATTTTAAAATGTAAGCTGTTTAAATTAAACAGAATTAGCTAGAGATTTCATTTTTATTAATTGTCACTTTATATCAAATTTTTTTTTAAAAAAAAAATTATTTTATAAAATTTTGTTCCTAGGGTGAGTTATTGGGCAAAAAATAGGAATTTTTCCAATGGTTTTGTTCGCTCTGGGAGGAGGGGGAGTTAGTCAATTTTCCAAAATGGCTCCATAGCAAAAAAATAAGGAAATTTTTTTTTTGTATATATAAGAGGGGTCGAAATAGAAAAATGGAAATAGAGTATGAATACTAGTACCCTAGTGAGGAACGTATTGGGAAAATTTTCGAGTTTTCTTACCTTTTCATTCAATAACGAGATAGCTTAATAGGAAGTGGGTCTGAGAACCTATTTTTTTTAAAAAAATTATGATCTTTTTTATTTAGAAAATTTGCTGTGATTAATTCATTAAATTGAAAAATAGACAATGCATCAAGATTATATTACATTAATATTATTCATGCCAAAAACCATTTAAGATAGCTTATGCTCACTATTTAGAGTAGAAGTCAGCAATAAACGCGTGATTATACATCTAAAACGCTGTTAGACTGCGCTGGCCCCTAAGTACCACATATGAGTTTTCACCATTAGCTGTTTCGCGTTAAGGGAGACAGCTGTTTGCCTGAGGGTTGTCGCATCAATTGCCTGGGTATCTTGTTATCTTATTAGACAGACGGGCTCGTGCCCTTAATTTTAACGCAATTACCGAGGATCCCCTGGGGGATTCACCCACTTTGCAACCTTCCTTCCGTCCGGTCTCCTCCTTGCTTCTTGTAAAAAGCTCCAGTGTTGAGTGGGCAGGCTACGGGTTTGTGCGGCCTCCTGAGGCTGAGAAAGTACGAAGTTGGCATTCCGAAATTCCAAAAAATGGAATTTCTGGTAGCCTATCGGCAAAAAGGTAAAGTCCAGGTCCTGGGACGTAACGCCCAGTTTCACGCTAGGCAGTTGCCCGATTGGTCTAGGTATTACCTGTAGACCTTGCTGGGCTTGCCCTTTCCAAACCTGGACCCACCTTACCTTCGAGGTAAAAACCAGTCTTGAAATTGGACTTGGGCCAGGCTCTGCTTCCTGCAGAATTGGCTACCATGGCATTGATGTCCTTTTCAAGGCTAGAAAAACCTTGCCGGATATAGTTAAAATATG